TCGGATACTACCACAACAGTGAATCACAACTCAACTACTAATATGCGTCATGTTTGACCGTGTCACTCGCCACTTGTGCTGCACCAACTTGAAGGTTCGTTGCCCAAGGGTGTTCATAAAGGTCGTAATCCGCTGCGTAACCAAGCCAAGGGCCGACGTATGTATACCAGCTTCATCAAGGCTTGGGGCGACGATGTCTCTGGGAACAGGAGCAAGCAGTACAATGAGCACACAAATATCTATCTGGCCCATGCCAACTTGCCTCATACGAAGCTCTCCCAAGAGTATTTTGTACGTTTTTGCTCAACGTCGCCGCATGCGAATGCCGGAGCGCAATTTGATGCCATGGTGGACTCCATCAGGTGACTCGACAATCTCCGTGAACGTTTGCTGTTGTAACTGACACCTCACACAGCGGGCCGAACACTTGGCATTCAGCATACGATTGTGATCCTGACGTACAGGAGGAGGTCCTCTTTCGTGTCATTCCATGCCTATTTCCCGCTGACAATCCGCAACAATCGGAGAGTTGTTCGCACATAGGTTTACACGGCAACATGTGGTGTCGACGCTGCAAACTAGGAGGTACTGAGGTCAACAGAGAGTCTGACACGAATTATCACGCTCATTTTGAGATAGACGTGGGCATCTTAATCACTGATCACATTACGGTGTTGTTATTGACTTGTCGCCGCATAGCCAGACAACCTACGGACAGCGGAACAGACAAGAGAAGAAGTCCTAACGCAGATCAGGCTTGCGGCACTTGGAGTGAAGAAGGATGTTACTCAGCGCCAGACGGACACTGGAGTGAAAGACAAACTCGCCGAATATTGGATCAAAATTATGCTGGAGCGGGCACGCATCGAGCAACAATGTCGCATAACTGCTTCGGCGACAGCTGATGCTCGTTTGAAGGGTGTACATGGCCCTGAGCGAACAGCTATGGTGCTGACCATTAAGAAGGAGATACAGGCTGAACTGCTTGATTGGCTTGTGAAGCAACCATCCAACGACTACAACAAGCTACCTGTGAATTCCCGTATGTTCTTGTCATGACCGCTTAGTATCATACCAGTCAGTGATTACTGACGGTGTCATGGTCCGCAGCGCTACGTCATCAGTTGCGACCCGGAGTGCACTTCAACTCTTTGTTGTCGCTTGAGGGTGAGTGCAGCATTCATTCTTACCTTTTTACCCAGGATTTGATATCCAACGTGATGGTCAATGCATGCAGGCATCGATATTCATCGTGAGACACCAGTCGAGCTCCTGCATACGTATCTGCTTGGTCAAGACAAGTACGTATGGCACTACACCCACTCGAGCTGGTCCCCAAAGCAATTTGAAACATTCGCTGTGCGCTTACAATCGTCATCTGTCGACGGACTCAATATCCTGCCACTCCGTGCGCGCTACATCATCCAATATAAGGACAACCTCATTGGCAAGCACTTCAAAGCACTGCAGCAGCTCACCATATTCCACCTCGACGATAGCATGTGCCCCCCTCTCGTGCAGGACCTATGGAAGGCAACCGGTGAACTTGGTGCGCTCCTATGGTTTACTGAAATTGACGACATGAACATATATCTGGTACGTCGTAATCTGACCTTTCGCCTTCATCAGCAAATGTGCACATCACTTACTCAGTCTTACTCGCACTTACGGAGCTTAACAGACTTAATCATCTCCTTAGTCGACTTACTGGCTTTGGAATACCTGTGCCTCACAGGAGTGCCACGTCGTCAAGCAGCAATAAGAGTATAAGCATTCATTAAGCACATTTACAGCGCACTTCCGAAGCAAGATGATTAAGCAACATAAGCGGGCTGGGAAGTGGTCGCGGAGCCAATGTCGAATGTAGTACTAGTACAAATGACAGGAATCAGAAAGCTATCTCGTGAGCATTATGATCCGCGAATTTGTTGACGAAGTATGATCGGAAAGCGTCCAGCGAGTGTACGGCGTCGAAATTAATTGGTAGGAAGTCTTCACCATAGACAGGAATGAGATGTGCGAGTCGGAGAACTGAGTCTAGGTGTATGACAGATGTGTGGCGAGAGTTGTCTGCGTAGAGGTCAGGTTCAACCACCCACATACCTGTACAACCATCCGGCTCATCTTCGACGGCTTCAAACCACTCGACAAGGGCGCACGGGTACGTCGTGTCATCCTGTCGGAAGGAGAAGAGGAGTCGAACACGCGCTGCATGCATGCTCCGCATTCCTTGCTGTGAAGGGTCTGTGCCGACGAAGACGCAATCGTATCGGCCTGGGCCATTGTACCAACTCGATACAGCGCGGATGCGCTCGCGCCGCATACCACCGACTCCGGAAACATCGCTAGGTGCGTAGAATGTCGCGACGGCTGATGGGAAGACGCGTACTCTTGATCGGCTGTTGATTACTGGGCACTCCCGAAGGGAGACCTCGTCTCCTGGTACGTCGGACTGGGGGTTTTGCTGATCAAACAGGAAGCGGCGCAATAGGGACGGCAGTGCAGGTTGGCCAATGTGCTCGCTGAGGGCTTGGAGAGTATTAGGCAAACCACGAACTAGATTTATTGTTGGCGGCGCGCCGGTCAATCATTGGAAGTAAAAACTGAGTCGGAAAGGATATCGACATACCTGGACAACGGGCCAGTTCTACAAAGCCATGAACTGTCGGTCCATCAACTACGTCGTCTTCTTCGTCATCTCTCTCTTCATCCTGCGCGAGTACCGGCTCTTCATCATCAAGTTCACCCTGGGCCTCGGCCGCAATAGGTTCACCCATTGCTGGTGGATCATCCGCCGCGAGTTCCGCAAGCGCGGCCGATAGCGAGTCGCCTTCAAGCATTCCACGACGCTCGAAGTCTCGGCGCGACGCGGCGAGTTTGTCTAGGCGCTGATTCGTCAGGAGCATCTGCCCGAGTGGTCTGTGACGATTCGACCGGCGCCATGGTTCTTTGACGGCTTTGATGTGCTTAGCCTCGGTCATAGAGGAGCACAGACCATTCGGAGCCCCGAACTGTTGGATGTGTCGTATGTAGTGATCCAGGGCATGCATCCTAGGCAGAGAGAAGCCAGTAGGCCGGACACCAGAGTCCTGGAAGATCTGGCGATGGTGTCGGAACCTCTCAAGGGCAGTCTCGATTGCAATGAGATCAGTGTCGTCCAAAATTGAGCGACGCAGGAGATAACAGACTTCCATGAAGGCGGCAAGGGCGCGGACCATGTCATCGGGTACTATCCCGTTGATAGCAGGCAGGTAGACCTGATAATGCACATATTTGGTGGTTTTCGCGACGAATGAACACACGGTTGACATACCTTCATTAAAGCCTTTGAGTCATCCCCAGTCCATTGCTTGAATTCACGTCCCTCGTAGAATCGTCGCAGTCCCGGGAAGTAAGGTGTCGAAGCAATTCTAACCAAGTCATAAGTAAGCAGCAGTAAGTACACTCGACACAACGCATGACATACCGCCGATCTATTTCATCAAGTAGCTCCTTCGCACGCGCCTCGCCATGTTGTAGAGTCAGATACTCGCCAACCCATGTCACGAGATGATCCTTGAAGGCGCCCTTGATAACTTGGTGTAGGAGATCGCCCGATAAGAGTTCGTGGATATCTGCACGTGGGAAGTCGTTCGTGAATGGCTGCAGAGTGTGAATGAATCACTGTCTAAAGCAGGAAATGTGCGGAGACAACTCACAATGATGTCATGCACGATGCCGTATTCATCCCATAGGACCCGTGGATCTAACGCGTCGATAAGGGCTTCGGTGACAGCTTGAGTTCGACGATCGGCACCTGGACCAAGGTTTGAACGATGGGCATCACAACTGAAGGTCACATAGCAAAATCAGTGGGAAACACAAGCAGCGCGATTACAACAATATATCAGCTTACAACGAGCACCAGCCTTGGACTATACACGCCGCGAGGACCTGTTCAGGGTAGTCGGCAATGTATGGACCCAGGCCATACACAACACGTCGGTAATAGCCATCCCCACAACGGACGACGTCATACTGCTCTGCCATATATGGCCGCAAGCAGTCGAAGATCGCCGAGAGGCTGGAATGGAATAGCTGCTGCCGAAACTTGAGGAATTGCTTGGTTTTCTTGTGTACCCTGTTCGCTGGAAATAAGGTAAGACTTCGTACACGACTCGGATGACAGCAGTACAATTCGTACACAACTCACACTTCGGTATAGATAAGAAGCCAATAAGGACCAGTGCATCGCGGTGCGCGCGACGCACATTATTATGGACATTTCCGAGGGACATGTAGAGAGGGTAATACTCGTTTTGACCTGTAGCTACAGAAACGGTGGTCTTGTCGCTACCGACAACGAGGGGCCCGAACATCGCCCCATGCATTTTCTCGTCTTCTGCGATGATATCCTATTGCACGAGCAGAACAATTAGTACTAGATCATCCAATCGAGCTCAGCTACTAAGTGTACTTACTGCTTGTTCCCATGGCCAATTCGCTGACATGAAGTTGCCATACCGGCGTCGTGGCTGTTCCTCACCATCAACATGGACAAACTCGCGGTAGGGGACCTTATCAAATTCCTCTGCGATGTCCGCATTCCCGATGATGTGGTGAGCGACGAGACGCGGCGACTTGTACCAGACGTCATGTTCGGCAGTCATCCACGATGGAACATTCCCGTCAGGTTTGCGTCCTGAGTACCTGACCGAGAAAGACTGCCATGGAATGTCACCGACAGTTGTCGCATCAATGACGTTCTCGAGATCAGTGTTATCGGCGAAGGGTGGATTGTCGTCATGCTTGAGAAGGGATGCTGCCCAAAGGTTCATTAACTGGTTAATCTTCGCCTGCGGCATCTGACACTTCTTGTAGAGGAAGTTAGCGACCTCAAACTCGTTTCGGCTGTCGTACGGATTCCAGTTTGTAGGCTCGGGATCAAGCCACGGCGGCGGAGGTGCATCTGCTGGAAGGACATTGCCATCGGCGTCACATCCAAGGCCTTCGTACAGTGTCCTAGTCAGTGAAAAGAGTACGAGAAGACAGTGCCGATCATACCTGTCAGGCGCGAGTGGTACTCGCGGAAGTCAACAGGGCGCCGAGGCTCGCCTTCGTCTGGATGATCATTGTCGTGCCCAGTGGTTCATGGCCATGAAGGTGGTCATGCTGAGGATCTTCCGGGGTTTCCGAGCGACGGGGAAGGCGAGGCTGCCCAAATGACAGCGCAGGTAAATGAACAGCGTTGAAGTGTTGAGTGCGACCAGATGCGTTCATGGACATATGATTGCATGTCGGAATCGAACAAGCAAGGTGCCTTGGTTGGTGCTGACGGCGACGACTCGGATGCATCGTGGATGAAGAGGAAGGGTCTTGAGGGTGTACGGGCTTGGGTATAATCTGATTGCAGGTGCCCGAGACGACCTGCAGATCACGCTTTTATCTGCCGGAGTTCAAACAAATGCGGCGAGTTGCTGCCAGCGCATCTCGCCATACGAGTGTACGACATTTCTCCTTTCTCCCATCTATCTTACATTTTCCTTCGAACTTGAATCCTTTCACCCTCGCTACTTCTGCTGCCTGCAACGCTATGGTCAATACACGTCCCTCTAATGCTTCGAAGCATCCGGGAAATCCTGACCTCAAAAATCCACGGCGACCGTCGAGTGAGCTGGTTGCTGAGCGCCTCGAGGCCGAACAGGAGCAAGCGGCGGAGGCAGCCACACAGGCTAAGAAGCTTGTGCATGTTGCGAAACTACAGAATACTGCACATAAGGCAGAGCTGAAGCGAGCAAAAGTAGGAAACAAACCTAGTACTGCGTCCCAGTCGAAGACCAAGAAGCCTTCCGCATCGGGTTCCAGTGCTGCCAAGAGTACTAGTACTCGAGCTCCTGCAGTGACCCCTCATCAACCAGAGGTTTGTCTGCAGTTCTGTTCCAGAAGAGTTAATGATACTCACATATTGCATCAGAGCACGATCTTGCCAGTGAATCGTCAGTCATTGGACTGTACAGTATCAGCATCGATTTGGACACTGATGCACTGGTATCCTGTAGAATCCACGGACAAGCATCAGTCAGCGCGTAAGTCGACGAAACCGGGACGCGATGCTATTACCGAGACCAGAGAATTGTTGAGTGCATCGGGGCAGCAATCCCGCCGCACAGGTACAAGTGCGGCGACAAGTGCGAGTGGGAAAGGAACAACCGTTACGAGCGTCAAGTCCGCCGCCGCTGGTGGCTCAAAGCGCAAGGCGCCTGACAACAATGGTGCAAGTTCTGAGTCCGCACGTCCCAAGCAGTGAGTGTTGACATGGCTATATGCTCTGTGAGTGTCAGCGAATACTAGATACTCACTCAATCCAGGAAACCTGCGAAGAAGTCAAGGACGAAAGCCCCAGCCGGTGTACGACCTGACTGGAGTTCTCAAGCTCAGGCTGTCACTCCGTCTAAGGCCACCACTACTCCTGCCAAACAACAAGCCATCTCTCTTCCGAGGGCTGCTATACAGGTCGCGCGCGAGTGGTCGAAGTTGCAGCCACCTCAAGTCAAAGGAAGTGACGATGAGTCGGGCCCGCCAGGCGAAGTCTTGAACGGAGGATACGCAAGCGATGACGATGACGAGACGGCCGCTCCAGAGAAGGGTGACGTGCGTACTACAGCAGAGTACGCAGTCAATGAGCTTCGTCGTCTGTGCATACATGACAATTCGTCCCTTACCTGTAGGGAATTGTCACCATCACGCACAACTCGAGTGGCCTGGACAAGGGCGTCACAAAAGGCCGTAAACGCGTTGGTGTCTCGCACTACAAGAACGAGGATCTCCCAGCTGCCTGCCGCAAACTGTGGCGCAATACGTACGTTCCAACCATGTATGACATGTATGCTACCGGCAACGACCCTTGGGATAACACTGCGAATAACCGCATGGTCGGAAACCTTACGTATGTATGGGAGAAGGTATACAACACACCTGTCTCGTCGGAGGATATTCGAGGGCCAATTCTTGGAGTGGTAAGTATCGAATGTTTGCTGCGATGGCGAGCATGACTCACCTGGAACGATTATCTTCTAGATGAACCAACGCCTCGCCGAGTGGCGTAACAAACTCGCCGCCGCAGCTATCAATGTTGTTGTGGGACATTTCGAAGACGGCGGCGAACAGTATTCGTCGCCAGAGTCTCGCGCGAAGTTTGTGAAGTGGGCTCTCGGTCCCAAGAAGCTATTCATATGGCAGGCAACGACCCCGGTATGCAGTTACCTCGATCATGCAATCATATTGGTTGATCAGGCCCCCCAGAAGCGAACAGGCGCATTCCAATCTTCACTGATCATCAAGACCTTCGCAACGCACCTCACAGAAGTTCAAGGGACCGTCGGCTCTTTCTTCAAAGGCTATGAGCCACAGGGGGCACTTGCACTCACTTGTGTCGCGGTAAGCGCCATTCCAGAAGCTGATCAGTGGCATGTACTCACTTGGCTTATCATACAGCTTGAGCGAGCGTTGATGCTCTTTGAGACTGGTGTACACCACGTGTCGGATCCAGGCGATACCAAGCGACCCGAGTTCAATGCCAGTATCTGGTATGATGCAACAGATGGTTACCAAGGAACTATCGCACAACTCAAGCCCGAGGTCTGGGACGCGATCATCGCTGCCGCAGAACCATACGCGAAGAAGGGCAAAGCTCGGCGCCTTGGACATTCAGCAAGTTCCGACTGCGACATGGGGCCAGAGGATGATCGCGCCAGGCTTCTCGACAGCTCCGACTTGGAAGAAGATGACGGTGAGGTGGCTGCACATTCCGAGCCACCCAACGAGGACGACAGCGACCCAATCGTCGGGGATGTGGAGCCTGAGGCCGTCGACAACTCCATGGAGGTAGAGGAAGATACGGCGAGTATGTATGGGTCGGACACCGCTGCGGGTCAACAGTGTCATTCGCCGGTTGAATGCGAGCCATTCGAGGAAGATGACGGCGGTAAGTACCAAATGCAGTGATGCATACAATCGGATGCTGACGTCTTGATACAGCATCTATGCAGTCGGAGTGATCGTCTTGATTCCAGCGGCTTCATATCGCCACGTCCGTATACCCCTTGTCATGTTTTCCGAGTCTCTGTCGCAGCTGCACCCCGAGTCCCCGCCGACTGCATATTCAGATCTGGTACTAATCAACATACTGTCCATTCATTACGTTGTCATCATCATCGCCGAACTACTAATTTGCATACTGTACATGAACTATAGCGCGCCATCTCGGCAGTATTCCATGCACTGTACATTCACTAGACCGCTATCATGCGTAATGCGGCCAAAATTGGTTTCCGCACCTGTTCGTACGACCTAATGCAATGCTACTTCGTGGCTATTGACGCGTTTTGAGGAACTTGAGTGCCGGCTTATCTCCTTTACAATGCTGCTTAGAGCTGCTTATGTTGTCTTGATACTAGCTTAAGTCGTCCTTACTAAGGCCTATCAAGGCTCGACGTCTTAATCAAGAGAATGGGCCTTGTTGATTAAGCAGATCTCCTTAGCGTCTTACAGTGCTTTATCGACTTATTAAGGCGTGTAAGGACCGAGTAAGTGACCTGTACATTTGCTGATGCGGAAACGGAGGACCACTATTGGGTCGTAGAGTTGCCGAAAGCGAAGGAGGGCGCCGAGTATGGCGTGATGGACGAGAAGGAGACCGAGACGTTTGTCCTGTTTAAGGGTCTCAATCTCCACCAGGGCGACGTGATTCGCGGGCGTGCGACGCGCATTTGGAAGGCATGGTTAATCGAAGATTTGGTCTTGCCGAAGGAAGAACGTCGCGTGCGTCTGTCATCCTCACACCTCAGTCCCGCCTGACGGATGTGCAGCTGTTCATTGTGAAGGACACGTGGCGCGATGATGAGCGTCGTCCCGAAGGCGAGTTTTATATGCAGATAGGACGCGTCCCAGGGGTTGCGGCAATGCGGTCCTATGGAGTAGTGCGCGTCGATGGCCAGGAAGACACTGTCATGTCGCGAATCCGTCGCGGTCTGCAAGTCCACGCGAGGCCGCGCTGCATCGACATGTCTCAAAAGGATACCGATCCACAGACAAATCCCTCGTCAACACCTGACAGAACGCGGAGAAACTCGACGGACTACGGGTGTCTCGTCGACTACCTACCTCCCATCGATGCGCCGGAACGATCACCCCGAGGGCGGACACATTCAAGACTGGTCATGGAGACGTACGGATGGCCGATCAAGATGGCACTTACCCCTCTCGAAACAGTCCAGGCCATGCGTGACGCGCTCGCTGGTGAGTGGAGTTGACATCCAGTTATGCAGTCGCATCACAATTGCTCTGCTGTAGGGCATTGGACGGCATACAAGAAGGGCGTACTACACGGGGATATCAGTGACGGCAATATCCTCATCACAGGAAGCAAAAAAAGTAGGTTTCCGGGGCGTGGTCATCGATTTCGACCACGCGAAGACTGTTGACGATCGCACACTTGCTGACGATCCAATTTCGGTACGCTAATCTGCTTCACGATTGACTAGCGTGCCATGCTGAATGCTATGGTAGGGCACGCGACCGTACATGTCCGGAGAGATCCTCCGAGGTAAAATGTACTTCTTGAAGGCCCCGGTCAGCCAGCCCCGCGGTGCCAGTGAGCTCAACATTTTTGCGGCGAGAAGACGTGTAGTCGGGAACAAGCGCAAAGAAGATGTCAGCAACGTCACCCACAAACATACGTTCTACCACGACTTGGAGAGCTTCTTCTGGGTTCTCCTCTGGATTTGCATCTGCAGAGCTGGTCCGGCGATGCGACGGGCCGACCTGTGGGACAGTAGCAACAAGGACCTTGCCACTGGCAAAGAGTACACTGTGCTGTTTCGGGTTGCCGACATTGAACAGCTGGGTCTCAACAAGCGGACCATCATCAAACATTGGGAAGATTTCGAAGAATGTCTCGAGCTTGTGGCGGACTACTACCAGCCGCTCATTCCCCTTCTGCAGTGCCTCTGGACCATCCTTCACGACGGCTATGAGGCGCACAACTTCGACTGCGATGGGACCTACCAAGAATTCATAGACGCCTTCGATCAGATGGAAGAGTTCCTTCTCGATGAGCCTGAAGTTCGTACACCTGAACAAGAGGTGGCCTTCGACAAGGAGGAAAACGGCGCGAAGCGGATCGCAAGGACTGGGAGCGTACGCCCCGCAAGTTGTCAAAACACCGACTATTCCTGAGGTCGACGAGGCAGATGGATCCCGCGTCATTGAAGATCCAGTCCCTGCTGTACGCGACGACACCGGGACCCCAGACGGAAGTTCAGACGACGAACGAGACCCCTCACCTAGTCCCGCGCCACGCGGACCCAATGCGGTGGCGAATCCGAGTCCCGCTGACCTCGAGTTAAGGTCGGTGCCGCTTAGGACACGGCAGACCTCGAAGGTTGCAAGCACCGCCGCACGATCTGAGAGCCGTAGCTCGACAGTCCCGAGCACGTCGAACGCACAGACACCCCCGCCGTCAGACTCTGCGGGCTCTTCGCAGTTGATGCCGACGAGACAGACGCGTAGTGCAGGTCGTGGTCATGGCAATCAGTCTACGCAGGAGGGGAGTGATGTTGCGAGTGAGAGTGGTGGGGGGGCCGGAGGCCCGAGTCGAAGTCGGGGACGAGGAGGCAAGAGTCGCGGAGGACAAGGGGGGAGGGCCGGTCGTGGACGCGGGGCTAGGGGGAAAGGGAAAGAAAGGGAGGGTGGTCCGAAGCGGCGCTGATAGGTGTGTAAAGCAACAATACGACCGCCCTGTATGCATGATGTACACAGGCTATCAATGTCCCAGTTTGTTGTTTTAATTTGGTCTTGTTCACGATGCAGCGGCTGAGGGCGGCGGGTGAAGGCAAGGGCAGACACTTGCCAGACCTATCTGCTTGCAGAGCAAGCTTGACAGAAGCTTGAGTAGATGTCGGTACATCATCGCGAACATTCTTGATCTCCACATCTCACATTCGATCTCTCTTTCCGCAGGCGGTGTGACGACAGGAATGCGTGATTTTGCTTCCTGCGCACAGGAAGTCTCATGACCACCGATAAACCCGACAAAAGTGTGCTCATGTGAGGTCCGCGTCTGAGGCTGAGGGCCTCGCGCGCCCAATTACGGTTTTGCTTGGAGATCTCTCGACGTCAGTCAATAAGTAAGCGATCTGTGGGTACTTTTCTGATGACTCGTGAATTGTGTGCATGTCGATCAGGATGGCAGACTGATTCCTGGAGTGTCGTACAGAACATGCACTGCGCGGACCGTCCCCTATCGATACGTCCTTTCGTTCGTTTAGCTCGGCTCGTGGATCCTCGATTACTTGTTAGCAGTACGTGCTCCTTGTCGTGGAAGAGCTTCGCCCGATACTCACATCTAGGCGTCACACTGCAGTGGGAAGACGTGTAGATCTCGACTGTGACATCCATGCATCCGCGACGAGAGTACCGGTGTGGGATACGTCTGACAATGGACTCACCTTTCTCCATTGAAACCGCCCGGGCCGCGCATGCCAGTGCGTGCATTCATGTGGGTGGTGTTTTGAATGGAGTATCTGTACCGAGCCGGTTCCACGTCTTTCGCCTTCTACCAGTGGGAAACCTGCAGCCTACTGGTTACCACTAAGAATGCGATCTCCCCTGACTTACTATAAGCTGCTGCTGCGGACTGCTCGCCGAGCTTGGAAGCGAGTCTGCTGCTGGCGCGTCTTGAGGTTGGTTTGACCGTGATCGATCCGAGTCTCCCTCTCGTCATTCCAGTTCTGGTGGGCTTGCCCGTTGTTCGCGGACCTCTGGTTACCCGGTGTGTCTGAAGTCTCATATGATCTCGTTTACAGCACGCTCGTCTGGTGATTGAGGACTCAGTGCATGCCACTGCACTGATGCGACGAGGCATGTATGCTTGACCAAGTCTTGCACCGTAGATTCAGCACGTGTTATGAGGCCCACTATCACGATCAACTTCTCGATGCAGTCTCAAGTAGAGACTACGGAATACATGCATTCGCTTCATGATCCCAGGATATCTCACCAAATCAAACGTTATGTGCAAGGGCTCTTTGATGCACTGACTCTGTTGACCCAGACATGCGGATGCCATGCTGCGGGTCCGGGATCCAAGACATCAATATCATATCCAAATAGTGACAGGGAAAGCTACATTCGTCTTCAAATTCGTCTTCTGTACAGAAGATAAGATGATCGCCAAGTCATCATGGATAGATGATGTCTTACCTTCGAGATAAGGTAATATCGTACCCCCGCGCCGCCGTGAGGAGCGCCAAGCCGTTTCTCAGGCATTGGAGCAGTGACAGAATCTGCATTATGCGCACAGGGTGTCGGTAAGGAAAGTCAGGCGTCCAACGTTAGCTGTCTTGCAATCACAAGCTTGAGAAACATGTACCGTGTCTCTCACGAAGCAGGTCATCTGTGTTGGCATGCAGCATGAGCCTGGAACAACGTATTGGTGAGAACACATTACTACACGCACCATTCGCAAGTCGCTTCTCAACCTGGATGCCAGCGGCTGGCGCTGCAGCAGCCATCTGAAGCAGAGTGCAGCCGAAAAGAACGAAAAGAGAGGTGAACTTCATTGCTGGCTGGTTCCGATGTGGCGGACTCGGAGTAGGGGGTTGCAATAGTCAGGTCATACGATTAGGTTGGCCTTTAAGTACATACTGATGGTACGCCGCAGGCCATCGGTCAATTTGAACGAGCATAGCCAATCTCAGAGTACACCTCGGAGGCCCGAGTACGAGTTTGACATGGGAGTACGTTCTTCCATACAGATTGTCTCCGATCCATGTCGGCAAAGAGAGCCATTTCGGCGCGAGGCCTACTTATGCTGTCGAATACAAAGCCCCCCTGTGGTAGTATCATCACATGAACTATCCGAAGACTAGGAGGAGTCAAATCTGGATTGCATGTGAATATCAACGATAATTCTGGTGTCCCGCGAGACTAGGAAGGGCAACCCATAGGCGGCGGCTGGCCGACTGTGTAGTACGCTCACCGGTAATCATGATGCTCTCCATACAGATAAAAAGAACTATCCGTTGAAGATTACACAGAGACTCGGCGAGCAAGCAGCACTCCAAAAGCAGAATATCGCGAGATATCAAGCAAATAGTCGATCGCAGATTGGACGCTAGCGTGCTTGCTAGCGGCAGCCACGTCAAGGTCAGAAAGAGATTCTACGCACTTCGGTACTACACCGTCTACACGGTACCGTCATGTTTCCAAGAACGAGGTCAGAGGAGAGGGGCACATCGGCCTCAGCGCCACATTACATAATCGCCGCCTCTGCCTTCAAGCTCAAGCGCTCACGTCACTGGCCACATATGACCATCGCCCATGACATCGCATAACGATCACCGAACGTACACATAACGGCACTTATACGTGGCAGACCTGCACAGAAGAGCCGCAGGTTGTTGCTGACCCAGCAGTTGTTCGTCGAAGCAGCCCCTGCGCAGAGGCATTCCGAGCCTGAATCAGTCCTGAACGCGCGAAGACACTACTCAAGTGGTACGTCTCTACGCAATCTGGCTCAAGAAGCTCCTCCGAAGTTTGAAGCGGACGCAGATTGCTACTTCTTGTAGGACCTCGTGCTGGCGCTAGCTTGAGTCGCCGGAAGGCGTAGTACTACAGGAAACCTTGGATGGACGTTGGTTCCCCGATGGCGACGGTGCCACGTACTCGGAATGCTAACTTAGTAGTATCTCCTCTTGTTCAACTTTCAGCGTCTTACTCTGCCCTTAACTCATCAGAGCTTTGATGACTTGTCCGATGACCTTCGTCTGACGCGCGTGAGTGCCATGAGGAGCTGCGTCAATGTTCTAAACCTGACTCGGAAGTGTTCCTCCCACATTGTGTGTCGAGACATACCAGGTTTGACTTGGGCGGTTGTGAATTGCAAAATAACAGCCAAACTGAAGTTTGCCTTGTTAGCGCACTCTTCTACACTTCCGCCGCATACTAGCAACTTATCAGCATGAAGTTTACCGCTACATTTGCTCTTTTCATCTGCACCTTGATCGGGATCGCCACCTCTGTCGTGCCGATTCCTCAAGTTGAAGAGCTGCTTGTACGCGACGGCGATGTGGGTTGTGCGTATCCATGTTGAGGTCACTCCGTGGTGCCGATGCAGACCGTGACTATGGCATGATCATCCGACGTCGCTGGAAAGTCTGCGACGTGCTGTATTGACCCTCATTTTCTCAGTACCCGAACACCCCGGCGGCAGTTTCTACCAGACTATAGAAGGTCAGATTATCCATCCGTAATGTCCACAAAATACGTGCTGACCTTTGTACTGTACATGTGTGTAACAGATGATGACAACCAATGTATTGCTCGTTACTACCTACACTGCTGCAACATATTTACTAACTAAATCTGTCACACAGGAGCATCCATCGGCGATGTTCAAGCAGCCCACTTGGCGTCACGACTCGATGTTACCCGTTGAAAGTGGCCCAGCGGGGTTGGGTTGTGTGGCTTCTGCTTTGGGGGTTTGTACTTCGCTGTTCATGTGCAATCTCGTTGCTATTCGCCCGGGATAAACAGATAATTGCCCATAGCCTGTCAAAGCAGGCTCTCTCGCCAGACTTCGCATCGAGACATATCAATCGTACCAAGCTAAATGACTTTTGGAAGTGACTTCGACACTGCGCGCACCAACACTTGGCATAAATGTATCATCTCTGAGCGCTGCCAGTGAGCTTGGATGCTCTTAAATAGTATGCATGCTCAGACGGCGACTTGCCGTACATCAGAGCTTCAAAAGCACGCCGGTCGGCCAGTACCAGCCGGGTGAGTATACGCGTCTCAATGGCCGCCTCGTATGGCGTCGTGGCTATCTTTTGCTTTTCAGTTGATCTAACAGCAACGCTGATGAGTCTTTTGACAGATTTGATGAGGGCCATAAGTATTGCTCCATGCAATCATCATCCGCTGAAGAAGCGACTTTACAACAGACTGTTTCCACGTCCCTGGGATCGCCCGCTGTCACTTACGACATCTATCAGACAGAACATCACATTGTATTAGGGCCCCGCGTCCTCAAGGTGTACAGTATCATGTAAGTACATCGCGGAATATTGCCCGTCTCATTGGGATAAAACTGATCTGACAGTGCACCCGGCACATCACATCCTTCTGCTATACACGCCAGTCGTCACATCCATCACATGAAGTCTGTGTCAGCCGCGTTTATCCTTTTGGCTTGCGTTTTGGTGGAGGTCGCCACGCCATGCCAGCGGTTCAGGTCGAGAAGCGGCTCGTGGCTATGCCAGTGGATGGTGCGTATACTCTTTTCGAGCACATATCGGGGCCGAACGCCAGATCAGTCATAACATAACGCTGGTCATGCCAGGATGCGCAGTGACTCGCGTACCATTGAGCGTTACCAGTCCACTGTCCCGCGCATGGCATTCTGACTGACCTTACTTCGCAGCCCGTGGAACGAGGCGATGAGAGCTCGCATCGAGAAACGTTGCAATGCGAGGGAGGACTCCGCGCTCGATAAACGTTGTAATATCGCCGCCGTATATCTCATCGAGACCGGTGAAGGTGATTCGACTTGATTCTTGCACTGTTGGCATGACTGTCGTACTGACTGGCCTGCGTATCCAGATGCTGAGAAACGTGCGACCCTTGACCTCGAGGAGCGTGGTGAGCAACATCAAGTCACGATCGACCAGACAGTATCAGTACTGATTCGTGCTAGATTGAATGATTGTGCCTCTACGGGACGCCTTGAGTTGCAGAACTTTGTCTTATCAAAGGCCTGACCCGTAGGACCTAGCTTGACTCGAGTCTGATGAACCCCTACAGGTAGCACTCGTCCCGGTGTGGTCGTGCTCGAGAAAATCAAAATCGATGGGTCAGTGATTGACAGAGAATTCTCATTGGATGAGTTTACCTTCCATCACGGTAAGGTCCCGCTGAGTCTGAAGTTGTCTTGTATACAGCAGGACGTCTAGAACAACAATCGGACGTGAGTGACGTTGCGAGGATGGTAGCGCAAAGCATTCGAGAATACACACCGGTAAGTTCCACCTACAGTACTGATGTGAACCTGAAAAGATCAGTGTAAGCATTCTGCACTCACCGACGTTGGGATTTGGTGTGGATCGAGGAGGTCAGGTCCGAGTCAGCTCGTAGGCGCTTACGATCAAATTCGCACGTGGCAAATGTGGCGGTAACTGGGCCATTGCCTCCTCAGCGGCCTCCTGCCTTCTGCCTTCGTCACGCTCTGCACTCTTCAAGGCTTTGGCCGCTTTCGCAACTCATTCGCCTCCCTGGACGAGATGGATGGACCACCCTACTTTGCTTCGAGTTGTCGAATGTGAGGAGGCCGCCAAGATAGTTTGATAACATCCAGGCGGGTGAATCGGAAGGTTCAAGTTGCGGCGGCACCGATTCGGAGCTACGGAGACAGCAGTACGTGGTCACGACGACTACAATGGGTACGTCCTAGAATTGATTGAACGGCAGCGCGTCCTGGTGTCAGATATTCAGCGGTGACGAACCTCAAATAAGTCTTCCTCTCCCCCGAGTTCGGTGCTCTTGCGCATGCATACCGCCACCAGGGCCACATGCATCTGCACCGGCTTTCATCTGATCCCTGTTTCGTGCCACGGGCGAAACTATTTCCCTGTTAGACAGGCCTCGCCTTCCACTCGGCACCGCCGCCTGACTTCCCGTCATGACCTGTATAGAGCCCTCATACCGCCTACAGAGATTCGCAGCTTTCTTGGGCGACCGCGACACGCCCTTTGGACGCGTTCGGGCATCGCTCAACCCGAACGAGCGGTCGTCTGGGGACTTCGCTCTGTCAATTGTATACGCGGCATGGCTGCGTGCGACTCCGATGCTTTCTCTCAGCCCATCTACACTCCGCGAACGCAGGTGGAACTCGCAGAAAGCCTGCGTTTCAGCAGACGTTCGCTTTCTCCGTCGCACGTCCAACCTTGCTAGGGTATATCTACCTCTGCTGCTTATGTTGTGTTGTAATGAGTGCCAAGGGGTTTATATGCTCGCAGAGCGCTATCCGTATCTCTCCTCACCTCGAGGCGTTTATGCCGATCTCACGCTTGAATGGCCCAGATCCATGACGTACGGGCTATCCGGAAATGAAGCTTCCTCGCCACGAACGAAATTTACTTACGACGCATGCGGAGTCAGGCGGAATCGCACTACTACGTGACCCGATTCTCACAAGGTGTATCCTAGGTGCCGCACACGAACACGGCGCGATACATGTCTGATACTGGCCGTTCAACTCTTACTGCAAGCTCCAGGCATGCCATGCAGGGGTGTTCAGTCCAACGTTGCTTTGCACTATTCACAGACGATACGTGTCCTCCGCCTTCAGCTCTACGATCCGCATATACCACCGTCTTCCAATTCAAGGTGATTACAGTCAGCCTCAACTCGCTTCTGCGAGCGCTGGTGAACGGCGGGTGCCAAATATGTCGGCCCAAATTGACGGCGCTTTGTCGTTCTGTGGATCTAAGACACGTTGTACAGGTGTATGGGTGGCTTCGTGGCCAGATCCATCAACACGCGCGTACAACACGATCAGTGCATTTTTCTTCGGGCTAACCAAGGGCTAACATAAAGGTCGCGGCGCAAGACCCTTTTCCCGAACCCTCCGCACATCGTCTCTGCTCTGTACCAGCTCGTCCCCATGGCCGCTGTTGTCCGCAACTCCTGCTAAACGGCGCCTGTGTGGACGGCGGGTGCGCTTACAAGCACGATGTGCAGATATGCAGGCCATGCGGAGTGATCTGCTACAAGACGGCTTTCTACCAGTCTCACTGCGCTAGCCAGAAGCATATCAAGCGCGTCAACGGCCTCCTCGACAACTTCCATTGCTCAGTCTGTCAAACTAACGTTCCACAGTCGATGGCTGGGGCATCCACATTCAAGGCAGGAAACACAACCTCTCGCCCGACAACAAGGTGTAGACCCGGATGTCGAGCCGGAAGAGGCCAGCACGCTCCCTGGCACATTTTTTGCAATGTTGTAGTGGGCATTCCCAGCAACACTGGGGTCGCATATCAATTCGCGCTCGCATGGACGAAAGAGCTTGATCGCGTCGTATGAAGCGGCCTTTGAAGAAGCTGGCAAAAACAAGCACGGTATCGACGTTTCTCACGAGGTAGATGGATTGGACTTCGAGATCATTGATGCCGAGGACCCTCTGGGGTATCTCTTTGACCTTGACGGCTAGGAACACGGTCCCTACTCGAAAGTAGCTCTAGTAGGCGCCAAATTCTCCTCAACATCGCCGAGGTGAGCGAGGCATCATCACTAGTTCATACATGCTCACTGGCATTCCTCCAGCTTTACCGTGTCGTATGATGTCTCTGCCGATTGCTGTCATACGGGAGAGCATCACCGTACCGTCGTGTTTGCCAGCAGCACCGCGGGCGTTTCGAGGATCGCCTCGAGATGGTGTTCGAGGACACGACCCTCCGGCAGCGCTTCGTATCATCCGACCAGTCAAGGCAATAGTCGGCAGCCGTGCGGACTACGAAGCTCTGAAGCCCAAGTCTCCGTACGTGCCGCGCAAGAGGACACAGCGGAGCCCGAGACCGACGTCGTTCCGGGAGTAGCGCCCGGCGGTGAAGGCGTTCCATACGTCGGGCTGCTTCCGCACGCTCGTATTCCGCCGAACATCTCTGGAGCCCTTTCGCGAGGTCAGCCAGGACGCACGACGACTTTCTTCCGTAGTTCGATACTGCCACCTCAGCTGAACAGCGAGACACATGCCGGTACTACAAGACACTACTGTGGGTGAAGAGCACCGGATGGAGTAAGTCACTCACCAGATTCGATGTGAATGCTGAGTATCGCTTGTTAGAAACGACCTGCAGATGTATGACATCACGGATACACGGTTGTCGCGACACAACCAGTACTACTAGTGCGCACGCCCATTCTTCATGCATGCCGTGACTCTGAATCGCGTCGTAGCCTCCCTGTGCCAGGCCTAGCTGAGAAAAGACCAAGCGTACTCGTCGGTACGTCCCGTCTCCGTGTTGCTGTAGCGATCAGATGTTTAGTCTTGTGCAGGTGATATCATCCTTGTTCAGCTACAGGGTTCCGATCAGGGGCGTTGGTTTGAAGGCCACGTTCACGTCGTACGGAGGGACGAAGTCGGTCTCTGCTTCCACATCTCATTCAGGCAGCGGAGCACGACGGACCTGTACACCGTGCGCTTCAAGCTGAACAGGATTCCACTGCGTCGCCAGCACCAAGCACTCGATGCCGCGTTCCATCCAGAGCGTTTGCTCTTTCCTACTACTCAGACTTCGATGCCAGTGACCCGTCCGTCAAGCTCGACTGTTAAGCCGCATATATACAACAAATTGATCGTAGGGAACGAGGCGCAGTTACAAGCAGTGGCGTCCATCGCCAACCAAAAGCCGGGATCTGCACCGTTCGTTATCTTCGGACCGTATGTCACGACCTCTTTATGTGTGATGTGGTGTGTCGCTTACACGTGTCTACCTGCAGACCCGGTACAGGCAAGACGATCACGATGGTGGAGAGCATTCGCCAAGTTCTCCGCCTCAACCCGACAGCATGCGTGCTTGTATGCGCACCCAGCAACAGTGCCGCAGACCTTGTTATCTCGCGTCTCTCCATGCTTGGGAGCACACAGCTCTTCAGATTCTACGCGCCTTTCCGGAACAAGGACCTCGTTCCGGACTCGATCCTGCCTTTCACCTACCGTACTGCGACGGGGCACTTCTCCGTTCCTCCCATGGCGATCCTGAAGCGGTACAGAGTGATCGTCTCCACCTGCGTGTCTGCCTCGTTCGCGCACGGGATCGGTATGACTCGCGGACACTTCACTCACATATTCGTGGACGAGGCTGGGCAGGCGACGGAGCCCGAGGTGATGATCGCGCTGAAGACGATGGCGGACAACGACACGAATGTAGTGCTTTCTGGCGACCCAAAACAACTCGGGCCCATCATTCGCTCCGCGGTCGCGCGAGACCTTGGGTTGGAAAAGAGCTACGTCGAGCGGCTGATGGCACGTCCGGCATACGACGAAAAGGCGGGCTATGGCACATCGTGAGTATCTGCTGATAGGTGTTTGACAGTGCAAGTCATTCATGAGTGTAACATAGGGTTGTGAAGCTCGTGAAGAACTTCCGCTCACACGAAGCTATCCTCAAGTTCCCGAACGAGCGGTTCTACAGGAGCGAGCTGCAACCCTGCGCCGAGAACAGAGTCACGCACGCCTACATCGGCTGCCCGATCCTCGCGAACCGGGACTTCCCTATCCTCGTTCATTCTATCTCGGGCAAGGACGACCGCGAGGCGTCCTCGCCGTCATTCTTCAACATCGATGAGGCTTCCCAGGTCAAGGCCTACGTTCAAGCGCTCAAGGCCGACAGACGGTTCCGTACAAGTGAGTGGCGAGATGATGTCCAACTCAATCGCCGACTGATGGATGGTGTCCAAGGTGATTCCGACATAGGGATCATCGCTCCGTATCACGCGCAGTGCCTCAGGATCGTAGATCCTGGACCCATTGCGGACGAGATCAAAGTGGGCAGTGTTGAAGAATTCCAGGGACAGGTAAGACCGTATGTTGAAGTTCTGCGCAAATGATGCTTATGCCGTCGGTCTGCAGGAACGCAAGGTGATCATCATCTCTACGGTGCGCAGCAGCCGTGAGTTTGTGGAGTACGACTTGAAGCACACCCTCGGCTTCGTTGCGAACCCTCGAAGGTTCAACGGTATGTTGTCATTTCATATACCTAATACACCCTAATGATGTATCCCATGCAGTCGCTGTTACTCGCGCTCAAGCACTACTGATTGTCGTTGGTGACCCTAACGTGCTATCGTTGGATCCGTTGTGGCGCTCCTTCCTCAGCTACGCTCATGGGAGAGGAGGCTGGAAGGGCCCTCCGCCTTCCTGGGATACAGGTGCGGCAGTCGACAGCACAGGCGGGTACGACCAACGGGTGAGAGGAACCGCGCTGGCCGACATGAACGAGTTTACCAGACGTATGGAGTTGATGACTTTGAACGGTGTTGCGTCCGACGCTGATGATGATGATATTGACGCGAATGTCGATCGTCCGTGGCGCGAAGTTGAGTAGTTGGTATATACGTGACGGCTTGGCTACTGCATCTATCTTGTTTTGGGACATGCCGTTGGAGCTGCCCTCATATTTGTTTCATACATTGTTTGTCGAGATACGAACGGGCTTTCGCTTGGATCAATGAACTCGAGATAGTCAACGCGATGACACACAACTCGCCAAACAGCAGGAACTACGCTTTGCATGGCCTACATAGTAGTGTAGGTATCGGGACGTCCACGTCACCCAGTGGGATATGTTGTTGGCACCCGTGCATGTCTGTTTCACCGAAACTGCCGTTGGAGTAAGCTCTGTGAAGTGCCACAACTAGTCAGCATCAGGCAACGACGCGGACAATACTGCAGACCTCGGAATTGTGAACTTGAATGCTCGAGCTTGTCGGAAGAAGAGACAAGCGATGACCTTGTCTGGCGCCACGCCATATGTCTACGCCAGAATCTCCTTCGTCAGTACTCCACTACTCTTGACCGTTGCAAAATGTCTTCCGTCGGGAACAAGACATCGAATGTTAGCTCGTATGGGCCGCTCTGCAGATCAAATTCGGTGAGATGGAGCTCAGAGAAAGAGGATGCCATACTCACGTTCTTGCTCCGAAGGACGGTAGCCAGGTCTCTCAGCTTGATTGTCCCATCTCCGCGTTGCATCGCAGCCGACCACTTTGCGACTGGGTCTGGTTTCGTCGCTTGTAGACGCTTGAGTGTCTCCTCGAGCATCCGTTCGGCCTCGGAGTTCTTTGACTGGGTGGGCGTTCAAACGTCGGCCAACGCGAGGCATCCTGTTGCTTCTCGCCACCCATGGACTCCGCTAAGATGGGAAATGGGGCGACAGGGTCGTCGATGTCCATCAAGTGATAGACAGAGAACTCGGATGCTTGCCCTACGTCAGTTTCCATGGGGGTGAGTGGACCAGCAAGGTTTCCTCCGGTAGCGATCTAAACAAACGGCCGTCAGAGACGATGTAAAGGACAACGAGACAGTGAAGCGGACTTGGTATGGGTAAGGGACGTGCAAGAGGGCAATACGCAGGGTGTTGCAAACATTGTGCGAGGGCTTGGGATGGTGCTAGGACCTCTCCGAGAACACACAGCTCGTGGCCCGGCTTCTTGTTGGGCTCCAGAGGACCCATGACCTGTTACAGGTGAAGTCAGCCGCCATGCCTACTGTCAGTACATTGCGTCTGCTTACTCCGTTCTTGCCGTATACGTGAAACGCAATCTTGCAATCCTCCCCGACGAAGTTTGGGTTCATTTTCTTGGCATACGTCTCGACGAGCGGAAGGATAGCCTGCAGGAGATGATCAGGTGCGAGAAGTACGAAAGGGTAGGATGCCGCCCACATCGATCTGCCGAATAAGAGAACCGTCGCGGATCCCGCCCATAAAGATGGAGCGATAGCCGGTCACTTTCGCGCCCTCAAGCTTAACCTGGTAAGGCCGTTCTTTAAAGACAGCTCCTCGTACGCGGACAGTTCGCGGTGTCAGCTGCTCGTAAGTTGTATCTTGCAAGTCCAATACACCACCAGGTCCGGGTAGGAGATCCGGGCGAGTCTTCTCGTAGAGAGTATGTGCGGCGACGGATATGGTAGTGCAGCTTGAGTGCCGCTGATAGGTTCCAGGTCAAAGCTGTCGGACCGAATAGTAGCGAACATCATGGGTGTTTGGGCTCTGCGCAAAGACCGCCGCACTCCAGCTAAAGAACATGTTAGCCCATTATACCAGGCTAATGGCCAGTTCATTCGCGAGCTTACTATCTAAGACTCGTCTATCAGCATGGTCGTCTCTTGTTCAAGGAAAGAAAGTACCTTTCCCACATGCCAGGCTAGCCCTGCATTGATCCCCCGCTTCAGACATACGGCAGCAAATGGGGCAGGATCGTAGCTCGCCCACCAAGATGATGTCGAACCGGAGTGTCTGAGACAAAGCAGAAAGTACGGCTCAGCTCCCATTTGACCGACGACGACAGTAGTGACTTTGAGGTCGTATCTGTTAACTGCGCAACCGGTCCACAGGGAGAGACTTGCATCCTTCAACTGGTTCGAACTACTTCCATGTCGAATCGGAGTAGATCTTTGCGACGCGCAGATGATACCCGTGTTCGTTCGATAGCTCGCGTACGATGTCCGCGAAAAGGTCGACTTGGGCATTGGTTCCGGAGCCTCCACATGAGCCATGAGGACTGTGATGCCGTTTTGACAGACGCTAGCACGAGAGGCCCTAGGTCACGGACGTATGCCTTCGAGGGCACGTCGTTGTACCAAGTGCGAGTTTCTGAGGCCGGAATCAGTTGATCCAGAATCGCAGACGATTGCATGTGGGCGACGCGTAGCGCAGCATTGTAGAAAGGCCTCTGCGTCGTATCCATAGCCAAGCATGCCCTGCCTTCGCAAGGTTAATCATAAGGTCGAGCAAGGGAGTGACCAAGCTGCTTACGGGGCAATGATACGGACTTCGCGCTCTGGGTCATCATGCATCTCGTCCGAGGGATCAATGGGCGAGCGCTGCGGACAGCTGCTGGCTTAAGAAGGGTCCAGGGATCACGGTTGCACAGGTTCCCAGCGAGGTCCCTGCGCATGTTCCATATAGTAATGGTTACTTACTAAAAGCCGCAATGCCATGCTCCCGAGGTATCCGACCCGGATGCCCCATGCCTTTGCCGCGCAACCGTTGGTTTTCTTCAAAGTCCTTCCTCGTAAGCGGATGTTGTGTTGTGAGGAGTGACACTCTGCTGCCTTGCCGGGCTTGCGGCGCAATACACACGTCACGTGTCGAGCGGGTCACCGACAACGGCTCGAATCGACATAGGCCATTATTCTCGCCGTAACTCAAATTACACCGTTGGTATCGTGTTTGTTGCTCTGGTGCTTTGGTCGGTGCAGCAGAGATGATGAGATCTGTGAAACACATCTGAGTCTACATTGGCACGTTCTTGCCATTTTTACCACTTCCACTGTCATCGTTTCAGCAAAGTATGCATCCGCATCCGCTTCACCGATTCTCCTTGCCAACCATTCTCGGCGAGGTACCTGAAGAACTTCTCGTCCTCGACGGCGAGATTGACTCCCGTCATGTCCGGAACGAAGACATAGGTAATCAGGATACCGAGAACTCCGAAGATTGCTGCGATAATGAACGTCCACCTGGGTTGACAAATGAGTCAGTCTCGACGTCGCACTAAGAATGCAGACCACACCTCTGTCCAAGATTTTCCTGCATTGGTATGAACACTTGAGTCCCTACGACCGCCCGACCTTGCCCATCGCCGCTGAGATACCAAAACAGGTTCCCTACGAAATGTTCACGACGTAGAGCCTCTTCCGAAGTCATCACCTACCTGATTGAGGTTGGATAGGACCTGCATAGCGAGTCAGAACAGAAGGGAATAATGCACACATGGCAACATACTCAGCGCTAGCAAGCAGTGTGATATTGCCGGGACCCTGTAGATCATTGCTATTGCATTCGTTGAGCTTGTAGACATGATGATCTCGACCTACCAGATTGCTCATGAATATCATCAGTCCGTAACTGGAGCCAGCGTCAGCTAATGCAGCAAAGATGATCGCACACAGACATACAGGATGACAGGAGCGGCATGATGCTGGTGATCCGGTCATAGCCACACCCTATATCAGACCTAATCACTGCGCTTCAGCAAATCGCCTCACTCCTTTGTGCAACGTACCAAATATGACATATCCGCTGAAGCCAAGCATCATCTTGTTGACAGCATTAGTACATTGATAGCGACATATCGGAGGCTCACGTGTAGCGGCGTCCGAGAGGATTGACCAGGAATGCGCCGACCACCACGCCTTGATTTCGCGTAAGTCATAAGCCATTTTTTTCACACAGGATGAACAGCGCACCTGGAAGAGCAATGGCACCCAAGACCAGCTGCCATTCTGCCGTCTTCTTGAGGTCTCCGTCCTTGATGATGTTGGCAATGATGGTGGCAGAGAAGACGCCATTCGGATAATCGATCTTCGAAGTAGCCTGAGCCGTAGTCGTCGAGATGCACAATGTACTACGCACGAAAGCATATACAAAACTAATTTGTTGCGCATGAGTGATGGTACTGACAGGAGAGGTACAACGCACTAGGTTCCCGCTGTACCAATGAGAGTTTTCCAGTATCTCTTGAGAGCAAGCCGATATGGAACGCGACCTGTGTATCCACGCTACGATGAGCAGCTTGAATATGAAGCCAAAGACGTAACATCGACGTACGCCTGATAGCGCTTTCCCGGTACCTTGGTCCTCGTCAAAACCGGAGAACGATCGACTCCGAAAAGACCAAAACAGACATACAATTTTGACGTAACCATCCGCATGCGGAAGTAGAACACTGTCAGAGGCAGTATGATGCCTATGCCGAAGCATACTCTCCAGACAGTGTTAGATGGTCTTCCCCGGCGGCAGATAAGACGATCAAGAATATGCAGACGGCCAGGGGACCTCCGAACTGTGGTTCTCAGTGTTCCGTGAACACTTCAAGATTCGTTGATGCACTTACGCAGATGGGAAAGTCGGTGACCATGATGAATACTGATGAAATCATCCTTGAACGAAGTCGACGCTGCATCCAGTTTGGAACGAACCTGGGCCTCTCTGATGCGCGATTGCTTCGTTAGCCCCTTCACTCGCACTGGTAGACGATGCAGGATATTCTCCTCCGGCCCCCTGATGGTATATCGGCACACAGACCTTTACGACCGAGATAGCGACTGGCTCACCAGACCTGTGATACCTCTAGCGAATGTCATGAACCAGAAGAGGCCATGGGCACTTCCATGGGCACCGTGTGCGACAGTGCACAAGGTAGCACCTATGACAATGAACAGAGTCGTCAAGACGAGGCCCGCCTTCCGACCCACTCTGTCGCAAAGGATGCCGATGATGACCTGTCCGATGACCTCGCCTGTGACGCATGTAGTCCGTCAAAGAGACGGAGACAATTACACCAGCAGCTTACCAACTATGAGTGCGTTTGAAACCGCGTCGAGACGACCGACGTGTATTCCGACGGGTACAACCTTCTGAACACAAGCTATTCAAGATTGAAGGCTGTCACTGTTGACAAACGTTGTGATGCTCGCTCACATTTGTCATGGTCATGAGGTTGTTGTGGTCTGTACATGATCGCAACAAGTCCCGCAACTTCACAGACAAGACTAACTCACAGCCATCTGAGATCAATCCAAAAGCTGAAGCAGCAATGGCCATATACGCGCTGAGCGCGACCTTTCTGCTCATGGCGCTTGAAGTTCCTCGTGGGTGCGACACCGGAGATGCCATCTAACGTAGGGTCGACGACGCTGGAATCTGCTGGGTTTGGGTTTATCCATGAGATCCGAGGAGATTCAAGTAGCATGTAGACGTACAAGAGGTGCGTTGTGAGATCATTCTATATGTACATCCGTGTGTGGCCACGATTGGAGTCAAGGTGTGCCCTACGCATTCGGCAACCGGAGAGGCTTGGAGCATCTTCCACGGCGAACTCTCATGACATGACCCTGTGCAGAAGAACAAGGGTGTTCAGCGTGACTTGCGGAATGGGGAAGCGATATCGTAGATGGACATGCGAAGATGGCTAGATTCTGTCAGAAGAGTGTCTGCACCTCGTGTACCTCGAGTTCTCGCCGTTAAATGAACGTCGAAGGCAGACTAAGGGGCGAATACTGTGGGATGGCTACAGCAAACGAGCCATGTGCTTGCCTTGTACTGGAAGGCTTGGTCCCGGATCTACGGCTGGATACTTCAGAAGGCTCATGTCGTGTCAAGTTGGCAGCCTGGGAACAAGCAAGGCCCTTGTATGACTGCACTAGACGCTAACAGATAACATGCTGTGGAGGCGGCGTTCGAGCGGTATGTTCGCAATCGACGACTGAGAGCTTGCCTAGTCAAAGACACGCATGAGATCTTGTATCTTTCCGTGAGTTCGAGTGGGATGATCGGACACCTGTTCCAGTCAGCAAGAGTCACTTCAAGGAAGCGATTGCACACCACTGACATGTATTAATCAACCGAGCTTGTGTGCAACTGCCTTAAACCAGCGACAGACGCACGAGGATGCAACGTGGACGGGGAGCGGAAGTGCAAAGCAAGGCAAGAACCCGAGTTGGATCGTGGTCCTTCTTTGATTTTTGGCGCGGTTGGACGGGCGTCACAGTATACAGCTCTAGGCTACAGATGATGGGTATAGCTTACAACAAATTATCGTCTTGAAACGTCTTTTTTAGAACAACCATGGACCCACTATGATCAAAACGGAGTCGACAATCAGAACACTGGAACAAGTCGTTCGGCGAGTTTGTACTCACTGCGCCCCCTCGCGCCGTCCGGTCTGATCTGCAAACAGCTTTGGTGGATGAGGTTGAGCGCCTTAACAGCGTCCCGCGAGTCAATGACACAGGAGATGTTGATCTCGTTCGCGCCCTGGCTTATCATCTCGATGTTGACCTTTCCGTCCCCCAGCGTCGTGAACATGCGGCCCGCAATGCCGACCATGTTCCGCATCCTTTTGCCCACCAGAGACAGGATGGCCATATCTCTGCTCACGGTTACCTGTAACGCGAATCATTAACGGTCTAGCAACGTCAGCGCAGAAATCAACTAACCGTCCCGCTCTTTTGAAGCTCACGCACGACTCGATCGAGCAGCTTCTTGTCCAGGTTGTCCTCGATGGCCATACTGACGTACACCTCGCTAGTACTGATCAGGTCCACGACGACGCCATATCGATCCAGCGTGCCGAACACGCCTGCCAGGAACCCGTGCGACACGCTCTTGCGGTTCGAGTTCACGTTCAGCACGACGATCCGCTCCTTGATCGTCACCGCCGTCGGCAGCTTCCGCTCATCCCTCGCCGCATGCAGGTCGCCCACCGGGCGGAAGACCGTGCTCGTCCCGGGGATCGGTATCCCCGCCTCCTCCGTGTACGGCGCCGCGTCGATGTCTGGGTCCGGGTGGATGACCGTGCCCCCACCCTGCGGGTTTTCGACGTTCTTGATGCGGATCGGGATGCGCCGCCGGATGACCTGCTCCATTGTGAACGGGTGCACGACCTCGCTCCCGTAGTACGTCAGCTCTGCCGCCTCCTCGGGCGAGATGATCGGGATGAGCCGGGCCGTGGGTACCTTGCGCGGGTCAGCGGTGAAGATCCCGTCGACCTCCTTCCAGATCTGCAGCTCGGACGCGCCGAGCCCCGCTGCGAGCAGTGCTGCGAGGAGGTCTGTGTAGCCGCGGCCGACCTGCCGGAGGAGGGAGCCCGGGACGGGGCCGAAGTAGCCTGTGCCCGATGAGTAGCGTAATGGGGACGTGAACGAGGAAACACCTACCGGTAACGACGGGAACGCGCGGTTCGCATTGCTTGATGCGCTCGCTCACAGCTTCAGCGACTCGGTCGTAGAACTCTTGACCGAGCGTCTCTCCCGTGTACGACTCTTCCTCGGTGAGAGGAACAACGTTTTCAAGGCTGACATACTCAGCGTCGATGCCCTGTACCAGATGTGAGACAGGATCATGTATGCGATGCACGCAGGAAGCACGTACTCGATCCCTAAGGATGGCCGTCATGACTTTGCATGCTAATCGTTCACCAAAACCGATGATGGTGTCTCGCGATCTTGGCGAAATCTCGTCAATTACCTAGATGAAGTTCAGAGAGATGCTTTCCATGCTTCCGGTCATAACAACAGACACCCCCTAGATACTGTACTTACAGACGGAGTTTCGAGGCGACGCTTCGCCCGAGTCAAGCGCGGCTTTGGTCGTGTCTATTGACCGCATCACCTCGAGCAACGAACATGGTTGCGAACTGCACTCCAGTTGCGCACGACTCACGAAGGTGTCTATCGTTATGACATAAACAAACTCACCTGAGTCGCGAACAAAATGAGCGTAATGAGTCACAATCCCGCTCGATCTCCATCTCGAGCTCTCGCAGTAGCTCCGCTTGCGGACTGCCGATCGCGCGGCTGTGATGTGTTCTGAACGGATGAGGTCCACCGTCTCACTGAACGGAGGTGCCTTGGTGCTCATGGAAGACATGTTCAATGCCCCTCCAGGAGTAACGGGATCCATGCGAGGCGACGACGTGCTCCGCCCTCGTGGACTGTCCACTGGTGACTGCGCCTGCGAGGTTCTGGAGAAGAGTGCAGGAGTCATATGTCCTGGTGTCTCTGATGGGCTACTTGTGCGCTGCAAAGCTTCCTTCGCTGCCCGTAGAAGGAGGTTCGTGGTGCCCAACGCTTTGGTAGAGCCTGATCGCGCCGAGCAGACGATCGCGACCTTGTGCTGGTCAATGTACTCTCTGTGTTTCAGTTAGCAAAGGATTGAAACATTCAATACGTTTTCACCACGCACGCAATGATGTCCTCCGCAATCTTTGTCGCAAACTTCCCCACACTCGTCCCGCCAAACTTCTGCACTAGCCACTTCGCTTCTGGATCGATCGTGTTCTGGTGCATGTTCGGCGGTGTCCTAGGGAGACTAGAAGAGGCCATTGACGACGAGCGAGAGGACGATGAAGAACTAGGTGGATTAGACATGATGGGAGGTCGGGTGCTTCAGGTTTGCAGTTTGGACTCGGATTCCATGAGCCCGGGTATTTGAAGCTCCCTGAATATGACTCACCTCAAGTGCGACCAGGCCCAGTCCAAAACACCGGTTCGACGTTGCGAAACCCTCCAAAAGATGCAGGATGTCCATCGTGCGGAAGCAAGTCGTCCGCACTGCGAGGGGCGATGACTTCAAATTTTCCGGGTATGGAAATGCCGGCGGTATTCAATATTGCACTTCAGAAAGCCTTTCATGATGTTGACCACTGACTGGCCTAGGTACAAGAATCGCTAGGTGAAACGCAGTAACTAGCAAGCCTTTGCGTACGGTTTCCGCTCGTCTTGCGTAGTCGTCAAGTGCATGGTTTCTTTTCGCGTAGACGACATCCCTGCGAACTTGAACTTATGCGGCGGGAATTTCCCGATATGGACTACGCATTCCACGTGATCCTTTTTCGTTCGAGCTTCCGTATTCAACTTGAAGCTTGGGCTTGAGCTCCAAGTTGAAGCCCAATCTCTTGTTATATCCTCGTTAGCAACTTGAAGTAAGTATGCAGTGCGCATTGCGAGGTACTTGAACCTTTGAACTTATTGACTGGCAGCCATCCTGTGCGATCAAAGGTTCAGACTCCTGTAAGTAAATGCGGCGGCACCTAGCCGGAACACCTAACGTTCATTAAAGCTTCACTGAGGCTGCCACTGTACCAGTTACTGACCGCCGATAGATCATGTTTCCTGCCATCAAAATGGTGCAAGGTGAGTACTTTTCTGCGAAGATAGCTCAATGCTAGCTCAGAATATCTTCTAGGCACATCGACGCGAAGTCAGGTTTGAGGGGCCGAGGCCCAAGCCATACACACGATGGTCCACTGCCAGTGCGTACACGAGCAGTCAATTGTGTCATTCTGAATTCACCTTCTCCACAAGTGTTCTCAAGCCTGAAAGCCATGTGCTTTGTACCGTCATTCTGAACTTGTGCCACAGCACTAGGTTGTCAACGAAAGTAAGTTGGTGATATGTAGAACGCCGGGACTCTGGCAGAGGTTACTCACTCGCACCCCTTCATCAGATATATATCATATCATTGAGCAATGCCCGAAGTTGCACGATGTCTGCAATGACTTCATATCTCGTGCCGAGCACTCCAGCGGTCATATGAAGACACACTACTTCCGCCGCTATTTTGAGTTGACAGACCCGCACGGCTCTCCGCTGATGCGAGACTCGCACCGCTATATCCCGCGAGAGCTGTAGCTCTGCAAAGTCAAAACAGTGAGTACGTTGCCCAAGGTTATGTGCCACTCGCAACCTCATTCCTTGCTAACTCTGAGTCGGTCTACTAGGACAAACACATTGCGAGTGTTTTAACTTGACATTCTGAAGTCCGATTCAAGAAAGCTGATCTTCATAGAAGACGCCACAATGGTTGTTCGGCCCCTGACCCTGAAACCTTACTGCAGACATCTTCAGTGTGCGATAGGAAGTTCAAGAGCTGTCGAAGCCCGTCTTATATGGCTGCGAAACAGACGTGTCATTGTGCCCGTGGATTGCTCCCTCACTAGCACAGCACAATGGTCCTGACTCTCGTCTCGGGCGATAGCGATGCCGCTGCTTCGGCGGAGAAGTTACAAGCCACGGATGACGCACAGCAGTGCCGGGTGCCTCGAGATGTCGTCCTCACCCAACACAATGACAACAGTCGGTCAAGGAAGGCGAGGCTTAGCGCATACATGGCGATCGCTGCATCGGCCTTCGGTTTGATCTCAGACGGATGTGAGTGGAAACAATACAGTGTATCTGCGGCCTATATCTTGACTCACTGAACATTGCTTCAGATCACAACAACCTGATGACAATGACCAACGTAAGTGGCCTCATTCATTGTTGTCGATGTCACCCGAAATTTCAGACCTTTCCTCCACCAGGTCGTCTTCAAGAAACTGTACCCGACTGAATACACTCCTGACGTATCCACTCGCGTCTCGAATGCGATGTTGGTCGGTCAGTCCCGGGCTCAACATTACCGCGATCTGAGCGCTGACAAGAGTAAACTACAGGAGAAATCATCGGGCAAGTGTTCGTCGGCGTCTTGTGCGACAGGCTTGGCCGTAAAAGCGGGTTCGTCACGACGACGCTATTGATCATCATAGGAGCGATCCTCTGCACTGCCGCACATGGAGCGCATGGTAGCGTGCAGGGATTGTTTTGGTTCATGACTGTTGCTAGAGGTGTCACTGGCGTGGTCAGTTTGGGCAACGCGCTGCCAGTGTTAGTCTGTTTTGACCTTCTGGCGCAATCTGTGTATAGGGCGCCGGAGGAGAATATCCAGCGTCGTCGACAAGCGCGAGCGAGGGAGCCAACGAGACATCCGTTAGCAAACGGGGTCCAGGTGCGTTCGCCTGAAGGTTGAGGTTTATCACGATACCCTTTCTAATGACTTATTCTATGATAGTGTTCATTATGGTGACCGACTTGCCCCTAGTCGTACGTCACGGTGTCACAGCGTCCATCTCACAGCAATGCTCATCGATGAGACTCTAGTTTGGAGGTCCACTAGCTGTCTCCGTCTTCTTGATTGTCTTATCTGCAGCGGGGCAAACTCGTCTCGAGATCGTCTGGCGCATCTGTTTCGGCGTAGGAATTCTACTCCCGCTGACAGTATTCTACTTCCGCATGCGCATGCTGAACTCCATACTGTAAGCTACCTTCGCTGATTCTTGGTATTGACTTTGAGTCTGACATAGCTTTGCAGATATCGCGAAGGCGCAATCCAGCGTAAGCAGTCCTAGACCCATCTATCAAACATAATTGCACAGCAAATCGTGACTATCTAATGTAGGACGCGTCCCGTATTGGCTCTCCTTCAAGAGGTACTGGAAGACATTGATCGGTACGGGCGGTTCGTGGTAAGCTTAGGTTCTGATGGGCTGGTACATGACCCGCCGGGAAATTCGCTCTGACATTTCGGCATCAGGTTCCTGTTCGACTTCGTGAGTATTCATTGAACGTCTGACTGCTCGCGACCTGAATATCTGGCGACATACGAGATCTTCTATCCCAACAGCATATTCTCTGCATCGATCATATCAAGCGTCATCAAGGACGGTGACTTGAAAGCGACCGCCGAATGGCAATTACTGCTTGGGGCCATCGCCATTCCCGGTGCGTATAGCAGAACTGCACCGAAGAACGTTCTAATCCATGAGCCCTGTAGGAGTCTTTGTCGGAGCATTGCTCTGCAATCCCTTAGGCCGACGCAATACAGTCAGTGAAGGGCCTAGTATATTAATCGCGCCATGCTGATGTTTAAACCTTTTGTGACAAGATGATGCTAGGATTTAGTGGTTATGTCGTCTTAGGTGGGTCATGGAACCCTGAGTCAATCTGATGTTGCCAAGACCTCCGCTCTAGGGTTGGTCATTGGATGCGGTTATGACCAGGTCACGAGTATCGTACCGCTATTCATTGTGTTGTAAGCATCTTTTATCGTTCATGGCTACAGTACTGAAGCATGATCTATAGATATGGGTTGATGGTGTCCATGAGCAACCTGGTAAGTAGCAGCATACATACCGTTCGCGGCGGCCGTGGATGATTCCCACCGCTAGGGTCCGGGTAACATGACACTACTTACAAGTACAGAGTGAGTTGACTTCTTCACTGAACTTAAATAACCCACCAACGGCTGAGGCGCCTCATGTAGATCATACCCGACTCCTATAAGGTGCGTTCGCTGTCGGTTGAATGCATCAGCAATGCTTATAGTGTTTATGTACCAATAGGGGTACCTTTTTCGGACTCTCCGCAGCCCTCGGTAAGGTAGGAGCGGCAGTGGTACCGAGGTGTTCACGCCAATCCAGAAAAATCTCGGAAAGAGGTGCGAGTTTCTGTGTGACTTACTGAAATGTCGACCTTCATGGAGTCGCTTCTCGCTGAAAGGTGGACGTTCATCGTCGCTGCGATCTTTGGAGCACTCGGCATCCTAGTCGCGTACTTCTTCGTTCCGGATATGACGGGTGCTGACCTCGCCCAGGAGGATAGGAAGTTTTACAGTATCTCGCCGAGAACGGTTGGGATGGAGATGTTGGGCTCGATGGGGAGACTAGCAGTAAGGAAGGGACCGATTCACGTGGCTCAGATGAATTCATGATGTCGAGGTCATAGCTTGATAGCAACATACACCACTATAGTAGAGAGGCGGTGGCGATTACATGGCTTACATCTCAGACCGCAACCATTTCCTCGCTTTGGGGGCCATGATCATGCATCTGTCATAACCGCCCGTATTCGAATGTCCCACAAAGCCATGTCTTACGCGTACGCTTGGCAACACGAAACCTCACAGAGACTAAATGATGGTTCCACCTTCCGCGACAGACCGTGAATCAGACTCAGATATCCAGACCATCGAGATGTGCGGTCAGGAGCTTTAAAATACTAAACCAAAGCGCCTTCGGCCTTTCGCCGTGCAACTCAAGACTGCGTTCTTCGCCATTCGCCCTGCTCGCTTCATTTAATTTATCCATATCCTTGTTACGACACGTCCCAACCCGGCATCATGGTTCCTCTGTCACTCAATCTCGCCGTCCTCTTCATCTTCATGAGTAATACCCTTCTCGGCCACCGTATATATCAAAGCGCTGGAATCGACAGCCCAAGGCAGGTTACCATTTGAGCGCTACAAATGTTGCCTTATCCTGATTATACATCTTAGCAATTCGTTCGGATCAGCAGACATTCAATGTAACCGAGATGTACAGTGGGACTTGCGTACACCAGTCAGTTGCAGTGTAAGAGACTACCTTTCCCAGTATGTGGCCGGTCACTGACGATAGGTCTAGGATGGCTACGTATGCTGGACAACCGCGAACATGACAATGGAGTGCACGGAGCAGTCCGACTCGGAATGCAAAGTCGGCGTCGTCTGCATGCGTGATCATTAGGCGTGACCGTGAGACTTGTGATAGCATCAATGAGACCGGTCGTTGTAGTTTTGCGAGTCTGCGACATATATCCTCTACATAGCGGCCGGTCAAGCGGGAAGCTCCTGCAAAAACCAAGTACTGCAACAAGGGTGGATCCGAGTTTAGTAACTCGCAAGTTGGGGAATGCGGCGGAAGGTGGCAAGCGTTGCTTGTACTTGTTAGGATTGGAAGGTACTGGACAATAGAGACAAATAACATTGTGGCGTAGCCCCACTACGCCTGTACCTCCCGCGTATGGGTCCGGGGGTACTACATGAGCATCTCAGTAAATTAAAGGCGCGGTGCCACTGCACTCGAGACATTTGCTGCTAGTCGCACGCCGCTCATGGTAGGTACAGCAAACTTACTACCCGGTGGATTGAAGCGGTACGAACGCGCCGAAGTGTTTTGATGGTATCAATCATATGTACTTACGAGATGATCAATCCACATTTTTTTCGTCGTAACGCTTGCAATCCTGCGCAAAAACTGGGCCTTGCCGGGAATTGAACCCGGGACCTCCTCCATCCAAGCTTTTCAGGTTCAATTTGCGAAACCGGAAACATTGCCCTAAGAAGGAATCATACGACTAGACCACAAGGCCATATGTTTCGGTCCAATGCGGGTGCTCATAAGCGGTTGAGCGAGAACAAGTACAATGAACATGATTGTCAGTCGGGTTCGTGACATATAGAGTGCATCACATAGTGAGCACAGAGCACGAACACATGCACTGCCAGCGGGCATAACGCATCACATGCACATCGAGCCGAAGTTCATTCCATGGACGCTCATTCCTGGAGTCGAAGAATTATTCAAGCCACACTCATACATCATCCACGTCTGCATCCTCCTTGTTCTCCATCCGTACCTTCCGCTTCTGACCAGGCATCTCCTTCCCGGCGCCGTACCCAACGCCAGCTTTCTTCCGGAGCTCGTCAATGTCCGCCGCGCCATCTTCCGCATACTCCAGCACCAAATGGCGCCCAAGCAAATGCGTATGGCGGAGCGCAGCGTACGCGCGCGCGGCTTCGTGCGGCGACACAAACTCGAGGAACGCGAACCCCCGCGTGCGCCTGTCGAACTTGCGCGGCAGGCGCACGGACTTGAGCTGTGCGTGCGCGCCGAAGAGCTGTTGGATGTCCTTTTTCGTCGCCTCGAACGGCACGTTCTTCACGATCATCTTTGCGCCCTTCGGCTTGCCCTTCGCCTCCGCGCCCTCCGCGTCTTCGTCCGTGCCCCGCCCCGCCCACTTGACGCTCAGCACGTGCCCGTCGAGCACGAAGCCCTCCAGGCTCTTCAGACCACGATTCGCTTCGTCCTTCGTCTTGAACCCGACGAAGCCGTAGCCCATGCTCAGCCGCACACCCGGGCGCGCAGGATCCACCTTCGCCTGGACGCGCGCAAAGGCGAACCCGGGCAGGTGACGCAGCGCGATGACAAGTCCATCTGACGTCGTGCTGAATGCGAGATTCTTGACGAACAGAGTCGTCCCGGCCGAGAGCGATGGCTCTGTGGCTGTCGCATCTGCGATCGCGTCGATACTGACCGGAGCAGCAACCGGCTTGACCCCAGCGGCGACAATGGGTTCGGAGGTGCTCTCCTCGGCGAACATCCCGAGGGGCGCATTCTCCAGATACATAATCGAGTTTCCGAGCCTGCGATAGGCGAGCGCGCGGAAAGCCGTCTTCGCGTCTGCGGCGTGGTCATACTCGACTACCGCAAGCGTCCCCGCAGGAGGCACCAGTACACGTCTTAGCTCTCCATGAGAACCGAACATCGTGCGCAGCGTCTCCGCGGAAGTACCGTACGGAATGTTCTTGATAAGAATAATTGTATCGGAGCGTTGCGGCCGACTCGAGGCGAGGGCCTCGAGAATGACCCCGTGCTGCTCGAGGAAGGACTTCGTCTCGTTGATGATGTGCGTCTCCGCAAGAGCCAACTTGACAGCCGCGTTCTCTGAGTCAGGATTGAGTATGTCAGACTTCGTATGTTCATCCGATCGGCGATGGACGATGCGACTGCGTCCGCCTTACACACACCATCAGCTGGCGAGGGTACAAGATATATTGTCTAGTACGTACATTCATGTACAACATCGCCCAATTAAATTCTCGCCCAGCACCTGCCTTCCGCGTAGCCTCGCGATCCTCTTTCACCGACTTCTTCCTCCCACCCTCGTCAACCTCCATCTTGCCCTTACGATCCACCGCAGGGAGAATGTGTAGCAAGCGGCCTTGGAAAGACGTCTTATCCAAGACCTCATACGCTGCAAGAGCCTTCGCCGGCTCTGCGAACGTGACATAAGCGAGACCCTTCGACTGCTTCGTCGTCGGATCCAGTGGTATGTGGATCTGAGAAGCAGGGTTAGCAAAAGTCGAATAACGCAAGCCGAAGAAAGGAAATATCAGAACAATAACTATCAATTTCCCAGTTAAATCAACATGCTCGCAAGCGAGTCTGTTGTCCCTAACTATTTTGTCATCCGTAGACACCCGCCTCCAGAGCGGGAGAACAAATGAAAGTGATGCTCACCTGAGATATAGTCCCGTGTGATTCGAAGAGCTCTCGCAACTCAGCTTCTGTGCATGAAAAGGGAAGGTTGCGTAGGAACAAGCGGGATGTCTGCAAGATCGTAGTCTTGACGGGGTCCGGCGGCAGCTCCTCTTCCTGGGACTAGAGCACATTAGACTGGGGTCCCAGTCAAAGTAGCGAAGTATACACACCTCTTCGCTATCGTTGCCATCCCCGGGCCCTTCCTCCTCATCTGACTGCTCGAACACCCTCTCCTCCGAGGCATCCGGCTCTTCGAGGACGGCTTTCGTCCGCTGCTTGAACCAGTCCATGTCGGACACAGCTCCAGTAGCGTTCCCAGGAGCGCCTGGCGGATCGTCCGTAGCATTAGTAGACAGTTGTACAGTACCCTCCGACTTCTTCTCTTTCCTTCTCTTTTTTCCGTCTACAACACCGTCCGTGTCTTTACCACTGACGGCTTGGATCCCCCGCGAGCTGCTAGGCTGCGGGAGCGCATCGTTGTCGTTCCATGAAGGACCCTTCTTCGTGCGCGGCTGCATGACCTGCAAGTACTCATCGAGATGGGACTCCTTGCCAGCCTTGGCCTGGCTTCCTTCACACCGCCCTTGGTCGCTGACTTACTCGGCTTCTTCTGAGCAGCCTCAGCAGATACCTCCGCTGGTGAGGGGCCAAGACGGGGCCGCTTGTTCGGGCGGGGAGGCGGTGCATCTCTCGCACCCTTCACACTAACATCAGTCTACCAAACGAGTCGAGAGATGAACACAGGAACGTACATCGACAGCGTCGACGCTGATGCGCGACGAATCCAAGAACGTCCGGTTGAACCACTTTTTCGCACGTTCTGCCTCAGCAGGGGTCTTGTATCCGACAAATCCAAACCGGCGAGACGTCCCATCCGCGCTGAGGACGAGCTTCACATCAGTAGAGTACCACCAGGCCCGTCCGTTGCCTCGAAATGTTTGCGAAGCCTATCCTGTGTGAGATATGATGGTAGATTCTTGACAATGAGGCGAGACATTGTGCCTCTGAGATGAAGGGAAGGAAAACAAGTGCAACGAGAAAATGTGCCGCTCAAATACCCGTCGGCATTCCCCGAGCGCCCATGCGTCGAGCGCTAACGCGACCTGGCCTCGACTTGGCCTCCTGCGTGCACCTTGCCTCTTGACTCTGAGCATCTAAACCAACAGACCTACCGAAAGCAATAATCATGTCAGTCGCGGAGGGAAAGAAACCTCAAGCGCAACAGAAGAATCCACGCGGGATTCCTCAAGCGCCTTTCATCGTGAGTTGGACCGAATCTGTCTTGCGCGAGCGATGCTCAAACAGGGAGACCTTCAGGCCGATGTGGAGGAATATCTAGGAGCCAACAGGGAGGTCGAAACCGCACTGAAGGAGATCCAGGCTGCTCTTGCGTGCGTGCTCTGCTCTCTCGCGCCGATCGTGGATCTGAAGTCGCATTGACAGGAAATACCGCTATATGGACCATAACCTCGCGCAACGGCGGAAAGGCCTTGAGGACAAGATCCCTGACATCAAGAAGACGCTGTCCATGGTCGAGTTCCTGCAGCAGAGGCGAGTGAGTGAGTCGCCCGTCGGCGCAACTGCATTTCATTTGTTAACGCGGGCTCGGGTCTGCAGGAAGGCAAGAGCAAGGCCTCGGAGTCCGACGAAGACGATCTAGACGATGATCTCGACAATGACGCCGCCGAGGACCAAAAGAAGTCCCTTAGGACGACATTCGAGCTGAATGATACGCTCTACGCCGAGGCCGAGATTGAAGACACCGACACGGTGTACCTCTGGCTTGGGGTATGTCCCCGCCTTCTCTTCTCTTCGAGGGCGACTGAATTATGTTGCCCTTTGTTAGGCAAATGTAATGCTATCGTACAAGCTACCCGCGGCCATCGCGCTGCTCCGCTCGAAACTCGAGGCCGCGGAAGGGTCCTTGAAGACTGTCGTCGAAGACCTCGAGTTCCTTCGTGAGCAGATAACCATCATGGAGGTGAACACGGCGCGGGTGTACAACTGGGACGTCAAGCGGAGAAGGGAGCAGAGGGAGAAGGAGGCGGTGGAAGGGAAGAAAGAATGAGAAGTTAAGTGTACGTTATGCGATGCTCCAGGTACCCGAGGTGTTACAAGTGTTGTGCGTACCTCTGTCTCACCATTCCATAAACCTGTACCGGTGAGCCTCCTCGACACGTTTTATGCAGTCTGTCTTGGGCTCAGACAGTACTCTGGTTCGTCTGTCCGCTCATGCTCCCCTACTGGTCACGCTTACTCGGTGCACCCCGCCTTGCCCCACCAGGACTGTCAATGCAGATTAAGATCTGCCTTGCATCATGGGCGACACCTCGGCGCCTCGCACCCCGCGGGCAGCCAAGCGATGTCACTGCACCTTCCCGGACGCCGCAGCCTCGACACTGATCCACACAGGTGCTCATCAGCGGGCGCGCTGCTTGACATCTCAGGGCGAGCGCGCGCTACGGAGTACGCACCTTCGTCCGAGGACTCTGGCGCGCACCTGAGCTTATCACCACCGCCGCGTTCGCCCGCTCCCCGAGCACGTCTTCGTTCGTATCTCGAAGTTTGAGCGGGACACTGACGTACCTCCCCATCGGCTTTGGGGTCCGTGAGGAATCTTCGGATGTCTCCCGTAAGCCTTTAGGGTTTACACACGTTGTAATTGACTCAGAAAGGATTGGGGGATGGTGGCCCCCACGAAGACCTGTTGCACTGGCCGAGGCCATTCGACGACCAGACCGGCGCCGATACCAGCCGACCCTTCTGTATAGGCCGCACGTCTCGTTAGAGCTCTTGAATCCTCTGTCGTCCTTTGCTCGGTCGTCGTCCCCAGCGTGCAGTAGGGCCCCGTGTGTCTGAACAAGACCAAGTGGACATCGCGTTGCTGCTCCGGAAGAATCGGAGCCGGCCCCGCGCAGTCTCCAGGCACTGCAAATGCTGCCGCGGCGATGGGCCGCCATCTCGATCCAAAACGCGGCCGCGAAGATCGATCAACGGCGGGATGAAGACTGCGTCGCTTCTCCTCCACCCCTCCGCGCTCTGCTTCTCACAAATCTGCTCGCACTGGCACCTGCGGTGCCCACGTGCCTTTGCAGCGTCGGTGCATCGTATATCCACCAGCGCGTGGTGCTCCTGTCGTCCCACTGAGGACGACGATGCGGCAGGTGTGAGCGCGATGGCGTCACCGCGTGAGCCGGAAGACTATCAGAACCGATTTCAGAAATTCATGATTGGCCAGCAAGAAGGTTAGCTCCCGTCGTTGGGAACGCATGTCGAGAGTTCACTCACAGTGAAGGACCTCATGGCCGACCATGAATATGTGCTGCGCTCAACCCGCTTTCTGACCTGCCCTTTGCGCAGAAACTCATCGCCGACGATACAGCGCATCAAGGATCGGTGAGCAGGGCTGTCTGATCGCGCGTCCGCCCACACCACCCTGTTTGAGAATCATCCGGGGCTGGGGTGGCCAATCCGGCTAGGACAAATTGACGGGTCATTTGGGTCATGCGTGGGACGCCGAAGAGCGGGTTTCCCGTTTTGTGGTTGGCTCACCTGCGATCATGACTTCTCGGGCGCCCCCAAGGCGCCCCTCCTCTCTCCTCGGAGTCTCGTCCAGGGCGTGTCTCGTGTCCGACACACCGTGGCCGTCGGCGCTATATATGAGCACGCCGCCCCTGTAGCAATCCCCACTTCGTCTCTCCTGTCTGTATCTTGCTACGCCTGTCAAGTCTTCGCCGACGCCCATGTCGTCCATCCTCCTGGAAGGACTGACCAGCCTGCCCGTCGCGGCGTGGGCTGGTATCGCCGTCGCCGCTGTTCTCCTCGTGCACTTTGTGCCGTTCATTGTCGACCCTACCGGATCCGCTCGTATCCTGGGCCTTTCCTCGCGAAGATCTCGGACGCGTGGATAGGATGGGTAGCGGCGCAGGGGCACCGCTCAGAGGTCGTTCATGACCTGCACCAGAACAGGTGAGTAGTGCTTGTAGTGCTTTCGTGACGGGCAGTTGTGTGTCCCTGACACATTCCATTTTTGGTGGCTTTGTCAGCGCTCGACGATCCTATGCCCTGTTCTTCGACAGGAGGTCGCGCTGTGATCATTTGATGAGTACAGAATGGTGATGACGCACCGAGAGCCCTGTGTACCGTATGGCGATCATCACAGAGTAACTAACTCTCGACAGGGACGTTCGTCGGATCTCGCCCAACCACGTCTCCATCAGCGATCCCGACGCGCTGCAGGTCGTCTACGGGCACGGGAACGGCACGCTCAAGTCACCTTCTACGATGCCTTCGTATCGATCCAACGCGGGCTCTTCAACACCCGCTCGCGCCCCGAGCACGCGCGGAAGCGCAAGATCGTCTCGCACATCTTCTCGCAGAAGAATGTGCTCGAGTTGAGCCCTACACGCGGATGCACATCTCAAGCTGATCAGGCAGTGGGACCGCCTCTACGACCTCGCTGTGAAGGCGGCGCGGGCGAGGAAGGCGAGGGCTGGCAGGGCCGTGACGGCCGTCTCTGGCTCGACAGTCTTCCGTGGTACAACTACCTCGCGTTCGACATCATCGGTACGTGGACGTTTCATGCGCCGTGCTTCTACCCGAGTGAATCCAGGTGACCTGCCTTTGGTGCACCCTTCGGTATGCTCGACGCGTGTGCCGACGCGGCGCCGGTCGCCACCTCGCAAGAGAAGGCGATGGCGTCCTACGGAGACAACAACTCGCCCGAGATCACGTACTTCCCCGCCGTACAGATCCTGAACGACCGTGGCGAGTACTCCGCGTCCCTCGGCGTCCTCCCCCCGCACTGGCGCCCGTTCGTGAAGCTCATCCCGTGGTACCGCAAGGGCAACGAGGCCGTGCAGCGTCTGGCTGGCATCGCTATCGCGCAGGTGGCCAAACGACTGACGACGCCGACGGACCGGTCAGATCTGCTTGGCAAGCTTCAGGAGGGCAAGGACGACGAGGGCAACCCTATGAGCCGGGAGGAGCTCACCGCCGAGGCGCTCACTCAGCTCATCGCCGGCTCCGACACCACATCCAAGTAAGCTACTTCATCGGTACCATGGATTCGCCGAGGCTGACGCACCTTCGCTCAGCTCGTCCTGTGCAATCACCTATCACCTCGCCGCGAACCCCCTTGTGCAACAGAAGCTCCAGCACGAGCTTGATGAGGCGCTCGGCAGCGATGACGATCCCGTCTCGACGTTCGAGCAGGTCAAGCGCCTGCCGTATCTCGAGGCGGTCATCAACGAGGCCCTCCGTATCCACTCTACCTCTGGTATTGGTCTCCCGCGCGTTGTCCCTGAGGGTGGCATGACTGTCTTGGGCCAGTACTTCCCGGAGGGCACCGTCCTGTCTGTCCCGACGTATACGATCCACCGCAACACGGAGGTATGGGGCAAGGATGTCGATGCGTTCCGCCCCGAGCGTTGGTTCGAGCAGGACGAGAAGGCAATCCAGAAGACGTTCAATCCGTTCTCTTTCGGACCTAGGTGGGTTTCCGTATGCTTTATTTCGAAGAATTTGGCACTGATGCGGGAATGGCATCGTGTGCAGAAGCTGCGTCGGGCGTAACTTGGCCAGCATGGAGCTGCTCGTTATCATCTCGTCCATCTTGCGCCGGTACCACTTCGTCCTGGAGGACCCGGAAATGAAGGTGCGTTTGGCGTGTAGAGCAGCTGACTAGCAGTACACTGATGCACGCTGCCTTCCCAGCTCGACACCAAGGAGGGATTCCTGCGAAAGCCCGTTCAGTGCAGGGTCGGTATCAGGCGCAGGAGTGCGTGATGGGAGATTCAAGATGGTGGTTGCGCATACGTACTGTTTTCCCCTCCTCTTGTCCGACACGGTACATTTGTAAGATATTACGTGTGGTATAGCACTGCAGTAATGTGAGCGCATATCTGAGTATCCAATGATCTTTGATTCTTTGATGTGCTTGACTGCGTCGTGAACGCGTGAACTATCGAACGGCCGGGGACAGTCAGGGCGTCGGGGGTCGTCGTGGCTCGAAGTCAAGAATAAATGCCCATTTACTGGGCGGCCAGGTAGCATATATCTCGTGCACACGCATTGGCAGGTCTCAAGGTATGGCGGCGTGACTCGCGTTATAATGAGAGCGAATGAAGTTGGCCTGCCAATCGAAGTCGATCGTACATACATCGTCGCCCGATATGGCACTGGTATCACTTAGACAGAGAGTATCAGGGTCCTGGAGCTACAGGCCGCAATCGAGGTATCTGCAAGCTCATTTCCTCTGTAGATGACACACGGCGTCACAGCGGGGATGATAGAGGTCGGTACGACAGTTTCGGCGGGTACAAAGCATAAGTACACACTGATGCTAGCTATAGACATCGGGCAGGTGAGCATTTCTTGCAAACAGCCTACTTGCGCGCACAAACGACGGAGATATTGTTCTGTGGTGATCCGAATTGATCTATGTATGCTCTGCGCGGAAGCGCGTAGCTCACTTGAAGTTGGCGCAAAGCCAGTCGAAAACGATGATGCACGACTCATAGCAAATGCTATTGACGCACCACAGCATACCAAGGGCTACAGCAGACCTACTGCTTCCCCCCATCCGAACCGCTCCCTTTCCCCTCCACCTGCTTCGCCGTTGCCTTCTCCGCAGCGAGCTTCTCCCTGAAGTCACTCGGCCTCTTGACCCGCGCGAAGATGCCGACCTCGGGATCGCGGATGAAGTTCACGATGATCATGGGCCAGGAGGGATGGGACGGGATCGTGTCGTAGAACTCGTGCGCGAGCTTGCGCAGCGCTGGCAGCCGCGTCCAAGGCACAGAGGGGAAGTCGTGGTGCTCGTTGTGATAGCCGACCTACGGCGGATTAGCTGCCTGAAGCGATGCAACGTAGGCAGACTCACGTTGTATGCAAACCAATTGAGCGGGCCGTAGTATGAGTAAGTCTCCTGCTCGAGCCCATCCCATACGTAGTGCTCCGCGATGAAGTGGCCTGCCAGGGGATGCAGGCTGCCTGCGAAGAAGCTGGAGGCGAGTAGGTAGATCAAAGGGCGGACGCCGCAGGTCTTGACAAGGATGTAGTCAAAGGTAAGCTGAGCGAGCACGTTCCACAGATGCCACTGCGTTAACTGTTGCGTCCGTACGAGACCCGGTCGCAGAGCATAGAAGAAGATTTGGAATGTCCTAGACAATTAGTCAGACCTAGAAACGTAGTACGATTGTTGTGTTCATGCTCACGCGAAGAACACCTTCCCCAGGACGTTGTTGAGACAGATTAATTCGAAGTGGGTTGGGAGGTCCGTGTCTATCCCGTCTTCTCCGAGGTATTTGTGGTGCTCTAGATGGTATCTCTACAAACACGTCATCGACAAGCTCATTAGCACGACGCAGCATAACATACCTTGAATGCAGCTGAGTATGGAACGCCGATGGGCAGGTTCGCAAGCACTGCTAACGCCTTGTTTGCCTTGATACCCTTAAATGCCAGGTTGTGCGTGATCTCGTGTATGGCCAAGAACAAGTTATGGTTGGCCGTTGCACCGATGACGTAGACACAGAGACAAAACAGAGGGGACAACAGTTTCGTGTTCCGCAGCAAGTACGCCGTGATGAGCTGGAGAGAGACCACGCCGACTACCACGTACTTGGTAATGGGTTCGTATCCCATGAGCTTTGTGACCTTGTGCCTGTGTCAATTTCACGATAATGCAGTAATTCCCTGAGAACGTACTTCGGGATGAGCTTTCATTATGGCCATGCGTCGGCTGCGATGAGGCTCCTCGGTCATGATCCACAGGAAGTCGTTGGGATCCTGAGGGGGTGCGACATGCGACACCATTGTCTTTCTCTGTGGGAGACGCCACTGTCGTCCTGCGGGGAGACCTGCCCTCGGAGAGCGACTCGGCGCCACCGAAGTAGCTAAAGTCTAAATGAAGTAAGTTCCCGAGCCTATCAGTCCTGCGCTCGAAGTTCGTACCTACTCCCGCAGCCGCTGCAGCATCATCCTTTGCCAACATAGCTCCGCTACCCTCAGCAAGAGCTCTTCCTCAGGTGTCGCGAACAAGTCGTGAGTGGGATTGCGAAGACCGTGTGCTCGCAGGCGCGCACCTCGCTAACGGGCGCCGCCGCTGATGATGTTTGGCGCTGTTATGCAAAGCCGTCTGATCCTAACACAGCCAAACATAATCCAGACACTGTCTCCGCTTGGTCTCGCCCGTCTGGTCTTCGTCTGGTCACCACTCGACTGGCATAAGACACCAGAGGTTACACACTTGGCGTTGGAAGGACATTGGAGACGAGTACATAATTATTGAATTATCTGATCTGCTTCTTCGGACGGAGAAGGCCAGCGTCACTAGCTAAGTATGAACGCCGGGCTTGACTCCATCAAGTGACTCTATCGCGCAGCAGCAGGTACAACAAGGATAATAGACATCCCGGCAGCTAGAAACTCTGTTCTACTATGAAAGAAAATCTGGAGCAATTGATATCTTAGTGTAGATTGTACCGTGACGAAAACATATGTGACTCCTCCGAGCGTCACGGTGGTAGCTACATACTCTGTTTGTCCATGTTGTCCAAGAGCTTTCGATCCTAACATATGCAAACAACGATCATGGGGATCATCCCGAAAGTGTCTGCGCCATATCGACTTCGACTCTACCAAGTAGGATATTGGTAGAAGCTCTGACCACGGTAGCGTGCGTGATCAAGTCGCTACCGCCTTGCTCTCTGTGCGCTCTACATCATGGACCCGAATGATCCAGGGGGTCTACGCGCGCGTCCTTCGACTAGCGCCCGAAAAACTGGTGGTAGGTCTCACCAGGCGGCACCAGTCGTCAATGCACCAGCGCCAGTGCCGAGCACTACTGCAAGGAAGGAAGGTCGTCCTGGTGTGGCACCCCCGCCTGTACGTATGGCTCCACCAGTAAGGCGTCCGCCTGGGATGGCTACCAAGATAGTGGCACAACCACCCGGACAGCTAGGGCGTCCTCGTGCAGACAGGGCACGACAACCACCAGCTGTAAAGACCACAGCGCGGAAGCAGAGTGCGCCCGCACCGCCGAATCGCGGACAGCCCAATTTATCAGCCGTCGCGCCGGCGCAGGCTCCTGGGCACAGGACGACAAAGACAATTTTGTTGCCCCCTTGGCTAGACGATACCAATGTGTCCCTGGGCAACCGGCGTCGCCGTGATGCAGACGACATTGGTGGGCGGATGGGGCCTCGGATGGGCATCTCCAATGCCCTAATCGGAGGACATCGCCGCGTACAGGCGGGCCCAGCGATGAACCATCCATTCAGGCGTCAAGGTCAACAAGTTCCAGGAAACAACGGCTACTTTATCGGGGAGAATCTGACCGTCCGAGTTACTGGAAGCGACGAAGCGCAAAACGACCGTGACGATGGTGGTGATTATGGAAGGTATGCTAAAGCATGCTCGACCTCAAGTTAGCTTATGAGCAGAATTCCGTTGTAGGTACCGGCCCCAGCAAGCGACGAAGGGTGCACGCAAGCAAGTGAGCAATCCAATCGTCTCGGGCAAGGCCGCGCGTAAGACTGCCGGTGGGGAGGTACCTTCGCATGCCAAGGCCGCTCGAAAGTCCCAGATACTAGTAGAACCCGACGACGTGATCGACATATCCGACTCGGACGACGACGGCATTGACCAACTAGCCAGTGCGCTCGATGCACTAACGCTCGCACCGTCGCGCCTCCAGGAATTCAGGCAGCTCCCGTTCCTTCGGCGTAATCTATGTCAAGGATACAAGCATCACTGTAAGAAAGCAGGTATCAATACTGCTGAAAAGATTCCGCCGACAGGACCGGTCAGTGTCATCTACAGGTACGACTGGGACGATGGCGCAGCATCAGGGAACGAATCAGACCATATCTACGAAGAGTGGCAGGGAAGCATGGTGACATGGTCCTGTCCGCTCTGCCGCTTGCATGGCCACTTCGATACCCGCGAGATGCTCGCATACCATCTTCGACGCGATCACAACGAAGTCAAAGTCTGTGGGACCAGATCAAGAAACGTGAGGTCAGTACGTCCTGCAGCTGTTTTCATCCCGACCGAAACATTCTCATGTATGACTAAGGGCACAACCTGGCAAGTTGTGCTCACAATTCCCGACGCAGAGGATGATTCGAGAAGCTCGGTCGATGAGGGTCACAGCACTGACTCGGATGATGCGAGTGATGTCCCGCAAGCCGTCGCAACTCCGGAAAGGTACGCGTGTTGCCACTACAGTGAACATGCCAAGTTGCTTATGGCGCGACAGTCTGTCTCCGTCTCCCGTCCCAATGTCCCCCATAGTCGCACCTCAGCCACAGGTCCAGGAAGCGGACGAACAACTCGCGCCACAACTTCCCATACCTCCTGAGGTCGTTGACGAAGTTCCTCCAGCGCGGCCGCTCTCGCCCATGCTCATCCCAAAAAAAGCGTTTCGCGCTCCATCCCCAACGCCGTCCACCAGCGCACAAGCAACCACGCGGACGCGTTCAACGACCGGCCTTCCACGGAGACACCACACGGTATCTACGAGGGGCTCCCTGCCTGCCCGCTACCCCTCGCCTCCGCCTCGCTCCGAACCTCTCGGCCCCGCAGCGCAGTACCCGTACATACCGGAAGGCGACTACTCGTGCCGCCCTGGCGGCCCGAAGGTATATGATCTGCTGAACACGATGCCGCTCGAGCAGTATGGTGTCCTCTCGTGGATGATTGTGGATAGGGAGGAGGAGCTGTTCGAGCTCGACGATGTCCGGGACGAGGACAAGGTGATGATGGCGCTGTGGAACCGCTGGATCATGTTGAACCGGTGAGTCGTACATTCGGCCATAGACGTCGGACTGTCCGTCTGAGTGGGCTGGTCAGGCCCGACTTCATCTTCAAGGGCTATTCAAGGGCGTCCTTGCGTTCGTAGACGAGCACTGGCGGATGATCCACCGTGCGGCGGGTTGGGGGGCTTTACGGGCGTTTCTCCTCGTACGTATGTTCACCGTCGTGCGTTCCAGTTAAGCTGATCATATATACCACGAGTGAAGATGCTCGTGGCGAACAAATTCTTGACTGCTGCCGAGGTCGTCAAGGTCTTGAAACATTATGAAGCCTACACGGGGATGGATCATTGGTACAAGAACACTCCATCGGAGGAGCCGGATTGACCAGATACTGTGGTCATCCGCTCATCAGCAGTCTCACATCTAGCGTGTCAATCTCTACAATTGCATTGAGCCGGTACATCTCTAAGAGTCCGTGGTCAGTAGTCTTTACACTTCGGCTTTCCCTGGATCAAGAACATCATTCTCCCATCGCTGGACGCGCACCAGGCATCTCATCTTGCTCTGCCTCTTCACGCGATAAATAACGCCGCTGCTGTGCGGCACTAGGGCACTAATCTGCTCATTATCTTCCAGAATGTGGAGACAATAGACCGAGGGCGAGTCGGGTGCCGGTGAGCGGTCTGGGAGTGCTGCGCGAATGCGATACTGTTTGCGAGCACTTTGTTGCACACGGTCCCATCCGTCTTCGCGTTCTTGCACATAAAGTGTCCGCTGGGGTCCACGACGTAGTACGAGATATCCGCCCCGGTTGAGTATATTCTATGCAGGTACGGTGTAAGCAGTACCAGCAGTACCAGCGCACGGGATTGGACTCACGACTGCACCAGAGGTGTCACTACCAGCTCCGGCAACCAGGCCGGGTGTACCAGGTCGTGACGTATGAACGGCTCATCGTAGTCACTGCGACCCGTTCAGTACGGAGTCTGATCAGTTGGGATGCCAAAGAGCTCACTTACAGTCGGCCCATCACTTGCGGGGCATGCTCGGCGTTCGGGCTATCCGGCTCGCCGCCATAAGCCTTCGGGTGACGACTCGGGAGGCAAGGGATCAGGACGCAAATGCGAGCACGCACAAAGCGTCTGGCGTGGCGATAACATACGCTCGCTGAGACTATCACCCAGTCGCGATGAGCTGAAGTGGGTCATGCAGAGAAGTGCGGCATGCGACCCACACCGTTTCCGCCGGCGAGGCAACACTGGCGTGGTCTTGGACGACGATATTGGATACATGATGATGAGCTTGCTGGAGGCGGGTGGGAGAGAACGTTGAATGTTGAACGTGGGACACTGACCGCAATATGCAGTGTACTTTGTAGTCGGCGTCAGAGTGCCAACGCCCGGACACCACCGAGTGCCATCATGTCACGGTCAACGGTTCCCTACCTGAGAGCTCGATCGTAGCGCAGATAGAGACGATAGCCATCCACGCAATGAGTACACTGTAGCGAAACCAGAAACCTGTTTAGTTCGTTTGAGAACCCTCCGGACTGCAATATCAATGTCGCGTTAGCAAGTACCATTGAGTATGCCTGTATGTAAGGTGCTATAACACGATCTGAGCATGGTGAGCTAGCCGCCCCTTTCCCGCAAGGACCATTCTGACAGCGTGAGAGCTGTACTGTTACTTAGACCGTAGGCGCGGCGATCCTTCGCGTATGTAGATACGGAGTCGACCACTTGGATACTAAGCGTCACACAGCACGGCGTATACAGCTCGGCGCTCGGCGCTCAGCGCTTCGAGATGGCACTCAGACAGAGAACTCCTCAACTTCGGGCAGATTTCGCAAATAGGGTCCCACCCATACGCAAAGTAATAGCGTACAACTAGATAATGTAGTATCGCTGCGTAAGTCATATCGTCCTAGAGGGGCGCCAGACACGAGAGGAGCTCACACAGAAGGAGGACGTCTTCAACCGCGTATTAAATGACGACCGACGATGCATATACAACATATACATCTGTGCAAGTCGATCAGTACGGACCGCACTGGACCAACGCTTCACAATTAACTCACGGAACGAACACAGACACACGCGCGCTCAGCCAAGCGAGCACCTCCCCTCATTCTTGTGCCTCTCCAAACTGTCCCGCCTCGAGAACCAATCCCCACAGCCCTCGCACTGGACCTGGAACAGCTGCAGGTGCACCGTCGCGACGTGCTTGGCCAGCTGAAGCACGTCTTTGACGTCCTTCCCGCACCTGTCAGTGGGACTCCCGTCCTTATTCTTGCCTTCGTCGACCCAGTCGCAGACGAGCTTGCCCATGCGGTTCCTCTGGAGCTGGTGGAAGTATTCGAGATGGCGCTGCAAGTTCACCCCGGCTTCGAGTGCGACTGGGGCGAGGTTGGGGCACCGTCCACCGAAAAAGCAGATGATGGGCGCGGCTGTGTTCGCCGCGACGGGCAATTCGCTGTATGCCGGGGAGTGTGTAGGTTCGATGATGCGACGGCAGGAGTCACGAGGTACTCACGTCACGGCAGGTGGATGGCCGAAGGGAGCTTGCTCATCCAAACGAGGATACGTCTGTGCTGGGGCGTGTTGCGCATTCATATATTGAGTCATCTGCCACGGCCTATATGCCGAGAGCCATTAACGGGATGCTGTCTCTGATTATGAAGGACTATAGCTACGTACTGCGGTTGTTCTGCCGGCAGGCCGCTGATGAAGTGCGGGTCAGTCGTCGCCGGAACGACTGGCATGTAACCAGCAGTGTTTGCGTACGTCGCCCTGTGAAGCGCACATCAGCGTAAGGACACCTAGCTGTCAGGCAATGGAGCATTCACCCGTCAGCACCACCGCCCGGTACAGAGCCAGTGTATGAAGTCGTACTCGACGACGCATCATCCATGTAAAATAGTCGCGAACAAGGACAGCTGAAAGCGATAGCTTGGTTGTAGGTACAGTCGTATTCCCATGCCTCGATGCTGTTATGGTTCGGGCAAGACATGTTGGGATGGGTTGGGGGAGTTCTGTGAGGCCTCGACCCACGAGAGGTCCGCCGTAATGCCCGTCGAGCTGAGCAGGGTCTGCGCGCACCCAGCGAGCCCGGGAACCGTGAGTAAGTAAGGGGAGAGAGGACTTGAAAGCGTACCTCTGTATACGAGCCCGGGGAGGTAGCGTCAGCCGTGGGCGGAGAATACGAGCAATATAAAGGAACCGGAAGACAAACATGAGGTCGGAAGATGAGTGTATTCGAGTAGGACCCCGCCGCGGGCAACGCACTTGTATTTGGATTCGATCTTGGTGTGGCCATAAACCTACCAGATGCGTGCGCTGTCCGATATGCGGCCATACATATGTTCCGAACACCTCACGTATGTAGTGGATATTGGGGTTCTCCGCACACTGATGCGAGGAGGGGCTTGCTCAAAGATGTCTCGAAAGGCATCGATACTCGAGCTGACCCGGCGTCCGCGAGGACACATCGTCGTGTGAGAAGGCGACCTGCATCTTGAGCCTAGAAACCTGTTTACACTCAAGGCGAGAAGAGGTTGTTATGGTCGTGTGTTTTCCGGGGATGCCCATCCAAAGACACAAGGGTCGTGAAAGCTAGTGGGGAGGAGAGAGGTCTTATCGGGGGCGGTGAGCCACGACTCAGTCTCCGTGACAGCGCCGAGCGGGCGCCAGTTACCACATAATAGTAGGGGATACCTGGGGGAACGCAGTGCATGGCCACGAACACCGCGGCCGCAAATGCGCTCACCGTCTTCCGTGTGCGTCAGCGAGGCTTATCTACGACAGTTGGTGAACAGAAGTTCGCGGCGAGTGGTTCCCAGAATAAGTACATAACTGAGCAGAACTGAGGACGTAAATATGATGGAGGCTACTCAGAGGAACCAGCTGGGAACGGTCGAGCATCGGTCGAGAGATGGATCTGATCAATTTCGGTCGGACGCGCGCCCACAAAGCGCCACTATAGCTTAATTATGTCCGGCTCCTCCTTCTCTTTCATGCATTCATGTTCGGCGACAATGATGGACTCAGGACTCAGCCCCCCCTTCCCAACCCCCCATTTCGTCTCCATCCAATGCCCCAGATGTTGGGGGTGTGCGGTGGGTGCGAGCCCCTTCTATCGGATGCGTAAGAGATCACTGTTATCCGGCCTTCTATCACAACGATTGTACGTGCATTGCACTGGCATTCATCATTACAACTACAGTGTTTACACCGCCTTCCTCTTCTAAATACTTCCGATGGATGCAGCACGCCCGAATGCGGCGACGCTGATCAGGTTGAGTTGTAAGTCGGCTCCTTTGCAGCACCGGCCTGAGACTTCGATTGGCGCTGCACCGGATCTGATCAGGATAGCGTTGTACGAATCGCTGCAGTATCGAACAGTGCACCTTGGTTCGTGCCTTGGAGAGGTGAACCTCATTCTTGTGCCGTGTGAGAGCGTCCGTCCGACCGAATTCCTTTTGGCACGTGGAGCAGACATCGGGCAGATCGTGGCTCGCGGCGGAGACGGCAGACGGTGCTGGAGCAGAGATGACCGCAGGATTAGAGTCGCTCTCCCGCTTCGCTGCCACACCTCATTGCCTCCCAAGTAGACGTCTCGGCACCACAACACGAGACGGAAGGAGCAGAACGCAAGTCTACGAAGCAAGTACTTGACAGAACTCAAACTGCACCCTGGCGTCGGCGAACACGGTCAACCAGGAGGTTTACGCGCGATGCCCCGGCCGGGTCGAGCGAGCTGTGCATAGCAGGGGTTGATTTGGGTGGAGTTGCAGCTTCTACGTCATGAGTATGTCCACCTGCGGAAGGTGGAGAATATCCGCACCGTGTCGGACACGCCGGCAGTTGGAATGGCGGTGAGAGCTAATCGACAGTCTCGACGACAGATCGCACTTATCACCATCGATAGTAGGGGCCGAGGCCCCAGGCACGACGACACCAGGGGTTGAGGACATCTGGGAGAGCGAGCCTTTGTCGGTGAGTGACTGCTGTAACATGGATCTATGCCACGGCCGGTCAGTTTGTTATGATAGCAGTCGTGGCTGATTGGTTTGCGAACAGCACAATGTCGTAGCAATCGCAACTTGCATTCGCTGATTGGTGCCGGCGATGTTCCGTCTGCACCGGGGCTGCAGAGCATAATGGGTTCTGTCAAGGTTCTGTCCTCGAGTCCAAGTTCCGACTCCCCGCAATTATTTACGTGACCGCACGCTGGTTCTCGCCTACCTGTGTAACTGCTATCCAGAGATCTCTCGGAAGTCGCAACAGTCGCGCGTGAGCGAATGCGTCCTCCGCACCAGGCAGAGGTGCGCGGGCCTCGAATTCCCAATTGATCGAGATACAATCGTCGAGACGGTATCTTCCGCCCCTGCGGAAAGTGATAATGTACAACTGGATAATGTAACATCACTGCGTAAGTCATTTCGTCCGGGAGGGAGCGCCAGATACGACAGGAGCTCACATAGAGGGAGGGCTTCTTCACCCACGTATTACACAGCGGTCTTGAATGACACGTACATATCTTGGACATCTGGGCGAACCGATCAGTACGGTCCGCGCGGGGCCAGCGCTTCACGTTTAACTCACGAATACGCGCGCGCTCAACCAAGCGAGCACCTCCCCTCATTCTTGTGCCTCTCCAAACTGTCCCGCCTCGAGAACCACTCCCCACATCCCTCGCATTGGACCTGGAGCAGCCGCAAATGCACCGTGGCGACGTGCTTCGCCAGCTGGAACTCGTCCTTGACGTCCTTCCCGCACCTGCCAGTTCCGGGCCCGTCCTTATCCTTGCTTGCATCGACCCAGTCGCAGACGAGGTTGTCCGCGCGGTCTCTTGTGAACTCATGGAACGCTTCGAGGTGGCGCCTAACCCCGGCGACCTTCTGGAGGAGCATGTCTGCGGTGAGGTGGGGGCACGGTCCGCCGAAGAAGCAGATGATGGGCGCAGCATCAGGCGTGGTTGCAGCATCAGGCGTGGCTGCAGCATCGGGCGTGGCTGCATTTGTCGCGGCGGGCAGGACGGGCAGTTGGCTGTATGCCAGGGGGTGAGTAGGTTCGATGATGCGACGGCAGGAGTTACGAGGTACTCACGTCGCGACAGGTGGATGGCCGAAGGGAGCTTGCGCGTACACATCGGAGGAGGCCTGCACTGGGGCGTGTTGCACATTCGCCTTTTGAGTCACGTGTGGTCTATATACCAAATGAATCAGAGGCGGTCAGAGCGTTAGGTCGTGCAACGGCAAGAGGCACTCACGTCATGGCGAATGTGTGGCCAAAGAGAGACGGCCCGTACTCATGTGGAGGGTACGTCTGTGTTGGGGCGTATTGCGCATTCGCATTTTTAGTGATGTACGGCCTGGATGCCGAGAGCCATTAACAGGATGCTGTCTCCGATTCTGACGGACTACGTACTGAGATTGTTCTGCCGGCAGGCTGCTGATGAGGCGCGGGTCAATCGTCGCAGGGACGGCTGGCATGTCACCAGCAGCGTTTGCGTACGGCGTCCTGTGAAGCGCACATCAGCGTAAGGACACCTAGCTGTCAGGCAATGGAGCATTCACCCGTCAGCGCTACCGCCCGGTACAGAGCCAGTGTATGAAGTCGTATTCGACGACGCAACATCCATGTCAAGTAGTAGCAAACAAGGACAGCTGATAGCGATAGCTTGTTTGTAGATACAGTCGTGTTTCCATTCCTCGATGCTGTGATGGATCGGGCAAGACATGTTGGGATAGGTTGGGAGAGTTGTCATAGAGCGACCAGAGCGACGAGGATGAGCAGCGCATTATATGCAAATCTGAGCGCACTCACGAAGTGGACACCCACGTCCGTATGTGTTGAGCCAGGCCAGCCCACCCTCCACGACGGGGGGAGGTGGGTTCCCTCGCAGTGGACTTCGACCGGACATGGGCTGGGTGGTCCAACCACGAAGGGTGCAACGGAGAGCGCCGAGTCGGCTTCTGGTGGAGGATAGGAAAGTATGTTGCGACACACGTGAAACAATTGGCCCGCTCATGAGGGAGGGTCGGTGGTGGAGGTGGTCCATGGCTAGCGATCACGGAAGCGTACACGCCGTCCGTCATGAGCGGGTATGATACGGAGACCTTCTTCAGATCCGTCAAGCGGCATCGGCCCACCAGGATCCGAATGAGGAGGAGGAGGTGGTGATGGTGGTGGTGGTGGGTCGACCAAACACGGGCACATGAAGAGGAAGACACGCCAGCTGTGGACGCGTCTCTTGGGACTTGTCGTCGGCCAGGCGCGGTGGGCAGTCACACGGTCCACGACGGCGACCTTGCGCAAGCAAGAGCTGTAAGAGAGAGAGGAGACCGCATGGAGAACCGGTGGGCTGCAGGTTGCTCACTGACAAAAGGCAGAAGAGGTGGACCCAACCGGGTCATCCCGTTGAACAGACGACGTACACACGTCCACTCTAACACACCTCCGATGCGCCTGCACAGATGACAGCGAGCTGAGTCTTTAGTAGCGGCGGATGATGGGCTCGAAGCAAGCTAAAACAGCCTGCGTTCCATCTATGTAGCTGAGTGAGTTGTGCAAGCATACATAGATCTCCGAGTCAAGACTCACCGTTGCTCAATTCGCCCGGTCGCCGCGGAGGCTGAGCGTGCCACCGTCACGTGCAGATTGATAGCACTTAGACGCGCCGAAACCGTCGTTGGATAGCACGTACCCTGATCCTTTCGAGCTTACACCAGTCCTGGCCTCTTGGACATGCTGCTGCACCAATCTACGAGTCTAGATGGTAGATATAATCTTCAGGCTTTGCGCTAGCCATCCTCACGGATGCTTTAGGTACTTCTGACTGTTCAATCATCTAGGTAACGGCACACATTCCTTTTCAGATGGCTTCGGGACGGTCTGGGACATATGGCAGGGGAAAGGAAGAGAAGAGCTTAGCAGAACGTTGAGACATAGAACAGGCTGTCTCATACATTTACTGATCCCATTGGCCTTGACTGTTCCAGCCCGTGATTACTACAGGCCGGAGGACTGTCTGGAAGCGCGACCTCAAGCAGTCAATGATACCTCGAGCGGCATCACCCTTTGTCTATGGAGCGAGGTTCTGCGAGTCAAACATGTTCCGTAGAAATGCTGTTCAATCAATCTAGTGCGAAGTCAGTACAACTATCTGCCCTTCGTTGGCCGTGAATTCATGTAGCTTACCGCGCTCCTCGACGTCAAGGTTCGCACGCGCCTCAAGGTCTAAAACATAGGCCCGTCAGCACGATAGAAGCTGACAGTGAGTCCACGAGCTCACCTTCATCATCCCCGATGCCATATGCGGTGACACAACGTATACCGAGCGCAGAGGTCTCACTCGCCCCGCAACGTTTGTCGAGGTTGAACTTCTCACTGGCCTCATCCGCGCGAGCTACCGCGTACATGTCAGTCAGAATAACATTCGCGAAGTATTGGAGATGGTGGAAAGCTTGATAGTACGTGAACAGTTGCTGCGTATCGGTTGCATAACCAATGTCATGCCAATACCTCTCGACCTCGGAGGTTGACTGGGTCACAGGCTGAACCAGAGTCGTACGCACCGTCCATTGGCACGGTTACAAACCGCTTCTCGCTTGAACCACTGGCATAGCGGTGGCGACCTCGAGGCCAGCAAAACGCAGGCGAGAAGGACAAAAGCGCGGACGCAAACTTCATGCTGACGGAAAGTAACGAGTGGCGCTGTATAGCAGGCGGATGCGATGTGTCGCGGGCACATTGAGGTCGCCTTTATCCCTGCTTGACGGAAACAACCGCCCGCGATGTGCTGGTCTGATAGGTATGTCATATACTTTGAGAACACGGGGTATAGGTCTAATGCCGTTAATGGCAGCGGACTCGGATCTTGTGCCGAATTACTGTACTGTATTCCTACAGCGGAGCCGTCTGTGCCGTCGCTTCTCCGACGCATGATAAGTGCGTACATGAGGCATTACTTATGGCTTTCTGTCATTAGATCCGGGTCTGTCGGAGGACATGAGCGTTATTGCTAAGGTCACCTGGGTGTCGAAAGGACGCAATGGTAGCATACGAGACTGCAACTGCGACGGAGGCTTTACCTGTGTTTCGTGCTCATCTAGCAAGTACCTACTGTTCGGTGAGTGACTCGCCAGCTTTGATAGCACCAGATGTCTTGAAGTGTTCTCGGACACGGCCGCGCTCTCTTTGCGACCGACATCCGAGACAACTTCCTGTATGGAAGTATGAACTGAATTCATGTCAAACTCGAATACATCACAGACGGGCCTCGATTTCTCTAAAACCCCGATTGCATGAAAGTCCACCTAATCGCGCTACCTGACTATCGTACTCCTCTACCTTGCGACATCAGTTCAACGTGCCAGCAATGAAGTTCACCTCTGTATCCATCCGTCTTGCCTGCACTCTGTTGCAGATCGCCGCTGCAGCACCGGTCATCCAGACTGAACAGCGGCTTGTAGGCACGAATGGTACGTCTACTACCGTCACTGCCCAGAGGTCATACCAGGCATTGTGCGAGTACTGACTGGTACGCGTCGCGGCATGAGATATTGTTGGAATTTTCGCTCACCTTCCATCATACTGGTACCTAGAACTTAGGCTAGAAGGCGCGCCAGGAGAAGACGGTCCTGTCGTAGAAGTTGCGTGCGACTTACAGCCCATGGGCATCGGTGACTGTCTGAATGGATGTAAACTGGGTTCACGGGCGATAGAGTGGACGCAGGATACCTATACTCCTGGACTACGGGTATGACCCAAGTGGCTATGAGCCTAGCTGTGGGAGTGCGAAGGCGGCCTTCAGAATGTAGGCGAATGGATTAGCTAGTATTGGTGTATGAGAAAGAGTGTATACTGTTGCGTATAGGACGTACTTCGAAATGATGAGAAGCGAGGGTCACATAATCTCAAGATTGCCGAGGCGATGTCTACGAGGAACACGTCAGGGCAACCAAAGAGGAAAGCCGGGAGCCACAATGCGCCGTCCTCCCATATCTCGTCGTTTGAGATGAAGCGTATCCCGGATGCTTCATCGACTGATCAGTGTACTAGATCCTGGATGATATCGTCGGGTATCTGTGTGATCAGCGAACAATTCAGTATGCATCTCTTCGACCCCGTCCAACGACGACGTCAGTTGACATCGTCCCCGAAGAAAGAGACAAGCTACGAGACGACATTGCTTATTCTGTAAACATGCCGTCAAAGTGATAGACCTCGACGTGAGTGGCTTCGGTTGTCTCAAGGGCCATGAAGAACAGCGTGACGGTGCCTCGATGCTTGAGTTTGATTATCATCTCAGCATTCTTCTGCGCACGGACACCACAAGTAAGGGCCACGGTTCCCAAGACACTGCGCACGGACGGAGACGTTCCTTCAGTGCTCGCACTGCTGCTTTAGTCCCACCGAAGTCATCGTAGCTTGGTGCAGACTGTGAGTAGCGGAAGATGAGTGCGTGCAAGGCAACCTACAGTCCTTTCCAAAGCACTGCTTCTTGAAGCCTAGCAAGAGCTGTCTGTACAATGATCAGCGCTCTTTGGATGCCGTGACAGAGGCGAACTCACCTTACTGACCTTGTTATCGAGGCATTGCCGATAGGTCGAGACAACGTAATCCGAACGACGACGGCGTAGTCTTCTGCAGGTTATAGATCAATTCTGAATGTAGTTCGTCCGAAAAAGAACAAGTGCCAGTATCAAATTTCACTGACTGTATGAGTTTGCCGAAAGACACCCGCTCCTTGAGTTCGCCTCCAGACCTCTCCGTGTTCTGCCCACGTGCCTGGTCGAGTAGTACGCTATTCAATAGGATGAACTCGGCATCACTCAGACCCCGCATGCGCTAAAGGGCACGATCTTCATCACGAACAAGTTCGGTCGATGTGATTCTTACCGCGGTTACAAGGCCGACCCTACCTGCGAACTCCCACATCCGCCGCAATTCCATGATTCCCTCGAAGAAGAAAACCAGCTTAGTAAACGCATTCTGGGCGTTAGTGACGCCATCAACCGGATCGGTCAATGGGTAGGGGAGATTACGATGTATGAAGCTGGATAGAGCACGCCTCGTCGAGTCGTCCTGACGGATGCACGCCAGCAAGGATTGGTGGCGAGACAGGGCGAGACCTGCGTAGCAGCTTCAGGACTACGCGTTGCAGCGGCGTTGGGCAGACGCTGTGGACGTGGCAACTACAAATTGCCATATCGGGAACAAGGTCGCGCACACGCGTTTGATCCGCGTGTGGCTGCACTGTGGTCCATCAATCTGAGATGTGGCTCCGTCCCATTGTTCTCGTCCCAACGTCGCACGCGTCGACTCAGACTGCCCCGTATTGGGAAATCTGTGCGTACGCTGGCAATATTTTGGGCTTGGATCTGTGCAAAAGGTGCGAGATAACCTACCGATTAGGAAAGGTAAATCGTTTCGGCCAGCAACAACAATGCTAACCCGAGAGAATAATGAAACAGGCGTGGCTCGTGGCCAACAGACATCGTGGCTCTCTGAGCTGGATATAAAGCGGACGCGTCTTCGCCCACTGCGTAAGCCCAACACTCATCTTCCTCCGATGGCTACTCCCTCTGACACTGCGCCTAGTACCGTTGGAGATTCCGAGTGTGGCACCTCGCCTCCTGCCACACCCAGTCAGGCTCAGGAATCGTAAGTCGCGCTACTCATTGTCGTGGACCGGTTGGCTGACGGTCGTGCCAGTGCACCGCCAAGTCCGTCCGCCACTGCGGTACCAGAAGAATCGCCAGACGCGACTCCGTGAGTAATCCTCTTGTTCCACTTCATTGCTTCCGCTGAATCTGTCGACAGTGGGGCTTCAACCGGTCCGACAGTCGCATCTGAGAGCACCGAGTCCTCGTAAGTGTCTTCGTATCTCTACGACGTATACCTCCAACGTAACCTGGAATAGTGCCTCGGCCGCCACTCCTGAGACCGCTCTTCCAATAACGCCGCAGGATACGACGCCCCCCGACGGCGAGAAAATCCATAGCAGCCCTGTGCAAGCAACGTTCTCGACCAAACTGTTATCTGTCAACTCAGTGACTGGCCCGGAGGCAGTGATAAGGAGGCGAGCGCTATACGCACGCGAGATGAGGTCGAAGCTGTGTGAGATGAAGTTTGAAGAATTCTTGGCTCTGTACATGCCGGCCGGGGACCATGATCTGCCAGAGTCCGGGCTCGCGATCCCAGCAATGGACGGTACGACGCTCTTGGGCTCCAAGGAAGGACCTATCTGCGATGAACTGGTGAGTACGCGACCTGTCTTGACACGAGGCCGCCACTCAACGAGTGTTTGCGACTAGTGCGAGGTCGCGCAGGCCATCTTCGCAGGGTGTCTGCACGGGGAACAGAAGCTTGTTGCGAAGAACACGAGAAATCACTCGGACCCCAGTGATAAAAACGACGCTGCGGAAATGCTGAGAGTCGATCTGTCCTTCTATCCCGACCACGACGATGCGAAGTCCGACTACGAACTTCCGAAACCTCGTAAACGTGCGGAGGCTCGTCCACAGGTGAAGGATCAGGCCTCGACTCGCTGGGCGTGGATCTCGCTGGCGATCGAAGTGAAGACGGACCACGCACACTGTGCGTTCGTGTTTGATAACAAGACACCGACGAAGCAAGACGGCGAGTCCAAAGGTGCGGCGCCCCAGCAGCATGCCAACGATGCTCCGGCCAGCCAGCACAAGAAGGCCGACAAGGCCAACGCAACACCCAAATCGTTCGTGCGCTCAGGTCCCGGTGCGGATGGGGGGCTAGGGCAGCAGGCGGAGTATGTTGCGAAGCTCTTCAGACGCCAACCTCGTTTGTACTGCTTCACGATGCTCGTCTTCAAGGGGCAGGCTCGCGTCGTGCGTTGGGACAGGGCGGGCGCCATCGTGTCCACTCCTATCGACTTCGAGAAGGACCCGTCGTTGTTCCACCGGGTGATCTGGCGATACGCGTGCATGACCGAGGCGCAGCGCGGCTTTGACCCGACGGTGAGACGAGCTACCAAGGAAGAGGTAAAGCAGATGCGGGACTGTCGCCCGCCGAACGAGTGGGCGGACAAGTCCCGCAATGCAGCCCTTGATCAGGACGGATGGCCGGCTTATACGATCACAATGCCGGTCAGCCATCACGTCGACCAGACGCACTTGCAACCCATTGCCCCTAGGTCCCCTCGTGAAGACGCCTCCGTCAACAAGGAAGCATATGCGAACAGTTCTGGAGCTAAGTTTGTCGTCGGCAAGCGCTACTTCGCCAGTAGCTCTCCTACCGGGCGTGGCACCAAATGCTATATCGCATATGAAGTCGCTCGCGATCGCTTGGTCTTCCTCAAGGACTACTGGCGTGCCGACACCAAAAGTTCGCTACAAGAGGGACAGGTGCTGGAAGACCTCAGAAAGGCTGGCGTTCAGTTCGTGCCGACGCCCTTGTTTAGGGGGCATGTGCGGAGCGGCAACGACGAGCAGGAGACGTGCACGCAGGCCTTCTTGCCGGAAAACCCTCGGTTGCATATCAAGCCTGCCGCTATGAAGCACTACCGCCTAGTTGTCAAGGAGATCGGGCGTCCTCTGGAGGAACACGAGAATGCATTATATCTAGTAGGCGCTTTGCTTGATGCCCTGCAAGGTAGGCGTTGTCGCCCGTTACGTGAATGATGATGCTCACTCTACTTTCGTCGTAGCCCATCAGCAAGCATGGGTTCAGGTGAAGATCATGCATCGCGACATGAGCCCGCGGAACATCCTACTCTTCGCCTACATCGATGAAGAGGGCACCGTATTTCATATTGGAGTGCTGATCGACTGGGACTTGTGCAAGCACGAGGATTATCTCGGCACGGCTATGAATGTCGGTCGTTCGGTGAGTATGACACGATTGAAATCTAGCTCGCCAGACGACTGACCGATTCTATTACTAGGGTACGTGGCCATTCATGTCCGCTGGGCTTCTGCGCAATCCTACGAAGAGGCACGAAGTCGCAGATGATCTGGAATCCGTCGTCCATATCCTTGGGTGGACGTGCCTTCGGCTTTATGAGCACAGCATGTCAGACCGGCCCGATTCGCTGAGGATGCATATTCTCGGCATGTACGACGCGCAGGATATCGTAAACGGAGAGACAGTCGGCGGTGACCAGAAGCATCGCTTCCTGCTTCTCGGTAATCTAGGAGTCGACCTCGTCCCCTCACTGGCAGGAACCCCTTTGGCGAAGCTTCTGAGCGACCTTGGTAAAATCTGCAAGGAACACTATCTGGCGGTGCCAAAACTTCCCAAGGCTAAAACTGCAAATGCGATCGCAACGCAGGAGTCCGCCAATGACGAAAAAGCCATGGACACACTTCAAAGCCGGTACGCAAGCTTCGCCAAGTCCCTGCCGCCACCCCGTAGTGTCGGGGAGGCTCCGGCTCAACATATCCTAGTTGCTTCGCGAAATTCCACCTCGCCGCCCCCCTCGCCGCTCAATACCCATGATGCGATCATAAATGCTTTCGTCGAGGCCGTTTTGTCCGAGAGAGAGCTGTGGAAACCTCTGAAAAAAACGCCCGACCAATTCGCAGCCTTCAAGAATACGACTATTGCTCAGTGCAGCATCGAGCGCTCAAGCCAACAGTCGTCCGGTTCGAAACGGACGCTGGAGGTCGAACCGGAGGAACTTGCGAAGCCCGGTCCTTCGAAACGAGCGAGGGCCGCGAACACAGGAGGACTCGAGTCACTGCCGGAGGAACCTGCGGCGGAGCCGGTGCTGCACGACGGAGAGGACTGATCTGCCTTTGCCGCTCCTTCGCGAAACTGTTGTACGCTCGTTTTCTCCTCTTATAAGCTGACGCAATACGCCTGGGACTATGTGTTACGGAACGGAATCTGCGATGATCTAACATGGTGTTCTATATCTGTACTATCTCGTCTCGTATGTATGATCGTTCGCTCGGTCGAATGAAGATCTTCAGTTATTCCACTACGCGCAGAGCGCGAAGGACGAACTGGCGCAGGCGCCGCACAGTCTAAGAGTCCCCTCTGGCAGCCAGTCACAATATTGTCGTACCCTGCTACTCTGAAAGCCTCTGTGTGATGATCAATGATTAACTCGATACCTGAGCGAGCGCCGTCCGTGTCGCCTCGTCGCACATCTGTAATAAGGCTCCGGCCGATCGTATGGAACTCGTCGATACGCCTGACATATAGTGCCTACGGCTGCTGCTCCATACCGTCCTGCAAAGACCTGAGCGAAGACAGCCGATACCAGACTGACAGTCTGCACCCGCACTCGGGCCGCAACGTCTAATTGGGCAGGAGTGACGACGGCTGGGATGTAAATCCAGTTCGAGTTCCCGCCGTCATACCATTCCGCGACGCCAGATTAGGAGGCGGGCACCAGGGAGGAGCGAAGGTGGTGAGTCGCATTGTGATGTGACCGGGCCGTTGCCAGTGAGCGACTCGAACATCATCGATTCAGAGGCATATACGTGAAGTAGCAACGCGAGAGCGCTCGCAAGCTGCCAGGGCGACAGCAATCACTACTCATGTGAGCTACGTCAGCCCCTCGCTTCCGACTCCGCGCGGCGTACGAACCTAGGTTGACCGCAAGTTCCCCGCGGTGCTGTCAGTCAACTCGGAGGGCTCATCCTGGAAGGCCGCAGAGTGGTAGTAGGAAGAATCGCATCGCATCGTGAGGAATGCAGCGCATCCGAGCTGCCATCCGTACTAGGTTCCCAGGAAAGTACAGTTGCACCCGCCTGAAATAACGGGTACTCGGGAAGGAGGGAGGGCTGATGGTGGGAATGCCAGTCCAGAGCGCGGACAAGCCTGCAGCGTGTCGTTCGTGGCAGTCCCGTCCCAAATGTCCACGAACGTCACGGTGACAGCGGGTTCAACCCCCCACTGGCAGGGGAGATCACCAAACGCGGCAGTTCCAGACGCGTAGTATCTCGTCGGCCACTGGGTGATGCAGTCACGGTCCACCGCGAGTCGTGACGGCGCTGACTCGTTGTAAGCCAGAGGAAGTCGTGCAGCGGGGCACAGGTCGATGGGCGCAACGGAGGAGATGGTCGGCCTGGTCATGTGGGCAGCCTGAGATAGCGTCCCGATTCGAGTGGGACGCTTGGCTGGACGACAGGGAAGGATTCGGAGCGAGTCCGGAGGCTGCCTGAGAAACTTGAGTCGCTCCGATAAAGATATTAAGATGGTGTTCAGATAGGCCGACCCCTGCCGGGCAGGACAATAATGACGCATAAGAGACATGAAACCAAATATACCCATAGTGACGACCGTTGAAGAGCCGAATAGCACAGCTATACGTCACGGGTCCGAGTCGAGAGATCGGGAAGCCCACTGAACCGCTACCTCGAGAGCTTCTTCCCTTCGATCTTGAACCGCGACGACCACGACTTAGGAATGAAGTTGCAGATGAGCCCTGCCCCGAAGGCAAGCTGTTAACACTTGTGTATCGACGATCGTACCGAGTGGCGACTCACCTGTTTACCGGGACACCGGCCCTTCTCCTTGTGGCGCTTGAGAGCGTCTGGCCTAGAGAAGACCTCATCACAGCCCTCGCAGCGGATGTTGAAGAGCCTCAAATGCACGGTGGCGATGTGCTTCGCCAGCTGTTTCAGGGTTCTAACCTTCCTGCTGCAGTGTCCGTTCTCGTCATCCCATTGGCAGGCGAACTTCCCACAGTCCGTCACGAGTACGGGTGTTGGGCCGTGACGGTGGTATTCCAGAAGATGACTCTCTACGCCCGAGGTCTTCCTCAGCAGTGCGTCCGGGTCTAGAAAGCAGAACGGTCCTGCACCGAAGCGACATATGACGGGTATCGCCGCGATCACGCCTCCCGCGACAGTCGATGCTTGGTCGACGTGCGCGGGCGCTGGCCCGGGCTCACTGGATGTATGGTCAGTATGACCGTTCCCGACATCAGGAGGTGCTTCAACATCGGCTGATTGCTGATGCGACGCGGACGCCAGTTGCTCCGCTTCCGAGGCGTATTGTAGGTCGTACCTGCGTGCTGGTCAGCGACGCAACCGACGATGACAGCGCTGAGCTACGTACTCGAATACTTCTGTGTACGGGCCGCTGTTAGGGTTGGCCCGGGGGTAGGAGAGGTCGTTATACAGCCCGGGGTCGTTGTTCAAGTACCTGCCGACATTGGTGTGTCAATGGAAGTCACTCAGCCTAGGGAAGTTAAAGAGTAACTTACGGAGTCCTCTCACATGGCCCGTATCCAGGAAGATACATGCCCATGGGTGTATCCATGTCTTCGACGTCGGGGGGCAGAGAGTAAGGAATATCGATGGAATGGTTGGCCTCTCCATGCAACAGGTAGTAGGCAACCTCGTCGGAGTAAGGATATATGGAAGACATGATGAGTCCGGCCGAAGGGGTGTCCCATGAGGGGGAGGAGGGGTGGTTTTTAAGTAGGAGGCAGAACATGTAGGCACGAGGCGAGAGACGGGCGGGCGTATATAGCGGAACGTACATGGTGGAAAACCCACCCGACGTTCCTGAGCCCACCTTCCACTTCCAGTGCGCGCGAGGTGTGTTGCCTTCCGTCGGGTGGAAATGATCTTGGACGTGCATGAAGGAGAATAGGCGCGACGGAGGGCATGCCACGGTGTATCCGCAGGGCAGGACCACCCACCAAGGTTGTGGGTGGCTTCGCTGGAGTGAATTTCGTTGGTGGATCTTCACAAAACCAGCTCGGTATGGCACCTGCGCGGTGATCATCAAGGGTCTGGCAGTCGTGGTCCACGCTCAAGTTGGTGGGCTGGCGGATGGTGGGCGCATCCACCTTCCTTCTTTCCACCGCGCCCTATCGATCCGTAAACGAGGCCTGTTACATTGAAAGGACGCGAGCAGATGCTGAGACTTCGGCGCGCAGGCGTGATAGTGGTGGACATACCATTCTCGCCACGACATCCTCACCGGCACCCTTTGCCCTCGACGGTGGATGCCAGTCACATCTGTCACACTGCCGAGTCCGAGTCAGAGGAACTCGGGTGATGTGAGAGATGGGATGACGGAGCCGGTATATGAGGACGAAAAAGGCTATCGAATGGGTCCCTAGTGGTAGAAATGGGTCAGTGTATGAGAAGCAGAGAAGGCTGTGGACGATAGCTCGAATCTACGCAGTCACATGCATTGGCAGCACGCACGCACCCGCGCAGGACAGCGCCTCGCTCTGCAGCCGCCGTCGCTTCAACCCTGCCTTGACGCACCACTCGATTCGAGTCACTTGCGCAAGCTCAGGGTGCAACTGAGGTGCATGGCGACTTGAACCTCCATTTCCCACAGACTACACGGGACTTACTACTTGCGCACGGAGCCTCGCGGACGAGGTTGAAGGAGACCAAATGGAACCCGGGAGTCTGTAGAGCAAGCAACAAGTTGTCCTGTGCTGTCATGTATATTCTACTCTTCCGGGAACGCACTGGCACTTACACTCTCCAGGATGATCTCTCAACCAGCAGATACTACTACCGGAACCAGGAGGATCGGCGGAGGCAGATAGCCTCGTTGTTACACGGAGGCACGCAGCAAGCACGCAGCAGCCCGGAGCAGACCGACGGTTCGCGGGACGATTTATTTCATATCCGCGACCCGCCTAAGCTACGGCGATCAGATTATCGGGGTGCGCTGAGCCTGGAATTGATCTAGATTGCACGGTGCGCGAAACCGTGACGGTCGGGGAGCGCATCATGATGCTACAGCCTGACTGTGATCACGACAACTTGACCATGTCAGAAGAAATATATGTTGAGGCGCGCAAACGGAGGACGGCGAGCGCTGTAGCCTCTTCAGTCGAACTGACTCGAACAATGAACATTGCGTTCACCGAAACGATTGCACCCTGATGCCCACCACCCACCATCTCGGTGGCTCTGTTCTATCGCGCTCCACCAGCCTCAAACGTCCATTCTCCCTCATGGAGGGATCTTCTTCGGGTTTCAGGCCCAGGATCGGACGGGGGCAACGCGTGTCTGTCACACACCGGGGGTTGGAAGTATTTCCACGCTTCCCGGCGAACTTCCTGCAAGGTGGAGATGGGCGGGTGTGCGGGTGGTCCGGTGGGACGAAACGAAGCCTGATTCTGCCTGAATGGGCGCACGAACGACGGGGGAAGGAGCCGCACGGAGAACGAGGCGGGGTTGGACGGATAGATCGGCTACAGTAACGGGGGAAGGACGCTTCGATTGTTTGACACTAGTGCGCAAATCGGTACGCTGGTCAGTATATTTACCCTCTTTCGGGACGTGGTGGTCCAATCCCCGACTACTGTATTGCGTCGACATGAACCTCCACCCGCACGGTGGGCATACATCAGTCGTGCGCGCACCGACCTGAACGCGGTGGGTGTCGGATGTGACGAAAGCATATACTGCAAAGGCACAGTGCCAGCACGACACCGATAGAGGTACAAGATCATACAACACATCATCAGCCGGCGACCTCGGGCTTGTCCACCCCTCCGTTCACCGCGTCCGTCTCCGCAGCGTTCCACCGAAGCGCGGCCTGCGCGGCGGGCGACTTGAACACGGTGGACCGCTCGAACCGGCCGTCGCACGCTGTCCTGAACTCCTCCACCCTTGATGAGCCGACCACCTTCAGGAAAGCGAGCGCGTCGAGCGCAGTCTGGGTTCATGGAAACGGTGGAATGAGCACGGCATGCGGCTGAGGTCATGCGGATGGACTCGACCTTGATATCAAGCGACACGTCCGGGTTGAACACACTGAAGACAGAGCCTCGATCTGCTCCACAGGCGCACTCAGCAATCGCGAGACCTTGGCGGAGGCGAGTATCGCCTTGCCGCTCGAAGAGTGCTTCTGCTGATATTGCGCGTTGAAATGTTCCAAGGACAGTTCGTCCGGGAGCAGTTTTGCCAGCGCATCCTTAACGACCGGACCCATGGGCTCCGGCGGTAGTTGAGATGCGGAAGAGACTACAGACGCCGCGTCCGTCATGGCGTTACGACATGCAGATGCGGAGGACCTACGTGTATGTCTGAAATGTGCCAGACGAAGGTGCAGCTCCGGGTGCTCCGGGTCCAGGGCATGCGCGCTGTTGAGAGCCTTCACTGCCTGCAGGTATTTCTCTAGGAGACAGCGTTCAGCTGAGAACATCGCACTGTGCGCCACGGACTTACTATGTCGCACCGCCACGTCGTAGGTGGCTATCCACGCGTCGACGTTGTCTGCAGCAAGCGTGCGCAGAGGCGCCACCAACTTCGCAGCTCGCTCGAGAGGATCTGACGCCTGCAAGAGCTTGTCGCCGTCGGATCGTCATCCTTCGCTGGCTGTGGCTCCAGCCCCTTATCTTCGCCCGATGTTGTCGTCGTGGCTAAGGATCGGCCATTAGCGCGAAGATAGACGAGGCGAAAGGATCAGCGCGAACCCTTCTTGACTTCCTCCTGAACCTTCTTCGCTGCCTTCTTGGCCTTGTTCTTGGCCTTTTTCTCCGCGTCGCTGACACCAGCTGCTTCCACATCAGTGGGGGCACGTCAGGGTTGGTGAGCGAACCGTACCTCCTGCGGATTTCGACCTTGCTATTGAGGGGTCGTCGTACAGTTGCACCCATATCTTGATGTGCAGTTATGAATCACCGGACAGACGTTGGGCAATAGGAAGCAGGCGAACCTTAGATGCATTAATGGCTGTATGAATGTACGCAGGATGGGATCGCAGCCGATCTTCCCATGAGATCATGCTGATAAGCATGTTCAGTGCGTAGATCACCGCCCAAGTGACTCGTACGTACTCGAGGTAGACGTTGATGGTAAATCTCCTGAGCGAATATCCGTGGAAGTCAAACTGGTCATCCTCAAACTCGTTGAACACCTAACCATCGTGACAACAATGTAAGTCGCCGCAAGGAGCGCGAGACGGCACACGTACTTTTTGAACGACCAAGTACTTCTTCAGCGCCGCGCCGAGGTTACCCTTCCGCAGGTGCGCGTCGGCCTCTTCGCTGAGATAAAGGAGAGACTGCATGTCCTCCAAATCGGCGCCAGGACTTGCGGCATCTTTCTATGCGCAAAGGTTAGTGAGCCCGATACAGCCGACACAGTAGATCGGTCAGCGAAGGCAAGCTCCAGGCCTTTGACCTCACCTTTGTGAACAACCCCAGAATCTCACTGGCCTCATCAACAAAGCCCGCCCTGAGCCGGTACTTCGCGCACTTCGTGTTCAGGAAGCGATCTTGAAGATCCAGCACGCGAGACTCGTCCAGGCAGAGCGCGGCACCGAACGGATCCCCGCATCGCTTGAGCACCCTGCCCTTGAATGCGTACAGTTCTGGTAGCGTCGGCGTGTGTACGATACCCAGATCCAAAAGCTCGAGCGCACGGGCGTGGTCAGACAGGATGAGTAGTGCTGCGCAAGGAAGTACAGGGTCCAGAGATAAGTGGTAGGTTCATGACCTTTTGGTGGCTCTGCAGTAACGGAAAGCTCTTCGCGCAGACCCTCAACGATGTCTTGTATCGCTTGCCGCTTCGCAGAGTCCCGGTACAAGGCCTTCACATCGGCGAATAGGGACGGGACACCCTTCTCCAGAGCTGCGGTGAGATAGGCTGTCGCAAGCTCCTTGAACCGATCACCTTCGTCACCGGTCAGAATGTTGATGGCATGAATGGTAGCGAGCCGACGAACCGTTGGCAATGTTCAGCGCTAGTCGCTTGGGAGCTGCAGCGCGAGGAAGGGCAGTCGAAAACTCTTCCAGTGTTTGCAGCGCTTGGTCGCGGGTCTCGTCTGTAATGTCATCTGCAGAAGTATTCAGCGCCTCAAGACAGGCTCGGTTGTCTCATAGGACACCATGGTATACCTAGATCTACGCCGTTGTTCAGCAGGTAACCTCTATAGTACGCGTAAAAGTCCGGATTTTGTTCAATGAGGTCCCGCCATGTATTGTTGGCTTCAGGCATCTTCAGCTTGGACATGAGGCGGGCTGTACAACAGTCACTCGTGACACCCTGTAGTACTTGCAAACTTGCGCACCTCTGTATTCCATGATGGTGATTCTGTCGACGATTGCTCTCGATTTTGAGTTGGCATCGAGAAACGCGAGCGCTGCACTTGTGTCGCCTATTTCTTCCAAGAGACGGACATGATAGAGTAGGACCTCCGAGTGTTCTACATCGTAGTCTGGAACATTCTGGGTATGCATGGAGAACTGCGATCAATCTCCAACAGGTTACTACACACCTTGAGAACCGCCTCATACTGCTCCAACACTTTTCGTGCGTCGGGGAGATTACCACTCAGGTGATACGCCACTGCAAGACCGACCCAGTTCTGCCGCAGAGTAGGCCTGAGTCGAAGGAGGGCATGTCGCGTGTCGACGAGGCCGTCATATAACCGGAGCTGCGTTTGCAAATGCGCTGAATCCCTCAAGATGTTCAGGTTCTCCTACATCGCATACACATTGAGAACATGCTTCTTTCAGGGGATCGAGACATCCCGGGACGCACTTTGTCAAACCTGAGTGCTTGTGTGTACGACTTGAGAGCCTCCTCGTAATTTTTCTCTCCCTTCTGGATCAGACCGAAGACGTGCCAGCAGATGTGCGATGTCAGGTCCGACCGCATGCCCTTCTTGACCAGCTCCAAGCCCTCCTCTCGCCGTCCCATGTGCGTAAGGATGAGACCCTTCATGCATAGCGTCTCTGTGCGAACCGTAGGGCGTATGTTTCGGAATCGCAAGGCCTCCGAGGTGACGTCTGCGTACCTCCGTGTTCGGGGAACTTTTTGAGGATCTGGTCAGCGGCCTTGAGGCCATTCTTGAGCTGGCGATTCTCGTAAGATTGAGCACCTCCCTAAAAAGCTTGGCCTCTTTTGTAGCGAGAGCACGGTTGGCTGCGGGGGGCATGGTGGTAGCTATTAGAGATCCGAGGACCGACGCAGTGCGCAGGCGCGGACGCGAGCGCGTACTGCACGCGACTTATTGGGAAAACATGTCCAAACAACGCGAACGCGCCTCTCCTCCTGCCGCCATCATGGTGGCCCAAACTCGCGGCCAGATTTCTCCTCGCAAGCTCAAGTTTCAGCAGAAGCTAGGCGGCCGCGGTCAAACGACAGATGCCCTCCAAAAGAAACTCAAGACGCTGCACGGTGAACTCCGGGACATGGACCAGGAGCAGGTCGACGTGAACTCGTTGTCTGGCGTCCGCAAGGAGCTCATCGAGGACACCGTTCTCATGCACAAGGACACCGGAGTCAAAGCGTACGCGGCATGCTGCATTGCGGACCTCCTCCGCCTCTATGCACCCGACGCGCCCTACACACAGCGCGAGCTCGAGCGCATCTTCTCCTTCTTCTTCCAGCAACTCGCACTCTACCTCAAGGGCGGTGACTCGCCGTACTACGAGGAGTACTTCGATCTTCTCGAAAGTCTGTCGACCGTCAAGAGCGTTGTGCTCGTCTGCGACCTCCCGGATGCCGACAGACTCATGAATGAAGCGTTCCGCAAGCTGTTCACAATTGTGTGCCACAACCCGCCGAAGAAGATCGAGCTCTTTGTGGCCGACATTCTCATAGCACTCATTGACGAGTGCCAAAGCCTACCTAATGGTGTATTGGAGTGTCTGCTGTCGAAGTTCATGGTTGAGGATCTCGTGCGTACCCTTCCTTCACGCGTTCACGCTCACCCTAACCAGACCGCAGCGTATGGAGAACCCTGAGTATCGTCTGTCGGTACAAATATGCAATGCGACGGCGGACAAGCTACAACGGCACGTATGTCAATACTTCACAGAAGTCGTTGTGGAGCAATCTCGCGCGGAGCAGTTCGACGAGGTGGCCAAAGCGCACAACCTGATCAAGCGGCTGAACCGGTCATGTCCGGCTCTGCTTCACAACGTGGTACCACAGCTGGAAGAGGAGCTCCGCGTGGCAGAGAGTCAGTTACGAATTATGGCGACACAAGTGCTAGGCGAGATGTTCGCAGACAAAGGCGGTGCGGACTTCGTGCGCAAGTACCCGACGACATGGAACGCGTGGCTCATGCGGAAGAACGATAAATCGGCCGTCGTCCGACTGACTTTCGTCGAGGCGGTCAAGGGCGTGCTGAGCAACCTTTCCGACCAGCAGGAGACGCTTGAGGAGGTGATACAGAGCAAGCTCTTTGATCCTGATGAGAAAGTGCGTGCGGCAGTGTGCAAGCTGTACTCTCAGCTCGACTATGAGACAGCATTGCATCATGTGTCTGCGGGCATGCTGCGCGCTGTCGCTGGGCGCGGTCTCGACAAGAAGGTACGGTAGTTCCGTGTCCTGCAATGACGCACGCCTCAACTCTTGCCAGCATGTCGTCCGCGTTGAGGCTCTCACTGCAGTCGGTCGGTTGTACAGCTTGGCGTACCCCGAAATGTGAGTCTGTCCCTCCTTCGTCCGCTCGTCTCTCATGCATTGTAGTGAGAACAACGATCCGGCCGCAATAACACAATTCTCATGGATCCCAGAAGCAATCTTGCACATGGCCGCGACTACTATAGAAGTGAAGTCAGTCATCGCCCCCTGATGAGCTGTGTTCCGTGCTTACACTCGCGGGACTTATGAAACAGATCCATCGCAGAGCAGATAGTCGCTGACTACATCTTCCCTCTTCCTTCGCCACCATCCAGCTCATCGTCGAAGAGTAACGGTGACGTTGACGAGGCTGCCTGGACGGATCGCTTGCTCTATGTTATGACGTTCCTGGATGAGCAAGCCATCAACGCCCTTCTGAGCTTCTCCGGAATGAGAGGACTGTGAGTGTGGCCAGCCCTTCCTTTGTTGCGTCTAATCCTATCGATGTATCAACAGGACACGCCCTGCTACGGAACGATTCGTGCAAGCCTGCATCGATTATAACGTATGTGCAAGTGTGCTCCTTGTCAATACCGTTCACTCATTCTGTCTCCAGGGAGGTGTCATAGACGAAGACGAGGAGAAGGTCACAGAGCACCTCAAGCTTTCCGCAAGACGGGTCGCAGGTATGTTAGACAGATGTGCGTATAGCTATCTACCTCATGTCGCAATTTGTGCCTATCAGGTACCTTCCCGGACCCCCAGAAAGCGATGGAAGATCTCCACGCCTTCGCAAAGCTCAACGAGGGCCGTCTGTATAAGCTTCTGAAGACGTGCATGGACACACAAGTGGATCTGAAGAGTCTCGTCAAGTCCACAGTGGGTCTCCTGTATCGTTGCTCACTGCAAGCACTAATCCGACCATGGTGTAGAACGAGTTTCTCCGCCGAATGGAGCAATCATCGTCCTCTCTTGTTCCGACAATGACGATCTTTCTTCGTCGCGCGAGCCTACGACTTGTGAACCAATCCTCCGTACCCACACTCATCAAGCGCGTGCAGAAAGGCGACTCTGCAGACGGAGTAGGGTCAAGCCAAGGGGATGCACTTGCCCAGAATGCACAGATCTGGATGAACCATATCGCCAAGCACGGCCCTGCAGTGTACAAGTCCCATGTAGGGGAGCTCTCGAAAGCTATCGCAGACGAGAAGAACGCGAGGCTCGTCGAGGTGTGTTTGCAAGGTCTTGCGGCGGTGTCGCAGTTCGACAAGAAGCTTGCGCCGAGCGATAAGTGTGTTTTGTGGGTAATTGGTTAACGGCCTGTTCACTGACAGTGTTGCCCTGTAGGAGAACGTTGGACAGAGTGATGAAGTTCGTCATGAGTTCAAATGCTCGTCACGCCAAGTTCGCAGCACGCATCCTCGCGCACTGCAAAGATTCAGAAGAGGCGTGTGGGACAGTAGTCGAGGTGAGATGACAGCGTGTTCATGTTCAGCCATAACCGCTAACCGCTTACACCTAGTCTATCGCTGACGTTCTCCCGGAAGCCGAGCCCGATCTTCTTGCCGCGCATATAGTTGTACTGGCTCAGCTGGCGCTCAAGGCACCAGATGCCTTCGAACAGAAGAGCGACGTTGTCACGAGCTTCCTCATCAAGAAAGTGCTCATGAAGAGCCAAGACGAAAATGTGAGCGCTCACGCTCCATATTGGCCTGTTCGCTGACAAAATACAGGATGAAATGGATACGGAAGAAGAGTGGGTCGAAGACTCTGCGATGACGCCGCTGCTCAGAGCGAAGCTCTACGCGCTGAAAGTCTGTCGAAATCGGTGTCTTGCGCATGCGTCTTCCGAGACTGCTGTCGAGATCGCGCGACCGGTCCTAAAGATGTTTGTCGCATTGCTACAGCACTCTGGGTCGCTAACGGCGGATGGGCATGACAAGTATGTAGACCTCCTCTTGAAAGTTGATCGCGCGTATTGAGGTGGTTGCTTTGCAGTGCGAAGACAAAGGCACGGCTCCGGTTACAGGCTGGCATCTCCATGCTGCATCTCGGCACTGTGGAAGCGTTCTCCAACGAGATCACCGTCAACTTCATACTGGTTGCCATTACTATTCAGGTAAGCCGCCCAATTTTGTTGCCAGATCGCGCTTGACGGATCTGTAGGACCCTTGCTATCAAGTCCGTATCAGCTTCATGGACAAACTGGTTGGCTTGATGACCGCACGGAAACTGGGACCTAGCTACAATGTTATTCCTTTCCTTTCCGTGCATGACCCGGAGGCCGATGTGATCAACAGGGTGAGTCATACTCTTGCGCGTTATGGACGACATCCGTGACTGTACTGCGGGTTAGGCAAAAGCATACGTGACGGCTGCGTTGCGTAGTATGCCCAAAGGTTCGTCTTGAGTATTAGGTAAGGGGGCTTCCGTTTGCTCATATTCCTTCCAGCGTTCCGCCTGCAACAGTTCGAGATCATCTTCATCCGCCTACTCCACCTCGTCGCCCACCATCCAGACTTTGCCGTCAATTCAGAGACATTGCCAGACCTTGCGAAGTCCGTAGTCGCCTTCAAATGTGCACGCTCCTCCGGCTGATGTGTGCCGCAGATACTTTGACTTTTACCTGGAACAAGTCGCTAATGCAGAGAACATCTCGCTGTTATATCACCTCGCCATGAAGGCAAAGACAGTGCGGGATGCCCACTCGCACCAGTACAGCGAGGTGAGTTCCCATGAATGCTGCGCCTGAGCGCTAGATCAACGTCTTCCTAGAACTTGTATGCTGCGAGCGAAATGGCGCAGCACCTGATCAAGGCTCGTGCGAAGCAACATTCGTGGAGTCTGGAGAGCTATCCGGGCAAAGTTCGGTTGCCGGGAGACATTCTCCGGCCGCTGCCTAGCGCGGAAGCGGCCAGCCAGGTACGTACGCATGACATGACTGCATCTCGACCATTTGAGTAACGCGTGCGTTCATGGACAGATCATCAAGACGGTGTATCTTCCTGATGAGACCTTGGCATGGCTCAAGGAGCATCACAAGACACAGCCGAGAGCCGCCCAGGAGCCCAAGGTAGCTTTCAACGGCCTTCGAAGACTGTCCTATGTCTGATCGTGTTATAGCAGGAGAAACCTCGTGCCGAGCGTAAGACGACCGGCAAGCGAAAAGCCCCTGTGGCGAAAACGAATGGAGCAGCCAAGTAAGTGCTAGACTCCTTTCCTAATGATGTAATCGATGTGTGACTGCTGCTGCAGGCGGACACGAACAAGCGCAAAGCGCCGCAAGGCTGATGAATCTGACGAAGACGAACCTTCATCCTCGTCACCATCGGATGAGGAGGACGAGGGCAGTGCAGAGCGTGCGACGGAACCCGCCGATTCAGAGGGTGAGGCGAATGGCCACGAATCTGAAGAGAAGGAGGAGAAGCTGAGCCGAGGGGCGAGGACACGGGCCAAGGTACGTTCAACTTACCACCTCGCAACTAAAGAACGAGGGCTTCATTGGTCGTCTTCAGGCCAAGATTAAGCAGCAAGCCAAGAAGCCTACAAAACGGAAGGCGAGGGGCCATTCTCCGAATAAATTGCTCCTGTAGATGTCTCACGACTTTTTATGAGGGTCCCTTGTCTGTACCACGTGGATGCCGTTACGATTTTTCGAATTGCTTCCTCTGCTGTAGCGTTGCTCTCTATCTCGCTGTCTATGCACTATATATCGTACCCATATATTACTCAAGTCGATCAGTATGCTCTGTGTTCTGACGTTTATTCTGGAATCCCTCTCATACCAGGATCGCAATTTAGTTCTCACCTGTAGCAATGTCTTGCGCTCAGACACACCTGAGAAGCACATCCACCAACGATGCTTTCGCAGAGCACTGGACACGGTCGCCATCTGCGCGTCGAATCGAATCCACGACATCCAATCACAAGGTGGCGGCGACGCTGGCGTTCAGTATAATTTACATATATGGAAGGGGTGGCTGAGAGATGGCAGCCACAGGGATCGGAGCTTGAACCTTAACGAAAAACTGGTTGCCACTTCGGGGACTGCCGCCCGCGTCAGTAAGCCGAGGACCATCGCCCCGCCCAAAAGTCACTCACCGCCGCCGACGCCCTCAAGATGGTCAACGTTCCCAAGTGCGTGCTCGCTGATGTTCGCGTATTGTGGTGCTGACTGACCAATGCACCCGTAGGACACGACGAACCTGTGAGTAACCTCAGACTGAAGCATATGGAGACTTCATGTTGAGATCGCGTCCGGTGCAGACTGCAAGGGCAAGCAGTGCAGAAAGCACACGTAAGTTCAGGCGCATAGTGCGTGGAGAGCTCTTGTTGAGATAGTATGTAGGCCCCACAAAGTCACGCAATACAAGAAGGGCAAGGACTCGTTGGCCGCACAGGGAAAGCGCCGCTACGACCGCAAGCAGTCGGGTTATGGTGGTCAGACCAAGCCCGTCTTCCACAAGAAGGTGCGTCGTACGCAGTCGCCTAGTATGCGCTTTACTCAACGGACTGCGGATCATTAGGCAAAGACGACCAAGAAGGTCGTGCTTCGGCTAGAATGCACTGTGTGCAAGTACAAGATGCAGATGTCGCTCAAGCGCTGCAAGCAGTACGTTGACCTGGGTTCAACGCTCTCTTTGATGATATCTAATGGTTACATAGCTTCGAGCTCGGTGGTGAGAAGAAGACGAAGGGTGCTGCCCTGCAGTTCGTGCGTACCTTCCTGTTGTTCAGGATTCCTTCGTACTGACTTTGTACTCAGTAAGCGCCCTTCCTTTGCTCCGTCTTCCTTCTCCCTGCGTCTATGTTGTTGTCGCCGTCGTATACGCTATACTGAGTTCCATGTGACATGCACTCCTACCATGCATATGCCATTTCCAAAACACTGTACACTAAGAGTGGGCTTAGCCCACGGCACATGGATCGATGGTGGAACGCTGCACGTCAACAGGCTTAAAGATACAATCGTCGTCAAGACCTATGGAAGGGTCTAGTATTCGTCCTCGATACCATCTATCGTAGGATTGCAGAACAACCCAAGCCCGACTCGTCATAGTCTCCGTTGCAGACCATAAAAACCGACATGCGTAGACTCGTCAGTGATAGATATCGATCGCTCGTGAGTACCTTCTTATGTCGGTCGAGACTGATGACAATTAATAAAATGCTCACTGCGACGGAAACAACGAACTGAATTGCTGGTAAGCAACAATATTAATAGTACACTACTTACACTACCTGTCCAACATGTAACTTGTGATGAGAGTGCGTATGCGGCATTAACAATGCATGATGCGAGGTAGAGAGGAAAACAACGACGAGAAAGCTGTAGATGATGTCTTTATGAGCGGGGATCCAGATCTATTCAATTGCCAATGCGAGCGCGACTCAGCCGTAGTTCAGCTGAGCGCCCCCGCCATACTCGTGCCGCAGTGAACTTGGATGGATGCGCCTGGGAGGCATGGATGGAGGTGGGTACGGCGGCATTCCAGACGACGGGCCGCTAGGCGGCCACTGGCCCATCCCTGGCGGTGGCTGGCCAGGGCGAAGGGATATGGGGGAAGCGCAGTCGGCTGGGGCGGCGGCCCTGGCGGCTGGTAGAACCGCTGCTGTGGGTTGGAGTATCCCTGGGGTGCATGCGAGTGTGCTCCGTAAGACGAAGGTGGGATACCATGGTTGGTCGGAGGAGGGAGGCCGTGGTTGGTTGGTCCGAAGCGGAACTGTTCGCGGGGCGGAGGAGGACGCCGGTACATGGGCTGGGGCGGGCCTTGGGCCATGGGTGGCGGGAGTGGTCTTTGATTGGGGCCGCCGACGAAGTAGGAGACCGCGGGCGGCGCTCCTGCACCTTCCCGTCGCCCGCGTTTATCGAACTCGTGGGAGGCCTCGTACTTCGGTAAACTGGGTGAGTAAAGATTAGCTTGGATGTTCACCACATGAAGATATATTGTTACCTTTTCGGGTCAGCAGGTAAAGGATCCGTCCAGAAGTAGTCGTGATCGAGGGCTTGCTCTGCCGTCAGACGCTCTCTAGGGTTGCAAGCCAGGAGCTTGTCGAGCAAGTCAACCGTCTCGTGACCGATCCTGACATTTGAAGTAAGCCTCGTGCTGGACTGCAAGGAGGAATGGCTCACTGTTCATAGACATGCCTAAGCCGTCGATTGTAATTGTTCCATGTTCGGACTCCCTCGCAGCCAGGTAGCAGGTCCCATCCCGGCCATGTTGTTTCGTTAGGCGTGCCGCACAACTGCCAAATTTTCTCGAGTTGGTCGATGTCCGACCCGCCAGGGAGAATGGGTCTCCGCCAGAACATTTCAGCCAACACACATCTACGGGGAATGTCATCAAGTTCGCTCAAGATCAAGCTTCAAAGCGTTCTTACCCGATGCCCCACATATCTACCTCACCGCCGTACTGGCGCGCACCGAGCAGCAGCTCAGGCGGACGGTACCACCGCGTCACAACGCAGTTTGTGTACTTGCGCTCCTTCCGCGCACATCCTCCTTGACCTGCGTGATCCGCGGGTCGAATGCGCGCGCTAGGCCAAAGTCAGCGATCTTGAGGCTGCCATCGTTCGAGATGAGAAGGTTTGCCGCCTTCATGTCCCGATGGAGGATGTGATTCTGTGGATGCTCGATGAGCGGTTCGCACAGAGACGCGGAGAGCCTACCCGGTGCATGTACTCTGTACCCTCGATCAGCTGCTTCATGTATAATTGATCTGGCTCGGCGTGAATTGACACGCTCGTTTTCGAGGAGACCCGCGAGGTCGTGATCCATGTACGGGAACACCATGTAAACTGAGAGAGGCTCCTTGCCGCTACCTGGTAGGGATCAGTCATCGACATGTTAGGCTGGCGAGAGGGCGGACACGCACTCTTAACGACAACATATCCTCGATGTCGATGATGTTCGGGTGGTGGAGTGACTTCAAGATCTTGATCTCGCGCAGCGCCGTGACGGGCATGCCCTCCTTCTCGTTGTGCATGAGAATTCGTTTGAGTGCAACAGTGTTACCCTTTTCACGGTGCATTGCCTTGTGTACCTCACTGGATCCATTGAGTGAGTGCAATGGCTTACCACGCAAGAGTACGTACCCGAACGTCCCCTCACCGAGCTTAGTGAGGACGTTGTAATCGTCCTTCCGGCCACATCCAACAAACATTCGCCGTATACTGCTGCTTCTTCTTCACGCGAGCGCAGCACCGGCTTCCGTTTCGCTCGATGTTGCACTGGTGGGGGCGGTGGGGCTTCTTCTCCTCCACTTGCCCCTCTTCTTCCGACTTTGGCTTCGGCACCACGTCCGTTTTAGCGGCAACCTCAAGAGACGGAGGTGATCGTACACGTAGAGGTGATGGCCCTTTCCTTGCGGTATGCAACGCGAACTTGATTGTCGCATGAGCACCGAGTAGGGTCTCGTCCTTTCTCGCTGTTTCTCCCGCAGGCGGTCCGAGGTCCGAATGGGATGATGGCCAACTTGGAGGTACACCAGGAGAACGCGGCGGCGTGTGCGGTGACTGAGGTCCGGAGGGACCCGCTGCAACATGCGAGATAGGCTGGTGGCCGCGAGGCGAAATAAGGCTGTAGTTCTCCTCCCTCCGCCGGCGGCCATCGCGGTCGTATCCATCGTATGCTCGGCCCCTGCGGTCGTAGTCATCATCCCAGGCACGTCTCTGCCTGTCTTTACTGCGGCTGCGGCCCCTACTGTGGCTGCGACTTCGTGGAACAATGCTGCTCCCCCTGTCACGGTAGTAACCAGCGAGTACATTCGAGGACTCGGCTTCTCGCCGAGTAGGTAGGCGATGCGTCTGCTTCCTTGCAGACGCCGGTGAAGGCGACCGTGACCGTGGTGTAGAGATTGACCTAGAGCGTGTAGGAGAGCGTGTGCGCGAGCGCGAAGGAGAGGGAGGTCGTCTGCGAGGTGATGGTCTGCGTGGCGAGACACTGCGAGGAGAGACGGGGCGTGGTGGGAGGTCGTACAGCGGTCTCTCGCGCTCTCGCGACCTGCCTCGCTCACGATCATGGTAGTGACCTCCATAGTTATCTCGGCCTCCCCGATGGCCGTACCTCCCTGCAGATGGCTCCCAGCGGTCTGCGCCGCGGGGCGGCACAGGGCGCGCCTCGTGCCGCATAGGTTCGGCTACTGTCCACCGACGGTCCTCATACCTATGCCTATCATCTTCGCGGCTGCGTTGGTATCTGGAGCCTATGGGTTCCTCCTCGCGCGTAGGTGCCTTGCGCTTGAACGGAAATGGCACCTTGGCCTTTGGAGGCGGGGTCGCCTGGCGTGGTGGCGGTGGCGAGTCGTCTACTTCTCCCTCCTCGGGTGAGGACGGTGCGTGCCGCTTGTTCGGTCTCCCATCTCCTGGAGATGCCGAGGCTGCTCGTTTGGGAGGTGTAGAGTACATCCTCCCGGAGGACGAGGGTGTGGTAGTAGAGACTAAGAAAGAGTGCTAGCACGACGTTGCAGCCACACTGACAGTCATTTACCACCTTGGATTTCCTCGTCGGATCAATTACGTAATTAAACTCACTTCGCGAAGACTTATCCCAAAACTTTACGAACAAGCACTTGGGACTTGCTTGGGACAACCGCGCTACGGCTAGGCAAAAAAAAATCTCTGGGAGGGCTATCTCTCCTGGATGCTCGTAGATGCGTTGACTGTAATCAGAGGATTCGTCGAACAAAGTGCCTTTTACCAAATACAGACTGAGGATTCTTTCAACTTTGATCGAAATTTGATATCTTCCCGCCTCCCAACCTGCAGCGAACATCTTCTCCAAAAATGACAGCAACGCTCGAGGGCAACGCTCGCTTCATGTTTGGAGTCTGTCTTGGAGGTATCGTAGTTTACAAGGAGTTGTTTGAATAATGTGCAACAACGGTTTCCATATATGGCCTAAGCGCATTCGCCGCTCGCGTACTGTAGCTTCGGCGCCACACGCGAACTTGAAGTTCGCGGCCTTCAGCCTTCCTTCCAGTCAGTGTACTTCTGCCTCACTGCTCACTGCATAGACTAACTCGGATTATCGGCATCGGTAGTAGCTTCCTGTGAGAACTTTGCTTTACGTGGGTCTATGGGTGACAAGTAACCATCAGCTAAATTCACTAGTCAGACGTATGAGCAACTTGTTCTCGGCTTGCCGTTGAACTTGAACGGGCCAGTGAGTGCTTCAATCTCTCGCCTAGGCTCCCGTAGGCAGGCCACAAATGTGATCTCTTTGGCGCGAGCTGGAGGGGGATAGGACGATCCAAAGTGCCTCGCTCGGAATGGACGCCCGCGCGATTGGCCGATTCTTGGGGATCGTGTGATTCGCTGTCAGCGGTCAGAACATCATATAGCTGGTGAGTGGCATAGCCTCCAGTCTACATAGTACTGACCATTCATATTAACGCCCGACTGCGACTGCTCAGACAGCTCGAAGATGGTTCAGATTGAATACACCGTCTGTATTACTAGTTCTCTGCGGTGGTGGCGTTCTGTTGTCAAATGCGGTCCTGATCGTGAAGCCGACTTCACACACCGCCATTTGAATACTACAGCCTTGAAGATTTCCGCTGCCACCGCCGCATGGTGAGGCTGCGCAGAATGGAGACCCTGGTCAGCGTTAGTATTCCGGGGCTTACAGCCAGAACGGTACTACGTCATACGTACAGCGGCGTAGACGCATCGCTGCAACTATGGCATTAATGCGATAGGTCAGTCCTGCCCGAGGTCCGATAGAACAACCGCATGCAGATTGTGCTGACGCGTTATGATAGTATGTGGCAGAGTTCGTGCGTACTTAAAGCAAGATGTGTTTCAAGGTGTAGCCCGGTTTTTCTGCTGTCTCTCAACGTGCCCTGAAGTTGAACGCAGACTCTGGCCAACTCTACACATGTCGTGCAATATCCACCCTAACATCGGGGTCTTTCTGCATGCACACTGGGAGACCGCTGGATACGTCCCTATGCGCTGCTCTTGTCCTGCCATAGTGCTGCGAGCATATGGCGTTGCGACACAGAGAGGCCAGTCACAATGGCAAAATGTCGGCATCCCGGTTGCTGAATCGTCATCGGCGGGGATTTCAAGTGTCTTCAGGTCGAGTAGATCTGCGGTTCTGAGCGTGCCAGTGCATGACTTAATTGTTTACTTCACAGGTCTGAGGTACTCAACGTCACTGGCGTCGGGGAGTTCTGTGTCTACGCTGCGTACGCTTCATGGTGAGTGCCTTCTTGACCATCAGAGCCGAGCAGTTGGGTCATTCGAAGGGCTGTGCAGCGGCGGGGGCTTTGCTGGCAGTGGACTCCCGCATCCCTCACAAGTCAGTGGTGCCGATGCGCGGAGAATGCAGTCAGCAGCAGCAGACGCACCAGAGACCGAGGTGCCCTCTGTCGTCGTGGGTCAATAGTGCGTGCCACGCCCTCTGGCATTTGTACCTGTCGTAACCTTATATCCGGTTTGTCAACCCAGCACTGGTCCACTAGAGGCCGCACAAGAAGCGAGGACGGCTGTACATGCCAACGCCACAATCGGCGATTTACGGAGTCAGACGACTCTGCATGCCACGTCAGTCAGTCGAAGTTACGAGTATGAGGACTTATCCGATAACAAGCTGTCCCTGTCAGTGGCGACGTCCTGAACACGATGGGAGAACCGCAGGCTATACCGGAAGGACAGGCCACACTGAACTTGCGGGACAGCGGAGGCAACGGCACCGTGCAACAACCTGCGGACAATACTCCCGCAGATCCGCGGGACACGGTCGTTTGCATGGAATTGAAGGACGGTATGGCGTGCAACAAAACATTCCCCAGCCGAACCTCATTGGGACGCCACGTCCGGAATGTCCATCAACAACCTTTCCCATGGGCCTGCTCCAAGTGCGATAAGACGTTCAGCCGAAAGGATGCGCTCAAGCGACACAATGAACGCGTGGTCTGCTCGACGGCGTACCCTGGCGGGGTTCGACATGGCCATTCGAACGCTCATAATTTCGGTATCCCTTTCAGTCCGCAAGTCGTCGCAGAATAGATATGATATGTGGCATGTTTCTCTGAGATGTGTGTAGCCTACTTCGCTGTTTTCGCCTGAATACGGTCATATGGCGTATGATCAACTGTCATGGCGATGCTCTGTGACTTTACGAAACAGAAGCTATGTTATGGGTATCTGAGAGTCTATATATGCATTGCATTAACACCTCAATTGCTCCGTGAAGAGGGTGTTCTAGCTGCCCTCGGTAGGATTGGAAATTCGGTTCAGCTGTGTTGACCAAGACCGGTGCTCAAGTCGTCGGATGGTGCAAAGCCGCAGAAAACCTAATACGCACCATACACTAGTATGTCCGCGAATGACGTGTCTGGATTGAATGGAGAGGCTCAGATCGGAGGCGCCATGCAGCCTACCCTTGGCCCTGATCCATTTACGGCTCTCCGCGCGAAGATCGTGGCGACCTATATTGAGATTTGACAGCCTCGGGGAGGCTTGTTTGTCATGTGAACGAGCGTACATCATAAGGTGCCTGAGCGTTTCGCTCTAAACTACCGATTGGAATCGAGGGGCTTGCACATACGTACCTCCTGTACTCTCACAGATCTGTTGTTACCTTGTCGTCAACACGCCCTCATAGTCGAGATCACCTGTTTACCTCCAGTAGTTTGCGTCTATCTGTGGTGCCTAGCCTGCTGTGAGCATCACGCATCTTCGGTATCGCATTCTATTCGGAGTAGTACTATACCGCCGTCATGACGGTGCGGGCCCTGGACCGGGATCCGGATTCCGGAAGGTTGAACGAGCTATAACGCACGTTGCTTTCTCTTGGCTGCAAGATATTTTTGGATAACAATCAACGCGCTGGTAGCAGCGTGGGGTTGAGTACGAGTCGAGCGAGCCTACACTGGCGAAACGAACGACTCGGACTCCGCCGAGCCGCCGACTGGTCCCGAATTGTCCGGCAACCACGTTACACGTGGGTAGGCTTCTTTAATTGCGATCATGATCGACATCGAGATTAGGGGCGTCTACTCCCGCGCCCCGCAGAGCGCGCGGCGAGTATTGGGCGGGGAACGCACGTGTCTCGGTGCAAACCATGAGGGACACATCGCACGGGCTGGAGGCTCTATCGCCTCTGCCCTGCGCCATTCCTGTGCAGCTGTGGATAAGAGGCACAACTCTCCAGGCGCACGACGCTGAGACCCCTCTTCATCACCACCGCCTCGGGCCTGGTTTCACGCGTGTGGGGATAAAGGCTCTCCGGTGCGGATCCCATCAAGTAGTCTTCGCTCTCAATCCTGGGTCTGACGATCTCTCTCCCAGACCTCTGATCTCGGCTTTCGACCTTTTCGCTTGACGGTCAACTGCAGCGTGTGCGGTCTGCAAGATGTCGAACACGACGGACGAGAAGCGGGATACAAGGGAGACCATCAGCGCGGTGCCTGCATTGCAGACACGGAGCACGAGGGAGCCACAGGAAAGCTCGATGGGCAGGAAGGCCCGGCTCAGCGCATACTTTACCATCGCTGCGGCCGCGTTCGGGCTCATCTCCGATGGCTGTGAGTCTCTTTCCCCATCCTCTTGCACCCTTGTCGTGTTGTACATTGCTGACTCCAGTCTGGCTTGACGCACTTGCTGTCATGAAGATCAAAACAACCTCATGACGATGGCCAATGTGAGTCACTCGCTGCATGGGAGTCCTCGGAGGAATGCGTCGGGAAATTGACGGTAGCTGACGGTCCGCTATGTGCGTCTGTTGTAGGTCGTGTACAAGAAGTTGTACGCAGCAGAATACACGTCCTCCGTATCCACCCGCGTCTCGAACGCCCTTCTAGTCGGTGAGTGATATCAGCTTCCTTCCCGACGGGCGAAGATCGCATCGTCGGTGTCTGTTCCAGCAAACGAAATCTCGAAACAGTCGTTTGCATGACCATTGTCGCATCGTGTTTTCTGTGTATGAGGGTGGCTGTGGTTGCCCGCTTCGCATTTGCCACGGCGCAGAACGACCATAGCGCCGTTGGGGCGCCGCCAGCCACAGAGCACCGAACAGTGACGGGAAGTTCGTCGCTGCGCGCGTGTGACAATCGTTACAGTATGCAAAAGACTGTACAGGGGGCACTTTTGCGAAGGGTACGTACAAGTATCGAAACGGGTTTGGGCATCGCGACTCCCCGCACGAACACAGTATTGGAGATGCCCCCGGCTTGCCGGTAGTGGCGCGGACGTCATTCCGCCTACGCGTGCACACCGAGTGTCCATCGATGTCATTTGCTGTCGTTCGATCTACGATTAACGGATTCAATGCTACAGGCGAGGTCATCGGGCAAGTGTTTGTCGGCCTCATTTGCGACCGCGTTGGGCGCAAGGCGGCACTGGTCCTCACGACGCTGCTCATTGTCATCGGCGCGACGCTCGCCACGGCTGCACACGGCGCACACGGGAGCGTCAATGGTCTGCTGTGGTTCGTTACCATTGCACGCGGGATCACTGGCGTGGTGAGTCTTTCGTATATCAGGCCCTACGTGCTGCGGGCTGAGTTGCGCTCGATGCATTCCAGGGTGTAGGTGGAGAGTACCCCGCAAGTTCGACGAGCGCGAGCGAAGCCGCGAACGAGTCGATGGTCAAGAATCGTGGGCCAGGTATTCCCGCTCTCTTCCGTCGTCCACAAGCCTCTCGCTGACACCGACCACTCCGCAGTCTTCATCATGGTCACGAACTTCGTGCTCAGCGTACGTTGTACCTGCTCCAGCGAGCATCCGCACCACCAAGCCTCTGATATTGTCTTGTACAGTTCGGCGGCCCACTTTCGGTAGCTGTCTTCCTTATTGTGCTGAGCGCCGCGGGAGAGAATCATCTCGAGACTGTCTGGCGCGTTTGCTTCGGCATCGGCATCCTCCTCCCGCTCACCGTGTTCTACTTCCGGATGCGCATGCTTTCGCCTAAGCTGTACGTCCCTGCCCTCCTCACTTGCTCTTGGCTGACCCTCGATGAACCCAGGTTCCGCGAGTCCGCGATCAAGCGTACGTAAATGAATTACGTCGTCCGAGAATGCGCTGATGACCCCGCCGCGTGTAGACCGCGTGCCCTATTGGCTTGCCATCAAGCGCTACTGGCGCCCGCTCATCGGGACGTGCGGCGCGTGGTTCCTCTACGACTTTGTACGTCACCCGTAGCCCTCCCCTTACCAGGCTTCTCTCTGCGACGTGAACTGACTTTGCGGCGCGGCCTGCAGGTGACCTTCCCGAACGGAGTCTTCTCGGGGACGATCATCTCGAGCGTGATCCACGACGGCAGCATCAAGTCGACGGCGGAGTGGCAGCTCCTCCTCGGGGCGATCGCCTTGCCGGGTGCGTGCCCTTCTTCACGTCACTCTGAAGGCACCCTGTCGGTGGCGAGGGGGGCGCTATCTTGATACGTGTATGTGGAATGCTGATCCACGCGGTACAGGTGTGTTTGTAGGCGCAGCCTTGTGCAACCCGCTCGGTCGGCGGAACACGGTGAGTCCCTGTCCCTACGCGGATTGGTGGAGAGTGCTCAATCAGGGGTTGAAGATGATCCTCGGGTTCAGTGGGTACCTCGTCTTCGGTGCGTGTGGTCCCCAGTCTGAATGTGTGGGTGTCCGTGTGGCTGACTGCGTCTGTTTGTCTTGAATCGCGTGCCACGCATCGATCGTCCTCGCTTGTTCGTCGCTGCCGATGCCGATCCGTGCGGTGGTTGTGTGCGCGTATGTGGCGATCGGTTGGCAGGGCTGATCATTGGGCTGTCGTACGACAAGATCACGAAGATCGTCCCGCTGTTCTCATCTTGTACGTCCGTTTTCTCCGTGCTGTGCCCTAGCTGATCTTGCACTGTTTTCTTGTAGCTATGGCCTGATGCAGTCCTCTGGAAACATGGGCCCGGGAACATGCTCGGGCTTGTTAGTGCCGAGTACGTGCTCCTGTTCAGTATGAAGGAAGTAGTTGGTTTGACGAGCCTCGGCTTTGATCGGTAGATCGTACCCCACTGCAATCCGTGGGACATGCTACGGTCTGTCCGCCGCCATTGGGAAGACGGGCGCAGCGATCGGCACGCAGGCGTTCACGCCGATCGAGAACAACCTCGGCAAGCGGTGCGTTCATCCCGCTTTCACCTTAGCCTCCTTTCCTCTCACACGGGCATGCACTGACATAGTTGGACGTTCATCATTGCCGCGATATGCGGCGTCGCCGGCGTGCTCGTCACGTACTTCTTCGTGCCAAACCTGACCGGCGCCGACCTCGCGCTGGAAGACGAGAAGTGGCTCCGCTATCTCGCGGAGAACGGGTGGGACGGCGAGGTCGGAGATGAGGGCGGCGAGGTGGCGCTCACCGAGAAAGTCCGCGCGGGGAATGAGGACGATAGCGTAGATGAGAAGGCATAGGCGCAGAGCGATCACGGGTGCTGTACGGTGGGGATTTAACGACACTATTAATGACGTGACGGGTTTGCGCTTGCTGTTTTGGTTTGTTTTATCTTGTGCGCTGTTGTAGCATATCGCCGAGCAGATACCAATTTCTTGCGTTGACATCAGCCTTTCGGGCATCTGCACTCAAATGACCTCCGCTCAGCGAGCGCCGGTTCGACTAAGTTCGTAGCGCACATTTAGAGGTGACATCATGATGCTCAAACTTGGAGTTGGACATATCATAGTAGAGAAGAAGCTTGACAGACGAGCCAGCGTCCGCCAAAAAAATGGAGAATCACGATTTAGGTCTACTGAATCCCATTCGTCTATTTCTACACGCTGACGCACGGTGAGGTGGTTCTACGAGGAAACTTGGGACGACGACAGCGGGAGGCACATTGGAACCGGAAACTACTCTGAGGCAGCGCCAGGATCATACCAGCACATATATTTGTACCGTTCATGATGCCGCGTGAGGACCATTGCTGCGAAAAGGGCTGACCGCAAAAGCGCAATGGACCTCGTAGAGCTTGAGATGCGTAGTACAGACGTGCTTGGCTAGCTGATGCAGGTCGGAGACGTCCCGACCGCACGCTCTGCGGTCCACAACCCATTGACATATATGCCTCGTTCCACCATCGCGCTGCTCGGTGACGAGGTTGTGCCAAGTCTGAAGGTGCTCGAGCACGCTCTTGATATTCAGACCGTTATCTGTCTCTGTGAGGGAGCTGCACGGAATACCGTAGTAGCATGGCACTACGGTGACTGCAGCTTGCAGTGGGTGGAGGGAAGAATCTGTCCACTTGGAGAAACACCAATATCACTACGTCTCACAAGAATATATATGTTATGACCACTTACATGGGATGAGCATGCCCTACGTTGAGATGCTGGGGCATTGCATATCCTTGACCGTATGTCTGTGCTTGCACGACTGGCGAACTGCAAGCCGTCAACGCGTCAACGATCCGCACAGACCATGCCCAGCAATAACATACTTTGGCATGCCTCCGTACGGATTACCTCCTCCTTGATAGCTGTTTTTGCCAGCTGACATGGTGATCGGGCTGAGAATGGGAAACAATATCAGTCAGCATGGGGAAGTGCCATGTTTCACTCACGGAACAACTTTTGTAGGCGCGTAGCCAGCGAGAGCATTCACGCCCTGTGCTATGGATGCGAAGAGCGGATTCGGGTACTTATATAGGCCAGAGTGGATGCGAAGAGCGGATTCGGGTACTTATATAGGCCAGAGTGGAATCGGATAGCTGTGAGGGTCGGAGGGTCACCTCGATCTCACGCTTGTCAAACCCTACTACCCAAGTAGCCCGGAATGTTACCCCATTGACCGGAGTCGTGTCCTCATGCAGTCACTTTCCACAGCCGCACCTGAGAATATGCACCATGAACATGAATTCGGGAGCGCAGTGTCGAACGCGAGTTTTAAGTCACAATTGATTCCCAGCCAAGCCTATCATCGAACGCAGTATATTTCTATCTTTATACCGCTGCCTAAGCTGCACTCAGAATCAAGGCAACATTGGGCTGCCCGGCGGTGAAATGGTTGATCGTCGAACGAGACAGAGACATTCCGGATTGGCCAAAAGGAGGTTAGGCGGGCCCACGGAGACTCAATTGTAAAAGAATCGTCAAAAGGGTCACCGACATCGGATCTTGCAAATGAGACACTCACCTGGAGAGTACCGTACTGGTTCCGCAGGAGCGAACCGCACGCCAGTTACAAGATCCGCGGATCTAAACGCTGTGACTAGGTCATCACGCTCGTTCTCCCCAATTCATCGGCCCAACACGCACTGCCATGTTCAATAGACACCGACAGTCAGAAACGGACAGCATCCCAACGGGATTGCGATCTACTCCGAACTCTCGTGCTCTCGTATTGCGACCAGCACGAAACACCAAGGAGACACCACGACTCTGCGAATACGTCCCGTCTTGAACACGGAGGTCAGTAGCTGCATGTAGCGGCGACGTGGTCTTGACGCGACGTGCGGTAGCAACCCACTACATTATCAGTCGAACCTTAGACATGCAGAAGCGCACGATAAGTGTCGGTGCCCACCTGAAGACCCACACAGCAATGTTTTGAGCGTCGTGCCAACATATCGACAGGCTATCAAACGTAGATGGGCTTCGCAACACTCGCTCTGCTACCCATCTGCTAGGGTTGCAGAGAACCGGTGTTGAGTATATGGTCGTTGCATGTCTCGCCGCCGAGCGAGCGATAGGGTGATACTCTTGGAATTATGACAGAGTGCAGCGCAGCCTTCTAGAGTAGTCATGAGAGTGTCCACAGTATCATGAGAGTAACCACATTCATCGGTGAGCGAAGGTGAAAGCCGTGAGCGTTGGCGAATGTGATGATGGTCGTCGGAATGAAGTGGCTTATTTGTTTGGCCCAACGTCGCGCCCAGACGCGCCACACCGGTGACCGTGCTGGCGTTGGGCGCAGCACGTACCACGACAACTTCGAGACCATCTCTACCGACACTGCGCCGCAATGGCGGATTCGGCCTTCAGAGACGTTCCGGAGATATTCGAGGTGCGTCCAAATCTCTCATTGCACAGGATAAGCGACACTGAGCGGCAAGACAGGTCGATGTTGGCGAGGCGTATCCGCGCGCACAGAGGCTCTATGTCGGTACCACTCGTGTTCTTGGCAGCGCTCGGAGGTTGACTAGCATTGCGGAAAATGGACAGCGACTGGAGAGAGCTTGGACCCCAGATTTGTGCCATGTCGTAAAGAGCACCGGACGGAATGGGCAACGCGACGTAAGTGGCCGGCCTCGTACCACACCCGTACTGCCTCCCTAACCTCTCCTTACTCCAATCCTACACCCACTCGGAACTGCTGACGGTAGCTCGGATCATACCACTACGTGTCCGGTGTTGACGCGTCGTCCTCCGCATCTCTCGCTGCATACATCAACTCCCTAACATACGCTATCGAGGACGACTCGGGCTGGTTCTCGAAGGGCTCAGCTTGGAAGGTTCGGAATGGTTGCTATTGGTGCGTGTCACTGCCTCTAGGAACCTGCACAACAAGAGAATAATGGCTCCCTAGCTGTTTCAACGCGTTCTCGCGCGTCGACGTACGCGTCGATGTTAAGATACCCGGTGGCGTGAACGCGTACATTGTCGACCTGCGTGGCGAGAGGTGAGCGAGCGATTAGTTCTCCAATTTCGAAGCCCTGTGCTACGGTGGAGGTCTAATCTTGTCTGGACACGATGTGGTCGCTCGAGGCGCTTGGGGTTCAGGGTGTCTACTCACCCCGGTCGTAAGGCCAGTCCAATGAGTGCAGTATGGCTGGGCTTGACTGTGGTCAAAATCCCAGCCACTCAAAGGACCTATGCGTACTTCCGGAAAGGCTAACGCGCAGTCCGCACGAAGCGATTATGTCTGGTTGGGTGCACAGGTTTGTCCCAAAAAGACAGGGCGTCGCCTCCCATCATGTGGACGAGAAGTTCAGAAAGGGTGACTTCCGGATTGGGTCTCTGTGGATAGGGTTCCTTGATGGGCACGGCAGTGTTCTGCCCAGCGTTCTCCTTGCTGACACGCGCAATACAGACATGACCTGACTCAGGACATGCAAGACATGTGGCAAGAGGTCTACCTCTCTGCAATTCTACGATCAATCCTCTACTCCGACGACTCTGCGTATTGGCTCGACGCGTATCGCAAAGTCGACCCGATCACAACTCCGGAAAGCGAGCTGCGCTTCCTGCAGGCGGCGGAGGCCCTGTTTAACAAAGGTAAGTTAGGGCTCGGAAGACATGACGAGCGCGGCTAACGACGATGGGTTAGGTTGGCAGGTTGGCTCGGAACCAGAAATCCAGGTCGCGACCGTCGTCTCCAACCACCTCACGTCTGCTATTATGAAGTACTTCGGTGACAGTGGGCGGTTTCAACATGCCGCCAACCTGTTCGAGAAGCTGAGCGCGAAGGAGCCCGAACTATCGTCTCTCCTTGCGCGGAGTTACATCGGTATGAGTACGTGAATCTTGAATCCCCCTCACATGTTCCTCACTCATTCCGTGGTAGACGAAGAGGTGAAGGCAGTGCAGATCATGGCAGCAGCGGTCAAGCAAACACCACAATCGTACACCCTCCTGCACGCGCAGTGCGACTTCCTCCGCTCGAAAGGCAACTACGAATGGGCACTGAAGCTGGCCAAGCAAGCTGTCAACTGCGCGCCCAGCGAGTTCGTGACGTGGGAGAAGCTGACCGAGTTGTACATTGATCTCACTCAATATGAATCAGTAAGTGCGGTCCTACTGGTAAAGAGTTGCCGATCTGAAGTTGTACTTAGGCGCTTCTGACATTGAACTCATGTCCGATGTTCACTTACAACGGCCGAGATGCGCATCGGAATCTGACCGCGGCACGAATACACCTTCCCCCGAAGGGCCAGATCGTCGAGATCCTTCCCGAGCGTACAAAAACAGAAGACGACGATGTGGGTGCACCACCTCCATCAACGCTGGAGCTAACTGACAGTTCTTGCAGGCCGACCCCGCGCTCCTCCGCCTCCCAGCACCAGGCCTCCGCGGCACCTGGGCCCGCGCGTACGCACTCTTAACGCGCCTCGTCTCGCAAATCGGGTGGGACGAGCTGCTCAAGACGCGGAGCTACGTCTTCGTCATGGAGGAGGAATACCGCATGCAGAAAGCCCAGTCCGACATCCGCACGCACTCACCCACCCCGACGCCCACGACCGCGAACGGCGCACTCCCGAAGCGCGAGGCGTCCCTCGCCGACAGCGCGACGCTGGTTTCGAAGGTGCAGGCGGACGACGACGCGTCGACGCGCGGGATGGTGTCGCCAGGACACTCGCAGAACGCGTCCGCGGTGGGCGAGCCGGAGGGACTCGCGGCGAGTCCCAACGGGATCCCGCAGATCCGGATCTCAACGGAGAGCGATCGCGAGCGGGCGCAAGCTGAGGCGGCTGCTGAGGCAGAGGCAGAAGCAATTCAGATTCGGATGCAGAGAACGCGGGGGAAGCGGAGATCGCGGTGAATGGGAACGGAGAGGCGCTGGAAAACGGGATGGGCCACGCTGCGGGCGAAGCGCTGGAAAGGCCTGTGCAGGCTGCGGCTGGGACGGGCGAGGGTGCGCAGGAAGGTGAGCCGTCTGGGGGTCCAGGCCAGGAGGCGTTCTCGTTCAGCAACAAGCGTCTGTGTGAGCGATGGCTTGACAATCTCTTCATGGTTCTCTATGAGGTCGGTTACCGTCGTGCTGTGCTCATCAGCGCTGGGATTGACGGTTGTGACTCTAGGATCTGCGCGTCTGGACGATTTTCCGCGCGGAAGTCGCACACTTCAAGACACAGCATGTCGCGTACAGGAAGACAGCGCTTGAGTGGGAGATCCTCGGAGACCTGGGTTCGCGCCTGCAGCACAAAGAGGAAGCTAAGGAGGCGTACACGCGTTGCCTAGACTCGCCTCGATACTCGTACAAGCCGTGGTCGAAACTGCTCGACATGTATGCTGAGGAGGGCGACATCCAGAGGACGCTGCAGGTCGCTATCCGCGTCGCTGCGTACCAATGGGGCGAATATACCGAAATGACGGTGAGTCCTGAGACATCATCTGTCATGCATGCCTTGATTGACGCGTGGTACGTTCTCAGTACCCGACGCAAATAGCGCGCTGTCTCTTCAAGCTCGGCCAAATACACGGGCACGCCAAAATCTCGTACACGTTGTTGAGTATGGGTCTTCCTGAGGGGATCGCGAAGATCATGGAGGGGTATCTGAACTACGGGAAAACGTTCAAGGTGGAGGGGTACGATTTCTAATCTCTCCAGCTTCTGCAGGTTGTACATAGCCGGTGCTCCTTATTTAAAGCTCCTTTCTTTGACTCTGACACCGAAGTCACGCGGATTCTGTCTGGACTGGGCGACTGGGTTACCGATGACGGGGAGTCATCAAGACGAAGACACCCCTCCTCCTATCTTGTTGTGGGACGGGATACGTCCGCCTGTTGCAGCGATGTACTGGCTTCGCGAAAAGATGGCCAGGTACTCGGACTCGAGCGCTCGGACCTACGGGGCGACGAGTCCATGAGATGCGGTCTGTCCCAAGACGCGGGTACTGATAGTAGGTGGCAAACCTTGTGTCGATAAGGGAAGAAGCGGACGTGCATAAGGCAAAGGTACGTAGCTCTTCCTGGTCAGCAACGGAGGCTGAAAGGTATCATGCACGCAGTGTCGCTGTATGAGCCGGAGTCGCAGGAGATTGGACCCGCTCAGAGTCTAGGTAAGTATTCTGTTGGTGTGCTGTGCAACACTCCGCTGGCTGTCGTACTGTGCGGGCCGCGCATGCATATGTTCACTCACCGCCAATTCATATGGCCGCCCGGATGAGGCGTTGTCCTGCGGTGGCAATCAGCGTCTCAACTCCGATGAGAGCGGAATAAAGGCTCATTCCATCGTTGGATTCCATGTTCAGTGGTTCACTGCAATGCAATGATGGCGCTCTGAATCGGGGCTGCATCGACTAAAGCCTATAGCTACTCATGGTCCATGGATTCCTAGCACGGTCAGTCCATTACGAGCTGCACGTGTTGTGAAGTGCTGCGGCTCTGCATAGCCTGCCCTGCTCCGGATCTCCATGGAGTGCATTCACGAGGGTGCTAGACACGCCCGCTGTCAACGCTTCAACGCTGGTTGCTGCCAACAGTGAATCAATGTGGTCACAAAGCGGCATATCTGACCTCGCTCGGCCATGGATGATATGATCACATTCAATATTATATACTAATCGTGCTGGAAGATCTCCATGGTCTCTTCATTTGTTCTTTGATGCCGTTGCGCATATGGGCCGGGCATCCCTTGTTCCTACATGACATCAATTAATTGCCTGTAGCTGTGTGGAGGAGCAACCCGTCACGGTCGCACGTCGGGTTGGCATCTCTTCGCGTCACCACACTCTTACAATACAAACTCAATCTGTTACGCAGATGATGGATATTCTCGGCTCTACCGGCGCATTCGCGACGAACTGGAAGGTGGAGACAGGCCGACCGTAGGACAAGACGGGCGCCGCCGAATCAAGTGCCGCACCTGCGAGGGCTCCTGAGGTTGCGATCGTAAACAGCATCGTTCGCGAGCTGCCAACCTCGCCCCGAGACTATGGCCCGCCGTTCAAGCCGGTTGAAGGGGACTCAAGGGATGTCTGTTGCCCGGACGGGTCTGCTGTACGATGTTTTCCGTATATGGCCACTCCTTCCTGATCTGTCAAACGATCGCTCGTATTTCACGCGTCACGCTTTCTTTGGACCCATCCAGTTCCTCTCGCTGTCCGATCTCGTCCTACTACTTTTTTATGTTGTGTTTATACCTCTTCCGTGTTCCAGAACTTCTCGACTGCTTGCATGTACTTATACCGCGCCTGGGTGCCCGTCCCCCATCAAATCTCCCCGCTCGACGCTCTTGCTTGCTCGTCCGTATTGCACGCACTTCCGCCCATGCGGTATCATGTTCGCGCCCTCATAACCTCAAGTCTACCACTGCGCTCTGAGACGCGTGAACACTTCGTCATCGAGATTAGTAAGTTAAGTCGTACGCCTCATTGCTCCCGTCACGCGCCTTGTTCCTTCCGCCATTTGACCGGTTGACCATTCGCGCGACGGGGACACGGCGTCGCTGACATAAGTAGGTGTAATTGATTACAGTGGCTCCAAGTCGGCTCGACCTGTGTACCTCCGCGATAGCCCTCACCGTTGAGCTGGTCTCCGACGTGCTCGAAGCAGCAACGCGATGATACACTGCTCCCATGCACACACGCATTCGTATGTTTTCGCCGCCAAACAGACCGTCACCAGTGGCTCCGAAGACGAGGACGGGTTCGGTGCTTCAGCTTCGCCGCGAAGGTGGTCTTGGATGCCAATCGTGATCAGGCACAACACACCGAGCCGCGCCGCCGCTGCCGCGGAACGTTCAGGCCCAGACGCCCGGCACTCGGCCTCGTGCAGATCCGGCGGCGCACGTCGGCCGGCGGTCTGCAAGGCGCCCGCCCGAGCAGCGGCGAGCAGCCTCCGGACGACGACGGTCGGTGGCCCGCGCACGCCGTCCATCACGCGGCGCGCGGCGGGCGGAGGCGGGCGGAGCACCAATCTCAGAGGAATGGACTGATGGGGGCGTCTGATCTAGGCGCCGGATGCTGAGCGCAAGTATTGATGGCGTCCCCTCTCTCTCCTCCCATCACCTCTCCCGCCCGCCGTCTCGCCTGCGCTCGACGCCGCCATGCCTGCACGCCAGCCCGCAGACCACGACCCCCTCGACGCCATCTTACGACCCCCGTTCGACGAGACACCCGAGGAGAAGGCGTCCCGCGTCGCGCAGGAGGAGGAGGCGCGCCGCGTCAGTCTCGCCATTGACGACAGCATCCGCCAGGATCGCATCCAGAGGAAGAAGGCGAAGGTCGTCAGGCTTCTCCTGCTCGGCCAGAGCGAGTCAGGTGCGTAACAACGCGTTCGCGCCCTCTTCGTCTGCTCACTCCGCGCAGGCAAGTCGACGACCCTCCGACGTGAGCATCTTTGTCTGTCTGCCGCCGCTTGGTCTTGATGTGGCGCCTCAGAGTTTCAGCGGCTTTACACGCCGTCTGCCTTCCGCGAGGAGCGCATTCACTGGCACTCCATCATCCAGCTCAACCTCATTCGATCCGTCCACACCATCCTCGATGCCCTCGCCGACGTCCGGCCACACGAGCTGCCCTCCGCCCCGCCTCCCCCACTTCCTCGCCGCCCCTAGCCCCGCGTCGGCTCGCCCCGAGCCTGCACTCCACCGGGCACAGATCTTACGGCGACTCTGCGTCTGCGTCTGACACTGACTCGGCCGACACGCCGCCCGTACCTGCGCTGCCGGGGCGCCTGAGCGAATTCCGCGCCCGCCTCGCGCCGCTGCGCCACGTCGAATCGCTCCTCGTGTCTCGTCTTGTGCCCCCCAGCGAGGACGCGCCGTTCCTACCGACGCGGCCGCGCGCGGACACCACCGGCGAGGTCTTCGTGCGCCCGGGCTCATGGAAGCGTGGCTGGCGGATCGGCCCGTTCGGTAGTGGTGGGCATGGGCCGGTGGGCCAGGCGGAGAAGGAGCTCGCGGAACAGGTGCAGGGCATACTTTGGCGGTGCAGCTCGGACTTGATGAGTCTGTGGTACGACCAGACGGTGAGAGCGATCTTGAGGAAGCGGAAGGTCCGGCTGGAGGAGAGCCCTGGATTGTGAGTGCCATCCGCTTTACGCTGTATTCTGTCTTCAACAGTAGGCAGCTTCTTGAATGATTTGCCTCGAGTCACGTCGCTCAACTATTCACCGTCGGACGGTAAGCGCGTTCGTAGATGTGGGTTGTACTGGGGATGCTCACTCGGGTGATATAGATGACGTGCTGAAGCGCGACTCAAGACGGTCGGCGTGTCTGAATACCGGTTCGAGATGGAGGCGGGCTCTGAGAGCGGCACGCAATGGCGGATCATCGACGTCGGCGGGTCGCGAAGCCAGGTACGTACCATGCCCACCTCTCTCTGTGACTCGGATCTAACATCTCCTGTAGAGGCGTGAGTGCTCCGAGCTGCGTGATCGCCAGATCGATGTACTGACGGATGATTTGCAGAGTCTTGGGTTCCCTTCTTCGATGATAGTACGCAGATCTCTGTTCTTCCTCTTCTCGAGGTGCTGACCGACGATGGCAGTCGATGCTATCATCTTCCTCGCGCCCATATCTGGCTTCGACCAAACTCTCGCGGAAGATCGGAGTGTGAACCGGCTGGTAAGTAGCCTATCCTTCCAGCCGTCCTGTGAACAGCTTCGCATATTACGATGCCCCAGGAAGACAGCGTCCTGCTGTGGAAGGCCGTCTGTGGGAACAAGCTGCTCGCGCGGGTCGACCTAGTGCTCTTCCTGAACAAGTGTGATATACTGGCGTCGAAGCTCAGCTCGGGCGTGCGGCTCGCGAAGTATGTGAAGAGCTTTGGAGAACGGTCGAACGACGCGGATACTGCGGAGAAGTGTAAGGGGATCATTTGACTGGAGTGCGAAGATGACGGTGCTGAGCGTCGATGTAGACTTCAGGAGCAAGTTCAACGCGATACATAGGGAGTACTCGCCGATCCCGCGCAAGTTTATGGGTTTTGTACCTCCGTTACCGTAGCGCAATGCTCCGTTGTTCATAGAAAAGTGTTGACGATGATTTGAAGGACACAACAACTACGGGCGGCATCATCGCAGTGGTACGTGCTCGAAATTGTAGATCGCATCGGTGAGGTTGACCGATTCTAACAGTGCGAGACATGGTCGTCCGTGAACACCTCCGTCGGTCAAGACTGCTTTGAATTTATTAGTCTTGTCGCCGCCGTCCCGCTTCCTTCCCGCCTCCTCACCACATGCCCTCTACCATGCGGCACCCCATCGATGCGCTGCTCTGTCTTGAGTCCTGACAGCGCCGCGGCCCCACCGGCCAGCGGCTACGTGACGCGCTGACTGTTATAAGTTACCAGAGCTTTTTGTTTACAGCTCGGACCCATGCTCTCTTGGATAGGCTGTTATGCTTCGCGGCGTTGCTGCTCGCTCGAGGCCTCGAGGCCACCTCAGGAATCGCCTTCATATTAGCCCTTGGGTGGCTGTATATCCGAACAGTGAAAAGGTCGGACGATGTGTCGCGATACCGGCGACTCACTGACTCTGACCGGTGCTCACGCGCCCAACCGTCCCACTACCCTTCTCTCTCCCCCCCATTGACTCCGCATGTTGCCACCCCTTCACCCCCACGGCCCACGCTGTTACCCGTCTAACTTGGAATTCTCGCGCATCATGTAATTTCGACTCTCCTTGCATATAATCCCACCACCTACTCACTCGTCTCGTCGCTTGGGCGGACGGCTTTGTACATAGTGTACGCGCATACTTATATGACCCGGATCTCGAGCATTGTTGAGGTACTCTTACTTAGATGTCATACCACGGCCCGTTATCTGTGTTGGAGGATCTCGTGTACTTAATTATTATTCGCGTCTGCTGAGAGGATTACATCCTGGTTCTGGCTCGTGTATTTCAAGCTCGAGTTTGTGGGTTTGGGTGTGTATGTTGGGAAGCTGGCCTCGGGGTGCGCGCGGTGAGTTGAAGACGTCGTGACGGTGTGTGAGAATTGTCTGGGGTCATCGTAGGGCAAATCAGGTACGTTCTTGGTTTGACATCGCTGCCACAAGCTGATGGGACTATAGTTTTCGCAGAGTCCGGAGACACCCAAGATTGTAGACCGGGAATGCACGCTGTTCGGTCGTTGCCTTGTGGGATACAGGTGAGGCCGGGCTAAGTCAAGACTCAATAACCCGCGAGTCAGTACCACGCAGAGCGAGCGCGCACGATGTAGGACTGTTATGTTGGCATGAGTGGGTGTCTCCACCGCTGAAGCCGTCGAAATGGCCGTCGGTGCAGTGAAACGCAAGTTTGTCATAACGTTATGGCACGCCGTGTTCAGTTGTGCCATCAAGTCTTGATCCTCTACTCACATACCGCCGGTCACGCAAGCCGTCTAGCTCAAATTCAACTATCACACTCTCCCTCGGGGAGGAAGAGTGGTCTTGTACAAGGTCAAGACGACGAACCCGTCCATTCTGTTCATGACGATTGTCGCCCACTCCTGCAGGAGCCTGGCAATGGGGCCGCTGAGCATCACGTACAAACCGAGACGTAAGTAGGTTGCCCCTACACTATAATTGATCGCGCATTAGTGTGCCTGTTTCATGATCAAGACTCAAGACAGCAAGTCCGAATAATACGCCGATCCGTGCACGAGCGTCGATCCCGATTCAGTTGCTACTGATATATGCTGCATGGTGCTAGTGGGTTTACCCACAATCCGGAGTGTCGAAACTCCCAGCGGTGCAAAGAGGAATAAGTGGACTATGCGTGTTCGAGCTAATGGTGTTTTTTCACAGATAACTGCTGGCAAGGGCGCAAAGGACGAGAAATAGAGATTCACAACCGGCCGCGAGGTCCTGATGTCATTCAACCACGACGATTTCATGCATTGAAGCTGAGTTTTGTCAATCTCGCGCAATGGATTGACTGACGAAATCGCGTAGAGCACAAAAATTCCTTGACTAAGCAATAGGTTCCATCCCAGTCCTGAAAAGCCTTCGTTCAAGCCTACGTGGATATACACCGATGATCTAAGAAACATAGAACGGTGCGGTTTGAGCGTATATGCTGTTCTCGGCGCTGTCATAGCAATTAATGACGAAGTAACAGGATGAATCATGGAGGCACTCACGTCACATTAGCTGCGTTCAAGACGTAGAGCCTTCCGTGCCAACGTCGTCAAGTGCTGCTCTGACTAGTGCGATAGATTGAAGGCTTACCCGGCGTTGACATCGGGCACGATGATGGACACCGAACCCTCGTCAGTCGGGACATCGGCAGCGAGCGCTAAGGCTTCCCCGTGTTCTGTCGATGCGAGCCACAAGGAGAACCTGGCAGGGTCTCCGGACTGGCTGTCCAGCCCTCAGCGACCGTCTCTCCGGGGTACCACCCAGAAGTCGGACTATCGAGTTCGAGGGCATTGGCGAAGGAAAAGAGCAGGATCAACGAGCTGTACAGGTGTCCAGTGTGAATGTTCAAATGCCTACTGATCACTGCAGTGATGCTATCACGGACCTCAGAGCCAGCTTCATTGTTCACGATGAGAGAGGTGGTTGTGGGGGTTGTGCTTGCCTGGCGTTCGCACCTCAAGTGCACGGTTTATATACCCTTGAAGTGGACTCCGCCCAGTCATCATTATTGGTAGCTCGTCGAAAGCAGCTAAGAGTGGCATCGTGAGCGCGTATACACAGGGAATGTTGCCCTATGCCCGTACTGGCTGCCTATGCCACGATACTACAGTAGTCGTCTGTGGGTGGAAAGGCCGCATGAGACCGACCTCAAGCCTGAGGATCGTGTACGCTAGATGAATGTAGGACACGACGGACCGGGGATTCATCTCCGCGACAGATGCACCTCCATTCACTTGCAGCGCCGCCAAACGACATAGACTATTGAGCTGGAATAGCGTCTATCTGTCAGACAGACGGGAGAGTCCTTTGACCGTGCGATCTTCACCCACGAAGGCTACGACGCACCATTCTATTGTACTATGAATAGTACTCACCCGCGGCGGTTGGCACTCGACACCCTCTAAGAAATGGTACCATATCGCCGTCGCCCCGGCGGCGGTTCACTTGTCTTGATCAAGGCTTGTATGTCAGCAAGACGAGTCGGACTGCGGATTCGTTGGGGCTAGGATCCTCGGCATCAGCCTGAAGGTCCGGGCTGAGGAGGAGCATGCGTTCCACTCTGGGACCTACGCATCTCCGGCTATGCAAAACGCAAGAGCACACATTCCGTGAACAGCCTGGCTACTGGCAAATATACATACCAGCTGGATCCTATGTTGCGTACAAATGAAAGTTTCAGCCCCCTGTACTCAACAATATCCATAAGTAAGCTACCGTGCCATGGACGTCGTCGATCTTCTGCTACTAGTACTCATTCCTGTCCTCAAAGCGCCGGATCTCGATCAGGATGTGGCTGGCAAGGCTGAGCGGCAGTGCGCTGCGACGCATTCAATGCAGGTTGTCGATCGTTCACCAATGTCTGCGAGCGGGATCTGACAATCAACATATCAGCCTCCATCTAGATCATGTCCTATTTACGCTCAAGTACTAGAAGCATAATCCGCAATGGCCAGACGCGGCGGCACCGACGCTGGCAGCGGCCAGAGCGCCGGTTTGCGGAAGTGGAGGTATTCGCCTAGTCTTATGATGAATTGATGCATGGAAGCCGAGTCACGTAAATCTCACGCAGCGGCTTGACCTCACTTGACTGACAAGATTGCGCAGAGCACAACCATAAAATGATCCCTGGTCTAAGCAACAGATTCCATTCAAGCACCGAAAAGCCTTCGTTCAAGCCTACGTCATATACCGATGATCTAAGAAACAGAGAACTGCGCGGATTCGGCGTATATCTCGTTCACGTTGCTGTCATAACAATCAATAACGCAAGTAATAGGGCGAACCATGAAAGCACTCACGTCACATTAGCTGCGTTCAAGACGTATTGCCTTCCGTACCAATGTCGTCAAGTGATGCTCTGACTAGTGCGATGGATTGAGGACTTACCCAGCGGCGACATCGGGCACGGTGATGGACACCGACCCCTCGTCAGTCGGGACATCGGCAGCGAGCGCGAAGGCTTCCCCGTTCGAGTCTGCCGACACGAGCGTCAAGGAGAAACTGGCAGGATCTCCGGACTGGCTTGTCCAGCCCACAGTGACCGTATCTCCTGGGTACCACCCAGAAGTCGGACTATCGAGCTCGAGGGCATTGGCAATGGAAAAGAGCAGGATCAACGAGCTAAGTACATGGTTGTTGAGTGTGAGTGGTCAGATGCCTATTGATCGCTGTAATGACGCCACGTACCTCAGAGCCAGCTTCATTGTTGACGATGAGAGAGGTGGTTGCTGAAGTGTGCGTGTTGTGCTTGCCTGGCGATTGCACCCCGAGTGCACGGTTTATATACGCTTGGAATGAACTCCACGCGTTCGGCATTATTGGTAGTTCGTCGAAAGCAGCTAAGAGTGAGATCATCATAGGCGGGGAACTATGCCCTATGAGCGTACTGGCTGCCTGTGTCACGACACTGCAGTACCATCTGTGTGTCGTTGTAGGGCCGCATGAGACCGAGCTTGAGGATCACGTACGTTAGATGGATGCAGGACACGACAAGACCGGGGATTCTTCTCCGCGACAGAGGCACTTCCATTGACTTGCAGTGCCACTAAACGACACAGACTATTGAGCTGGAATAGCGTCTATCTGTCAGACAGTCGGGACAGTCCTTTGGCCGTGCGATTTTCACTCACGAAGGCTACGACGCACCATTGTGCTATAAATAGAACTCACCCGCGGCGACCACTAGACACCGTCTGAGAAACGGGACTTGTATGTTAGCAAGACGAGTCGCCGACTCGAAATCGCACCAGTGCGGATTGTTGAACAGTGGAAAGTGTAAACTGGGGTTATTGGACCGGCCCATCCTCGCCATCAGCAGGCTGACTCGGATTCTGGTCCTGGTCCTGGCTGAAGGTCCAGGAGGAGCATGTGTTCCACTCTGGACCTACGCATTTCCGTATACGCGGAACGCAAGAGCAGACATTCCGTAAACAGCCAACACACATACCAGCTAGATCCATACACTGGCCGTGACTAACTACCTGTACCTGTGTCCATGCATGAATGGCACGCAGACCATACATAGATTATGCATCAGTCATGCATGAGCGTAGCGCTCCTATGCATGACCTGATATAGCCTTCGCCTGCCATTTACGGGTCGCCCGCCGGCCACTGCGCCGTCGCCGGCTACCTCGCCCCTAATTGGGTGCTTGTCGTGGCTCTTGACAGCACTGTGCCCGATCTGCGATTGCGGTGAGATACCGATCCAACGTGTGCGCACTCACCTATCCCGAAGTAGCGAACTTGGCCAGACCAGGCACCGAGCTGTCAAGTCACCGTCACGGCTTATACGGATCGAAGTCCAGACGCCTGTCGTCGAGCTCGCTCAGTATTGTATGAAGTGTAGACGCCCTGAGACTGCCGTTTTGGCTAAGTCCTGAGTGCTGTGCAGTAATGTACTCGGAGAAGGAGACGGAGACGGAGACGTCGTAGACTGACACATCGTTCTTTGTGTCATAGTTGAGTTGTAGTCTTAGTGATTATGCAGTCACACAGCATCTGAGTTCGTATGATCACCACATTTTATTCTCGATTTGTCAGGGTACGACACAGGCAAGAACAGCCACATCAATGACACAGTACTACTTGGCGACGGCAGAGGTAAGCTACGATACGACACGGCGGGGACACGTTAGGATATCAGGCAGAGCACCGTGCATGGTAGTCACTGCGAATCATGTATGAGAGTGCACACTGGCAGTGACCACTGCAATTCATATAAAACCCCTTTGTTATGGTTACTGTAGTTTATGCATGGGCCTGCCAGGAGCTGGTGAGGGTTGATCACACGAGGGGCACGTCTTGCGGCTGGAAGGCTTGCGTTGGTTGACCGCCGGGTATTCTCAGCGTGAGCACACCGTCTTCCATGATCGCGTGCACGTCGCGAGGCTGACGAGCAACTGCCTCAGCGATGGTCGTCCATTGAGATACGGCACCACGCACCTGGGTCTCTGGCGGTACGCCGATGCTTTTGGAGAAATCACCAAACTTGCGCTCCCGGATCGTGTGCCCCCGCTCCGTGCCGAGTGCACTGCGAGACGTGCCGGACACCGTGAGCTGCTTGACGCGACTGAACGGGCAGGTTGCGATGGAGATGCGGACGTCGCTCTTCTTCACGCCCGGGAGCTCGAACATGGCGATCACGACGTTCTCGACGGTGTCGAACTGGATGTCGGTGCAGATGTTGTAGCGGCGCGGTGCCCCTTGTGAGCTCGCGCTTCGGACGACACGGTCGGGGTCGTAAGCGCACACGCGAGCTGCAAGTAGTCGCATACGCACCTGGTCCCCGCACCGCCCGCTGCGCTCTGTCTCAATACGCGGTCCCGCCAAAGACTCACTGCAGGACATGTCACGGACATTGACGCCGCCATGGCGGACGTAGTCAGCGTGCTCGCGTTTGCAAAGGCTGGACGCGTCTGTTGCACATGCTGCGTCTGCATCTGCGGGGGCGGAGCCATCTCAGGCTCGCGGCCCTCTGTAACACGATGCGAGCGGGACTCGGGGGCGGAGGACACCCTCGGCGTGCCTCTGCCCGCCGCCGCCGAGTGTGGGCGGCGATATGGGTGTGCGCTATGCGCGATGCGTGTATTCCTGGCAGGACCGACACTGCTCGGTCCTGCGCCAGACGAAGATGCACCGGGGCTCTCGCTCGTGGAGATGTGCAATGGCGGCTTACTCGAAGCACGCCGGCTACCAGACGTCTCGGCCTTGCGCTCATCACTCGTGGGTGTCTGTTGCTGGCGAAAATCTTCCTGCGTGATGTTGTCGAATCGATACTGCGCAGAATACGCTGGCCGCTCTTGCAGTTGGATTGTCGTCGGTTGCTGGTATGTCGGTTGCGGCTGAGGCTGAGGCTGGAGTTGAGGCTGGAGTTGAGGATGCAGTCTGAGCTGAGGCTGGGGCGGCGGCTGTTCAAGCTGTTGCTGCATGAACGTGAACTGTTCAATCTGTTCTTGCTCTTCGGGCGTCGTGTACTGCGAAACCAGCGGGGTCATCGGTTGCGGGGTTGTGTCATGCTCACTGGTGGCCATGTCCCAGGTGCCAGCGAAGTACTGGGGTGTGGACGGGTCTGAGTGGTCGTAGGGGTAGTATGCCATTAGGTGGGGCGAACGGCGACGCGGTCAGCGGGGGCGTCGGTATATATCATGGCAGCGCGCTGCAATGAGGCGTTGTGATGGGACACCGCCTGACTCGTTCGTTCGGGACGGTCCCGGGGGCGGCGATACCATAAGAGGCAACTGGGGCGGCATGGCGCTGTTCGCCGTTGCCTTTTATGGTAGCGCGGGCTCGGCGGCGGTGATGCCCGTGGGCGCGGGCGGCCTAGGGCGGTCGGGAGAAGTCTTCGCACACACGTTTCTCCCACCGCGCCATGGGATCGCGCCATATCTGCGATAGCGCAAGGAACAATGGCCATCCCGCTCATTGTGGCAAGGATAGCGGGCAGCACGTGTGCTTCGAATTCTAAGCTACCGCGGTCAGACGGGAAGCGCAGGGTGTAGCAGCGTACTCACTTCGTGGACGCGAGGCACGCGTTCTGCAGAGCGTCTTTGCCTATTTGATCATGGTGTATGTAGGAGGATAGTAGTCAACGTTCGGGGTCAAGGAGGGTGGGCCGCTTCCGGAGCTGACGCACATCTTATATATGCTGGCTAACTACTGTGGTGCGGTCATCGGTGAAAGGTGAAAGGTGAAGAGACCGTTTGAGATGTTCCATCACAGAAGTCCCATTCCAAATGCGGAAACGGACGTGCTCTATTAGGCAGGTGGCGGAGTGAAGTCTGCTGGAATGACCGCACACAACTCGACGTTGTGTCTGTCCTCCCGACAATGACCTCACTGTCATCGAGCTTATGACGTCGAGTTTCGTTTTGACAGTGTCTGCTAGTACATCCGAGTCCTGGTCATGGTGGCGGTCAGGTTGTTTGCATGTGTTGTCCAATGCCTTTGGATTCTAACACAACCAAACATAGCAGTGGCGATATCCAGGATAATCTTGCTGTCGACGGTTGCTCCGAGTCAGTGCTTTCGGGAGCTTATGGTTGTTCCTTACCTTTATCATATCTCCGTCTCCTGAGCCTGCTGAATTCATCCAAATCCTGTTCTTCAGCACCCTCATCCAGAAACTGAAGGAGAGACTGCCTAGTTCGCCGCGCCCTCACCATGATATAACATCCGAGTCGTCGCAATATCTGCGTCCACCCGGAACTTCCACACTGCATCGGTGGCTAAAGCGTGCAAAGCGTATGAGCCAAAATGCAAGCATCCGTGCACATTGCTGGCGAACCGAAGTTTCCCCGGACCGCCGGCAGGGCCCTGCCTTCGTTTGAAGATGAAGTCGGGACGTCCAGTGTACCAACAAACTCGACGTCTAAAGCTTATATGCTACACTCGAATGATCCAAGTGGACTGCATCTGCAGGTATGTTTTCGATCGTGGTCAGTCTCCTTTGTGAACGCGCGCGTCGCACAGATGTCTCGAATACCTCAACCACTTCTGGCGAGTGCACCTTCCCTCCGAATGGCGATTATCCGGAACTTTCTCATGAATATTAGGTTCTTGCGAATCACGATCAGCTTACTACCACGAGAACGAGCTAATATTAAAACGCGATGCGCGAATCGCCGTTTCTAATTGTCACACTGACTTTTTACAGCTCGATGGCCGTAATAGACTCGAGGGTGGATCACCGACGGCGACATATTCATTCCTCGCATCGACCCTAGGATAGTCTACACGTGGTCCATGCACGCCTTCTCACATTAAGTATTTACGTGCGAAGGGTGAGTTCGACGTTCTCTCGCTTCGGGCGGCCGCCGCCCCGCGCCGCGACGGCTTGCAGTTCGGACGCTCCCTGGCACGATGCGTATATAAAGCCACCTCTCGACGTCCTTGCAGCCAGAGCCCTCACGGACCTACTGGCGCTGCGATGCCTTCGATGGCACTCTCCCTGTTGACTGCCGCCCTCGCGCTCGTCGCTCCCGCTTTCGGGGACATATCACGACGCGCCGAGTCTGGTGCGGGCTTGACCACCCTCTCGAACAACTCGGCGGCAGCATGGCCAGGGCGTACGTACCGTAATCTGATGCATCCTGTACATGTACTCAGTGATACGCACCAGCCAGCGCCAACGGAGGGTATGCATGGGCGAGCGCATTCTCCCGCGCACAATCCCTCGTCTCGCAGATGACGCTTGAGGAGAAGATCACACTTATTACGGGCCAGCCCGGTCGTTGTGTCGGTATGACTGGCGCTGTCGAGCGACTCGGCGTTCCCGCGCTTTGCCTTGAAGACGGTCCGGCCGGTGTGCGCCCCGTCCAAGGTGTCTCTCAGTTCCCTGCGGGACAGGCGGTCGCGGCGACTTGGGATAGAGAGTTGATCTACCAGCGCGGATATGCGATGGGGAAGGAGTTCTTTGACCAGTACGTAAACTTTGGGCTTTGTTTGATCGTGATCGATGTTGATGGTCTCCTTAGGGGTGTCAACATCGCTCTGGGTCCGGTAACGGGCGGACCTCTAGGACGGAGTCCACGCGGTGGCAGGTGAGTCGCTTCATCTGTGAAGGGCCACCGAACCGAACGGCTGATCTTACTCTCAGAAACTTTGAGGGCTTTTTCGACGACGCCTACGCTACCGGAGAGGCTGCATACATGACTGTGAGAGGTATGCAAGACTCCGGTGTCCTGGCCACGGCGAAGCATTATATCGGTTACGAACAGGAGACGTTCAGGTACGAGTGTGTGGCCGACTTGACGCCCCTGCCCTGACGTGCAACATACAGGGACCCATTCAACCAATCGGAGTCCTACGACGTCTTCCCTGTGAATGAGCAGACGCCCATTTCCTCCAACATCGACAACAAGGCGTTGCACGAGGTCAGCATGTTCTGAACTCTGGTGGCTGATATTGACTGCTTGCGAAAGTTGTATTGTGGGGTTTCGCTGAAGCCGTCCGCGCCGGAACAGGCTACGTGATGTGGTAGGTATCCATGGGTTCGGCCCATCTGCGTCCGGGAGCTCACTTTGACTGACCTAGCTCTTACAACGAAGTCAACCAGACACACTCGTGCGCGAACGCGTATACGTTGAACAACCTGCTCAAGGCGAGGTTGGTCATTGAGCCGGTAAATCCAACGCTTATCAAGCTCATCGTGGTCTCACAGCTCAACTTCCAAGGAGGTGTCATGTCAGATTGGGTAAATGCGCCCCTCGCGATCGCGATCAACTGTGCGCTGAACATCGCGCTTACAGGGTGGCGATTGGGGTGACGCGGATTTCATCAACGGCGGTCTCGACATGAGCATGCCAGGTGTTGGGTTTGGCGGCATCTTCGGCCCAATGTGGGGTCAAGGGCTTATCCCCCTCATCGAGAATGGCACGATCGCAGAGTCTCGAGTGGACGACGCCGTATGCACCTTCCTTCCACTTGCATAACTGACCATTCCACTGACCTGTATGTTCGGCAGGCAATTCGTACCTTGACGCCCTGGATCTTCTCCGGCCAACCAGCATACCCCCCTCCTGCGGTGACGTGGAACGCAGATCCACAGTACTACGAGACGGAAGACGCGTACTGGCGTGACGTCCGACAGGTCGAGACGATGACGCTCATCAGGCAGATCGGCGAGGACTCCGCGACGCTGCTCAAGAACACCAACAACGCACTGCCCCTCCGCGCGCCGAAGGTGATCGCGATCGTCGGGAGCGATGCTGGTCCGAACGAGTTGGGCGCGCTGGACGGCGGAGGCTCGAACGCGTTCCCGACGTGGAACCTCAACGGTACGCTGACGTTGGGCGGTGGCTCGGGCTGGGCCATCCCGCCGTATGTCGTGACGCCGTACGAGGCTATCAGCTATCGCGGGCGCACGATGAATTCGCAGGTGTACGCGATCTTCAATGACACGGCGTATGATGCGGTCAATGTCACTGTACCAAGCGCCGACGTTGCGCTCGTGTTCGTGAGTGCGTTCACGAGGGAGGGTGAAGATCGTGCCACGCTGTATCTGTACGTTGCTGTGCTCGTTGAGTGCTGCTGGGATTAACGGGCTGTAACAGCGACAATGATGACGACACGCTGATCCAGACCGTCGCGGCCAATTGCAACAACACCATCGTCGTGATGCAGTAAGTCCGCCAATCTCCCGCAGCACGTATACCTCGTCTTGCTGACGAGGCTCACAGCGCTGGTGGTCCCGTCCTCGTCGAGGCATGGATTGACAACCCGAATGTGACTGCCGTCATCGCTGCGCACTTCCCTGGTCAAGAGGCGGGCACAGCCATCACCAATGTGCTCTTCGGCGATGTCTCCCCGAGCGGCAAGTTGCCCTACACCATCGGGTACTCCCTAGACGACTACGCGCCCGATACGATCGTTGCGACGCCAGTTCTCCAGCCCCAGGCGTACTTCAACGAATCGACGCTGATCGACTACAGATGGTTCAGTGCGAACAACATCACCCCGCGCTTCGAGTTTGGCTACGGGCTGTCGTATTCAACCTTCGCGTACAGCAGTGTCTACGTCCAGAGCGTCTTCTGGCCGGACACTACGTCAGTCCAGCAGACGCACGAGCCATTCGAGGCCTGGGACGGGAGCAACAGTATCTACGACGTCATTGCGCAGGTGACGGCACAAGTAACGAACACCGGCGATGTTGTGGCTTCCGAGACCGCTGAACTGGTGAGAGTGTCTTTAAGAACCTCTGCGCTGACTCAGACGTGTTGATGATCGGTATGTAGTACGCCACGCTTCCTGGTAGCCCTGGGATCTGGCTGCGGGGCTTTGACAAGCTGAAGGCTATGGCGCCTGGTGAGACACGCGCAGCGACGTTCCCGCTCCGCCGGAAGGATCTCTCGCTTTGGAGCACGGAACGCCAGCTCTGGTATATCCCCGAGGGCGAGATCCAGCTGCAAGTTGGTGCTAGTTCCACGAAGTTGTACTTGGTACGCTCCCTTCAGCTCGCTTGAGGAAACCTCGTATTGACATGTGTTAATAAGACGACTTCATGGTCCCAATGAGGGAAAGGATTGCCAGGACTAGTAGTCATTGGTTCAAAGTTTCCGAACGTTGCATAAACGTTGTGATGGAGCCGCACGGCGAAAATAATGAGAAGCTGATTCTCATGGCTCATCTTCTCGCTCTGTAGGCTGATCAAGTACATGGAAGTTTGCTGGATTGATGGTCTGTCATGCATCAACATTCGAATCTGACGAGCAAATGGTGATGCCTGTCCCAGAGGGGGAGGCCTATGCATCTTCAAGTTGACCGGAACTTCTCATTGTCGGGTCGTGCTACAGTATGTACCCTATTCGACATCCTGGCGCTACTGAGAAGCCTAGACATGCTCAAACTCAAAGTCTAATGGATCGTTCACTCCCGCATCCAGTCGATACTTATCTCAAGCTGGTCGGAGCACCTGATGCTTCAATGTGATGGAACAGGCATTCGCAGTTTGATGGGCGCATGGCTGTTGAGCGCTGACCGGGGCGAGACCGTACTGCTTGGTTGATGACGATTGATACGTTGGTATATATACGTGACCGACGTATGCGGCGGACACCGTATCGCACTCGACGCCATCCATCAAAGCTCCTACGATCCTCAGGATGGCCTCCGTCTCATTCGTGCCACGAGTAGCGCTGATCACAGGCGCTGCTAAGGGCATAGGCCGCGCTATCGCCCTACGACTTGCAGACGAAGGACTGGACGTCGGCGTCAACGATGTTGCGTCAAACGCAGAAAGGCTATCAGAGGTGGTTGAAGAGATCCAAGCACGAGGAAGACAAGCATCGTCTGTGATAGCAGATGTTTCCGAAGAGTCTCAGGTCAAGGACATGATCGAGGCCGTCGTGGAGAAGCTTGGAAGATTGGATGCGGTGCGTCATTCTCAATAGGGATCAAGCTCATATAGCAGAACTACATCGCATATCATAATCTGTATAGATGATAGCCAATGCTGGCATCCCCTCTAAAGGATCGTTGATAGAAAGTACGCACGGACCAGATCAATGCTTATTGTAGTAAGTCAAGCTATCGAGATTGATAACTTCCTCGGCGACAGCCAGTGTAGAGCATTGGGACAACGTGATGAAGGTCAACGGGCGGGGCACTATGCTCTGCTACAAGTATGCTGCAATGCAGATGATCAAACAGGGAAACGGTGGCAGAATCATCGGTGAGTAATAAGCATCATGTTATCTATCTCTGAAATGCTGACGATTCTTCGATATTTTGACAGGCGCATCGTCCATGATAGGAATACGAGGTAGGATTTGACTCATCTGAGATGGCAAGACTCGGATGTCAGATACACATGAACGCACTACTAGGCGCACAAAGGCTGGCTCCCTACTGCGCGTCCAAATTCGCTATCAGAGGCCTTACACAAAGTCTCGGTGAGCCATGCCAGTCATGAATGTTCTTCGAGAACAACTCAGTTCGGGTTAACTTGACAGCACTTGAGCTGATGGAGCATAACATTACCGTGAATGCGTACGCACCAGGCCTCATCCTCACAGACATGAGTGAGATGTTTCATGCATATGTAGATGACGCAAGGTCGTGCTGACCATACATCCCTTGTACAGCCGCCAATCCTTTGGATGCGGCGTTCGGTGGTGCTCATGGTGCTACGTTGAAAGCGGTCAGTAGGGCAGCAACAACGCATACTTGACGTACCTGACGTGGATGTTGCGACACTTTACAACAGCTACTGAATGTCCCTCTCGACTCACCCGAAGCAGGACCAGATGTCGTTGCAAGCATTGTCGCCTACTTGGTCAAGCCCGAAGCATACTTCGTAACTGGTGCGTCGCTCGCTGGGCTGGTGCATTGCGGATTGACGAACATGTCTTGATGCACGACAGGTCAAACGCTTTCCGTCGATGGTGGACTACTTCCTCGCTAGTCACTGAGGCTTGAGGCCCTTGTCGTGAATTCCATCTTGTCCATTCTTTGGTCAGCGCAAGGAGACTATTCTAAATCTTGACATGTAACACACTCACGATGCAACTGACGAGCCGATGTCAAAGGCAACTTGGATGCAATGCAGATACAATCCCTGTCTTCCGATTGGACTCGGTGCTATGTCGGACAGGAGTCGGTAGCACTCACAGATGACGCATTGTCCTACGGTGTTCCATGAGGAGAGATATCGTCGCTAGTAAGTTAGGCTAGGAGCCAGACTTACTCTTACTATAAGCCTCAAGTCTTAGTACCCACTGTACAGTGGGTGTTATATAAGCTGTGTTGAGTGCATGCTCGCGAACAAACTTCCTTTTCTGGTAACTTAAGTATAGCGACGCGGTGTAAAATGCGGGGTTGGCGCCGACACTCATGTCTCCCGCCCAACATGTCTGTCTCCCCGCCCATCTACCGCTACTCGTCGACCAGCTCTAGTAGTCGTGAGGATCTCTCAACCAGTACGAGGCGGAGGAAGAGCGCATCATCAACGTCCTCTCACGAAAGCTCGAGCGGGTGCGTCAGTTTCGTGGCCGCAAGAAGTAAGTCGTTGACCTTTTCGCAGCTTCGAGAGGAGAAGATTGCTCTCGAGAACACCCTCGAGGCCGAGTCTGAAAGTCATGTAAACAGACTTTCAAGGGAGATCTCCGTATTGCGCCTAGCGCAACAGCAACAGGCACAGGTCAATGGCAACGGCAGCGGTAGCATCTCCCCGGTAGACACACGGTTCGGGATTCAAACGTTTCTGGGCTATCGGAACCCCACCGAACCGAACACAGAGATGATGCTCGAGGCGATGCGCAGGGAGAACGAGCAGCTGAGGACCAGGCTCGTCGACACCGAGCGCGACTACATTCGCATCACCCGGCTGAACGAGATATATCGGGAGGAGTTGATCGAGCACAGGAGACGGGTGAGTCGCAGGGGCCATCCTTTCGAGACCGCTTGACTGATGAATCATCATTCATAGCTTGGTCTACCTGTGGACAACCTCATAGGCCTTGCATCTCCCGATCCCTACTCTCAACCTACTCACCACCGAACGTCTTCATCGGCCTCCTCTCCGTCGACCTCAATACCGATTAGTCCAAGCCCCCAACGCTTGCAGAGTGCTCGTCCCACTCCAGTCCCGATCCCCCGTCCGCCATCACAGATTCACCGTCCAGTTAACGCGATCTCCGAGGCCAACACGCCACTGTCGCATTCGCCATCATCCGTGTCCTCCTCCTCACCTTTCCCTCTGTCCCCGCCGTCTGCCTCGCCTATGCCGACTAGCTATGCGAGCGCACACACCAACGTGACGACGCCGCCCTCTTCAGCATCTCTCACATCCAACCCGCCTGCTCCCTACCCAGGCGCAGCCACGACCCTCTCGTATCCTTCCGTGCCGCCACCATCATTGTCGTCCTCCTTCGGCTCCCCATCCACGATGTACCACATAAACACCATGTATCCCAGACGGGATAGCATTGATAGGCGAGTTGCGGAATCCGGGACTTTCAGCCGCAGTCAAAGTCAGGGCCACAGTCGGCGGGCGAGTGTCGAACGTGGTGCCAGGATCGCAGAGACGGGGTCTCTTCTCCCTCGGGGACGCACGACACGCGAACAGAGCGTGCAAGAATCGCCCGAGGAGACGAACGGCGAGACGAGTTCGTCATCCAATGGTGGAACTGTCCGACCACCGAACGGGCACAGCTGACTATCCGCTCGTCTCTGGTGATGACGGTGTTGTGAGTGACGAACGTAACGATTTTCGTGGCGATCGACCACGAAGCTCAAGGACATGGGTCCCGCATTGTATGAATTAGCCGCTGTAACTTTCCGACTGTGAGGCCTAGACCCGGACAAGATCTGTATTTGTATACGAAGCATCGTCGCCACGTCTCGTTACCGTAGCCCAATGAATAATGTTTGTTTGCCATGCCTCAGGGAGATTCCGCATCACTGCTTTACGTCGTACTCATTCATTGCAGCGTTAACGTTGCAACTCACTGCAATGAATTGTCTCAACAGCTCGGATTCGGTAGGTGATGGTCTCTAGCTGTAAGGGCATTGACTGATGGTAATGAGGTAGGCTTTGTTGACGAGGAACGACGCAGGGCTCGCCAGGACCTCGGGAGCCGGTGCAACGATCACCTGAGCCCACGATCAGCAGCTACACAGCGCGTCATCAATGATCATGACCCCCGGATAGAGCTCGGTAAGTACGAGCGTGAGCGTAGGATTTTGTGACCCGGCCACGAGAAGAGACTGAATGGTCACTCGTCCTTCGCGCTCTGCACGCAGTAGGACGACTAAAGATCTTCATTCGACCAAGCGAACAATCATACATTGAACACGACATAGTACAGATTCAATCATGTAAAGATCCCAGAGTCCGTTCCGTGACACCTAGTCCCAGGCGTATGAGAGGAGAAAACGAGCGTACGACAGTTTCACGAAGTAGAGAAGACAGATCAGTCTTCTCCGTCGTGCAGCATCACCGCCGCAGGATCCTCCTTCGCCAGCGAATCGAGTCCTCCTGTGGTCCTCGCTCGTTTCGAAGGACCTGGCTTCGCAAGATCCCCCGTTTCGACTTCCAGCGTCCGTTTCGAACCGGACGACTGCTGACTTGAGCGCTCGATGCTGTACTGAGCAACAGTCGGATTTCTGAAGGCTGCGAATTGGTCGGGCGTTTTTTTCAGAGGTTTCCACAGAGCTCTCTCGGACAAAACGCCTCGACGAAAGCATTTATGATCGCATCATGGGTATTGAGCAGAGGAGAGGGCTGCTTGGTGGACCGCGAAGCAACTGGGACATGTTGAGCCGGAGCCTCCCCGACACTACGGGGTGGCGGCAGGGACTTGGCGAGGCTTACGTACCGGCTTCTCAGTGCGATCATGGTTTTCTTGTCATTGACGGACTCCTGCGCTGCGATCGCATTCGAAGTTTCAGCCTGGGTTCTGGCACGCCAGATAGTGTTCCTTGCAGATTTCACCAAGGTCGCTCAGAAGCTTCGCCAGAGGGGTTCCTGCCAGTGAGGGGACGAGGTCGACTCCTAGATACCGAGAAGCAGGAAGGATGCTTCTGTGCACCGCCGACTGCTTCTCCGTTTACGATACCCTGAGTCTCATACACGTAAGACATGGCCTCAGTCCTCGGGCGGTCTGACATACTGTGCTGTAAAAGCGAAAGCATCCACACAAGGATATGGACGACGGATTCCAGATCATCTGCGACTTCATGCCTCTTCGTAGGATTGCGCAGGAGCCCAGCGGACATGAATGGCCACGTACCCTAGAATAGAATCGGTCAGTCGTCTGCGAGCTAGATTTCATCGTGTGTCATTGACTCACCGAACGACCACATTCATAACCGTGCCATATTCTCGTCTTGCACAAGTCCCAGTCGATCAGCATTCCAATAGAAATACGGTGCCTCTTCATCGATGTAGGCGAAGAGAGGATGTTCCGCGGGCTCATGTCGCCATGCATAATCTTCATCTTGACCCATGCTTGCTGATGGCTACAACGAAAGTAGAGTGAGCATCATCATCCACGTAACGGGCGACAACGCTTACCTTGCAGGGCATCAAGCAAAGCGCATACTAGATAAAATGCATTCTCGTGTTCCTCCAGAGGACGCCCGATCTCCTTGACAACTAGGCGGTAGTGCTTCATAGCGGCAGGCTTGATATGCGACCGAGGGTGTGCCGGTAAGAAGGCCTGCATGCGCGTCTTCTGTTCGTCGTCGCCGCTTCGTACATGCCCCCTAAACAAGGGCGTCGGCACGAACTGAACACCAGCCTTTCTGAGGTCTTCCAGCACCTTTCCCTCCTCTGGCGAACTATCCGTGTCGGCACGCCAGTAGTCCTTGAGGAAGACCAGGCGATCTCGAGCGACTTCGTATGCGATGTAGCATTTGGTGCCACGCCCGGTAGGAGAGTTACTTGCGAAGTAGCACTTTCCGATGACAAATTCAGCTCCAGACCTGTTCCCATATGCTTCCTTGTTAGCGTAGGCATCTTCGCGAGGGAACTTAGGGGCAATGGGTTGCAAGTCCGTCTGATCGACGCGATCATTGAGCGGCATGGTGATTGTATAAGCCGGCCATCCATCTTGATCAAGGGCTGCATTGCGGAACTTGTCCGCCCACTCATTCGGCGGGTGGCAGTTCCGCATCTTCTTGACCTCTTCCTCGGTAGCCCGTCTCGCCGTCGGGTCAAACCCGCGCTGCACCTCGGTCATGCACGCGTACCGCCAGATCACCCGGTGGAGCAACGACGGGTCTTTCTCGAAGTCGATGGGAGCGGACACAATGGCGCCCGCCCTGTCCCAACGTACGACGCGAGCCTGCCCCTTGAAGACGCGCATCGTGAAGCAGTGCACGCGATGTTGCCGCTTCAGAAGCTTTGCAACGTACGCTCCCTGTTGCTCTATCCCGCAGTCCATCGCGAAATCCGAGCGCACACGCGTCTTAGGCTCTGAGTGGTCACCCTCTTCGTGGCTGGCTTGAGTATCATTGAGCTGCTGGAGGTTTTGAGAAGCGTCCCCAACCTTTCCATCAGACATCTCTAGCTCCTCTTCGGACTCGAGTGTGCGTTCGTGATCTGTCTTGACTTCCACCGGTAACGAAACCCATGCCCAGCAAGTCCGCCCTCGGAACGCCGCCTGCCTTCTACCTTGCGCCGGAAGCGTGTAGTCCGACTTCGCATCTTCGTGGTCGGGATAGAAGCAGACGTTGACCTTCTCCTGGCCTGCAAAGTCGAGTCGATCGCTGACGTCCGGATAGCCACACGTATTCTTCGCAACAAGTTTCGAGTCCCCGTGTGAACAACCGTCGAAGATGGCTTGCGCCACCGTGCACTAGTCGCAGACACTCTTTGAGCGATGACCTCGTGCTGAGACAGGTCGCGGACTTACCAGTGCACGGCAGATAGGACCTTCCGTAGAGCTGAAGAGCGTTGTCCTGTCTATTGCAGGAATCTGGAGCTCCGACTCCGGCGGAAGGTCAGGACCCGGCATGTACAGTGCTATGAACTTGACAAAGTCCATCTCTGCCACTTCGGACCTCATGTCTCGTGCGTAGAGCGCTTGAACTCCGTCGCGATGTTCGAAGAGCGTGGGACGGAGGACGCTAGAACTGTCTACAGCATTCAATGTCAATAGTGCCAGTGTGAGCCGAAGTAATTCAGACGGAAAAAATGACATGACATGGCTCACGTATATTCTTTGATGCTCCCGTTGGCGGGTTGGCTAAGTAGTAAGGGACGACTAGCCTGAAGCCAAATTCAACTGGTTGACGAGGCGTAAGACACGTGACTTGAGAGGTGTAGTGCGTTCTTCGTCTCCAGTTAGTAAACTGTGCGCGATGTCAGAGGGAAACGTGTCGAAGAATGACGAGCAGGAAAGAAGCGACTCACGAGGAGATGGAGAACGCGTTGGCTTCGTGGCTATTGGCTGAGAGAAGCCCGCGGCTGTATTACTTTGACTTCATTCAAGTTCCTGTGAAGGAGCCTGAGTGCGGCAGTGAAATGACTCACTCTGAGTACTATATCAAGGAGCCTCTTGACGACTACAATGTTCTTTCACGAATCTACGGCTTTCAGAAAGTGGTGGCGGATGAAACCAACTTGGCCTTTATTGCGTGACACGACGTTGGAACGAGAGTTGGCCAGATCTCCGATTGATGCAGCCACACTGGTACGGAGACTCCGACAAGCGCTGTGGATCATTCTGACCGCGCTCGTGCCACGCTCGAGCTTTTGGACTGGGTATCATACACACGCCGACGCTACCAGAACTGTACGCATTCAAGGGTAGGGTGCTCAAGCGATGCGGGGACCCGTTCGGCGCCGCGCTCTGCCTGGACGAGTCTCGGGTGCTGGACCTTCAAGATCGCTTCCTGAACACGAAGTGCGCGAAGTACCGGCTCAGGGCGGGGTTCGTTGACGAGGCCAGTGAGATCCTGGGGTTGTTCACCAAGGTGAGGTCAAAGGCCTGGAGCTTGCCTTCGCTGACCGATCTACTGTGTCGGCTGTGTCGGGCTCACTAACCCTTGCGCATAGAAAGATGCCGCAAGTCCTGGTGCCGATTTGGAGGACATGCAGTCTCTCCTTTATCTCAGCGAAGAGGCCGACTCGCACCTGCGGAAGGGTAACCTCGGCGCGGCGCTGAAGAAGTACTTGGTCGTTCAAAAAGTACGTGTGCCGTCTCGCGCTCCTTGCGGCGACTTACCTCGTTGGCACGATGGTTAGGTGTTCAACGAGTTTGAGGATGACCAGTTTGACTTCCACGGATATTCGCTCAGGAGATTTACCATCAACGTCTACCTCGAGTACGTACGAGTCACTTGGGCGGTGATCTACGCACTGAACATGCTTATCAGCATGATCTCATGGGAAGATCGGCTGCGATCCCATCCTGCGTACATTCATACAGCCATTAATGCATCTAAGGTTCGCCTGCTTCCTATTGCCTAACATCTGTCCGGTGATTCATAACTGCACATTAAGATATGGGTGCAGCTGTATGACGACCCCTCAATAGCAAAGTCGAAATCCGCAGGAGGTACAGTTCGCTCACCAACCCTGACGTACTCCACTGATGTGGAAGCAGCCGTTGTCAGCGATGCGGAGAAAAAGGCCAAGAACAAGGCCAAGAAGGCAGCGAAGAAGATTCAGGAGGAAGTCAAGAAGGGTTCGCGCTGATCCTCTCGCCTCGTCTATCTTCGCACTAACGGCCGATCCTTAGCCACGACGACAACATCGGGCGAAGATAAGGGGCTGGAGCCACAGCCAGCGAAGGATGACGATCCGAACGGCGACAAGCTCTTGCAGGCGTCAGATCCCCTCGAGCGAGCTGCGAAGTTGGTGGCGCCACTACGCACGCTTGCTGCAAACAACGTCGACGCGTGGATAGCCACCTACGACGTGGCGGTGCGACATAGTAAGTCCGTGGCACACAGTGCGATGTTTTCAGCTGAACGCTGTCCGTTAGAGAAATACCTGCAGGCAGTGAAGGCTCTCAACAGCGCGCATGCCCTTGACGCGGAGCACCCGGAGCTGCACCTTCGTCTGGCACACTTCAGACATACACGTAGGTCCTCCGCGTTTGCATCTTGTAACGCTATGACGGACGCGGCGTCTGTAGTCTCTTCCGCATCGCAACTACCGCCGGAGCCCATGGGCCCGGTCGTGAAGGATGCGCTGGCAAAACTGCTCCCGGACGAACTATCCTTGGAACATTTCAACGCGCAATATCAGCAGAAGCACTCTTCGAGCGGCAAGGCGATACTCGCCTCCGCCAAGGTCTCGCGATTGCTGAGTGCGCCTGTGGAGCAGATCGAAGGCTCTGTCTTCGGCGTGTTCAACCTGGACGTGTCGCTTGATATCAAGGTCGGTCCATCCACATGACCTCAGCCGCATGCCGTGCTCATTCCACCGTTTCCATGAACCCAGACTGCGCTCGACGCGTTCGCTTTCCTGAAGGTGGTCGGTTCATCAAGGGTGGAGGAGTTCAGGACAGCGTGCGACGGCAGGTTCGCGCGGTCCACCGTGTTCAAGTCGCCCGCCGCGCAGGCCGCGCTGCGGTGGAACGCTGCGGAGACGGACGCGGTGAACGGAGGGGTGGACAAGCCCGAGGTCGCCGGCTGATGATGTGTTGCATGATCTTGTACGTTTACCGGTGTCGTGCTGGCACTGTCGCCTTTGCAGTATATGCTTTCGTCACATCCGACGCCCACCGCGTTCAGGTCGGTGCGCGCACGACTGATGTGTGCCCACCGTGCGGGTGGAGGTTCATGTCGACGCAATACAGTAGTCGGGGATTGGACCACCACGTCCCGAAAGAGGGTAAATATACTGACCAGCGTACCGATTTTGCGCACTAGTGTCAAACCATCGAAGCGTCCTTCCCCCGTTACTGTAGCCGATCTATCGTCCAACCCCGCCTCGTTCTCCGTGCGGCTCCTTCCCCCGTCGTTCGTGCGCCCATTCAGGCAGAATCAGGCTTCGTTTCGTCCCACCGGACCACCCGCACACCCGCCCATCTCCACCTTGCAGGAAGTTCGCCGGGAAGCGTGGAAATACTTCCAACCCCGGTGTGTGACAGACACGCGTTGCCCCGTCCGATCCTGGGCCTGAAACCCGAAGAAGATCCCTCCATGAGGGAGAATGGACGTTTGAGGCTGGTGGAGCGCGATAGAACAGAGCCACCGAGATGGTGGGTGGTGGGCATCAGGGTGCAATCGTTTCGGTGAACGCAATGTTCATTGTTCGAGTCAGTTCGACTGAAGAGGCTACAGCGCTCGCCGTCCTCCGTTTGCGCGCCTCAACATATATTTCTTCTGACATGGTCAAGTTGTCGTGATCACAGTCAGGCTGTACATCATGATGCGCTCCCCGACCGTTTCGCGCACCGTGCAATCTAGATCAATTCCAGGCTCAGCGCACCCCGACAATCTGATCGCCGCAGCTTCGGGCGGGTCGCGGATAATGAATTAAATCGTCCCGCGAACTGTCGGTCTGCTCCGGGCTGCTTGCTGCGTGCCTCCGTGTAACAACGAGGCTATCCGCCTCCGCCAATCCTCCTGGTTCCGGCAGTATCTGCTGGTTGAGAGAACATCCTGCGAGTGTAAGTGCCAGTGCGTTGCCGGAAGAGTAGAACATGACAGCACAGGACAACTTGTTGCTTGTTCTATCACACCTGGGTTCCATTTGGTCTCCTTCAACCTCGTCCGTGAGGCTCCGGGCGCGAGAAGCAAGTCCCGTGTAGTCTGTGTGCAATGGAGGTTCAAGTCGCCATGCACCTCAATTGCACCTGGGCCTGCTCAAGCAAGTGACTCGAAGTCGAGTGGTGCGTGAAGGCAGGGTTGTAGCGACGGCGGCTGCAGAGCGAGGCGCTGTCGCGGGCGTTCTGTCAATGCATGTGACTGCGTAGATTCGAGCTAATGTACATCCACAGCCTTCGCTGCTTCTCGTACGCCGACCCATTTCCACCACCCGTTCGAACCGTCCCCAAGAGCCTTCTTCGTTCCTCATACACCGGCGACCGCCATTCCCACCTCTTCACATTGCCTAAGCCAGCGGCTCTTTCTCTGTGGACTCGGCAGCGTGACAGGTGTGACTGCCATCCACTACCGAGGGCACGTTAATGGTGAGGATGTCGTGGCGAAATTGGTATGTCCCACTGTCACGCCTGCGCGCCGAAGTCTCAGCATCTGATCGCGTCCTTTCATTAATGTACAGGCCTCGTATGCGCGGCGGAAAGAAGGAAGGTGGATGCGCCCCGGGCCACCATCCGCCAGCCCACCAACTTGAGCGTGGACCACGACTGCCAGACCCTTGATGATCACCGCGCAGGTGCCATACCGAGCTGGTTTTGTGAAGATCCACCAACGAAATTCACTCCAGCGAAGCCACCCACAACCTTGGTGGGTGGTCCTGCCCTACGGATACACCGTGGCACACCCTCCGTCGCGCCTATTCTCCTTCATGCACGTCCAAGATCATTTCCACCCGACGGAAGGCAACACACCTCGCGCGCACTGGAAGTGGAAGGTGGGCTCAGGAACGTCGGGTGGGTTTTCCACCATGTACGTTCCACCATGTACGTTCCGCTATATACGCCCGCCCGTCTCTCGCCTCGTGCTTACATGTCCTGCCTCCTACTTAAAACCACCCCGCCTCCCCCTCATGGGACGTCCCTTCGACCTAACTCGTCATGACTTCTGAATATTTTTACTACGACGAGGTTACCAACTACCTGTTGGCCAACCATCCCATCGATATTCCTTACTATTCTCTGCCCCCCAATGTCGAAGACGTCGGTACGCTCATGGGTATGGTTCCTCCTGGATACGGGCCGTCAGAGATGGCTCCGTAAGTCATTCATCGACCACAAGCTGAGTGACTTCCATTGACACACCAATGTCGGCAGGTACTTGATCGATGACCCTGGGCTGTATAACGACCCCTCCTACCCCAACCCTAACAGCGGCCCGTACACAGAAGGATTGGAGTACGTAGCTCAGCGTTGCCATCGTCGCTTGCGTCGCTGACCAGCACGCAGGTACGACCTACAATACGCCTCGGAAGCGGAGCAACTGGCGTCCGCGTCGCATCAGCAATCAGCCGATGTTGAAGCACCTCCTGATGCCGGGAACGGTCATACTGACCATACATCCAGTGAGCCCGGGCCAGCGCACGCGCACGACGACCAAGCATCGACTGTCGCGGGAGGCGTGATCGCGGCGATGCCTGCCATATGCCATTTCGGTGGACTGTGCGGCTCTCTGGACTCGGACGTACTGCTGAAGAAGACCGCGGGCGTGGAGAAACACCTCCTGGAGTGCCACTGGGCAACATCCGCGCTCAGCACGATGAAGGACCGTTATGGGAAGTTCATCTGCCAGTGGGACGATGGGCACGGTCGGTGCGGAAAGGACGTCAGTGACCGGCGGCAGATGGCAAAGCATATCGCCACCGTCCACTATCAGCTCTTCAAGACTTGGTGCGGAGGTTGCGAGAAGGAGTTCTCCAGGATAGACAGTCTTAGGCGCCACGAGCGGGAGGGCCGGTGTCTCCGTGGCCAGGTGAGTGGTTGCCCCGCCGATGATCGTCGATGAGTGCTGAGCAGCTCGGCGCAGGGTTCATCTGCAACCTCAGTCCTAGCGCGCGGGTCGTCGCAGTCCAAGAGGAAGAAACTCGAAGTTGAAGTATCGGGACAGGGGGCCGTTCCCGATCTCATGACTCGGATCCGTGACGTATAGCTGCGCTATTCGCCTCTTCAACGGTCGTCACTATGGGTATATTTGGTGTCACGTATCTTATGCGTCATTATTGTCCTGCCCGGCAGGGGCCGGGCCTATCTGCACACCATCTTAATATCATTCGGAGCGACTCAAGTTCCTCAGGCAGCCTCTGGACTCGCTCCGAATCCTTCCCTGTCGTCCAGCCAAGCGTCCCACTCGAATCGGGGCGCCATCTGTCTGCATGACCAGGCCGTCCATATCCTCCGTTGCGCCCACTGTCGACCTGTGCTCCGCTGCACGACTTCCTCTGGCTTACAACGAGTTAGCGCCGTCACGATTCACGGTAGACCGTGACTGCATCACCCAGTGGCCGAAGAGATAGTACGCGTCTGGAACTGCCGCGTTTGGTGATCTCCCCTACCAATGGGGGGTTGAAACCGTTGTCACGTTCCTCCGGCATTGGACATCTGGCACGAAACCGTCACGAACGACACGTTACATGCTTGTCCGCGCTCTGGACTGGCATTCCCACCATCAGCCCTCCTTCTTGAATATTTGAATACCCATCGTTTCAGGCGGGTGCAATCGTACTTTCCTGGGCACCTACAGATGGCGGCTCGGATGCACTGCACTCCTCACGACAGTGCGCTGCGATCCTTCCTACAACCACTCTGCGGCTTTCCAGGATGAGCCCAGTCTAATACAGCACCGCAGTGAGGTCAACCTAGGCTCGCGCGCCGCGCGGAGGTGGCAGCGACTCCTCGGGGCGGGCGGCTGACGTACTAAGCTCACATCAGTAGTGATTGTTGTCCCCCAGCTTGCGAGCGCGCCCGCGTACGTGTATGCCGCCTCTGAATCGATGATGTTCGAGGCGCTTTACGGCAGGCCGGTCACTGGCATAACTTCAATGCGACTCGGACTCATCTCCTTCGCTCCTCCCTAGTGTCCTGCCTCCCAATCCGACGTCGCGGAAGGGATTTGAATCGGATCTCCACCCCGGCCGTCGCTAATCCTAACCGAAATATTCGACGCTGCGGCGGTCAGAGTGCGGGTGCAGGCCGTTAGTCTGATATCGGCTGTCTTTGCTCAGGTCTTTGCAGAACGGTATGGAGCAACAGCTGTAGGCACAATATGTCAGGCGTCTCGACGACTTCCATACGATCAGCCGGAGCCTTAGTACAGATGATGTGCGACGAGGCGACACGGACGGCCCTCGCTCAGGTATCGAGTTAATCATCGATCATCACCCAGAGGCTTTCAGAGTAGCAGGGTACGACAATATTGTGACTGGCTGCCAGAGGAGACTCTGTGCGGCGCCTACGCCAGTTCGTCCTTCGCGCTCTGCGCGTAGTAGTGGAAGAACTAAAGATTTTAATTCGACCGAGCGAACGATCATACATACGAGACGAGATAGTACAGATATAGAACACCAGGTTAGATCATTGCAGATTCCGTTCCGTAACACATAGTCCCAGACATATCGCATCAGCTTATCAGAGGAGAAAACGAGCGTACGACAGCTTTACGAAGGAGGTAAATCAGTCCTCTCCGTCGTGCAGCACCGGCTCCGCCGCAGGTTCCTCCGGCAGTGACTCGAGTCCTCCTGTGTTCGCGGCCCTCGCTCGTTTCGAAGGACCGGGCTTCGCAAGTTCCTCCGGTTCGGCTTCCAGCGTCCGTTTCGAGCCGGACGACTGTTGGCTTGAGCGCTCGATGCTGTACTGAGCAATAGTCGAATGTTTGAAGGCTGCGAATTGGTCGGGCAACTTTTCCAGAGGTTCGTACAGGCCAACCGAGGACATGAAGGCCGTGCAGAAAGCACCTAAGATCGCATCATGGGTACTGAGCGGAGAAGGCGGCGGCGGCCCGGGAGGAGGGGGCGGCGACTGGGAGGGCGATCTTGGTGGAGCAACAGCGATATTAGGAGCCTCTCCGACAATACGGGGTAGCGGCGGAGACATGACGCTTGCGAACCAGCTTTGCTGTGCGATTTTGATGTTCGTGCTCGTGTTTGAGTCACTGACGGATGGCTTCACTGCGGTCACCTGCGCAGGTTCAGCCTCGCGGCCGACCACCAGATAGTGTTCTTTGCAGATCTTAGCAAGGTCGCTCAGAAGCTTCGCCAAGGGGTTGTCTCGATGCTCGAGGTTGACTCCTATGTAACCTTCGACCATGAGGTCATACTTCTGGGTGCCGCCAACTGCTTCTCCGTTTACGATACCCTGTGTCTCGTATACGCCAAGGACATGCGCCCTCAGCTCCTCGGGTCGGTCTGACATGCTGTGCTTGTAAAAGCGAAGGGTCATCCACCGAAGGATATGTACGACCGCTTCCAGATCATCTGCTAGTTCGTGTTTCTTCCCAGGATTGCGCAGGAGCCTGGCAGACATGAATGGCCACGTACCCTAGTGATAGAATTGATCAGTCGTCTGGCGAGCCGAATCGCGTGTCAAACTCACCGAACGGCCGGTATTCATCGCTGTGCCGAGGTATTTCTCATGCTTGCACAGGTCCCAGTCGATCAACATTCCAAAAACAAATACCTTTCCCTCAGCATCGATGTAGGTGAACAGAAGGATGTTCCGCGCGCTCATGTCGCGATGCATAATCTTCTTTTTAACCCATGCTTGCTTATGAGCTGCAAGGAAAACTGAGTGAGCATAATTCACTCAACGAGCGACAATGCCTACCTTCCAGGGCTTGAAACAGAGTTCCTACTAGATAAAATGCATCCTCGTGCTCCTCCAGAGGACGCCCGATCTCCTTGACAACTAGGCGGTAGTGCTTCAGGGCCGCAGGCTTCATATACGACCGAGGGTTCATCAGCAAGAAGGCCTGGGTGCACGTCTTCTGCTCGTCGTTGCCGCTCCGCACGTGCCCCCTAAACAAGGGCGTCGGCACGAACTGAACACCAGCCTTTCTAAGGTCTTCCAGCACCTGTCCCTCTTGTAGCGAACTGTCCGTGTCGGCACGCCAGTAGTCCTTGAGGAAGACCAAGCGATCGCGAGCGACCTCGTATGCGATGTAGCATTTGGTGCCACGCCCGGTAGGAGAGTTACTGGCGAAGTAGCGCTTCCCGACGACAAACTCAACAGGCCTGTTCGCATATGCTTCCTTGTTGACGGAGTCGTCTTCGCAAGGGACCATAGGGGCAAGGCGTTCCAAGTCTGTCTGGTCGACGCGATCGCCGACCGGCATCGTGATCGTGTAGGCCGGCCAACCATCTTGATCAAGAGCTGCCTTGCGGGACTTGTCCGCCCAATCATTCCGCGTGTGACAGTCACGCATCTTCTTGACCTCCTCCTCGGTAGCTCGTCTCACCGTCGGGTCAAAGCCGCGCTGCGCCTCGGTCATGCACGCGTATCGCCAGATCACCCGGTGGAGCAACGACGGGTCCTTCTCGAAGTCGATAGGAGTGGACACGATGGCGCCCGCCCTGTCCCAACGGACGACGCGAGCCTGCCCCTTGAAGACGTACATCGTGAAGCAGTGCACACGATGCTGCCGCCCAAGAAGTTTTGCAACGCACGCTGCCTGCTGCTCCATCCCCCAGTCCGTCGCGAAATCCGAGCGCACGAGCGTCTTGGACTCTGAGTGGTCATGCTCTTCGTGCTGGCTGGCCTGCGTGTTATCGTCTTGTAGGTGACCCTGAAGAGCATCCTCGGACTTGCCCTCAGGAATCTGCAGCTTCTCTTCAAACTGGGACGCACATTCGCGGTGGTCTGTCTTGACTTCCACCGGTAATGAAACCCATGCCCAGCAAGTCCGCCCCCGGAACCCCGCCTGCCTTCTAGTACCTTGCGCCGGAAGCGTGTGCTCCGACTTCGCGTCGTCGTGGTCGGGATAGAAGCAGACGCCGACCTTCTCCTGTGAGGCAAAGTCAAGTCGATCGCTGACGTCCGGCCCGGGATGGCCACGCGTATCCTTCGCAACGAGCTTCGGGTCCCCGTGTGGACAACCGTCGAAGATGGCTTGCGCGACCGTGCACTAGTCGCAGACACTCTTTGAGCGATGACCTCATGCTGAGACAGGTCGCGGACTTACCAGTGCACGGCAGATAGGACCTTCCGTAGAGCTGAAGAGCGTCGTCCTGTCTATTGCGGGAATCTGGAGCTCAGAGTTCGGCGGAAGGTCAGGGCCCGGCATATACAGTGCCATGAAGTCGTCATAGTTCATCTCAGCCACTCCAAGTTTGAACTTCATAACCGGTGCGTAGAGGGCTTGAACTCCGTTGCGATGTTCGGCCTGGTCCCAGATTTGACGGAGAGCGTGGGATGGAGAACGTTATATGGTAGGACGTCGCGGGGCTTGGTAGTATCTTGGTGATACCGAGGGAGCGGTCGCTGCAGCGCGCGAAGTGCATCATGTGGGATCATTGGCTGTTGTAGAGAACGGAGCCACTTACATTGTTTCTGTACTGTCAGAGGCGTTGGAAAGGACCGTGGGCAGCACACCTGCGGTTCCCACACTACCCCATCAATTAGGCCTGACACATGATACCACGTGAGCGCCCTAGTTAGGCTTCATCCACCGCGATCGCCTTACACTGCGTTAAACAGCGCGTTAAACCTGGGACTTATCAAACGAGTCCCCGGGCCATCCGGCTATTCCGGGTACGTCCCGTGCGAGCGCTTGGCCCCTGCCAGCGAGGCAGGGCGCCCGATGCCATCGGGTCCCGTGATGGACGTCCCGTATGGTTCCTCGCCGGATATGGCAGTGCCTCCGGCCTCGCCACATCATCAGGCGCGCTCGCCGTCAGCGCGCTCCCGCCACCCGCCCTCTTTCCCGTTATGGACAGCGACACGTGACTGCCCATCTCGGTCTTCCCGCGTGATCCCGGATCGGGGCCCCGGCGCTCCGCAGCGTGTTCGCTGGCCCGTGCGCACCGGCGCCTCCCCCCTCCTTGCTCACCGCCTTCACCGTCGTGCTCGCCGGCGCCTTCTCTCCCCTCCTTGCTCGCCGCCTCCACCGCCGCGCTCGCTGCTCGCCCCGCCCGTCCTACCCCAGCTCCTGGCCATGCACATTGGCGGTCGCCATGCCCGGCGCTCCCCGTCGTGGTGTGGCTGGTGCCAGCTCATCGCCGTCGCTGTCGTCGTCATGCCAGCTGATCGCCGCCGCCACCGCTGCCGTCATCATCCTCGCCGCCGCCTCCCCTTCGCTTACTCACTGCCCTTGGCATAGCACTCGCTGTGATCACCTCTCCCCAGGCTGGTGCGGCGTGCCACGTATGCTGCACTACCGGGCGCCCCCATCGCCGCGTCAGCCCATTGCCGCCGCCGTGGTCGTGCTCGCCCGTCATCGTTGCAGGACAGCGCGCACGATGGACAGCTAGCATGACATGGCCAATGAATGGTCGGCGGGCGCATGTGTGAAGCACGGGCATCGGCGAGCAACGGTGAGTGCAGGTGCACATGAGTGAGCATGCTGACCATGGCCACAGGACGCGGCGACGTGCACCGCAATATGTGCGTCGACCGCGAGCGCGCAGGGCTAACGCCCCGCGTGCAAACGCAGCCGACGGGCGTACTGCGGACACGGGCGTGATGGCGACCGGGTCAGCAGGCGGGCGGGAAGGCAGACGGGTGGGAAGGCGGATGGGCGGGCGAGTGAACGGGTGAGTGAGCGGACAGGTAGGAGACCGAGCAGACAGGGAAGTGGGCAGGCAACAGCACACGCCCACCGCGAGTGCGCTGCGCTTTGGGCGAATGCCCAGCGCGCAGACGCAGCCGAAGAATGCGCTCGCAGGCGGGCGAACAGGCGCGCAGGTAGGCGAGTGTGTGGACAAGTGGGAGGGCTTGCGGACGAGCCACGAGCGAGAGGATGAGCGGCAGGGCAGGCGGACGAGCCGGTGGGCAGGCGAATGAGCCGGCGGGCAGACAAGCAGGAGGGCAGACAAGCAGGAGGGCAGACAAGCAGGAGGGCGGATGAGCAGGTGAGGAGACGAGCGAGCAAGGAGGCAAGCAGACCAGAAGTACGCGGGAAAGCGGGTGGATGGGCGAGCGAGCGAGGGCGCAGGTGGGCGAGAGGATCAATGAGTGAGAAGGAAAGTGGGCAGGCCCAGACTCACAACGTAGATGAGCACTACACGCACGGTGACCGCGAGTGTGCTGGGCAAATGCCCAGCACGCAAGCGCATCCGACGAACGGAAGTGAGCGAAAAATGGGTGACCGCGACGGCGGGCAGACCAGGGGCGCGTACGACACGCCGATCACGACGGAGTGCACAGGGCAACTGCCAGTCGCCCCTGCACGCAGACGAAGTATTGAATGGAGATCTAGTATGAGTAGTAGAAACATATTGTATATATGTACAGACCTAGTGATCGCGACCAATCCGTATGAAGTGGACCATTCACGAACCACTACTCAGAGAACCTCACCAAATTGGGCAACCCCGATGTGCTCGGGCCATTCCTGGCCAATCACAATGTGTTTAAAGGTCCTACTTAGACCTGCAACATATCGGCGACTTGGGTTCTGGCCGTTTCGCACTTTGTATGAACGTCCTTTATGCTACGATAGGAATTAGATACATGTTCGGTGACTTCTGCTGAAAGTATACAGCACATGAGGTGCAGTATAACACATGAGCCATTCTCGTGTATGGCAGGGATATCTACCTATACTAGTGTACTGGTTCTCTGAGTTGTGATTCGTGAATCATCCGCTTCGGACAGTATGGCCGCGGTAACTCTGTATATCTATACAACATGTTCTTACCATCATTACTAGATCTCTCCGTACAAACGTGTATGCGTGCAGCAGGGCACATTGAGTTGTCGGGCCAAGACAGTGTGCCGCACGCTTTGACATTACATTTGCTTTGACGCAATTGCCACACAATCGCTCGGACCTCACGCTTTTGGTGTCAGATATCCTTTGTACTCAATGTCTCTCGAATCCCTATGTACAACAAAGCTCCTGTATCTACAGTATGAATATGACACCCTACGACCCTACAAGCCCTATGATACCATCCTCTCGTCGCAGTGCGAAGTCCCTGTACTACAATAGGGCAGTCGCCCTGTGTGCTCACGGACGGCGCGTTGCGCGCACCCCTGCTCTGCGCATCGCCGCGGTCATCTGCTCTTTGCCCACGCGCCCGCCTTCAGTTCATCGGCCGTGTTTGCGTGCTGGGCATTTGCCCTGCACGCTCGCGATCGCCGTGCGTGAGGTACTGGTCCGCGCTCTGTGCCCAATTGCTCGCCCTCTCGCCCTCCCGCCTCCTTGCCCACCCACCACTTTTCCGCCTGCTCGTCCACCCGCCCGTTCGCCCACCCGCCCGCTCGCCCACCCGCCCGTTCGCCCACCCACCCGTTCGTCTACCTGCCCGTTCATCCACCCGCCCGTTCATCCACCCGTCACCCGCCCGTTTGTCCGCCCGCCCGCTTGTCCATCCACTTGTCCGCTTGTCCATCCGCCCTCCCGCTCGTCCACCCGCCGCTCATCCATCTGCCCTCCTGCTCTTCATCTGCTCGCGTGCCTGTGTCTGCACTTCTCGGGTGCGTCTGCGTGCCGGGCATTTGCCCAGCACGCTCGCGGTGGGCATGTGCCGTCGCCTGCCCACTTGCCCGTCTGCTCGATCTCCTACCTGTGTGTTCAATCTCCAACATGTCCGTTTGCTCACCTATCCGCCCGTCTGCCTGTCTGCCTGCACACCAGTTCGCCTTCTCGCCCGTCCGCCTTCTCGCCCGTCCGCCTGCCTGCCCGCCTGCTCACTTGGCAACCCTCGCGTCCGTGTCCACGGTCCGCCCGTCAGCTACGTTTGTATGCAGGACATTAATCCTGCGTGCTCGCGGTCCACGCGCGTGTTGTGGTGCACGTCGCCGCGTCCTGTGGTCACAGTCAGTTTGCTCGCTCGGGTGCGTCTGCACTCACCGTTGCTCGATGCCAGCCCTTCACAACCACGCACTCGCCTTCTATTCGTTGGCCCTATATGCCTCCTGTCGATCATGCGTGCTGTGCTCCAACAACGACGGGCGAGCACGACGGCGGCGGCGGCAACGAGCTGGCACGACGACGCCGGGGGCTACGAGCTGACACGACGATGGGGGACCGAGTACAGTGGCACACGTGGCACCAGGCTAGGGAGAGGCCAGCACAGCGAGCACGGTGCCAGGGGCAGTGAGCACGCGAGGGAGAGAGAAGGCGCCAGCGAGGATGACGACGGTGGCGGCGATGAGCTGGCACAATGTTGCGAGCGCCGGATAGTGGCCGTGAGCTGGGGTAGGACAGGGACGACGGGGACGGCGAGCAGCGAGCGCGGCGGTGGAGGCGGCGAGCAAGGGGGGCAGAGGAGGCGCCGGCGAGCACGACGGTGAAGGCGGTGAGCAAGGAGGGGGGAGGCGCCGGTGCGCACGGGCCAGCGAACACGCTGCGGAGCGCCGGGGCCCCGATCCGGGATTACGCGGGAAGACCGAGATGGGCAGTCACGTGTCGCTGTCCATAACGGGAAAGAGGGCGGGTGGCGGGAGCGCGCTGACGGCGAGCGCGCCTGATGATGTGGCGAGGCCGGAGGCACTGCCATATCCGGCGAGGAACCATACGGGACGTCCATCACGGGACCCGATGGCATCGGGCGCCCTGCCTCGCTGGTAGGGGCCAAGCGCTCGCACGGGACGTACCCGGAATAGCCGGATGGCCCGGGGACTCGTTTGATAAGTCCCAGGTTTAACGCGCTGTTTAACGCAGTGTAAGGCGATCGCGGTGGATGAAGCCTAACTAGGGCGCTCACGTGGTATCATGTGTCAGGCCTAATTGATGGGGTAGTGTGGGAACCGCAGGTGGGGCAGCATCAAAGGCTCAATGTCAACAATTTGAGCGGAAGTGATCCAGGCGGACAGGATGGCGTGGCTCACTGTTACCGGATTGGTTAAGGAATGACCAGCCAACTGGTTGACGGCGCGTGCGGCACGCGACTTACAGTTTCTAGATGTGTGGTGCCACAGTCGCCTCCAGCTACTACACTGGGCGCGGTGCCAGAGAGAGATGGGTCGGAGAAGGATAAAGGATGAAGGTGTGACTCACGAAGGGAGGCAGAACGCGTACGCTCTGTATCTATTGAGAAAACCGCGACCGTCCGTTAACTACTGCACTGCCAGTGGCAGACCTTGCACTGGCACCCCTGCTCAATTTCGTCAATTTGCGGAGGAGTAAGATCATCATTTGGCTCACTGTACTGTATGGATAGACCTCGACGCGCCTGCGATCCTGTGTTCCAAGTTATTTGCTTCAATCACTGGTGGTGGCGGTCTGAATCAAGGCGTCAATGAAGTGGGAACGAGAGCCTTGCTCCTGTTGGCCAGATCTCCGATTGATACAGCCACAACGGTACGATGACAAGCGCTGGAGAACCACTGGCAAAGATCTTGTTGAACCCGGTGCGTTGTACATGTCCATGGGTGCGCCGCCGGATCGGATCCGCTTCCCTACTACTAAGGCCGCATACAAATCGAACGAACTGGAGTCGTGATGCCAGTCAAGGCGTGCAGGGTGTGAAGCAGGCTGCTCTGGCTGCTGACCTTCTTTACGTCAAAGAGAACCTGCGTGACGGGAGCATCAGTTCGTCGAGCTCAGTGTGTTGACCTAGATCTTGAACTTGTTGCCGCTCGGAGTCACTGTTGCTGGCCACGTATGTGCCGTAAATGGCGGGGATCGTGAGCAGATCGGCGAACTTCAAGCTTCAAGTTGCGAGCGAGCTCCACCGATTGGCAGCCGCTCTGGGACGGAAACTTGAAGTAAGGCTATGCGGCAGCGGGTGAGACTACCGCCAGTGAGTTAGATAGTAAGGACGAGCAGGGCGGCCGGAGGCAAGCAGGCTGCGAGCGCAGAAGACCGCCGCGCACTTGTTCGCACGAAACAGCCTCACGCTCAGTGACATCGAGTTTGAGTACTACTTGAATTATTCCGAGCGCCTCGCACACAGCCCGAGCCCGAGCGACATTGAGAAGAATCTGAGAATGTCCATGACAATAGACATCGCGCGTCGTGCAGATCATTGCTACTGTCCTCACCGTCATGACCAATATTTGGCGTGCATCGTTCCATCTTATCCAGCACGCTCGGTTTCCAAAGTAGACAGCAGTCGTATGATGTTTATATCGCAAACTTGGGGCCCTGAATTTTACACCAACACTCGAACACATACGTGCACAACAACTGGCCATTACTCGGGCAACGACACCAGCCCGCCCGACGCCGTGGTCTTCGCTCTCTTCGAACGACTAGACTGCCCCTCCTGTGCTGGACCCTCCAACTCTCGCTTTGATCCCGAGGACACTTGGCTCGAGCGCTCGCGATTGCGTTGCTGTACCGGGGAGTTGTAAAAGGCGGCGAACTGGTCCTCCGTCATCTCCAGCGACGTCAAGGACTCAGCTCCCGTTTCCAGGGCGTTACCAACGATGATGAGGATGGCAGTGTGATTGGAGAGCTTCAGAGACGGCGTTGGCTGGGCTGACGGCTGGGCTTCAGGGGCCTCCAGAACTGTAGGATTCTTACGGACGCGGGCGAATATGGCGGCCGACATGGCGCTATTTGTGACGGACGCGGAGTGTTGCTTAGGCTTGCCTTCCTGGGCTTTCAACGCCAGATAGTGTGCTTGACACATCGAAGCGAGCTTGGCCAGGAGCTCGCCGAGGGCACTGTCCTCGGCGTCGAGGAAGACACCGCTAGATCCGGTCAGCATAAGTGCGAGCTTCCCCTCGCCGCCGATGTCTTCGTTACTCTTTACATCGTCGTACACCTCGTACACATTGAGTATCTGTTGTCGCAGCTGTTCAGGCTTCTTGGTGGTACGGTGTTTGAAGAACCGAAGGCACATCCAGCACAGAACGTGTACGGCGGACTCGATGTCGTCTGACACCTCGTGCTCCTTTTTAGGGTTCGCGAGGAGTCTGGCAGACATGAATTGCCACGTGCCCTGAGAGCGGTCAGACTGTTAGCCACTCTGTACCACGACATGATCGCCTCGACACTCACTGAACGCCCAGGACGCGATATCGTTTTTAAATAACCCACGAATTTGCATAGATCCCAGTCGATCAAAACGCCCAGAAAATGCCAATTACCGGCCTCGTCTTGGTAGTCGAGGATGAGGATGTTACCCGCACTGATGTCGCGATGCAGGTATTGCTGCTCCCACGCCTGCCTATGCGCTGCGATGATGATTGAGTACAGGGTATAGACTTCGTGACTGACAAACATGAAACCGACCTTCGAGCGCATCATAAACAACTCCGACCAGTTCGAGTGCGTTGGCAAGTTTGTCTAGAGGACGACCGATTTCCTTGATGACCAAGCGATAATGATGTTGCACCACGGGCCGACGCTTGGTCTCTTCGTCTTCTGGCAGCAACTCGTGAGTGAGCGTCGTTTGCACACAGCCCGACGTTGACAGCACATCCCCTTCGGCTATAGGCGTGGGCACATTCTGCACGCCAGCGGCCCTCAACTCCTCTAACACCTTGCCCTCAGGTTTCGTCGACGGGGTTTCGGTACGCCAGTAGTCCTTCAGAAAGACCAGGCGCTTACGGGATACCTCGTAGGCGATGTAGCACTTCGTCCCTCGTCCTGTGGGGGAGTCGGTGGCAAAGTATCGCTTCCCTACGATGAAACACCCTTGGTCCCGAGACTTGGTTCGGCCTCCAGTGTCGGAGTCCTCATCCTTGCGGATGTTGTCTGTGATGGGCTTCAGGACGCCTTGGTCTACGAGGTCGTCGGGCTGCATTTGGATCTTGTAGACTGGCCACCCACGCTGATCGAGGGCATCGTGACGGCGCATGTTGGCCCACGGATTCGGTGCGCTGCAAGTCCGCATATCCTCGATTTCTTTCTTCGTGGCCGGAACCACAGTTGGGTCGAAGCCACGTAGCTCTTGGCTCATACACGCGTACCGCCAGATGACCAGGTGGAGCAGCGATGGGACCTCTGCGAAGTCAATTGGCGTAGAGACGATGGCACCGGCGCGGTCCCAGCGAACGACACGAGCCTGGCCCTTGTAGATGAAGAGCGCGAAGACATGCAGCCGGTGCTGCCTCCGAAAGATCTTCGCGACGTACTCCGCCATCTGTGCTAGGGCCTCATTCGCGCCCGACCCAGAGGGAAGAAACGGCCGCGGTACCGGCGGCGTTGTATTCTTTTTGCTGGTCGACTCCTCGAGCGGCGCGGTCTCGTTGACCGGTGTCATCGGAGAATCCTCGACATCAGAGTCGTCACGGGCGTCGGTCGCCTTGCCCTTGCCCTTGCCCCCGGTCGTCTTTCCCCTGCCCTTGCCCCTACCCCGTCCTCGTCCTCGTCCCCTTCCCCTCCCCCTGCCTCTACCCCTGCCGCCTCCACCGCCCGTGTTCGCCCTTGCTTTTCCCTTGTCTGCAGCCCCGAGCTCCGCAGGGTCGTCGTGGTGCTCGGCGACGCCGTCATTGCCTTCGTTGTCGTGAGGCTCCTCAGAGTCACCACGTTTCTTCCTGCCATCCTTGTTGACGAAATCGAACGCGCATTTGTCGTGCTCCGTCTTGATCTCTACCAGCAAGGAGATCCAAGCCCAGCGAGTGGACGCCCGAAACTGCGCCAAGTTTTTGCTTCCCGTAAGCCGGTAGTCATCCTCAGCACGGCCGCCCGCCGGGTAGAATGAGACGTCGACTCTGTTCTGCTCCGCGTAGTCGTTGCGATCGCTGGAGTCTGGGTGGTCGCGCGTGTTCTTCGCAACCAGCTTCTCGCCTTCGTGACTATTGTCGAAAATTTCCTGAGCAACTCTGCACTGTTTACAAAAGCGTCGTGAGTGATGGCCTTGAGTGGAGACAACGGTCGTACGTACCAGTTCAATACAGACATCGTTCTCCCTTCCCATAAGCTTATCCATGTCGAAGTCGGGTATGTTAGGCGCGGACGTCGACGGGACGTCAAGTCCCGGCATGTAGCGCGCCATGAACTCGTCAAACTTCATCTCCACCGTCTTCGACCTCATCTCTTTAGCGTAAGGAGGAAGCTGACCCTCGGTGTTCCCTTGTCTGTTTGGCTTGGAGATAGAATGAGGCTGGCGCGATGCCTTCACAGGGGTGCTGTTGAAGACTGTAGGGGATTGCTTGCTCTTGGAGGTTGCCTGAGCGGATTGCGCTGGGTCTGAAGCACCCTGGGCCGCTGCACTATTGCCAGGCTTGAGCGGAAGTAGCCACAGAAACATCACGAAATCGCTTACGATGTTTTGGTACTTGCACGCGATGGGGTCGGGAGAGTCGAAGCTTCTCTGTGTCTAGCGTTAGCCGAGATGACGTTCGTCGAGAGAGCGATACAACTTACGTCGATTCTACTGACGATTCCCGTGTGGCGGAGGGACTCGATGGTTCCCTGACACGACAATCAGGACAGTGGACAGCCACGAGAACTGCGCGCGACTTACGAGCCTTCAGCTGTTGTACCGGGAGGTGATGTAGCACGACGAGATTCAGCAAGGCTGGGCCCGGGCGAGGGTGAGGACGACATCTGGAGAAGATGAGGGTTGGGCTTACGCAGTGGGCGAAGACGCGTCCGCTTTATATCCAGCTCAGATAGCCACGATGTCTGTTGGCCACAGAACACGCCTGTTTCATTATTCTCTGGGGTTAGCATTGTCGTTGCTGGCCGAAATGGTTCACCTTTCCTAATCGGTAGGTTGTCTCGCGCCTTTTGCGCAGATCCAAGTCCGAAATATTGTCAGCGTACGCACAATTTGCCCAATATGGGACAGTCTGAGTCGAGGCGTGCGATGTTGGGACGAGAACAATGGGACTGAGCCACATCTCAGATTGATGGACCACAGTGCAGCCACACGCGGATCAAACGCGTGTGCGCGACCTTGTTCCCGATATGGTATTAGTTACCACGTCCACGGCATCTCCCAAAGTGTGGTCGCTGAAGCGCGCAGCCACTCCGATTGGCGGCAAGTGCTGGGCTCCGCCTGCTGCGAGACCTCAGGCAGGGATATTCATGCAATCGCGGGACATTGACTGACGAGCTTCAGTGAGCCATGGCTTCAAGTGCTACCGACGTGCCACCTGGGCTTCACGCGGATGGTCGACTCTCTGTCTTGGCCGAGTCGGGGTCCATGGATTGGATGCCCTTCGAAAAGACGAAGCTCTACACGAACGCATTTGTGAGGCAGGATAGTAAGGTTGGTGAAGTGGCAAGGCCTCTGCCACGGCGTCCAAACAGCGTTGACAATTGCACAAACAGCTCCTGCTCGGCTTCAAGAAGCGGGGCCTTGGAAAAGGACTGTAGGTTGCGGCCTTGCTCGCACTTCTCGTCCGCTACTCACCGTCCGCGCCAAGGTACAATGGCTTTGGTGGGAAGGTAGATCCCGGAGAAACGCCCGCTGAGGCAGCAGTGCGGGAGCTCAAGGAAAGTGCAGTGTCTCGCAAATCGCGACTATACTTACGATGTCTGTGCACAGGAGGAAGCTGGGATAACAGCCAAACTCGAGCACCGAGGCACGCTGTTCTTCATGAGCCCTGAAATCGCCGAAGCCGCTCGCATCGAGGTCTATTATGCCGAAGACTTTGACGGCAATATTACAGAGTAAGCAGTAGTCTCTCGTTGCTCGTCTGGTCGTCCAGAGACGACGTTAAACTCCTTGGATAGGTCCGAAGAGATGCGTCCTGAATGGTTCGCTATCCCAGACACAGATGCCCGACACCATCATATCATCCAGAACCCGAGACAAGTCGATGGAACGTCCGGGCTACGGTTCATCCCGTACGACGAGATGTGGGAGGACGATGCAGTGTGGTTGCCAGCTTTCCTTTCCGGCCGCCATTTCATCGGACGCGCAGACTTCGGGACAGCTGGTCGTCTGCAGAAATGGTGGTTTGCGTTGAAGTCTTAGCAATTTCTCGTAGACATCGCCTCGGTCGCTTGAGATCGTGCTTCCCTTGCTGCTCGTTGTTACGAAGCACGTCCTATATGGAATAATATGCATTCTTCTTCATACAACACTAGCGAGCGCGTGCTCCAACATCTCTACGACCGCCTTCGCACTTCCTCAGATAGGCTCATGGCCACTTGTGCCGTAATCGTAGTTTAAGAGCATAACGGGTATCTACATCGTTAATCGTGCCTTAAAGCCCCATCAACATCCTTGAGCACATACATGCACAATAACTGGTCACTCCTCGGCTGACGACGATATTTCTCCCGACGTCGCGGTCCTGGCTCGTTTCGAACGGCTAGACCTTCCCTCCTGTGCTGGACCCTCCAACTCTCGCTTTGATCCCGAGGACACTTGGCTCGAGCGCTCGCGATTGCGTTGCTGTACCGGGGACTTGTAAAAGGCGGCGAACTGGTCCTCCGTCATCTCCAGCGACGTCAAGGACTCAGCTCCCGTTTCCAGGGCGTTACCAACGATGATGAGGATGGCAGTGTGATCGGAGAGCTTCAGAGATGGTGTTGGCTGGGCTGACGGCTGGGCTTCAGGGGCCTCCAGAACTGTAGGATTCTTACGGACGCGGGTCAATATGGCGGCCGACATGGCGCCATTTGTGACGGGCGCGGAGTGTTGCTTAGGCTTGCTTTCCTGGGCTTTCAAAGCCAGATAGTGTGCCTGACACATCGAAGCGAGGTTGTCGAGGAGTACGCCGAGGGGGCTGCCCTCGGCTTTGAGGATGAAACCAGTGGATCCCGCTAGCATGTGACCGTTCTTCGTGGCGCCGCCAATCTCTCGGTTATCCCTTCCAATGTCGTATCCCTCGTACATAGCAGCCACCTGCAGTCGCAGCTGGTTAGGTGCACCGGTAAAGCTGTGTCGGAAGAACCGAAGGCACATCCAGCAAAGAACGTGTACGATGGACTCGATGTCGTCTGATACCTCGTGCTCCTTGTCAGGATTGGCGAGGAGCCTAGCAGACATGAATTGCCACGTTCCCTGAGAGCGAACAGACTGTTAGCTACTTCGTACCGCAATATGACGCCTCGAGACTTACTGCGCGCCCAGGACGTGATATCCCTTTGTGATAATTCACGAACTGGCATTGATCCCAGTCGATCAAGATACCCAGAAACTGCCATTCACCGGGCTCGTCGCGATAGTCGAGGATGAGAATGTTATCCACACTGATGTCGCGGTGCAAGTATTGTTTCTCCCACGCCTGCCTGTGCGCTGCGTGATGATTGAGTACAGAGTATAGAATGCGTGACTGACAAATACGAGACCGACCTTCGAGCGCATCATAGATAGCTCCGACCAATTCGAGTGCGTTGGTCAATTTGTCTAGAGGACGACCGATTTCCTCAATGACCAAGCGATAATGATGTTGCACTGCGGGTCGACGCTTGGTGTTTTCGTCTTCCGGCAGCAATGCCTGCGTGAGCGTCGTTTGCACACAGCCCGACGTTGACAGCACATCTCCTTCGGCCACAGGCGTGGGCACGCCTTGTACACCAGCGGCCCTCAACTCCTTTAATACCTTGCCCTCAGGGTTCGTCGTGTGGGTGTTAGAGCGCCAGTAGTCCTTCAGAAAGACCAGGCGGTTGCGCGATACCTCGTAGGCGATGTAGCACTTCGTTCCTCGTCCCATGAAAGAATCAGTGGCGAAATATCGCTTCCCAACGATAAAGCATGCCTGGTCTGAGGATGCACTTGCATCGCCGTGATAGGCGTCCTCAACTTGTTGGATGTCGTCGATGATGGGCTGCAGCTCGCGTTCGTCTACGAGGTCGGCGGGCTGCATGCGGATCTTGTAGACCGGCCACCCAGGCTGCCCGAGTGCGGCGTGACGGCACAGGTCGGCCCACCCATTGGGCGCGTTGCAACCCCACATACCAGTGATTTCTTTCTTGGTGGCCCGAACCACAGTTGGATCGAAGCCACGCTGCTCTTGGGTCATACACGCGTATCGCCAGATGACCTTGTGGAGCAACGACGGGTCCTCTCGAAAGTCGATCGGCGTAGAGACAATGGCACCGGCACGGTCCCAGCGAATGACGCGAGCCTGGCCCTTGCAGATGAAGACCGAAAAAACATGCAGTCTGTGCTGCCTCCTAAAGATCTTCGCAACGCAGTCCGCCATTTAGGCGAGGACCGTGGCACTGTCCCCGACTCGGACGCAGACGGTTCAGCGTCCTCGGCGGCGTGGCCGTTGCCTTCATTGCGCTGCTCAGAATCGCCAGTTTGCTGCATAACATCCATGTTGGCGAAGCTGAAGGCGCACTGATGATGCTTCCTTTCGATCTCCACTAGCAACGATATCCAGGCCCAGCGAGTAGACGCCCGAACACGTCTTGCCCTACCGCGCGTTCATAGTCTTCCTTGGCATCATCATCCGCCGGGTAGAAGGAGACGTCGACTGCAGATTGTTCCGCGTAGTCGTTGCGATCGCTGGAGTCTGCGTGGTCGCGCGTTTTCCTTGCAACCAGCTTCCCGCCGTAGGGGCAGTTGTCGAAAATCGTCTGAGCAACTCTGCACTGCTCATGAATCCCATCAGCGATCGCGTTACATCAAGACAAAAATTTTCCGCACTACTTCAGTGCAGACGGCGCTCTCCCTCCTCATAAGCCTGGCCCTGTCGACATCGGGTATCTTGAACACGGATTCGGAGGGAAGGTCAGGACCCGGCATGTAATTGCCATAAACTGTGCAAAGTCCATCAGCACCGTCTTCAAACTCATCGTTTGAGCTCGTTTAAGCTCCAGTCTCGCTTGGCCTTAGGTCTAGTTGGCTTGGACTTGGGAAGTGAGCCCAGTGGGCGAGACGACGACGAATCTTGAGTTGAACAGCGCAGCCAGATCTCCGATCCGTGCAGCCACAGTCTGTCGCCGTGGCGGAACGCCTCCGCCACAGGCTTAATCAGGCAACTCGCGACAAGCGTTCACTGGCACTGCCAGTGGCACTGGCAGAAAGCCACACTGCTCCGCCCTCATCAAAGCCTCATAGTCCTCCCCCTCATCTCCAGTCTGGCCGTAGCGAAGATTTTGAACCGGCATTGAGCCGGACATTCTAGTTGTGCCCCCTCGTGCTGCCGTCCAGCGTCAGGGCCAATCGGCGTCGCGAAGTAAGTAGTTGTGATCCAAACATCTTGTGCGCCGCCAATGCGAAGTCTTGCGCGCATTGAATACTCGGTGATCGTCTGCCTGGACTTAGAGGGGGTGGAGGTGCTTGGTAACTGGTTTGCTGTGTTTCACTCAGGCTCCTCGGTCGGGCGGACACGGATGCAGCAGTGAGTCAGTGACAGGCCGGGTCTCTGAATGGTGCGTCTGCATCCTTGAACGAGCTCTGGACGAGTCAAAAGTGGATTCCGGCCCCTGGTCCCTGTGCGTCTCGGGCTCACACCACCTCGACATCGCGAGGGCATGCCTATGCCGGCGCTGTGCAGGCGCCGCCGACACCGGGAATTCCATGTCCTCACTGATGGATGGTGAAGCTCGTGACATCGCGACCTCGACCAGCCTGGTTTGCGATGACCTTTTCCCGACTCTGTCCAGTCTACGGCCCTGCAAGTCTCGTCGCAGTCGAGGCCTAATTAGCGCTTCAATGGAAGAAGTGTTTGTCGGAAGAGCATTTTTATTGTCTATCCTGAGTCCTGACCGGAATCACAACGTTCTCCACGAGCATAGTCGAGCAGTGTGATTGGCTGACCGGTGTGCATAAAGAGGATGGTAAATCGGTGCGGTAACATCACCGCATCGGTCTACCAGTCACCTCGCCTCCCATCTCATATTTTCATCGACGTCAGACGGGCTATCGCAGGCCATGTCCTTGACCCCGGAACAAGTGCAAATCATCAAGGCGACGGTCCCGGTGCTCGTCGAGCATGGGACCACCATCACTACCCGCTTCTACCAGAACATGCTCACGGCGCATCCCGAGCTAAACAACGTCTTCAACAACGCGCACCAGGTCAGCGGGCACCAGCCCCGCGCCCTCGCCATGGCGCTCTTCGCCTACGCCTCGCACATCGACGACCTCGGCGCGCTCGGCCCTGCCGTCGAGCTCATCTGCAACAAGCACGCGTCGCTCTACATCCGCCCGGAGCACTACGACATCGTGGGCACGTACCTCCTCGCGGCGATGAAGGAGGTTCTCGGGGATGCGCTCACGCCGGCGATCCACGACGCCTGGGCTGCGGCATACTGGCAGCTCGCGAAGCTCATGATCGACCGGGAGGAGCAGCTCTTCCAGGCGTCGCAGGGCTGGAGAGACTGGAGGGACTTCAAGATCCAGAGGAAGGTGCGCGAGAGCGACGAGATCACCTCGTTCTACCTCGTTCCGGTAGACGGTGGCCAGCTGCCCGGGTTCCTGCCCGGCCAATATATCTCCGTGCGGATGGAGGTGCCGGACCTTAAGGCCTTGCAGGCGCGGCAGTACTCGCTGAGCGACGCGCCAGGCAAGGCCTACTACCGTATCAGCGTCAAGCGGGTATGCCTCCTCCTCACTCTCAAACTCTCTCGTTGACGACGACCGTCTCAGGAAACGGGCCTCAACATGGCTGACCCCGGCTCGGCTGCGTACCCGGGCTACGTCTCGAACCTTCTGCACGACCACAAGCACGAAGGCGACGTCCTGCAGGTCTCGCATCCCTACGGCGACTTCTTCCTCGCTGCACCCACGGACGCGCCCGTCGTCCTCCTCTCCGCGGGCGTTGGCCTCACCTGCATCATGTCCATCCTCAACACGCTCACAGAGTCGGGGTCGCCCCGCCCGATCGCGTGGATCCACGCGGCGCGCGCGCAGAAGATTCGCGCGTTCGCAGCGCACGTCGCAGACATCGTGCACGCGCATGAGAACGTGCACACGGTGCTCTTCACGTCGAACCCGGCGGCGGAGGACGTGCGCGGCGTGCATTACCACCATGAGGGCCGGATGGACCTCGCTAGGCTGGATCGCGAGAAGGACCTATTCGTCGGCGATAAGCGGGCGCAGTACTTTGTGTGTGGGCCGACGTCGTTCATGGTGGATATGGAGAAGGCGCTGAAGGGATACAGCGTTGAGGACGAGCGGGTGCACTTAGAGTTGTTCGGGGCGGGTGGTGTACCGAAGGCTTAATGAGTTTTCCGATTTCCCCCCGGTAGAGTATGACCTCGACGAGGCTGTAATGGGGCTTATGTATCTGTAGACATCTCAGGGCGCATGTATCATTACATCTCAGCAACGAAGCACTTCTCCGCTCTCCACCGACTGCTCACGACGGCCTCGATCCTGCTTGATGTATCAAGGCTACGCCCCATGCTCAGTTATCCGCCTTACCGGCCAGAGCATTCTCGAGGAGGCTGACTGCGACATCCGCAGAGCCCCAAGAGCTCTCATAACCAGAGCTTCCGTGCCTGCAACATGACCCCGCAACCAGTCAGCCAACAGCAGTCCTCATGGAATGTGGTCGCACACACCCGTAGTTGAACACCATCGGCACCTGTCTACCGTCCTTCTTGTTCGTCACCCACTCCACGTCCAGCCGAAGGCCTCCATCGCGCGCCGGCCGCAACCCGCAGCCCACCTCGACGATGAGGGGACGGAGGTCGTCGATCGTCGGGGCTCGCTTCGCGCGCACTTCCGGTGGGGCGAGCTCGGGACAGAGCGCGAGGCACCGAGCGAGAATGTCCTCCGTCGTCTCGGGTCTGACAATAGGATACCTATGCGCACAGTTAGTAGGTCGTCGACGCGTTACTCCCAGTGGACTGCTCACCAGTCATCCACATCGCGCGTTCCGCCAAGGACAACCTGGACACAAGGGATGCGTCAAGATTGGAGAGAACGACAGTCTGTGGCCGGAGCTCACGTTCCCGTTCCTCCTCGGAATGATATAGGTGTCTCTGCCCGGACTTTCCTCGAGGCCAGCGGCCTTCTCGATCCACGGTGCGTGGATGAGAACCCGCTGCCCCCGGACAGGGTGCATCGCCTTGTCCTCCACGCCGCCGAGCGCCCGCGCACCGAGGCCGGCACAGATGATCAGTGCATCCACCGGTCGCTGAGCGGGCTTTCCAAGAGAGAACGCGTCTACGCCTCCCTCGATGATCTGGTTGACGTGTTGGACCGATCCCTGGCGATAGTCCCGCCCCGACTGAGGAAGCGAGCGAGGAGGTAGTTGAGGTAGGGCGTCGTGTCAATGGTGTAGGTGTCGAAGATGTAGCCGGACTTCGCTTTGGGATGCAAAGACTCCTTGGGCAACGGTTTTGGCTGCAGACGACCGACGTCACCTCTGTCTGCCTTCGTACATACAGAACCAGAACTTACATGGAAGAGACTTTCGTGATTCGTCGGAGTGATGTCTTCGAGGAAGGATTCGACAGATTGCAGACGGCGGAAGCAACCCTCCGCAGCACCCCCAGGAGCGGACAGCTCCAACATGACCTTCAGTGTCTCCTCGCGGATGGCTGCATCGTAATGAGTTAAGACTATCTCAAGACGATCGCATGTTGACTCTACGCACATTTCTGTCGTGGGTCATCCCCCAAGTACATCACTTGGTACGCACCCTGGTATGTCTCTCGGTATACCATTGTTACGATGGAACAATCAATGCTCACCGCCCACGGGCTGGTATACTTGATTGATCTAGGATCGGTGGGGAACGACTCAGCAATTACAGAAACGTCGTAACCTTTCTCAAGCAGTCTTATAGCGGTACTGAGACCGACAACCCCTGCAGTTCACCAGCCGATATGTCAGCATTGAAGACACAGGCCACAGAGTTGCGATCCGTACCTGCACCCAACGCAATCACGTCTTGGCAGATTCCGAACTTGACATGTACTAGGAACGAGCTATACGTGGCGAGCTGCAGGTTTATCCGGTGGGCCCAAGTTTATATACGCACGTATGCTTCCGCTAGCTATCTTATCCACGGTTTAACTCACTGCTTATCATGACGGCGGAAGGAGCATATGGAAGCCATGGGCAGATCCTATTGGCACAGAAGACGGTAGACGGCCATGCTATGTCGAAACCGGACGGCGCATTGTTCATGACGCCCGGGAAGCGACTGCAAGGAGTATACACCAAGGATCATCCTCGCGTTCTTCAGTGAATGTGCATCTTACAGCTCCCCTATACGAGTCACGGAGTCAGGTCTAGTCAGGGATTAGATCTTTAGACGCGGAGTATGACATCAGTCTTCCGTTAGGCCCTCCTCGAGCATATCGATCACAGCTGCAGCGCAGGCCCATGACGTTACGTAGCCCTTTCCAGCGTGTCTGCCAGCGCACGTCAGCATTCGAATCACACTCGAGTCAACAAGCGCACCCGTAGTTGTACACCAACAGCGTCTTCTTGATTCTATCATCCTTGGAAGGTTGAACCCATTCGGATTCTAGCCGGATCCCGCCCTCTCTAGCAGGTCGAAGCCGCATCCTGCCTCCACGATGAACGGGCGCAGGTCTTCAATGGTACCCGAGCGTTCCGTGCGGACCTCCGGCGGACGAGCTCGGGGCAAAGGATGAGGCAGCGTCGGAGGATATCATCTGTGACCTCGGGACGAACGATAGGAAGCCTACAATAAAAACAAAAATGGATAACACCGTCAACGAGTCTCGAAGGTTGCAGCATACCAGTCGTTCGGAGATTTGGTGCTCCCCAGCGAGACCTAGACGATACCCTTCAGTCATTTCCAAACATTCTCGGCGGGAACTAGCTTACCATTCCATTCTGCCGCGGAATGATGTACGTTTGATCACCTCCAGTCGAGTCACTGATCCGAGACGCCTCGGTGATCCACGGGGCCTTCAAAAGAATGACTTGACCCCTGTTGGGATAAACTGACTGGTCTTCAACGCCACCAAGGGTCCGTGCACCGAGGCCGGTACAAACTACCACGGCGTCGATGGGTGTTGCAGACGCAATGCCGCGGGCAAAGACGTCGACGCCGCCTTCTAATACCTGGTTGATGTGTAGCACCTTCCCTCGCACCACGGTTCCGCCTTGTGCCAAGAAGCGCGCCAGTAAATAGTTGATGTATCGAAGAGGATCTACGGTGTAGGTGCTGTAAGAGTAGCCACACTTGGCGTCAGCCACAAGGGAGTCGGTGGGGATCTGCCGGAACTCCACGGGACGATCAGCTCGCTATGACGATACGCTGAATGCCAGTGGTTGTAGGCGCACTTACGTTGGGCATCCAGTGGGCCTGCATGTTCAGCTCGTCCCGAAAGTATTCACGCTCCGTGATACGGCGCAGGCAGTGCTCCGCAGAACCACCCTGTCCTGCAAGCTCCCACATCACCTTGAAAGTATCATGTTCGAGCCCTAGACATATTGTCAACGTACATTCAATGGTGTGCGGATGAACTTACGTTGATCTCTCTCGTCTTTGCCTGTGTGCAACGCCTGATGCGCTCCCTGAGATCTGCGTGAAGAGCCTGTTAAATACAGGATATGGCACAGCGTACCGCCCAAGGACTCGTGTAGTCTGGTCGTTTGGGGTCACTTGGAATGTCTCTGCGATCACAGAAACCTGGTAGGTAGCTTTCTCTTGGATCGCGAGCGCCGTTGTGAGACCTGCTACTCCTACCAAAGTGACGTTGCCTGTTTCAGTTCCATTTTCGTCATCGTGAGAGGACGTACCTGCGCCAAGAACAATGATATAGCGTGGTCGTTCGCCGGGCATTGCTGAGCTGGGATCCTGTAGGCACCGGAATGCAAGCTTGCTGCGACCGCAATGAGGGTCTCGAAAGGCGAGCGGAATGTGCTTCGGTTACTTCTCGAGATACACACAAAGGTGGACTTTGCCGTTCCGCGATACGTGCCGACGGGATGTCTATTCATGATAGAGAACTTGCAGTTCGAATCATGCCGCAAGAAGCAGGTGACTACGTCTAGCTCATAGAATACGAGCGAAGCCATGTTCAGTCATGCTTATCAGACGTCTGGCTCTTCCAGTGTCTCATTTCCGCCGTCCGCGCGAACAGCGTACAACTCAGACTCCTGGCTGCTTCCACCGTTGACCCGCACTTGACTGAAAGGTTACGTACTTACCAGCATGATTTTTGGAGGTCCTGAGCTTCTGCGCATCCTTCGAAGCCATGCACAAAGATGCTGAAATTGTAGGAGCGGCTGAGGCAAGGTCAACGAGTTCTGTAAGCTGAGAAAACATCGTGTCAAGCTTGAGACGACCATACTTATATGTAGTTGGCTGTGAGAACATTTGAGTAGTGACGCAAACTTGAAGTGGCTGCTTCGGCAGGTTCCGCACGCTTGATGGAAAGCCTCTCCGAGTCCCTCACGTTTACAGTCGAGGAGACGAAGCAAAAATACGCCTATTCAATTTCGAGGCTGTCAGTGGAATACAATCAAGATGAATAATGGCCTACAGTGGTTAAATCGGCATAAATACCTACAACGAACATAGCATCTATGCAAGAACCTAAGGTATGAAGTCACAAGCACAACGTACTACTAATTACTCGATTCATACTCATACAGAGGGCCCGGTTCAAATCTCGCGCCTCTCCTACATGACTTCTCCAGCTCCACGAGCATGTCGCAGACACGGTCGCGCGAGTCTTCCAGAGCAACGGCGAGCTCCTCGTCCTCGAGCCGCCCGCCACTCGCGAACTCAAATGCTCGCGAGCCGAGCGCTGTCCGAAGCGCCATGTGCAGTGCTGCGTTGCGCTGTGATGGTGATGGTGGAGGTGAAAGGATGAAGGAAACGGACGTGGAGCAGGCGGGGAAGGAGGAGGGGAAGATGCGTCGGTAGATGATAGTCGCGCTGAGGAGAGACCGGATCTCCGCCTCATCCTTGCTCGCGAGGTCGTGTGCATCCTCGCAATCCGCGTCCTCGTCATCCTGGTATCTGGGCAGGACGTCCTCATGCATGCAGAAGCCGGTGTCCCAGATACGCTCGAGCAGCACCGCGAGCTCAGCGGTCCGCCCGCCGATCGACTTGCCAGCCTGCACCGTCTCCGTGCGTTCCTGCTCCTCACGATAGTCCTTCTCCGCATTGTACACCAGGCCCTCGCCCTCGGCGCACTCGTCCGCGCCTGCACAGGCGTCGTTCCGCACGACCGTGCGCACAAACAGCGCCGCAGCGTGCTTCCGAAGACGCGCGCGTATGAGGATCGCAGCGAGGACGCCGAGCGGGGTGCGCTTCTCGCATGCCGCGCAGCGACCCTTGCGCTCCGTCTCGTGCCAACGCTGCCACTTCTCCAGCCATTCCGCCGCGTCGTCCACGCTCATGTTGTCCAGGACGATCTTCTCGTGCGGACGCAGGAACTCGCGCTCCGCGCGGCATCCCAGAGCGCGGTGGCCTTCGAAGAGGAAACAGGGCGCACGATCATCGCCAGAGTCGAGAGGTCCGTGGTGGACGCTGCGAAGGTCGAGATATGCCATGACATGCACCAGTAAGTCTGCATACGAGTCGCCTTGCCGACTTTCCCTACGGCAGGATTAGCGCCAGGGATGTGCAAGAAGCGACGGAAGCTTACCATCGAACGCGACGAGCTCGCCTAACCGCACCCAGGCGCGCTGCTCGAGTTGGTTGAGCTCAATGCCTCGGTCGACCCTACCGGCCTTGATGACACCCTGCATCAGCCCGAGGACGCCGTCCGACACACCCAGAGCCCGGCGCAGGAGCACAGCCTCGTCGGGCGAGCCACGGCACGTTGGGTGCAGCGCGTCGAGGAGAACCTTCATGAGCGCAGCATCCCGAGGAGCGCGGGACTTCGTGACGCGAACCGTCTCGACGATCGTCTCCGGCGCCGGCTCAGCGGGATGTGCATGCACGGCACGAATCCGCGAAGTGATCGAGGAGAGCACAGACAAACCGCGGGCACGTCGGAGCGCGCCCGACAACCACGGGACGATGACGTAGAAGAACACCAGAGTAGAGACCAATAGATGGACGCCCTGCACGACCTCGTTCATGCCGAGGCTGCTCACTGTAGGCACAGAGGGCGTTGGGAATGCCGGCTGGGAGTACGCAGGTTGGTGAGGGGTCAAGACCGTCCCTGGTGCGCGTGGCCAGTATGTGTCTGCGTATAAGTATGCGTCCGGGTAGCAAGCGGGTTGTTGAACACGGAGAAGAACGCAAACGCGGCGAGCAGGTACTGCTGCGCCGGCGCCTGCTGCGCGCTCTGTTCTGCGGACTGGCCCGTGCTGTCCTCCATCTTGACGTCCATGGGGAATACCGGGGGCACAGTCAACGCGACGGGCGCAGAGGCAGCCTGGATGGCAGCGGGGATAGGGGGAAGCGGGTTCTTGCGTGGGCGGCCGCGCTTGCGCTTCTCTGGTGCTGCACCTGGGACGCCTGGCGCAGCAGCGACAAATGGTAGGAGTGCGAGTACGGGCGCGGGCGCGACTGCGGGACGAGGCGGCTTCTCCTTCTCCTTCTTCGCAGGCTTTGACACCTTTGGCTTCTTCCTCGCGCGGCCTTCCTCGTCATCGCTGTCTTCCCCATCCCCATCCTCGTCATCACTGCCGCCCGCCGCCCCCTCATCCTCGATCTCGTCCTTCTCCTCGCCGCCGAAGCTCTCTCGCCATTCACGTTCCCACTCCTTCAAAAGTGCCGGACCGCCGACGAGACCCGCAATGAGGGACTTCAGCCCATCTTGCTCCCGCTTCAAGCGCGCCTCACGCTTCTTGAGCACCCTGGCAGGCGTCAGACACAATGGGACGGCATCATAACTCAGATAACACATACTTGATGTACTCAGCGGCCTTTCCCAGCACGTTGGCCTTGCTCATCTTGCGCGCTACCTTCACGCCATCCACAAAGCCGCGCGAGTCCACAACGTCGCTGAACGGATTCTGGGCGTTGTTCGCCTTCGCCTCCAGCACGCGCAGCGCAGGCACGGCTTGCTTCAAGCCAGTGATGCGTGCGTTAAGGTTCGTGCGGTATCTCCGCTCGATCGTCGTGTGACTCGTCTTTGGCCGCCCGATCACGGACTGCACGGGTGGCTGCTGCGGTAGCTGCTGCGGCTCCACGGGCGAGTCGCTCTTCGGCGAACTCAGCGACGAAGACGAAGAGTCCGGGCTCGGGACGCTCTTCGGCGGGCTTTGCCTACTGGGCACGGACAGACTAGGGCGCGGGAGCCTCGGAATAGGAAGCTTGGCTTGGCCGCCTGCGACGAGACAATTGTCAGTACGATTCATGAGTGTACATAGTGCAAAAACAACAGCAAATCGGCGCTGAGCAAATGGCGACATGGATGGCTCAACTGTCCCAGGCTAGCAATTGTCTCTAACGCAACACATGCGGCTTAATGCACATTTTTCTGCGTCTGCATGGTGCAGTGAAGAATTGCCTGTCGCCCTCCTCATACAGAACCATCTGCAACCAAGGTTGGTGGGCAACTACGGCAATATGCTGCGAGTGGTTCGCAGGGAACTACCATGTTCGTGAAGTTGTGTTCCAACATGTTTAGCGTGACAGCGTGGTGGACGACGAACATCCAACTGCACGGCATCCAAAACGCTTCTATGTGATGGGGCCCATCCTCTATTGCTCTCTCGGACGACGAGGGAAAGACGTATGCAACACGTCAAAGTCCAGCATCAAGCGTCTCCACATTGGATATTCTGTTGACATACCTCCTCTGCAGGTCACCGCTGCAAAGGAGATACGCAACTCAGTGCGCGCTACTGTACCTGCTGATGCAGGACACACTGTGACCGGACACCCCCTATCGCAAACGGGGAGCCGTGAACGGAGCGCACTGGTATCGCCCCATTCCGCTCATTTCCCGAATCACCAATTTCGTGATGAGCGCAATGATGGGGAGCCGAACAGGTAGGGAAACCAGCAATGGGCCATCCAAAGGCGGATAATCCAAGAAAACGGTGCTCGTACGATTTACTCACCTGCTGCGGCCATTTGCTGCACCTGTGCGCTGACGGGGACAGCAAGTGTGACGCCCGCCATCTGGCGCACCTTATGCGCGAGCTCCTGTGCCGGGTCGCTGAGATAGCTCTCACTCGGTGGTGAGCTGCTGGCCGAAGCGCTGCTGCTGACAGATGCGTTGTCCATGACCGGAGAGAGCGAGGCGCCAGATGAAGAGGAGGATGTGATGCTGAGTCGCCGGCCAGTCTCAGGCTGTATGTGCTGCTGTTGAAGCCAATCCATGTCTTCGGTTGTAGGGTAGAGCAGTCCCTGGTTCTGATCAGAGGCTTGTCCTGAATACAGGTTCTCCGGGGCCATAGCGAGGCCCTGGTCGAACATAGAGCCAAAGTGCAGTGCGCTGGGGTCAATTGCCATGTTTGGGTCAAAGTCTAGGTCCATGGGAAGTGAGAAGTTGAAGTCGCTGAAGTCAGGCATCTTGGTGTTATTCTCTGCGCGCGCCCACGCCGCGAGCTGCTCCCAGTCCGGCGGTGTGTGTGCGGACGACTCGTCCGAGGCCGTATCCGAGTTTGTATTCTGAGAGATCGTCTGCAGCAGAATGTCGAGGGACTCCTCGGAGCTGAGCTGGGAGAAGTCAATGGTCGGGGAGGACGAGCTGGTCGACGACGCGCTCGACGACGCACCCGACGAGGCGGAGGTCGAGGAGCAGAGGGGCGGCGTCGACATGGTGGTTACCTGGCAGGATGGGGAGTTGGGGTCGCAGTCGCAGGGTCCAGGGACGGCATCGGCCCACTTTCGATTTCCTAATGAATCCCCATCGGAGCGCCCAATTCAAACTCCACAACGCGTCCATCTCAATCTCAGATCTCTCCTTCATTGCTCGGCCGCACGTGCCTCTAAACAGCTCCATCCCTTGCTCGCACGAAACTTTATCGAATCCGCTTCCAATGATGGTTTAAAAATGCAGCCTAGGAGACAGCACGACTGGATCGGCATATGCTCCTCGGGATGCGCTGACTTCAGACACAGGCAAAAAAACCGGACACGAAAGGCTGTGCTTCTCCTGAGTCCAGCTCCGTGGGTGGGAACCCACCAGAAGAAGACCAGCCGAGGCTGTTAAAGACGCACCTTCCCCGCAAGTTAGATACGCAGTAGAACCGCTCAGGAACATTAAGCGCTACCTTCAATGCGGTAGCCTTGCGTAGTCTATCATTTCCGTGACGCTGGGAGGCACCAATGACGTTTGACGGCCAATCTGCGGGTGTAACGAGACTCCAGTTGTACCTATCGCAAGGATCTATGGTTAGAAATCTTGCTGCTCTCAATTCAATGGATCTAGGGACCGCATGGTATGCGGCAGACAAAGCCTAGTGACCGCTGCTGGTCAGAAGAAGCATAGGAACGTAAAAGCAAGGCTAGACACTGTACCACGCTGCAGACGCTATGGATGCGTCATATCAGGGCCAGTCAGCACGGCACACCGATAAGAACTCTGAGCTCGAGCCCGAACACTGTTTCGAGTTGCCTCTGGTCAGAGGTCAACGGACACCTTCAAACAAGATAACAGAACCTGTCGCACACCATGAGATGACATCGATGCCGACAATTGATTCGTGGTTGTATCTGCCGAATATGCTATTGTGTAGCTGGTCCAATGTTGAGCTTGTAAGTATAAGACGAGCTAAGAGCATACCTCGGCAGCAATGGTTCATGTGAAGGTACGCCACTAACGCTCGAATACACAGACCCGTCGAACGCTTCTCGGACACCTGCCACAGAACGATGAGCTCAAAGTGATCCGGGTGCATATCTTAACGCGACGCACACCGAGAGGAACGGACTCTCGGGGCGAACGAGTGCGTATGATCGCCGAGAACAGGCGACCTGACGGACATGTCATTCAAGCTCATGTTCGAAGCGCTAACGCGCACGCCACGGTTAGATGCTGTCGACATCCGTTGTATGCACTGGGCGATCGAGCCTGTCAAGACTGGTATGCTTCATCAGCGCAGAAGGCTATGTTCACGACACACCAAGGAGCAGACGCACGCACTGGTGATCATTGGTTCTGCAGACGAACGCCACGATCAACCCCACCCATGAGAGAATATATGCTCACCACCTGCCTGTCGAGCAACCTAAGCTCAAGCTCAGTGCACCAAGTCATTTAGCCACGCACCATTTCCGACGAGTACGGTTGGTTTGCCCATAAGCTCATCTTCTCTATTTTGCAACTCCGTGACGGTCACTGCACCTGTAACATAAACGCATCAGCGAGTGATGTACACGAACTAAGCTTGCAGTCCCTCGGCGTATGCAAAGGATGGAGCCGGGAGAGTCAATACATTCGAGAGCGGCGTGGGCAGAGGTATTACATCAGTTAATACAAGTAACAATACAGCAATCTGGGAGCAATACACCTGATCAATCAAAGATTACAAAGAGAGTCCAACACACACTAGCACTGCACGTTATCATCACACAACTTCCACGAAGTTCGCGGGGAAGATGCCCTCCCGGCCCTCAAGCTTCCCCGTCCACCACGTATTCACGTCGCCGCTCTTCTTCGTCACAGTAATCACCTGTCCCTTCGTAAACGAAAGATCGCCCGGCTGTCGGACGACACCCGCCAAAGTCAGATACGCACTACCCGCGCTGATTCGCCGAGAGGACACACCTGGACTGCTTTGAAGTTGTACAGGGCAATAGCGCGGGCGACGCCCTCCTGCGGCTTGAGCGGCTGTGAGAGCTCGGCCTTGGGCGCAATTTTCGGCGTGAAGCTGATCTTCGCCGGCCTTTCGCTGTAACTGAGATCGTCCAGGTCGTCGCGCGACTCAAATGGATCGCGCTGTGAGTGCGACTCGACGCTCGATAGCGAAGACGGTGCGTAGGCGCTGAACACGCGCCGGTGGCTCGTGGTGTCCAGTCCGCCGTTCGAGCGCGATCCACCGAACGGATTTCGGTCGTGCAAGTCGTTGTCGTTGTCGCCTGATGACCTCGCTGGGGCCTTACCGGACACGCTCAGGTTTGGATGCCGCCGCAGCTGCTCATCCGATACATAGTCCGAATCAAATCTCGTATCGAAGTATCCCGTCGTCGGGTTCGACCCACGGTTCAGTTGTGATGGTTGGTCCTCCCAAGCACGCCGGCTCCCTGGCGAACTGTCCAGCGCTCCCAAGTCCGATGGCACCGGCGCGCGACTCGGGTCGTGGAAGTCGTTCTCGAAGTACGCGCCCGATGTCTTGCGTTTTCCCCAGCTCGCGGGCGGGAACCCGAAGCTGCTGTTCCGCGACCGATTCTTCGCGCTTGGCCGTGCGCCCACGCCGAACTCCGTTTGTGGCGAGCCCGCACCGGAGAGCGCGTCTGCCCCGAGATCGAGCGGAGTGGGGTGCTCATTACGGGGGCTCTCGATGCCATCGAACGCGTACGGGGTATCGCGCGAGCGGAGTTCCTCGACCCACGGCCTGTTGCCTGGCATACCGGTGCATGCCTCGAGCGTCCTAATGAGTGGCATTGCCCACTCTGGGGGGGTGATCGCGCCGCTGAGCAGCGACTTGGCCGAGACGTCTGAGTGATACGCTTGTGCATTGGCGTCTTGGCGTTCGACGATGACTGAACCCTCTATCGATACGCCACCGAACAGGCCTCGTGTTTTTGAATAGCTGTACCTATGGCAGACGTTAGGCATACACTACACGGTCAGATGATCATACTTACATCGCAGCCATCTTTCCGCTGGAGTTCACGGATCCGATCGCCTCGCCATTGCGGCCTAATGGGCCAACAGCAATGCTCATGTTGCCACCTAATGTGAGTGACCCAGCGGACATGAACGTCCTCTAAGACTTCGTGTCAGCATCGTGCTCGCTGCGAGGATGCACAGAATGCATAGTCAATCATAGAACCCCATGTGTATAGGGCATGCGTAATGGCCGTTTTTGTCATAATCAAGACGTGAACAGCAGGCGCGTTTCACACGACGAGCTATACAGCAGTCAGTAGCACACGCGCATAGGCGTCAAGAATAATGCTAGTGTGCTGCTCTTCGGTGAGCCAACGACGCAACTGTCTGTGGCCGAAGACGCAGAGTTAAGGCCGCCAACTGAAGGTCTGTCTCCCTTAGGAGCATGCACTGTGCTGTCCCCGTCGTCCAACAGGCTCGAGGACTCTGCCTTCGGCATTCCTTCGGCGCAGCACTTCGCAGAAGGGAAGGCCGAAATGACAATGACTCGAGCACCACGACCGACGGCGCCTGATTTGCGGAATAGGGACCAGGGTTAATCCTAGAACACGGACTTCGACTTACCACTGCCTATAGCACACGTCAGACTGGCCATGCACATCCAGCAGACGACAGCACTCACAGATCTCGAGTTCAGGACGACCAGGAAGTCCGTCATCTCCGCACCCGCCTGCCCTCCAACACCCAGACCGGCGGAGCCTATCGCGCTAGGCGCTGACCATGCTGCGGAAAACGGTGAGCGTGCGAGCGCAGTGGTACGAGCGCGGCGACTCACATCCGTCCTCAAGTCTCGCGATCACGACGCCTGTCCCTGCGCGGGCAGAGAACAGGAAGCCGGCTTTGAAGATGGTGAAAATAGCGAACCCCTTCGCGTTCTGGAGCACATTCCTCGGGATAACCTGGAGGTTGCTTCAGCTGTCGCTTACTTCGCCTTGCGCAAGGGGTGACGCACCCCGTCAAGACCATTGTTTCCGCTATCAACAAACGACTTGACTGAAAGCACGAGGTCGTCAGTAAGGCATAGAGGCATGAGTAGAGGCTCGTACATATCTTCGCAGCCTTTGCGCATTCCTTGGGAAGAGGTTGAGGTAATGGCGTGTTCAGCTTCATGGTGGTAAGAAAGGAAGAAGTAATTTGTATTTCAGTCAGTCTCGGGGTGAAAAGAGTGGCATTTCATCGAGAACCATAGTCACATGCGGAGGAGACGGGAGAGGAGTACTGGATTGCCTCACAGCCACCGCAGCGCCACTCGGCCGAGGCCATTTTCCGTCTCCGTCACAATCTTGATACCCTTCCGCGGTCTGCCGGCGACTGGCCGACGGACGGAGTCCGCGTTTCTGACTCCGACAATGGCTATAGGCGTCGCTTCGCGCCACTTGTTTTTCTTCTCCTGCGCCGACACCTTATCACCTCCTCCCATGCCTTGCTCACTGGGAAGAGGCCATTTGTCGATTGGCGTAGACATAATTGGCTCCTCTTTCGCTAGCAGCTCTAGGTTCGCTCTGACGAACTCGATGATGGATTTCTAGATAGTAGTGAGAGCCACATTCGTATCGAATCTGTGTTGATGATGTCGCTTTCACCGCAATGCATCCCGTTTTACTCATGCCTGTCTTCAAAATCAGGAAGTTGACTGTTGGCCTGAGGGCTTTCAGTCGATCGCGATGGGCCACACGTGAAAATGTCGATTCGGTGGTACTGACATCCTACCACAAGGGCAGAGGCAGCCTGGAGGCGATCGCAGACACATTTTCGCAAATCAGTCCGGCGCTTTGCATCGACTTTGGCAGGCAGAGAGCCCATGAACCGCACAGACAGCTATTCAGATTCGTAGAGATAGCCGCTGCTATCGCAGGTCATCCTTCGGTCTCGAGCGTCGAGTCAGCCCACGGCTGGTATATATACCCTGTTGAGAGCCCGGTGGGTCAATCTATCCCCACACTAATTCGTCATGGCATCTCATCTCAATGCAAACAAGAATGTGGTGGTTTTGGGAGCAGGTGCGTGCTGCTTATCCGTATTGTAAGTGCTCTTGTGCGGGCGCTGATGGTGTCTGTAGGCGTCGTTGGTCTCACCACCGCCGTTTTGGCCCAGGAGAAGGGCGGCTATGACGTGACTATCATTGCAGAACGCTTCCCTACCGACCCAAAGTCCATCGACTACTGCAGTGCGTGGGCTGTGAGCACAACGTTCCCATGATATCCGAGCCTCACTCACCGATGATGGCCAGGGAGGTCATCACGTCAGCTTCGCCAATGGCGATGAAAGGATGCAGAGTATGAGTGATGTGCCCATTTGGTGGCTCAGTACTGATGTGCGTCGTGCAGAAATCGACTCCGCGACGTTCAAAAGGATGTGGGAGCTCTCAGAGCCCCGCGCTGACGCAGAACATTGCTTCCTTCGCATTCAGGAGACCCAATTCTTCTATGACGGCCGGGATGGTCATTACGAGTGGTATCCCGACGTACGTGACTTGTTTGGTTCTACGTGCGCGACAGATGATCCACTATGCACTTCATCCAGTATGACCCCCTGCCCGAGGACTCCCTCGTCAGCGTTCCAGGTGCGAAGACCGGCTGCACGTTCAACACTCTAACCTTCGACGCCCCGAAGTACGTCGCCTACCTACTAGCGCGCTTCCTCTCGCGCGGCGGCTCCATCGTTCGCGGCAAGGTCTCGCACATCAGCCAGATTGTAGAAGGCGGAGTAGACCTGTTCGCGCGCGGAAAACTATCGACAAGGCCGGTCGATGCCGTTATCGTCTGCGCGGGTCTAGGCGCACGCACACTCGGAGGTGTAGAGGACCAGGCGGTGTACCCTGTGAGGGGCCAGGTCTTGCTCATCAAGGCTCCATGGATACGATTCGGAAGGACTGCGAGTCATAACGAGGACGGGCTTTGGACATATGTGATCCCGAGACGAAACGGCGAGGTGAGGTGTGTCAGTACTGTATTTCGACTCGACTCACACTTTTCGCACATCCAGGTGATCATCGGAGGAACGAAGATGGAGAACGACTGGTGAGTGTCTTCTGGGTAGCTACCAATGCGTCTGCAAAGATAGACACGCGACACAGGTATCCCGCCGCGCGCCCCGAGACTACGGAAGACATCTTGCAACGTTGTCTGGCATTCTGTCCAGAGTTAGCACCGCCTGAAATCCGTGCGCAGCGTGCGCCGACAGTGGACGATCTTCGTGCGCTCATCCTGGAGGCTGGAGTCGGGCTCAGGCCTGCGCGCAAAGGAGGTTTACGCTTGGAAGTCGAGTGGGTAACCAACCCCAGGGGCAACGTTAAGATACCGATGGTCTTCAATTACGGGTATGCGTTCTCCAGTCACTCAGGGCTGCTGAGGGGTCGAGTCTCACTGTTGGACTGCCCTTTTACAGACATAGTGGGTCCGGTTTTCAGTCGTCGTGGGGGTCAGCGGAGGTTGCGTTGGAACTGATGGAGAATGCGTTTTGCGCTGCTTGAATTGGATTCATGATGTATGGTATGCGATGTCACCCAAGTCAAAATTGCGAACACATAGCCCTCAGTCCTGCGATCTCTCAGATTTAGCTCACTGGTCCATGATGTGTAACCTCTCAGGCCTGTAAGTGAACACCCTACCAGAGCCAGATTACTCGTATACTAAAGCAGATCCGGTGAATTCGTTTGCACCTGTTTGGACCAGCGCTTCTGTCTACGTCTGTGGCTGAGTAAAACTCGATGTGGCCGATGCGCCGTTATGCCTCGCGCCATTTGCATTAGCCGTTACCAAGCTGCAGTAATCTATGTCTTTTTTCTGTGTTTTATGCAGACCATCGCTACCAATTGACTGTAAGTCTGCGGAAGCGCGACGCATCCCGACTGCCTTCCCGAATACAGCAACTGGCTATTGCCTCATTGAGCTGCTTTGTAACACTACCGCCCTCCGACTCGGATCCAATCAAGTCGCTGTCCCCGCCCGCTCAGCGCATGGCTACATGCAGTGTTGCACGACGCCCTTCCCCTCTCTGCGTCTGTACCTCCTGTGTCATGCATTCTGTGCCTCTACCCCTGTCTTTGTGTTTGTCTCCCAAAATGGTAAGGCTGCCTGTTGTCTTTGTGTCGATCAGATCTAACGTGTTATTGTTATGCGTTCCACTGTATTTCTGCCCGCTGCCTGCCCGCCGTTTTTGACGTGCTGTCCCGCAACTCCCGCGATGACCAACCTTCTTCTCTTCGGCTTTGTATCCCTCATCGACGGCCGTCGTTCATCACTTGAAGCGCTAACCGCCAACGCGGTACTTCGACGTTCCACAACTACTATGCCACCTTGATCGAATGCTCGAACGGCAGCGACATTCCGGCTGAGCTGCGCGTGTACAGCCCTCCAAACGACACTGTCTTAGCTGACAATACTATTGCTTACGTCATCGCGTGTGCCTACTGTCCTTCTGCCGGCATGGCTTTGCTTGATGCTATCCAGCTCACACCTTTCTACGGCGATCCATCTCTCGGGGACGAATATGATCAGAGTGTTCTGTCCTTCCCGCCCACCATCATTGGCATCGGAACGGTTGCGTCCGCGTATGATGTGCTTGCAGACGGCCAATCAAAGTCATTCCCTGTTATCGCCCATGAGCGCGTGCGCGACGAAAGTAAAACATCTACTATTCAGTAAGTGTAATTACAACACTGTCTTCGCGCTTTCATTAAATCTCCCACTTATTAGGTGCATATACGACGCTTCGCCGCGATGGGCTACCGTTCCTGCTCCTGCCCCCAATTCTACCATATCTTTCCACGGCCGATGCTCGCGCGTGAGTTCAGATGGTGTGTTGGGTGTCGACCTTGAGCTCATTTCTATCAACTTCAGCCCCTCTCCTGTCGCTGTCGGAGGTGGAACTCTACCCGGAGGCAGTCGATCATCGACTGCTAACACTCCTTGAGCTCGCCCACATGGTTGATGCTATCGGTGACGGTGAAGGTCCAGAAGTCTCTCTGCACCTCCTGCAACATGTATCCGACGACCAGCAGCTGATTGACTTCGTCTTCCCGACACATGTACTCGCCAATCCCATCGCCTGTCTAAAACATTCGATGCTTGCTCCCACCAATAGGCAGATCGACCAGTACAACAGCATTGTTCTCAGGCTCAACCACATTGACGAGACAAGCAGGACATACCTTGCGGCCGACTCTCTGAAGGAGGCAGACGACGCCGGCATCGACTCCCCCGACAGCATATCTGACTACGTCGCCCGCCAGAATCCCGCAGGTTTTCCTCCCCACTCGTTGACCGTGAAGGTTAACGCCGTCTAACGCTTGCTGCGCAATTTCTCCCTTGACCGTGGTTTGGTCAAGAACATTTGCGTTGTTGTCATTGCGGTCGGCCCCCGTCTCGTCACAGTCCGCATTCTACGGGGTATTGCAGGTGTCAGTGTCATCGATGAAGAAGACGTCCTCATACCTCAGATCACATTCTCTACCACCCTTTCCTCGGGCCATACACTCCTCCGTCGTCAGTTTCCTCTTGCGCTGCCGCCGGCATATGCAATGACATTCAACAGCTACTTACCAAGGGCTAACTCTTGACGCAGTGGGAGTAGACCTTATGAGACACGTGTTTTCACATGGACAGCTGTACACCGCCCTTTCGCGCATATGTCACCGTGATCACGCAAGAATTTTGCTCAAACACGACGAATCCACTACTATCAATGTCACCTATGACGAACTTCTACTATGATGGTTTATGACTTTAATTACATTGATGTTCACTCAACCGCCGGAGCGTAGCGATGGCGTCCCTTGTCAACAATGATCTGTCGCTGACGCCCACAGCGGCCACGCGTACCGCACCAGTACATAATACCAACTCTACTCTGACCTTCCAGCTCCCGCACTCAAACTGCTCACGCAGAAGGTGTCTTGGTCGGGGCTGACCAGCCTGACGCGTTCATGAGGACGCCTGTACCACAAACTCACAGGCTCAGCTGACCGTGACTCTCGCAACGTAGCGACTCGGACCAGGGGCCTAAGCTCAGACCTAGAAGCCTCCTTATCTGCTGTCCTCCTTTATATAGTCTCGTTCCCCTGCCTTCACTCCTTATATATTCGACATCGATATGCGCAATGCCGAGCTTTGCGCCGGTGACGGGAGCCCGGAGGCAACAGCGATAAGTCTGGGGTCGTGCGCATTCGCTGACACGCTTCCTCTTGACCTCGCCGCCATGAAGACAAAGGAAGTAGTGGTCATTGGAGCTGGTACGTTGACATACGCGTCTCGCGCATTCAGCTGAACCCAGGATGTGCCCCGCGTCTTCGCAGGTGTCGTCGGCCTGACTACGGCGATCACAATCCAGGAGAAAGGAGGCTACAACGTGACGATCATCGCTGAAACATGGCCCAGCGACTCAAAGACGGTGAAATATACGAGTTTCTGGGCGGTATGTCAACCTTATGGTGTTCAGTGACCAAGGTTGACCTGATTTGAAAGGGAGCATCTCAAGGCGTATACAGAGGCCCCGATCAGAATCTGAGAAGTGCGTACTACATATCTGCTCGGGGTATGCTGCACGACTCACTATGTGTCCCTTGTGCAGAGGTTCGGCAGGACACCTTCAAGGTGATGTGGGAGCTGTCCGCACCTGGAGGTCCAGCGGAAGCTTGTTTCCATCGCACGACGGAATACGCCTTCTACCACGATGGCTTAGGCCAATATGCAGACGATATGCCAAACGTGCGTTACGTTCACCTATCTGCGTCAGTTCCCTGCTATAACCATATCAGCTCGAGCGCATTCCGGAGTCCGACCTCCGCCTGGGGGCCAAGGCTGGCTACAGCTTCAGCTCCTACGTGATCGACCCGCCTGTGTACCTCAACTATCTGCTATCCCGCTTCATTGCGCGTGGTGGGCATATCGTTCGAGGGACGGTGCAGCACATCAGCCAGGTCATCGAGGGCGGTGTTGGGATATGGGTGAACGGTAAGCCGTCGGCTGCCCCGGATGCACTCGTCGTATGCAGCGGTCTCGGTGCGAAGACACTTGGCGGAGTGGAGGACGCGGAGGTGTATCCGAACAGAGGCCAGAACGTCATCATTCATGCGCCGTGGGTCAGAGACGCGATGAGTCTCAGCTCGCCTGAACCGACGATTGATACGTACATCTTCCCCCGACGAAACGGTGATGTGAGCGTTCGTCGTTCGACACCCTGAGAGCACATAGTGATCGTGAACCGTCATGCCGCATAGGTCGTACTAGGCACCGTGCGAGTGCCGAATGACTGGTAAGCATCGCAACGCGGCAATAACAAAGGTGGTCGAACTAGCTCACCTTATAACATTCAGGTACCCAGTGAGTCGCCCGGAGACGACGACACAGATCCTCGAGCGCTGCCTGGCCTTGTGCCCCGAGCTCGCCCCTTTAGAGATCAGAGCGCAGCGGACACCTACCGTTGACGATCTTCGCCCTCTCATTGTGGAAGTGACGTGTGGCTTACGGCCCATGCGTATCGGTGGCATCCGGATGGAGGTGAACCAGATTGATGGACGAGAGAGCGGAAGCACGATCCCTATGCTCCTGAACTACGGGTATGGCCCAAGTGGCTATGAGCCTAGTTGGGGGAGCGCGCATGCGGCACTGGGGATGTTGGAACACGCGTTGGCTAGCGTTGCATGAAGAAGTATGTATATCAAATCATCTAGACGTACTTCAGCACTGTGGGCAGCAAGGGAAATATATCAAGCAATCGCCGAGGCGATGTCTACGAGAGAATTGCTAATACTTCAACGCAAACCACCATTTCTGTAGACGACCATCTGTCCCGAAGTCTGCGCGTCCGATGAAATGGCGACCGGAAAGGAAAGCTGGCAACCACACTGCATCGTCCTCCCACATCTCGTCGTACGGGATGAACCGTAGCCCGGACGTTCCATCGACTTGTCTCGGGTTCTGGATGATATGATGGTGTCGGGCATCTGTGTCTGGGATAGCGAACCATTCAGGACGCATCTCTTCGGACCTATCCAAGGAGTTTAACGTCGTCTCTGGACGACCAGACGAGCAACGAGAGACTACTGCTTACTCTGTAATATTGCCGTCAAAGTCTTCGGCATAATAGACCTCGATGCGAGCGGCTTCGGCGATTTCAGGGCTCATGAAGAACAGCGTGCCTCGGTGCTCGAGTTTGGCTGTTATCCCAGCTTCCTCCTGTGCACAGACATCGTAAGTATAGTCGCGATTTGCGAGACACTGCACTTTCCTTGAGCTCCCGCACTGCTGCCTCAGCGGGCGTTTCTCCGGGATCTACCTTCCCACCAAAGCCATTGTACCTTGGCGCGGACAGTGAGTAGCGTACGAGAAGTGCGAGCAAGGCCGCAACCTACAGTCCTTTTCCAAGGCCCCGCTTCTTGAAGCCGAGCAGGAGCTGTTTGTGCAATTGTCAACACTGTTTGGACGCCGTAATAAAGCCCTTGCCACCTCACCGACCTTACTATCCTGCCTCACGAATGCGTTCGTGTAGAGCTTTGCCTTTTTGAAGGGCATCCAACCCATGGACCCCGACTCGGCCAAGACAGAGAGTCGACCATCCGCGTGAAGCCCAGGTGGCACGTCGGTTGCACCTGAAGCCATGATGACGAACGAGGGCTCACTGGAGCTCGTCAGTCAATATCCCGCGATTGCACGAATATATCCCTGCCTGAGGTCTCGCAGCAGGCGAAGGCCAGCACTTGCCGCCAATCGGAGTGGCTGCGCGCTTCAGCGACCACACTTTGGGAGACGCCGTGGACGTGGCAACTACAAATTGCCAAATCGGGAACAAGGTCGCGCACACGCGTTTGATCCGCGTGTGGCTGCACTGTGGTCCATCAATCTGAGATGTGGCTCAGTCCCATTGTTCTCGTCCCAACGTCGCACGCCTCGACTCAGACTGTCCCATATTGGGCAAATTGTGCGTACACTGACAATATTTCGGACTTGGATCTGCGCAAAAGGCGCGAGACAACCTACCGATTAGGAAAGGTGAACCATTTCGGCCAGCAACGACAATGCTAACCCCAGATAATAATGAAACAGGTGTGTTCTGTGGCCAACAGACATCGTGGCTATCTGAGCTGGATATAAAGCGGACACGTCTTCGCCCACTGCGTAAGCCAACCCTCATCTTCTCCAGATGTCGTCCTCACCTGAGCCCGGGCCCAGCCTTGCTGAATCTCGTCGTGCTACATCACCTCCCGGTACAACAGCTGAAGGCTCGCAAGTCGCGCGCAGTTCTCGTGGCTGTCCACTGTCCTGATTGTCGTGTCAGGGAACCATCGAGTCCCTCCGCCACACGGGAATCGTCGATAGAATCAACGTAAGTTGTATCGCTCTCTCGGTGAGGGTCATCTCGGTTAACGCTATACACAGAGAAGCTTCGACTCTCCCGACCCCATCGGGTCCAAGTACCGAAACATCGTAAGCGACTTCGTGATGTTATTGTGGCTATTTTCGCTCAAGCCTGGTATTCCCAAGACCATCCGCTCGTCTTTCTACCCCCAAGCGCACACAACCTCCCTCAGACACCGACAGCACTCCCGTTCACGGCAACTCGTCCGCTCTCACTAATCTGACCGTTAACAAAGTGACCAGAAAAGACAACACCGGGGCTCAGCTTCCACCCTTCGCTTGAGAGATGAGGTCGACAACGGTGGAGATGAAGTTTGAGGAATTCTTGGCGCGCTACATGCCGGTACTTGACCTTCCGTCGACGTTCGCGCCCAAGATACCCGACTTTGACAAGGATAAACTTATGGGAAAGGAGAACGATGTCTGCATCGAACTGGTACGTACGACCGTTGTCTCGACGCAAGGCCATTGCTCACCTTACTCTCGTGAACAGTGCAGAGTTGTTCAGAAGATATTTAACAACCGTCACGAAGGCGAGAAGTTGGTTGCGAAGAACACGTGTGACAACCCAGACCCCAGCGATCACAACGACTACGCGCAGCAATCCAGAGTCGATGTCTCATTCTACCCGGCGGGCGGCCGTGCTGAGGATGACTACCGGCTTACGGGAAGCAAAAACTTGGCGCAGTTTCGGGCGTCCACTCGCTGGGCTTGGATCTCCTTGCTGGTAGAGATCAAAACGGAGCACGACAAATGCGCGTTCGATTTCGTCAACAAGGACGGCAGGAAGAAATGTGGTGACTCTGAGGAGCCTCACGACAACGAAGGCAATGACGGCGTCGCCGAGCACCACGATGACCCTGCGGAGCTCAGGGCTGCAGACAAGGGAAAGGCAAGGGCGAACACGGGCGGTGGAGGCGGCAGGGGTAGAGGCAGGGGGAGGGGAAGGGGACGAAGACGAGGACGGGGTAGGGGCAAGGGCAGGGGAAAGACAACCGGGGGCAAGGGCAAGGGCAAGGCGACCGACACCCGTGACGACTCTGATGTCGAGGATTCTCCGATGACACCGGTCAACGAGACCGCGCCGCTCGAGGAGTCGACCAGCAAACAGAATACAACGCCGCCGGTACCGCAGCCGTTTCTTCCCTCTGGGTCGGGCGCGAATGAGGCCCTAGCACAGATGGCGGAGTACGTCGCGAAGATCTTTCGGAGGCAGCACCGGCTGCATGTCTTCGCGCTCTTCATCTACAAGGGCCAGGCTCGTGTCGTTCGCTGGGACCGCGCCGGTGCCATCGTCTCTACGCCGATCGACTTCGCAGAGGACCCGTCTCTGCTCCACCTGGTCATCTGGCGGTACGCGAGTATGAACCAAGAGCAGCGCGGCTTCGACCCTAGCGTGGTCCTGGCCACCGAGGAAGACATCGCACATATGCGGAATTGCAGCACACCGTATCCGAGTGGGTGGATTGACGACTGCCGCAACGCTGCCGTCGATCAGCCTGGATGGCCTATGTACAGGATCAACATGCGGGCCCAGGACCACATAGATCAGACGAACCTCCAGCCGCTCGTTGATTCCATGCGGAAAGAGTCCTCGCCATCGTACCCGCTGAACGAGAAGATCAGTTTCATTGTCGGCAAGCGATACTTCGCCACTGACTCGCCGACTGGGTGGGGTACTAACTACGAAGCCGTCGACCCTCTCCCCAACTTGAAGGCTCAACCGAAGCAACGCCGAGAGCCGATGATGGACGTAAAAGCGACTTTGCCAGTCGGCATAGAAGATGAAATGGAACAGCTTGAAGCACCCTCAGTGAAGGCATCTGCAACGCTCGCAAATCACAACAAGATAATCTATGTTTTCCTCAAAACACTTCAGCAGCCCCTGGAGGATTGGGAAGATGTCGTCGGCACACCGGATCAATTCCAGAGTCCTGCGTTCAAGGACTCCGTCGTGTACCAGCATGGTATTCAGCGATCCAAGATGAAGTCGTCGGGCTCGAAGCGAACGTTGGAAGGCGAACCAGCGGATTTGGAAAAACCCGGCCCTTCGAAGAGATCTAGACGTGGGACGACTGGGCTGCAGTCACTGCCGGAAGGGAAGACTGGCTAGACGCACGACGGGGTCGAGTTATATCGTCTCCAAAGTATGTCTGTCTGGTCTGTGATTGACTTTGATTCGGATGTGATACTGTGTTGTATGTTTGGTCATATTGTATTGTTCGCCATTGTCTACGTCTATTGGTCGGGCTACCATCCGAGTCTGACTCTGAGGACGCGGACGATTAGCGTCACATTCAACTATACGTTGTAAGTGCCTGCAGACCAACTGCTCAAATGCGATGGTCGTGGTCTCCTCGTCCACCACTCACACCGTAGTCACGGACAATGGATTTGATTCACCTTTCCGATGATTGATGACGTCCGACAGGCGTCCGATCCGGAGTAGACGCTGACACTCTTGCGTCAGTTCGCGACTTTCCGCTAGCGTAGGTACGTATATAGACTGCATGGAGACGTCGGTCAACATCGGTTTTACCTCCCACGAGAATACTACATTACCGCACGCAACAACGTAACTTACAGACATGCTGCAACAGCAACTTGCGAAGAACGTCGTCGTCCTGGGAGCCGGTACGGTGACCTGATCTACCATAGAAATTGTGCTAATAATGATGGGCCTACGACAGGCGTCGCTGGACTGACAACGGCACTGAAGCTCCAGGTTAGAGGTGGCTACCAGGTCTCCTTGATTTCCGCAGTCCTCCCAACAGACTACCCCAGGAAAGCGGAGTACTCTAGTCCATGGGCGGTGAGCATAGTGCGCGTGCATGGGGCACCGTCGCCTGCCTAACGGGAACCACAAGGGTGCGCACCATATGCTATACACCGGACGAGATGCAAGAGAGAAGGGTGGGGGCGTCATCTTAACCACCGAACGTCAATGTCTGATCACTGTAACACAGAAATCGAAGCGGAGACCTTCAATACCATGTGGGAGCTCTCCGCGCCAGGGGGCGTTGCCGAGCACTGTTTCCGCCGCATCAAAGAGACGGAGTATTATCGCAACGAAGTCGAGCTCCAGGTCAACTGGATGCCGGACGTACGTTCACAACTTGCTCGCCTAGAAGTCATGCCGCACTGAGTCTCTTTCCTACGTGCAGCTACAGCCCGTCGCGGAGAACTTGCTGATCCCGGAGGCCAAATGCGGTTATTCATACACGACCTATAGTGTCGATCCCGTGCTCTACATCAACTACCTCCTTTCGCGCCTGCTGGCTAGCGGCGGTACGGTCATCCGCGGCGATGTCAAGCACATCAGTCAAGTTATTGAGGGTGGCGTCGACCTGTTCACTCGCGGACGTGCAGCGACGACGCCTATCGATGCGTTGGTGGTGTGTCCCGGAGTCGGGGCCCGGACGCTCGGAGGCATCGAGGACGAGGCGGTGTATCCTAGCAGGGGCCAAGTAGTTATACTGAACGCACCGTGGATTACGCAGGCGATCAGGTTGAGCGATTCAACTGGGGCTGGCGCCCAGACGTATGTGGTGCCACGGAGAGATGGGACGGTGAGTCAAGTAGGCTAGCCAGCTAAATTCTCATGATGAAAAACTGGAGTAGGTCGCGCTGGGGAGTACAAAAGAAGCCGGTGATTGGTAAGTCAGTTACCGACTGACAGAGAGAACAGACCTACGATGTCGCCTTTCGATACAGGTATCCCGCGGCTCGTCCAAGGACCACAGACGACATCCTTCGCCGTTGTCTTGCTTTATGCCCGGAACTTGCTCCACTGGAAGTCCGAGCACAGCGTGCCGGTACGACTGACGACCTTCGTCCACTTATCGTCGAGACTGGTTGTGGCCTCCGACCTGCAAGAAAGGGTGGCATGCGCCTCGAGTACGAATGGGTCAATGCAGGAAAAGATGGCAGGAAGATACCGCTCGTATATAACTACGGGTATGCGTGCCTTTACCTCTCGAATGACTCCGCCGTGACAAACGTCGTTCTTTAGGCACGCAGGCGTTGGCTTTGAGATGTCATGGGGGTGCGCTGCGGCCGTGCTCAAGATGTTAGAAAACGTCAAGGCCTGAGCTATGGATTGAGGTGTATGCTGTAGAAAGTGTTGACGGCGTAGTCGGACCGAAATCGAAAGCCTTTCATGAACCTTGAATACAGTGAATCAAGGTTGCTGATGCCACCACATAGCTGAGGTGAGCGCAACAACAATTCAAACGTTTTCAGGCCGTACAGGACGCGAGAGACGGTAGACGACCGGGACATAACGGTAGATACAAGTGTCGCACCTCTAGGAGATCCCCGACCGCGTCAAGCAGTGCCGATGAACGTCAAGACCGCGAGACAAACGTGATGCCTCGTCGTAAATCTGGCGACACTCGGCGCGAGTAGTGTATTTCTGAATCTGGACTACAGATTCTACAGCGCATGGCGTTAGCCATCTGTTCAGAGTCCGTGAGGATCACATCCTCACCAGTGTTGCTATCCATATCAGTCCAACCACAGATATTCACGCATTTTTCATCCATCCGAGAAGAGACTCACTCCAATAGCGCAGTGTTCGCCCGCCCAGTAATATCGAATAGATGGTTTGGTGTCGCAGTCTGGAGCCGTCCTAGCAAATGTGGTTGTTCCGGAGCATGATAATGTGTTCTGTAAGTAGTCGCTCTTGTTAGGCATAAGAATGTACGTCGAGAACCCTTGGAAGGTCCAGTAGCAAGCAGTCAATGGGTGAATTGCGAGCGCTAAGTTGCTCAGACCTGGACACACGCGCTTACTGGGATCACGTGGACCGTTAAGGGTAGGCCGTGGCTGAATGGCAAGTTTGAGAGGCGACAGCGCCGAACACATCGTTGTCGTCGGGTCCCACCACATCCACCTCAAGACACCCGATTCAAGATGGTGAGTATCGCTGTAGGCTGGAGCCATGTTCCGACGTGCAGTAGAAGATCCAGAAATCATCGCAGGATGGGATGGATGGCGGCACTGCATCTCGGATGACGACTCAGCCCGAGTTGAAGCACATGGATTCTGACTGCGTGTTTTCTAGACTAAGAAGAGAAGAAATAACGGCCGCAACAAGAAGGGACGTGGCCACGTCAACTTCGTTCGCTGCTCGAACTGCTCGCGATGCGTGGGCAAGGACAAGGCGATCAAGCGCTTCACAGTGCGCAACATGGTGGAGAGTGCTGCTGTCCGGGACATCAGCGATGCGAGCGTTTACTCTGGTGCGTGGTGTACACCCCCTGCTACCTAGATTGGTGTTCACGCTATCATTCTACACAGAGTACGTTATCCCCAAGCTGTACATCAAAATTGCCTACTGCGTCTCATGCGCTATCCACTCGCACGGTACGTCCGTCTTACACGGCCTCGTATCGACTTATCCATAACCGATTGTAGTCGTCCGTGTCCGCTCCCGCGAGGGCCGTCGCAACCGTGCACCCCCGCCCCGTGTACGGTGGAAGGATGGCAAAAAGGTCAACCCCGCTGTCGCCGCGGCCGAGGACGCCAAGGCGGCTCAGGCCCGCGCTGCTGCATAGGCTACGTATGTGCGGACAATATCATGTTTTCTCCGCCGCATCCGTCTTGCATCCACCTCATGCTGTCACCAAATCCGATTGACACTCCCAGCCTGTACCACTACGCAGAGCGCGATGTACTGCCCCCTATTTGAGAGAATGGATGCACTTGGGTGTTGTCCTGCCCTTTCATCTCACGTGAGGACCGTTACAGAGGACTCCAGATCATGCACGAAGACCAGAAGCTTGATCCGCACCTTCTAGGACCCCTAGCCTTCGCGCGCATCTACCTGACAGCCTGGTATGCCCTGCTACTATTTGCGAAATTAGCACCTACTTAGTGATCGCCCGGTGCACCCAGTTAGCCTCTTGAAGGGTTGGTGCCGTGTTGAGTCCTTTGTTGGTCACGTCCCTTACACATGAATACCTGGGCTACTGGCGTGTTGTCTGGATCCTCCGGCGGACACACGAACTATATTGTTTGGACATCTCGCCGGCCTTTTCCCGCGATGATGGTTTGCAACTGTTGTCGGGGCGAAATCAACGCAACCCCCATCCGGAGCGCACAGTATCGTCTTGATTCGTTGCTCAATTCCTTGCTGGTGCACCACTGACTGTAGGGCCTTGGTAGGGGCCGTCGTTCCCCTTACTGTACTTAAGCCTGCCATGATTCGTGAAGCGCGCTCAAATTTCCAGGTGAGCTCAGGTGGCTAGGTCACGATATGGATTGCTTTGGAGCGCCCCGCTCCGCTGCGTCTGGACTGACGTCTGGCCGTGGGGCGGGTTTGGAACGAACGGCTTGCATTAGCGCGTCAGTGAGTCACATCTGTCCGCCGTTTGTCCGTTTTATCTCTGTTTATCCGCGCATCATCTACTGCGCTCGCGCGTTACTTATATTGACACGTCGCCGTGAGATTCGGCCCTTCTATGCTTAGGTGGCTTTCTTCTCCATCTGCACCACACAAGATGAGAGCAGTGGTATGTCCTCGTGCGCCCATCGCGCCCTCCGAGCTCGTCTACACGACCGACCATCCAGAGCCGGCATCGAAGGAAGGCCATGTCCTGATCCGCGTTAAGGCGTACGGCCTGAACCGTTCGGAGCTCTTCACGAGGCAGGGCCACTCACCTGGGATCCAGTTCCCGAGAGTGTTGGGTATCGAGTGCGTCGGTATTGTGAAGAATGCGGGGGGCGGCTCGAAGTGGAAGGAGGGTGATGTCGTCGCTGCGTGTATGGGTGGCATGGGCCGTCAGTTCGATGGTGGGTCTGTCCATGATCTGCGTCCTGCGGATTACTGATATTGGGGATCGTTAGGTGGCTACGCGGAGTATGCCTTGATCCCACATACGTCCGTATCTCCCCCGATCAAGCTGCCGGAGCAGATGGGCTGGGCCGAGTTCGCAGCCATCCCAGAGACGTACCTCACAGGTGAGCATCCGTTCAAAGCATCCTGACGACCGGCTGTCTGACTCGGACAAGCCTGGGGCACGCTCAGCGAGTCGCTCAAGCTGCAGAGCACGGACACGCTGCTGATCCGCGGCGGCACGACGAGCGTCGGGCTCGCCTGCGCGGCGCTCGCGAAGTCGTCGCTCTTTGCACCGGACATCAAGCCGACCGTGGTCGCGACGACGCGGAGCGCCGCCAAGAAGGCCGCGATGACAGCCGCGGGCGTGGACGTCGTCCTGGTCGACAGGGACAACTCGATATGCGCGCAGGTGAAGGCGGCGACGGCGGGCAGGGGCGCGCAGAAGTGCGTCGAGCTCGTGGGCGGGACGACCCTCTCGGACTCGTGCAAGAGCCTTGCAGACGATGGCGTCGTCTCGATGATCGGGTGCGTCTCGGGCGAGTGGACGGTGAAGGAGTTCGACCCGATGACGGCGCTGTCACCGTGGAAGGTGCGCTTGGTGATCATTATGTATGGAACACTGTCTGATGGAGCTTCTGCAGCGCCTCACTGTGTGCTCGTCACACCACCTTGATATCTCGAAAGCACCGCTGCAGTGGATCGTCGACGCGATCGCCTTTGGCGAGCTGAATTCGAGCGTGGACAAGGTGTTCAAGATGGAGGAGACGGCGAAGGCGCATGAGTACATGGAGGCGAACAAGGCCGCCGGGAAGGTTGTCTGTCTCGTCGACTCTGAGTAGCTCCGCCCAAGCGTTCGACGTGCCGTGTTAACGAGAGCCGACGGTTACTACGCATTGGCACGTACTGCATTCGATGTACTTATAGGCAATCGTGACTCACGAGATGTAACAACAACACAACAGCAACTGTGCATGCTGCGAACGTGCAGAATGAAAAGACGTCTACGTGCCCGTTCATGTGTCCGATTTTGTTCCCTGTCATTGTCAGATTGCACATCGGTGCCTTCAACTGTACTCCGAGGGAAGCGCCGAGCGATCTGGGCGGCTATGTACGAATGCTGTCGCGCGACGCGAGCCTCGGTCCTCCCATGCCAGTTAACCTCTGCTTCCATGACAGTTTTCAACCCACACGCACATACGCACACAGTGGTGAGTACCACATACGAGCCTTGTACCGCGCAAGCATTTGGGCTCAGGCAAACAAAGCTGCGACCCAGTTCTCCTCGGAAAGCCTAGTAAGACTTACACAGGGTGGAAATGTTGCGCTGAAGTTTTTATGCCGCACAGTCCCTGCATCCTAGTAATGTGCCTGTCCACTACGATGTTTCCTATGAGTCACCGGCTTTCCACGAGACGGCTGCACAAGCCGTCGGCCAAGGTAGGGCCGATCCTCGTTGCCTGCGTATAGGTTTCCTAGTGTATGAAGAGCAGCTGCGCCACACTTTACATGCTTTACTCAACTGTTGCTAGCCTATTCGCACTCAGTGCTGCGGCTGTGCGCGCAGGTATATGCCGCCGACCTAGACTGCATCGTGTCGGTGAGTTGTATCCGCGTGGAATGTGTGCGCCGAGAAGGTGGATCGTGAGACGGTCATTGGATGGGCATCTCTATCTCCGTGCAGCGTGTCCGTAATCGGCGGTTCTTAGTTGTTATTAGTGGTCAAGTGAAGGACACATGAACTGCGTAATCTGTTTCTTATACAGTTTACTACAGGCAACAGAGCACTTTTGCGGCGAAGAAAACGACACAACTTCAAGTGCAGTCGGACACGAAATGCAGATGCGAACTCTATCGTGACGTGCAGCGCGAGTTACAGTAATCGGGAGGGAGCATACCGAGAATATCGCAGAACAGTGCACATGTCAGCGCTAGACATCCAGGTATGGACTTGCAGTGGACGTTGGTGGCCCATCTGACGTGGGATTCCCGTATCATCAAGGTATATGCTTCGCTCTCGCAGTCGACCGCTATAACTGGAGCAGCGTGTGTGCCTGCTGGCCAGCCGACTTTCCTCTTTCATGTCTGCAGTTCCTCCTACCTTGCATTTCCCCGCGCCCATTGGTGGTGTTCCTTCCCATGATGATTTCCCTCCTTCACTGTTATTCGAGATCCTGTATGTGATGTTGATTCCTCTCATCGTATTCAGATTTGCTTCCAGGGCTTCGCGTACCATGGCCATCATCAATATCGTAGCGACGACTACGGAGCGGTGCGTGGACGGAATACAGTCATCTATCCTGCAACCGCTGAACGCGCGATGTCTTGACAGCGTCGTCAGCTTTGCTCTCCGCATGGCGGAGGCTAACAATCCGGCCCTTCGGATGACGAAGCTCTTCGTCGATTGGCTCCAGGGCGCATACATCGCGACGTTCATTTCCATAGGAAATGACATCGTGCACATCGGCCGCGCGTACCTCGTCAGTACGACGCTCGGCGCAGAGCCAGAAATGTTGGCGATGACATCGCGGCTCCCGACGATAATGTGCAGGGTATGTGCACCATCCAGCGGACGTTAGGACTCGACTCGATGGAGCTAGAGCAGCCTGGTGGCAGCAGTGCCGTAGAGACGAAGGCGCCTTCAAAGCAGGAAGAAGTGGACATTGCGAGCATAAGCATTCTTCCTGACGAACCTGGGAGGCGACGCCGCATCCGGGTTGTCTGCACTGCCATAGCAATAATTCTCGTCGTCGGCGGGCTCACGGCGCCAGTGGAGAGCGCCATGTATTACACATCGATGACGGATCCATCCAAAGTGAAGCCTACCCAACTGGTCAGGTACGTGCCCGCGTAGAACCTCCGCTTTTCTCGGTGGTCATTGAGAACCATGTCGTCAGAGTCATCGGAACAATCCTCGGGTTAATTGGCCTGCAGTCTATGAACATCTTCATGCTCCACGCTTGGATGACACGCCCAAGACGAGTGCAATTTCAGCGCATCCTTTACCTCTGTTGTATCTGTTGCATCCTTGTGAGTGACTCTCGGTAGGCATTGCACATTGCCTTACTGACTTCGCCTCACAGACGATCACTGCCGTGTACCGTCTCGCGGTTATGCCGAGCACGACCACCTCTTTGCTGCCCAGTGCCCCGGACCCGCTCAATGGCCCTATAGCCAAGGCTCTGTTTTACGTGTTCCACATCGTCCCGGAGTGGCTCGCGGCTGTTTTGGTGCTCTGTATCAATGTCAGAGTGGTCTATAACACCGGGTTCGGAGGCGACTTGCGTGTTAAAGACAAGATGTGATTTGGGAGAAACGACGTGCTAGGTTAGAATGAACGAGTAGAGCGGAGGGCATTGATTGTACTTGCATCTTGGCTCGGACATGTCGTTTGTGGTGTATTATCAGGAACAGCCGGCTCTTAGACCACGCCTGCAGGACATCACACTGATGAAGGTAGCATAGCATGCAGCAAATACTCACATTCAACCTCCTGAATACTTCCACGAATGTGCATGTTTTTGCTGCCCACTCAAGATCCGCATTGTGGCGTGAGTTGATCGTCAGATCGAGGCCGTCATCGGTCAATCTCCGAATTGAGGCAATCTCGCCCGATACCCTAGCTTTGATGCACTAGTGTCTAGTGCCAAAGGCCCGTACGCGGAAAATCCGGCAGCTTGCGTATCCTTGGGCAATGGGAGGTAAAAGTTGCGCTCTGACATGGGGCCATATATAATATGGGTATGCCGGCGTCGCCGGATCTTCTGTCGGAGACATGTCAGTAGTAGCACTGTTTACTCGAGCTGTTGCGAGAGATAGTGTGTCTGTTGAAGACCATGAGTCAATGTCTCTAGACAAGTGCACACTTGCGTATAGCAAAGTAGGCAATACGTGGGGACCGGTGTCTTCGGGACCAATCTCGCCGATGCAAGCTGCGACGCGTGAATATTGAAATGTTGAAGTAAAGAAGCACCGTGAGCGGTCCTAACAGGGGTTGAAAGAGTATACATGTGTACATGGATTCTTCTGACTGGTAACAGTTACTTTCTAAATGTACTGCATGCACAAGGCATGTAAGCATCACTCGTCTGGTTTGAACCAAGCCATCGACCACGCACCAGATCGCTTATACACTCCTTGCGCGCCAATAATCTGGAGCTTATGCAGACCAAGCTTAGTTGAAATCTACACCTCCGTCTATATTGATCGATTGGCCTTTCAGGAGTGATCAATAAGAGCCCGCTAGATCGACATGGTCGCGGGACTCACCTGTGATAAAGTACGCCTCGGGCTTAACCAGATATGACACAAGACTGGCAACAACCTCCGGGCCTGCAGCCGGGCCGTCCGGCGGAAGCCCACATACCTAAACCCGCATGTCACGTAAATCCGCACACGGGAACGTTCACTGTTATCACTCACCCACTTCGTGGCAGTACCATGACCACCACCCTTGGCTTCGTCAAGAGCGCCCATATCAGCTGATCGCACCGTCAGAAATGATCACAGAAAGCTTGGAATTGGCTTCACTCATGGCGGTGAGGATGACACCAGGAGCGTACGTATTGACGGTGATCTTGTGAGGCGCGAGCTCAATAGCTGGGGGAGTGTGGGTGAGGTGTTATCATCGTTAGCAGATTCATTCCCAGCGTACCGAGACACTGCGTGAGACCTCTGATAGCGAACTTGGGCGCGACGTAAGCAGCGGCAGCAGGTCCACCTGCCCCATGATCTGTGAGAAGCGATGCGACAGCTGTCAGACTGAATTGAGGACATACCGCGTTTGCCAAGGATTGAACCAGCCCCTGTCAATGAAGGATTTAGCATATATAAACATCATCCTCTACTGCGAAATCAGTGACGTACCAAGGATTCGTCCGCCGTTGCCTTGCTTGACCATCTGCTTCGCTGCGTACTTGTAGCAAAGCATAACTCCTCGAACGTTGATGGCCAAGGCGCGATCAAACTGTTTCACGTCGACTGTTCGCGGAATTAGAAAGTGAAGCTGTAATGAACAGACCTAGTACTCACGATCGACGATCTCACTTATGATCGCGACAGCGGCGTTCGCTACCATCTAGTTATCGCGGATCAGCGTCGCATTCTCACCGCAATGTGGGCAATAGTGAACTCACTACGTCGAGCCTACCAAGGACTTCGACCGTCTTCTCGACCATGGCTTTGACGGTGTCATCTTCGGAGACATCACCCAACACGGGCAGCGCTTTGCGTCCCTTGGCTTCAATCTCCTTCACCACAGAGTTCAAATTGTCGGCATTGCTCGGTATGTCGTTGACGGCGACATTGAAGCCGTCATCCGCGAGTTTGAGGGCGATCTCTCTGCCGATTCCTTGGGCAGCCCCGGTAATGAATGCGACGGTGAACGGAGTTGCCTGCCCTGGAGCCATCGCTGAATGTATGGGGAAGACGGGTAGAAGAAGGCAGAGACGGAGTAATTCTCTGAGCCTACACCAATCTAGTTCGTGGGCCACCTCATTATATCATGGATCCTACCCGAGTCGCTGATTTTACTTTGAGACCTTTCCCGAGTTTCAAACCCCGTCATCCATTGGTCACTCCTACGAAGGCCCATTCCTGGTTAGTACGTTCCTGCCGCGTAGCTGGCGATCAGTGCTGCTAGAAACATGCAGGACGTACATACCATCGCCAGATGGGCCACATGCGCGTGCTAGTGGGCAGTGAGAAAGAGCCCAGGCGGTACCCTAACGTGCTTCGCCGAGCAGAACGGCCGTCCTTACTAAGTACAGGGTTGCCTTATTGGGAAGCCACATCCCACGTGGCTGTGCACGTGTAGGCGTTGATCCCGTTGAATCCCGTTGAATTGGCAGCGCCACCGGTGCGCGGGTCAAGCAGCAACGTTCAGACCGACTGCAAGTTCACTGCAACAGTGAAGACTTTCGACAGCTGCGTGTGGCATGCCTGCGGAGTAGAGCTCTGCCATACTTTTGTCTGAGCCAGTGCGTACAATCACTCTTCGCTGGTAGGAGAGAACGATCTGACGAAAGACTTCAATTCAGAGCCCAGATAATGGAAGATGTTTTACATACCCGTTCATCCCGCTGCGATATGCAGCGGAGCATGGTAGACCGTAGGACAAGATGCCCGACTACAAGTCAAGAAAGGACATTTTGATCCTCGGGCTCGGCTTGACCTGCCATATACTCACTGCAAGACCGTAGTACCGCGCCCCTATGCAGCCGACGGAGCGTGCCGACTACCCCACTGCAATAAGGCGTCGCGCGTGGTCTGTCTCAGAACACAAGTTTGACATTCTAGACGACGCATAGCGTACCCGTTCCTATTGATCAAGGTACGGCAGCCACTTCCCCCGAGTCGACGCCGTCGGTCAGGCCGGTCAGGGTCCGTTAGAGCCTGTGGCAACATGCAAGAACACGTCAAGATCAGTCGAGCGCAACAAATAACGTGGGTATATGCGCACTTTCTATCGTGCGGCAGCTTGGATGGAGCTTGGACGCGACCGGCAACACGACCACCAAGCACGGCGCGGGTGCGACATTTCGTCAGCAGCAGTTTGTCGGAGGGCGGCATGCTCGCTGCCGACTTATCGGTCCTTGCAGTAACGCTTGTCTATGATCACTAACGGATGGGCTTCCCGACGACTCTGGTCTGGGTCGTGTCTGGAGAGATCTCAAGTCGCTGGATCCCGTGGATACGGCATCGACCTGGGCTCTAGAATGCTACTCTCCACTCCACGGCAATGGACGGGACCGAGGTAACGACTCTAGTGAAACTTGTGGAGTTGTGATGTCCAGGAGGATCGAAACGTCGACCCGTCCGCTGTCTGCTCTGGCATAGTCGGTGGGTGGCAGTCGAACCCAGGCCGTCGCGAACAACCACTCACCATGGTGTCGTTGACCCACTAAGCAGGACACCTGACGTGGCCGTCTTACGGACCACAAGGCGTGACACTCTGTCATCCGTCCTCCCAATACGATCAGCATCTACTGCGCAGAAGGGGCTCGCGTCTGGTCAATGTTGAACGGGAATACACGCCAAGATGACAGCTATGTGCGATACTTCTGTTCTCCGTACCTCTGCTTCGCCCCGCCAAGTCTCCTCGGAAGCCCTCTATCTGGCAAGCCGACCGGATGCTCACGATCACGCCTGGGATTATGCAAGCATTTTCGAGCATCGATGACGCTGCGTGAAGACAAGCTCCCGCTTTCACCGAGGATTGATGCTTACAATATGCGCGGAGGCATCACTTAGTGGCCATCTTTCCAACACGCTCAACTCCTTCGAAGATCTCCACAACGCTGCCGCCATTGCCTTCATCCCGCGCTGACTTGTCGAGGAATTGCGACGAAGACCTGTCAGGCGGAGCCTTTCCCGGTCTTCAGTCTTCATTCTGTCCCCAGGCCCGCGCTACCGTGTCTCCTTGCCACGCTGTGCACGTCCCCGTGCCTGCTGAGTAACAAAGGAGTCTGCCTACCAAATCTTCTGGCAGACCACTTCCGGCTGCAACAGCCTCGTCGGCCACCCACTGCTGTCTTCCATGTGCCGGAAACCGTTTGCTCCCAGTCGCTCGTGACTTCTCTCCGATAGGCTCTATTTCTGCTGGACCTCTGCTCTTATTGGACAACGCGTGCTCGCGCGCCGGAGAAGTGCGGGAGGCTTACAAGGTTTGGTATGTCGTTCCGCGATTCGGACTCTGGACGCCTGTACCTCGGAGCGCCCATACTGGACAGTACAAACCCGCTCTGCAGAGTATCCTCGTCTCCTCCACTCGCGCGCCATGCATTTCGTCTCTGCTGCATGCTTAGCAAACGCATGGACTAGGTCACGCTACTATCGGGCACTCGTTACGGGGGCCGGCGACTCTCCTTTCTCATACCCTTGGGATTGTCCGTACTGGCAATGGCAAGCAGATTGCCGAAGACTCAAGATAATACCGTCCTGAACGCGACCTTCGCGCGCACAGAACGTATCCTGTTGACTCGATTTCAAATTGCGCTTGAATACCAGTACCCCGATGGCCGGCCGGCACTATCCTATTGTCGCTATTCTGGGTTCGCTGGTGGTCTCGAATACGCTTTGTGGCACACGATTGCCACAACCTTTCGGCCGCTACCGCTCTCTCGGGCTGTTCATAGCAAGATAGTTTGATGTCGTCCCTGCGCGCCGCGCGTTGGGAGACCGGGTCGGTGCTGGCAGCGCATGTTTCACTCACTCGATGTGTGCAGCCACTACACACCGACTCGCCGCGGCCCAGGACATACGTCAATTTGCCATACTGCAGCAATAATCGATTTATTTGATGCCATCTTCGTCGCCGGGACATGTATCCATGCGTGCGCGGGTCCTGTCAGTATCTGTCAAAGCCCTCCCCGGTCCTCGCGACATCCTTGCGAATCGTCCGCGCGATGCAAGTGCCGCGTTGGACACATCGATGGCGTGTCCGCACATCAAGAATGCACTCTCTTCGTGTGTATTGCGCCGCTGCGAGAGCATGACTCGCGGCTTGTAGCGGGCTCTTATCCCTTCGAATTCATGCGACGCGGTCACTTGATGCAGCTCGATGGTCGATGATCCCACCCAAAAATCCAGAAACCGCTTGTGGTTCTCCATCCTGAACTTCGGCGAGCCCGTGGCCGGTGGAGCGAGAACTTTGTGTTGGACCATGAGAACGAGATTGTCCCAGGTTGGTCCCAGGCTGTGAGTCGGCGCCCCGGCGGCTGTCTGCAGTTGGCCGGCGCCTGGGCCAAGCGCGACTTTGACCCACACCGTGACTACGGCCTCGTGTTGACAAAGCTCTGGTCGCTGCTCTGACTCGCTCTGCGCAGGCTCTTCGTTCCCAGTGCCCGCAATAGCCACCGCAGGACGGGCGAGTGACTGCTGAATGAGACAACAAGGTGACCGTCTCTGTCATGGCGAGGCTGATGATTTTGACGCTTGGGCGCGCGAGCACGGCCGATCTGGATGGCCACGCAGGGAGGCTTCTGCCTTCGCCTAGTTTCCCTCGTGGCCACTGCATCTCTCCGCCGCACGCCTATAAAGCCTTTGCTTTGCCCGCCATGTCAAATCCCGATCCCGGAGGCTACACCACTGCCACCCGTCACTGTCGATCGGTCCTTGTCCTCTGTCTCATATAAGGGCCCGAGTACCTGTGCAAACTTTCCACCACCCAATCGTCTTGCACCCTCGCACACCCTACATGACTGCCGTAGCTTCCTCGTCCCAGTCTCTCTACGCGTCGCTGCCATCCGCGCCCTCGGCATGCAGACATCATATGGCTCTGCTAGCCACGCAGCGGCACCATCGCAATCGAAAGGTTTGCTTTCGCGCGAGTGCAGGAACGGTCTGCCTCGTCAAGGTGCGTCATACCATTCGTCCATAGCCTCTCTGCTAAGCTCTACGTTCAGTGCCACATCCCCACCAGGGCTCCATGTCCTCCGCGCTGGTCCCTCGGACGTGCACATATTCCGGCACGAGTTCATCACCCAATTCCGTTTCTCGCACTCCGCCGCGCTGCACCCCGCGGACCTGCACATCCTGGAGCCAATCGACGAGGCCCATACGCTCTACGAGGAAGAGAAGGGCACCGTCTTCCTCGCGCGCGAGCTCATGACGCGCCTCCAGACGCTCACCGTCGACTCCCAGCGGGCGTTCCGACGACCTCGTGTGGCGGGGCAGATCTCGCGATCGCACTGACGCTGGGCGTCGCGCTAGAAGGCTCGAGGATGGCGTTGGCAATGGACGGCTTTGTAATTGCGGGGCGGCGGGACCCGAGTCAGACCTGGTGGCCTTGGCGAGGCTCGTCTTCCACCCATCGTCGTATCAGCGTTTCCGAACCGGGGCGGAGTGAAGAGTTTGACATGCTAGCGGATCACAGAGCTTTGCTGCCGTGCCTTTGGCGGTGCATCCACAACCTTACCATACATCGCCGCATCCGTGTGGTCGAACCCGTACCACCATCGTGTGTGTACTAATTAACTAGATTATATGGGTCTGTCATTTGCCGCATTTGTAGTTTTAGTCAATCGTAGCATTAGGTGTTATCCATCCAAGCTGTTCTCCCGGAGGTGGCCTGTGCTGTGCTCGCGAGGCCGCTGCTGTTCATGGGCGATAAAACGTCAGTCTGAACAATGTCGCAACTGAGGTGAGGACCGTCCGTAACAGGGCTCGTCAACAGCTCCGAGTACTGATGATGATCTGTTAGTTGCGCGTCTCCAGCAGTCAGTGAACCATCCGGGGATAGCCATCGCGTATGCGCACGGGAGACGGCTACATAGAAGCTACCATCGCAAGCAGCACAAAGAACAATCGGAGCGAACACGTACAACCCGCAGATTCAGAAGTGTCCGAACTGCTCGTTCTCCATTACCATTTGGAGGTGCTTCGTCGGGCCATATGAACACACCAGCGCGCCAGCAGCCACCGGAGCGCTCAAACTTCACTCAAGCGTGGAGACGCGCTGACGTGAAGTTTGCGTGAAGTGCATACGTAGAGCGGGAAGCAGCGACACGGACGCGTTATTACCGATAGCAGAGAACCGAAAGAATTGCTTCTGAATACAGTACCGATATAGATACACTGTTTGTTTGTTGACTTCCCCCTTCTCTCCACGGCTCGTCAGACCATCTCCGAGCGACACAACGGGCAACTGGACGAGTGGCTTGAATTGAACCACTATCGAACTCTGGATCAGCGGGGCGCCACGGGAGCCTGGCAGAGAGACGGACCTTGTACAGACACGCGGCGTGGAAGCGATTCTTGCATGTCCTGCACGGTTTCCGCGGCAAACTGCCGTCCATCGCACTGATGATCCTGCGGGACCATAGAGCGATCAGACACAGGGGACGGCAACCACCGCACAGCATACGCACGAATAACAGATCGCGCACTCCGCGAGACCCTCGAAGTGAGACGAGACATTCTTCTTGAAGAAACTCAGGCCGTCGGTGATGCTCCCACTCTACACGCCGCATGTGAGCGCGGATGAAAACAACCTATAACAGAAGACTACGCACTCTGTAGGAGATAATTTGCTGAATACCGAGCATCCAGCCCGCCAGCGATCCTCGGGTACACCCACCGGTTTGTTGTCCCGGATCTCGATGCCATGAAGCGGGTAGTCGGATGGCAACTTCACCGTCAGCCCGAGCTGGTGCTCGTCTACCGCGTACGAGGCTGTGACCTCATTCACCGCATTCGAGACCTTGATCGTGAGGTTCTCGTCCGTGAGCTCGGCCGCAGCGTCTGGGTCTTTTACTTGGGTCAACTCGGTCTGGATGATTGCGGGGGAGAAGTAGGACGCCGTGTAGGTTGATACCCTGTTAAGCAACTGACGATCGCGGCATTCGGAGAGCCAGTTGCGGATGAGAGACGGCACTATGAGAAGCGCGCGGTAGTACAAATGAGCCGCCAAGAGGCCGATGCTCAACGCCGAATCTCCAGAGTATGCTGCCAGATGTTCAGCTGCCGTTGAGAAGAGAGGGAGAGAGCAAAAATGAGACGTACAGTCAAGATACAACTCTTCGATGGACCATATATCGAGTTTGAATGGTTTCGTGCTTCCCCATACAGGCCAAGAATAGCGATTATGCTAGGAAGTAGGTGTTCACCTATAAGACCCAGGTCTCGTAATTGCTCGATGTAAGCAGATTTGACTTTGAGGGACTAGAAGCTAAGGTCAGCAGAGCACGCCTTAGAATCGAGAGTCGAGAGTGGACTCACAGCGTTCGCGAAGTGGTCGAAGGCCAGCATCCATGCAAGGAAATAACCGGAAGAATGCTGTGCCACCATTAGAATCGCGGGCGTACAGAACCTGGGATAACCGACCTGATACTCGAAGCCCGAATCCTCTTCCGCGCTAAGGTCACGTTGCAGAATTTGGATGAGTTCCACCGGTAGCTCTATCCTTACGGGATCCTCGGATTCAACCGCAGCTTCGATTACCATGTGCTCCGTGTACTTCCTGGCTGCCTCGTGTAGAAGCCGATAGGCCATCTTTTGAACGTCGATTGCGGGATCTTCAATGATATGGCACATCTGTTCGAGAAGTCAGGTCCATTTCTAACCTATACGAAGGACGTGAAGCAAACCTTGGAGATAGTGGTCCGGTCCATGAGGGACTCCGGAAGATCTTGTACAATCTGCAAGGCAAGCTCACGACATGCAGAGAGCGGCGCCGAGATCTGTTCGGGCTCTGGGCAGCAGGTCAGAAATCGCGGCCCTTTCCAGGGTCTCGTCTGCTACGCACCCAGCTTCACCGAGACTAAGTCGCGAACGAAACTCAAACATGTAGTCTCCCTGTCTTGCCAGACTTCACGAAGAGCCTTGTTCGTCGAGGCTAGATCTTGTATAGCAATCAACAATCTCAGTGTCCTACTGAGAATGACAAGGGAGGGCTGTTCCGTGAGAGCGGAGCTCTACGATACGGCAAAAACAGTGAGAATAACATGCACTTCAGCGTAACGAGCTCTCGCACCTCAAGATTGTTCTCCATCACGTCGAAAATCAAGTCCCAGTGAGCTCCTGGTACGTTCTGCAAGATCGGTGCTAGGTACAAGAAGATCAACGTCATCTCGCTCTCGACTCCTCGTCGATATCTTCGTCTGATGTGATCCACTGCTGGCAAGTCTTCATCAAATTGACCGCGCGTGGTTGCGGTAAGAAGACAACGTCGGATTCGGGGTCTGGTGCAGTTGCTCCTAGCCTGCGGAGTATCCATAAGCCTTGCGTATTCGCCTTCGACGCTGGCACACCGAGAACTCCAGCTGCAAGTTCGTTCCTGTATCGATCGAGAATTGGCGGTTCAGGCGCATACTGGGTGACCGAGTACACGATAGCAAGGGATGTGTGGGGCGCTGTAAGCGATGTCAGTGCTTTGAAACGATTCGAGACATTGAATGAAACTATACCTTGTCGCTCCAGCTTCCGGGCGAGCTGCGCCCATTGCCCCGCTTCAACTTTCGAGATGCTCCTAAACGTGTGTTCTAGTATCGCGTGAAGGATACGGGACTCCCGTACGGTGTCAAATCGTTGACCGTGGCTGACCAGGTCCCAGAGAAGCCTTCCGACGGCGTCAAGCTGGCTGTAATCATCTGCCGCGATGCTGTCCACGACCACAGAGTTCCACCCTTCGTCCTGCGATGAGGACAACACGTACATCGCGACTTGCCTTGCCTTCGTGATAAGGTCATGGAGTCTCGACCTCGAAACGGAGGCAGAGAAAACAGGGTTCCTCGACGTCGGTAACTGGATCAGTTCGTCCGCATATAGCGACAACGCTAGCAGATGTCGAACTGCCCAGGCATTCTCTTTTGCGGCATGCCTGTCGTCAAGAAGACACAAGAGTAAGGCCTCGACGGCTCGAGCGTATTGCGATAGGCCAGACAGATCAGCGTCAAGGCTTGTTGCAGGTGGCTCGTGACACAAAGGAGGAGGAACAAGCGGATCTATGACAGCAAGGCTCGCATCACTCGCTACGGATGGCAAGCGATCGAGCATGTCGTCGAGTAATTTCCTGGAGGGCAGGATGTCCGACAAAAGTTTGACGTCGAATGAAGCATCCCGTGTCTTCAGCATGAGTAAAATTTCCGCGGGGCTGCGACAAAATGAATAATTGTTATCATATAATATAAAAGAGTGGAGCGCACCTCGCTAGTGACGAAGTATCCAGCAGCAATTCACGCAGTCTGCCCTTCACGACAGCTACTGTGGCCCGCTGACACTCTTGACTTCCATGCAGCCACGTCTGCCAAAGCTTCCGAGTCGTGGCTACTTGCTGCTCGTCGGCCTCCCGTACAGTCGGCAGCAAGTTCCCAAAGAGAAAGACCTCGGCGAACAAGGCGATCGAACCTTCCGTCGTCTGTAGCAAAGCGAGATGATGTGAACACAGTACCTCCAGCAGGCTCCACGACACGCCGAAGACGGCGAGCGACGCGGATGCGTCCGTCCAAACAGCAGGGATGTGCATGTTCAATGCCGAACACAGACTTCCCACCAGGCCCTTGAAGGAGCCCCCGAGACAAACGGCCCTGTTAAATGCGTCAATTGGGACTAAATCGGGGTTTTCGATATAATTGACCTGGAGAGCGCATGATGCTCCGGAGTGTATTCACTTCACCTGCCTTTGCAGGTCCGGAAAGCACCCTAGCGAGAAGTCACCGATAACGTCGTCGAAGTCGCCTTCATCAGCATGCAGGTAGCCAGGGAGTGCGCCGCTCTCCTGAGCGTCGAGCAACGGTGAGACGGCATCCTCGATGCTTCCCGACGACCCAGCCAATGTGCGTAAGACATCCTGCCACAGTTGCAGACATAGCGCCTCGTCTTGACGATGAAAGAGGTAGGTCAGCAAGAGCGAGGGAGCAACGGCTAACACGCGTCGCAAGTGCTGGCCCACAGTTTCGTCGATGGCCTGTAATTCTCTCAAATGAACAGCCGACGCACAAAACATGCGCGCGCAACGTACCTTGGTCACCGCTGGATCACTGAACACAGCGCCTTCGAATGTACCCAGAACGCCCACAAGCGCGTCGACTTGACCCTGGGCGGGAGCTTCATCCGACTGGAGGATCTCCTCGCAGCGTTTGATCGCGTGTTGCACTACCTTGGCGACGAGCGCATTCACAGCGGCCACTTGTTCGCCATCCTTCTCGAACTGGTGCTGGAATGTTTTCAGGATAGTCGACGCGATCGGAGATATACCGCCGTCTTGGTTGCCCAATGCCGGCAGGATGCCAGACGACAACGAGTCCCAAGCGGCAGAGAAAAGCTCTGGCAATGTGTGGTCATCATGGTGAGGAACACAGAACGGAGATATCACCATCAGTACTTACCACGATTGAGCTGGTAAAGCCCCGTCAACGACTTGACCATCAAGCCCGCAGCTGTTGCTGGTTCAATCCTCAGTCGCCGCTCATTCAGCGCCTCCAACGCGGTAGCAAATTGGTTCGCTACGAGCTTCCGCGCCGCCTGCTGACGATCAGCCTCTGTATCGTCGGCGACTTCGGTGGATGAACCGTGTATCAGAAGTTGCGCGTCCTCTAAAGGGCAATGCAGCAGGCGTCTGACGAGGAAGGTGAGACACTCCAGGACTGCCGAGAAGAACGCGGCGCTCGTCGCTGTTTTGTCGAGCCCAGAGAGTGCGCGTCCATCCACGGCTGACCAGAAGGAGGTGAAGAAGTCATCGAGAGGGGTGTTCGAGCTTGCGCCCCATATCTGCATACTCGGATGTTAGCTTCACTCTAGCCACCAGACATAGGGCGCACCGCGGGTGGGATCGTGAATATGATGATTATGATGGTAGGATAGCCCTGCAATGGTGATCCCGCGCATCCTAGCTCGAGGAACTGGAGGAACTCGCGGAAGGCTCGAGACGGAGGGGGTGTTGTTGTCGGTGTCGTCGACTTATCGACCTGTGCCTCCTGCGTGAGTTCATCGTCATCCGCGTCTGAGTCCTCTTCAGCATCCTCCCCTTCATCGTCTCGGGCGTCGAGCTCCCAAGCGATTGGGTGTTCTGCGACAGTCGTTAGTTGCAGGTATGTGCAATGGGCAAGAGACATACCTCGGAGGAACGTCAAGAGAGGCTGCCACATTGCTGACCTGACAATGGGGTCTGGCTCTACCCAGGCTGAGCGCAGAATAGCCCGACTGAGCACTGTAAGCAGTGTGTCGAGCAGTTCTGACGAAACCGTGAGCTACGTGCTCGAGAAGCAATGTATCCGATAGCGGACCTTTACACGTCCGAAGAGCCGTCTGCAGTAATGACCACGCCGCCCTGCGCACACCGGGTTGATTCCAGCCGAAGCTCTCGACCTCGACGAATGGCGGCACCTGGGCATGATACAAAGCCGTCCACAAGGCCGGATTCGCGAAGGGCGCCACGAACTCGTTCGTTAAATATTCAGGCCTTTCCGCGACAACGGCACCTGCGAATGACAACGCTGAATGCCATACCCCGATGTGTACATACAGGCACAGTACGTACTAAGCATCCACTCCGCCGACCCGCACGCTCCCATGCGCAGTCTAGCCCTGCGATCAGCCTCATTCTCTTCTTCCTCCTCTGGCTTCGCTCTGCCGGTGTCCTCCTCCTGGACTCTCTTCGTAGGCGGCGACTTTGCGCCCTTCTTGTGTGGTGGTGGTGGTGGTGCGGCGGGCTGCGGAGGGTTAACGTACAAGTACACGCCGCTCGGATCGAGCAAAGTCCGATGCGTAAAGTTCCAGAGTCGCTGCACTTGCTCAGCGTCCAGACCGAGTGGTCGTGGAGAAGTGGACAAGGCGACTGAGCGGATCCAGGACTCTCGGGCGAGCGAGGCAACCTGGCGGTCGACATCGTGCGCGGCAAGGAGCCACGAACCTAATATATACTCGGTTTGGTCGGCCGAGAGAACCTCGCGTAGATTGAAGAAGAGATGGGTCGAGATGTCCGCAGGTAGGCGAAGCAAGGAGGTATGCAGACCGACGGCAAGGAGCCGAATGCGCCGAGATGGGTGAAGAAAAAGAGCGGGATGTGGTGTAGCTACTACAGCCCATGAGCGGGGTTCAACGACCTAGGGACGCAGATGCTCACCCAGACTGGAAGGGTCTCCGCAATGACCTCCAACAACCCGTTCTCGCTCCTGGCTTTGTCGACCCAACCCGTTTGAAAATCTTCCAGCGCACGTCGCTTCGTGATCGAATCCTTCTTCGCGAGCCTTCGGAGGACAACGAGCAGTTCCGGCGGTAGTTTCTGCGCGATCCCCAGGGTGTCGAGCGGATCCGGTTGCACTGGCGCAGGCTTGACTGGCGGGATATAGACTTTCTTGCGGGGCTCCTTGCTCTTCTTCTCTTTCTTGCTTGCCTTTTTCTCCTTCGGTATCTGGGGTTCCTCGGCTTGGCCAACTGGTGCAGCCGCCTTCCGGGCGTGTTTCTTGCGTGTCGCGGAGGTCGCAGAGGACTTAGCCTTCGCCATGAGAAGAAATCAGATCAATGTCACTGTACAGTATTATACCGAGGGATCAGAAAGAAGGGGGTAAGAAAGAAGTAAGGGCTGAGGACTTGTATATAGTCGTAGATGGTCGTGTCCAAGTCGTGTCGGTCAAACCGTCAAATCAACAGCAAGCGTCATACGATCTGATTACAGATCCGACGCGGTGATTGCCGTCTCCAGGCCGAGGCACACCCGACCTCAACCCGACCTTGTTCAAGCTGTAGACCAACTGCCAGTTGCCACACTACTGCCAGTGAGCGGACGTACAGGTAAGCACAGATCTTTAAGTATTCTCAGTGAAATTCTCGGTAAACCCTATAACTTTGAGCGCTTGGTGCTCAGCATGTCCGAGAAATGTAAGTCGGCTCTATCGCGTAAGTATTGCCTCTCAGCGCACTAATGAATTATTGAAGCACAATTACAGTATGCCGCCGCATCTCGCGTCCCTCTCATCAAATCGCCCAGTCTCAGGGTTGCGCGGCCGGTTGGTGCGGACTGAATCCAACCAATTACCCTTGTTGACCGTCAGTCACTAGGTCGAGCGTCCCCCGGACATTCACCCGCTACCGGAAGATGTCTCTGCTTACGTGCGTACAAATAGCCCGAGAGCATGTACGATATGTCTCAGTGACATTTTTCTTTTCAACCAGTTCGTGTATCCCTTCACACTTGAGCCTCACGTAATCCGCCTCGAGGACTCGCGTCGATCCACGCTCGCCGCTCATGCAGCTCGTCGCGAGGCATACCTCAAGTCGCGCGAGGAGGAGAAAGAGCGGCGCAAGCGCGATGCTCTCCGCCGCATAGCTCCAGGGTTCGAGCCTCAAGGCACGCTGCTCGTGCCCACGAAACGGCAGTCGATAGGTCCGGGATCGTCGCCCGCTCCTCCGGACTCGCTGGACGGCAGTACAGGACACGCGCACACCAAGTCGGTCATGGAGGATCTCGTAGATCAACTTGCAGCATTGGATGCTGAGCGCGATCAGACTTGATGCACATCCGTGGGGGCGATTATCACGACATGGACGTGCATCGGCTCGCTCATCCTCCCTCTGTATGAATATACGCACTTTGACGCTTTAAAATGATACCAGCGTCATCACCGTTCCTGTGTTACTTCACCTAGTAGCCGTTTCGTCAAGGCCCTAGTGCAAGGGTGCCGTATCATGCTGCACGACAGAATTTAGGTAGCAGGTACGTAGATCATGCGCAGAGACGTCTTCAACTTCGCAGGCTATGAGGAAGCTGGGGGTGGTTTGGCTACTAGTAGAACAGTAGCGATACGGTCTGCAAACTCGCGCCCTGTACACGCATTCATGGAAGAGCACGAGTGCAACCCATGAGTTGTGAGCAAGCGCGAAGGACTCGCGTGTCACTGCATTGCACCAGACATTTGAACACTACATGCTTCTGTGCGTATCCATCGGAATGCTACGGAAGGCGGTGATGCGTGGACAGGAACTGTCATTGCACTTTGACAGTTTGCCTCCAGGTACCTCCGCTGACAGTCGGACATAATGCTGGTCGTCCTTGGGTCGTCCGCACCTTCAAGTAGGGTAATATAATGAGATACAACCGATACAAACTCCGTGACGGAGTCGACATGACCCATAGACTAGATAGACATACTATGTACATCGCATAGTTCTCACTCTCCGACCTCATCGTACGCTTCATCATACTCCTCTTCCTCCCAGTCCTCTTCCTCCCAGTCCTCCTCTTCCGAGTCACTCGTCCTGCCCCTATGTCGTTTCGAAGGACCGGGCCTCTCCAGATCAGTCGATTTCAAGTCGTTCAATGTCCGTTTCAGGCCCGTGGGGTGCACGTTCGATCGCTCGGGACCACGCCAATACACGACGATCGTACCGAACTCAGGACCTTGGAATTGATCTGCTGTACCGACGACATCTTTCCAATGCGCCAGAGGCTGCTGCAGTGCGGTGTAGAAATAATAGTATATATCGTTGTGATCCGCGAGCGTTTCAGATGCGTCCACTGAGGGTACTTGTTTGATTGGGCGCTTTATGCGAACTGGCAAAGGCATATCCAATATCGGCTCCAGTGGCTCTTCGTCTTGCTTCGGCCGAGCCTTGGGGCGAGGGTCGACGGCTTCGTAGTGTTGTTGGCACATCAAAGCAAGCTTGGCGAGGAGCTCGGCCAGAGGCGAGCCCGGATCTGGGATTTTGACGGACGGAAGACCGATATGCGAAAAGGTTTTCTTCAAGTCGCCGCCAATTTTCTCTTGGTGTTTGTCGCCAATCCGGACACTTTGATGGTCGTACATATGCAGGACATGTATCCTTAGAGCGTCGGGGAACGAAGTCAATGCGTGCTTCACGAAGCGAAGACACATCCAGTTCAGGACATGTACGACGGATTCCAGATCGTCTGCGACCTCGTGTACCTTCCCGGGGTCCTGCAGAAGCCTGGCAGACATGTATCGCCACGTACCCTGAAACCGATCAGCGCGAGGTTGCACCCTGTCGTGTACCCGACTCACCGTACGACCCGGTCGTAACACAGTATCATCTTTTATGAGTTTGCACATTTCCCAATCGTTCAGGATGCCGACGACTCGCTCAATACCTTCCATGTCGATGAAGCGGAGTATGAGGATGTTCGCAGGACTTATATCTCCGTGCAGGCAACGCTCCAACTCCCAGGCCTGTTTATGTGCTAGGCCAAAGCACGATGAGTATCACCGCGTTAAGAAAGCGACGAGCACAGTACCTTGAAGCGCTTCGAATATACATTTGACGAGCTCCCGTGGAGAACTGTGGCTCTCCAGTGGCTCACAGATCTCCTTCACTACGAGACGATAGTGTTCTTGTATAGGCCACCGGCACGTCGTCTTCTGATCCGCAGGTTGCCAGCATTGCGCCGACGTCTCCTGTGCGCTACCCGCGTCGTTCTTCACAACGCCGGCAGCGATAGGCGTTGGCACATATTGCACACCACTCCTTCGGAGCGTCGTCAGCACGTCGCCCTCGCGCAACGAGTGCTCCACCCGAGGGCGCCAGCAATCCTTCAAGAAGACCAGTCGCTTCCGAGACACGTCGTAGGCGATGTAGCCTTTCGTACCACGCCCGATAGGGGAATCGGTCGCGAAGTATGGCTTGCCTACAATGAAGGAAGCGCCATCACTCGCCGGCGGATCCGTGTCCTCTGGCTCTGGACTCGACCACTTTGTGAGCGGCTGCAGGTCCCGCTGATCAATGAGGTCCTCGGTCCGCATCTTGATCTTGTACACGGGCCATCCAGCCTGATCGAGCGCAGCATGACGCCGTTCGCTGACCCACTCGTTCGGCGCGCCGCAATCCCGCATGGCGTCGATCTCGTCTTGCGTGGCTCGCACGACAGTCGGGTCGAAGCCGCGCCGCTCTTGGTCCATGCACGCGTAGCGCCAGATGACCTTGTGAAGCGGCGACGGGTCCTCTTTGAAGTCGATCGACGCAGAGACGGTGGCGCCGGCTCGGTCCCACCGTGTGACCCGAGCCTGACCGTTGAACATCAGCAGTGTGAAGAGATGCAGTCGATGTTGTCGCTTGAAGATCTTCCCGACACATTCCGCCATCCGCTCCAGCGAATCGTCCGCTTTGGGGCCAGAGAGAGCATTCTCGTCTGGCTCCACATCGTCGCTGGCGTTGGTCGCCTGCCCCTTGCCTGTGTCCGCGGCCGTGGGCTGATCCGAGTCGTCACGGCATTCGTCGTAGTCGCTTCCGTCCGCAGGATTCTCCCCGTCGTCGCTCTCCTGGTCGTTGTCCCTATCGGCAAACTCGGAGGCACACTGATGGGTCGAAGTCGTCTTGATCTCCACAAACAACGATATCCAGGCCCAGCGACTAGAAGTGCGGAAGTCCTTGATCAAGTTGCCCGGCGTAGACGCGTGGTCGGCCCTAGCATCGATGTGCGCCGCCGGGTAGAAAGACACGTCCGAGTCGACTCGGCGCTGTGCCGCGGCACTGTTGCGATCGCTCGAGTCTGGGCTATCGCGCAAGTTACTCGCAGCCAGCTTCTCTCCGTAAGGACAACTATCGAAGATCGCCAGCGCGACTCTGCACTGTTTACAAAGATAAACAACTGCCTCGCCTGGACTGGACACAGGGAGATCACGTACGAGCTCAACCTGTGCGAAATCCTTCGATTTCCCGAGTTCCGCCTTGCAGCCCGAGAAGGTAGGGATCTCAAGTTCAGACGGGAGGTCAGGACCAGGCATATAAAGTTGCATGAAGCGGTCAAAGTCCATTTCGACCGGCTTTGACCGCATTCTTTCAGCGAAAATTGGTTTTGGACCAGTCACCGAGGCAGCAAACCGAGGAGTAGAGTAATTCGATGTGTTCTGTACCACGGTGATGGGCGAGCGGATGTCGATGAGGGTGCGTCTGGCATAAGCCGAAGTGGCCACGAACTGAGCTGCCTGACCAGTGACACTGGGGGCAAGACGCGTTGGTCGGAGCGCGAACATAGGAAGGACATTGTAAGTAACAGATCTCCGATCCGTGCAGCCACAGCGATCGTGGCTTGAGATCTTGAGAGCTTGAGCTTTTTCCTTTTTTTTAGAGGGCTTTAAGGGGCATCCTGCAAACGACAATAGGTCGGCTCCGGAGTGCCAGCCAGCCGGCGGGTTGCCCCGCTCGTGCTACCGAGAGCTTGAGCCTGACAAGACGCTGTGGACGTGGCAACTACAAATTGCCATATCGGGAACAAGGTCGCGCACACGCGTTTGATCCGCGTGTGGCTGCACTGTGGTCCATCAATCTGAGATGTGGCTCAGTCCCATTGTTCTCGTCCCAACGTCGCACGCGTCGATCCAGACTGCCCCGTATTGGGTAAATTGTGTGTACGCTGACAATATCTCGGACTTGGATCTGCGCAAAAGGCGCGAGATAACCTACCGACTAGGAAAGGTAAATCGTTTCGGGCAGCAACAACAATGCTAACCCCAGAGAATAATGAAACAGGCGTGTTCTGTGGCCAACAGACATCGTGGCTCTCTGAGCTGGATATAAAGCAAACGCGCCTTCGCCCACTGCGTAAGTCCAACACCCATCTTCTTCCGATGGCTACTCCTTCTGACACCGCGCCTAGTATCGTTGGAAATTCCGAGTGTGGCACCTCGCCTCCTGCCACACCCAGTCAGGCTCACGAATCGTAAGTCGCGCTACTCCCGTCTCGTGGACCGGCTTGCTGACAGTCGTGCTAGGGGACCGCCAAGTCCGTCCGCCACTGCGGTACCCGAAGAGTCGCCAGACGCGACTCCGTGAGTAATCCTATTGTCCCGTTTCATTGCTTCCGCTGAAAGTATCGACAGTGAGGCTTTAACCGGTCCGACAGTCGCATCTGAGAGCACCGAGTCCTCGTAAGTGTCTGTGTCTCTGCGACGTTTACCTCCGACGTAACTTGGAATAGTGCCTCGGCTGCCACTCCTGAGACTGCTCGCCCAATAACTCCACAGGGTACGACGCCCCCCGACGGCAAGACAATCCAAAGCACCCCTGTGCAAGCAACGGTGTCGACCAAATCGCATTCTGTCAACACCGTGACCGGCCCGGACGCAGTGATAAGGAGGCGAGCGCTATACGCGCGCGAGATGCGGTCGAAGCTGTTTGAGATGGAGTTTGAAGAATTCTTGGCTCTGTACATGCCGAGCGACCATGACCTGCCGGAGTCTTCCAGGCTCGCGATCCCAGCAATGGATAGTACGACGCTCTTGGACTCCAAGGAAGGACCTATCTGCGATGCACTGGTGAGTACGCAATCTATCTTGACGCAAGGCCACCGCTCAACTGGTGTTTGCGACTAGTGCAAGGTCGCGCAGGCCATCTTCGCAGGGTGTCCGCACGGGGAACAGAAGCTTGTTGCGAAGAACACGAGCAACCACTCGGACCCCAGTGATAAAAACGACGCCGCGGAGCAGCTGAGGGTCGATCTGTCCTTCTATCCCGACCACGACGATGCGAAGTCGGACTACGAACATCAGAAAGCGAGTCAACGGGCGAAGGAAGCGAGTCAACGGGTGGAGGAGGCTCGTCAACGGGCGGAGGAGGCTCGCCAATGGGCGGAGGGGCCTCGTCAACGGGCGGAGAAGGCTCTTCAACAGGCGGAGGAGGCTCGTCAACGGGTGGAGGATCAGGCCCTGACTCGCTGGGCGTGGATCTCGTTGGCGATCGAAGTGAAGACGGACCACGCAAACTGTGCGTTCACTTTTGATAACAAGACCCCGCCGAAGCGAACCAGCAAGTCGAAGGATGCGGCGCCCCAGCAGCAGACCAGCGATGCTCAGGATGATAGCCAGCGCAAGGACGACGCAGCGTCGTTCGTGCGCTCCGGTTCCTCGGCGGACCGGGGGCTAGGACAACTGGCGGAATATGTCGCGAAGCTCTTGAGACGACAGCCTCGTTTGTACTGCTTCACGATGCTCGTCTTCAAGGGGCAGGCTCGCGTCGTGCGTTGGGACAGGGCGGGCGCCATCGTGTCCACTCCTATCGACTTCGAGAAAGACCCGTCGTCGCTCCACCGGGTGATCTGGCGGTACGCCTGCATGACCGAGGCGCAGCGCGGCTTTGACCCGACGGTGAGACGGGCTACAGAGGAAGAGGTCAAGAAGATGCGGGACTGTCCGGCGCCGAGCGAGTGGGCGGACAGGTTCCGCAAGAAAGCCCTCGATCAAGCTGGATGGCCGGCTTATACGATCACGATGCCCCTCGCCGCTCGCATTAGTGTAAAGCTGAAACCCCTTGCCCCTCTCATGCCTTCCGACGACCTCACCATCGACAACACAGCATATGCGAACGAGGCCAAAGCGGAGTTCGTCGTCGGAAAACGTCACTTTGCCAGTAGCTCCCCTACTGGGCGTGGCACACAGTGCTTCATCGCATATGAGGTCGCGTGCGATCGGTTAGTCTTCTTGAAGGACTACTGGCGTGCCAACACCACAAGTTCGCCACAGGAGGGAGAGGTGCTCACAAAGCTCAGACAGGCTGGTGTTCAGTACGTGCCGACGCCCTTGTTTGCTAGGCATGTGCAGAGCGGCGACCGCGGCGACCAGAAGACATGTACGCAGCAGTTCTTGCCGGAAGATCCTAGGTCGGGATGTAGCCTGCTGAGCTCATCCACTACCGCCTCATCATCAAGGAGATCGGCCGTCCTCTAGAGGAGCATACGACGCCGTTTCAGCTAACAAGTGCTCTGTATCATGCACTGGAAGGCGAGTGACATCGTTTGTTATCATGGAACAAGCACTTACTCCATCCTCGTTACAGCCCACGAACAGGCATGGCTGATGGAGAATATTATGCACCGTGACGTGAGCGAGCGGAACATCCTTCTTTTCAGCTATCGCACTATAAAGGGAAAAATCCGCGTCATTGGCCTCCTGATTGACTGGGATCTATGCAAGCACAAGGATTACCTCGATACGGCAATGAGTCCCGGCCGCTCGGTGAGTGACGCGCGACTCCACTCGCCCAACGACTGACCCATCCGTTTCTTAGGGTACGTGGCCATTCATGTCCGCCAGGCTCCTGCGCGATCCTGGGAAAATGCACGAAGTAGCAGATGATCTGGAATCGATCGTCCATATCCTTCGGTTGACGTGCCTTCGCTTCTACAAGCACAACATGTCGGATGTGCCCGATGAGCTGAGGTCGCATGTTATCCAAGTGTACGAAGCGCAGGAAATCGTAAACGGAAAAGCAGTTGGCGGTGCTGAGAAGCACAATCACATGCTCCAGGGCTATCTCGGAGCCATACTCGTAGACTCGGAGACCCCTCTGGCGAAGCTTCTGAGTAACCTTGCTGACATCTGCAAGAAACACTATCTGGTGGTCGAACCCCCCAAGGCTAATCCTGCGCAGGCAACCGCTGTGGCGCCGCCGGCCGATGAAGACGAAATGGCCACAGAGCTAGAGACGATTGCAAGTCATAGGTCACGGTGGCCACTCCAGGACACCGGAGAGACTCGTCAAGATCAAGTTGAAGTACCAAAGTCTACCTCGTCGCGCCCTCCTTCCCCTCTCGATAATCACGAGGCGATCATGCGTGCTTTCTATGATGCTCTCAATACGCGTCCGACAGACAAGTGGAGGTCCCCCGTGAAATGCTCCGACCAATTCGCGACCTTCAAGGATTCACCTCTCATCCAGTCCACCATCGAGCGCTCGAGCCAACAATCGTCCGGCTCGAAACGGAAGCTGGAAATAGGATCGGTGGATCTAGCAAAGCCCGGCCCTTCCAAACGAGCAAAGGCCACGACCACAGGAGGACTTCAGTCGCTACCGGAGGAGGAGCCTGCGGCGGCGGCACAGGACAAGGAGGTGGACTGATCTGTCTTCGCCACCCCCTCGTAACACTCAGGTCGTACGCCTGCTTTCTACTCTCTTACGTCTAAGAACATGTGAGTTTCATGATCTTCCATATCTGTACTATGTCGTGTCCTATGTATGATCGTTCGCTTGGTCGAATGAAGATCTTCAGTTATTCTACTGCGTGCAGAGCGCAAAGGACGAGCTTGCGTGGTCTGCAGTGAAGTTGTTCTGGCAGCCAGCAACGCCGTACGATTTATTGTTCTGACAGTCTGACTTCGATGATCAGTCATCGAGCCAACACGACGCCACCTAGGCTCGTCGTACCGTCCTATAGCGCACCGTCACTCACAACCTCAGGTTGGAGACATCATTAGTATGTACGTTCTACGAAACCAGTGGTCTCCTCAGCCCTTCTCCTCTCGACTACTACGGACCGTTCACAGGGGATAATGGTACATACCATGGAGGCTCCGCTAGTAGACGAGGTTATCCATCCCCACAATGTCCTGCTGTTCCGCCCATATGACTTCGAGACGGCGCCCATGCGCAGCCCCGTCCTCAGGCCCGCCGTGAGTAAGCGTACAAGACGCTGCACATACCGCCGAGGCCGATCTCGACGAGTCACGGCCTTTTGGCTGGAAACGCGCAAGGCGAGCGTGATGACGAGCCTTGGGTGCTCCTCGAAAAGTCGGGCCAACTGGGATCTGAGTTCGTCTTGCCATATGGGATACCCAGGCCAATCGGTTTCCAGTGGTGGTAAGTCATTGCACGTGAAGCAGACGCAGACACGCTTGACGGAGGTATGTGCAGGCCCGATCGCCGATAGGACCTGAGGCAGGCCGATGGCCAACTCGGCCCAACGCCAAGATGCGGAAAGGTAACATGGACGAAGATAGATCGGAGATTGACGTTGGAGGAGAGTAGCTCCCGTGGTGATTCCCTTGTCCGGAGTACGCCATCGCGATTGTAGGCCAAGGTGACACGGAGGCTCTCCAGCCGAGGACCCGCATTCGCAACAAGTACTGTGTGCATCCCGGCATAAGGCCCTCGAATGCATCGGTATGAAGTAGGGCAGCGATCCGCGTGAAGGGCGAGTCTGTAGCCGTCGCCAACCAGTGACCCAAGTACTCACCGTCGGGCCCGTCTTCAGGATCCGCCATGTCGAGTATCAGCGTACAGATGTTGCCAAGCGCCCTTGCTGTGCTGACCTCGACCGTCGCATACGTAGGCGGCAACTGTAACCACTGCACCCCTCGCTGCCACAACGGCCGGTATGACGGCGGGCGTCCCATCCTCATATTACCCGATTCGCAAAGTAGCAGCGTCTCGAGTCGGGGACACGCCAAAAGGACCAAGCACAGAGTCGTGTCGTACTCGGGGCGGGGCACGCTAGGCTTAGTGAAGGAAAGGCGCAACGTCTTGATCGGCAGCTTGGCACGGCCTTTGCACAGCATGCGTTGCAGGGGTTCGGGAAAAGTCGCCGGGATAACGAACGGGCCGATGAAGGAGAGCTCCTCCAAGCAATCCATATGCACCATAGCCGCGAATAATTCGCTCATGCTTCTCCGGCTCTGGCCCCAGCTGAAGGATTCTTCCGATTCGGACACGTAGAGCGAGAGCGTGTGGACGGCAGTCGCGATACGGGGGTGCTCGGTCACTGCCTTGGGGAAGCAGACGAACTCGCGCATAGAGGAGATGGTCATGGCGGAATATCCAAGATAGTGCGCCAACGGGTAAAGCGACCGACATGTCTGCTTGCACGCCATGATTGCAGCGAAATCGTCTTGAAGATACAGTAGAATTTCTTCCCATATTTCCACGGGCAGGATGGAGTTGTATCGCCGGCCACTGATTGTGCCCTTCGCTGAATGTATCGCAATGTCAGAGACCGAAGACTGTCAACTGAAACGTATTCGGCCATACCTTCAGGCCCCCGCGATGTCCACATATGAAGCCACGGCCACGACATAATTCGAAGAATGGGAGGGATGAAACCAGCTTGCGCAGTAAGTTTCCAGGTCAGCCGGGTGCGTTCGAGTGAGTTGTAAGAGATTGGGCGGCGAGCGACGTTCACGCTAGTTATAGGCTAGATCTGCCGCACAGCTTGGATCCAAATAAATTAGCCGTACGACCATGCCCTAGGCTTGGCGCCGCTGCGGAAACGTTGACTGTAAGAGTTGGCGAACGTTTCGGATGAAACAACAATAGCCGATTTAGAGACCGAACAAAGCGGGGAGGTAAACATACAATATACACAAATCTCGATGGCCGCCACTGCACAGATTCGAGGCCCCAAGGACAAAACGGCAAGAACGACAATGCCTCAGTCCTTCTTGTCCGCATCGAGATACCACTTATACGCTTCACACCAGGCTTTGTGGCCATCCTTCTCGACGACATCCTATTTGTAAACTGTCAGCGGCCCACCCACACGCTGAGACTGGCTTTAGTACTTACACCATGACAAGGTATGATACGGTCAAAGTCCCAGCTCGCAACAGTCTTCACGTCGCGTTTCATGTCCCTTGTCGCGGGTGAGCCCCTCAGGCTGAAGGTTCAGCAATGGCTATACTACCAGACGTACTCTTTGTCCACGCCCATATACCAGGCAAATCGCTTGTGGATGCCCATGTAGGGGTTTAGAGTTCCGAAGATGGGAACCTTGCCGGATGACGACGTCTTCGAATACTACGAGCGCGTCCCATGAGAGTATTATCCTCGAACGCATGGTTTATAGTGGCATACCTGTTCCTTGGCGGGCAAATTGAAGAGGAGGTCAGCCACTATCAGCGTCTTCGAGGCGGGATGGAAGAAGGCTGTGTCGCGGTTAGCGAATCCAGAGAAAAAGCTGTGTATGGTCATTATGTGGGTATCACCGCGAGAGTATCTCTGTTACCAATGCTGAATCTACGGTTCAGTACGTCAGTCGGAATGTCTGTAGAAAGCGCTGCGGCGACAACCTACATCGCTCTCAAAGCCATATTGAGCTTCTCGAGGGTCCGAGCCCCAAACTCCGTGGAACTCAAGGTTTTCTTTAGCCTTCTTTTTCACCGCCTCGTCAACTGCGACTAGCTTGGCTTCGGGGTATTCCTTCTTAAATTCTCCTGTTTCAAGATAAGTTCGCGGTTCGGATGTCCTCAGTAGTCACTAACCGAGGAACATGTGGTGCACCGCGTCAGCTCCAACGATCCATCTGTATTCAGCAGACGGATAAGTCTGGTGTTGGACGATGCCTGAATCACAACGAACCTGACCGGCCCCATTTCGTTCAGTTTGGCTTTGGTCTCAGTCGTCAAAGGTGTCGAAGCCATTACCCACACATCGCCGTTGGACAACTTGACTGCAGTCGATCGCCCTCCCACTGGCACGAGTCCAAACCGGGCAAAGGGACTACAGAGCAGGATGTCCCGTGAATAATAACGTTGAACCACTTACAAGGAAATACCCACCACGAAAATGTCCAGACGTCTTTAGCGACCTAGGAATATGGAGATTCAGGTCAGCCAACTCAACGAAGTCAGACGTTGAACTTTACCTCCCGGATTACGCATGAGCTTTCCATACTAGAGCTGCTCAAACCCATGGTAAGTAGCTCCTGTGCTGCTGTGCTTGTGAGTGGGTATACGTAGAATGTCGTGGTACGTAGTGAAGTTCAATTCTGTTCCAAGCCGTATACGCGTACGCGCGCCGTTGCGGAGACGACTGACTGCCAGTGACGTTGGGCGACGTGACGTCATACATGTATGCATGCCACGTGCGCTCGATTGCGCATCGACGTACTGTATTAGAGCACCCACTAAGTTCTTCCAAGGATAAAACGATAACTTATGTATGCGGAACAGAACATAATATTAGGACGTGGACAAGTACTCCTACCATTGCAGTGATCATTACAGCGATATCATGTACCACCCGGCCAAAACGATCAACATGTAATTTTGCGCGTACTGTGCGATTGTTGTACACTCGCGCGCGGTTGGATTGATCCAGCGCAGAGGCTACGATTGACGATGATGAACTCACCAAATGATATCACCCCTCAGTTTACCCGTCATTCGAACACAGATTGCGTGGTGAGTTCCGGGCGACTTCCGGTTCGATAACTTACATCTCTGTGACCTGCCGTGCTGACGCAGGGTTCAAACGTTCACGGCGGTATCGGTGACACTGTCACTGTGCACGTCACCGACCGCCGGGCACAAAGAACAAGAGCCCCGGCGTCAAATGGATCAAGACTCTGACACTCGTGACTGGCAGCAGTTGACGTGCACTTGATCGTGCTCGAGTACACATTGTGGTGTAAGCCACACCTATTGATATGCACAGTGAGTGGATGTGAGTGGATGGGATACATCACATTACCTCATTTAATTGAGCATCTTAGCAAATGCGAAGACACGTGAACGTCCACGATTGTTCGCTCCTTCAAGCGATGATGCAGTCACATCGTAAGAACCCAAGAAACTCACAGCATAAGGATATACAATAGCAAGACCAATATGTTAACAGGCCACGCTCAGTCACCTGGAGCTAAGCTTTGGATCATACTTCCTCGTTCGACGCCTTTTGAGTATATCTTGCCAGTCCAGGGCGAGCTTCGTGAGCGTCTTGCTACGAGCTGCACAAACCGTCAGTTTGACGCCACTAAGTATGAAACGGCACTCACCGAAGATGGCGAGCACGTCTCTGAGAAGATCCCGCTTCGACAACCCGAGCGTTGTAGTGACCATCCATCATCTCGGCCGGGTCGCCTGCCATTCGGAAGTCAGCCGCTGCCGTCGCCCAAAGGCGTAAGTTACTCACCAGTACACAGGGCCGAAGAGCTCCTTCACAAGCTCCTCTGCCTTAGCTCTGAAGCCCTCGTCAGCTATCCGCTTCGCGTACACCAACAGTACCTGCTTGTACTCCTGCGGACTCTCCAGCGCCTTCGCAGCATGCAATTTGGTTTCGAGATGGCCCAAGGTGAGCGCGGTGTGCCACCACGACGGCCGTGTTTGTCGGCCGCCGCGCTGTCTCCCATGCGCTCGCTGATGCTGCCCTCAGGGTGGCTACTACGCCGCGAGCGGCTGACTGGCCGGAACGTTGGCGACCTTGCCACGCATCAGAGCCTTCGGCCCACCAGGCATCACTGAGCTTCACCCATGCCGAAAGTGCAGCGTCCCACGTATGTGCGACGCTGGTTGACAATTGGATCACCGGCGCGCCGTTTGGCCGGACGACGGCGTGCACGATCGTGGTGTTGGGCGACGATCCCAGGATGGGCAGCACCGACGTTGCCGGGAAAGCTGCTGCTTGCTTCTTGACGTTCCTAACTGGGGCTTCAGGAAATAGCTGATACGATGGGCTGCATACACGCACCATACGTAGAGCATTCCCGATGCAGTCACAAGCATGAGTGAATACTTCGCTCCGCTGAGGTACGTACACGGCGACCCTAGTGACAGCGTAGGCATCAAACTGGAAACAACGTCAATGGCGCGTTAGTGTTCATGGGTTATTAGAGCTCACCGGCGGCCCGTTGGGGAATAGACATTCACCGAACCGTCTTGCATTGCGACGGCACAGAAGTGGGCAGTCGCAGTGAGAGCCACGACAGGTGACGGCAGATAATCGAGCCACTGCGTTTGTTTCCCGCTCACATATATCACCTCAGTAGGGGCTGTAACAGCAATTAGCCAACGAAGACCGAACCAAGGACCCCACGTACAACCGTCGTCCGCATTCCTCCCTTCAAGCACGTCTTCGCTGCCTTCGACCGACGCCTTGATGTACGTCAACACAGGCGGCACCTGCAGTCTGCCCATCACACTGCTCTGTTCGCCCCACAGACCCAGCCCTCCTCCAGCGCCGACCGGCCCAGAAACCTCCCGCACGAGCACATTGTCCCTCACACGGTCGCCACCAAGCGTCCGCGGCTTGGTCGCGACGCGGTCATCGACGCCATCCAGCGTCTTCCGCTTGCCCCTGCCCGTCTCCAGCGCGGCGATCTGCACGTCCGTGCTCCAGTCGCCTGGGAACATATCCACGTCGCGGTCGGCATCGTCTCTCGTGAGGTCCGCGATCCCCCCGAACCGCTGTTGCTGCTGCGACGCCGGCGGGCGGGACGACGGGCCAGCTTGCTCAGTGGGCGCGCCCGCGGAGGGTACGTTCGCCGCAGAGGGCACGGAGCCCGGCAACGCGCCGACGAAGCCCGGCTGGATCCGCTTCTTCGCCTTCCGCTTCGCGACGAGCTGGTTGATCTGCTCCCCGCCGTTCGCGGCCGCGCCGAACCCTGTCTGCGTCTGCATCGACTTGGCCTCCGCGCGCCCGGGCGACGGCGGCGGCGTCATGCGTGCATTGCCCGCGGCCCGCTGGGCCTCGAGGGCCACTTGGTGCGCGTAGCCGGTGGGCAGAGGCGGCGGGATGAAGCCGAACTTCTTGAGGTACTGTTCCTGCGCGGACTGGGGGGCGATCCCTTCTAGTTCCTCCGAGTCGAAGCTGAACACGGCCATCGTGCCGTCGGAAGAGACGGCGTACAACGTGAGACCATCCTGCGACCTGAAAGGCGAACACACTCAATCAATGGAGGAGCTGGGAAAAAGGTATCGTACCAGCTGAGGTCCATAATTTGCCTCTCAAAGACCTCCTTCGCGACGATCAGCGGCCGCGCCGACTTGGTCTGCCATACTGATACCGCGCGATCGTCGGCTCCTAGCGCAACCACAGAGCAGATGTTTGACGCAACCACAGGCTGCGACGTATCTCGAAGGAATATGTGCGGATTGTATGCCTGAGCAGTACTTAAGATTACGACCGACAAGGACATAATTATGGAGGCTTACGGCGACTTCAACAGTATTCTCATGGCCCACCAGGCTGATCTCCGATGTCCAGGTATTGCGAGCGATCACGGCAGCGATGAAGACGTATCCCTCATTGTTCGTGGCATTCGAAGCTGTGATGTGTGCGCCGTCGGGCGACCAGCTAGGGGCTACGCATGAGACGCGTTTCGTTCGCCGGTACGGACGGACGCACCTCAATCGCCTAAAGAATGTTCCTGGAGAATGATCGAACGGCTTTCGGACCTCAGCCTCCAGCTGCCAGTCCGTCGTCCTCCATATCCGAACAGAACGATCGTCTGACCCGTCGCGAGGAACTCTCCTACGGGGTCCCAGCAAACGCCCTTGACGAACCCTTGGTGCTGGTCTATTCTTCGCAAACGTTCTACAGCAAGTAGTAACGCGTCAGTCAAACGACGTGGGCGCGAACTGGCTAATGAGTGGCTGTACCGAGGGTGTAGCCACACCAGATTAGAACACACGAGTCCAGTCCAACTGTAGCGAGGTAGCGGTCTGCAGGTGACCATGCCATGTCCGTGACATCTAAGGTAAAGCGTATGAGGTGATGGGTAATATTCAACATGAGTTTTTGACGCACCACTCTCGTGCCCTGGCAGCCGTTTGAGAGGCTTCCATCCCTCGAAGTTGACTTCGTCAGAACCCCAAACCTTGCCCTTGGCGGAACTGGTAGAGACATTTCATTGAGCACTGCACACAGACATCTAGTACGACGAAGAAAGGAATTGATGTTCCTCATTGATCCGAGACGGAGAAGGAGACTGCAATGGCCGTGCTCAACCACAATAGGCACCCACCAGACGCAGAGACCTGGTGGCGTGTGCCCCGTCAGCCATGCCAACCCGCATCGAGTACAGTGTCCAAGTACACATAAAACAAGTTTCATACTATGGTGGAGGGCCGCGCCTCTCAGTACGTCGGTAGGTACCTACCGAACCAAAGCCACCGGCCCCTGCGCGCGCACTCAGTAAGAGTACCTCGACTGGCGCTGTTCCCGGCACTCTGTTCTGAGAGGCCCGTGCTTTCCGGTCTGTAATTGAGTGAAACGACTACTCACGGGTCAAGGTCCCAAATCATCACAATCTCGTCGTCGCTGCCACTCGCTAGCCACCGCCCTGAATGCGCCCATCGTACGACAAGGACGGGTCCCGTGTGCATTGTGAGCGTGCTTAAACTCTTCGGAGGCCTTCCTGACGCCTCGGACGCTTCGTTGAGGATTGGTTTGGTACTCCAGATGCGGACCTTCGCGTCGAGGCCGCCTGTGGCTATCCGCGAACCGTCTGGATGGACATGCACGGAGAAGATAGTCACCCTCTTCTCCTGCTCGCCCTTCATGGCAGAGTCTGCGGGATAGCCGGTCAGTCACCGTGCGGGTGGTCAGGCGATGTACGATCCACCTTTATGAATGACCCATGCTGGCTTGGTAAACTTCATGGCTAGAAGCAAAACGGAGTACTATACAACAGGGCAATAAGTTAAGTAGGCCAGCGCAAGCAGCTGAAGGGGGTGGGCTCAAGGACGCTGTGGTAGTAGGGAGTGAGGCGGTTGTGGCTTGAGGAGGAGGAAGAGGAGGAGGTCGTTCAAGCGCTGCAGGACTACAGCTGTGGCTGACCCCGAGCGAAACCAGTTGCTCGTTTTCAGGCGTACAGATAGCACCTTGCGATATTTCTGTATGGGGGTGCTCAAGACGTATAAAACTGAGTCTATCAGGGTGAAAACAAAACTCCAAGGATGATAGTAATGCAAAGGCGTTTGCAAAGTTACCGGGTCAACCACAGTATCATAGCTCTTTCCGGGGTCCTCCCTTCTACCAGGGCTTGAACTTATACATTGAAGCTATCGTTGGCCGAATGCTGTTCTCTCGAGTACAATCTAATTTGCTGCTCGTGCCGAACGAACGTACAGGAATCGACCACCGAGAAAGCGGGACCACGCTGGTGAAACAAGGCAGAAAATGCGCGTGCTGCCCAGCCCGGGACCCCGCGAGCACGTCTTCCGAGCGGCCCTGCACCTCGGTGCAGACGCAGCTCGGGTCAGTCAGTTGACGTTAGTTGCGGTCTCTACGCTTGAAAACGAGGTCTTAGCCATGAACAATGGCCGGAAATATGGAGGACGCGGGGGTGGTCCGTGCGTCAGAGGGTGGCCCAGCGTATATAATAAGCAGCGTTATTCAAAGCGGACTTTGAAGCCTCGCATTGCAACCAGATAAAACACTGCGTCACCTGCCGACCCCCCACCGCACACCTGAACCCTATCTTCCACTCACACTCGCCCATCCCCCCATTCGCACACCATGTCTGACGAGGAAGGCGGCAAGAAGACGGGATACCGATTGGAATATGCAAGCAGTGGCCGCTCGAAGTGTAATGGTCAGTGCTCTGCCGCCGATGTTGAACTTGGGTTCGAGTGCTGACCGACGCGTCTTCTGCGTCCCTGGCGCGTCGACAGGCCCCCAACCATGCAAAGGTGAGCTACATGCCGTATCCTGAATATTATCGAGGCTGAGGTCGCGCGAAATCGCAAGGTACTCCGATTGGGAAGGGTGAACTGCGTTTCGGTAGTCTGGTCGATTTCAGAGGAAACACGTCCTTGTGAGTCCTTTGCGTTGTACACCACACATACTTCCCGTCACGTATGCGCATTTGCGGCACCCGGCTGCCGCTCACCTTCTGCATTGTTCGGTACTCGCTGTGGCCGGCACTGTTGCTGACCCATAGACCCGCAGCTCATGGCGCCACTGGGGCTGTGTGACTCCCACAATCATCGCAAACGTGAAGAAGTCGTTTGAGGAGGCAGACGATCTGGATGGCTACGAGGAACTCAGTGATGAGGACCAGGACAAAATCCGCAAGGCGTGGGAGGATGGCAAAGTCGCGGACGAGGATGTTCCTGACTCCGCGCGGAAGGCCGAAGGCGAGGAGGAGGAAGAGGAGGAGGAGAAACCCAAGAAGAAGGCCGGTGGTAGGAAGAAGAAAGATGACGATGCGGATGGCGAGCCCAAAAAGGGTGTGTTCAAGTTGGAGTACGCATCTTCTAGTCGCGCGAAGTGCAAAAGTAAGTCGAGTATGTGTTCTCGTCGCTTCCCAGTACTTAACAGTCGCGTTCTTTTCAGTATGCGCAGGTGAGAACAGTGCATTAGTATTTGAGTTCTCCATGACTGACCACTCGTTCGACAACAGAGGGCATAGGTAAAGGCTTCTTCAGAGTCGGCCAGGAAGTAGATTTCCGCGGCCACAAAGCTGTGTACGTTCTTCTACCGCACGCCTTAGCCTGGTTATGAACCGTCATCCGCAGAAACTGGGTGCACTTCGGGTGCGCTGACGCCAAAATGCTTGCGTCCTTGAAAGCGTCGTATGGTGAACCTTCTGAAATCGATGGCTTCAACGACCTCAAGCCTGCTGCCCAAGAAAAGGTCCAACGTGCATGGGACGATGGTGAGGTCGCAGCCGAGGATAAGGGGATTGGCGAGGCTGTCGAGACGGCCAAGAAGGCCGCGCCGAAGCGGAAGAAGAAGGACGAGGATGGCGAGGAGGCCAAGCCCAAGCGCGCACGGGCAAAGAAGGCTAAGGTCATTTGGTCTGCTACGTATTCTTCGTCCGTTTGCTGACTGCCTGGTAGGATGAGGACGACGAGGAAGAGGAGAAGCCGAAGCGCAAGCGCGCACCTGCGGCTGAGAAGAAGACCAAGGCTCCCGCGAAGAAGAGCAAGAAGAAGGCAAGCTCTGAGGAGTCCGGCGAGGACTTCGGTGATCAAATTGCCGCCGTCGCCGATGAGCTTGACGAAGAGGAAGAGGAGGAAGAACCTGCTCCTAAGAAGCGGAGGGTACGTGCTCATGCTTCCGTCGTCTCAAATTCGTGTTTGACAAGGAGCTCTGCAGACTGCTCCAAGCTCAAAGGCTAAGCCTGCGCCGAAGGCTAAGCCAGCGTCGAAGGCCAAGCCGGCGTCCTCTCGCGGAAGGAAGAAGGCACAAGAATCCGAAATCGATGACGATGACGACGAGTAGATGACCTCCACGCCTCTTTCCATACCTTGCGTATCGTCGGACCCATCCCCTCCGTCCATTGTCGCTGTCGCATCCACAGTTGCTCTGCATCTCGTACTGCCAAGGTATTGTATTGACAATGTGTAATGCTGTTCCTCCACCCTTCTCCTGGAATATCCAAATCCTCGTCTCCTCCCCGCTGCGCTGTGTTGTCACGATCGCCATTATGATAGACTCTGCGGCCGTGACGCTATAGCTTACCTAACTTATGTGGCTACTGTGCGTGTACCATTAGAGAATACCCGCCATGTTCTAGTGAATGAATGCCGTGCTGAATCCAGACCCCAATGTGCTATGGCGTGAAGCATCGTTCCAATGCAAGATCCGTCGGATGTAGGCCGCGTTTGCGGATAAGGATACCGGATACGCAGTGGTGTTATGCTGTTCGGCATAACGCTACGGCGTATCCGGCGTACCGAGCGGTCTAGCGCAGGCGGCGCCGGCGTTTTTGTGTAAGGTGAGTTTGTAGACTTGCACTCTGTTCCGTTCGCGCTGAGCGGATCGATTCTGAAACTGCCCGCGTCACCCAGCTCGGCGCCGGATGGCGACCCGTCATCCGGTGCCGAGCTTGGTGATACAGGCAGTGGTCGTATTCCTTACAGCCGCAAGACGATGATTGGGACGTGCGTATCCAGTTTTGAACTCGACCAGAGTTCCGCCGTATGACGTCCAGATGCCCCACCATAATGGCAGGACCACATAATCCGGTAGGCCTCGCAAGACGGATGAACATCCGTCTACTGTGGGGCCCACCACGGCAGGCGGATGCTCGTCCGTATCCCAAGTGCCTCTCGCGTCGCGTATATAAGGGCTACCATTTTGTCTGTCTTCCACCATCACCGTGACCCGCTCTAACAGACTTCACGCTACTACCGAAACAGCTTCACAGTCAAGTTCACTACTATGTCCGACAACGAGTTCACTGCCTTGTACTGCGCGCTGTGCGACCGGTACTTTCTCGACGAGGCTGCCTGTGCTGCGCACGTCCAGCACTCGTCGAACCACCCTTTGTGCGCCCCCTGTGGCATACGCTTTGCGAACGGCCATAGCCGCCGCCAGGTATGTTGCTTTCAACTCTGCGCGGTGGTTCTGTCATTCATCCATGCATTCTATAGCACTGGTGTAACTCGCCTAGGCACAACTACTGTGCGGCTTGCGAGGTCGATTATGAAACCACTGCTGGTCTCCGAGTGGTCTGTCGCTCTCCCTTTACTGTCTGCTGTTGTTGCTGACATGCCTTGTCGCCTGGTAGCACCTCGAGTTCGCAGCGGTCCACCGCGACGACTCTGATGATGACGATGATGACGACGACGGCGATGACAATGACACTGTCTTCGCCGAGACTCCTGGATGGGAAGATGCCCTCGGCCGCCGGATGTTCCCCGAGGACGTAGAGCAGTCCGCGGACGACGACTTCGACGTCCCGGAGCAGCGCCCCGAGCCACCCACCATGCCCACGCCCGAGGAGCTCTGGGCCGAGGACGAGGAACTCGACTTCGATGAGGAGTGCGAGAATTACTTCGGATATACCACTGCTGGCCCGCCCAACTCCAATACGACGGATGCCAACTATCCAGTGAGTCAATCCCCTGTACTTGACGACGGACGCTAACTAGCTTTTCGCGTAGTCAACTGTGATGGTGAGCGGCATCCCTGCGCACGAGTATGCGGCCGCGAAGGCTGCTCATGATGCGGAGGATGCTCAGCGCAAGGCAGAGGCCGCCGCGGCGCTAGCAGCACCGGCACCTTCTGGCATCCTGTTCAATTGCCCGCTATGTCTCGAGGCACCAGAGGAAGCCAGCGCGACCCGTTGCGGCCATGTGTTCTGCTCTCCGTAAGTCGTAATCTGCGCTCCGAGTCGATGTCAACGCGGATACTGATAATAATGATTTTGCAGATGCATCCGGTCTGCGCTTAATGTCAAGCGGAGTTGCCCTGTATGTCGCACGCCGTCTGTGCCTCTGCAGCTCAGGAAGCTGTATCTATCTGCCAACTAGATACTTAGTAGGGAATCGCTGCGGGCAGCGCTCCCTATTGATGTTCGCCAATCATGTATACTTATCATAAGTCTCTATTGCGATGAGTCCGAGTCTCTCTCGGATGATCCAAAGTATTAAGTTCCGCGACGGTTGTGATCGGTTTGGGACCACCGACACTTGACAAGCCAGAGAGGCGGAATCGAATTTTGGAAGTGAGTAGTCACGCGACCAGTTTTTTCTGTCAAATTCGGGAAAGAATTTGATCTGTGTGGCAACGATGTGGCTGCAACAATCTGATCGCAGATCTTACGCGTGCGTTGTTCCTTCGACTCGTTGTCGCCTCCGAATCGACCAGTGGCTACTAAATCCGCTCAGTCTGGCAACGTCGTGGCGGCGGGTGCTCAGTGAGGCCCAGCAGCACGCACTTTGCGACCGTGACCACTCCTAGACCAGACGACATCCTGCTGCTGTCAAGTCACCATCCGTCTGCTTCCAAGCCAACTAGACCACTGGCAGGCCACACTGAGGCTTCTCGCTAGAGCGATGAGGTCGAAGACGGTGCAGATAACTTTGATAAGTTTATAGCACATTTATGCCGGGTCCTGACCTTCCGTCCGAGTCCGTGCTCAAGATACCCGACCTTGACAGGGCCAGACTTATGAGGGGGGAGAGTACCGTCTGCACCGAACTAGTACGTACAACCATTGCTCTGATGTACCTTGAAGGGTATCACTGACGGGATTTGTGAACAGTGCAGAGTCGCTCAGACAATCTTCGACAACTGTCCCCACGGCGAGAAGCTGGTTGCATGGAAAACGCGCGACCACCCAGACTCCAGCGATCGCAACGACTATTCAGCACAATCTAGAGTCGACGTCTCCTTCTACCCAGCGGACGATGACGCCAAGGCAGACTATGAGCGCAGGATGGGCCAAGACGTGTTCGGGGCGTCTATTCGCTGGGCCTGGATATCGTTGCTCGTGGAGATCGAAAAAGCATCATAATGCGCCTTCAGCTTCGCCAACATGGATTTATGCAGCAAACGGCGATTCTGAGCAGCACAATGAAGGCAATGGCGACGTTGCCGAAAACGCTGAGGACACTTCGGAGTCCAAAAGCACGACGTAAAGCCGCTGGAACCGATACCGTTTCTGCCGGCTGGGTCGGATGCGAGTGCGGCCTCACCCAAATGGCAGACTATGTCGCGAAGGTATTTAGGAGGCAGCACCGGCTGCATGTCTTCACGCTTTTCGTCTACAAAGGCCAGGCTCGCGTCGTTCGCTGGGACGCGCCGGTGCCATCGTCTCTACGTCGATCGACTTCGGAGAGGACCCGTCGCTACTCCACCTGGCATCTGGCGATACGCGTGTATGAACCAGGAGCAGCGCGGCTTCGACCCAACTGTGGTTCGGTCACGAAGAAAGAAATCACTGGTATGTGGGGTTGTAGCGCGCGAATGGGTGGGCCGACCTGTGCCGTCACGATGCCCTCGGACAGCCTGGGTGGCCGGTCTACAAGATCCAGATGCAGCCCGCCGACCTCGTAGACCAACACGACCTGCAGCCCATCATCGACGATATCCGACAGGATGTGGATTCCGATAAAGGCGATAGAAATGCGTCCTCCGACCAGGCATGCTTATCGTAGGCAAGCGTTATTCCGCCACTGATTTCTCACGGACGAGGGACGAAGTGTTACATCGCCTACGAGGTATCGCGCAACCGCCTGGTCTTTCTGAAGGACTACTGGCGCTCTAACACCCACACGACGAAACCTGAGGGCGAGGTACTGAAGGAGTTGAGAGCTGCTGGTGTACAGAGCGTGCCAACGCCTGTGGCCGAAGGGATGTGCTGTCAACGTCGGGCAGCATCCAAACGACGCTCACGCAAGGATTGCTGCTAGAGACGAAAAGATTGAGCGTCGGCCCCCCACGGCCCTGCAATATCACTATCGCTTGGTCATCAAAGAAATTGGCCGTCCTCTAGACACATTCAGCAGCGCACTGCAACTCGTCGAAATCATCTATGACGTGCTCGAAGGTCGGTGTCGTGTTTGTCAGTGACGCACTCTATGTCTCAATCATCGTCGCAGCGCACAACAGGCTTGGGAGAAGTAATACCTGCATCGCAACATCAGTGTGGGTAACATTCTCATCCTCGACTACCGTGACAAGGCCGGTCAATGGCAGATTCTGGGTATCTTGATTGACTGGGATCTATGCAAGTTTGTGGATTATCTCAGACAATGTCGCGTCCTGGGCGTACAGTAAGTCTCGAGGCGTCATATTGCGGTACGAAGTGGCTAACAGTCTGAGGGCTCTCAGGGCACGTGGCAATTCATGTCTGCCAGCTCCTCCCCTGACAAGGAGCATGAGGTGTCAGACGATCTCGAATCCATCATACACGTTCTTCACTGATGTGTCTTCGGTTCTTCCGACACAGCTTCACCGTACACCTAACCAGCTGCGACTACATGTGGCTGCCATGTACGAGGGATACGACGTTGGAAGGATAACCGAAAATTGGCGGCGTGACGAAGATGTGCTCATGCGAGCGGGATCTACTTATTTCTCTTCGAGGCCCGCAACAACGCCCTCGGTATGCTCCTGAATAAGCTGCTTCCATGTGTCAGGCGCACTAGCCCAAGAGGACCAGCCTAAGCAACAATACTGGACTCTGACTCGGACAACGAAGATGAACCATGTCGCCTCATTGCCCAAGCCCGGGAGGATGCTAGCGTTCCGATGGCCCCTATGGCCCCGCTACCGGCCCGGCCAACACCAACTCTGACGCTCTCCAACCACACGGTCATCCTCGATATCGTTGGGAAAGCTCTTACGAAGGAAGATAACTCCTGGCACTCCATTGAGATGACGACGGACCAATTCGACACCTACAAGCACCCCGTACAGCGACGCAATCGGGAGCGCTCGAGCTCATCGCCGCATCCCTCGCATCCCTCAAGGAGCACCACATCACCATCCGCTTCTTCTCCGGCTCCCGGGAGGCCTTCGACGTCGAACGCGCAAGCGGCCCCTTCGACGTCGTGCTCACCTCCGAGACGATCTACCGTCCAGAGAGCCTGCCTGCGCTCGTCCGCGTGATGCGCGAGGCGTGTGCTCAGGAGCGTACGGGAGGCCTGGAGGAAGAGACGGCGCGGATGGTGATACGTGACGGACCTGACGTGGACGAAGGCGCGGACGTGCCGTACTTGTGTCTGGTCGCGGCGAATCGCGTGTACTTCGGCGTTGGCGGCGGCGTGGCGTAATTCGTCAAGGTGGTCGAGCAGTACATTAGCACAAGCGCAGTGTCGTGGCATCTCCAGGAGGCTCCAGCGAGGGCGAAGGTCGAGACGGTCTGGGAGCGTACTGAGGGCGTCAAAGGATCGTCATGCGCGTGACATGGTGATAACATGCGAAGCGAGCCAAAAGCGAGCAGTGCGAAGTCTCTGGGGTATCGCAGTTCTCAAGTACGTCTATATGTACGACTCATGAGCCCGAATACTCAGCGGCAGTCGCGAATTGAACCTCTATCGATGTTCCGCAGGACAGTCGCAGAAGATTAACGTAATGCACCGCGCAGTGAGGTGCCGCGAGAAGTCCACTGAAGTACGTGATCAACGGAGCTTCGTCCACGCGCCGTCCCGTGGCATTCTCTTCTCACTGTTCAGTCTCGAATGACTCAACTATCATGGCCCTGAGGTCCTCTTCACGGTTGTTGCATGCAGTTGCGGAGTATGGTAAGTAAGTTACAAGATGCGTGCGCAGTAACTCGAAGGCATGCACGGCTGCCTTCAGCGCCTAACCCCACGAGATTAGGAAACATTCATCTGCATACAGAAGCCTGTAAGGCTGTCGAAGCAGCACGCCAGCAGTGGATACACGTGGGGATATGCTCGCAACGGTTATATCTAGACGCCGCTTGGTGTACTCGTATTCGGTCTTCACCTACTCGTCCACAACTCCCCATATTGCTATACGCGATGAAACGGACGCCTCCGCCATGCTGCGCTACGTGCAGTCAGACGTTCTGGACGTTTGACGAGTACCAAGTGCATGCGTCAGCCCTAGGGCATGTCTTCACAAAGACGCCGACTGTCGTCGTAGCCCCTCTGGGTGTCAAATGCGATCTACGTGATGTTTGGGTTGAATCGAATACCTCATTGAAGGAACATTGCAGAGACTCGTCTATTCACAAACACGACCCGATATCACCACAGCGTACCCCTTATGAACATCCATCTTGCTCCCCGTGTAATGAGGAATTCAAGGATAATGCTGCGCTAAACGAGGTGCGGTGCATCAATCACCTTGCGTTGGGTGACTCAACAGTGATTGTTCCGTGGTTGTAGCACATGAAGGAAGCTCACAGCTGGACAATCTGCTCGTGCAGTTTGATGGTCATTCGCAGCTCTTTAAAGGAGCATTTCAGTCGTTCCGATTTTCACCCGTCATGTGCAATTTGTTTTGAATCGTTCGAGCACCGTGACGAACTCTCAGAGGTTGGACATCAGGTTTTGACGTCGATGCACAGAACACTCATCTCCGACTCCTCGTCCAGCACGCCCACTCTTCAGGCCATGTACAGCCTCCACGTCCGCGAGGTGCAGTCACAGCCAAGGAGGGACGGCACTGCTTCAATGCGGCTGTCAATTCGGGTCTAAGGCCGACCTCACCAAGCATCTCAGGGACCCTACCGCTCACCCACGATGCTGGCAATGTGGTATGGTATACTCGGATAGGACGACACTCCGTAAGGTATGCATTCGGGCGATGTGTTGAACCCGGGCGGTGACCGATACCGTCTCTTTTCTCGGCTGTGCCAGCATACAGAACAGTTTCCACGAACTCAGTCTTTTGCAAATGTCACTTCCGAGAACTCAAATGTTAATTATTGCGGTCTGGACAATACACTGGAGTCGAGTGTTCAAGTTGCTTCGGCATCCGATGTGACTGTAGCATCAGGAAAACCCTCCTTGAAGAATAACAACGAATATCGTATTATTACGGCGAAGAACGAGTAATTGTAGCCATTCGTACATTCGCTGCAGTAGTGCTTTATTCGCTATGGTCCGGAGGTCGACTTGCGAATAACACGATATTCATGCCGAATACAGCCACACTTCCCCATCATTATATGGATCATTCCTTTTATTCTTGGAGTTCATAACACAGTCTGCACACAGAAATAGGTATGAGGAAACATTTGATGTATCATTTGTCGGCAATCCAAGACATTACAGTGGGTACAACTCGTAGGCAAGTACTACTTCTAACATATACATATATTACTTGTCCACTACTCGTCATCAACACCTATGCATCATGTAGCACTCAGTGCTTCAGCCAACACCTGATCTATTCAACCTTGCGAACCTTGTCTGCGTGGAACTCCCGAGCTTGACCCGTACGACTGGGTAGGAGAGCGGCAGGTGGTAGCGTGGACTCGGAGGCGAGTGGGTATGGGCGGCCGAGGGCGTCTTTCGTGTCGACGATGGAGCTTCGGATGCGGAGCTTGTTCCGCACGTTGAACCTGGGGACGCGGAGTTAGTGGTCATGAGCACATCAGGGAGGGGGAGACTTACATCGCAAGGAAGGAGTTGATGTAGACTGTGGGGAGGATTAGGGTTGGGATAGTTTTGGGAGGGAAGGCGGACGCACGCTTAGTGAGCATCAACTCGACGCTGATGGCCGCGAACGTCGTAGGCAGCGCGGTCATCTGCGGCAGAAGGCGGAGTCAGAGGTGGGTACATACGTGTTTAGAGATAACGCACCGCGATGATCGCTGTCAGCGAGCATAGACTGTGCAGGGGTTCGACGTTCAGCAGGACACTCCGGATTGTCAAAGGAGGGGTGCCGTACCTCGTGATCACGCCCGTGTTCTGCGTGTAGAGCATCAACACAGTGATGGTTGAGTCTATGCTGTTGCAACACACCAACGGAGACAGCGAGAGCGCGATGATCGCGTCAATGAGGGTTGCCACGCCGAGGGGGAGGTACGTGACCCACTGTCCGGACACTGGGTGAGCACTCTTAACCGTGCGACGCGTACCTGATTCGATTAGGTCGGTGTAGGACTCAAACTGCAGGCTGCAGCAATGGGAATACTGATTGGCGGCAGGCGGGAGAGGTATGCGGGAGATGCGTCCATCTCGTAGCAGAGCACTTGCAGATGACGTCGGCGGGATGCGACGCAGTGGGCGAGAGGGTCTCAGGGCGCGCTGGCAGGTGGACGGGCAGGCGAGCGGGCGGGCGGGTAGACAAGAGCGGGTAGACGGGCGAGAGTGGGCAGGCGAGCAGGCGGGTGAACTAGCGAGTGAGCTGGCAGGAGAGTGAGTGTGCCGGTGAGCAAGACGGCGAAGACGATGGCAAACAGACAAGAGCAGGTGGGCGAGCGAGCTAGTGAGAAGACAGGCGGGCGAGAAGACGGGCGGAACGCACTGAACGCGTCATGCGTCCACCGAGCGGGATGGGTCCGAGGAGCCGCGCACGGGCCTTCTCATGCCTCCTCGATGGCACCTTAGACGGCCTGGCCAGCGAGAGCTTCTTCGGGGATGACGGCCGGGTCGATGGGAAGAAGGACAGACGGGGGGAGGCGACTTGTGCGGGCGAGAAGGGCGGGCGAGCGTATGCTCGCGTGCGCAAGTGGGCGAACGACTCACCTGTACTAACCCTGCCAGGGCCCGCCTCCCCCAACACCGTGTTGCCATTGCTTCTCCGTCGTGTTTCGTGTGTGGCTTAACGCTACTGCGCATCGTTGACGTTGAGCGCAGCGTTGAAGTTGAGTCGATGCGGACGTGGAGGTTGCGGGCAAGTCGCGAGAAGTGCTAAGCGCCTCAGCCACGACACGTCACGCGCGCTCGCTGGACTTTGACTCTCCAGTCTCACAGTCCGCCTTCACAGTCAGCCCGCTCCTCCCTGTCTGCTTCGCTCTCACTTCAAGTTGCCCACCGCCGATCTCCAGTACGGACCTGTGGACCCGTCCGCAAGAGATGGCGTGTGCATCGGACCACCACGCGGCTCTAGATCGCGCTGTACGCGACCGTAACGAGCCCCAGCGACACGCCAAGAGCGTCGCTGGACGCTCGCGAAGGGCTGACGTGCAGCGAGGAATGCGGGTTGCGGCCAGCAGGGCCAGCGAGTCAGGCGAGTACACCGCTGTTTACCTCGACTCCGAGAATGCCCATCAAGGACAAGTGGATGGAGTCGAACACAACAGAGACGGCCCCGGCGCACGTTTGCCCAACGAGCACAAGCGCATACGGATACGGCGCGCACTGATACGACATCGGCCAGCTCGCTGCACACCAGTACGATGTGCCCAAGCCTGATACAACACAGCCCATCGAGCAGGACCGCGATGAGCAACAGCCTGCCAGGCACTCAGTGCGGCGTGCAAAAGCCCGCCGAGCATCAGCGCGCGTAGGCTTGCTGAGGAAGGGCACGCCACGACGTCATCTTACTGGTTTGTCTGCTAATTCGCTCGCTCGCGCGCTGACTCGGTCACCCGTTCTCGCCCTCGCCCCCTGTCCAGCTCGCCCATCCGCTATTCCACTCGCCCGCCGTTTCCCGCGCTCGCCGCCCCCCTCGTCTGTTGTCAAACTCCCTGTCGCTCCCCTCGCCGCTGTCCTGCTCGCCCACCATCTCGTTATACCCGTCGTCCCTCACACTTGTCTTCCTCTCACCTGTTATTTCCCTCGCCGTCTTGCTTACCCACCATTCCACTTACCCGCCATTCTGCCTGCCTGCTGTCCCGCTCGCTCGCCGTCTCAATTGCCTATGTGGACCTTGTATCTGCTGTGGTGGATTTGTACCCGGGTGGGTATGTGCACGGGTCGAGCCTAGGATACGCATAGGTATACCTGTGCTTGGCCACAGATGAATGACTCCTGTAGTACTAACTTGTAATGATGTAGTCTAGACCCTTGGGCTTAATACTATGCAGTCCACGATTTTATAGACAATATGTACCCAGTGATACGAATATATGCAAATTATTGCACATGCGAGAAACAAGTACTGACTTCGGAATAATACTCGCGAATACGAGAGGCGTGATGCATTGGATTCATAATGGCAAAGTATTATTGAGTGTTCTGCCGTGTTCTGTGTATTATCGACAATTTTAGAACATTACCACGAATTACGGAAAGAGGGTTTTCCTGATGACTAGAGACGTCCACTCCTTCTGTAAGCCAATTCAAAATACTGTCTTGCTATGACTTGACGCTGATAGAGTGCTACAGCTCATAGCTACCCCGGAACCAGCGCCCGCCACTTCAGGTTCTCAGTCAAACGATGGTAAGCACATAATTAGACGTTGTACAATGAACAAACAATCTCAAGTCGCGGCAACGACAGTCACTGAGTCATCTGTAAACCCCACGGTGACCCCTAGTGACCAGTCCGTTGTTACTGAGACGACACCAATGCCTTCCCAGGCAGCCATGGCTTCAAACGTATCTTGGCTCACAAGGGGCGCTGCAAAGGAGTGGTGCGACAGTGTTGAATGCGAACTTTGTAGAGTGTGGTATGTTGGCGATGGCGAGCTAGTTCGCCATTACCTCCGTTCCGTGTACCATCCCAGATGTCAGCCTTGCAGTGTCACGTTCGAGGGCCCCTCTGAACACAATAAGGTGAGTTTCGCAGTTCTTCATGGGATGACTTCTCAATTCGAATGTCGATTCGGATAGCACATGGTATTGGTCCATGGCGCCAACGGGTGCAAGGGATGCTATCGCATATTCCCAACGGAAGCCGCCCTGCAGAAGCATTACAAGGACATACCTGATCATCGGAAGGGTCCTGATTCTGTGCCCGAGCACAGCATATTACCTGTACCAGAGGTGAGATCTTCGTGAATGACGATCTGATGTGCATTGACGATGATATGCATCAGGAAAAAACCCTCCCGTGAATGCGCCATAATGCACTGTTATTCTGCGGAATAGACAGTAATGACGTATGTTCCCGAGTTTTTTGAGAATAGCTTTTGTTAGCTAGTCCCCTCTCTTTCCAGTACGAATGCATAAGTAATATGGTGCATTCCGGAGCATGATCCGCTATTACTGTCTCATTGACTCGTAGTATTTTGCTAGTAGCATATTCCCTCGATGCTATGACAGACTTTACAGTTGATTGACAGCACGAATTGAGATTGAGCAACATTCAATTCATTGGGTGATACACTACGGAGCACAAAGACGCAAGGGTACTATACAGGCAGTACTGGGAATGGTATGTGATTACGTCTCGATTGTTCGAATCTACTCATCGGGTATATCATGCCAGTCCTATAAAGGCAAGGGCTGCGAATGAAGTAGCATGAGCTGTGCATACTAGTGACGAAACTACTAACCGGGTATTAGACGAACTCGCCCACATGCGCATACGACTCGGCGGCAGGCTCACAATCATGCGTAATGTCGATTCATCGACGTGTTCGGTGTGCGCGATGCTGAGAACACGTGAGGTAGCTTGTATCTGGTCGTGGCTTCGAACATCGCTGACACAGGCCTGCTACAGAGCTTCCTCTACTATCGGCTGCGTCATCCACGCAAGGAACATCCGGATTGCCAGGCCTCTCGAGGACGCGGAGGGCGGCTGCGTGGAGCGTTGCGCACCAACAAGCAGGCAGGTTCGCAGCCAGGCGGGCCATCATCGTTGCAATGGTTGGGCGACAAGAGCGAGCGTCCGTGCGAGTGGAGCATCGCACACGTGGCAGTACTAGTAGAGCCATTTGGCAGACACGGCGAGAAGGATGGAGAGGAGGAAGATGTGAGCAGTGTGTCGGTCCGACTCGGGCCAGCTCTGGACTGTAGGCACTCACTCCGTGAACGGATCAGATGCGTACATCGTAGGCGAGCGAGACAGGCAAGATGACAGTACCTTGCCCACACAAGTTGGTACACGACAGTAGAGCCCCTGTATGCCAGCATGCAAGATTCACGTATACATGTCAGCAGGATTAAGACGGACAAAATGTTCTACGCACAACTTGTTGGACTGGAGCCCCATGTGGAGTCTACGCAGCAGCTAGCTGAGAGCGAGCGAGGTAAGGGCACGAGCGGCGATGCGTAGCACATCTGTGGTGCTCAACTGGGAGTGGTAGGAGGCCGTTCTGCATGGCAACAGCAGCTATGGGGTGGCATTTACTTGATGGAGGTTGGAGCGGCAGCGTGCGAGTAACGTGAATGTGGGCGGGTAGTTGACTCGACAGTTGACAGAACGTTGAGTACTGAGTACTGAGCAAGTGGACGCTCGAGAGTCGACGTGGCGTTGTAGCGACGTGGTCGATCAAGATCAAGTTTAGGGCAGGTCGTAATCTGACTCTGCGTAGTGGCGCCGTGTCTCTTGTCTCTGCTAGTCTCTTCCTCGCGATCCTCAACGCCCGATGTAGTACTACGCAACAAGCCCGCTGACTTGACAGTAGACGGATGCGCGGGAGGATACGTGGCTCAGGAGCCTCGCGAAAGGATGAGCACATGGTACGTACCTGCTGTCCATTTCACGACAATCTGTCTGCCCTTCCAGCCCCGCATCCCAACGCAATCCCAATGCGCGTCGTGCTCAGACGGCAGCTCGGGTACACCGTCGGCGTTCATCGGATACTCCAGCATGATCAAAGATCGCAGCCCACGTCGTGCTGTACCGCGCTGGGACAGCTAACCATGACAGTCGGTACGTCCCTGTTGGTGTGTGTGTACCCGTTCTGACAACCATTGGCAGCCCGTGACCTCGATCCCCCGCGCGCATTTGCAGAGCAAACGCCTCCGAGCACTGTTGCCCGGTACGTGACGGTCACAGAGGTCTCCCTCTCCCTCTCGCACTCCTTATCTCTGCTGACTCCTCTGCACGCCACCGTCTCAGCTCCCTCGCCCTGCCCATCACCCGGCCCGTGCCTCAGAAGCAGGCCACGCATCGCGTCACGGTCAGAATGTACCTTCAAAAAGGTCAGTGCGTGTGCTTCCGTTGTGACCACTAACCTCGTCGTGTCCGCACTTTTGGTAGTCAGCTCAAACGCGCGTCGCAGCCCATTTCGAATAGGTGAGTGAACACACGAGCCTGTTGGTACTGAGGTGGACGGGCAGACAGGCGGTTGAGTAGTGCGAGAGAGGACGGGCTAACCACGGGGAAAACAGGTAAGTGGGTGATTGTATATGCTGTTGTTTGTGCTGACGAAGGTGTTCATTCCGCCAGCATTACCTTCAGCACCAGCATTTGCTTGTCTATCCACCCGCCGCTTTCTTCTGTCCGTGCTTCCTCTCTTTCGCCCGCGCTTCCTTTCGCCCGCGGTCGCACGGCCTTTCGCACACCCGCTCGCACGGCCTTTCGCCCCGCCTGCTCGCCCGCCGCCCAACTGCTCGCGCTCCCTCGGCAACACGCATGGCGACCGGCAGCATGCACTGTGACGAAGACCACCACAGCCGTGCCCGCGTTCAACACGAGGATGGACTGACACCCAGCAATGCAACACGAGACGAACGTACCTATGCATACTCGCAGCATGACGACGACCCGCCCGCTCGCGCCATCTCGTCGTGCTCGCATGCGCGAGCCTTCGTAATGGTGACCATTGCCTGTGCGGCTGTGCCGGATGACTCGGATTCGCTCGTAAAACTACCGCAGATAGCGGAAACTCCGGCGCATACCGCACTTTCAGCAGTCAGGGTTGGTGATGACAACTGTCAGGCTGCACGAGAAGTACGTCCTACTCGAGGTGTAGCTTAAATAATGCAATATATCTTGTTACGAAGGGTCTACGAGTACATTGCATACACCTCAATGTTCTTGCGTCCTTTGCCTGAACGACTGATTCTGGCAATTACGTGGCTTCTCGTGCCATATGAGTATTTCTAGCTCGTAGCGAGAACTCAGTAGCATGTGCTCGTATTGCATTGTATTACGAACAGATTACGAATGTATGCACAGACGGTGTGTACAGTAGTGAATAATGCTGTGAATAATGTCAGAATAGTGGAGTATAATTTGGATGCTGCGTATTGTCGAGAATGTGAGCCAACACACCGTAATTCTCCGGAGAGGTTTTTCCTGATGCGCTCAGTAGCAGTGATACACGCGCTACTGTTAACTTGAACTCATCGTCTACTACCCAGCCGTGCATGGCATCCAACAGCATCGCTTCCGCTAGTACCGGAGGCTCCAGAAGCGAGCAGGATATGAGTGTGCGATGCGAATTCTGCAAGACACAGTTTGGCTGCGAAAGCGACTTACTCGACCATTATTTGCATTCTGTGTTCCATCCCACGTGTCAACATTGCAAAGTCGGATTCAAGGATCGATCGTCGCTCCGAGAGGCGAGTTCATTGCTTTCAAAGAACGTCCAGTATTGACTCGGGATATTGCATTTAGCACATATTTTCTGTCCATGATACTACGGGATGCAAACGTTGCTACGTAGTGTTCAATACGACGCAAGAGCTGCAACAGCATTATCAAAGTGTTCCTTTGCATTCGCCTGGAGAGGCGGCAGCCAGCAAGTCTGAGAGTGTTGCATCGTCAGAGGTGCTATTTGGTTTCTTTTCGATAGTCCCAGCTATGTCTCACCGCAAGAGAACGACAGATCAAAGCGGCTTTGCAGTCGCCCAAGGGAATTAAATTCCGACGAAGGAGAGGTAAATGGCACTGCAACCTATGCGATACGAACTTCATAAAGAAGAGATCGCTTGCGCGCCATAACCTCATGCATCCGTGTTGCACCATTTGCCAGATAGGCATTGCTGACGACGAGCTTTCCAAGGAGGTGCGACACTACTCTAGCAGCCAGTTGTCACTCTAATGCGCCATAAGCACATGGCGAAGGTTCATCCATCGTTGATAAATCAGTCGCTAGCTCAGCCCGCATCGGCTCTACCTCGTCCAACCGTGAGCAAGCAGCTATTACTGGCAAATCGATTATCAATTTGACTTACTGTTCACCTTAACCTCTAGGACGTTTCTGACCCATTAATCATCACCAAACCGCTGAAGCCCTTGGACGAAACTTGCGAACCCATGGAGGACCCACTCCACGAGATTGAGGAACTGCCATTGGCAGCGTCGGATTCGGGCAAAAAGGCAGTGGAAGCGCACGCACCTCGGTCCGAGTCGCCCATCTCTGCGACAGGCATATCGGAGAATGAAGACGGGAGAGACCCTCCCAGCGAACGTGAGTGCCCCCTCGAAACGACACTACTTGCTTGAGTTGTTCATGCAGGTCGACTCCCAGAAATAACCGGAATCCAGTTTCCTGTCGACATCCCCCAGACCGGAGATGTCAGATCCAGAGCCGTCCAACAACTACAACAGCATGTAGTTGTTACGGTCCAGCCACCAGATGCCGTGGAAACAGTCGCCTCAGATGAGGCAGAGCCTATGTCTGTCGATCAGCATGTCGGCCGGGAGGAAGGAGAGGCCCTCGAAGGGGGAAAATGGGTACTTCCCGTTGATGGTACAGACAGTGAACGCGAGAACTTCAACTCAGGCGATGTGCATGCGACACAGACTCAAGGTAAGCGGCAAGCAGTGATGTTTCAAGCTGTATCATCACTCACGAGTTCTAAGCATCCGATGCATCGTCGACACCACTATCAACGACCCCTGTGCATACACCAGAGTCAGCGCCGCCGCAGAGTGTGTCGTGGCACTGCAGGAGCTGCCTAAAGAACCCGTGCGACGAGCCTACCGCGACGATGTGCGGGCATATATTCTGCTATAGGTGCGTCTGTCGTACATGCCATTGAAAATGGTGCATACAATGTTGATGGTGCGACGAAATCTGTATAGGTGCATCGTCCGTGAGATATCGGACAAGATGCAGTGCCCTGTATGTAACAGACTCTTCTTGCTGAGGCTGCACGCGACAGCATGAGCAGAAATCGTTGACATTCGGCCATAAGTAGAGGATGAATTGGTACATACGTTATTTGTCGCGGCGACACATTCAAATGCCAATCAACAATGTTTTCAATATTCCTGCGACTGGCAGTGGATGCGGGCGTACCGTCACAGACGTGATTCGAGTCGCTAGCGCCCATGTAGCAGAATGCTTCTACTAGTAGGACCTCGGGCGTCTACACATGTTTCCTTGCTACTTGTACTTCGGTGCTCTCTACGTCTCCATTGGACCCGCTGCTCTGTGTGTCGACACCATCTGATGACTGAATGCTTCGCCCTGCGTCTCAGGACAATATTTATCTACAGGGAATGGTTCTCGTTGGCGAGATGCCCATATCGACTCGACGACGCTCGTTAACGTCACGCGCTGTCGGCTTTGGCTCAGTCTGCGAAGTCGAAGCGACGATGTCCCAGCCGCTCGCATGCCGTACGCGGGGGATACTTAGGCCACATAGGACCGGACAAGCAAGCGACCTGTTTCCCAGCACTGCTGTCCATTACCTCAATCAGCGACCATGTCTGGGACGTTCACCTGTCTCGACTGTGGTGAAGGCTTCCGCGATGTCTCTGCCTTGTGGAGCCACAGCAAGGCAAGGCAACACGGCCTTTATCAAGGTCGGAAACCTTTCAGCTTCCCCCATGACAACAAGAGCTACGATCCGGGTGATCTCAGCTACACACTAGCTCAAAAGCATGACTCGTACCAAGTCGACATGCCGTACGGTCGGACTACGGTGTTTCTTCCTGCCTCAAGGACTGCCGTGGCGTCAGTGTCGGCATTAAATGATGCAGCTGCTGCAGGCGCAGCGAGGGCAACGTTTGACACAGCTCCCGCGACCACATACCCGCCTGGCGACCCAGCCATGGAGTGCAGATGTGAAATCTGTGATCTGTCCTTCCGTTCGGATAATGAGCTCAACACTCATTACAAGTGGTCTCCCGTACACCCATCCTGCGGGAAGTGCGCGAAATGTTTTCGAGATAAGAGTCAACTTTCCCGGGTGAGTCGCAACATGAGCTTCCCTAGTCGTGTTGACTCAGTGACCTCGTTCGTCGGCGCTAGCATCTGCAAACTGCGCATGCGTGTGACATCTGCGTCTGCGGAGTAATCTTCGAAATCAACCATGCGTCCGTGCACTACAAGGCATCTTCGTGTCATCCCAAGTGCATCAATTGTGGGGCAGCGTTCAAGGACGCTCCCGCGTTGAATGTGGTGAGCTTGATATTTACCGTTCCGGTCGTCTACCCTGATCGTCTCGTAGCACTACAGATCCTCCCATTATGATCATTATTGTCTTCGCTGCGACCTCTGGTACCCTACGAAGCCAGATCTACAGCGGCATTTCTTCGAGTGCAGTGCACATCCTCGCTGCTTTCAGTGCAAGGAAGGTTTCGTCGGACATGTAGAGTACTTTCAGGTCTGTGGCGACCTCAGAGACTCAAATTCCCCAATCACGGACTGATACATGCTGATTTAGCATGTGGCTGCGGTACATAACTCGAAGGTAACGACGACCATAGCACCCACGAAGGTAGATCCATTACCCGAAGCAAACCTGCGAGCATATGCATTGATGAGACTGTCTTTACAGGTCGTTGCGATTTCCAAACCTCCTCAGAAGAACAAACAGGAGAAGCCCCCACCGTATCGCTGCGACCACTGTAATCTAGGCTTCAAGAAGTCGAAGCAGCTCAAGAAACATAACCGCCAGACCCCTCTGCACCCGTGCTGTACCCAATGCAATAAAGCTTACGCAATGTACGGGCCTTATGAGCGTGTAAGTCAGTGTCGCCACTATCGCGATCCGTTCGCTCACATTGCATTCCGTCACACAGCATATGATTAACAAACATCCACGGGCCGAGATACTGCCCAAGCTTCCTCCACGACCGTCACCGCAGGTGCGCGACAATCGTATATGTCCAACTGTTTGTCGTTGGTACTGATCAAGTTCTTCGTTCGGAACTCTAGGCCGTACAGGCTGGTCCATCGACCAACGTCCAACAATCAGAGCCGCTAGGCGAGTCTCCGAAACTCCCGGAGAGGGATGATTATTCTAACATTGGCTGCTAGCCCCTGGTGCCGGCTCACAGACAGCGGGAACGGGCGCGTCTGCATCGAACTGCGAGACAGCTACGGCGGTGCCCGAAGTAGTCGACGTAGGTGACCCTCCGGTGGAGTGTGAGTGTCGCTCAGCTGCACTATTTGTTTGTATCCCTTACGTGGGTCATCTTCTCAGCATCGGTGAAGCCTCAGGTGCTAGTCGATGCTCCAATTCGAGACGCCGAGGCCACCGCGAGTGCGGTATATCATCTTCCGGCAGCAGTCAATGTGGGACCGTCTGGCGAAACCGGCCGGGATGCCGGCACGTTGACTCAAACAATGCTCGAACAAGAGTATCCCGTCAAGACGCCTGAGGTTAATGTCAGTGCTGTCTTGTAGCGTTGGGCGAATTGCCTACTGAAGGGCAGTATATATACAGCTTGGGAGCGATACGGGATCTGTCATATCATTCGACTCCCTCGCCTCCACCAGTTCGGAATCGGACGCCTTATTTGCACAAGCTCGGGCTCTTTCGAACACAGCCGTGCAATGCGAAGATGTTGACGAGCGCGAAGATACCTTCTCCGACGCGTACGAATACATCCAGTGAGCTGTTATGCAGAAATGCTACATACTTTCGCGATAACTGACTTCTCTTGCAGTGCTAACGAGCGATCGACCGATGTCAACGCGCGGGCGATTGACGAGCGACCTGACAGCGTCATCAGCTACGTTACAGACGTAGACTCAGCTGTCATGTCCGCCAGTTCCTTAGCGCGACCGTCGGACTCCACTGCCACCCAAGCCTCTTCTTCGTCGAACAACACAGCAAGAGACATGGACACGGAACAGCTTGTCTATCCCCAGGATACGATGTCCGAGTCTTACATTAGTACACCGTTCTCGGATGCGTGCACCTGTGACCTAACTATTCGCCCTGAAAGCATCGACAACACCAGCATGGAGTCCGCCTCTCGTACGGCAGCCTCGCCATCGCTGATCGCATCTAACACGTCGGCGGATGCGCCGCCCGTCAGCACAGGACGAACCCGGAGCTCGACTTCATCGTGTTCTACAGTGTCGGAGGAAAGTAAGTGACATGATCCTCACGAACTGCTTCGTGCAACATACTAACTATTTCTGTGCCGTTCCGCCCCAGTCTCAAGTATCACAGTGTCCGTAGCAACGAGCATGAGTAGCCCAACTCCTGCTCCTTCCGAGCCAGTCGCGAGCGCTCTCCCTCAAGGAAGGTCCACAGCTTCTGGCCCGTCCTGGCACTGTCGGAGTTGCGGAAAGGACCCATGCGAGGACCCTACAGCAACACAGTGTGGACACATCTTCTGCTACAAGTTCGTCACGCCCTTGACCTCTCAGTACTTTTGCTGACACTGATGTACGAACGTGTAGGTGCATCGTCAGGGAGATCGCCGAGAGTATGAAGTGTCCGGTTTGCAACAAACTGTTCCTCTTGCGGCTTCAAGCGTTCTGATCGGACGAATGCTGTGTATATGATGTGGATCTTGTGTACTATCTTGCTCTTTGTGACCCCTCTGACCCTGCTTCCGTAGCGGTTGCAAAGAGAGTTCAGGCGCGGTGAACGTGTGCCTCTTGTGCCCATTCGGAAGACACAATATGCACACTGGCACAACGCTTCGCCGGGGGTATGCGATTTACGACCAGATGATCCTCAGGGCCGTCTCCCTTGGGCCATGCCTTATGACCGTTGGATGCATGTATACGTCCATCAAGCCCGTCGCTCACAGCTGTTTCCCAATCGATAGGCCCGATGTCCAGACTCTCACAGAAGCGGAGTCTCGGTGTTACCCATTAAAACCAGCAGTGTCAAGGGCGAGCCAGACCTTGAGGTCGAACGGCAGAGGGTGCGGGTCACCTAAAGTCAAGACCTGACGTCTTCCGCTTGTGCGCATTTGTGCGGGCAGGAGCCTATCGGTTTGGAAACAGCTGTGACCCAATAGGTATGTACTGCAGTGATTCAGCAAACGGACATAAGTCAGTGTTCCTGGCGGAGGTTTCACGAGTCACGACACCTATGCAATATTGACTAGGCCACGACATACTGTGTGCACATCCGCGAGACATGTAACATAACATAACTCGCAGGGATGCACACGGGACTTGTTGCGAGCTGTAGGTCCTCTGTTGAAGAGCCTCCGCGTCACCGTGGCCTTCGCAAGATCTGCAGCAGGAAGTCCAAGTCGCCACGTGAGTTACTCGCCTCCGACGTCAAACGGATCACCACTGATTGACTACTGCTGGTTCAGTGTCACTACGCTTCGAGTGCGGCTGCGGTATGCTGTACTCACACGTTTTCACGCAGTGAGATCAGCGTCGAAGACGTCTTTCTGGCGGACAACACTACAGTTCACAAGGCGAATTAGCTCTTCGAGGGATCTGACGGGTCACGGAAGCAACAGCTTGTACGATGTCGTCGCGAAGGTAACTGCGCAAGCGACGAACACTGGCGATGTCAACGCCAGTAAAGTCGCTCAGCTGGTGAGTTGTGTGTCGCGTTGCGCAAGGTCTTGAACTATGATCTAAACCTCGCGCTGCAGTACATTCTCAGTCTTAGACAGTCTTAGGTTCTGGCTGCGTGGCTTCGACAGGCTGAAGGCCTTTGCACGAGACGCGCTCTGCGAGATTCGAGTTGCGTCGTAAAGATTTGTCGCGATGGAGCATGGAAAGGCAGCTGTGGTATATCCCAGAGCGAGACAGTCACTTGCAGGTCGGTGCAAGCTCGACAAAAGTTGTATAATGAGGAGACCTCCTACTTAACTCACTGGCAGTTTCGGCCCATCTTATGTCGTCACAGAGCCTGAACATCTCTTGCAATTGTTATTCATTTTGGGACCAAAACTTCAAGCTTACCGAGCAGTAGCTGAGAGAAACCGACAACGACATCTTCGCCTAAATTGTTATTACTGCTCGACAGCCTTGAGTCTTGACAAATCCCGCCGTTGAACCTATTTCAAAGGATGCACAATATGCGCTTCGCCATAATTTGATGCACTCTGCTACGTAGAACCACGTCACCGCGGATTGATCTTCACTAGGTAGCTTTTTTTGCGCAACAAGCCGCTCTACGGATACTCTTCCTAGGGACTGTCTGACGATGTAGCTCATGAGATACTCTGCAAAGGTATTCAGATACGAGGCAGACGGAGATCGACACAGTTCAAGAAAGAGTGTAAGGCTAATGCACGTAGGATCCGCCGATCAACAAGGAATCCATCAAGCGTGGAGCCTCAGAAGGAATAGCTTATGGCATACAGGACATTGCATCTTCTCCGCGATCTCTTTCACGATGCAGCTAAGCATACGACGTAATGAGCGCGCCGATACCAGTCACAGTGGGCCAATGACATACCTGTGGCAGAAGACATCAGGAAAAACCTCTCCGGAGAATTACGGTGTGTTGGCTCACATTCTCGACAATACGCAGCATCCAAATTATACTCCACTATTCTGACATTATTCACAGCATTATTCACTACTGTACACACCGTCTGTGCATACATTCGTAATCTGTTCGTAATACAATGCAATACGAGCACATGCTACTGAGTTCTCGCTACGAGCTAGAAATACTCATATGGCACGAGAAGCCACGTAATTGCCAGAATCAGTCGTTCAGGCAAAGGACGCAAGAACATTGAGGTGTATGCAATGTACTCGTAGACCCTTCGTAACAAGATATATTGCATTATTTAAGCTACACCTCGAGTAGGACGTACTTCTCGTGCAGCCTGACAGTTGTCATCACCAACCCTGACTGCTGAAAGTGCGGTATGCGCCGGAGTTTCCGCTATCTGCGGTAGTTTTACGAGCGAATCCGAGTCATCCGGCACAGCCGCACAGGCAATGGTCACCATTACGAAGGCTCGCGCATGCGAGCACGACGAGATGGCGCGAGCGGGCGGGTCGTCGTCATGCTGCGAGTATGCATAGGTACGTTCGTCTCGTGTTGCATTGCTGGGTGTCAGTCCATCCTCGTGTTGAACGCGGGCACGGCTGTGGTGGTCTTCGTCACAGTGCATGCTGCCGGTCGCCATGCGTGTTGCCGAGGGAGCGCGAGCAGTTGGGCGGCGGGCGAGCAGGCGGGGCGAAAGGCCGTGCGAGCGGGTGTGCGAAAGGCCGTGCGACCGCGGGCGAAAGGAAGCGCGGGCGAAAGAGAGGAAGCACGGACAGAAGAAAGCGGCGGGTGGATAGACAAGCAAATGCTGGTGCTGAAGGTAATGCTGGCGGAATGAACACCTTCGTCAGCACAAACAACAGCATATACAATCACCCACTTACCTGTTTTCCCCGTGGTTAGCCCGTCCTCTCTCGCACTACTCAACCGCCTGTCTGCCCGTCCACCTCAGTACCAACAGGCTCGTGTGTTCACTCACCTATTCGAAATGGGCTGCGACGCGCGTTTGAGCTGACTACCAAAAGTGCGGACACGACGAGGTTAGTGGTCACAACGGAAGCACACGCACTGACCTTTTTGAAGGTACATTCTGACCGTGACGCGATGCGTGGCCTGCTTCTGAGGCACGGGCCGGGTGATGGGCAGGGCGAGGGAGCTGAGACGGTGGCGTGCAGAGGAGTCAGCAGAGATAAGGAGTGCGAGAGGGAGAGGGAGACCTCTGTGACCGTCACGTACCGGGCAACAGTGCTCGGAGGCGTTTGCTCTGCAAATGCGCGCGGGGGATCGAGGTCACGGGCTGCCAATGGTTGTCAGAACGGGTACACACACACCAACAGGGACGTACCGACTGTCATGGTTAGCTGTCCCAGCGCGGTACAGCACGACGTGGGCTGCGATCTTTGATCATGCTGGAGTATCCGATGAACGCCGACGGTGTACCCGAGCTGCCGTCTGAGCACGACGCGCATTGGGATTGCGTTGGGATGCGGGGCTGGAAGGGCAGACAGATTGTCGTGAAATGGACAGCAGGTACGTACCATGTGCTCATCCTTTCGCGAGGCTCCTGAGCCACGTATCCTCCCGCGCATCCGTCTACTGTCAAGTCAGCGGGCTTGTTGCGTAGTACTACATCGGGCGTTGAGGATCGCGAGGAAGAGACTAGCAGAGACAAGAGACACGGCGCCACTACGCAGAGTCAGATTACGACCTGCCCTAAACTTGATCTTGATCGACCACGTCGCTACAACGCCACGTCGACTCTCGAGCATCCACTTGCTCAGTACTCAGTACTCAACGTTCTGTCAACTGTCGAGTCAACTACCCGCCCACATTCACGTTACTCGCACGCTGCCGCTCCAACCTCCATCAAGTAAATGCCACCCCATAGCTGCTGTTGCCATGCAGAACGGCCTCCTACCACTCCCAGTTGAGCACCACAGATGTGCTACGCATCGCCGCTCGTGCCCTTACCTCGCTCGCTCTCAGCTAGCTGCTGCGTAGACTCCACATGGGGCTCCAGTCCAACAAGTTGTGCGTAGAACATTTTGTCCGTCTTAATCCTGCTGACATGTATACGTGAATCTTGCATGCTGGCATACAGGGGCTCTACTGTCGTGTACCAACTTGTGTGGGCAAGGTACTGTCATCTTGCCTGTCTCGCTCGCCTACGATGTACGCATCTGATCCGTTCACGGAGTGAGTGCCTACAGTCCAGAGCTGGCCCGAGTCGGACCGACACACTGCTCACATCTTCCTCCTCTCCATCCTTCTCGCCGTGTCTGCCAAATGGCTCTACTAGTACTGCCACGTGTGCGATGCTCCACTCGCACGGACGCTCGCTCTCGTCGCCCAACCATTGCAACGATGATGGCCCGCCTGGCTGCGAACCTGCCTGCTTGTTGGTGCGCAACGCTCCACGCAGCCGCCCTCCGCGTCCTCGAGAGGCCTGGCAATCCGGATGTTCCTTGCGTGGATGACGCAGCCGATAGTAGAGGAAGCTCTGTAGCAGGCCTGTGTCAGCGATGTTCGAAGCCACGACCAGATACAAGCTACCTCACGTGTTCTCAGCATCGCGCACACCGAACACGTCGATGAATCGACATTACGCATGATTGTGAGCCTGCCGCCGAGTCGTATGCGCATGTGGGCGAGTTCGTCTAATACCCGGTTAGTAGTTTCGTCACTAGTATGCACAGCTCATGCTACTTCATTCGCAGCCCTTGCCTTTATAGGACTGGCATGATATACCCGATGAGTAGATTCGAACAATCGAGACGTAATCACATACCATTCCCAGTACTGCCTGTATAGTACCCTTGCGTCTTTGTGCTCCGTAGTGTATCACCCAATGAATTGAATGTTGCTCAATCTCAATTCGTGCTGTCAATCAACTGTAAAGTCTGTCATAGCATCGAGGGAATATGCTACTAGCAAAATACTACGAGTCAATGAGACAGTAATAGCGGATCATGCTCCGGAATGCACCATATTACTTATGCATTCGTACTGGAAAGAGAGGGGACTAGCTAACAAAAGCTATTCTCAAAAAACTCGGGAACATACGTCATTACTGTCTATTCCGCAGAATAACAGTGCATTATGGCGCATTCACGGGAGGGTTTTTTCCTGATGGATGTGCCCGCATTGCGTCGCCGTCGGGTCCTCGCATGGGTCTTTCCCGCAACTCCGACAGTGCCACGACGGGCCTGCGGGTTGGACTTGGGGAGGAGCGCTCGTGACTGGATGAGCATGGCTGCGGCATGATTGCCCTGCAGTGGCTATGGATACCATGACGTTCGAGACTGAGACACGGTGTACCAGAAGTAGTTCAGTACGTAGTGTCAAGCAGTTAATGGAGACCATTGTTCTGACCTGTCTTTGACATTCTCGATTCTGACGGAATCGAACCGCGATTTCGTCCTGTGCTGATAGACGGCGCATCCGGCGACGGCTCGGACATGAGCAGTGATGGTGAGGCTACAGGGCATGAGGCGAAGCCCATGGTGATATCAATGCTTTCAGAGCGAGTAGATAGGCCATGAGTGCACGCATCCGAGAGCGGCGCGCTGACATAGGACTGGGACATCGTGTCTTTGGGGTGGTCGAGCTGTTCTGTGTACATGTCCCTTGTTGCGTTGTTCGATGACGAAGAGACTTGGACAGCCGTAGGATCCGGCAGTCGCGCTGAAGAACTGATAGACGGAACATCCGAATCCAGGTCCGTTTCTGTGATGTAGCTGATGACGCTATCAGGTCGCTCGTGAATCGCCCGCGCGTTGACATCGGTAGATCGCTCGTTAGCACTGCAAAAACAGTCAGCCATCGCGAGGATAGGTAATGTTTCGCGTAAAAGCTCACTGGATGTAATCGTACGTGTCGGAGGAAGACTCCTCTTCGCGCTCGTCAGCATCTTCACACTGCACGGCTGTGTTCGAAGGGTGCGGTCGAGCCTGTTGTGCAAATAAGACGCCCGCCTCCGAACTGGCCCGGGTGGACGAGGAGTCGACTGGTATGACCGATCCTGTATCGGTCTCAAGCTGTGAATACTGACCATCAATAGATGACCTATGACGATAGGACTGCACTGACGTTAAACTTAGCCGGATGCCCTCGTTCGAGCATTGCCTGAGTCAGATTACCAGAATTGCGACCGGTCTCGCTAGACAGCCCCGCGTTGTCCGCTGCCTGAAGATCATGTATGACAGTCGCCGGGATCGCAGTGCGCATAGCCGGAGCATTAGCAGGGAGTTGAGATTCGGCCGTTGCTAAGGAAACGATCTGCATGAGTAACACGAACACGTAGCAGCTCAGAGAGACTTGAATGTCCTCACATCCCTGCAAACAGTCTCCTCCAAGGACAACCTTCGGCTGCGATGCAGCATGCGTTGTCTGAAGTCCAAATGCAGCGACACACTCGATCAGCAGTCGATGTCACATGGTCGAAACCTGTTATTACTCACCGGGGATGGGGAAAGCGGGAGGAGTGGGGGCCGCAACTTGGAGGACGGATGTATGGCCACCATATGCTGTAGGACAGAATGTCAATGAAAGCCTGCTACGGTAGTTCAGTCATCGTACGCTAACGTAGCCCTCATATACCAGGAAGCCCTTTTGACAGAGGATGCAACGCGGGTGCAAAGGCGTCTCAAGATTGTGCTCCTTGAGCGCTAGCTCGGTTGCGAAACCTAAGTTGCAGTGGTCGCAACGATGCAATTCCACTTTCTTCTGTTGGTCTTCTCTTGGAGAGCGCGAATCCACATTGTTCTGCAGGCAGCCAAAATTTCAGGCCTTGTTAGCACAGTAGATATCCGACAAATATGGTATTGACGCCCCTACCTTTATGGCTGGTTCTGCCGGCATCTCCGGAGAGTCATGCACTGCGACCAGATGCTACATAGATGAGCACGAATAAGTGTTCATGGACATTACAAGGCTTCAAGGTTGCCACATACCTCAAGGTAGTCCGCGTTCCGTGGAAATGCTTGCTTGCACTTCATGCACCGAGGAGGTGCCGCGGGAAAGCACTCGAAGAGATGTCGATGCAGATCTGGTTTTGTCGGATACCAGCGGTCGCATCGCAGACAACATTGGTCAGAGTGGGCGGATATTTGGTGCTACGCGGCAGTCAGCTGGGGTCACTGGAACGATATATAACCAGCTCACTTCAAGCAGTGCAGGAGCATCCTTGAATGCGGCTCCACAATCGGAGCACTCTGGGTGACATGAAGATGCCTTGTAGTGTGCGGCTGCCCTATCGAGTTCGACGATTACTCCGCAACTACAGAAGATGCAACCATGTACGGCTTGAAGATGCTGTCAACGAGGTGAGCTCGACAGTCCGAACGATGATTGCGCTGTGACTCACCCGGGAAAGTTCGCCCTTATCATGAAAGGAATCTTCGCACCTAGCACATGAGGGATGCACCGGAGACGTCTTGTAGTGTGTGCTGGCCTCGTCTTCCGAGCTGAATGTGAGATTGCATATCAAACATCTGTGCTGAATAGCTGGGCCACCGTGCGCGGGAGTGGTCGTAGGAGAGGTCACAGACACTGATACGGTGGCACTCGCTGACGACGGTGAGCATTGGATGCCCTCCGCAACCTGGACGGGGTCGACGAGAAGTCCCGTGGACATTTGAATGCGACTACTAGCGAGTGGCTGGTCCGGGACATCCTAGAGTTGAAACCCAGTGAACAGTCCAATGAGAATTGAGACTACTGTTATTGGTATTGCTCGCATTCACCGGTATACTATGTGGCAGCGACCCCAAGGAGAGCTGCGGTTTTGACTGGGGCGTTGAATGAACCTTCGCCGTGTGCTGACAAGGAGGCCATAACGCATAAGAGTCCAACTATCAGTATCACAAAGCGTAGTGACATACCTTCTTGTAGTGCTTGGCACTAGGAAACCCCATGTTACAGATAGTGCAACACGGGTGCGAGGGTGTTACGAGGCTATGTTGACGCAGTGCCTTCAACTTGCTGAATCCTATATTACAGAGTTCGCAGCGCCATCCCGGCTGTTTCTTCTCCTTCTTCTCCTTCTTCTCCTTCTTCTCCTTCTTCCCCTTCTTCCCCTTCGGAGCTTGGATACGCGGGATATCCTGTGATGTCCTCGTGAGCAACTGTGTCCCACAAACACAGGAAGATATCAGATATACCTTCGGTGGTTGAAAATGCTCTTCAAGTACAGGCTGACCCATTCTGGTCATGCCAGGGGAGGTCAAAGGACAATTTTCATAATGCTGCTGCCCCTGCGCCCGACTGAACAGTCGGTAGCATTGCTTGCAACCGTTGAACCAATGAACCAAGATCATGTGCTGGCCGAATCTACCGTCTCAGAATAGCCATTTAACGACAGGGATCACATAACTCACCTTGTCCTGCGCTAGCTGGTCCTTAAATCCGACATTGCATAGCCCACATTTGGGGTGAACCATGAAACTTGAACGCAAGTAGTGCACGCGTAGATCCCTCTCATATGTGAACCACACCTCACACAACTCGCACTCCACGCCATTCCCCTTCATTTGCTGGATCCCCAAGCCCCCGATCTCGGACGGGCAGGAGGATGGTATGTCTTGATATGATGACGAGGGACGCAGCGGGCCGATCGCTGTCGGTGAGCGCAGCGGTCACCGTTACCGATGATTTAGGGAACACTGAGCCGTCGCGACAATTGCAGTCATGCACCCGATATGCGACGGGGACAATCGTGCTTACCTTCGCTTGATGTGGACACGGATGCGACAGAGCCAGCCTTCAGTTGAGCAGGAGCGTTGGAGATGACAGTAGACTGTAAAGTAGAAGTCGTGTAAGTAGTACTTGAGTACCGGGCAGCGTCTGATAAGGCGTCGCAAGCCTACATCCCACGTGTATCGAATTCGGGCATGCGGCTCGACACGACGACAGCCATGAGTAATACACAGGCTTCTGTACGTACAGATATGTAGGCTTCCCCAGTCTGTACTCGTGGGATAGGCGCCATGAACAGTGAACAATGCGAAGGTATACCACCAAGCACTGCGGACGCACCTTCATATTTGTCATACTCCGCAGCTGTGTTCAAGACCGCGAAGAGGATATTGAAAGTCATCATAGTTTAGACATTGATTCAACCTGAACAACAGAAACAAATGCAGCTCCATCGGATGACGTCGGGATGCTTGCATGAATACTGACTTACAGCGTGAGTGCCTTCTCGCTGTTCGGCAACTTACCTTGCTTCCATGTACGCGGATATACGCGACTGTTCTGCGGGACAACTCGAGGAAATAGAGTTCCCAGTAAGTGCGCAACTTCCTCACTTGTCCAAGTATTCGACCTCGTCGTATGTAGACATACTTGAACAGCGCGACACTTGCTGTTGTTTCGCATCGCTCGCCTCGTATGTTGCTGCATCACAATCACCATAACACGCGCATCACGATCCTTTTGACACCTTCCGTGAACTCCCAGACCGTCTCGACCTTCGCCCTCGCCGAAACCTCCTGGGAATACGACGACGCCACGCCTGTGCCAGTGGCTCGACTGTACTGCTCGACAGCCTTGACAAACTCCGCCACGCCACCGCCAACACCGAAGTACACGCGCTTCGCCGCGACCAGACACAAGTACGGCACTGCGTCCGCGCCCTCGCCCACGTCAGCTCCGTCGCGTATCGCCATCCGCGCTGTCTCCTCCTCCAGGCCTCCCGCACGCTCCCGGGCACACGCCTCGCGCATCACGCGGACGAGCGCAGGCAGGCTCTCTGGGCGGTAGATCGTCTCGGAGGTGAGCACGACGTCGAAGGGGCCGCCTGCGCGCTCGACGTCGAAGGCCTCCCAGGATCCGCAGAAGAAGCGGATGCTGATGCGGTGCTCCTCGAGGGACGCGAGGAATGCGGCGATGAGCTGTGGAGAGAAGGGGAGCGAGCCGGGCTCGGTCGGGTCCGCGGGCGGGAGGGGCTCTTCTTCTACCTCCGGGTCGGTGGTGGATGGCTGGAACGAGGCGCGGAAGCGGAGGGATGCGGGGGACATGTCTGGAGAAAGAATGAGTGCCGTGTTGACTGCGTGAGATGAGATCGACCGAGGCACGCTGCACTAGCGACCCGCTGGCAGATGCGAGTCGCATCGCACGCAAACGCTTTACATCCGACGTGTTTCTCTTCTGGAGACATCTCATTGCGCGATTCCTCGTAGATGAAGGCGCATATATCCCACTATATGCCCCATACGAGCACATTGTAGAGTCTCGGGTACGGAATGAACACTCACACCATGTAAGGATCACATTGGGCAGGGTCACCAATCGGAGTACGAGTTCATTGTAATCTTGCAGAACGACCGAGGTTTCTTGAGCGTTATCCACTGGAGGCGGGGCAGAAAGGAGTTGATGCAGGACGTAAAGCGAGGGGACAGCCGTTCCACAACCAAGCTGAACGAACGGCCCGGGTTAGCGACGAATGTCAGAAGCAGGTTGTCAAGGCACGGGGGAAGGGCACGGGCGGACACGACCATGTCAGTTGGCGTCGAGTTTCAGTACGCGAGAGACACACCTCTAGTATCTTCTTTTCTCTGAGTCTGCCGCCAGGGTCGTCTCCGAGTCTCTCGTGCAAGCATTCCGCCAAATCGATCGAGCATTCCCAGGTTTTCAACCCACCCTCGTAGATTCCAGGCACGAGGTCGGAGGGCGCGTCGAGGAACCCCAAAGCATCCTCGCTCGGGCTCTCCACGCCTGCTTGTGCGGAATCGTCGGGCTCCGACGATATGAGCTGAAAGCGAGCATCGAAGAGGTCTCGCCGCGCGAGAGTGAGACTGTCAGCGTTACGCGAGGACGTGCGGATGCTCAAGGGAGAAAAGCTGATGGATGGTGGATGGTTCGAGAGCTAGTGCTTGTGTGGTTCAGATACGCTGCATACGGAGCGTCGGACTGTGTTTTACTCACAAGATCTTCAATGGAGTGTTCTGCGCTCTCCTTCACCGCTGCCTGCGACGCAGAACCGGATTCTACTACGTCCTGCGAGGTTCCGGGAGTGTCGTGTTGCAGGTCTCCTTGTTCTTCCGCATCGTCGATGTCAAAATCGAATCTGAACATGATGAGGAGAGACTAGAACTACCGTCAGTATCGGTGATATGTACAGGCTTACAGCGTTCGAACTTCGTCCAAACCGAATACCGAGCTTGAGCGCTTATCCTTACTCGGCATCTGCCGCAGCCACCGTGCCTCCCTCACCGCGCGCTGAGCGCTACTTACGGTGGTACTCTCTGGTGTCTTGCTCTCGTCGCCATCATATTCGCCGTACTGTGCGGCGGCGTCGACATCCTTGGATTGTCATATACTTCGCATTGCGTGTCAGGACGACTTAATCTGCGGGAACACGACTCTTCAAGCCGACGAGATGCCCCGTCGACTCGTCAGCGTCACACGTTGTGGTCAGTGGTTTGGCTGCGAAGTCGAAGCGACGATGTCACGCCCAGCCGCTCGCAGACAGTGGGGATATAAGGCCGACGACCGAGCACACTAAGTACTGCCCACTACTCTGATCAGCGGTTATGTCTGGGACGTTCACTTGTCTCGACTGTGGCAAAAGCTTCCGCGATGCCAGCGGTTTGGGGAGCCATAGCAAATCGAAGAAACACGGCTGGATTCAAGTCGACGTGTCGTCGTGGATTTCGAGCATCGCGACGGCTCCTGCCTCAATGACCGCTGCCGTACCAGCGGCAGCGACAGATGGAATACCAGCAAGTGCCGCTACAGCAGCATCTGCCTCTGGTCCTGCGACTACCTCTGCGCCTGGTGGCTCGGAGTATAAATGCATGATGTGCGATCTGACCTTCGGGTCGGACAGTGAGATTAGTACGCACTACAAGAGATCTCCTCTCCATCCAATATGCGGAAGATGCGGAAAACCGTTCTATGATAAGAGTGAATTTGCTCGGGTGAGTCACAACGCGGTCACCGCTCGTTTGGACGAACGATTGACTTCGTCTATAGCACCTTCGTGCTGCGCATGCGTATGACACATGTGTCTGCGGAGTGACCATAGGACTCGATGACGCGTCCGCACACTACAAAAAGTCCCTGTGGCATCCCAAGTGCGTCAGTTGCGGGTACGCTTTCAAGGATGCTGTCGCGCTGGTTTCGGTGAGCGGGGTATACACTATCCCTGTCATCCAAGCTGATCGCTCTAAAGCATCAAAAAACCTCTCACTATGATCAATATTGTCTCCGCTGCGATCTCTGGTTCCAGACGAAGCCAGATTTGCATCGGCATTTCTTCCTGTGCTTCGCACACCCTCGTTGCGTCGAGTGCAAGGAAGGTTTCACGGGTCATGCAGAGTACTTTCAGGTCTGTGGCAACCTCAGAAATTCAAATGTCTCGCTTCTGGACTGATTCGTCCTGGTTCAGCATATGGCTATGATACATCAACCGAAGGTCACGGCCAACACACCAGTCAAGGTGGTGCCATTACCCAACATATCAGTCAAGAAGGTGGAGCTATTACTCGATGCGAAGTTAAGAGCATGTGCATTGACGGGACCATGCTTGTAGGTTGTGACGGTTTCCCAGCTTCCTCCTCAAAAGCCCGCAACGTGTCGCTGCGACCACTGTGACATGGGCTTTACGAATGTGAGAATGCTCAGGAAACACAACCGCGAGACGCCTCTGCACCCGTGCTGTATACTGTGCGATACAGCTTTCAAAACGTACGAGAAATATGAGAACGTTGGTCAATCTCGCCTCTGTCGTGACCCGTTCGCTCACATTGCAATCCATCACACAGCATATGATAAAAAAACATCCAGAGGTCGAGTTGCTGCCCAAGCTTGCTCCGCGTTCACTACCGCAGGTAGGCGACCAGTCATGACCCATCGTATGTCATCGCCACTGATCAAGTACTTCGTTCGGAACTCTAGGCCGTACAGGCTGGTCCATCGACCGACGTCCAACAATCAGAGCCGCTAGGCGAGTCCCCGAAACTCCCGGAGAGGGATTACCATTTCTAATGATTGGCTGCTAGTCTCGTGTCCCGGCCCACAGACAACGGGACCGGACGTGTCTGCATCGAACTGCGCGACAGCTACAGCGGTGCCCGAAATAGTCGACGGAGGTGACCGTCCAGTGGAGTGTGAGTAACGCTGAGCTGCACTAGTTATTTGTCACTTACGTAGGTCATCTTCTCAGCATCGGTGAAACCCCAGGTGCTATCCGAAGCTCCGATTAGAGATGCTGAGGCCACCGCGAGTGTGGTCTATGATCTTCCGGCAGCGGACAATGCGGGGCCGTCTGGCGAGCCCGGCCAGGATGCTGGCACGTTGACTCAAACAATGTTCGAACAAGAGCATCCCGTCCAGACGCCTGAGGTTAATGTCAGTGCTGTCTTGTAGCGTTGGGCGAATTGCCTACTGACGGGCAGTATGTATACAGCTTGGGAGCGATACGGGATCAGTCATATCATTCGACTACCTCTCCTCTACCAGTTCGGAATCGGACGCCTTATTTGCACAAGCTCGGGCTTTACCACACCCTTCGAACACAGCCGTGCAATGCGAAAATGCTGACGAGCGCGAAGATGAGGCTTCCTCCGACTTGTACGATTACATCCAGTGAGCTTTTACGCGAACTACTACCTATCCTCGCGATAACTGACCCCTCTTGCAGTGCTGACGAGCGATCGACCGATGTCAACGCGGGAGCGATTTACGAGCGACCTGACAGCGTCATCAGCTACGTTACAGAGACAGACCTAAATTCGGCTGTCCTGTCCGCCAGTTCCTCAGCGCGACCATCGGACTCCACTGCCACGCAGGCCTCTTCGTCGACCAAGGCAGTAAGAGACATGGACGCGGAACAGCTTGACTATCCCAAGGACACGATGTCCGAGTCTTACGTCAGCGCGCCGCTCTCGGATGCATGCACCCGTGGCCTGTCTATTCGCCCTGGAAGCATTGACATTAGCATGGAATCTGCTTCTTGTCCCGCAACCTCGCCATCGCTGATCGCGTCTGACACATCGGCGGATGCGCTGCCCGTCAGCACAGGACGAACCCGAGGCTCGACTTCGTCACGTTCTGAAGTGTCGGAGGACGGTAAGAGCCACGGTCCTCATGAGCTGCTTCGTGCTACATACTGACTACTTCTGTGCCGTTCCGTCTCAGTCACGAGCATCATAGTGTCCGTAGCAACGAGCACGAGTAGCCCAACTCCTGCTCCTTCGGAGCCAGTCGCGAGCGCTCTCCCTCAAGGAAGGTCCGCAGCCTCTGGCCCGTCCTGGCACTGTCGGAGTTGCGGAAAGGACCCGTGCGAAGATCCGACGGCGACACAATGTGGGCACATCTTCTGCCATAGGTACGTCGAGGCTCCAATACGACTGCGGTCGGTGCGCTGATTCGCCTGTATAAGTAGCTGTATTGTGAAGGAGATCGCAGAGAAGCTGCAATGCCCGGTCTGCCACAAGCTCTTCCTTTTGAGGCTTCACGCGGAATGAGTCTCTCTTGTTGGAAGGCCGCATGCATCGTACGCTTTGTCTTGTTCTTGTCGATCCCCGTCTGTCTTGTATCAGGATACTCTTGCAGAGTATCCTGGTAGTTGTCAGTGTATGGTTGTCCTACTCGACTCATTACGCAACATTGGATTGTGTAAGCCCGAAGTCCGAAGTGCTTGTTGTTCACTTGTATTTTGCCCCCGTAAAACGATCTGTTACGTTCTCCGTTATTTCGATCTGTCGCCCCCAAGATGGGCAAATGTGGTGACCGCGAGTTGAGACCGAGACCCGATGAATTTACTCATATGTACCAGTCCTTCACAGTTATCGAGCCAGACGCCCATAACTCGAAGTTCCGATCCAACGTGAACCGGAGCAACTGCCCCAATATCGCCACTGTCCTCGAGGACGCCACGCACAACGTGTGCGTTTATCCTCCATCCTGGGTAGACAACCCTCTCGTTCCCATTGACGATCATTGCTCTGCTTACTATGCCTGGTCCAGGACGAGTCGGCTGTTCTGACTGTACTAAAAGCTTTGCAAGCGTGTCTGCTCTGCGAAGTCATTGCTTGTCGAAAGGCCATCGTGACCATCAGCTGCAGTATCCTTGTAGTTTCTGCGGCAACAGCTATGCAACTCGTGAAGCCTTGAAAAAACATTCGTCCAAAGCCATTGGGCATGCCGGTGGCCAGTTCGCCCCGAAACCAAACACAAAGTGGGCTCGCAGGACCATCATATCCATTCCTGCTCCAGGAATTGCCATAGTGATGGCATCCTCGAGCGGAATTGAGACCGTCATGCCAGACGCTGCAGATATGACACCTCGCAAATGTGTAGTGTGCGACTTGACCTTCTTCTCGAACGACAAGATCAATGCGCACTACAAGGCATCCCCCGTACACCCGTCATGTGGAAGGTGCGGGAAGTACTTGCAGGATAGAGCAGAACTCTCCCGAGTGCATAAGATTCGATTATCTTTCCCAATACAGGCGGCTGACGTCCTCCTCAGCATCTCCAAGCTGTTCACAACGCTGATATCTGCGTATGTGGACTGGTTATCAACCTTGACGACCTGTCAACGCACTACAAGTCATCGGCGAGCCACCCGAGGTGCTCTTACTGTGGTCAGGCATTCAAGAACGGTGCCGTGCTACTCGAGGTGAGCTTCAAGGCATTACGTGCCGTTGCACTGATCTAAACTCAGGCTGACCCCTCGGTCGTTCGATAGCACAAAAGATCCGTCTACGCCAACCGATATTGTCCTCAATGTGACCACGTGTTTTCGACAAGTACCATTCTACAGCAACATTACTTCGAAAGCCCTACACATGCTCGTTGCCTTGTCTGCAAGAAAGGCTTTGCCGGGAACGAGGAGTATCTTGAGGTCTGTGATCATTCGAATTGCCATAGCCACTGACTAATCCCCGCTAATCCAGCATCTGGCTGCGGTACATGACCAGCCAACGACAACGGATGAACACGCCACGAAGGCAAGCCCACCACCTGAAGCGGGACTTGTATATGTGTGCTAATGAGACAAATATGATGATCGCAGAGTGCGACCGCCTCGCAGCCTGTCGAGAGTTTCGACCGCGAGAAGGAGCCGAAGATCGAGCGCTGTCATTTTTGCGACATCACCTTCGCGACGAGGTCAGAACTCAGGAGCCACAACCTCAAAACACCTTCGCATCCGCGTTGCACCCTTTGCGAAATGGGATTCGTCTCAGCTCGTGTCTACAAAATGGTTCGTTGAGCTCGCCACATTATAACACAGTCTCTGACACGTCCATTTACTACTATAGCATATGAAACGCAGACATCCACCTATTGGGTTATCGCCCAAGCACTTTCTGGATCTCCCACCGATTACTGTAAGTCTTCATCGTCAGTACTAATCAAGGGGTTTATCATGACGGAGAAATATGTAGAATGCGCCCAGAATGGCGAAGACCGGTTCGCTAGACAAATCTCCAGAATCCCCTGAATACAGAGGCCGCAGTGATGATATGACATTGGTGGAGACCACGGAAGTCGACACCTCTGGTGCAGACATCAACACGGCAGGGACTCCGAAGCCTGAAGGCGTCGACAACGATGACCTTGTTGCTGCACGTAAGTATCTCTATAACCTGTACTCGCTACGAATCTTCATTGCTAACATGTGTCATTTTCTAAGCACCGACCGACGATCAACCTGTCATTCAGGCTCCTTGGCCCGGAAATGTCAAGTCAGAGGTCATCGAGTGAGCCTTTCCTTCAATGGTTTACCAATATGCAGTCAACTGACGATCCGTCGTCGCAGTACTATGGAGCAATTGTCTGATATGAATGAGCGACCCGAGAGTGTGATCAGCTATATCACAGCACCCGACTCAATCCCGGATGCACGTCCTGTCAATCCTTCGTCCCCTCCACCGGATTCCATTGTCGTGCGACTGTCTTCAACTCCTTCCAGCGAGGATATCATTCCAGCTCCGGACACAGCAAGCACCGCTGAGCAAGATGAACAGGATCTTCTCGACGACACTAGGCACACGTCGCCTGGATGTTATCTGAGTGCACCGGCCTCGAACGCTTGTACGCTAACTCGATCCACTCGTCCTCCAAGCACCATCATCACTGCGGATGCTGGCTCACAACGTGCTGCTTCCCCGACATCCGTCATCCCCGGTGCGTCGGGCGAACCTCACGCCAGCGTAGAACACAACTCGGCCTCGAGTCCAGCGAGGATGCCAGAAGGTACGGACAATACATTTCTATTGCAACCGATCTGCGCAGCACCGACCATGACGACGCCTACAGCTACCGCCACTGGGCAGACAGTCCCTCTTCCTTCCATAGCGGCGTCAAGCACCGCGCATCAAGGGAGGCCTCGAGTTACAGGCCCGTCGTGGTGTTGTCGTAGCTGCGGCAAGGACCCGTGCGACGAGCCAACGGCAACGCAGTGTGGGCACATCTTCTGCCGCAGGTGCGTTGTAAATTTCAGGATGGTTCTCACCACGTTAATACGCTCGGACATGTAGCTGTATTGTGAAGGAGATCGCGGAAACGGGGCAATGCCCCGTTTGCTACCGTACCTTCTTGCTGAAGCTGCTCGCGACAAGATGAGGAACGACTATTTGACATGAAGCCTCGTCTGTTCGAGGTCGAGATTGAATATTGATCGTTAGCCGAGCGCTGAAGCGGAGGTGTCGGAAGTTCAATGAACGTTGAACATTGATTCGACTCTGCTGCCAGTGAGCAGGGCGTGCCAAATTATTGACTTGACTCATCTGCAGGCTTTCCCTAAGATGTGCTCCTGTTGGACTACCAATCAGGCATAGAGGTCAATTCCGACTTGAGCTGTCACTATGGCGCTGTCAACAGCCGAGGCGTGAACTTGATCCTCAGTTAATATCATCACCTCCAGTTCCTAGCGTGAGCGCAACTTATGACCTGACATCCGGGTTGTTGGGTTCGCTACACTGCCACAGTAGTCTTCAAGACGGTCCCGAGAGCGCGCCGGACGCGTCAAGTATAGAGCACGTGGCCGCGTCAGCGTGTATCATTTCCGAGCTCGAGTCCGTGGCGACCCGTCCGCCACTGCCTCCCGGTCTCTCGTCATGATACCACACACTGCCTAGTAATGCTCACAAGAACGAATGAATCGATGACGCTGTATGTATCTTACAAGCCATCGAGTGCCGAGGCTGTAATGCTCATATGATATTAATGATCCAGCGAGGGCCGAGACACTATTACTTACTTACGAGTTCGAAGTCAACGTCAACGTCACGCTATGGCCATACCGGGTGAGAAGTCGACGCGAGCGCCGATAGCCCTCGAGGATGCCACACAAGGCCACACACCAAAGCTTCGCACCGTGCGGCTTTTTGAGGCCATACCGATACGAAGTCCTGCAGCTCGTTCGCTTGATCACTGCTAACTTACCCCAGTCCGGCTCTGAACACATCCATGGCCAAGAAGCGACATGCTTGTCCTGTCTGTGCTACTGCCTTCCTGACCCTTCTTGAGCTGCGACGCCACGGAAATTCGATGAAACATGGTCTTGTCGGGATTTTCTACGTTTGTTCGGATTGCAACAGGAACTTTCAGACAGCCAAAGATCTGCAGAATCATGCATCGGCCAAGCGACACCGTCTATACAAGCCCGTGTCGTCCACTGTAGCTGCTTCTAGTGCGTTTGACGCGACGTCGGTCCCCGCACAAACCACACTAGCAACGACGTCTGCTACACTACCGCCTTCCCCGGCTGCACAGTATAGATGTCAAGTCTGTACTTTGTCCTTCAGCTCAGAGGCTGAGATCAATGCCCACTACAAGAGATCCTTCGTACATCCGTCCTGTAGCACATGCGGCGAAGGTTTTAGGGACAACGAACGCCTTTCTCAGGTGGGTCATATCACGGTGACTGGAGGTCAATCGGGTTATCGACGTCGCTCCATACTAGCATCTACGGGCCACCCATGGGACCGACACTATAGCTAGTCGGTCTGCAGCAAACACCAAACTAGATGACCCGTCGACATCGTCGAGCCGTAGCATATGCTCAACGTGCTTGATGACGTTCACCGATGACGCTAAGCTGTTTGAGGTGAGCTTTGCACGTAGAGTTCCGCCGATGATCTAAACGCATGCTCTGCAGCACGAGAATACTGACCATCTCTGTGCCCGCTGCGATCAGTGGTTCTCAGGGCGGAGAGCTCTGCGGCAACACTTCAACGAGTCCTCGATGCATCCGAGCTGCTTCCATTGCCAGAAGGGGTTCGTGGGGGATGTGGAGTTCTCCAAGGTGTGTGACGATAAAGACGACTATCTCGACATAGGCGACTGATCCACGTCGGTCTAGCATCTCGTCGAGGAACACGACATTCCGATAGCAGCTGAATTGGTCTCCACGGCGAGGTCATCGACTGAAGCTAATCGAGCTCCTAGCAGCCCGCCTCCTCCAGTTTATGAACAGCTGGAAACCGTCGAAGTACCTCAGATCGAGGTATGATATGTTATAACAATCTGGAGAGCGAGCACACTGATCGTGATGTCTGTAGACCGCGATTTCCGAGGAACGTGAAGAGGACATTGTCTCTGACAGTGACTACGAACACATTGGGTGAGTCTTGAAGCAGGATGTCGCCTATGCATGAACTGACCAACAGTCCTAATAGCCCTGACGAACGATCGCCCGATGCCAACGTGTGGGAGATCCGGGAGAGACCAAGCAGCGTGCTCAGCTACGTCACAGCGATGGGATCAATCCCGGACGTCCAGTCTGACAGTGCCTCTGTTTAACCAAACGATGCTCCCGCGGCTCAAGCAGCCTCGACTCCCAGTATTGACTCGATCCCGGACTCTGAGGCAATGAGGGCCATTGAAACAGAGCGTGAACGTCTCCATAGCGCCAGAGACGCATCGTCCGAGGTACGTGTGCTATGCTGAGTCAACCAATCATAAAGTCCACTAACAATTTCAAACGGATTCAAGACCAGCCTCGACGACGACGACGACGATGCTGCGGCCGTGTTTCGTGCTCGACGTGCAGACTACATCGCCATTCTTGAGCAGACAGGTGAGTCAACCGCGAAGGTTCCTCCCTCAGCACTCACCGTTCCTCCCTCTTATCCAGTCTTCGACCTTGAGAATGTTGTGCTTGGGCTGCAGTCCAAATGCGAGGAGGCCACGTCCCGGAATGAGGCCCTCCAGCGAGAGGCGGAGCAGAGGAACCAGGTCGCTGCACGGCTTGAGGCTGAGCTGCATGTGAACGCGCCGCGTTCGGATGCCTGCACCCTTGGTCCGTCCACTCGACCTTCAAGTCCTGCTGCCACCGTGGACGTCGAGTCTCTCCGTGCTGGCTCGTTGTCGCCGATTGTGTCGGTTACATCAGAGGCGCCATCTGTGAGCACAGGGGGAACTCAGAGCTCGACTCCGGGGCATCCGAGAAGGTCGGAAGAAGGTAAGAGGATTGTCGTTGCGACACTGCTGAGAGCTCCATGCTGATCCTCTTTCGCGTTACTCAGTCTCATTACTGAACATGACGGTGTCCTTTGCCGCTACCACAGTGCTACCAGACCCCGCGCGTTCCGAGACCGCCGCCAGCGCCCCACCCGAAGCCAGGTCCAGTGCAGACCTATCCTGGCACTGTCGAAGTTGCGGTAAGGATCCGTGCGAGGATCCGACAGCGACACAGTGCGGACATATCTTCTGCTACAAGTTCGTCGCGCCCGTGATCTTCCAGTAATTCTCGCTGACATTCACGAATGCGCAGGTGTATCGTGAAGGAGATCGCGGAGAATATGCAGTGTCCGGTTTGCAACAAACTGTTCCTCTTGCGACTTCAGGCATTTTGATCGGACGGATGCAGCGTGCAGGACTTGTATCTCGTGTATGTTCTTACTTGTACGTGTAGTGTGTTCCAAGCTACTTTCGCGTTGACTTTTGTGTACGGATTCCCTGATAGGGTCCCGCTACAAAGGACACAACGTAATGCCAGTGAGTGATGTTGCCCCTGAGTTCTCAGTGACCCTGCGCACGAATACCTTGTACGATTGCTTGTCCGTCACAGCAGCTCGTTCCTGACAATCGCTGATATGACATGTATGGTCCTCCTCGCGCGCCACAGACTCTAATAATGAGCGCTCCCTCCGCATTAGTAACTTCGGCCGTTGCCGATGCACTAGTCTACATCCCGATATGGTATAAGCTTATATTGTTGCCGAACTCCGAGTCATGCGCTACTTGCATACGTACTACGTAGCACATTGCACAAGTACTGCTGCACAAGCACTGACCTAGTCGCTTCATCTCGTAGAAAGGCCGGCAGTGAGTCGCGACATGGACACGGAGAAATACTACTTGCAACGCAAGCATTTGATCAACGAAGACAGGGCTCTTCGGGTCGATGCTGCCAGACTTGATAGCCTCAAACTCACGGCCACTGAAGCAAAAGCAGAAGCTGTCGTGCGCGCGATACGAATTGCGGAAGCCGCTTCAATATGGGATGGGGACGGGTCTATCTTGAACTACGATCCCTTGGACAGCACGCCAAACGTCTTTCCTGGCATGGCGTTTCTGACGGGTGAGCGCATTGAATGTCATACAGTTGTAACCAATTTCATCAGTCACACTCGCCTCTATATCAAGCTCGTGAGACCGTAACGAAGACAGAGCTGTTCAGAATTCTGAAAAAGGTGAGAAAGTAGAGTCCCAGAGACTCACAGCCAGCCGGATTGACACATCATGGCGCCTTCATGCAGATGCCCAAAGGTGGTCTGCTTCATGCGCACTTGGATGCGATGGTGAACATCGATGTGCTCATCAGGCTGGCTCTCGCCCAACCTGCCATGCACGTCCGAGTACCTACTCGCCTGACGGCAAGTAACATCAAGGCCACGTTGCCCCAATTCAAGGCTCTCCCGCCAGCTTCATCATCAGCGCTGTCCTCCTTGACGAGCCCGACTTACGGAGGCGGTGAATGGGTACCGCTGCATCTCGCTAGGGAGACATTTGATGAGAGTCTTGGCGGTCCTGGTGGATTTGACAGTTGGGTAAAGAGGACATTGACGATCAACCCGTCCGAGGCGTATGGCACCCATAATACGCCCACGAAGGTAATGGTAGTTGTCCAGTGTAACATGGGTTCCAATTCATCAATTCCGCACAGATCTGGGCAAAATTCACCAGCACGTTCCTCATTAGCCATGTGAGTGTTGCCTACATTCTCGCAGTCTATCGGGTTAACGCGTAAGTCGATGTGCAGCACCTCGTATACTATATTCCTATATGGGAGCAATACATCAGAGAGTTCATCCTCTCGTCAGTTGAGGACGGGATCTCGTATGTAGAGGCTCGTATAAACTTCCTTGCCAAGTGAGCAACACACCATCGGATAGGATTGACGCATTCCCCATTCACATTGTGATTGCTTCAGATACATGACGGGTCGGGATGGACTAGAAAACGTGCCGCATAGGGAGTGGCTCCTTAGTATTGACCGGGTGATCAACGAGGTCAAGGCCGAACTGGCAAAGCAAGGTCGGCAGGATGAATTCGTTGGCCTAAAGGTAATTCACATAGTGTATGGTCCTACCTCGGTGCCTCACGCCCAGTATTAGATCATCTATACGACAATCCGGTTCATCTCCCCGGAAGAGTTGGAATGGTACACAGAAGACGCACTGGCGCTGAAACAAGAGTTCCCACACTTGATCGCAGGTACGTGCTGTTGGAATCGCTTGATCGAACTCACCACTCACACGGGACTCACTATTGCAGGTTTCGATCTTGTCGGACACGAGGACACGCTAAAGCCCCTCATTGACTACATCGAACCTCTGACGAAGCTCATGCGCCGTCGGGAAGAGCTAGGTGTCGATTTGCCCTTCATCTTTCATGCCGGCGAGACCCTTGGAGACGGGAATGCACCAGACATGAATCTGTATGATGCAATCCTGCTTGGAACGAAGCGCATTGGACATGGGTAGGTCTCGTCTTCTCCTCATCTGAATGGAACAATCATGGAAATCCGCGATCTACTACAGGTATTCTCTTGTCAAGCACCCCAAACTCATGGAGATATGCCGCGAGAAAGGCATCGCCGTTGAAGTCTGTCCTATCTCGTATGTGGTTCGGTGACCCTTACTACTTGCCTTCCTAACCTGATGCATCTCGGCTGTTAGAAACGAGATTCTGGTACGAGCCTGCATTCGAGCATAGAAGGCCTCATCGTGAGATGTCCGTAACAGCGCCTGACATCGTCGATGCCAGCACATCCGCTCCCAATCCTGGTGAACCATGGAATTCACGTCTCGCTCTGTTCGGACGATCCCGCCGTATTCGGAAACATGGGCTTGACCTTCGACTTCTATCAAGTGCGCTGCGTCGACGTAGTATTTCGAATGCAGTTCGCTAATCGAAGCCACTTAGGTCCTCATGGCTAGCGAGGTGACTGGGCTGCTGACACTCGGCGAGTTTGCACGAGACAGTATTAAGGTAATATTTGCGGATCCCTCGTTGTCTGGAATCTAACTCGCCTCGTGCATTCCAGTATTCTACGTTGGAAGACGACGAGAAGGCACATGCGCTCGGTCTCTGGGAAAAGCGGTGGCTCGACTTCCTCGAGTGGGTCGGGCACACAGGTGGCAATTGAGTCGTGTTCGTCTTCAATCAGAGAACAGTACGACATCATTACATGTGTCGATCTGATGCGGATTCAACAGCCGCCCACTCTGCATTTGGTGGCCAGTGACCTAGCCTATTTTCCACTACTACTTTACACTGAAAGCGCGAGATTCAATCGCGATGACGAGAGCGGGGAGTACAAGGTGACTGACTGTACATGACAAGGTCTACTGGGTAAGGCAACTCTTACTGCCAACAAAAAATGAACAATATATGATAGAAGAGGTGCGTCACGACATAAGGAGGTCGGGGTGTTGATTAACTCTGTCAGGTTGGCACCGCAGCGTCTGAGTGTCGTACCACTTGCCGTCAGACTCCTCCATGAGGTCCTTGAATCGTCATTCCTGACTCTGCCAAGACTAAGTTGCTATCCGTGATAGTAGCGACCAAACTCATTCAAAAGCACGATGCTATGATATCGGTGCTATGCTTGCTCATCTTACGGTTGACCTCTAGCATGTCCGCCACTACCTGCGCCAGCGGTGACTCGGTACGTGCGGACTATTGGCTCGATTGTACGCTGTATATTGAGTTGCTTCCTTCGGCCTAGGACAAACGCAAGGTCGACTCACTGGCATTATCTGGTTATGTCTGCTCCATGTGTGGCTTCTACATGGACATATATCAGCATCAAGCTCATAGTCGTGTTATAGGTGTGCCGAACGTTTCAGCGATGCGCGTATCTTTGCGTCTGTGCGTTGCCCAAAAACCATTCTTCTGTTCACCGGTCTCAACCTGAGCGCCATAGCATGTCATCGCCGCGCACTCCAAGCAAACTTGCGTGTTCTGTAGTGAAGGATACTTCCAGCACGAGTACCAGCAACATTTGATGGATTCCACGCTGCACCCCAAGTGTTCTCAGTGTAGGGTTGGGTTTGAGGATCCTGAACGATTTGACCAGGTCAGTGGATATCTTTTTCGGTGAACTCTCAGATCATATCTCCGTCGCCAGCATCTCTGGTCGTGCCATCCGGAAGGAGGATGCAAGATATGCAAGGTACACTGTCGTACTGCCACCAACCTCCAGCAGCACTATGTCGACTCGCCTTTCCATCCCGTCTGCAACCATTGTGGCTCTGGCTTCGTTGACAGCCAGGTGTTATCTCAGGTCCGTGACCCTATTGCACTCACAGATCGAAGGATGAGGGTCTGAGACCAACATTGCAGCACGTAGATCACGTTCATCTCTACGATCAAGCGTCGTATTTCCAGCGAGGCAGGCCTGTCCTCCTCAAGGTCAGTGGTATGCGACCAGCCTGTATCAATCTAGCCTGACGTATCAATTTGCAGGACGACGGTCCTCGCAGTGGCCATATTGACACTCCTTCGGCAGTCGGCTCACTTTCACCTCAGACAACCCACTCGGCGCACTCCTGGGTGCTGGCTGAGTCGCGATCTGAGTCTATCAACACAAGCGTCTCACCGGCGTTGATGGTCCCGCCGAGTGGACGTGAACTCAACTCACCGGAACAGTTGTCCGCGTTTTCATCCTATTCCGTCAGATCTGCTCCGTCACCACCTCCGCGGGGCAGCACTTTGACCCCAATAACGGAGGCATCTTCAATCGCCTCGAGGCCGTGCACTCCATCTCCGTACGAGCTGTCTAACCACGCACCATGGCCCGCAGCTCCGACAGTCGCTCAATCAGGACAACCGTCGACGCCGGCAAGCTCTCTGCGATGTTCTGAATCCCCTTTTTCAATGTCACCTATTCTCAGGGCGACATCTCCGTCAGGGCCCCTTCAGTGCGGAGCACTTGCAGCAGCTCCTGCACTGCTTCCATCTAATTCGGGCGCATCGCCACTGTCTTCGTCTTCTATGAAGTCCGCAGATTCATTGACGAGCGGACCTCCGCCTCGGACCCCCGTACGTACATCTGTGTATTTTAAAGACGATGCTGAGCATCGCTCACAGACCAGTTGGATAATGCCTGCATCTATGCCGGTAGATGAACAAGAGAAGCCCGATATACATAGCAGGTCCGGGAGAACGACGTCGTCAATGTATTCCCAGCAAGAAGGTGTGCGTACCGTTAGGTAAGTGCTTCACATATCTGTCGTGTGATGTGTGTCGCTCATGAGTGATGTAAATTCTTGAGGTCTCCGAGAATAGGTACAGACACGGAGACGGTCAGTAGCATCTCGGAATCGCTTCCATCGTCAGCAAGCGTCCATTCTCTTGCTCCTTCGTACATTCTTGAAGGTGGCAACGAAGCGCCCCTCGCCGGCGTGGCACGACCCACTCTCGCACCCAGTGACATAACGCAGCGCGTATACGATCAACCCACCGAACCGCCCTCGCATGTCCGACACTCGGGTCCTTCGCAGCACCTCGAGTCGCCCTTCTCGAGCCGGCCCGGGGGACATGACCGAGAGGTTCCTACCTCCTCCTTGCCACCGATCGCTCCACAGAAACTAGGGTCACTGCATTGCAGATTATGCATGCAGGATCCTTGTGACAAGCCGACTGCGACGTTGTGCGGACACATCTTCTGTATGAAGTGCGTTCCTTGTACCAGATCGTGTCAGGCGTTCTCTGACGTTGACACACGTCCAGGTGCATCAGTCAAACAATCGTGCAAGATTCTCAATGCCCTGTTTGCAAGAGGGCGATATTGATTCCTCTCGACGTTTAGCCCGCCCTGCCGAGCGTGTGGGAAGTACCAGCCGGTACCAAACCAACAAGCTCGGATTGGCAACAGAACTTCTTGTCCTGTCCCTGTCACTCGGGCTCTGTTCAGATGTGTAAACACCGAAGCTAATTTGTATGATGTGTCTGTCTCGTCGCCGTTGAATCCGCTAGATGGTTCCGCAGGAGTCCCACAGTCTGCGATTGCCTCCCTTTGCCTCCCGGTTTGCCCCATCCCGCTATCTTATCTTATCTGATACTGCCCTGACAAAGATCGTTCAGGCCGAAGGGTTTCAATTTCAAGCGTCCGCTTTACTTAGCTTCGGTTGCCTGGTCATGCACATGAGTGTCGTTCTTGGTGAATGACGATCCGACGTCTGGATTGTCCCGGGCCAACCAAAGGGGGTGCGTTTCTGGTACAGCTGCTAACCTGTGATGCGGCTCTTTCCGAATATCACATTAATCGACGACGGGGCGCGCCGCAGTAGCCAGGTACGTGGTTTGGGTAAAGTGGAAACGAGGCGATGCTACTCGATGCGATAAACACATGTGAGTTGCAATGCATCACCTAGCTCGTGTAGTCCAATCCTTACCTCTGTGGGCAGATCTCTATTGACGAATGAAAATGTTCGACAAGCTTTATGCAGAGCTGCAGAACTATTTGACTTGCGCACTCTGCGAACTCTGTGCTGCGCCACTAACACCGATTTTGTAGCGTCACAATCTTCATTGGTCTGGCCATTTCGCAGGAGGAGACGTTCTCACTTGACAGCGCTCCTCCGGCTACAGAGCATACTGTAAGCAGGCAGCAATTCAAGCGGCATTCGGCATCTCGAATCCTGTATGCCCGAACTTCTGTGTATGAAACAGACGGAATTGGGATCCGGACTTCAGTATAGCGTTCAGGAAGGCGCGTGTGTTCTCTTCTGATACCATCGGCACTGACGTCTGTCGATTAGGCCTATGCGCACACCAGCAATCGACATTCCGTATGTCGCGCGGGCAGGCCAGACGCCGAGAGGCTCGCCACATGTTTTGTGATCATGAGATGTCGAGCGCTCGGCACCAGCGTGCATTCAGTTGAAGGTAGCATATCAATGGTAGCGACCGACCACCAGACGGGACGAAGGCAAGCGAGCTTATCCTCAATCACGGACATGCATTCACACGTCTGCGCTGGATCACTGTGCGTTCTCGATTCTCTGTCCGTCTCCTTTACGACGACATGTGGGCCAAGCCCATGTTTTCGAGCTCAGCCTCCCGGGGCTGATTGCACTGTACGGGAGGATGCTCCCAGACCCAACGTTCTGGGCTGACGGTTCACGGACGGCATGGACGTCGTGGGACACGGCGACATCGAGGTTCGCCGAAGGATGCAGTACACAGTGCAAATTCAAGTGCGAACTTTCATCCCGAAAGCGCATACTGGACGGCTTCAAAACTTATTGGTCCCGTTTTTTGAGACGCGTGATGGAGATAGCAGGGACGTTACGGCACTGGCACAGCGCTGTCTACTAGTGGCACTCAAACGTCAATGTGGGATGGACTGGGCACATCGTGGTATGTCCACTCACAGTCATTCAATTTGCCAGTCAATTTGGGGTCCCTAACGGTACTGTATACTGAGGTACGATCATCATGCATGCTTGTATTAAGTCTCGATTATCTGACACTCTGATGTTGACTAGCAATCTCCGGCGAGAATCGCGCAGACAAGGGTTGACGGTGACCTACCTTCGCGTGACGTTGGGTTCAATGACCGCCTGCTCAGCACGGTGCCCTCATGGCCGTTGTTGCCGTCACTCTCAGAAGGAGGGTTCATTCAACGTCGTTCGACTGCGCACGGCAGCGAACATGATGTATCTCAATGTCCCGACAGCATAGATGTTGCCTGGATCCCGAAGCTCCAATGAGAGCTGACTTTGGGACATACTAGGCTCAGTATTATTGAACCCTACCGCAGCGTATGCCGACATGACCGTGCTGCTGAACCTGATATTCTGGGGTGAGAGACACAACATAATACGTGACAAGGTCGACCGGCGCATTAATATTGGCTCGTACGAGCAGCTTGCCTGAGGGATATTCAGGGAATATAAATAGGTCGTCATCGAAGCGCGTCTTCCCACGGCACGACGCACGACACCTGCCTGTTCAGGCAGAGCACCTCCCGAATCCGTCCAGGTCGCTGCGCGATCGCAGCTGTCTTTCGTGCGTCATCCAATCTCGTTCGTCACGATCCCAATCTACTTTTCATGATGAGCTGGTACTTACATAAGCTGAGAGGTGAGTTTCATCCATGTACATCCCGCTTCATGGTGCGTACGACACGCTGTTACCGCCGCAGTTTTGTTATCGTACAGACATCAACAAGCCAGAGTGCAAGAGTAGTAGCTACAGGATCGACACAATAAGACGATAGACGCATCATGATAAGTTTTCGTACGAATGCGTTCTAAGTCGCAAGTCACAACGCAGTCTACTGGACAAGCTCTTCTGCGACTGGCGCGTCCACGCGTCCGCCTTCTTTCTCGGTGATCTGCGCCTGCTCCTGTGCGTCGAGCATCTCCTGGCGCTCCCTCCTCCTTACTCCAGCCTGGCTCTCCTTCCCAAGCAGCTTCGTGCGGCCCTCCTTGAACTTCAGGTACACAAGCACCACCATGACCGCCACCCAGTAGAACACGTAGCTCAGCACGCTTCCGAGCGTAGCCGAGTTCGTCCAGCCGAAGATGGCGGCGAAGATCGACCACCCGCTGTTGTCGAAGTTGTTCTCGGGGTTGCAGCAGTCCAGGTGCCAGACGGAGCCGCGCACGTCGTACGAGCCCGGCCCGTCGCCCCCCGTGTCGTCGACGTCGGCGCCGACGATGACCGCGAAGGCGTGCGCTTGGAAGTACCAGATGGCCTTGGAGAGCAGGCCGGCACCGATGAGCAGGATGAAGTTGGTCATCACAACCATGAAGATCGTAAGTGCTGCGCAGATGTTAGGATACAAAGACATTGACGAAGACTAGGAAGTGCGCACTTGTCCGAGAGGCAAAGGCATAGATCAGGTAACCAACGACGAAACCGCAGATCAAGCCAACGATGGCAGCGATCGGGATGGAGGTGGCTTGCTGCCCGAGAGAGACGCCGCCGACGAAGATAACCGCTTCCATACCTGGTGCGGTATGCCGAATCCATCGTCAGCTGTGCCTTCACCAGGTAGCACTGCTGACTTACCCTCTCGGAGGACGGTAATCAGCGGGAGGAAAAAGAGCACCCATTTTCCGGCCCTGGTGTTGCGGTCAACCTCTGCAAATACCCCATCAGCGTGCGTTCGAGGAAGGTGTGGAGAAGGTAAGGGAACACACCCTCTCCGGAGAAAGCGCGCTGAAGCTTGATGCGCCATTTCGCCTTGGCACGGTCCATTTTGAGCATCGTGACACCCATGACGAAGATGATAAGCGACGCAATGAGGGAGAAGATGCCTGTATGCACGCGATGAATGAGACGAGTCTTGGCAGATAACAGGTGAGCAGCGCGAACGCATACCTTCCCAAAGGTTCTCAGTGTTCGCCCACAGGTCCGCTGCCTGCGTGAACCATACGGCAATGAAAGCCGCACCGACACCGGCTGCAATGAGGAGACCAAGGCCAGCACCGAGGAAGATCTGGAAGCGCATCTTGCGCAGGAGACGCTTCGTGACGACGTCATCCTGCACGTCGCTGGTCAATTCGGGAGTCGAAGACGCGTCTGAGGACGCGGAGGGGTCCTTGTCCAGCGGCTTCTCTGTGGCGGGGGTCTCGGGGTCTCCCCTCTCTTGGGCGTCCTTCAGCCGTGCAAGGCGCTCTGGGTCCTCGTAGATGATCTGCTCGACGAGACCGAGGAGGACTGAGACGATGATGGCGGCCTCCAGGGTCTCGCGGAAGACGATGAAGAAGATCGTGACGGAGAAGAGGTCGCGGGCCATGGTTGCTACACTTCGACTTGCGGATGCTGGACGGGCAAGCGGAGGGTGCAGACGCGACGGGGACGCGCACAGACGAACCGGGTCACTGAAGGAGTGCGAGACATTTCGGCGGGCAATATATGTAGGAGCGAGATCGGAGGACGGACTGGTGCTGGTCTCTGATCATTCTTCCGTTATTATTAGGCGCTTGCCCTGATCAGGTCTGACACAGATTGGCTCGCGAGCTGTGGCGCCATGATCTTATCAGATAACGCGCCGCTACCCTCACAGTCTTCTTGGCCGGTTTTATATTTACCAGCCCGCGTCGCGAGTGCGTCGCCGTCGGGGCAATCGGGCGAAGCTCTGGAGTCCGTGGCCCTTCCAACGAAACGAAGATGGGGGGATTCATGGGCTGCGATGAAGCCGTGACGTCCAAGGTGTGTCGTCTCCGCCACCGTCTCCTCCTGATGCAATTGAGTTTGGGGATCCACCGTAGACGAGCCTATGTGCAGCCGTCAATTACCAGCGCATTCAAATGAAACTGTCCAAGAATCGTCTCGAGCGCAAGACCTCGCCGACGCTAGAACTCAGGGAGCCTCAGGGCAGTTCGGGTTCGATCCGACTACGCCGGAAGCGGTAGCGCGGACACGATGATCTGGATGGGGATTTGGGGGTGTGATTATCTGATAACCCCCTCCGGATGAAGCCTTGGCGCGGCACCAGGCTCACGGGCGCCAAGATGAGGGCTGCCGATGATGCCAGGGCATCGCGTCTTATCAGATAAAATTTATGTACGTCGTTAGCTCACTGCACCGTGACAGGAACTTGGTGCTCCCGCTCACGATCGCAGAAGCCGCCAGGTCAGATCATCCGAGCGGTTCGACGCGCGCACGTAAAAGGCGTGAGCCACTTCCGCGAAGTTGTCCCGGTCCCCCCATCCGTACGACCGTCCACGATGCGGTCCGTTGCGTGCACCCTCCTGGCCTTGCTCTCCGCCGCGTCCCCGGCCCTCGCGGGTGTCAAGGAACTCTGGTGGAACGTTACCTTTGTCGACGACGTCAACCCCGACGGCCTCTTCCCGAGAACGGCTGTCGGTGTCAACGGTACATGGCCGTGAGTTGCGTGGCTTGCGCTTTCAGGTAGTCGAAGGAAAGGCACTCACATTGTTCTGTCAGACCGCCGCCGATTGTGATCAATTCGACCGACTCGCTCGTGCTGCACGCGACCAATTCGCTCCATGAAGCGCTGACCATTCACCACCATGGCATGTTCTTCAACTCCACGTCCTGGATGGACGGCGCCATGGGTGTCTCCTCCTGGTAAGTACAATTCCCTACGTACTACGTACCTCACAATTCATTGCTGATATGCATGCCTTGCAGTGGTATCCCACCCGGCGAGAGCTTCACCTATGTCGTACCGATCAATTCCTCCGGTCAGTATGGTACCTTCTGGGCGCATGCGCACTCCAATGTACGTCCACCCGCGTCAATCACCATTCGCATGCACTCATGATCCTCGTAGGGACAATACGTCGACGGTCTGCGTACACCGCTCATTATTCAGCCGGAGAAGCAGACATACACGTATGATGAGGAGTACACTATCAGTCTCGGCGATTGGTACCACGACTCGCACGCGGTGTTGATCGAGCAGTTCATCAACATTGCGAACCCGGGTGGTGCTGAGCCCGTCCCTAGTGAGTGTATGTCCTTTCCGCGGTCAGAACGCCCCAAGCTGATGCCTCGTGTGCAGAGGCTCCGTTGATGTACTTCTCGCAAGGGGAGCAGTACCTCCCTCCAAAGGAAGGTTCGAGCCCGAGTGGGTCTACTTCGGGGACAGGCTTCAACGAGAACGCTACTATGACATTCGAGCCCGGCAAGACCTACCGCCTCCGGATCGCAAATACTGGTGCTTTCGGCGGCTTCTACTTCTGGATTGACGGCCACGATATGCAGATCATCGAGGCCGACGGTGTCGAGACTGAGCCATACTCGATCTCGCAGCTTAACATCGGTGTTGCCCAACGGTACTCCGTGCTCATCACCGCGAAGAACGACACGTCTGCGAACTATGCGATACATGCTGCCTTCGACACATCCATGTTCGACACCGTCCCGGATGACCTCAACCCGAGTATGTGACTTATCTTACAAGCGCACTCGTAGCTTACTGTGATCGCAGACGCGACTTCTTACATCATCTACGACACCTCTGCACCAACGACGGACCTCAGTGTCGACGATTTTCTGTCCACGCCCGACATTGACCTCGTTCCGCTCCAGGTGGTACGTAACACGGCATAGGCTCCCTAGGGCCGTCCCCTGACGTTGCGTTCCATTAGGTGGCCATGCAACCGGCGACGTCCACACTCGAGGTGACCTTCGAGTTCGACACGATGAACGACGGCACAAATCACGCTGTATTCTCGGGCGCGTTCAACGACGCATCCTTCGACCCCGTGACATACAACTCTCCGCTGACGCCGGCGGTCATGTCCGCGCTCACGCTCGGCGACAACGCGACCACCAGTGCTGCGTACGGCCCGCTCAGCTTTGTTCTTGGTCATCTAGAGGTTCTCGACATCGTTCTCCGCAACGCCGACACGGGCAAGCACCCCTTGTGAGGAATACTTTGTGGCTCTTGACAATCGCGGTGTCTGACTAGCGCTCGTAGCCACTTGCATGGACACCAAGTGCAAATCATCAACTTTGCTGAGGACTACACGAGCGACGACCCGTCACTCAATCCTCCAATTAACGAGAGCCAGCCAAACCCGATGCGCCGCGACACCATCCTCGCCCCACCCGGGGGAGCTTACACGTTCCGCGTCGTGATGAACAACCCTGGCGTCTGGTTTTTCCACTGTGCGTCCTCACTGTGCTGTCTCGCCGTCTATGGATCGCTGATGCGCGCTCCTCACAGGTCACATCGAGTGGCACCTGGAGAGCGGCCTGGCGATTCAGCTCATCGAGGCGCCGCTGCAGATGCAGGAGCGCAACACGATGCCGTCCGTGTTGAACGACCAGTGTGCGGCGCTCGGGCTGCCCTACACCGGGAACGCCGCCGGATTCGCGTCGACGACGGACCTGGACGGCCTGCCCGCGGGTCCGTGGGTGCAGAACAACGGCTGGCACGCGAAGGGCATCGGCGCGATGGCGGGCTGCGTGCTCTCGGCGGTGCTGGGCATGGCGACGGTGGTGTGGTACGCGCTCGGCGGGCACATCTCAGAGGCGGAGATCGAGTACGAGGAGCGCCTCAGGCTCGAGGCGAAGGCGGAGCGCGGGCGGTTCTTTGGCCTAGCGAAGAAGGTCAAGGGCCTGCGCGTGCGGCCGCGGTCGGATTGAGGCCGGTCGCAAAATGTAACTATTTAGCTGCTGTAGAGTAGTTTGGCGTTGTTCTACATGCCCTGTACGAGATGGATTCTGGTTCTTTCATCCTGTCCTCAGCGAGCAACACATCATAACCACGAATGGCTGTTCCTGTTCGTCGTCCCGCGATGGCCGCAAATATGTTGTCGAATTGATGAACAATGCTCGGTCACCTGAATGTCGGGAAGACAGATCTGCACAGTGCATGGCGCCGAGTCGAGAATGACTGGAATTTCAATATGAATCCAGCCGCTCAACGATCGCTAGGACCTGTATCTTGATTGTGACCGTCTGTCCAGGCACAAAGCGGGACGCTAGAACCTGCGGCATGTCATCCGCGGTGAGCGGGGAGAAGGCGGCGCTGCGGAGCCTTCGCAACGATGCGCAGCACCAGGCCACGAAAGACGAAGGCTACACTGACGCCGGGTAGAGTTGTTTCCGAGGTCCAGGTGCGCATGCAGAGCCCAGCCTGAGAGGCGACCTTGAAGACACAAGCCCTGAGATCTGGCGGCACGGCCGTGTGTGTTTCTCCGGCGGCAGGCCCGACGATGTAGAGACTTCGGTGAACAAGCAATCTAGAGACTGGCGTATCCTCTAGGTGCCCAGACTATAAGGCTTTCATGGGCCTTACGAGTTGCGAGTCTCGAAATTCGGTGTCGGTGCAGCTCTCAATAAGCAGCGATTGAACCGGGGCTAGTGGAAAAGACGTGCGAGGCAAGGGTGAATAGCATACACCCGAAAGACATTTTGTACGAACCTTGTAGATCCACTAAAGGTGTGCGTATAGAATTCAGCGAGGCGTGCGGCGCTGTATGGGCTAAGAAATATCTTGTGATCGAGATGACAAACTCGCTCGTTCAAGTTCCTACAATTGGTTATGGGGAAGCGGACGTACCTCAGTCAGACTAAGTGGATCATGCTATGCATGAACATCGTTCCGATTACACACGACCTGTCCCTGTCGGCCGAAGTACTGTCTGAGCCAAAAGGCCTATTGTCTTGGTAGCTGTGGTGTTTCCGGAATTCCTAAGGTACCACATATTATCGATCGATTGAAGCCTCCGTCATATGATGCCCGCGCCTCAGGCCTCAGGCCTCAGGAGTCAGAACGACAAGAGGCTTTTGAGAGGCTTTGTCCTCATACAGTCTCAGGTGCTCTGGCCGAGCGGTGAGACACAGACGAGGCCTACCTACCTGTCCTTACTGAACGCGCAGATCACCGCAGGCGAAACATAGGTCAGGGCGTGCGCCGCTCTAATCACCATCCACCCTGGTCCCTATGTACATCGCTCTATGGGTCTATACGTTCTTGCGGTCTTCATCTATCTCATCTCCTAGACCTGTCTCGCCGTTGCCCACGGAAAGTACGCGCGGCGAGCCCGCGACCATGCCTCCTTCGTCGACCTTCCAGCCCGCTGCGAGGACGCCCTCGAGAAAGGCGGAGAAGGACTCTCCACCAGTCTGAAGGCGATCTCCACGGCTGACATTGCCACGTCGAAGCTGCCCGGTGCCCGGCCGTCTAAGATCCGCCCGACCTCTTGCGCGTGCGCCCAGGCCTTGAGGTGGTCCGCAGGCTTGTGGCCTTCCTTGAGGCATACGTGCATACGGCAGGCGCCGCGGGCATGTGGGTCGAACCAGAGGATGTACTTCTCGTCCTGGAAGAATTCAAGGATCGCTTCGATCTGCGAGGCGTCAGGGGCGCGTAGACCGTTGTGGCCCGGCCTCAATGTGTCCGCAGCAAGAATGGCTGATGCGCTGGAGGTGATCGCCGAAAAGGAGGACCCGATGTCGCAATGGCCTAGTAACGGTGTCGAACGTGCGGACAGATCATGCAGGGCGGCCGGGTTGACGAAGATGTACTCGAGGGCAGACACAGCCCCCGGCGTGAGGATCCTCGGCTTGCCACTTTGATCAGCGATGTTCCCTGTGTATGATGAGCTGCACACCTATGTTTAAAGATGCTGGCATACGCACCAGAGGTCTTCGGCCGGTATGCTGTCCACATGATGTTGGCCCTCTGTCGATTGAGAGTGCGGAGAGTCACGACTCTGACCGCACGATAATTCGCCCAGATGTGAAGAAAGAGAAGCGTGAACAACACGATGTACGTGGACGCCGTGTCGTGGACGTAGTGCATTACGAGCGTGCCTCCCTGTCGCCAACCACAGTGAGTGATAGGAAGCAAGATAGCGGTGCGACCTACCAGCATTCCTAACAGCGCAAGGACGGTCTCCTTGCTTCCGTCCTTTGCGTTCAGATCACCCACGTCTCCAGAAATCCGACCGGACGTCGCGAAGTGCACGGTCAGCGCGGTCTTCGAGCCACCAGCGACGACTCCGCACATCGCACGAAACGCGCCGCTCATACAAAGCGATGCGATTCGCAGAGACGATCCTGTACCGTATCGCACGAATGGATAGGTGAATGTCAATTCCAGGAAGCCGAGATGTGGTGATATAGTGTCAAAGATGATGGATGCATCGTTGAATATGTCCGCCGCAAGACGGTAGGTCTTCGCTTCGGGGAAAAGGGAGGTACCAAGGTGATACCCGGCGACAATCGCTGCAAACGTTGAGTTGGCTTATGGACAGCGGGAGGATGATGAGATACAACTAACTTGTCAGACGGCTGAACACGTCTTGGATTACTGTGAGCAGGATGGCATGAGTTGCAGAAGCGTCTGCTTTGCCGACCCCATGTCCTGAATCAAGCTTTGTCAGACCTCACGGTATGGACAAGCACAAGAATGGTTGACCTTGTAGAACGGCACGGGATGCAATCAGACCGGCGAGAGAACTACAGAAGGCTTGTAAGGCGTTGTATATTGAATACCTGGCGTGGATTCAAATCAGTTGACGCGACTTTGGCCGAGGCGACATCGGTACCATACCATAGATAGTCTGAGAAGAGCATGTAGCACAGTAAGCTTTGTCCTTTATCATAGGAATTGAGACTGTTTACCAGGTGATACGGTAGCAGGATAGCCTGCAGGAAGGAAGACGGTACTGAGGACATGTCTCCAGCTTCTTCGCCTAAGTCGTACGCCAACGGTTTCGGAAGACGATGACTATCTCAGGCTGAACTTGAGCATGGCAATTGATACAGAATGACACAACATACTTCTTTCTTTGCCAGGGAGCCGGCAATAGTGTATGAAGCCACCAAGCGACCGGAGTCATCACGCTCGCCCACAGTCAACTGTGGCATGAATAGAGGGTCTCTGGTTCAAAGGTGCGCAAGCCTTCGGGTTATGTTTGTTATGTTGAGACCTGATGCGGCAATACAGCTGTGGTAGAGTCAACGTTAGTATGGCGTGAGTTCTGTGGCCAGTGTCACTGTCAAGGCGCGTCACGGTCGTCGCGTGAACTACAACTGTTGCCGCAATTTCCATATGTAGACATCTTCGATAGACGCCCATCAGACGCAGCCACTGCAACCTTCAGAATACATGTTGGGTCCTGTTGGGTCCAGGACTAGGTAAGTACGCCGGCTTCCTGTCAGTAACTCTCAGTTATCTGCACCACGCATTGACAAATTTCCAGAGGTTTCTTAATGGCAAAAGAAGGCCATGCCGTACGATCCAAATACTGCCAGCATGCAGTTGAAGTTCTTCGACCTCTCAGATCTCAGCCATTAATGCGGCGTTACGACGCTACTTGGAACCGATCTGCTCATTTACAAGCCCGCTTAGTGGATCATCGGATTCAAATTTCATTGGATCGAGACGGGAGGAGCTGGCCGTGATAGTGATTGGAAGTAAGTAATAACACTCATGCGTACAAGACGGTGCCTACGATCGAACTAAATAATGTAATGCGTGGTAACCAGAAAACAATGAACAGAACAACCCCTACGTCGACTCAACGTACAACCTCAGCAAGAACATCTTCTTGCAAACAGGGCACGTCATGCCTGTCGAGAGCTCCTTAACAATACACCTGCCAGAGCCTGATGAGCCAACGACACGATCACCCGCAACAGCGAGAACGTACTGATGACAAAATATGTGCCCACACATAGTCGCCGTAGGCTCGTCGCACGGGTCCTTCAAGCATGACCTGCAGTGCCAAGAAACAGCGGTCGGAATCGCAGGCTTCACCGGGGACGCGACTTGGGTTGGAGTCACAGTTGTGGCCGGGGAAGTTACAGACGCCTCCTGTGACACTGCAATACATGTGTTAGACGGCTCGTGTCACTGTTTCGGTGCTTGTGCTGAGATCCTACCTTCCGAAGGGGCCTTGGACGACGGAGCAGTGGTGTCACGCCGTCGACCGACGCCGGAGGCAATGGAGGGTGACCGCGACCTCATGTCTCTCACAACCTGCTGCACGATCCTGGGCGATACCGATGTGACTTCGTCAGCGTCGACTCGGCTCTCGGCGGCGGATGCATACTGGGGCGGAGCTTGCTTGATAGACGCATGTTCGCTGACGTACGACAACGCTGACGGCGCGCGTTCGAGTTGAGGGCGGCCAAGTGGTACCTGAATGGTGCGTATCTGCGGCGTTTCCATCGGAGTGATCGTATTCGCTGAGCTTGACACTGGCGTATACTGGTCGGCCAAGCTCGAAGCGTCCGTCAGCTCGAGGACCGCCGATGGTATGGTCGCTGCGCTCTGTGGAGGATCATGCGTCTCGCCGGCCTCGCTGCGCCTCGTAAATATAAGTGTGGGTGTTTAGCAACTGCTGCGTACCTCATGTAGTCGTAGTGGGTGTGAACGGGTGACTGAGGCGTGTCGATTGGATAGTCAGACCACGGCGCTGAGGCGCCATCGCCAGCTGGAGAGAAGAATCTATTGAGTACTGGCCATGACGCAGTCCATAGTGCGCGTACCCATAAACGCGGACGGAAGGCTGGGCTCTGAGGCGCGCCTAAAGGAGTATGTGATGAAGTGGCATCGCTTTGGGTCTGGTTGCTGTTATTAGCTGAATTTAGGGTAAAGTAATCTTTGTCACAAACCTTCAGCGAGAGCGCGCTACTCCGCGCCGAGGAAACCGAACCCGGCGTCGGACAGACGAGCGGGGTCGCTGGGAGCGACCGTGTCTCGAGGAAATCTTGCGGGGGTGTCTTGTGTCGTTCCTTCACAGCGTAACATAGAATGGCGACGGTGACGTGAGCGATGGCGCAATTTGGGTACATCTCCACTCACCACTTCGACGTAGGATTCTTCACTGGACACCGGAGAAGCGACCTGCGCGGGCGCCGGGTGGACATCTGCCATGTGCTGGTCATACGAGACAAGGTTCATTAGAAACATATAGAAACATCCTGCCACGTACTTACACGCTGGAAGGTCGTGTCGTCTGGGAACCCAATATTGCACGAACTGCAGTTCGGGTGGTTAGGAGAGTCCCTATAGTGGTCCTTCATGTGCTCAGTGGCCAAGAACGACTTCTTGCATGGTATACATTGGATAGCAGGCGCTTGCTCAGGGGTGTGCACAGCCGCATTGTGCTGCTCGCAGCTCAGCAGAGTCATGCATGGTAGCGATGCGATTAGCTCACCAACTGCAGGCCCGAGGCGGTTGCGAATCCTTTCTGGCACGCATCGCACTTTGGATGCTGATCAGAATAATCATAATGCGCTTGAAGGTCCCAAGTGGCCTTCTTGCAGAGCACGCATTCGGCGGCTTGAACTGCTTTCTGCTTCTGTACGAAGGTCGATGTCGACGCTTCCGGCGCAGAGCCGGATGCAGTTGCCTGAGGCGGTGTGGCCTTGACTGACTGAGTAGCGACGGGTGTCACTACTCGAGTTGGAGCCGGAGCCGGAGCCTGAACTGCTGTCTTTGTACCTGCCGCATTCTTTTTTAGCAGATGAGCCGAAGCTATGTGCTAGAGCGAGTACGTCAGGTTATTACATCGTCTAGGAATGAAGGCAACGCACTTGACTCAATGCAGTCAGGTCAATGAATGACTGTCCGCACCGACTGCAAGACGGATGCCTTGTCGACTCCTGATAGTGAGCACTCAATAGAGGGGCAGAAGCGAATTTCAAGTTGCAGAGGACACATCTATGTACGCCAGGAGCAGAGTAAGAATGTCCTTTGTCCTTGCAGTGTTGTTGAAGTGCATTTTCTTTCGCGAATGCGCGACCGCACGATGAACAGTTTGGCATAGCGCAGAGCTGTTCAGTGGACAACAAAGGGAAGAGGAGAGCCTGTTACCTGCGCACGTCTGTCGCGCGCTATAACCTAGAATGCCCCGTGTATACCTTGCGGAAAGCGCGATGAAGGGCGATCCCAAAGCTCTCGGTTCAAGGTGGATTCACAGGCAGGTACGGACGAGTCGCGGCCTCGAGGCTCAGATGCCCCTCGGGGCGTTTGAATACAGATCATGGAGATAGCGCAACGGAGCTTACGACGCGCATCAATCTGACACCTTCGAGCTTGTTACATTCAGGGGACGTGAACTTCAAACTGGCACGATACTCCGAGAGAAGCACACCGGCGCGTGGAGAAGAGCGAGTCCATCCTTGCCTTGTGACGATGGTATGGGAGCGGAACCTACCAACGACTAACTCACCTGGTAGAGTTGCCCTGGATTGCGGCATGACAGAGCGTTCATTTAATGTGACGATGGATGGGGTGTCCTAAGAACGCTTGCACTGCACTTCCCTGGCACCGCGTTTCGATCGCGCGGCTTCAACGCGACGATTAGCCGCGGAGAGCTCGACGCATTGAGATCACACCTGTTTCCATAAGTGGATTGGCAAGGCGTACCATAGATTGCTGTCCAGGAGTTGCCTCATCATCGCGAATGTCGCAGTTTACTGCTCCGACTTGCAAGCATGCCTTTTAGCCAGGAATGAACATTAGAGTCCTCGCTTTCGAGCTTGCATCGCTTCGAGCAGGTGAGTCCGTTAACGCTTTGCAGGTAACGCATGGGGCGGCAAGGTAGTCTGCAGGTGTAGATGGCGGCCTACCTGTGTGAACCTGTGAACGACCATCAAGCTAAGGCTCGCGTCACGGTCGCGGGCCTCGCGGCAGCAGCAGTGCACCACACGATCACATGCTCATATACCTCTTTCGGAGACACGCATCGGGTCACCGCGGCAAGCGCATCCGTGTAAGTACAAGTTGTCGAAAATGGGATACGTGCGTACATGGTGTAACAAAGAGCTCGACGAGGAGGAGGAGGAGGAGGAGGAGGAGGAGGAGGGAGCCTGTCGACTGGACGCGGACTTAGCGGATGGCTGAACCCTCCCGCGAGCGACTTTATATTGCCGAGTCCCGAGCTGCTGAAATGCTTTATGCTATCACGTGTCCGTGTATTTCGCGCCGCGTCCGAAATTCTGAGTCGCGTCTGATCCCGTTCACCCAGCGAACGCCGAACTCGTTCATCCCAGGTTGCTCTTCCTCGCTCAGTGCTCAGTAGCGGAGGCCGGCTGGTAAGTCTTATTTGGCTGTACTTCTCTACCTGTTATGCTCAGCGACAGAGCTCTGGATGCCCACCGACGTGTGCCTCTCTTCGGTGGTGGTGGATGGTCGCACAGCCGGCCATCACTACTCTCAAAGCGGCTCCCACCGCTAAGCACCGTACCTGATTAGCTTGTCATATGGGCTGCCGGCCATACCATACATGTTCGACGCCATCGTCCGTGTGCGCGGCATCTCATAAACCTCGCCCACACGCCGAGCGTCCGGATTCCCCGGCCTGCCTGGACGCTCTCACATTCGTTCACTCAACATTGCTGCGACAGGTCTGTTCGGTCCCTCTTGGGTCTTTCTCTGATTTGGGGCTTAAGCCGGGGTCAACCTCCAGCTCCCCGAGTGCACAGACGTGACCTTCGCTCTCTATTAGGACGTCTCGTCAGTTCCCAATAACCCCGACCGACCTCTCTGCGTGGCTTATCTTGCTCGTCATGGTTCACCTGTCTGGCTCTCTACTGGGTTGTGCGCTCCTCTTGGTCAGTGATAATGCGCTTCAAGCACTGGGTGTGGTTCTCAGCCGTGCAGAGATTCGGTCACAACTCGCTCTATTGAATACCACGGTTGACGGACGTTTGCATGAAGCCGTTCCTTGGGAGCTTCCATGTTTCTCCGAGTACAATGGCGAGTCGGCGATACCAGACGAAGCAGCATGTGCAGCTATCCAGGCCAACTACACGTCTCCCTTTGAGCGCGTGCAGCATTTCGGCACATACATGATGGTACGTGCGGGTTCTACACTGAGATGTACTGCGAGATGAACCAGGCGTCCTCCGGTCTTAGCCACAATGGGGTACATGCCAAGTGACGAGGCCTACTGGGGAATGCCTGCTCAACGTCACCAACCCTGAGGATTCCGCTGCTTATACGGGCGTCAACTGTAGTAATGGTGACATCCCTTCTTACTATGTACGTCTGTCGCGTTGTTGTCGGCTCATGTATTCTTAAGGCCTCTTACATCCACCCAGGTCGACGTGCGGTACCCTGCGGATGTTCAGGCTGTGATTGCGTTTTCGAACGCGACTGGTGTACGGCTGTCCGTGAAGAACAAGGGACATGACTACAAAGGCAGATCAAGCGGCAAGAACACTTTGTCGCTTTGGGTGAGTCCCAACCTTCCATTCTCTGAATCATCTCCGACCATCTCCCCAGGTTACGAACCTCAACACGGTACGACGCCGTGTCTGCGGGCTCCTTCCCACCACTCATTGGCGCGCCAGATAACCCATGATACCTCTTTCACGCCTGAGGGATGCACAACCAGCTATGATGCTCTGACAATCGGGGTAGGATTTCTCGACCTCTCCCAGTACCACCCTTACACCTACCTCGACAGCCCGGGGCAATTACGGAGGACATTCTCGAGTACGTGGACAGCATCAATCGGACCTTCGTTGGTGGGTACCATCAAACCGTCGGTGCCGGAGGGGGCTACTTCCTGGTAAGCCTCAATCGCTTCTCTGCCCAGACAGCACCTAACGCGCATCGTGATGTAGGGCGGCGGTCATAGTGTATTGTCCCCGGTCTACGGTTTGGCTGTTGATCGAGTGGTAAGGTTCCGCCTTTCTATCAGAGGTGAACCCGTGCTCAGTCATCACAGGTTCAAGCGAAGGTTGTCACCCCCGAGGGACTCTATCTCGTCGCCAACGAGTGTCAGAACTCGGACCTCTTCTTCGCGCTCCGTGGAGGAGGAGGAAGTGCCTTTGGTGTGGTCATCGAGTCCACGCACCGGCTAGAGCCGCAGCTGACGTTGCAAGTGTAAGTAGCCGTTGCTGCTGTGGAGAACCTCAGCTTAAGATGTCACTCTAGCGCGTCGATTAGCTTCGTTGGTCACTCGAACTCGAGAAACCTCGCGCAGTGGTACAGCCTCCTGGTGAACGAGACATACAAGTGGGGCACCGAAGGCTGGGGCGGTCATATCACGGTCCGTCGCTCTCCGCTTGCACTTCTCAGGGCTGTTGACACTGGGTGGTATGGCAAAGGGTCCTTCCTTGATCTACGTGACGCCGCTGCTCAGTAACGCAGAAGCTCACGCCTCCATGCAAGCCACCGCCGAGTTCGCCCTTGCCCAGGGTGGCACGGCGGTCGTCGAGGAGGTGCCATCCTACCTCGCGTTTTTCAGCAAATATGTCCCAACTGCTGAAGCTGTACGTCGTTTCCTATGGCTGTAGACTACCATGTTCACTGATGGAGCTCACAATCAGGGTGTTGGTACGGAGATAACACTGGGCACGCGACTGCTTTCTACCTCGCTCTTCGCTACCGAGGAAGGGCGTGCTACGCTATCGAAGACGATCGCGAACGTGCTTTCGTTCGCGAGTCCGTACATCGTCGCGGGAACGCCATTCCTGTTCAACCACACGGTAGGGTCGACAAGTGTCACGCCGGCGTGGTACGACTCTCTTTGGCACGTACGTCTCATGATCCGGCTTTCGAGTGCTTTCGGGTCCACTTACATGGAGACTAGCTTTCTGTGCACGGCAACTGGGTGTGGAACAGCACTGCAGAGGACATCGCGGATCAATACGAGGCTGTGACGCAGCACACACAGACGTTCAGAGACATCACACCGGGCAGTGGGGCATACTTCGTATGTCTACTCTTCGCAGCTCCGAGGACTTCCATTGATAGAATACGTGCAGAACGAAGGAGATGTATACGAGCCTGAGCATACTGAAGCATACTGGGGCTCGAACTACGCGAAGCTGCTCTCCATCAAGCAGAAATAGTCAGTAACGTATCTGTGGAGCCCCCGAGCCGTTGCTGACGTCCAAGACAGTGATTCTCATGGTGTTCTGGATTGTTGGCAGTGCGGTGCGTATCTCCATTCGTTCAGACTCGTGTTTCGACTGAGAGGCGCGGCAGTTGGCTGGAAAGGCCCCTCGGACCCACTCTACGAATGCTATATCCCACTATCCCAATCATCATAATGCTCATGCATCCGCTCGGCTGGGTCTCACTGGGAAGCGGGAAGTGTACTGCAGCTGTTGAATCAAGGGGACTGTACTTGCAGGTATCGTGACAGCCGAGGCAAGTACTGTGGCACAGTTCGGTGGTCCATTTCCACATTGTAGTAGCTTACAGGACAGCTGAAGCCATATACCACCTTTAGGTTTGACACAAACCCCGCACATGAACGTAACCGCGTGGAGGGTCTTGTATCGAGACTAGTACTCATACCACCTTCTGGGTCGCTACCCCTTGTGGGCCAGCTGTCGTATGCAGGCAGTTTCACACCCGGATCAGGGACTTTCTCTGCAAGAACGCTCAGAACAGGACAGAGACACAATCTGACACCACCAGTACCATCCCAGTACCATCCGTGTCATCCTGCTAGAATGGATTGTGCCCGCTTTGGGTCAATATCATCTTGACCGGCGTAGTATAAGGCCGTATGTCTCAACTTGGCGTTGCCCAACCTCCCGGCTAGGGCGCCTTTAGTAGGCTACGAGCCTCGAACCTTGCTGGTGCCTTTGTTATGGTGTCTTTGAGCGACTGTCCTGCGCATGCTGACCTTCCAGGGAACCTATCGCACTTTGCTGGTCTGCTAATTCCCCCTCAACGTGCAAGGTTTCGTATGCTTCTGCCGACCGGATGTTCAAGGCGGTATCTGCCTGGGTGTGTAACTCTCTTCTAGGGCTCGCAGACTTATGTATCTGCGTCAGACGAGCACATGTCTATGCGCCCGAGACTTGCCCAGGCTCGTCGCTCTTGAGCGCCAGGTGGTCCGTATAATAGCCCTTGCAGTCATCCTGGTCCTTTGCACCACGCCCATACACCTTACCCACCAGCTCTGCGCATTACAAGTCATTAACGCGAGGCCATGAACGGACACGCGTACCACACGGCACCCCGAGTCGCGATTGTTACCGGTGCCTCGAAGGGCATCGGGCATGACATCGCGCTGCGGCTCGCCGACGACGGTCTGGACGTCACGATCAACTCGCGCAACGCCGCTGAGCTCGAGATGGTTGCGAACGAGATTCGGGCGAAAGGCCGCAAGGTTGTAGCATTCGTGGGCGACGTCTCGGATGAAGAAGTCGTCAAAGGTATGGTCGACAAGACTGTGGAGGTCCTCGGGAGACTCGACGTCGTGAGTTTCGTACTACGAACGACACTGCCGTTGGTTGTATGTCTTGACTCGGAGACCAGATGGTCGCGAATGCAGGCATATTTGTTTCGTCTCCGGTCATCGACAGTAAGTGATACAGGCGTATACACTGAAGCGACGGACTAATCAACAGTTCACAGTGGACATCAAGGACTGGAACCGCTGCATGAATTGCAACCTAGCTAGCACGATGCTCTGCTACAAGTATGCTGCTCGTCAGATGATCGACCAAGGCGAAGGGGGGAGAATCATCGGTATTTGCGCTTCCCTATGTTCGCGTTTACAGGTTCCCAATTCACCGGTTTCTCAGGGGCGTCATCCATTCTCGGGAAGAAAGGTACGAGACGGCGCGTTCAATCAAGCGGCTTAACCTTCTAAAGTCAAACTCTGATAGGTGCCCCCGATAGCTCCGCGTACGTTGCGACGAAGTTCGCGATTCGAGGCCTTACGCAGTGCCTGGGTGAGCATCTGCCGGTCGGTCATGCTGGTACATGACACTGAGCCTTACATACGCAGCCATCGAGCTTGCTCCCCACAACATCACGGTGAACACGTATGCGCCCGGAGTCATCTTGACGCCAATGAGTAAGGAATGCTAGGTCCCGACCTGCTTGCCCCTCGCTGACGTTCAGGCTGCCAATAGCTGACATTGGTGCTCTTGATCAGCGATATGGTGGAGGTCACGGAGCGTACATCAAGCACGTGGGTGCTTTCTATTATATTGCGATGGCCTCATATTGACATTACTCTGCCTGGCTCCTTCAAGATTTGTGGCATTGCTCCAGGTGGCCCTCACTCGTCGTCCGGTGATACCGTCGCCAGTATGGTGTCATATCTGGCGAAGCCTGAGGCCTACTTCATCACAGGTGTGTAGCTTCTTTTGCGTAGGGCCATCGTTGTAATTGACACATGAATACTACTAGGGCAATCCATGGTCATGGACGGAGGCGTCGTCTTTAGTTGAAGCCATAGTTTGAAGACGTACAAGCATAGTATACACGTCTAGTTACTCGCACACACTTCATGTATCCAACACGCTCTCCAGCTCTGTCAAGTCATAGACAGGCAAGCCGCAAGTGAAGTTCTTACACACCCGAACGCTAGGCTTCATATCCCCACTAGCAGCCTTCTTGTCTGCGTCATCCACAAGGCTACGCAGAGTGCCATTGGCCTTCGCCAGTTCCCTGGGCGGCGCCGTGGGATCGAAATGAATCAGGACGCGGTGCGGCATGTATCGCTTGCGTATCGTGTTCAGCACAGACGACTCAGGCGACGCAGTGGGCGACTCCGTCACGATCATCTGCACGTATCCGCGTTCATGCACCATCGCATTGGCGAGCATCGCTCCGAGAGCGAACGGCGCATGCTCCAGAAGCTGCGCGTTGGACTGCAGCACGCTCGACGCCTTCTTCGCGAACTCCGTGTGGTAGTCCTCTGCAATGTGCGTGAGGCGATAGAGATTCGACAGCGTGACGGACGCAGCGCTCGGCTCTGCACCGTCCTGGGCATCCTTCATACGGATGAGGATGTGCGGGTCGGGTGCGGAGGTGTAGTATCCACCGCCGTCCTTGTCGAAGAACAGCTCGTCTTGCTTCTCCTGGAGACGGATCGCCCAGAGCGCGTACCCCTCATTTCCGCTTGCTTCGTAGAGGTCCAGCAGACCTGCAGGGGCCCCCACGTCAACCAGTGTACCAAGGTCGGGCGGACGCATGCCGTACCTTGTGTTAAGAACGCGTAATCCTCTGTCACGCCTCGCGGGCCCTTGCCCTCACGCCAGCTTCGGCAGAGCTCCGCAGTGTCCGGATTATACATCTTCTCTCTGACGAACCTGGCTGCACCTTCCGCCATGCGCATCGCCTGTCTCCCTTCTTCGCCTGGGAGAACCTCAGCAGCGAGTGCGAGCCCGGAGATCTACACAACATTACTGATCGTCAGTTGGTGCAGCTTTCACAGCGTTACCAGCAGACACCGACCATGAGGCCGTTCCAGCCCGCGACAACCTTGTCGTCCAGATGCGGGCGAGGACGGTTCTTCTCGCGCCACTCTTTCAGCGCGGACAAACTGCTGTTCAGCACGCGTTCAACCCCAGCAACCTCGATACCGAACATGCGCGCCGTCTCCTCATGGGAATGCGCGAGGTACAAGACGTTCTGCACACACACGGCACTAAGCGACATAGAAGAAGCCAACCGCACGAGGACGCGCACCTGTCCCTTCAGCTCGCCCTGGATGTCATGCGTCGGATCACAGTTGCCGGTATCCTCCACGCCGTACGCCCACTTGAACACGTCCGCCGCCTTCATCACGCCCTGTCCCGCCTGTCCCGCCTTGCTGAGTATCTCGTCGATCTCCGCTGCGGTCCACGTGTAGAACGCGCCCTCGCGCTTCTTCGTGCTCTCGAAGGTCGGGAGCGAGTCTGCGTCCTCCGCGCTGAAGAACCCGCCGTCAGGGCTCGTCAGCACGGGGAGGTACGCAAGGATCGAGCGTGCGAGTGCGATGAGCGGCGCGCGCTGCGTGTCGGTCTCCGAGAGCAGGAGGTACAGCTCGAGCGTAGATCGGAGTAGCTGCGCCTGGTCGTACCTAGCCTCGGCCAGTTAGCAAACCTTGCAGGAAGGCGGAGAGGTGCACCCACAGCATCTTCTCAAAGTGTGGGACATGCCACCGCTCGTCGACCGAGTACCGCGCCACCCCGCCGCCGACGTGGTCGTGCACGCCGCCCGCATATATCCTCCCCATCGTAAAAGCCGCCATCTCAGCCGCCCGCGAAGCCCCGCTCTGCGCGCCCGCCGTCTTCGCCGGGCGGCCGGTCTCGCCCTCTAAGTCTCCGGCTTCGTGCGGCTCCGCGTCCAGGTAGCTCAGAACTTCATCGGCGCTCGGCGGCTCGCTGCTGGTGCTTGACGCGGCCTTGGTGGCGGAGGGACGCCGCTCGGCAGCGGCGAAGCGCGCGAGGAATCCGGTCGTGGTCGCGACTTGCGGGAATTTGGGCGCGCGCCCGAACCCGCCGTGCGTGCTGTCGAATTGACGGGCGAGACGTGAGAAGGTCTGCTGTGCGAGGGACGGGATCGGCAGGTTCGCGCTGCCAGAGGGCGATGCGGGTGTCTGGTGAGGAGTGTGAGTGCGTTTAGGGAGGAGGAGAGGGGAAGGCGTACCAAGGTGGCCTCGCGCAGCTGCTCGATCACTTGTTGGCCAGTGGAACGGCAGCGCTGAGGATCGTCCTCCCACCTGTGCATATATTTGTATCAGGTCTCCGATTCGTCGCAGTGATACTCACACATCAGCGAGCTTCATCAGTACTTGTCTGAAGTTCCCGGGTGGAAAGTATGTCCCCGCGAAGAACGGATGCAGTTCCGGGGTAAGCCCTGCCCAACCAACATCAGCCCTCCTCTAGTTCCGCAACAAATCCAAAGACGCACAGACGGACATCGGCCAACCGCCGCCGCCCGTAGTCGCTTGCAGGAACGTCATGTACAGCCGGTCGACGTCAGGCCGCTCCTCGCGATCGACCTTGATGTTCACGTAGTGTTCATTCATGAGCTTCGCCGTCACCTCGTCCTCGAAGGACTCGTGTGCGAGGACGTGGCACCCTGTGTGTCTGCGGTGAGCGATGGGGGTGCGATTGACACTGGAACATGAGTCGGGCTAAGATGCACTCGCAATTGTGACGGAGGCGACCACTTTGCGGCGAGGAAATGTGCATGGCTTCCGATGCAAGCACTTCCTTGTGAAAGTAAATTACAGATAAGTCCACATCGTCGAGCCCGGCCTTACAAACGCATAGGCGGAGTCGAGCGGTTTGATATGGGCTCGCGCCGGACACAGCAGGCTTTGACAACCAGGCTGAGCCAGGCAGCCACCTAGGCTACGGTGGCCAGCTGAGTGCACAATAGACGGACATTGACAGCGGTAGGCCCCGTGTCCGGGTGCACAATGCGAACGATGTCGCATGGTGTCCCCGCATATCAGCAGTGTCAAGGCCAATCGACCGTGACAAGTGACTAAGGTGGACCGGCAGAGGATGCGGAGCACCTGAAGTCGGGACCCGACATCTTCCGCCTGTGTACATTTCTCCGGGTAGGGCCCATCGCTTTGGAAAGAACTGGAATACCAACGTCCGCTCCTATATGCGCTTTTCGCGGGCACACAATGTGGACTTAGCTGTATCGCGCGCCGCAATGTGGTCACAGTAGCCACATTTCGGCAGTGTTCTCATGTGCGATCCATCCATGTCTCCAGTGTGATAGCGGAACGACCAACAGTGACAGGCTGAGTATCCGACCTGCAGTTATGGAGGTCAATAGGAGGTAACCATGAGCGAGCGAGCAGATTGAGTAGAACACGACGCATGCAGACCCCGAGAGGCACATACGATGGCTCCTGGACACTCGCCACCCACGAACACGGAAGTCTACTCACCGACAAGAAGATAGGTTTGTCCTCCCGCTTCGCCTTCTCGAACGCTTCCGGCCCCCACTCATACCAGCCACCTGCGCGCATACACTTCATTCACCTCACAAATCACTCTGCGAGGTGAAGCCACATACCGGGTTCTCTGCATGTTGCAGCAAGTAGGGACTCTTCGCGTTCATCAAGCGATTCTGGTGCTTTGGCTTGTCTGTCGCATTCTTGTCGCGCGCTGCGCTAGGGGCGTCGGAAGACATATCGCGTCTCTGCTCGTTCCTCAGAGGGAATGGAAGGCTAGGCGTAGACCATGCTGTGTGGGTGGGATGTACGCTTTGAGTTGTTGCAAGTCGGGCGATTCGGGTCGACGAGCCAACTTGAAGTCGCACACTGGCAGATGAATGGCCAGGGATTTTTGTTATGTTCGCAGAGGGAATACGGACGGTGGACTGATATTGGCGTAGGACAAGATGCATCGTCTGAGTAAGAGACGACTGGCAGGCTAAATATTGCCATAGTAGTGCAAAATGTTATCCACGCACGATTGCGGCACATATCATCGTGAGCGGTAGCGTGACGTAATGGCCGGCCGCGAAATCAACCCCAGCCCTAGGGTTTGCACCAGGTGCCGCATTCGGTGCTGTACTTGTTCGCCAATGCGGCGGATGCGTAATACCAATTTTGCACTCTGCTGCCATGGCGACGAAGCTCCCTCTCTGGATACCCCAAGGCACTCCTATTGACTGCAGCATCCTTCCACCGGACGCAGCGCTTTCTGGGGACCCTACATCCGTCCGGATTCTCTCCGATTGTTCCGCCGCAACGAGTTAGGGGTCCTGCAAGCTCAACGAAGCTAGGGCGGAATATGTCAGCATGGTGCATCAAGTCAACTGGCCGCTGTCTTGAATTGGATGGTGCATTTATCGCTGGTACGTCCGTTGGAGGTTCGTGTACTTGTCCTGCGGCTGACGCATTGGCGGCAAGGGTGGCATAAGGCGATGGCAAGGCGCATCGCTCAAATCGGCTGAGCATTGACCGTCAGCGTGCTGATGTGACACTGCTGCCTGTGTCTCAGTCGCGATTATTGCCTTACGAGAAGTTACTGTACATTGTCTGTTGGTACATCAATCTCTGTACACAAGTCAAGTTGCGAATCGAATATCGTCAAGATCATGTTGTTCGGTACAACTTCAACTCGCATATATATGACAGATGGTTATGTTGGGTTCATTCGAAACTCAGAGCCAGTGTAATTTTGGATCGTTCACATGGGATAAACTATATGGCACATTTGGCAGATCAGTCACATCGCGAGCCAGCCAATTGTGGTTTCGAGTGAGACAACACCGTGAAGCTTGAAGCTTGAAGGCCCCTCCTACATACATATAAAGTAGTGACGAACATCACGACTGTCACGACAACTGACATCAGAAACCAATGGCTGTCTTAACTAAAGACGACGCCTCCGTCCATGACGATGGATTGCCCTAGTGATACGCATGTGTGTGTCACGACGACGCCACGACACCAAAGAAGCGCTAGCTACTCACCCGTGATGAAGTAGGCCTCAGGCTTCGCCAGATATGACACCACACTGGCGACGGGTTCACCGGACGCCGAGTGAGGGCCGTCTGGAGGGATGCCAGCAAGCTTCAACGAACCAGGTCAGAGCGATGTCTATACGAGATCGCAATGGCAACACAGAACTCACGTGTTTAGTGTACGCTCCGGGGCCTCCGCCATATTGCTGATCGAGAGCACCGAAGTCAGCTATTGCAGCGTCAGCGAGGGACAGCGGGTCGCGTCCTGGCATCCCTTACTCATTGGCGTCAGGATGACTCCGGGCGCATACGTGTTCACCGTGATGTTGTGGGGAGCAAGCTCGATGGCTGCGTACGTACGCTCAGCGTTATGTAGAAGCATGCCAGTGACCGACCGGCAGGTGCTCACCAAGGCACTGCGTAAGGCCTCGAATCGCGAACTTCGTCGCAACGTACGCGGAGCTATCGGGGCACCTATCAGAGTTTGACTTCAGAAGTTAAGCGCTTGAACGCGCCGCTCGTACCTTTTTCCCGAGAATGGACGACGCCCCTGAGAAACCGGTGAATTGGAACATGCACACGCGAACACAGAGAAGGTGTATACCGATGATTCTCCCCCCTCGCCTTGCTCGATCATTTGACGAGCAGCGTACTTGTAGCAAAGCATCGTGCTGGCTAGGTTACAATCCATGCAGCGGTTCCAGTCCTTGATGTCCACTATGAACCGTTGATCAGTCCGTCGCATTAGTGTATGTGACCGTACTACTTACTGTCGACGACCCGAGACGAAACAAATATGCCTGCATTCGCGACCATCTGATTTCCGAGTCAGCACATGCGGTATCCGACCCGTTCGTATTGCGAAACTCACAACGTCGAGTCTCCCGAGGACCTCCACAGTCCTGTCGACCATCCCTTTGACGACGTCGCCATCCGAGACGTCGCCCACGAATGCCAGCACCTTGCGGCCCTTCGCCCGGATCTCGGCCGCAACCAACTCGAGTTCAGCAGCGTTGCGCGAGTTGATCGTGACGTCCAGACCGTCGTCGGCGAGCCGCAGCGCGATGGCGTGCCCGATGCCCTTCGAGGCACCCGTTACGATCGCGACTCGGGGTGTCGTGTGGTACGCGTGTCCGTTCATAGCTGCAAATTCAGTATATGAGCGCGGCGGAAAGGACAAGTATGACTGCCAGGGCAATTATACGGGCCACCCAGCGCTCGGTGCGCGACGAGCCTGAGCAAAAGTCTCGGGCGTATAGGCATGTGCTCGTCTGACATGTCAGGTAGATAAATCTAGGCGAACCTTGAAGGAGAGTTACATACCCAGGAGAACCTCAGAAGAGCCTCACATATCTCCTTGAACGTCCGGCCGCCCAGAAGCGTACAAAACCTTGCATTTTGAGCGGGGACAGCAGACCAGCAACGCGCGATAGATCCACTGGCGCCAATAGAGCACGACAGAGCTGCATGGCTTGCGTGTGCATGGGTAGCACAGTCACTCGAAGACGCCATAACAAAGGCACCAGCAAGGTTTGAGGCTCGTAGCTTGTCTCGGAGGCGCCCGACCGGAGAGCAAGCATGTAGATTCTGCCGGAGCAGTGTCGACTGGAAGAGCTGTCACCCTAAGTATAGCGAGGTGGCTTTAGTATCGTCAAGTTGAGACAATGGGTCACGGACCACAGTGCCTCGGCTTCCACAATACCTGGAAGTAGTAAAGCACTTTGAGAGCTGTTGAGTGGAAGACGTGCGTACCTTTCGAAACCTTGCAAGGCCCAAGTCGGCGTTCGAGTGAATAGTAGCACGTACAGTACAATAAGTAGCAACCGTCATCTAAAACTAAAGGTGGATATAATATGGGTGTTGGTGAGTACTATGCATCAATCGTGGATGAATACGTCTGTATGCGCGTATCAGTCTTTGTAATCAGCGTTATAGGGCTCGTGTTGCAAGGGGAGATGGTCGAACTTCTCTGCCGGCGCGCGGCCAGTGCGCCGACCGGCCTGTAGTACGACCTCTGGGGGCTCTCTCGTGCTCGGCGGACCAGCATTGCCGTAATTCCAACTAAGAGCAGCAGCGCTGCACCCATAATGATGTATGAGTTGCGCATGAGAGCAGAGTACTGTAGTCGTCGGAAGACAACGACGACGATTGTACACATCGCCTACTACTATTTTCTCACTAGGATACACGTCATGCAGCGCGGGCTATAATGAAGTAATGAAGACTACGAAGACGCTCTCGTGCATCCCGTCACTCAAAGCTGACTGAGAGTCCACTAGGACAAGAACTTGAAGACTCGTCTTCGCCGGTAAGACAGCCCAACATCTCAGAGCGCACCTGACTTGAGGCGATGACGAATCTCTGGAACCAGTCGCAGGGGACGACTTGTATGTCAGAGGTTCGGTGTTGTAGAGAACGGTTGGAGGCCCGGCACCAGACCGCTTCAGGCTACTAGGTCACGACTATCACGACAATTGACATCAGGAATCAATGGCTGTCTTCAACTAAAGACGACACCTCCGTCCACGCCGATGGATTGCCCTAGTTATATGTGTGAACGACGACGACGCCTGTACACAAAAAGAAGCTACACACCTGTGATGAAGTAGGCCTCAGGCTTCGCCAGATATGACACCACACTGGCGACGGGATCACCGGACGACGAGTGAGGGCCGTCTGGAGGAATGCCACAAACCTTGAAGGAACCAGGCAGAGCGATGTTTATACGAGGTCGCAGCGGTAACACAGAAAGCACTCACGTGCTTAGTGTACGCTCCGGGGCTTCCGCCATATTGCTGATCGAGAGCACCGACGTCAGCTATTGGCAGCGTCAGCGAGGGGCAGACGGGTCGCGTCCTGGCATCCCTCACTCATTGGCGTCAAGATGACTCCGGGCGCATACGTGTTCACCGTGATGTTGTGGGGAGCAAGCTCGATGGCTGCGTACGTGACGCTCAGCGTTATGTAGAAGCATGCCAGTGACCGACCGGCAGGTGCTCACCAAGGCACTGCGTAAGGCCCCGAATCGCGAACTTCGTCGCAACATACGCGGAGCTATTGGGGCCACCTATCAGAGTTCGACTTCAGAACATCAAACTGCTCAATTATGTGCCGTTCGTACCTTTTTTCCCGAGAATAGACGACGCCCCTGAGAAACCGGTGAATTGGAACATGCGCACGCGAACACAGAAAATCGCATATACCGATGATTCTCCCCCCTTCGCCTTGGTCGATCATTTGACGAGCGGCGTACTTGTAGCAGAGCATCGTGCTAGCCAGGTTGCAGTCCATGCAGCGGTTCCAGTCCTTGAGGTCCACTATGAAGTGCAAGTTAGTCTTCCGCTCCGCATGTACCCGCCATACTCACTGTCAACAACGCTAGACACGAACCCTATCCCCGCATTCGCCACCATCTAATCATCGAGTCAGCGCATGCACCTAGCACCAGGGCCGTATAACTCACGACGTCGAGTCTCCCGAGGGTCTCCACAGTCTTGCCAACCATCCCTTTGACGGCGTCTTCATCCGAGACGTCGCCCACGAATGCCAGCACCTTGCGGCCCTTCGCCCGGATCTCGGCCGCAACCACCTCGAGCTCAGCGGCGTTGCGCGAGTTGATCGTGATGTCCAGACCGTCGTCGGCGAGCCGCAGCGCGATGTCGTGCCCGATGCCCTTCGAGGCACCCGTAACGATTGCGACTCGGGGGAGTTTGTGGTGCGCGGGTCCGTTCATGGCTTCGCGTCAATGGCTTGTGATGTTCAGAGCTAGTGAATTGACGTGTGGGAGCGTAACGGAGTGGAGCAGGATGACTCGAAGGGCAGTTATACGGACCACTTAACGCTCGAGATGCGACGAGCCTGAGCAACGATGTTCAGTGTCGAGTCATGTGCTCGTCTGAACCATATAGAGAAGTCTGCGAACCATAGAGATTTACACACCCAGGAGAAGAGCTTCAGATGCCTCCTTCCATCCGGTCGGACCGAAGCATACGAAACCTTGCATTTTGAGCGGGGATAGCAGACCAGCAACGCACGATAGGATTCACTGGCGCTAATATAACAGGATGAGCTGCGAAGTCGATGTGAATGAGTAGCACAGTCGCTGGAAGGTACCATAACAAAGGCATCAGCAAGGTATGGGGTTCATAGCTTGAGATACCCGACCGGAGAGCGAGCACATAGATTTTGCCGGAGCAGTGTCGATTGGAATTGCTGTCATCCTAAGCGAGGTGGCTTCAGTATCGTCAAGAATCAAAAAATAGACCAGGGGTCACAGTGCCTCGGCTGCCACGACACCTGCAAGTAATAGAGCGGCAATGGCAGTACATCGCCGATGGTAGTAGCACGCACAGTAGAGCTTTGGGCTGACTCGAGATTGCCGCACCACAGAGCCTGTGAGCCCGTACGAGTAACATGTCATGAACTGCAACTTGGCATTCTAGTGTGCAGTTACTATTAGCTTGCCTTTACATAACATCCAGACAGTCGATGGAGTGTGGCAGGCGCGTCGAGTCGCGCGCGGTCAGATCTACACGCATCTCGGAGATGACACCAATGGCTTATGTAACTCAGGCTCAGTGCTCCGAGTCCGAGGAGCTCGTCCGGGACATCTCTTTCAAGGTATTCATCCTTCCATCGCCCTGATTCTTGCTTGATAGATCATGGTCTTGCCGCGGTCACTTACTACATTCTATTCCGACAGCACATCCAACGGCCCCACAACTTGAAGTGCCTCCGGCGTCTTCCATCAACTCGCGCACGACGCGATCATGTCCGAAATGACCAGAGGACTTCGTTCAGTCGTACGGCGATTTTTCTTCTGCACAAACAAGGGGTGTCGCAAACCAAAAGGTCAGACACTGACTTGTGCAGCACAATACGACTCAGAGATCCCAGAGTTTTGTTTCAAGTCCAGGACTCCAAACGGCTCCTCCGCCGAACTCGGTGAGGATGTGGGTGGCATTGAATGGCCGCGTCGTCTTGCGTGAGCTAACTCCGCGATCATGACGTAGCCCACAGGCTACAGCGAAATATGGACATCAGACATTAGGCCTCGACATATATTAAGGGCTCGACCTACGTCTCTCGTGGTGTATCGACGCTCTTCAGCTCCTCCCAACTGATTACTACCTACCCTTGCTGCCAAAATGTCCCTCCCCACACGCAAAATAGGACAAGTCGCCGTCTCTGCACTGGGCTACGGGTGCATGGGCATCGCGGCCTTCTACGGGAAACCTCTCCCTGACGAGGATCGTCTAAAGGTGCGTGTTCTTCTCTGTCAGGGGCCCGCCGACTGTCTCGAGCTTACGCGATCACGCGATGCATGGACTAGGTCCTCGACGCGGTATACGCGTCCGGCTGTACGCTCTGGGACACGGCAGACGTGTATGCTGACTCAGAGGATCTTATTGGAAAGTGGTACGTACGAAACCTTACCGCAGGATTGTTCCATATATGCATGGTGTCTACCCTGCCAACCCTTCATTCTACCTCGCCGGACGCCCTTTGCTCACTTCCCGCCACATGCGCAGGTTGAAACGAACAGGGAAGCGTTCCGATATCTTCCTCGCAACCAAGTTCGGCATCCGCTCTGGTGTTCCTGGAAAGGCCTCGCATGGCGACCCCGCCTACGTCCGACTGTCGTGCGAGCGCTCTCTCAAGCGGCTCGGCGTAGACCAGATTGACTTGTACTACTTCCATCGGTATGTGGAGTCTGCGACACTTCGTTCGAAATTCTAAAAGTTCATGATGTGCAGCCCGGATCCGACCATACCTATCGAGAAGACTGTCGGCGCGATGGCTCAGCTAATCAGGTGCGCTCGTGCCTTATTCCTCGATGCTCGACTTACTCGTGCTCATGCTTCCGCTGTTAATGATACAGCGAAGGCAAAGTGAAGTACATAGGTCTTTCCGAATGCTCTGCCGAGACTCTCCGGCGCGCGCACGCCATCCACCCGATCGCCGCGCTGCAAGTCGAGTACTCACCGTTCACGCTCGATATCGAGGACGACAAAATCGGACTGCTCAAGACGGCGAGGGAGCTTGGCACGACCATCATCGCGTATAGCCCGCTTGGGCGTGGTCTACTGACCGGAAAATACGTAAGTCCTCCATCCTCGTATCCCTCCAATACGCCATCTAGTGCATCGCGCTTATCCACATCCTCTTCGCAGAAAGGCCCCGACGACTTCGACCCGGACGACTTCCGCAGGAAAATTCCACGCTACTCACAAGAGAACTTCCCCAACATCCTCAAGATCGCCTCCGGGCTCGGACAGATCGGCGCGCGCCACGGCGCGTCCGCGGGCCAGGTCGCGCTCGCGTGGCTCCTTGCTCAGGGCGAGGACGTCATCCCCATCCCTGGGACGACTAACATCAGCGTACGTGACCCCCTTCCCATCTCAGCCGCCTGTTCCTCAGCGTCATTTACGGTTGCTGATACGGCTGGTGCGCGCAGAGGCTCGACGAGAACCTGGGCGCGGCGAAGATCACGCTGACTCCTGAAGACGTCGAGGAGGTGCGCAAGGTTGCGGAAAGCGCAAATGCGACGCAGGGCCCACGGTACCCGCCGCTCCTTAACAGTGTCCTGTTCGCGGATACGCCCCCGCTCGAGGGGTGGGTGCCCCAGGAGCAGCCGAAGCCTGAGGCGTAGATATGAACCTGGTACAGGAGCGACGACGAGTTGTCGTTTGGAGAGCAGTGACATGCGATGTAAGTACTGTAACGGTTTTGTATTACGTCACGATCCCTCGACGCAGTGCACCCTCTCTCTGTGAGCCCTCGGACCTTGACGAAAGTGTTCAAGTAAGTGTGAGGAACAAGCGCTGGAGGAATGAGTTGCCATGGGTGGACAATGCATGCCACTGCGAGTGACGTGGCAGCGTGTATATGGTCCCGGCTTGACGGCGTTCATCTACCTTACTCTCAATCCACCAGATTGACTTCGTTGTCCTCTTTCTCTCCGGGTCTATCTGTATATCCATCGCAAAATCGGTGCCAGTGAGCACTGTCAAGGCCATCGATATCTCCGATGGATAACGCGGCCGTGGCGTATGTTTTGGGGGCCAGTCCAAGGAAACGACCTCGTGTAGACTCGGACCTCGACGCAGAGGAAGCAAAGGTGGCCGTGACGCGAACGGTGCCAATGCAAGACGAAATGATATGGTTCAAGGATGGGAATGTTACCCTGGAAGCCGGGGACATTGCATTTCGTGTGTACGGGGGGCTTCTAGCTCGCCACTCGGAGCCACTGGGCAAACTGATCGACGAGGCTCCTAAGTCGTGGCAGTGGCTGACGGGTCTGCCAGTGGGACTCTGGTCCCATTCCCGTTGTACGGTTCGGCTGGAGGACGCACCGGACGAAGTGCGCTGCTTGTTACGTATTCTCATTCTTGCGGATCCGTGAGTCCTTTGTCAAGATCATCCGTCCTCGTCTTGGTGACACTCTGACTCGCAGATTCTGTGGGATCTCCACACGCATGCCATTCTCTGATGTGGCCGCCCTCGTCCGACTTGGACACAAGTATGAAATCCAACACGTCCTCGAGGAGGGCCTGAGGCGCATGAAGTCGTGCTTCAGCGACTCCTTTGAGGTTTGGGACAAGGCGAGCAAATCGGGGGGAAACACTCTCATGAGCTTCTCGGAGGAGGATGCCATCGCTGCCGTGAACATTGCGCGTCTGACCGGCGCTACCAGCATGCTGCCCACCGCTATGTATAGCTGCTGTCAGCGTACCCCGGAGGTCATAACGAACGGGGTTCCCGGTCCCAACGGGAAGATTGAACGCCTCAGTCCTGAAGACGTGTTGATCTGCCTTGGCGCCCGCACGATCCTCTGTCACCACAATGTCATCGCCGCGATGAACATCTGGATACCGGAGCCAGAATGTGACGTCCACGGGGCAGAATGCATGTGCGTCAGGGTGATCAATGCAACCTCTGCCGGGCTCCGTACCTACGAAGACAGCGGACTCGCCCACCACGACGCGTTGCAGGATTGGACCGATACCATCGAGCATGTTGCCGCCGAGTGTTGCAACACGCATCTTGCAATGCTGAGGGAGAGAGCGTCCAGGGAGCGGCAGGCGTTGTGGGAGAGACTGCCCCCATTTTTGGCCTGCCGTTCACGCTTGTCACGCTGTAAGCACCTGCCTCGACGATACGACCCTTGGGTAGGTGAGGAATGTGCTGCTTTCTGTTCCTAGTCATTGAGTATGATCTTATTCGTTGCACACCATGTCAACGCATACAAGGATATGTACTGTACTGTATATACTAGGTGTTGAATGTATATGCAGGTCTTCCTCGACGCTGTGTATGTCTCAAAGCTGCTGGAATAGAAGCCACTGCCAATGGCGGTGTAGAGTCAGATCCACTAATGTCCGTCGCAACACAAGCTTGTGCTCACCCGCAGGAGCGTGCGCGGTGTACTGTGCGACGTGGAATAAACACCGCGACCAATCACATCCCGGATTGGTCCATTCGCACAAGCGGGCAGTGCTGGCAGTCAAGATATCATTGTGAATAGCAGACGATGTAGTAAAGTGAGGCATGATCATCTTTCCGCTGAAAGGTCACCGTCTGATGCATCGCTAGCAGACTCCTCGGGCGACTGTATCGACCCATCCTAGAGCGTCGTTGCCGTACGTCTGGGACGCGTCGAGAGAATCGCCGACGCGTCTTCGAGCCTGAGTTCTTGTGGCAGTGAATTTTCAGCGACTGAGCCTAGCATCGAGAGACGAGAGGCACGAGATAGTCCTTTCATAGTCTCATTATACCCTAAGCAGCATGACGTCACAGCGGGCTATTGAATATTGAATACTTACGCCGCCTGGCCATCTCTACACTTGCGTAGACATTCATAGCATCTATGATATAACAGGTACATCGGCTACACGTAACGGTTTCGTCGGTCTGTCTGTTGAAAGGATCAACAAGGGTCCATCACATAATGGGTCTGCTCCGATTGAACTCACCAATGCATGACCATCCGTCTGTCAATGTTCGAGTATGTAGCATCCGCCTCGGAGGTCGGACACTCTGACTCCCCAGTTCTCAATGCTGACACCCATGTATGATGGTAAAAGCATCCATACAGATGTGCGCATCTCCGTCTCTCTTTCATGGAGATCATCCAGACAATGTGAGCACGGCCTTCGGGGAGCATCGCCGTTCAAATCGTCGAAGGGGTCGTAATCTTCGAGGAACGCATCCCATGATGACAGAACATTGACCTCGTCACCATCAATTCGCTCGATAGCTTCCTCGCGCATATCCCGGATGGTACCACGGCACACCCTTGCAGTGGTGCAGCCTTCCGAGTCGGAGAAGCGATGAACAAATAATTCGTGGATGACCAGAGCTTGCTTGAAGGCTAGTTTGACCCTCCCATTAGAGCGTCGTAACAGGTTGTCCTTGCTCAGTGTCTCGAGAGTTCCATCCGAAAGAGACGCGCCTAGAAGGGCCTTGTCGTCTGGAAGCTGGCAGCAGGCGTATAGCGCTGAAGGTAAGATGGAAGGTGTGTTCGTGAGATCTGCCAGGTTGACAGCGATGATGGCTCGAGGGGTCCAATGATCCTGGGTGGCTAGGCCCGACGATACAAGTCCGGCGGGATAGAGCTTCTGGAGTTCCTGAATGGACACTCTCAGAAGGTTCTCCGCACCATATTTGTGAGCGAGGCGGATGCGATATGCGAGGTTGTTTAACTGAAGATCATCCTCTGGGATATATTTGTATGATTCAGCGGCATGAGCGGCGGATCATAAGATAGGAGGTCATGGTCTGTGCACCTCTTCTCACAAATAAGTGCGTTCAAGAACTCTTTGAAAGCGACGGCGGTGTCGGATAGGTGGACAACCGGGCACCCGAAGACGAGCTGACTGTCCGGTGGTTGCGGGATGGAGAAGAGATCACGAAATATCTCTGCTCGCTCAGCCAGTAGACCACGGTACACGCGGAATCCGATATTCCGTACGACCAGGATAACGGTCCCATCTTCGTACCAAATTTCTTCGTCGTTCTTGAAGTCCGTACTTTGTCGGTCGCGTAGATCGCCACGGTCATCCCATTCGGCCAGACGAGGCCTTTTCCGACCGGCGAGTTCCCCTTCAGACATGTGATCTGGCGGGATGTGAGACAAACTTAAACTACCAACACCATTACAGCATACCTGTTTGTCCGTTCGTATTCAATGCAGTTTGTGCGAGCACTACGAGGTGCGCGACCCTCCTCCTCAAGGGTGTCGGCAGGCGTCGGGCGGTGTAGTGTTGAGACTTGTCACGAATAACGCAATCATGTGCGTGTCTGTCACGCGTGCCGTGATCGGCGCGGGGCACAAAGGCTTGGCTCTCAGATCTCAGATCTCAGCGCTTCATCGACAACCTCAGCCACCGCAGCGTCACGATACTTAGGTGGATAGTAGAGTACTTGGTACGTTCCATCCCTTCTGTGTGTCCATCTTCGTCTTTGAGACTAATGACATCTTTCCTTGCGCTCTCAGACCAGTCATCCGTAAGAATGTCAAGTATTGTGCCCATCGCCGCAGGGTCCCGCCGATCTCGCAAACGCCCCCGTGCAGTTGAACTTGACGCGAGCTCCGTCGCCGACGTGAACGGTACAGACTTGGAGATCAACTTTAAGAAGGATGCCAACTTCTGGTACCCAGACGGAAGCGTTGTCCTACTCGCGCAGAACGTTGGCTTTAAGGTGTACAGAGGGCTTCTCGCAGAGCAGTCGGAAGTGTTCGCCGACCTCTTCACGCTTCCTCAACCACCTGAGGCACAGGCCCTCGAAGATTGCCCTCGGTGCACCTGTCTGACACGGCACAGAAGCTGCGGGCCCTACTGTCAGTCATGATTCATGGACGAAAGTGCATCTCCTCTTTTCATATCGCTCCGCTGATTTACTCCTCTAGGTACACTATCGACGACAGCGCCCACCTCGAGGAGATCGTGGCATAGGCTCGCATGAGCCATAAATATCACATTCAGGACCTGCTCGAAGACGCGATGCAGCGTCTCAAGCGGTTCTTCCCCAACCGTTTTGTCGACGTCTCGGACGACCCCAACACGGTGCAGCGGAAGCATGCCATCGCAGTGCTCAATCTCGCACGGCTGCACCGACGATGCTGCCGTCGGCACTCTACTACTGTTGTATGCTCGACAGTCGCATTCTCATGCGCGGGTCCCCTCGTTCCGATGGCATCGCCGACCGCCTGGCTCAGCGAGATGCGGTGCGGTGCTTTGAGGGGAAAACGAAGCTCGCAGGCCAATGGATGTTCTGTCTTTCGAGGATTTGCCGACCCACGATGGGCGAGGCGTGCAGGACACCGGACGTGTGCGGGCTGACGATCATCCGCCTTCACGACACACTCGCAATTGGAGAGGGGAGCGTGGGTAAGACCGACGCCCTCACGTCGTGGCGCACGGGCATGGATCGAGCGATGAGAGAGCACCGCGAGCTGTCGTACCTCTGCGCTGCGTGTCGTATGATGCTGTATAAGCGAGATATGGCTGAACGTCAACGGGTCTGGCGGGAGTTGCCGTCTTTCTTCGATTCGGTGCTCGCCGGCTGGGAGGGAATTGCTAGCTGATTGAGATGCTTGACAAGTGCAATGTGAGTTGTATGTATATATCCTGACTCGACTCGAGCCTCGAATGTTTTGTAGTAACGTCCCAACGTTTCATTAGGACAACAGTAGCTCATGTTATTCCTATGAATAACTATTTACATTATCTTCTACTACACTATGTTCACCTTACGTTCATCACAACATGTGACAATTGATCCTCTAAGTACATTCCTGCCGGTTTGACCAAGACAAGCAAGGCAATTCGAACCAAGCCGTCACAGTCAGTGACGCGGCGTAAGTACAACAAGTAGTGGCCCCCTAATGGTAACAAAGAGGTCGCGCAGGTCCTCTCTCCATCGCTCGGCATCGAATCCGTCCTTCAAGCGCAAGTCGAAAGCCCGCAGGACGTACACCAGGACCATGCGCATCTCGATGAGTGCCAACGGGCGCCCTACGCAATTGGCAGGGCCCGTCGAGAAGGGCATGAAGGCATCGGTGTTCAGTATGATGTTGGGGTTGTGGTCCTTTTCGATCCATCGCTCGGGCCAGAAGCGGTCTGGGTCGGGAGAAAATACCGTGGGTCGCGGTGGTAGACGTATGGCGGGGAGTACACTGCGGTGCCCTCTGATATGAAGATCCTGGGATGAACCGCATCAGAGTCTCAGTCACAAGGGATGTATAAGCACTCACTGTCTTCCGAGCATGTGGCCGCCGCTACCTTCGGTAGGCGCACGTTGTAGAGACGTCGCGCCCGGAGGGTGGAGCCGGAGCGTTTCGTTGCTATCCAATAGGGAGGCTATCAATCACGGCTCAACGACAACTGAGGGAAGCACTACAGACATGATGGCGTTCAAGTAAGGCAACTGCGCCATCTTCGCCGTATCCGTCGGTTCGCTTTCGTGGGGCGGGAAGGCCTCGTCAATCTCGACTTGCAAGCGCGCGTAACACGTCGGGTGCGAGGCCAGGAGACAGAATGCGGCGGTTAAGGCCACGGCAGTGGTGTCGGAGCCTGCTATGATAGCGGTGACCATGTTAGATATGAGGTATGGCACAGTAGGGCGTTGCTTCTCCAGACCGGCTTCGTCTGCCTAGGGGATGGTCTCAGTCGTTATCGTGGGTCTGTAAGGATTGCAGAATAGCTCACGAGGTGGTAAAAGAGATCGTCGTGTACGGAGCCTGCCTGGAGTCGCCGCAGCGTTTGTGTATAGGCGAACATCCCCAGGCCCTTCATCTGCTTCGCGACGAACGGAAGGTTCACGACTGCCCCAACACACCAAGGTATATGTTGGATCAATGCTGTTGGACTGAGGAAGATCGTTTATACCGCTTATGAGCTGGCAGCTGGAGATGACTCACTACAACCCAGATTCTACGGTATGCACCAAACCATTTTTGTCGCCCTCCGTGAGCAGCTCAAACGGTCCTCCGAAACTGCTTTCGGTTAGCAACACCACAAAATGATGTATTCTAAGGACTTACACAAAGTCACCCATGAAATCAAACCTAGATGTCCGACCGTCAGCCATACGAGGATGTACATCTGTCTAACGAACTTACGAGAAGAAGCTGAGCCACTGCGACAGATCGACCGCGTTCTCCTGCTGCGCATCAGCACTACAGCGTTTCTTGAGCTCATCCACCAGTTGGGACGCCAGGCGTATCACAGTGGGCTCATATCGCTTCACTGCGGAGCTTGTGAAGGCACGGTTCCACACGCGACGATTCTCCGCGTGCACCCCTTTGTCGCGAGCATTGATGAGGGTACCTTTCGGATGGGTATTCGCGGAACCTTTCTTCCCGCCGATCTGTCGCCCCTTCCAAACTGCAGCGAAAGGTGTGTCGTGGGGTGAACAACTTTGTACCATAACAGTGGAGTAGCACGTACGAGGTCCCTTGGGCATGCCATCCGGTCCCATGATATTGGGGAGAAGCTCTGCATCCACGATTGACAGCTCATTCGGACCTATGTGAAATTCAACGAATGCAGTACCGTCCACAAGACTCGTCGCTCGTACCTACACGGACTATGGAGCCGTACTTCCGGTGCATCCGAAGGAAGTAATGATGCTGCTTGCCGGTGGAGGCCACATAGACAAGAGTAAGTTTGGACAGCTTGCCAAGGAGCGGCCCGGGGTACTTGTATAGTGGGTGAAACGGCGAAAGACGGTAGGCAACAATGCAAGCCAGGATGATTCCATAGTGAACTGTGTAGGCAGTTAACACTGCAGCTACGGTCGAGCTCATTGGTGACCCAAGGAGGACTGCTGGTATAGCAGGTGTGAAACCGAGCAAAACGCTCAGCGACACAATGTCGGTGGGTTCATAATGCTTGAACCAAAGGTAGGTTACCTACGCCATGTCAGAGAAGGTCCAGCAGAGGTAATGAGGAAGTCACTCACTACGGCCAGCGCAGTAGTCATCGCAAGGCCGCTGTCTACAGACGTGGTGTTCACCAGCACCATCACCGCAAACGAAAGCTGCGAAGGTATGTACGTCGTGGTCTGCAGCTGAGTGAGACGCGTCAAATGCGAGAGCGGTGAGTTCGGACACCTCCTCCTTATCACGAAACCGGAACCGTGATAGGCCCGTAGCGGAGCGTTTCAACTCACCGCCACCTAGTACTAGTACGAGCGGTGCCGGTGATCTTCATGGACAGCCTTCTAGCAATGTATCTACGTCTTGGAGCGCCGACGCACGTTATCCGACTGTCGTAGGCCCACAAACGCCCGGCGGGCCAGAATGGAACGAGTGGGATCGTAGAGAAACACGCCGTCTGCAGCCCTCGCATTGTGCAGTTTCTATGCCAATCGGATGAGACAAGCTGGCCATCGCCTGAGAGCAGAAACTGGTAAGAGACGGCCTGCGTTTTACCCAGCGCGCGATGCGGTCTGGCCACGGTAACAACTGTCTACTATCAGATCTGAGACAGTACCACACAGTCTAAGTACAATAAGCGCGCGCTGCAATTTGAATGCGCGTGAGTTCACAACGCGGTCACGAGATCGATGCAGTCGTCGCGTTCAAATTTTAATTTCAGACTTGCTTCCTCCTCCTATGCATACCTAAACTTGCATGTCACGGCTTGCCTGAGCGAACCCATCTGGAGCCCTATTTTTTGTCGCTCTATCGTACGGTCACGCTTATCGCCACATTTTGCCTGACGCTGGGCGAGATCCTCAACTGATAAGTAGCTTGCTGCAAGCCTGCAATCAATGCGAACATCGACGATGGACTGAAGTTTTTGGGATACACATTGAGCTGCCATTTGGTCTTGATGGAAACTTGTATATGTATGATCTTGCGACCAGATCTCCTTCTACATCGGTGAGTGCGGTGACTATATGCGCTCTTCTGAGACATGAAGCTCACATGTTCCCGCTTGCTGTAGGACGACGGCACCCAAATTCCATAGCTTGCAGGATCTTATCCAGAACTGTTGTCTTTATGCCAGGAAATGTCGTCGAGGCGGCGGCAGTCGTTGGATAGTATCATAGTCACTATGATGATCACGGCAACAGTGGTACGCCTGGACATACTAGACGCGTGAACACCGTCTTCGTCTTTTAACCTCGACTCAATAGCAGACCTTTGGACAATTATCAACAGTATGCTGTTCTTCAGCGCCCGGCCAAATTGCACGAACAGCAGGTGTGGCTGCCATCGAAGTATTAGACCACTTCCACTTCGACAGTCGCAGAGCTTGGGCTTGCTTACTTGTAACTTACCAGTTGGCCAACTACAGGACCCGAGCAAGCGCCGGCACTGCTGGATTGGTGCGCTGAATGCTACAACAGCATTGGGTAACCGGACTGGGCAAGGTTTTGGCGTGTGCGTGCTCTAGTCTTGGGCTGTATGATGAGCATGCTATAGCAATCCACACGGTACGTCAATACATCGCATCCGGATCATCGCGAATTGAACTCCAGGAGCTCGAGGCGGCTTCTCTAGCTGGGCAAAATGTCGCACCCAAGGTGCCGCTCAGCGCAAACATTGCAATCCGTCGGTCCCCTGGTCTCCACCTCTTGTGTGAGCCTTTCTCATGTTAACATGCCCTCCTCGTCGTACCCGATAAATATCTGCTTATAGTGAGGTCGCCACGGCAGTTATATCATCATGCACTCAACTTCGTCGCATCGTACTCGTTTGAGTGGACAATGCACATGGAGCTCACGCAATACATGCAATCGGAAGGATCAATCATCAGGCTGTCTCGTACGATTTTACATCGTTCGACAACAGGCGACACTATCAAGCCAAGTGTTGAGGGCCTTCCTTTGACTTGGGACATGGACTCGGATCACATCCATCCATCTACGGGAGCCACGATCTTAAGGGAGCTTCGCACTGTCACCTTGCCACGAGGATAGCTTCTCGCTGTATCAACGGTGGCGAAACGACCTGATGTCTTTCGGTTGTGGAACAGCGGCTCCCCGCAAGCTCCTCGACACTTACATAGGGGAATGTTTATACATCAACACTTTTGATTGCCAACTGAAGCCATATCCAAAAGGCTCTAAGACGGGTGCGTGTTCCTCGATTACGAGTATGTGACTAACCACATACCCAAATATCTCGTCCGTTCGCACAAGTACAGCTTCTTCGACACTCTTCGGTAACCGCGAGCGGTAGCGCTGAAGCCTAGAGCAACGTGTTAAAGCCCTTTCACGTACCCACTGGCAGGCAAGTATATCGCTAGGCGACCGCAAGTGCCTTGATGGGCTTTGTCAAAAATACGTACGGCAGTCCGTGGTCTCCTTCCGGCGTGGACACAACGTCCTTCCCCATCTCCGTACAGACGTTCACCATCCCAGCGACGCCTCCCGTGCGTCAGCCGTCAGCGACATCCATACGCCGACAGGCGTCCAAAACTCACACCGCAGCTGGCAGGACTCCTATCGCGGTACGATCACCTCCTCATCCTAGCCCGGCAGTTATCTGATTGATCCCTATTCACCATTGGCGTCCGTGCGATGGACGCGCGAGCATTGCGGCTCCGAGAGCTACGCCCGTATATGGAGATTGATCCCCCGGTCTAAGATGCACTGGACGCGGCGGCCGGGCTCGCTATAGAAGTTTGGATCTTAACCTTGTCAAGAGATCTGTACCGTGGCTGCCAGTGAGCAGCCACGCATGGACCTTGTACAAACCTTCAAGTTGTATTGGTGAAGATGGCCGTCCATGGATTCTCGAGCACACTAACCCAACGCTGGCCGGCGTACATCCGGGGTCGTCATTCCGGTTACTCTACCGGTCTCGTCCCAGGCTTTGAATCTCCGGGGCGCAAAAACAGCAACGTGCTGACATAGAGGGGTCATTGGTCGGCTCCTGCCCCTTGGAGCCGTCATAGCCGCTTACAATCGACCGCGCTGCCTCCTCCAAGTCCTTTCTCCTACCTTCTCCCTTTTCACGCCGCGCCAAGCTCACGTACGCTGCCAAATCCAGCCGCCGCCTCGCCGGGCAGTCGCACTCTGTCTCCAGCAGCAAGAGCACTGCCGATCTCTGTCATAGGCTCGGTGCCAAGCTCGCTGACATTAGTGGCTTCGAATGGCACCCGGAACGCAGGCCCGCAGCGTCGCGCCCCTACTGCCCTCAAACCACGCCAACCGCCGCCGAAGAAAGTCCGTGTCTACGAAACGCCCGCGGCTCCACATTTTCGCAGCGCAACTCAGGCGCAACTGGTCCAGAGTCTGCACGCCCGCTGCGAACGGCAGCGGCTTCGCAGGCGTCTGCGGGCCCTGAGGCCTGAGGCCTGAGCTGCATCTCTCCCGCGTTCCTCAGCGGCCATGCGATGCGGGGAAGATGGCGTCTCCGCTGACGTACAGGGCCATCCCCGGCTACCCCTTACCAGCTTGCGCCCCTCCGTGAGGCCCGGAGAGGACGTTCGCGACGGGTCGTGCTCAGGAGAGCTGTCGCCGCCAGGTTATCGCGGCCAGCAATGTCGGCTCATGAGCTCATCAATGTATTTTCATTGTCGGCACGCATCCGCGCACCCGCCGTGTCCGGGCGAAACAATAGGCGATAGTAGTTATGATGTATGATGACGGTGCGGCCGTACTGTTATTGCCTCCTTACTACTCTCCGAGTCGAGTCTGAATCTGATCAACACAAGCGCATGCCCAGGGCCACAGTGCCCGCTTCGCCCAGCTCCGGGCAGCGCAGTCCAATCCCGTCGAACCCCACCCAGCCCAGATTCGTCGACCACCTCCCCTATGGATCCCTCTCCCTGTCACATCTAGCCTCCCGGCCTCCGCAGGCCCTCGTAAGCCCCTCTCCACCCACTGGCAGGACACACCCAGCCCGAAGCCGTGCTTCCGAGGGCGTCCTGTGCGACCGGACGTAAGCACGCATCCACACCCGCGTCGCCGTCCAATCCGCCCAGCCCCCACGCTGCTTCTGGGCTGCGCGAAGCACCCGCAGCCCGGCCGCCCCTGGTTCCCCGCATCCACTACCCACTCTGTTGATCGCACGCCCCGCATCCATCGCGCTACTTATCGCCATCGATCGCGGGGTAGCCTGGGGTACGCCGGCCGTGATTCGCCGGTGCGTGCGTCTGTGACGGGAAGAGATTGGAGGACGCGCGAGACGCAGAGGCGAGCGACGGCGGGCCTGGCATGAGAATGAGAGACTTCGGAGACGTGCCAGGGGCCGCGCGCCGCGGCCGGCCACTAGCGCGCCCCGCACCCCGCACCCCGCATGCTCTTCGGCCCCCCGTTCCTGTCGACGTTCGGGTGCCAGTGACTTAGCTCTGTACCTCCCGCGGGCTGCGTCCTGCAGGCTGCCAGCGTCCTGCAGGGCTAGCCCCGCAACGCCGGCTCCATCATACTCTCGCCCCACCGACGGCCTGATGGGAGGGGACGCATTTGGGCGGCATGAGAACGCACGCACGGATCCAGTGCGCCCGGCCTTTGGTAAGCTGCTCTTATGTAGCACATACGTACTGCATCCCGATCGCGCACGGTATGACGCCGCGGAGGGAGGGTAAACCGTTCCCCCCGTCCAGGCTACCGAAGCGACCGAGAGTGAGAGCGCGCGCGATCTCTGCCGCAAACGTGGCTGGCTCACGACACACGGACACGCACGAACCACCGACCTTCATAGAGACGCGCTGACCATAGACGACCGGTGCTCAGAACTGTATGCCATACCATGCAAGTGAGTGCCAGCGTGAGTAGCGATACTGTACAAGTGCAGAGTGTTCACACACACCCCCATACGCGAGTCGAGTCGAGACAGACGGGTACGTACGACGGAGAGTATAAAACGAGCAGCCGGGATCCAAAGGCCTATCTTACAGTGCAACTTCGACAACGATGATGGAGAGAGAGAGAGATGGGAGACGAGATAGACGAGACAACGAGACGCAGGAAGGGAAGGGAACATGTGCGGTGTGGGGGGAAGCTGGGGCTGAAGGCGCAAGGGAATAATGACACGAAAAGCGCAGCATTAAGCGTAGTCAGTAAGCCGTCTCGTCTCGGAGCAGCGAGCAAGAATCGCCAGATGGATGGATGGATGGGGGGCAGAACCGGACGTGTATGCGCCGCGGTCTTTTGCGAGGCACGGCGCAGCATAAGTCAAGAGGAGCGGGCGATGATACAACCAGCCGCCGGCGAGATTAGAGCGGCGGTACGGAGACGTGGGATGGACGTGGGGCAGCAGGGAAATGCGAGGGTCGGGCGTAACGCGGGCGTGAACGAACGTGCAGTAGACAAGTCGGGCGAGCGGAGCGTCTTGCGGGTGCGCACATCGAGGGAGCGTGAAGGCGTGGGGCGGGGGGCGAAGGTCGTGGGCCGTTGCGGGTCGTCACAGAGCGAAAAAATAATACAGAGCTTTAGCAGGGGTCGAGAGGAGGCAGTAAGGGTGGCTGCGGCGCGCGCACAACGCACGTCGCCCGTATTTTTGCGAGTAGTCGGGTCTTCACCGCGCCCAGCGTCATGACGTCTCCATCTCGCCGCCCTCCTCCATCTTCACCCGCTCCTTCCTGCCCGCCGGCCGCCCGTCCCGTCCTTTCCGCCCGCGCACCTCCTCCTCGCGCTCGTCCGCCTCCTCCGCATCGTCCTCGCCCATCGCGCTCGGGCTGCTCTTCTCGTCCTGCATGTCCGCGTCCATGTCGTCGTCCATGTCCATCTCCTCCACGCTCGCCAACTCCCCGCGCGCGAACCGCTTCCTCTTGCCCATCACGGACGCGTGCGCCGAGGGCGAGGGCGAGCCGAAGAGCGTGAAGCCCTCCCCGACCTCCTCGTGCAGCACGAGTGCGCCGTCGTCCTGGTCGGCTGACGGGGCGGACCCTGAGGCGGAGGGCGAGCGGAAGGCTGGAGCTGCTGCTCGAGGTCGCGGTTGCGCGAGGCCTGGGCGGAAACGAGTTGCTGGAGGTACCTGGGTGCGAAACACGCATCAGCATTCGGTTCTCCATGTGTGTGACACGAGGATCAAGTGAGAAAAAGGTCGCCCCGCCACGGAACGAAACTCGAAGGAAAACACTCACCGAATATACTCGACGCTCTTCCTCAAGATCATCCCCTTATTCGCCTTCACGCCCCCCGCCCCGCCATCCGGCCCGTCCTTATCATCCGGCTCCGCGCTCCCGTCCTTCTCCTCCTTCTTCGCCCCGCCCGCGCTCCCATTCGTCGCAGCGGGAGTGGCGGCGGCGGCGGCACCAGGCGCAGAGCCCCCCGTGATCGCGCCAAACAGGAGGTCGTCCGACGACGCAGAGAGCGACGCGGGCATCGTCAGCGTCGCTGCCGTCCCAGAAGCCGAGGGCACATCAAAACAAGGAAAACACACAGACGCAAATTAGCTTCTTCGCACAACCGCAGCGCGCACAGATCGGACGCACCATTCGGATCCAAGAGACACTCCGGGATCAGCGTCGCGAGCTCGCTGATCTTCTCGTTGATGTTGTCCCGCCGCCGCCGCTCCACCGCGTTGTGGCTCTCCCTCCGGCGGCGCCGCTTCTCGTTCGCGATCAGCGCCTGCTTCGACGCGAGGTCCGCACCCGGCGGGCTCTCCCCGGGCGCGCCGTTCAGCGCGGGCAGGGTCAGCGACTTCCCCAGCATCCCCGCCGCGGACACGTCCTTCGGCGACACGCCGAGCCCGCCGTGGTTCGCGGGCAGCGACGACGCGCCCGTGAACGCCGAGAAGCCGCCTGCGCCGTCGCAGAGCCGTCAGCACGCGTTACCACCCAACATACAGCTCGAGAGACTCACCATGCACGGAGTCCGGCGTGGGCAGGCTGAACTCGCCCTGGCCCCCGGGCACGAACCACCCGCTGCCATGGAGGCCGAGCGGGCTCGCGGGGCCGCGGGCGCTCCCCGGGCCCATCCCGTTCATCCCGCCGAGGCTGTTCCCGGGGATGATCAGCGGCTGCGTGTGGCCGCGGTGGAGCGGCGGCGGGCTCACGGAGCTGACGCTGCCGCGCTTCGCGCGCGTGCGGCGGGCGGGGCCGCCGTTGGTCGAGGGCGGCTCGCCCTGGCCCTGCGCCTGGCGCGTGGTCGAGCGCGAGCGCGAGCGCGAGAACTCGGTGGGGGAGGCGACGGAGACGGGGAGGGCGTCTGGCGCGTGCCCGCGGGGTGGAAAGGAGGTCGCCGTTGCCGTTGGGGGTGAAGGAGAGGTGGGAGGAGAAGGAGGAGGGCTCGGCGCCGAGGAGTGGGCGAGGTTCTGGTTGTGCTGGGTGTGGTTGTGCTGGGGGTGGTTGAGGGAGAAGGGCGAGTGCGGCGCGGGGGCGGGGGGCGGCTCGTAGCGCATGGAGGAGCCGAGCGCGGGGAGGGTGCTGTTGAAGTTGGTGTGGGCGAACTCGGGCTGCTGCGCGGCGTTCTGGGGGCGTTGCCGAGGGAGAAGGGCGACTGGGGGTGGAAGGAGTGCGCGTGGTTGTGCGCGTGCGCGGAGTGGTGCTGGTGGGAGGTGGGCGCGGAGATGTCGAAGATGTTGTGCGTGGGCGGGCGGTAGTCCTCGTACGCGCCGTTCTGGGCGCCGTTGCCGTTCTGGGTGGAGCGCTCGCTGGACTGGTGGTCGTTGTGGATGAGGCTGGCGAGCTCGTCGGTGAAGTCCATGCTGGCTGCGGTGTCTGCGGAGGCGGGGAACTTGCGGAAGGAGTCGGGGATGGAGAGGAAGGGGGGGAGGAAGAGGTTGTTGGGGTCGAAGTTGACGGCAGCGTTGCTAGGGGTGCCATTGCTGGAGGGGGGGACGGGGGGTTGTGGGAGGGGGACGGGAGGTGGAAGCCCTCCTGGCGGGAGAGGACCTGGGGCTTGTAGGAGGGGAAGAAGGCGGAGGACATGGTGGCTGGGAGTGGACTCTGCTGCCTGGGTGTGCGGGGCAGCGAGCGTGAAAGCGGATCGGGATGCGGCCACGCTGCTTATATCACGCCCCGCGCGATCGGCCCCCACAACACACACAAACACAAACACCCCAATACATTCCCCGCATCTCCCCCGGCGTCCCCCGCCGCGTCTGATCCCCCGCACCCCCGCGCCGCCCGCGCCCGCGCCGGCCTCCGCCGCGCCGCGCCCAGCTGCACCCCGCAGCCCCCGCACACCGGCCGGGGAGCCCCAGAAACGGAGACATCAAACGCATCGGCCGGCTCAACTCTCACGCCCGCCGGCCTCCTCGCCCTGACGTAAAGACTAAAGTCCGCGTCCGCGCCCGTCCTTGGCGCCCGCCCGCGACTGGCGTCGGACGCGTCTGCCTCGACGCCGCCCGTCTCTGCGCTTGACGCTCGCCGCCAGACGCCGTCCGCACGTCCGGCCCGCTCCTGCATCGCACCATCCCTGCTCCTTCGTCGAGGCGATGCCCGCGCCCGCTCTCCCTGGCACGCACGCGCGATCGCCTCCCGTCCGAGGACGCCTGCCCGCGGAGAGGATCCCCTCGGCCCCAGTACCCACGCAGCGGGGCGATCGTGCGGCACGCTATCAGACCCTGCCTGCACATGGAACAGCCGCACCAGAACGCACCCGTCCTCCGTACGCACACAACGGCCCCCCGCGGACGGTCGCGCACAGATAGCATAGCGCGCTGCGTCCATCCTCGTACCCTCCCCGTCCTTCTCCTCGCTATCCTTGTCCACCCTCCCTATCTTCACCTGCGCTATCCCTGTCGACCTCCCCGTTCCCTCCCAGGCCCCCTCTCGCCCCTCCTCCCCGCCCCTCTCGTTCGCCCGCATCCGCTCGACGCCCCGCCCCACCTCCCCAGCCCAATTACGCGCCCCACGACGCCCGACGCCCGATCGCGCAATTAACGACCCATCACGTACCGCGCATGACGCCCCGCGCCCCCGCCCTCGCGCACTGATGATCTCGATCGCCCGCCCCTAACTCGCTGCGGCCTTAGGCTCCGCGAGGGGGCGCCGGCTCTTCGCTCTGCCCCTCGCGACGGTCGAGACGCTCCCTCGACGCCTCCTCTCCCCCCACGACGACCCGCCACGTCACCCCTACCACCGACCGCCGAGCATCCCCAGCGCCCTGCCCAGTGCCCCAAGTCCGCACTGCCCGCAGCCAGAAGGAACCTCGGCCGTCCCGCGCCGGAGGAGAAGACGAGACGAACTCGCACACGGCACAGACGAGTCCAAGTCCGCATTACCAGCATCGACATCGCCGTCGCCTCGGAAGCTCGCCTCGGGGGAATCCACCCACACCCCCCTGCTCGACTCAGAAGCCACTCTAGATCTCCCGCTATCTCGGCGGGAGATACGCTCTGCGCAGAGTCTATCGCCTTCGCTTCGCTGACGCCTGCCAGTGTCTGCGTTGGGCTTCGAGACTCGGGTTGGCGCTGGCGCGGGCTGGGTCTGGGGAGAGGTTGGGAGAGGGATCCAGACCGAAAGCGCTGATGCGTGATTGGCTCGGGCGGGCGGGCCGCGTGCCGGCGCGCGCTCAGCCGTCCTTCTGGCGTTGGGAGACACCGTGCGCTCGCTCTCGCTCTGACTGGCTCTGAGTCTGGCTCGGGTGCTCTGGCTTTGGCTGCGTGCGTGCATGGACCCGTACGCGTTGTACTCAGGAGGACGCCGCACTCCAGCAGTGTCCAGCGCGCCGCGTTCTCCGCGCACACGGATGTGGACCTCACCACGACTGCGCTCCCTATGGGCGGCTATGAACTTACGCTGGACGCCTCGCTCGAACCTTCGGTGCCGCATGATGGCTGCCAGTGCGGAGTAAGCTGGGATCGCGGGGAAGACGCAGACTGACTGGGAGCGCCACCACGGGCCTGTCTCGCTGCAACTCAAGCGACTGTGCTGCTCTGCTCTGCTCTGTTCTGGTGCCTGCGCGGGGTCCCTGGGCTCCTGCAATCAGCGCGCTATGGACGGCTTCGCGAGGAACGGTAACTATGTACACATGCAGTAGGAGACGCTCTCTGGTGGCCGCAACGGGCGACTGCTGGATGCGTGTCGACGCCGGGGCGGTTCTGGCTCTCTGCGCTTTGTATGACGACCCGGGGCGGCCCCGCCTCGCGTGTGTAGTCCGAGTCTGTCGGTTCATACGCAATGAAAGATGCGTCTCGGTCTTGGACTCAGACTGGGGACGGGGACTCGGAGTGCGTTCTGGCGATGCTCCTTCGGCCGCTGGTGCAGGCGCTTCGCGGTCGAGGCTTACCCGCCTGGTCGTGCGCAGACTCACGATCGAACTGGGAGCGGCCGGTACGCCCGACGTCCTGCGGGATCCCTGCCTCCCTGCTGTCAAGCCTGCCTTGCTGCTGTCAAGAAGACGTCGTGGCGTCGATGGTGTCCTTGTCTTTCGGCCGCGCTCTGGGATGGGCCACACAACTGTGCGGATCACGGATCATGGACAGACGACGGGCGGACGTCGAACATGATGCATGAACGGCGGTCTGTGATCAATGATCAATGATCATTCGTGTCCTGGGGCTGCGCGCGCTGGTGCGATTGCCGAGACAGCGATTGCGCTGATACATAGTGCGCGTCGGACGCGCGCGCGGCGCGGAGCGCGCAGCTCGGTATGTCCGGTGCACGGAGCTGCTGGATGCAGTGCGGAGGGGTCGTGCGCCCCGCTGCAATGGTCGTGCGCCGTTCGGGAATCGTGGATGTGCCGGCTTACTGTGCGGTGTGCTGGGGAGGAGGGCCCGAGGCTCGAGGGCACGTATGAATCTAGGACGTGGGACACGGAATGTAGAGTATGCCTCACGTATGTCTTTGCTCGAGACCGCTCTGCATCGTACGTGCGCATTGCGCCTGCATTATGCATTACAGAAAGACACAATCGGCACTTAGCCCGGTGCCGCAATCCTGTTGAACTCATGCTGGCACGCCGCCTCAGTTCGACGCGCAACAGCGCGCGCCTCGAACTGCGAGGCCTGCATACTTCGGGACGCCACAACCGTTACTACATACAGCGCGGCACGGCACAGCGCAAGGTTGGGCCTGCTCCAGGCGCGCGCTCGCGTCGAAGTCAAATTCGAGCTTTCATCTCGGTTGGTGGGAGTGGGTTCAATGAAGGCCCCGGGAGCAGTCCGTGTGTCACTGTGATTCCGATCGGAGGGTAGTGATGGAGGACGCTGGCGGATGGAAGTACGGTGTGACGGGGTCGACGGCTTGTGGTGGGTGTGCTTGCGGAGGAGCGCGTGTGGGCGACGGGTTCGTTGAGTCCGCGGATGGCTTCTGTCGGCGCCGCTGACACCCTTCCGCGTCCTACTGCGTTGGTAGGATGGCCGAAAGCTGTCTGAGTCGACGGGTGCGCGCGAGGCAACTTGCTCTACCCCGTCAGTGCTTTGACGCGCGGCCGGTACGAGTGTCCGCGTTCCCAGGGCCACCGATGTCAGCCCCGCATGGCCGCGGACGGAAAGGTAAATGGCACGAACAATGATGATATGACATGACTCGGAGAGTCGACATAGTCCCAGTGACAAAACGCGTCCGGGTTCCGTGGTCCGCAGCGATGGCGGTGCATCGGGCGTGAGCTGCATGTCCTCGCCGACGTCATCCTCCCCGTCCTTCGACTCCAGAACCCCAGCCTTACGAGAGACGAAGACGAAGATCCAGGGAGCCGGCGAGGTTGCATCATCGATTATGCGTGTGTGCGCAGGTCGTGGCTGCGCGCGGTCGCCTTCGGCGGGGTGTGGGGCGGCACGTACATAACCGCAGGCCGCCTCGCAAGATCCGGATGGACGGGATCCTGGGATGGGATGCGGCGTGGCTCACAGATGTACAGCCTGCTACTAATGAGAGGGGTGACGTCGGTGGCTTCGTGGGATTGCGAGGCCCGTGATTGGGCGCGGGAGGATCGCACTATCCGGGTCGACGTCTGTGATTCTCCTTGTGTCCTGGGGTCTCTACGGGTGAGCCTTCTCCTCGGTGCGGCGTGCGCGGATTGGGAGGATGTAGAGGGTGGCCCATCTTGCCATATGCGGCGGCGGAGTGGCTCCGGACGAGTTTGGACTTGTGGCGTTTGACTCTGGCTTCCAATGCGGGGCAGGAACGATCAGTGATGCCGCGCCCGTGTGGGGTAAGCACGGCGCCCAGCCTCAGCACCGCAAGACGCACCTTCATTGCGCCGTGCGGCCAGAACTCTGCCGTGTCTGTGGTCAAGACCACCTTCGAGCCCTGTTCTTGGCTAAGAACTCACCGTCGTTGTCCATGCGCTCTTGGATTGCCCCCGCGTAAGTGGTACCGTACTGACACCGCCGGTCGGCGGAGATGAACTGGACGAGGGAGGTGTACGCTGACCTGTTGCTCCTCGACTGGGCAAGTTGACAGAAGGCACTGCATGGCCTACGGCGGCACCGTCGTCAGATCAGTGCACATCAATAGCTGAAACGGTGCATTCGTACCACCATAAGCAAGCACAACACCAATCAAGCTAAGCTTCTTCGCTAGTACCATCAGCCGTTCCCAGTCATGGCCAAGAGCAACATGAGACATCAAGATCCGAGGTATAGCGTGGCTACAGTCGACAATTAGCGTGGTCGCGCTGATCGGTGGACAGTAGTTAGTAGCTTTGCACTTCCAGTAGAAATCACTTGAAATACAGCCAACCACGGCGTATCTTTCCCGCTGAAGCATGCGGTGAGTGATGCGCCCCTTCAGTGCCAAATGCGAGAGATGGCACCGCGAGGAACCAGACTGTTTGCGGGGAACAACTGTGCAACCTCGCCGGGCGACGCTGATCTTGAATGGTGGATCCGCCCGCAATTGGTTCGATCTTCGCGCGCGCATGTCCGGGACTTCGTTCAGGGACCGTGTCGGGAATCGAATCCAATCACAGCCTGGCCGTCAGCGCGATGCCGGAGACAGACGCAATGACAGAGTGGACCCCGGATATGTAGCACGATCTGCGACCACTGAGGCATGAAGCTTGAAGGGCGAGAAAGTTGGCACCGACGGAGCACCAGGCGCGTTCGCGCGACTGACATGGACCTGTTCTGCGGTGCGCTGCGGGATCTGGATGGGCGTGCGGGGGATCAGCGGGAAGGCCGCATCCATGATCGCCAGGCGTGCGGGGTTGGTCGCCGCGCACGATGCACGAACCGGCGGGTTCCGCACGACAAGCACTGTCACCTCCGCATGTAGTATCTCAGAGTATCTCTGAGACGCAGCTTTGAAAGCCGCCACCGCTCGACGCGGGCGATCTCCCGGGGAAGTGCGGAGATGACGCCTGGGGCAGGATCCGGATGCGCGCGGGGGAAGATTACCCAGCGTGCTATTGTGGGGGATCGGCGGGGCGCAGCAAATAGGATCACCCAGTGCTGCGCAGAGCGATCATCCACGGCCTTTCAAATGCTCTCCTGAATAACCCTCCGAGCCATGTGGAAGGGTCGATGCCAGTGTATCGGAGATCAGACACACGAGAAGGCTGGGCTGCGTCGGACTCAGTCGCTCAGACAAGAGAGCGAAGAAGAGCGACGCTCCAGCGTTCGGCCGGCGAGCTTCCCGGAGGCGGTTGTAGACACGGAAGGAGCCGCTTCCTGTGAGCATAATGGACGGTGCATGTCTAAGCAACTCAGAAAAAAGGGGTTCGGAAGTGCCAGAGGAGAAAGGCAACGTACAGCTGGAGGGGAAAACTGTAGCCTGTGTGCCCGTAGACTTGGGGTCAATGATATCCAGGGACGACCCGGGGGCCAGTGCACGGTCCCAGTCGCAGATTCGTTACTAAGAGCTCTGGGCTTGAGACGGCCCGTGTGCGATTGTTCGTTCAACTTGGATCCAACGTATATTGCGACCTTGAGAAGCCGAAGTGTTCATCACCGGAAGAGGGTGCGCGTATGTTTTCTGGAGGACGCTATCCCCTGGCTATCCCAGTATGTCTCACCGATCCGTGCCGTCGGAAGGTTTAGCCCCGGCATTACCTGCCGAACGTCCCGAAGACCCAGGGGAGTGGAGACAAAGCCGCCTCGGTAACGCAGTTGGAACGGACTACATACACGGTGAGCCATTACCTTTGCAAGAGGTGTTGTTGGAACTCACATACCAAGACATAGATATTGTCAACTGCGGCGTGACTGCAGCTGTCCATACCCCTTGATCGCGTCCTTGAGGAACGCGCCGGCCAGTTCTCGCGTCCCTGCTCTGTACTGCATGCGTCATCGACTCGGGGGCAGAGTGCGTTCGTTGACAGGCGATCCGAGGAAGACGCGCAACGGCAGATCGGGGGCAATCTCGCTCGCTCCCTTGGCCCATTCAGTCGGACTTAGCGAGCGCATGGTACTGAATGTTTCCGATTGATGTTCTCTGCTGGCATTGTCTGCGCAAGAGTTGGTGAGAGAGAGATGCCCTGGAGTAACTCCGCACCGACCCGATATACGCGGCACAGAAGGGAATACATGGCGTGTATTCGTCCTACGAGCAAGGGTGACCCATAGGGCCGGTGAGGCGTAAGGTGGTTGTTAAGTTGTTCGATAGAACAGGCTATCCTCAGCGAATAGGAAGCTCAGAGGACGCTAGTGGTGAACCGCCAGGTCGGTTTCGAGCTTCCTCCTCTCGTGGTGTATAGGCCGGATGCTGACAACGAACGTGAGTTCGGACAGCAGGAGTACCTCCCAGGATATGAATATACGAATACTCACGTCCGTGCTGTGTGCGAACGCACGTTGACTCTAGTCTACAAATCATGTAACATCTGCCATCAGAAGAATCCGAGACACAACAATTGAACAGACTGAACCAACGCACGGTCTGAGTGGTCGCTGACACACGTTGTTCGACATGAACGTCCAAAGTACGACGATCATACTATTTCTGCGACCCGCAAGGTTATCTTGGTGCGGTCATTGAACATGTCACGGAAAAATACGTACAAAGGACTCGATATCGGTGATGGGTGTTAGCAAGGCGTAAACTGGGAGCTTCTATTCTCGGAGCGTGAGGTGCGCATCCGACCGCGGTAATGCAAAAAGGATGGTGCATCATTGAAGGCCTTCCGACCCTCCGCAGAATCACAAGCTTGTTCATGGACAGCCATGATAGATTCCACCACAGATCATAGTATAATGAATCCGCTCACCGTATTGCACGCTTTTCACCATATATGCGCTGCAGTGTGACGGATGGAAACCCGCCTTAGAGGTCTGTACATGCCAGGTTGCCGCATGGTATGATACTTCAAGGCACACAGTTGGACCACATAGCTCGTCGTTGCTGTAGCTAGAGAGGACGATGATAGATAAATAAGGGTGAATAGTCGTTGAGTATTGAACGAATGTTGAATCCGAGCAGACTGAAGGTCCCTGAACGCGCCTGTCGCAGCGACGCGCGTTCGCGACGCATGCTACATGTCTCGTGACCGTGTCTCACGCCTGCAACCTCCTTAGTCCTGTAGTGACACTGACTAGTTCCGAATAGGACTTCTCCTCCTCGTTCCTCATTCCACCTCCTCCATACATACATATACTGTGGACAAGTGGCGGACCTCTTCAACTGAACCTGAAGTGGGCGTGCACGACAGAATCCAGATATGACTGAAGAAATTCGCAAGTTCAACTTTCCTATCCTGCTCGTACCTTCTTCTGTGATTCCCTCCACTTCTGTTACTCCTGCTGAGAAGTATCGGTACCTCTCACACGTCTATGCAGAGCTGTCACCCAGCCACGGCCGTGTATCCTACCTCGAAGATGTTGTCCTCGACAGAGTCCGTACTCACAAACATTTTCGAGGACTTGATATCCCTCCAAACTTTGTTTTGCAAGTTGAAATGTACGAGGTACGACAACCGTGACTCTGGTTTTGAGATATCTTGTACATACGCCTTTTGTATAGCTCATAGAACAACTTTGGCCTTCTGTCGCAACCGTGGCCAACATGAAGAACACATATGAGATTATCGACCGACAACCTGTACCTGGACAACAAGGCGATACTGTTGCAACCACAACAACCCTTGACAATGTGCAATCAGAGGAAGTTGTTGCTGTCTTAAGTGCGTCTACGAGTTTGTCATTGTCACCATTCACCACTCCGTTCAGGTGTTCCAGTCGCTCACCCAATGCCACTATACACCTTGCAAGAAGTGAACGAGTCCAATGCACAAATTCGTCTGTCCATAATCCTCTGGCTGATGCATCTCGTTACAGCCTGACAGGTCGCGAGAACATCGCTGCAGCCGCGCGATCGGAAACGTCCCTCGACAGGCGCCACCGTTGCGAGCTGTATGAACCTCAACAGGACTCTTGTCTGGATGCGGTGTACAATTCCGACCTCTCACCTGACTCCCCCGCCGATTCCATCTATCACCGGTGTATGCCAAGTTCCTGCGGCTGATGCAGAGCCCCAAGATTTACGCATGAGAGCTCGATCGTGCGCAGAAATTCGTCACGAAGGCTTAGCTTCTACAGGTCAATACCGACCGGGCGAAGAATCTGCTCGAATGGGTGCGGCTGTGCATCCAGAATTCTCATGGAGAGCGTTCTTTCCTATCATCCGGAGACTCGAACAGCGGTGTGTATTCTCGGCGAAGCATCCAATGGGTTTCGCTCCTTGCTATGATCACCGAGGCGAAGGTCGAGTTGGGGAGGGCGGCTGCGATCCAATCGCCCAAGCCGAGTCACCTACGTAGCTGTTACTCGTCGACGAGGTATGTCGTCGCAGCGCTGTGCATTGTGAGCTGATAGCATGAGCCTAGGCCTGGCCGCGCGAGAAACATGCTGTTGTCCGCTTTCATCATAGGGATGGCGGGCCCGAACATCATGTCGTGGTGCCGTGTTCGCTGACCAGCTCATCGCCAGACTCTCACGGATTACATCTCGGTCGTCCCTCGCCCAACGCTCACTCGCCGCTCACCGATTGATGACGCCGGTCGTCGCGTCGCAAGGCTCTTCGCGCGTTGAGGGGTGCATCAAGGACCTCGACGAGTACTACTCGCAGTTGGTACAAGCAATGTCGCCTGCTTCCAAGCCCCATCCATGATAGGCCCTCACTTCAAGACTTACACAACAGCGCAGACGAGGAGGTCGAGCTCACGTACACGGGCGCCTAGATCCCGATCTCAGCATGAAGGCGGTATTCGTGGCGGAGGCCAAGAGCAAGTCCGAGACGGAAAAGGTCGTCGTCAAGTTCGCGTACGCGTACAACGGCGGAGCGCACGAGCTCCTCGCGAACGCCTCGCCCCCGCAGGCACCCAAGCTGCGGTATTGCGAGTACGATTCCGACGTCGGGATGTGGGTCGTCGTGATGGACTACGTGGAGGGCAGGGAGGACCCTACTGGCGATTTACTGACGGAGCCCGTTCACGTCGACTCGCTCCGGGTGGCGGTCACGATGCTGCACGAGCACGGACTCGTGTTTGGTGACCTGCGCGCGCCGAATATCCTGCTTGTGGACGACAGGGCCGTGCTGATTGACTTTGACTGGTGCGGGAAGGCTGGCGAGGCGAGGTATCCCGGCGATATCCTCCTGGATAATATTAGCTGGCACAGCGAGGTGCGGCGTGGAGGACTCATAGATCGAGCACACGACGTGTATCTTTTCCGCCTTCTTACGCAGCAGGAGTTGTGATTGCGATCCTGAGTGCAGCAAAGTAATGTCAGTGAGGAATGGCACTTCAACAGAATCATGTGACCGTGCCTCATGGACAACAGGCGCATGCCCTCAGATGAACGCTCGGCCCAAGCAGTCTCACAACCACCATGCCAGAGCAGTCGTCACAAAGTTCAAAGAAGCGACCCCGTACCGATCGTGAGGCGGATCCTTGTGCTCCTACATCCACAAGTACTGAGCGTACTGAACAAGCATTCGACGACCGTGGTCATCGGCTCGGCTCGTCTGAGTGCGAACAGAAACCTCCCCTGCGCGATGATGAGTTTTGGTTCAAAGACGGCACAATAGTCCTGATCGCGGGCAATGTTGCCTTCCGCGTATACGAGGGATTGCTGGCTCGCGACTCCTCTGTCTTACGCGACCTTTTTGCTGGCCTCCAGCGAGTCCTTCCGAATGTGGAGATGATCGATGGGTGTCCCGTTGCCCGTCTGTCCGATCGCTCAGAGGAGCTTCGTAGTCTATTACGAGCTATCCTATCGCCCTGGGGGTTCGTCCATATCAATTGTGCTCTATCGCTTATACTCAATGCTCTTATGTATCTACAGGTACTACCGACCAGACCAGACTGTCAGCTTCTCAGTCGTTGCGAGCCTGATCCGCCTCGGTCACAAGTATCGCATGCAGCACATCCTTGACAATGCACTTGGACGGCTTAAAGGTCGCTTCAGTGACAAGCTCGAGACCTGGTTCGACGCATGGAAAGGCACGCACGACTCGGAGCCTAGCATATCGCGGCCTTCAATGACCAGCCGGCCTACCGATGCTATTGCTGCCGTCAACCTCGCTCGCCTGACGGGTGCGACATCCGTTCTCCCCAGCGCTCTCTACGAGTGTGCGAACCTCCCAACGCAGACGCTTCTGCAGGGCATACAGCGCGATGGCGATGACACGACGACGGACCGACTTTCATCGGAGGACGTCGAGCGATGTCTGGACGCCCGGAAATACCTCGTCTACGACTACTTTCTCACTACGCTGCGTGCCGTGGCACCCGAGTGCGATGAAGATTGCGAAGGGGACTCGGATTGCTCCTCGTTTTTCGGAGACAGGCTCGAGTTCCTGAGGACCAAGGGTCACGACAAAACTGGCCTCTGCCGCTATGACAGCCTGACGTATCGCAATGTTTTTGACTTGAGAGGCAGGAATATTTACGCACTTTGTGCCACGTGCGAGGCGATGATGGAGGAGCGGCACCGTAGGGAACGGCTGGAGATCTGGTGCAGGCTACCGGGATACTTTGGCGTTCATGTTCCAGGCTGGCCAGATATAGACCAGTCTGAGGAACCTGCTAGTTATTCAGACAGTGACTCTTGAGAAGAATCCCTCAAGGCGCGTCACGTCCCCCTCAGCCTGTTATCTGCATTGTAGTGACTGATACAGAACTGACAGCTCATCCAAATGATCGATGGTACATGTAGACTATGGTTGTACCGCTGCATCCCTGCCAGTGGGCTGTGTTTACTCTACATCGTATGAACGTCACGACATGGAAGTTGTAGGCGTACTGTGTGAATGGTGTGTGTGGCTGTATATGGCCGCGGAGCTGTCCGAAGTGCCGTCCTACTAAAGCACTGCTGTAATGCAACTTGAAGCGTTCGGTTCCGCGGGAACTTCATATGACGTGAGCGGATCGTTGGGATGAAATGAAGACGCATCAGAATTGCGGATCGACATAGTACAAGTTCTTGTCCAGGGAGTCGACTCAGGCTATCCAAGTCAGTTATAGCGAGGTGTGTCTGGCTGTAGCGGGCTGCGGGGTGTCGCGGGCGACATGCGCAACTTGGATCTCGTGACCGTGTCGCGTCACGGTCCCAGTGCTCCCACGACTCCGACCGGTGAAGCCGACTGAAACGGCGCAGTGTATACGGTACGTCTGCTTTGCATCCCCCTCCGCGTTTCCTGGTAATATGTTGCAGCAACGCGCAAAAACAAGGGAACAAACAGGCAGGATCTCCGAGTCGCCAGATGTAAGTTGTCGTGCAACCACAAAAACTCTGAGATGACTCTGATCATAGTAAATTCATCGCCTGCACTAGCCACTAGACGCTGTCTTGGAACACAGGCAGGAGCCTCCCACGCACGACGTTGAATTCTGGTTCGAAGATGGCACGGTAGTCTTGCGTGCAGGCACTGTGGCATTTCGTGTGTACGAGGGACTCCTGGCCAGAGATACTGTGCTAAAACCCGTTCCCCGCCTGTTGGACACCCGGACGAAGATCGATGGGTGTCCCGTCTTCCACCTATCAAATGACCCCGATGATGTCCGTATCTTCCTACGAGCTTTGATTTCTCCCTGGAGGTTCGTCTGTGTCATTCCACCCCTCGGCCAACTAAGTATGCATGTGCATCCGTAGGTTCTACCGACCGGACCAGGTTGTCGGCTTCTCTGTCGTGTCGAGCCTGATTCGCCTCGGTCATGAATATGGTGCAAAAGACATTCTAGGGAACGCACTCGAGCGGCTGCAAAGCCGCTACAGCGGCAACTACGATACATGGCTCGATGCATGGCACGGCGCGCAAGGACACAACACTACGCCTATGATGACTGCCAACCCACTGATGCGATCGCCGCCGTCAACCTTGCTCGCCTGACAGCACCCAGCCGTCCTGCCCAGCGCCCTCTACGAATGCTCGGCTCTTCCGACGCAGTCGCTTCTGCAGGGCGTACAGCGCGGCAGCGATGCCACGGCAATAGAATCCTCAGCCAGGCGGACACAGTGCGATGTCTGGACGCGCGGAAAGCTCTCGTTCACGATCATGTCGTCGCTGCGCTGCGTATCTTCGATCCCAGTGTCAGCATGCCTTGCGAGCAGCCAGCGGAGTGTTCCTCGATCCTTGATTCCCGATCCGAGTGGCTGAGGACGCAGGATCACTGGGAAACCGGGCTGTTTGATTGCCTGACATCTCGGACTGTGCAGGAATTCGTTCGCCACGAACCCCTTTGTCAGGCGTGCGAGCAGATGTTGGAGGTGCGACATCGTAGGGAACGACTCAAGATCTGGTCTCAGCTACCCGAATACTTTGGCGTAGACGTCCCAGGCTGGGTCACTACGGCATAGCCTGAGGAATCTGCTCTATTTCAGTTTGAATAGGTTTGTGTCCACCCACCGTTTCAGGCTAGCCATGACTGATCCCAAATTTGTAGATGAGTATCATAGCATCTACGTAGGGCCGAGCCGTCGCGGTGGTGCCGTATTGAGCGGCCTCTTCGCCTTCCATTCGTCACTGTGATTGGTGAGATCAGCAACAAGTTCAAACCGAAGCCACGCCATGTCTGACAGTTCTCTCTCAAAGCCGATGTATGGGGCGAAGTGGACAGAAATAAGTTGCATGTGCATTAGTTCTAACTCGTACATTGGTTTCACGTTGGGATATCTTATAGTACCGCACTCGCAATCCGCTTGCAGCGCGTCCACGTTCTCGCTCTGGTTGAGGATATCCTAGCGACCACTCCTGCCAACCCACGAGCGAGTACAGGAATCAAAGTCAGACTTTGACATTGGGCAAAACGTGAAATCTCACCCGGCTGGCTAGGTCTCATCGATATTATCCCTTCCATACTCACTGCTGCCCGAAACCCTAGACCGTATCCACACATCCACGATTCGGCAAGCCTCTTCCACAGAGCTTGTCCCTCCCTTGCTGCGAGCTCCATCAGCTTCGCAACGCAGTCTCCACAACAATCGGCGGCGCCCATCTCCACAGTTCCGTCCCAGCCATGCAAAGCGTCGTAAGGGACAGCTGGGATCACCCCCAAGCGGTATTCCGTGGCAATCGCGTCCAAAAGCTCGAAACACATGTCCTCCTTCTCACTGAAAACTGGTACAGGTCTTGATAGCGGCGCCGACTCTTTCGTGGCAGAGGTCCGTACGAGCGTTCACGTTCAGACGTCGACACTGCACTGGCAGGAGGTCTTCATGGCTAGTCGATCTATTTGTTGAAAGGAAGACCAGACCATCATATGGACCACAGGCACAACTATGACAGTGCCGCGCTCACCGTCCGCTGTCCATGGACACGAGGGCCATGTCACGCAGGCTGAGTGACAGTGCCATGAGTTCCGACTATGCGACAGTGCAAGACGCGCGTACCAATAAGGAAGGACGACAGCCAAATGCAATTGAAAGCTTAGCAGGCGCAAGAGATGTGACAGGCAGGACTATCGCGCCACCCGTAGAGCAGAAGACTTTGCCCACACGAAAGGGGCAATTTGCAAGTATAACCGAGCCGATGCATTGAGATATTCGCGTACACTGCGTCATTACAAGAAACTGCGCTGCTCACTGCCATGAACCGCTCCAAAATGGTCTCCGCATATGCACTCCGCCGCATCACCGCGCCTTCCCCCTCCAGCCCGGCCCGCCCAGCGCGCCCGACCCGCCGATGCCAAAGCCCGCAAACGCGCCGCCGGGCCCGGGCGCGCCCGCAGCAGGCAGCCCCGGGCCCTCGCCCGGCCCGCTCATCGGGCTGCTCTTGTTCTGGAACGACGAGCGGAAGGACGTCTGCGGGAGTGCCTGAATGGTGAGGAACTTGTTCGGCGTGGGGCGGTCGTCGTTGTTGTACTGCGTGCGTGCGGTCAGCGGGGGCGCGCGCAGAGCGAGGAGGGACACGCACCTGGAACTCGAGCCCGATGCCGTCCGCCTCGGAGACGTCGAGGAGCTTGGCCATCTTGCGGCCGATGCCGTTGATGCGCTCGACGTCCTCCTTGCTGCGCGTCCAGAGCTGGATGCGGTCGACCTTGCTCCGGAGGCTGACGACCGCGCCGCAGATCTCGTCGCCGTCGTCGAGGTCCTCGCCGACGAGCGCCATCGCGAGCCAGCTCCAGCAGCGGTCAAGCAGCTGCGGGTTATTCTTCATCGTGAGCACCCACTTGCCGCCGTGCGCGTTCGCGGGGTCCTCCCACATCGGCTTGATGCCCGACTTGAAGATGTGGTAGTTGGAGTTGCGCTCCAGCCGCGAGGGCGGCTTCAGCCAGTTGAAGTACCGGCAGAACGTCTCGACCGTCTCGAACTCGCCGATCACCGTCAGGCCCGCCTCGTACTCGTCCTTCTCGGGCGCGGCAAAGTGCGTCGCGCTCTGTAGCGGGTCCGCGCTCGCGCTGGGGAGCGGCCGCGCGGGGTGGGCGGAGGCGGGCGTGAAGGGGGCGTTCGACTTTGTGTCGTGGAATATTGTCCTGCATGCGGGGTCAGGGCGCGCACGCAACGCACGGAATGGACACGCACCACTTGTTCTCGAGCGGGTGCTCCGGGGCCTGGATGCGGAGGCCGGGCGTCTTGGGATCCTCGATGGTCTCCGCGTCTGGCGGCTTGGCGGTGCCGTCGACGCTGAGCGTCCTCGCCTTTGCGAGGCGGGCGGTGATCGCGTCGAGGCTGGGGATGTTCTTGTAGCCGACGGGCATCTTCTGCTTCCTCGGCGCGGACTCTGTCTCGTCGTTGAGCTTGTCGAGCCGCTCCGTCGTGAGCTGCTCGCCGGACCCCGCGTCGCTGGGCGCGGGTGTAGAGGAGGAGCTGCCCGGGGGAGACGTCGACAGGGTCGCGGGCGACACGGAGCGGGATCCTGGCGGATTGACGGTGACGGAGTCGGTCGTCGATGCCTGCGTGGACATCGACGTCTGGGAGGAGGTGCGGAGGAGTGCAGCGGCGAGGCGGGGGCGCGAGGCTGCAGAGGCGGGGTTGGAGCCGTTGTTCAGGTTGATGCGTGCTGCGAGCTGGTTGAGCGAGGGCATGCGCGACCCCGCGGCGGGGCGTTCGGGCTTTGGCTCATCGATCTTGGGGGGAGCAAGGTCGGGGGCGGCGACGGCAGAGGGAGACATCGCGGCGGGAGACAAGTCGTCTGCCCTCCCTCTGACGCGGTGGCTGTGGCGTACTGCTGGTGGCGCTAAGTGCAGCGGGACGCAAGACGCGCCTTTAGACACTTATGTACATGGGCGCATGGCATAAGCAGCTGGTTAAAGACCACATCCGCTTCGCAGGCCCAGGACATGGGCTCAAGCTGCTCTCTGCGGATCCCAGGGCAGTCCGCCATTCTCGGGCCACCCAGCGCGGCGCCTTCGACGGTGCTCAATGACCAAATTGGGCTCGACTCTCGAGGACGTCTCTTCGAAGTCCACCGCTACTCACAGGTTGTGCTGCTGTTGACTGTCAGTTAGCAACGCTTTTGGCAGCGGCGCCTTGCTTGCCAAATACTCTGCCATTGTGCATACGTTACGGGTTGACGTCATTATTCTGTGCCAGTGAAAGTCGCTCGCCTGCTCGTCGGAGTCGTTATGCCTCTTGACCATCATTATCTCCGAAGGCCGTGCTATTATGTCGAGGTACTCGCTCGGGAGTTGAATGAGGCCGAGTCAGCTCAGCGATGGGCGGAAGAGACATTCAACAAGTCTTTACAGTCCGACCTCATGTGTATCGGCATCACTGGGGCATTGCCGAAGGAATGTAAAGAAGTCGTTTGAAGGAATTGTGGAATGTCAGTACGGAATCTTGCGGAAAACATTGGATGCTGGATAACATTGGCCGTAGGTTTCATCGTTGAGCTATCTCTTTGTATCACTGCTGAACGTTTGACTGCTGAAGTCTGAATCTGAACGGACACCTTTCCGTAACGACGATCAGATTCGGGCAGCTCAGACCCGGCCTAGCATCTACGATGCTAGGGTAGTCGTTGCGTGTATGGCACCATGACCTGCATCTGCATGGCGTGCGTGGTACGGAACATACCTTTTTCGGTGTATGGGACACGTTGCGAATAATGCAACAAAGCAGGCCAATCCTGACCGTCAAAAGACCGCATCGAGAACAATGAGTGAGTCCACGCCGTCAGCGTTCCTTGAGACTGTTCAAGTCTTATATAAAGCCCCAGGTGCCTACACACGAGCGCTCAGGAAAATCCATCACATCGACAGGTCTGTGGCTCATCAGCCAGCTCCTTGCGTATCTGACCCCCGAACATAGGCATCGACATGGCAATTGGGGTCGGTGACTCTCCGGGGAAGCGAAAAGTGAAACGGCCTCGTACCGAAGACAGTCGTGGTGAGCAAGTGACGCGAACAACGAACCCCGACCTCTGGTTCAACGACGGTAGCATCATCCTCGTCGCGAGAGGCGTCGCCTTCCGTGTCTACAAAGACTTGCTCGCCAAATCGTCCAGAACTTTTCAAGAGATGTTCACTCGGCAGCAACCAGACCCGCCGAGAAGATCGAGGGTTGCCACATCGTCCATCTTGACGATTCGCCCCTCGACGTCGCTAACATGCTCAAGCTCGTCTTCTTCGGCACGCAGTGAGTGTGCTCCAGCGCATCCCACATGTCTTAGGGGCTCACAGTTGTCCAGGCTCTACCCGTCCGACGAGCAAGTAGGCTTCCCCTTTGTCGCCAGCTGGATCAAGATGGCCCACAAGTACCGCATGGAAGGCACCCTCGCGCTCGCGCTCAAGCGCCTCAAGTCGTTCTTCAGCGACGACCTCGACGACTGGCTCGGGCTTCCAAGCACGGCGAGACCTACTGCATCAGTGTCGAGCCTCAGGACGCGATCTCCGCGGTCAACTCGCGCGCCTCACCGGGACGACCACCATCCTGCCGTCCGCCCTGTACATGTGCTCGCAGCTGTCGTCGAAGGAGCTGCTTCACGGCGTGGCCCTCGCAGACGGCGCCATGGAGAGGCTGGACGACAAGGACATCCAGATGTGTATGGATGCGCGGAACGTCCTCACGGGCCGCACCATCCTCTCGGTACTGGAGATCTGGGCCTTGCCCGTCAGCTCGGGATGCTACGACGAGGACGCTTGCCAGCGCGCTTTAGAGGCAGAGGTAGACGTCACACGCCTCGAAGACCGCTGGTTGGCCGACGGCGTTACGATACTCTCCCGGGGGGCCGAGAATCTGGTCAGCAACGCTGCGCTGTGCTCGAGGTGCAGCAAGATGGTCCGGAGCCGGATGAAGCTCGCGCAGCAGAGGCACTGGGCGAGTTTGTCCCAGATGTTTGGAGTCTGGACCCCGCTCCGGGTCTCAATAGGTCTGGCACGCGGCCACGCGGCAGCGATGTGGGCGAGAACGACGACCAAGATGATGACGCGACGCAAGGTACCGCCGACGACGTCCCATCGGACAACGAGAGCGCGGGCGAGGACGCCAACGAAGGGGACGTCCACGAGGAAGATGCCACTGCGAAAGATGCCAAGAAAGACTGCCGGCGGAGACGACATTGAAGACGTGGACGGCGAAGTACAGGCTGTGGAGCACACGGACTCGGGCGTGACTGTGGACGCGGACTGTTGGTCCGAGCATGACTACGATGAAGAGGAGGCTAATGCTGACCTTCAAGACGGCGAGTATACGACCGGATATCGCCTTGTGATAAGGGAAAACCTGGACGATCCTGACCGCGTACTAGGATCTGATGACTTGTTGGAAGGGTTCGATGTTCGAAGGACCACCGCGTGATGGACCTCGTCCTGGACCGCCATGATGCTTGACCCTCGCGTTCTTGTATGCTGCATGATTCAGTATGTTGTATGTACCATTATGTTGATCCCGCTTATCATGCACTATTCCGCGCGCGACGTTCGTGCGTGAGTCTATGCACCACCCACCCAGTCGGTTTGCATGCAACGAATCCAGGATCAGCGAGATGCGATTCATATGATCAGATTATTTCGCGTGTGACAAAGGCTGCCTAGTCCTCCTTGAAGTTGAAGAAAGTCGGGAGCTGCTCCCAGACTCTTTCCTGCGCGTCATTCTCTCTCCCCTGAACCAGCGACACGCATCTCCCACACAGAGTGTCACTCCAGCCCTCCATATCAACACAGTCAAATGCGTCGCACAACAGCGATTGCTCGTCAACCATGCAGGCGTTCATTGAACTGAGAACTTCCAAGCAATCATCTTGAAAGCACTCCTCTGCTGTGGATGTCATAAACGCCTCCTCCCGAACCTCTAGCGTTGCAAGTCGCAGATGCGGGGCGCCCGCGACAGCGCGCCTAGTGACCTCGTCGAATGCCGCTGATAGAGGGTCCGAGTCCTTGAGCGATTCATCTACCTCGGGCCCGCCACGGCGTACGTGCTGACACAGACGGTAGTAGGCGGGGCGCAAAAGCGAGGTATCCCCCACGAGCCGTGCGATCTCAATGACTCGCAGAGAGTTTGTTTTCGTGTCTTCGTATTTCATGGTGTGGCCGGCCGGATATTCATCCAGCACTTTGATGAGCGCGTGCATGGTGCCTGGGAAGAGCGCCTTGATACGACTCATGGCTTCGTCCAGCACGTTCTGTACTTGATACTTGTGCGCAATGTGGACAAGCGTGTTAACAACTTCAAAATCGACTTTCTTGTCCGGTTTGAAATGTCTGGAACGGCAAACCGTCAGCGAGCTGATAGGCACCAGGTAGGAGCAACAGACTTGTTATTATGATAGAGAGTGAGCAGAAGGTGGCGCATATCGTCCGCGGAGTCGGTCACGTCTACCGCTGGAACGTCGCTTGAGGTCCCTGCGTCTTGAGCCTGAGGGATGGACAGCATGTCGCGGAACAGGTCGGAATGGAGGGAGAGCACGCTGCGATGTACGCGGAAGGCGATCCCTTCCGCGACAATGTCAATGTTGCCGTCGTAGAACCACGCTTCCTTGTCTTTGACCAGATCCTTTTTCAGATCCTCCTGGATGGCACTGCCTTCGGTACGCGGCCGCTTCAGCGGGTTTGACATGATTGCGAAGGTTCAAGTTTGGCTTCAAGCTGTGCCGCTTCCGAGTCGCTATTACCTGACGGATGAGTCCAACTTACTTCATCATATATGGGTGAATACGCGTGCACGTACGGATTGGGAACAACGGCAGAGAAAGGTTTGTTCGTAATGCGTGGACGCCGTGGAGATGATCAGTCCAAGTGCGTCGTGCGGCTGCCAGAGCAACCGTGCATAACGCGGCCACGTGATCGTGCAATTTGACTGGGCATGGCTGGGCGGGTACTTTGGAATTCTCTGTGACTGAGTCGCATAGCAGACGCAGCAAATAATAATAAACCCCTACCAGTCAACTCTCCAGTGCGCCTATGAATCAGTAAGTGACAGTAACAGAACACGTTCATGGCACACGCAATGAGTGCGACTCGCGACAATAGATGACCTGGCCGCAGCCTGAGGACCGTGGTGATCGCTTTCAATGACTCAGAGTCTCTCGCTCCAGAGCAACGTCAAATGAATACATGTTTTAGAGCATCAGGGCCTCGCGTCGCTAGGCCTATGCACGTACTGTATGCTCGTGTCTGTTGGCAGTACTTCCGTGACGGTTTGCGAAACTGCTTGTTAGGCTTAGTGTCTCCGAATCGCAGAATTAGAGACCGGAAGTAGCACTGTAACTTACTGCTAGGCTGAGGCAAATGAGAAATGATACTGGCTCTGGAGTGTAGGTGCGTCTCGCGACTTGTCGGCAGTGCAGATCCTTCACACCTACTAGTAGTATCAGTGGTGAGGGCTGCGCTCGTTCATTGTATGTCCGTGTCTGCAGTAAACTATGGTAAACCTCGGCGACTCGAAGGCGACTGTGTGACACTAGCAAAATTAAATATAACCGCAGATTAGTGTATACCGCGCGGGAGTGCTGCCTACTAGTCGTCACGGAAGTTGAAGAACTGCGGAAGCTGGTCCCAAACCAATTCCTGAGCGTCCTTCTCTCTTTCTCTGACACGCGCCATGCACATCTCGCACAAGACTCCATCCCATTCCTCTACATCCCCATGCATGAATGCATCGCACTCCTCGAGTAGCGGTTCTTCCGTCCAGAAGCTGGTCATCCCCTCCATAGCATACAAACATTCATCACTGTAGCATCCGGATGCTCGATACGGTACGAAGGTCTCTTGGCGCACCTCAAGGGTTGCATCTTTCAGAGCTCGCATGCCCGCAGTGGCCTGTGCGATGTCCTCGTCATACGCCGTTGAAGAAGCCTCCTCGGACGGTTTTGCCGGCAGAGACCTGCGGCTGTATCGTAGGAGCTGGCATAAACGGTAGAAGGCGGGGCGTAAGAGCGACGTGTCCCCGACAAGTCGTGCGATCTGGAGAACGTGAAGTGAATCGATGTCCTTGGATCTCATGGGGAGATCGGGCGGGCGTTCGTTCAGCACTTCGAGGAAGTCGTCCAGGTTATCTGGATAGACTGCCTTTATGCGGCTCATGGCTTCGTCCAACACATTCTTCACTTGGTACTTGTGCGCAATGCGGGCGAGGGAGCTGACCACTGCAAATTCTGCTTGGGTATAAGGTTTGAAGTGCCTTCAAACAATGTCAATGAATCAGCATACACATATGAAAGCATGGAGAGACGACAGACTGTTATTATAGTAGAGAGCGAGCAGCAAGTGCCGCATGTTGTCCGCAGAGTCAGTCACTTCCACCACCGGTATATGACCAGCGTCCCCCGCATCCGTGGGCTGGGGAATAGACAGCATGTCGCGGAAAAGTTCGGAATGGATGGTAAGGACACCTCGGTGAACACGAAAGGCGGTCCCTTGCGCAATGATGTCAATGTTGCCGTCGGAAAACCATGCCTCCTGGTCCTTGACCGCTCCGGTATTCGAGTCTTCATGAGCATTGCTATCCGTGCGCGGTCGTTTCAGCGGGTTTGGCATATTCGCAACGCCGACTCAGACGACTGGGTGCTATGTTTCGCTAGTTGCTTCGAAAAGCTGTGATCCACCGGAAGAATGTCTGCCACCTATCTTGATGAACAAGCCTGCAAGGAGCTCGCATAGATCAGTGACGTTGAGCAGAACGAACAATGCGACCGACACGGTTACGTCGACTCGGGATTGAAGTCGACACAACGAGCGCTTCGTCAATTGAACTCTCGAAAAGTTCAGCGCGACGAGCGTGTGAAGGCTGATAGAAAACTCTAGTTCGGCTTGAAGGTTGAACGTTGAGTATACGTACTTGAGTACTTACGATAAGTCCTGGCGAGGTGTCCACTGTGCGGCATACTCTCAGGGTACGCGTTCAACTTGTCGCGTTGTAACGCGGGCACGTGATCGAGCGATTTCTCAGTCAATCCACTGCTCACTAGTTGGCAAAGAACGTTGACTCCTACTATGAAGGTCCCCGCCCCGTGGAGGCTAGAGATTCCCAGCGGTTTGCGTAACTGGATTTCAATGAAGCATTATTAGTAAGATTATGGTCATACAGTACCGTGAAACGCAAACCATCATCACTCGTCATTTTGAGAGGCTGCAATACAATTTCTTTCTACATAGCGGTCGGACTTGAGAGTGATGTATTCTCTCTGGTCTACGTTGGCAAACAGTAGAATACAAACAACATCTTCGGATAACATGGGATTCGTGCTCTTGGTCCGGGTATCACTTGAGATTGAGTATGTACCTCTCCGGAAGTGTGTTCCATATATCCTTCTGCACCTCCAGTAATCTGCGTTTATATGATGCTATGCACCACCCACATAGGACCTCATCATATTCGTCTATCTCCATGCAAGTCAACGCGTTGCAGCGTGTATCACTATACTGTATCATCATCAATGACTCGATTCCCTCCGTCATCCTGGTCAAGCCGTCGTCGCATGTGTCTTGGAAACAGTCCTCGGTTTTACCGTCTTGCAGGACCGCACGCTTGACAAGCATACTTATATTCGCCAGGTAGGCCCTGCCCGCCATACACCGTTCCATGTCCTCATCAGACAGGCGCTGTGAGGGCGAATAGGTACCGTCCGATTGTTTGCCGAGGAGGGGCCTGGCTTGAGTTGGCAGCAACGGTAAAAGGCGGCTGGTAGGAGTGAATTATCTCCAATGAGTCGTGCGAGCTGGACAACCTCGAAGCAGTCGGTGTTTTTGTGCTCCAAAGTGGGGCTAGAAGGGGGAGCTTTCAGGACTTTCAAGAAGTCTTCCAGGTTTGATGGGTAGAAAACTCTGATGCGACCCATTGCATCGTCCAGCACGCTCTGGATTTCATACTTGTGCGCGAGACGGACGAGGCGACTGACAACTCCGAAGCGCGCTTTTTGTTGCGGCCTGAAAGATCTAGATGAGAAGTGCTGAGTCTCACAACCCGTGAAGATAGAAGAGCCGCGCACTCATCCCGATAGTAGAGAACAAGCAGCAGGTGCCGCATGTCGTCTGCGGAATCCGTAACTTTCACAACAGGAAAATCCCCGTCATCCCCCGTAGCGGCTGGTTGAGGAATCGACAGCATGACACGAAAGACCTCGGACTGAGCGGAGAGCACAGTGCGATGGACGCGAAAAGCGATCCCCTCCGCGACGATATCGATGTTGCCGTCAGGGAACCAGGCTTCTTTGTCTCGAATACCAGTGGAGACCTTTTCTTCGGTAGGCTGTTGACCATCCTCATCATGGTCAGTGCGAGGTCGCTTCGCGGCTGGGTGCGACATGGCTTGTCCTCCGATGGGTTCAAGTTCCGAGTCAGAATCGCGGCCAGCGCAGGTGGGCCACGTTAAGCTATGTAATTAACGGAGCATGATTCAATCACCACCGGACAGACGGATATTACGACACACGTACTTCAACGAACGAGGTGCGATATGTCAATTGCAGTGGGCACAATGTTACTGTAGTAGGTCCAGTGCTTCGCGTCGCGGTCAGACGCGTCGCATGTATCATCGGCAAGGGCCTTAAACGTGACATAAGACGAATCTCATTGGCTGGACAGCGAACGACGCGCATTTTGGACAGGCAGGGAATGCCCGACCGGTGCCCGATGCGCACTGAGCGCTGTCACACATCGAAAACGCCGAGGCGTCTAGATGACTCGTGACTAAATGGAATACCCTCCTCCTCCTCCTCCTCCTTCCCTCTGCCGCCACTCTCCGTCTCACATCCATCCCTGACGGCCCTCGAGCTTGGGCTCGAGCGTGCACGGGCACCACTGGCGCAAGTGCGGAAACGGCTTCGCCAAACCACCATCGAAAGCTCACGGAACGCGACGATGTGCAGCACCACGCGCACAGCGACCATGAGCGCGCAGGGCCAAGGCGCTGCGTGCAGACGCGGCCGGTGAACGGGCGGCAGGCACAGGTCAGACGACAACCACGGAGAAGGGTGGTAGGGCGGTCAGGGAGGAGGGCGGTCAGGAAGGAGGGCGGTCAGGAAGGAGGGCGGTCAGGGAGGAAGGCGAGGGGCTGGCGGACGTGACGTGCAGCAACACAAACAGCTCGAGCACAACACGCATGGCGACTGCGAGCATGCAGCGTCAATGTCCTGCGTGCAAACCCGGCCGACGAACGGACGGCGTGCGCGAGATCTAAAGATGGACATCGGGAAAAGGTGAGTGCAGACGCATGCGCTGGCTGCAGTCACAAGGTGCGGCGACGTGAAGCACGGCGGGTAACGGCGCGCACGTCAATCGTGAGCGCACCGGGCGAATGCACGTCGCGCAAACACCACCGATGGACGGACCGCCGGCGTGTGAGCGAATACCGCGCAAGGGCAAGTAGACGGTGGGCGCACGGCAACACCACCGACCACTAGCACGCAGGGAAACAGACCCCTGTGCAAGCCCGGTGGATGAGCAGACCACGGGCCTGAGCATAGCGGCGAGCAGGGGGGAGAACGGGTGGAGGGTGAGTGTGGAAGCGAGTGAGTGCGGACGGGAGCGAGCGGATGGTGGGGAAGAATTGCCCGACACGCACGCATGGCCGACGAACAGACTCCACGCGCTGAGCAAAAGGCGAACAACGTTGGGCAGGCCCGCGCGCGCGCAACACACACCGACCGCGAGTGTGGAGGGCGAATGCCCAGCACACAGAGACGAGCGACGAACGCGCACGTAGGCAGACGGGCGGACGGGCGAGCGGCCACACACCCGGGCGACAACACTCGCACCGCGATCGCGAGCTCACAAGGGAATGTCCAGGACGCAAGCCCGGCCGACGAAGGGACTGCGGCGCGCGCGCGAGCGAAGGCCAGGGCCAGGGCGTGCGCAACACGCTAACTACGAGCGCACAAGGCCAGTGCCCCACGTGCCAACGCAGCCAACGAGCGCGTCGTGTGTGCGGGCACAGCGACGAGCAGGCGGGAGCGCGTGAGGATGGGGACACTGCGTGTGCGAGCGAGTGGGGAGGACGGGAAGGACGGCGGGTGCGAGCCCAAACCCGCGCAGATACCACCGAGGTAAGTCAACCCGGGTAGGGTACGGGTACGGGTACGTGGGTCTGAGTCGCGGGTCGCGTGTAGGGTATGTGCCCTCCGCAGTACTATCCACATCCGTACTGGCCCCATTCACTACCACTAGCTATAGTTTGGATAACATGTATGACTTGATCGTAAACACAAATTATGCCACCCGTGCTATGTTACATGATGTTGACAGTACTACTGCAATACTGAGTAAACGGCATACTTGAACCCCAATCCGTGCACGGGGTCCCGCTAGTACAACACATGCGAAGACCAACGCAAGTGCCGTCAAGGGAGGGCAGAAAACCGAGTCTATATATCCTCCGACGCTCCGAGCATGCGCATGAATATACCATATGTAATCATCTCGTCCCTCTCCCTCTCAATCTTACTTATCGAGGCCGCGACATCTTCTGCAGAACCGACCCACATTGCACTGCGCTCGATACGCTCGATTTCATCCATCTTGAACTCAAGGTCTCCAAAGAGGTTGATGAGCCGCGCCAGGAAAGTTCCCGGCTCCACTAACGGCTTGAAATCGGCATGAGCGGAGGACAAGACAGTCAGAGCCTCCGCCCTCTTTGTCAGAAACTTGTGCTTCTTGTCTCCGATGGCGATGAGCGAGTCGAGTTGCCATTGCTGGATCGGTTGGAATATCTTGTTTGTCGGATCGTATCCAGCGACGGTGTAAACGTAGACGTATAGGAACGATTCGAGGTCGTGGCGATACTTGTGCACTGGAGGATCCCCTTCGCGTAGAAGGTCCAGCGCCATGAACGGGCCAGTGCCGGTGCGGTATCTCGGTTTCTGCAGACGCTCGCTCTCCGACGGCACAGTCGTCGACCCCGGAACTTGCTCAGCGTTGGCTTGACTCTTCGGTATATTCGACGTATCGGCCGTCTTTGCACCCGTGCGCGTCCATGGTAACCACGAAGTGCTCGCCGCTTTCGCGGGTTCAATAGTTCGAACATCGCCGTTGCTATGATCTTCCGCGAGATCCCAGTCGCAGATCACGCCAACAACCTGCCCATCCTTCATGAACCACATGATGTTGTTGGTGCTGATATCGCGGTGAAGTATCTTCGACGTTTCGTACACCCAGTAATGAGCTAAAAGACTCGTCAGTGAGAACTCTGGCTGGCACTAGATACGACGTACCACGAACGACATCCACAAACACAATGTGGAAACCCTCCGCAGACCCGATGTCCTCCAAGCGTCGGTAGCGCTTGAAAATCAGAGTGCGGCAAACGCGCAGGTCTTGCTCCTCGGGGTAGGTCCCCATCGCAACACGCGGCAGGTCCATCTCCTCGATGCTCTTCGTGACCGCGCACTTCATGTCCACGACATACTCCAGGTATTTCGCTTTCTTCGCGGACAATTGCCGACGAACAGTACGTATCATCCTGTCTTCAGCCTGACGCGCCTTGTGTGGCCACGCCACCTTCACAACGAGCGGTTCCGACCCGCACATCTCGAGCGCTGGGCCACCCTTGGCCTTTACAGCGATTATCGTCGTCCCTCGACCAATGAGACCGAAAGCGGTGTCGACAGGGCGGATCTTGTCGGCTTCATCAATGTCGAACTCGAGCTGGCGTGAGACACCCTGCGCATCCCGAACCTCTAGTCGAACAAGCGCCTTGGACAACGCATAGCCCCGGTCAGGGTGGAAGACATCTCGTTCTTTATTGAGCTCGTTGAAGCTGAGGATCGGGTGGATTCCCAAATCGTGCACGCCTGCGCCTCCTATAGCGGCAAGAACTAGGAGAAACAGATGGGCTTCCTTGTCCAGGAACTTGAACGCCCTCGTGAACACGATACCCATTCGATCACCGTAGACGACTCGCATCGCGTTCCCTTCGATGAGGAGTCCGATAGCATACGAGCGGACATTGGACGACATAATGTGGTTCACGTATCGCACGATTTGGACCTCCTTGGAGGACATGCGGCGGTGTCCGCCAGGCGTAGTACGCCGCGGGCGCTTGGAACCGGGTGCCGGGACCTCCTCCTCGGCCTTGCGCTTCCGCTTGCTCACGGAAACGGCCCCGCTGGTCTCCTGCGGTACGTCTGCGGTCGACGTATGCGCATCGTCTTCGAGGAGCGCCTCGACCTCACCATCTGACGCAATCTCGTCCTCAGGTGCCTCGTTCCTCGCCTCTGATACGGGCTGGCCTTCACGGTCCGATCCGGTCTTGTCAGCAGAACTGTTCCCAGCTACTTCGCCCTCAGCTTGAGAGCGGGGACGAGTGGCCTGCTGTGGGCAGATCAGCTGGTGGTGACCAGTGGGGTAGGATGGGACGAACCGATATAGTGAATGTACCATTCTCGCAGCGTACAAATACGTCACTCGCCTTCTTGATCTTTTCGTGGTTCTTCCCAACCTCAATGGGGACCAACTCCCACTCCCACACGGGCTTCCCCATCGACATGCCGTAGGTGCCATCCGGCTTGTCCTTTGACTTGCGGACGTTGATAGCTTCGCAGTCGTGTTTAATGAAGCGGCCCGAGTACATGCGTGGCGTACGGTCGGGGCGATCCCAGTGCTGTTTGACATGGAGGAGCCGTTGCCGACGCGCCTCGGTATCGTCGGCTGCTTGACGAGTGTCGTGGCCGCCCTCCACGTTCGGGCCATAGAGCTGCGTCAAAAATCCATTGGCCATAAGGTTAAGCGGCTGATAGCTGGATCTCTCGTCGCTGCTAGTACGGTATTCTTTGATATCGGCCCCCAAGAGCGAGTAGCAGTCGGCGTCCTTTGCCTTCGCAGCCTGCCTGCGATACGGAGTCGGTGGTATGTGCTCCCAGCCGATGCCGAACACAGCGCGTATGAACGTCTCGACACCAACGTCCCGATGAATCTTATCGGTGTACTCCCGGTAAATGAATTCATCGTGCCTGGGTTGCCAGAGCATACAACTGGCGTCCTGGACGCTATCAACGGCACTGATCTTGTGGGGCGTAGACTTGACAACTTTGGGCTCTGAAATCTTCAAGTTAGCATGATGATCAAGACCACCGAAACAGAATCCTTACGTTTCTCTTTCTTGGGAGGAGTACGAGGCTCCCGGCCGGGGCCGGGCGGCGCCGAGCGCAGGAAGAACATCTTGCGACCGGGACGGCGACGGATACCTTGTGGAGGCTCGACTTGTTGAAAGTTGAGGATGAAGAAAGCTAGAGGATGACTCGGTGGCTCTGCGCACAGAGCGAGCGGTGGCCAGATGCCTGCGAGTGGGAGCGGACGACAACATTGCACCTGGGGCGCGTCCATCTTTATATACACGCCTGCGCGTGGTGAGAGAAGCGTGTGGCTGCCTGATTTCAGACTCAGCGCTGTGGTCGGTGAGTCAGAGAGAACAACGCACTGCGGCTCGTGGTCGTACAAGTTCAGCAACGCCTACCAAATCGGGGAGACAATGCAAGCAGCCACGATCAGTGATGGCACCGTGGGAGACCCGGCAGACGCCGGCATGGGCGTTAAAACGCGCCCAAGATCTGCGTCCCGTTCTAGGAGTGTACAGCAGGTGTACAGTAGTCTATACCTGCGGCGTACATAGTGATGGTCAAGCAATGGGATCAGTTTGAGGGGTGGTAGCTAATGGTGTGGTACGAGGGCAAAATGGCGGCATTTCGAGTGAAGGTCTTCAAACGTTCAAGTGCTCAAGCGCCGGGATTGTCCAGATGGACGTGTACCATGTCTTCACTAACATCCCTCACTAGCGTGATAGTATTGTACTACATACATACGTACATGAACACAACATGGAAACAGACGAAGGTCGAAGGTAGATCACCGGATATGCATCCATACAGGGTGCAAATGAATGGGCCCACCGAGCAAACGGAGTATCATGAAGGTCCTCAAGCGACATTAGTGGACTCCTGTGGTTTCGTAAGGAAAGGCTCGCCCTCAGGCCGCGGAGCCTCCTGGTCATGCTGGCTTTCTTCAGGAGACTTCGACTTAGCCTCCGGGCCAGGAGGAGCGACGGAAGGATCGGGATTACTCTGCTCTTTCCGTTGCTGCGGCTCCTCCCGTTGCCTTGCGAATCGTTCCAACCACTGCCGTCTCTTATTGCTTTGTATCCGTCCCTTCTCGCGCGCAGAAGAGATCTCATCTGAGTCGACGACGCGCCACAGATAGTCTTCGGTGTCGGAGACAAAGAAGAGCCGGTACGTCCGTACGCATACCTTGATCTCCAACCCGCCATGCGCAACGACCTCGGGTACTTCATCTGTTGCAATTGGTAACCTCGATCTAAAGACGTCAGTATCAATACCAAACACACTCCAGCGACCTTGGACAGGACTCACTTCCGGAGGAACGGCCGCTTAGAACCTGCGCGGGTAGGGACCCCTTGTGTCCGGTCGTCCTGAAATTGTGGTCAGGCAATGCCACAGGCTAGTGACAAAGACATCGCTTACTGATACGTATGATTGAACGTATGCTTGCCACCGTCCAGTGAGCGCCTCGGAGTCGACAAACCTCGAGTCATCCTTCCCGAAGAGTTGCACAGTCACCATCTTGCTGTCAGGCAGCTAAGGCCAAGTCGTGTTCATCAACACGCTGTACAGATTGCGCGGAGCATCTTACCCAGTCTATTCGGAAGATGTTCTCGTCAGGCCCAACCACCCGTTCTGTGTTCCGCCGGGCATTGATCTGGTCCTGAGTTGTTGGCGACACGAGTTCTCGATTTCAAAAATTCATTGTACGCGTCCCTATTATCCAGCGCGTGTTTGACGCGATCGAAGAACTGCGTCTCGTCGGGTGGACTTAGCGGCTGTGGTACCGGAGGCGCAACCATGGTCGGTGGTGGAACTTGCATAGCTGATCCAGAGGCTGCGTGAGTGCGCTTGAGATGCGTGTGGTCGACGTGGGGAGGATGGGCCCGCTGCTACTCGCCGCGAGACAGCTGGCGAGGGAGCGTCGCTGCCGTGAGCCTGCGAAGGCCGGGATCTCTTCGTCTGCTTCGTGATTAATTAGCGAATCACGTACTACCAGATGTTCATACCTTGCTAGTGGCTGACTTTGTACAGACTCCTTGTCCTTGTCCTTGTCCTTGTCCTTGTCCTCAGGCTATTTGGCTGTTTGACACATGAAGCAGGTTTGACAAACCGCACACATAAACAGGACATTCGTAGATGAGCCAGAGCCGCAACAAAACCCAACGTAAAAGACTGCCAAATCCACCCTAGCAAAGAAATCGTCAGGAAGCGGTTGGTGGAGGTATGAGTACCTACCATTACTAGCCATCAGTGCTTCACCGAGTGACCAGGTGCGTGGAATCTTGAGGGAATGTGTTCAAGAGACACTGATGTGCGACGCCGGATAGTGGATTCCCCCGCGAGAGGGTGGTGACCACCGCACGGGAGAGGACCGCGCGAGCACATTTCAGGGCGGCGGTGTGAAGTACGGGCCTACGGGGAGTCGGTAGAAGGAGCGCCAGTGTGCGGCAGGTCCAATCAGTGACAGGTGATGCGTGCAGAAGAATTGAAGTGTATCCATAGTTTGAACTTGAACGTGTATAATGGGACTTGACTACGCATGGTATCCGGCGCATGTGCGTTGGTAGATGAGTGAAACATGTGCATCCTATCGTTGCCCTCCTGCGGAACATTGGCGGTGGCATGAGCTTCGCGATGGGTATGAGAGTCTCGCGAACGGTATGAATACAACCCACGATAATGAAGAGTAAGGTTGGCACTAGACTTTTGCCAGTCAACATGACCGGTGCATTAGATGCACACACCATAGGGACTACGTGGATACGAGGCCTGAGGTGATTTGTGAAGATCATGCACGTGTATTCATACGCAAGCCTTCTGGTGATGCGTACCGACTTGGGCCTCCCTTTGTGTGCGCGAGAACACGAACTTCGACGTGTGAGGCGTCATGCATTCATGCGTCATCAGTCATACACGATGCATTGCGTGTTCCTAGAGGAACGATCAGTCAGATTCGCTCACAAGGAGATCCATTCGAAGTACAAGGAGCACAAGATCCGATTCCAGCGCCCCTGGATCTGGATCTACAAGAATGAAGGCTCACCTGAGCTTCGATTGCAACCGGGGCAACACTTGCAAGGCGCACCGCGAAGGCAATCTGAAGTGACGGTCAGATGGTACAGGGTCCGCCGTGCGCCTTGCACCCAGCTACGTAGTCAACATAAGGGGTTCAGAAGGAGGCTTCAACATGCAGGAAGTGCACGTACCTCAGGAAGACCGATTGTGCGTATTCTCAGGCAGACGACTAGGCCAGGCCTCGCCATGTCATGGGTACTAGTTACTATCCGGAGACTGTCAGTTACCAACGAACGAGCGCCCCCCATACGTGGACTTGTGAAGTCCCTAGCACAATGCCAGTGTGGGTCGGCCGAGATGGCAAGGGTCCTGGATAGCTTACATTACATAGTGCGCATGCTGGACGGCTCGACGCCCCCGGTGTTGTCACTAAGCGGTACGACGAGACCTTGCTAGTTATTGCTTACAGATAGTAAGGGGGCGACATTTATGAGTCTCAGGAACCTGTGGGATGGCATCTGTACTACGCACCATGCTAGTGTTGCACAAAGGCTGGTACGAGAGATGGGGTACAGTTCCGACGATGTAGTATACGCGCCGCCCCTCGGACAGAAGAGCTTGACAGCACTAGAACAGCATTCGCTCAAAGCGAAAGAACAAGTTTATGGGTAGCGTGGCGACGATGCACAATGTGCTATTCCTAGTTCTTCTTCAATATAACCGGCGGAATAAGCAACTCAATGGGCGGAATACTATGCAGAATACCCGCAAGTCTGTCACGAGCCTCGATTGCTGTCAGCCTCATGCTGTTGTCCGTCCTGACGATGTGGGCAAGGTTTTCATCGAATTCCGGTATCGTCGACTGCATCGTGTTCGTTATCGGGCAATGGCCAGATGCTCTACTCATGACTCACCCGGAAGTCCGAGAAGCTCTCAGCAAGCTGCCATACGTCTACTTTGAACGGATCGTACGGTTGTCTGGAGACAACCTCTGGCGGTACCGGTCGTTTGTAATCCCGTCCGGGTAGCCCTGTGAGCAAGCGCTGCTCAGGTGGGACGTCCGTCGAGAATTCGACAGCCATCTCGAAGTCGGTGAGGAAAACGCGTGGTCTACAGATAGGCACTCGCTTGGTCGTCAAGGATTCTGGGAACCATTGAATCCGATAGTTGTTCCGGTGTGCATCCTGCGTCCGTTAATCACTATGTTACCGAGGGGATGCAAAGGAGATGCGCACTCTGTGTGCGATGTTGTTATCGTGTATGAAACAGAGTGCCTAGAGTAAAGTATCAACGACGTTGAGCATGCGAGCGTGCGACAGAGTGGTTCGCGGCTCACCTGGAATGTCTGCAAGACGATGTCAACTAGATCGCCGACAGAGTTCTTCGCCCAGAATCCATAGCACTCAAACAGACTGTGACCGATCCAAGGCGTGACTACGAAGGTGAGGCCTTGAAAGTAAACTTCTTGCCACAGCGGCGCGATGTGGTTCTCCGTCAGTAGCCCTGTTGATCCTCGGGCCAATTTACGCAGGATTTCGAGATGTTGCGCGCCCTCGTTGCCTATGCAAACGATGCGTACCACAACATTATGGCCTTCTAGAGTCGTACCACAGCACGTGAGAGGATTCTAGTCCACGTCGCCAGAGTATGAGCACCGCTTTTGCTGCTCGTCTCACTCAACAAAATAAAACTCACAAAGCCACTGAATTTCCTCAAGTATGTCTCCCATTTTTCGCCACGCGTCGAAGTCAGGTATGCCAAGCCGCTAGAGAGCATCGTCCGCCGAAGATCGTCCCTGAAGTATAGCCCGTCATACCGCCACAAATCTACACCAGCGGCGTAAAACGTCGCCCGAAGGGTTTCCCATATACGCGACTCCTCCTCCAATGTATACGGCTTGGGTGAGCGCCATGAGTCTAGGTCGCGCGGCAGCTGAGGAGCCGTCTCAGTTTTCCACGGGCAGGTCGATTGTTGACTTACAGTGTCCCTGATATTCACCGTCTTTGTAGCAGGCGGTTCCTGAAGCTTCCTCGACAGTAGGAACTGCGCAATCATGCCAACTGTTACTGCGGCGCCGATCCCGAGGAGTGCTGTGACCTGAATTGGCGACGACAACTTCAAAGTCATGATGGTTTGATGATACACACAACACTGAGCGCGCGCAAGAGCCAAGCCACTTCAAGCTGGCGGGCGAGAAAGAGAAAGCAATAGTGACGCTAGCTAGAGAGGTACGTGCGCGTGAGGAGTCCGGGGGCCCAGAGAGGATCCAGCAGCCGCGTTGAACGATGAACGCGCGCCTACGCCAGGTCAGGTGACCGTGTCGCGCATCCGCTTGTAAGTAAGTAGTACCCGTACGTACGTTGTACTTATGTAAATCGACAGTGATTTCTCTTTGCACCAACAGCATCCAGCATCCGAGTCGGTGATGTGACAGCGGTCAATCATCGGATTCGTTCCCACTTGCTTCATGCGAGGAAGCGTCGTGGACACATGATGCTCGAGCAGATATCCCATCCAATCGAATATACCTTCAAGTCCAGCACCCCTGCCGTTTCTGTCAGGAAAAGCGGCCGAGTGTGTTCACTGATACGGCGACTCTACTCGCCTCTATCCCATATTACAACCCATCTGACTCATGATTGTAGTATGAAGTTCGGAACGCGGGAAGCCAATGGGAGGCCGTGCTCAAATGGCGTGACAGTATATTTGTCCTGCTACTTATATAGGCGTTTCAGAGTCCATCTGTGTCACCAGCATCTCCAGAGCCTTCTCAGCCCTCGTCATCACCCCAGCCCAGGATGTACCGGCGTACCATCGAGGAGGACGCTTCCTCGATTGCCGAGGGGATTCGCAAACATTTGTATCCGGAATCGGACCGAGAGCCTCTGATCCACATACTAGAGAAGATTAGGCGGTTGGCTCGAGAACTACCACTGGCCTCGGCTGGAGCCTTCACAGCGGAGGCAGACAGACTTAGTGATCTTGAGCGAGATGTTTGCAAGACCGAATATGGCAGGACTCGTCCCGCTCCCTAGGACAGCATGCGATTATCCCCGGCTCCTGCGCCTTCGCGAGGGGGAGGCGGCATACTTGAGCACCTGAGGAAAGCAGCCCCTGGGCAGAGCGTCAGCGAGCTCGTCGATCCGCCGCCACCGTCATTCCTCCGGTCACCACGTCTGGACCTGCCATACGAGCCATTCGAGCCAGCGTTCCTTGCGAGCCTGAGCAAGGACCTCGACAAGGGATTCCCTCAGGTCCCACCGCCATCGAGGGCTGTACCGCACCCGTTCGCGACGCACGACGTTGCTGAAGACGACTGGCAGCGGTTCCTGCATGATGTCAAGGTGGCAGGCTCGCTTTCGCCCGCGAACCGCATAGCAGCCGCGGTTGCACCGATATCTATGCATGCTGGGCTGACGGGTGAGTAGCTCTCGCATGGACTTGGGTCCGAGTCCTGAACTGATGCACCACGGCGAAGGCATGCTGGTGACGAAAGGAATCGAGCATGTAATGAGGAACAAGAAGACTGGCGCTGTGGGCGAGTTGATCGATCTGTGGAACGTGGTGAGTGTCGATGAGCATTCGAAGTGTTGCGCAGTACATGACGCCACTGGCACTCGACAGTATTTCTTCTATCCGCGGCGGATGACCGTCGTCCTTGCGAAGGGTTCAGTAACCTATAATGGGCCTGACGGTGCACCCCCGCCAGACGCAACCGTGCACGAGGATGACAGCGGTAGCTCAAGCAGTTCCGAAGATGAAGGTCACAAACAGGTTGGCGGGAGACATGCGACGAAGGATCAGAGACGGCAGGAGCGCAGAGCGCGGAAGGCCGAGCGCAAAGCACAGAAAGACGAGCGCAAAGCACGGGAGGAGGAGCGGAAGAAGGAGCGAAAGGCTCGCAAGGGAAAGAAGAAGGATGATGAGAAGTGGCGATTGATCATTGCTTACCAGCCCGACGGCGGGTTCTGAGGATTGTCCGTCATACGCAGCTCGAGCATGACAGCTGGCGATTTCTGTAGGATATGCTGTACATTGATTTGTGGGCGGTGATCAGTGATCACTTGCACTGGCAACCATGTCAACAGTGCCATTTACGCCAGAGCTTGCATGAATGGGCGGCGGGAGATGAACCCGCCCTACGAGTCGTCGAGTGGCCCGAACGCAATGATCAAGAGGAAGTTATCATGGTGCTGAAACCCAGCCTCCGCCGCCCGTTGATGATTGTCTGCTCCTCGATGCTAGCATAGCAACTGTCTGGTGCGACGCACTAGCACGTAAGCATCTCCACAGCGTTCAACGATCCTACAACTAACCATACTTCACAATGCACAAGCGTTTCCGCGCTCTCTTCCGCCAGTCTCTTAGTCAACTGTAATTAAGTTCGCACCGTATCCTCACCCCTCGATCGGATCGCCGCGCTCACTACCACCCACAGGGATCGCGAACTTCCTCGTCGGGTTTGTCTTCCTCCCGCTGCGCAACGCGCTCTTCGGGGGCGCCGAGGACAGGGTAGGTCGCGTGTTCTACTACGTATTCGCCGCTCTTCTTGCGTTCTGCACGTTCGTGCTGTTCAGAGTGTGTCGGGGCTGAGCGCTGAGATCCGAGAGTATGCATTGCACTTGTCTTACAGAGTTTGAGTCATGGCCCGGCCCGGGGGATCGTATGCTGTTTGATACGTCAAGCACGGCTGCGACCGCATTTGGTGTCGTGGTTGGTACAGGAGAGAAGGCACATAGATATGGATCAATAGCATGGTCGTCGTTGTGATGATGCGCTATGTTCGGCATGGCACGAGGGCCATGAGTTGAGAACACATCATGATGGTGGCGAACGACATCGTGTGTTACATACTATAGAAGACAGCGTAATATACACCGGATGGAATGAGACACGTCATGCCAGAGATCTAGTCAAGGAAAGGAGAGAGAATGATCGCGGTTGTGCTGTGTATACAAGACATGCGAAGACAAACGCAAGTGCCGTCAAGGGAGGGCAGAAAACCGAGTCTATATATCCTCCGACGCTCCGAGCATGCACATGAATTTACTGTATGTAATCATCTCGTCCCTCTCCCTCTCAATCTTACCTATCGAGGCCTCGGCTTCTTCTGCGGAACCGACCAACATTGCATCCATCCTGATATGCTCGATCTTCATCATCTTGTACTCAAGGTCTCCAAAGTGGACGATGAGCTGCGCCAGGAAAGTGCCCGGCTTCAGTAACGGTTTGAAATCGTCATGAGGAGAGGACAAGACAGCCATAGCCTCCACAGGATCCGTCAGAAACTTGTGCTTCTTGTCTCCGATGGCGATGAGCGAGTCGAGTTGCCATTGCTCAATCGGTTGAAATATCTTGTTTGTCGGATCGTATCCAGCGACGGTGTAGACGTAGACGAATAGGAACGATTCGAGGTCGTGGCGATACTTGTGCACTGGAGGATCCCCTTCGCGTAGAAGGTCCAGCGCCATGAACGGGCCAGTACCGATCCGGTATCTCGGTTTCTGCAGATGCTCGCTCTCCGACGGCACAGTCGTCGACCCCGGAACTTGCTCAGTGTCGGCTTGACTCTTCGGTATATTCGACGTATCGGCCGTCTTTGCACCCGTGCGCATGAATGGTAACCATGAAGTGCTCGCCGCTTTTGCAGGTTCAATAGTTCGAACGCAGCCATTGCTTTGATCTTCCGCGAGATCCCAGTCGCAGATCACGCCAACAACCTGCCCATCCTTCATGAACCACATGATGTTGTTGGTGCTGATATCGCGGTGAAGTATCTTCGACGTTTCGTACACCCAGTAATGAGCTAAAAGACTCGTCAGATAGAACTCTGGCTAGGCACTAGATATGACGTACCACGAACAACATCCACAAACACAATGTGGAAACCCTCCGCAGACCCGATGTCCTCCAAGCGTCGGTAGCGCTTGAGGATCAGAGTGCGGCAAACACGCAGGTCTTGCTCCTCGGGGTAGGTCCCCATCGCAACACGCGGCAGGTCCATCTCCTCGATGCTCTTCGTGACCGCGCACTTCATGTCCACGACATACTCCAGGTATTTCGCTTTCTTCGCGGACAATTGCCGACGAACAGCACGTATCATCCTGTCTTCAGCCTGACGCGCCTTGTGTGGCCACGCCACCTTCACAACGAGCGGTTCCGACCCGCACATCTCGAGCGCTGGGCCACCCTTGGCCTTTACAGCGATTATTGTCGTCCCTCGACCAATGAGACCGAAAGCGGTGTCGACAGGGCGGATCTTGTCGGCTTCATCGATGTCGAACTCGAGCTGGCGTGAGACGCCTTGCGCATCCCGAACCTCTAGTCGAACAAGCGCCTTGGACAACGCATAGCCCGAGTCAGGGTGGAAGACATCTCGCTCTTTCTTGATCTCGTTGAAGCTGAGGATCGGGTGGATTCCCAAATTGTGCACGCCTGCACCTCCTATAGCGGCAAGAACTAGGAGAAACAGATGGGCTTCCTTATCCAGGAACTTGAACGCCCTCGTGAACACGATACCCATGCGATCACCGTAGACGACTCGCATCGTGTTCGTCTCGATGAGGAGTCCGATAGCATACGAGCGGACATTGTACGACATAATGTGGTTCACGTACCGCACGATTTGGACCTCCTCGGAAGACATGCAGCGGTGTCCGCCAGGCGTAGTACGCCGCACGCGCTTGGAACCGGGTGCCGGGACCTCCTCCTCGGCCGTGCGCTTCCGCTTGCCCACCCGCACAGCCCCGCCGGTCTCCTGCGGTACGTCTGCTGTCGACGTGTGCACATCGTCTTTGAGGAGCGCCTCGACCTCACCATCTGACGCAATCTCGTCCTCAGGTGCCTCGTTCCTCGCCTCTGATATGGGCTGGCCTTCACGGACCGATCTGGTCTTGTCAGCAGAACCGTTCTCAGCTACTTCGCCCTCAGATTGAGAGCGGGGACAAGTGGCCTGCTGTGGGCATATCAGCTGGTGGTGACCAGTGGGGTAAGACGAGGCGAACCAATATAGTGAATGTACCATTCTCGCAGTGTACATATACGTCACTCAACGCTGTCTTGATCTGTTCCTGGTTCTTCCCAACATCAATGGGGACCAACTCCCACTCCCACACGGGCGGAGTCGGCAGTATGTGCTCCCAGCCGATGCCGAACACAGCGCGTATGAGCGTCTCGACACCAACGTCCCAATGAATCTTATTGGTGTACTCCCGGTGAATGAATTCATCATGCCTGGGTTTCCGGAGAATACAGAAGTTGGTGTCCTGAACGCTGTCAACGGCACTGATCTTGTAGGGCGTAGACTTGACAACCTTGGGCTCTGATATCTTCAAGTTAGCATGGTGGTCAAGACCTGGCACTGAAGCACAATGCTTACGTTTCTCTTTCCTGGGAGGAGTACGAGGCTCCCGGCCGGGGCCGGGCGGCGCCGAGTGCAGGAACCACATCTTGCGACCGGGACGGCGACGGATACCTTGTGGAGGCTCGACTTGTTGAAATTTGACAATGAAGAAAGCTAGAGGATGACTCGGTGGCTCTGCGCACAGAGCGAGCGGTGGCCAGATGCCTGCGAGTGGGAGCGGACGACAACATTGCACCTGAGGCGCATCCATCTTTAATGAGAGAAGAGTGTAGCTGCCTGATTTCAGACTCAGTACTGCGGTTGGTGAGTCAGAGAGAACAGCGCACTGCGGCTCCTGCCGTGGACGCGGTCGTACAAGTTCAGCAACGCCTACCAAATCGGGGAGACAATGCAAGCAGCCACGATCAGTGATGGCACCGTGGGAGACCCGGCAGACGCCGGCATGGGCGTTAAAACGCGCCCAAGATCTGCGTCCCGTTCTAGGAGTGTACAGCAGGTGTACAGTAGTCTATACCTGCGGCGTACATAGTGATGGTCAAGCAATGGGATCAGTTTGAGGGGTGGTAGCTAATGGTGTGGTACGAGGGCAAAATGGCGGCATTTCGAGTGAAGGTCTTCAAACGTTCAAGTGCTCAAGCGCCGGATTGTCCAGATGGATAGTACCATGTCTTCACTGACATCCCTCACTAGCGTAATAGTATTATACTACATACATACGTACATGAACACAACATGGAAACAGACGAAGGTCGAAGGTAGATCACCGGATATGCATCCATACAGGACGAGGTGCAAATGGATGGGCCGGAGTAGTATCATGAAGGTCCTGAAGCGACATTAGTGGACTCCTGTGGTTTCGTGAGGAAGGCTCGCCCTCAGGCCGCGGAGCCTCCTGGTCATGCTGGCTTTCTTCAGGAGACTTCGACTTAGCCTCCGGGCCAGGAGGAGCGACGGAAGGATCGGGATTACTCTGCTCTTTCCGTTGCTGCGGCTCCTCCCGTTGCCTTGCGAATCGTTCCAACCACTGCCGTCTCTTGTTGCTTTGTATCCGTCCCTTCTCGCGCGCAGAAGAGATCTCATCTGAGTCGACGACGCGCCAGAGATAGTCTTCGGTGTCGGAGACAAAGAAGAGCCGGTACGTCCGTACGCATACCTTGATCTCCAACCCGCCATGCGCAACGACCTCGGGTACTTCATCTGTTGCAATTGGTAACCTCGATCTAAAGACGTCAGTATCAATACCAAACACACTCCAGCGACCTTGGACAGGACTCACTTCCGGAGGAACGGCCGCTTAGAACCTGCGCGGGTAGGGACCCCTTGTGTCCGGTCGTCCTGAAATTGTGGTCAGGCAATGCCACAGGCTAGTGACAAAGACATCGCTTACTGATACGTATGATTGAACGTATGCTTGCCACCGTCCAGTGAGCGCCTCGGAGTCGACAAACCTCGAGTCATCCTTCCCGAAGAGTTGCACAGTCACCATCTTGCTGTCAGGCAGCTAAGGCCAAGTCGTGTTCATCAACACGCTGTACAGATTGCGCGGAGCATCTTACCCAGTCTATTCGGAAGATGTTCTCGTCAGGCCCAACCACCCGTTCTGTGTTCCGCCGGGCATTGATCTGGTCCTGAGTTGTTGGCGACACGAGCTCTCGATCCCGACGGAGGAACTCGAAGAGTTCTTGGCTCTTGGCGTCGCTCAGTACGTTCTGGACCTGCGAAGAGCTTAGGCACAGCTCCGGCGGAATAGCGTATAGCGACGCACCTGCTTGCAATGGCTCCCACCACACGGTCGACAGTGAAAATCTTGTATCCATTCTACATAAGTGAGTGAGCGAGTGCGTTGGGTCACAACGACAGCTGCGGACATACCTGCGGACCGAACATCCACCGCAGCTGGTCTTCGAACACAGCTTGCTCGAGCTCATTGTCGAAGAGCTTCTCGCACGACTCGAGCATGAGGGTGTAGAAGTGACGCGCGTTCGTTGCACGCTCGGGTAAGCTCCCTAGGTCAGTTGGGGTATGCCTCGGCCTTGTCACGGCCTTCGGATCGGCAGCTATCTTGTCAGCGAGGGCCCGGTAGTATATCAACCTGGAGTATAGAAGCTGAGGAGGTGTTGAGCGAACCGCCAGCGGCAAATTGGGTTTAATATACCTCAAGCAAACGGAAGAAGACGTAGAACGTGGTATTTGTGAAGAAGCTATACCGTCGTTTCGCAGGTTTCTCCCCAGTGGGACTACTTGGTCCAGCAGTAGCGCCGCCGTTCGAGGAACCCTGCTCCTGCGGATGTTCTTCAGTATCGGTTTGCATCGCATCCGACGCCGCCGGCGACGCGAACCGCGACACGGATGGAGATCCTGTGCCCTGTGCGCGTGTTCGCCTGCTCGACTTTGCCTGTTCGCTCTTCAGTAGCTTCTTCCGCAGATCACCGCCCGACCCAGCGCCGTTTGCCTTCCGCTTACCGAGGCGCACGGTCGCCAGCGGATCGGAGTCGTCTGTGGTGCTATCCACCTCCATGTCGGTCTCGCTCGTCTCTTGGTGAGGCACAAACGCAGCTTCGAACTGTGCAGAGTCGAGGACGAAGAAGGTCGGGATGAACGCCCGGAGGAAGGTCTCGATCTTCTTCCGATCCGCGACGTTTATCTGGCCTGACGTGCGATCCAAGAACGACAACGTGAGCTTCAGGGCGTCCTGAAGTATAGGTATGTCCTCGATGACGAACTCAAGTTGGTGGCGCGGCCTTGTCCGCGCAAACAACGGGTCGATGAGCGCTGCGCGTTTCGCCATCTGCTCGTCGCGCGCAGCCTCGATCTGGCTGACGAACGCCTTGGTCGTGATCGCCTTCTTGTCCGTCGTCTTGAACGTGATGCCCTGGTAGTCGAGCGACTTGTGGTAGTTCCGTGCGTCCACCTCGCGCCAGATCTTGTTCCACTCGCGCTGCGCCCGCCGCCACTCCTCGTGCTTCAGCTTCAGTCGGGAGAGTACGACGGGGATCGCGAACGCAGGCACGTCTTGCATCGCTTGGTACACCTCGTAGCCGGCCTCGCGGCCGTAGATCTTTTGAGCACTCGGAGGTGCACGCTCTTCCCTGCACCGCCGAGGTTGGGCTTCAGCTTGAAGTTGTTGCGCTCCTCGGGGGTCAGCTGGGCGATCTTGTTGTTGAGCGGCTCGAGCATGACGATCGTCCGGCTGATCGCCTCGATGTAGAAGTCGTACTCGTGGCGCTCCTCTTCGCTCCGAAGCAGAGCCTCTTCGTACACGTTCTTCCGATGCGTCGAGAAGCCCGTGTCTTCGCTCGCGAACGTCGGCTGAGAGATCCACTCATCATTCAGGACGGATTTGCACATCTCGTCGCGACCAGAGCATGTTACATTCACCTCCTGGTGTTGCGTCAGTTACTGTTGCGGCAAAGCAGACGTCTCGACTCACGTTTTGAGGGAGCTTCCTGTAGCTACCGTACCGGATGTTCAGCTGATTCCGACTAGGCCTCTCTAGTGCAACCATCGGGCGCGTCCACACATCGTCCGCGACAGCGATCCGGTCGCGCATCTCGTCCCACCCAAGGATCTCCATGAACTGCGCCATGAGCTCTCCATCCCCGAGGAAAGACCGTCCTTCACGAACGAGCCGCGCGGTGTCGATGATGTCTTGAGTGAAGAGGTTGACCAGCTTCAAAAATTCATTGTACGCGTCCCTGTTATCCAGCGCGCGCTTGACGCGATCGAAGAACTGCGTCTCGTCGGCTGGACTTAGCGGCTGTGGTACCGGAGGCGCAACCACGGTCGGTGGTGGAACTTGCATAGCTGATCCAGAGGCTGCGTGATGGGAGTGCGCTTGAGATGCGTGTGGTCGACGTGGGGAAGATGGGCCCGCTGCTACTCGCTGCGAGACAGCTGGCGAGGGAGCGTCGCTGCCGTGAGCCTGCGAAGGCCGGGATCTCTTCGTCTGCTTCGTGCTTAGTTGGCAAATCGCAAACTACCAGATGCTCATACCTTGCTAGTGGCTGACTTCGTTACAGACTCCTTATCCTTGTCCTTCTTATCCTCCTTGTCCCGCTCCGCCACTTTCCGCTTCCTCTTTGGAGGCGCGGACGCCACAGACGCCGCCCCAGAAGCAGATCCCTCGCCCTTCTTCCTCGACTTGGGCTCCCCTGCGGGTGTTCCGCCTTCCGACTCTCCTGGAGCTCGGCCAACTTCGCGAGCTCGACTTCCTTCAAATGCTTGTCCGGTAAAAACTCGAGAAAGTCTTTCATGAGGCTCGGCGCATCCGCGAACAGCTTCCCCAGGCGCGGCACGACCTCGCCCTGAGCGTATCCCGCGGAAAGAAACGCCACCGCCCAGTGTTCGAGCTCACGGACTTCGTGTGTGGAGATGCCGCCACCCGTCTTGGGATTCAGGATCTCGAGGAATCGCCGATATTTGTCTGGGTCGTTCACGTACCGTGTCTTCACACGATGGACGTATGCAAGTGCGGGCTCCAGGTTGACGTCGGGCATCGGAGAGGGTGCGGCGGCGTGTTCATTCTCCGGAGGGACGTTGGGACGGGCGCTGCTGAAGCCAAACGTGAACGCGCCATTGGTGGTTTGGGTGGTAGTTCCTGCGGGAGTGGTGACTGTGATCGAATTGGGGTTTTGCGCATCTGTCGTGCAGTCGATGCGGTAGCCGGTGGGAAGGAAGGTGTTGAATCCCTGGATCAGCGTTGGGTGTCCGTGAAATAGGTTTGATACGCGCTCGATGACCCCTGGTGTGTCGATACTGTTCAAAAGTGACGCGTCAGTGAATGTCTACCACGACGGAAGTTGCAGAGCACAGGGTCCATAACGTAGGGTTCCTCGCCACACGTGTATTCCGAGAGTGATCGAGGAAGCCAAGAGAGAATGCATTGAACACGCTGAGGGCGTGTACTGTAGCATTTCGACCTTAGGTTCACGGGGTGTGACCTGTGATCAATGAACTAACAGCTAAGTCCACGTCGTCGGGCCCCAAGCCTTTCAAACACTCATAGGCAGAGTCTAGCAGGTTTGATGTGGGATCACGCCGGATGCAGCGGGATTCGACGACCAGGCTGAGCCAGGCAGCCGCAACCTTGGCTATGGTGGCCGAGGTTGAGCGGCTCAGTGTCCGGATCACTGGACACCAACGTCCGGCGACCTCCGCTCCTATACGCACTTTTTGTGCGGGGCCCGAAAATGTGGACCTAGCTGTAAGGTCGAAATGCCACAGTATAACCATGGCTAGAGCGAAGGGGGTGTGGCTTAACGGCGGGTTGCCGGAGGGTTGGCATATGCCTTCCGAGATGCCGCTGCAGGCTAGAGCAAACAGTTGGAAGGGATGCAGAGCGCATACCCTTTGGAGACGTAAGAACACGCACATTTGACTCTTGAAATCCTTCATGATGTCCAGGAAGCGATTGTACACCTCTGGCTTGTCCTGGAACTTCATCTTGACAGAGTCAAGGTAGGTCAACGCGTCCGTGACATTCAGCTGGCGTTCTACGCCCATACTCTGGGGTACAGAGCCAGCAAAGTGCTGAGGCATAGAGATATCCGCAGGGGCATCCTGAGTGAACGATGGCTCAGTTGGTTCAGAATTTTGTTTCGGGTCCGCCTTGACTGAGAGTAGCGAAGTAGCCTCAGAGCTAGGTCCAGCAGCTGTCTGGTCACCTACGCTCGCATTCTGAGCATGTTCCGACATCGCAGGGAGGACGAGTGAAAGGGGATTGAGCGCGCCCAGGTCGCGGCGATGAAGCTGGGGCTGCGAGGTCCCCGACTCCGACCGGAGGGAGAGGAGGGCTTTGTCGACCATAAGTCGTTCGCAGCCGGCGATGCCGCTCCCTCCGTGGGAAACACGTGACTTACAATTCCCATAAGCGGTATCGCAGCAATGCTCGAGTGTCTTACGAGGCAGCTCGAGGCAGTTGGATCCGACCGCGCATCTGGCTGCGTCTGGACGTCTGGATCTTTGACCACCAAATAACTCCTCCCAAAGGCAAGAGGGCCTCTATTACGTTGGGAGCCCTCGCATGCACTGTAGTGCTTATGTATAATGGTAAGTAAGTTCACCGTGTACTTAGCTCAGACTCGTGGAAGCCGAGACGCCCGGGCGGCGAAGCCGCCGCGGGCGTGAGGGCTTCCAATTGAGTCTCCATACCATTCCGATGGTACAATATTACAATACACACATAATATACTATGGTGCTGCTGTGGCAGGCTGAGTAGCTGTGTGCCATGCAGGAGTCGGGGATCGGCGCTTGCGCCGCTACGATATGCTAAGCGCCGACGGTCGCGCTGCCTCCCGCACGTGATCTCGATCACTTCGCAATGGGCGCCTAATACTTGTTCATCTCGATTCTCGAAGTCATCGACGGTCGGAGTCCTACTACTTACCGTCACAAACTAATTTCACTACACAACGCCAGTATTATTCAGTACGTGGCATTGTGAAATGTGGAATCGTATCTCTCCAGCCACTGACTCTACGTAGTCGACCCTTTCTTCGCTCCTCCTGCAAACGGACCTTCAAGGTCGACTCGGATTCAGACAGCCTCGTTTTTGTGTAAGCTCCCACTAAGAGCTTGTCCTTAGGAGTCGACTGAAAATTTCGGTGTCCATCCACACAGTATCTCTGAGCTATGTCTGTGAACTCTCGAAAGTCGCGCAAGCGAGCGCGCGCCGACATCGACTCGGAAGATGAGTCGTCGGCGGCAATGGCGGCGAAGGAAGACTTGAAGCACGACGACCAAGTATGGTTCGACGACGGCAACGTAGTGCTCGTCGCAGAAAGCATCGCATTCTGCATTCACCGAGGCTTGTTATCGCTGCACTCGGAAGTGTTCCGCGGCATGTTCACAATGCCGCCCCCTGAGAACGAAGAGACTGTGGCCGGATGTCCTGTCGTCCGAGTCTCCGACGCAGCTCAAGAAATGCGATATATGCTGTGGGCACTGTACAATGGCAGAGCGTAGGCGAAGCAGCCCTCTGTGTACCTATCAGCTTACGGATAATGATTTAAGATTTCGAAATCCTCGAGCGCAGGTTCCATTCAAGGTCGTCGCGGCTCTCCTTCGCTTGGCGCATAAATATCAAATCACTTACCTCCGGGAGGAGGCGCTGGCCAGAATCAAGACCGTCTATGTTGACGACTCTTTGGACTTCATGACCGAGGAATGCCCATCGCACCCACTTCTCACGTACGAAGAGGAAGACGCCTTCGATGTTGTTCAGCTGGCTCATTTAACCGACACACCGTCACTTCTCCCCGCCGCGTTATACCTCTGCTGTGAGACCGAGCCATTCTGGGAGCCAACAAACATCATCAAGAGTTTCCTCTCGAAAAGGGATGAAGAGCCGTACAATCTTCTGTCCCAGGAGGATGTTTTCCGGTGTCTTGCTGCGCGTCCCCAGCTTGTGGAAGCGAGGTTAGCGGTGTTCAGCTATATCTTTTCAGACGCAGGGGGCATGCAGTGTAGAGCCTCTGGGCTTTGTCGTGGAGCCCTCGCTTTTATCAAGAATAGGTTCTTTGAGGCTCAGTCAGAGGTCCCAGAATGGCCTGTCAGAATTGATTGCCTATATCCGCGCGCGGACGACGTCATGAGCGACACATGCTACTCAGGCCAATATTCCTTCTGCTCCTCCTGCCAGACGTATTTCAAGGGGAGGGACAAAGACATACGGGAAAGAATCTGGTCGGACTTGCCGAGTTACTTCGGTTTGGACATACCAGGTTGGGTGAAGCACTGATGGCTCGTGATGGTAGGTGATCATACCTCCACCAAGCGCTTCCTGACGATTTCTTTGCTAGGGCGGATTTGGCAGTCTCTGACGTTGAGTTTTTTTGCCGCTCTGGCTCATCTACGCATGTCCTGTTGATGTGCGGTTTGTTAAACCTGCTTCATGTGTCAACCAACCAAATATCTATCCTCGCACACGCAAACAACTTACACAAGAATAGGGCGGGTCCACGTCTCATTGATCATTGCCGATTGATGGAAGCCCTAGCGCATCGGGATGTCGGTGTCGTTCACAGAACATTCGATTCGCACAGAACATCTCATCTCATACAACCAGTTGACAGACGTCACCGACTCGAGCTGCGTATGACGGACAATCCTCAGAACCCGCCGTCGGGCTGGTAAGCAATGATCAATCGCCACTTCTCATCATCCTTCTTCTTTCCCTTGCGAGCCTTTCGCTCCTTCTTCCGCTCCTTCTTTCGCTCCTCCTCCCGTGCTTTGCGCTCGTCTTTCTGTGCTTTGCGCTCGGCCTTCCGCGCTCTGCGCTCCTGCCGTCTCTGATCCTTCGTCGCATGTCTCCCGCCAACCTGTTTGTGACCTTCATCTTCGGAACTGCTTGAGCCACTGCTGTCATCCTCGTGCACGGTCGCGTCTAGCGGGGGTGCACCGTCAGGTCCATTATAGGTCCACGAATCCTTAGCAAGGACGACGGTCATCCTCCGCGGATGGAAGAAATACTGTTGAGCGACGTCATGTACCGCGCAACACTTTAAATGTTCATCGACACTCGCCACGTTGCACAGATCGATCAACTCGCCCACAGCGCCAGTTTTCTTGTTCCTCATTACATGCTCGATTCCCTTCGTCACCAGGATGCCTTCGCCGTGGCGTACATCAGTATAGGACTCGGACCCAAGTCCATGCGAGAGCTACTCACCCGTGAGTCCGGCATGCATAGATACCACTGGGCAAGCATTTGAAGGAGGTCGAGCTCGCGAAGTTGGCCCAGCTACAGGAGAGTCGGAAGGCGGGAACACCCGCAGGGGAGCCCAAGTCGAGGAAGAAGGGCGAAGGATCTGCTTCTGGGGCGGCGGTCCGCGCCTCCAACGAGGAAGCGGAAAGTGGCGGAGCGGGACAAGGAGGATAAGAAGGACAAGGATAAGGAGTCTGTAACGAAGTCAGCCACTAGCAAGGTATGAACATCTGGTAGTACGTGATTCGCTAATTAATCACGAAGCAGACGAAGAGATCCCGGCCTTCGCAGGCTCACGGCAGCGACGCTCCCTCGCCAGCTGTCTCGCAGCGAGTAGCAGCGGGCCCATCTTCCCCACGTCGACCACACGCATCTCAAGCGCACTCACGCAGCCTCTGGATCAGCTATGCAAGTTCCACCACCGACCATGGTTGCGCCTCCGGTACCACAGCCGCTAAGTCCACCCGACGAGACGCAGTTCTTCGATCGCGTCAAACACGCGCTGGATAATAGGGACGCGTACAATGAATTTTTGAAATCGAGAACTCGTGTCGCCAACAACTCAGGACCAGATCAATGCCCGGCGGAACACAGAACGGGTGGTTGGGCCTGACGAGAACATCTTCCGAATAGACTGGGTAAGATGCTCCGCGCAATCTGTACAGCGTGTTGATGAACACGACTTGGCCTTAGCTGCCTGACAGCAAGATGGTGACTGTGCAACTCTTCGGGAAGGATGACTCGAGGTTTGTCGACTCCGAGGCGCTCACTGGACGGTGGCAAGCATACGTTCAATCATACGTATCAGTAAGCGATGTCTTTGTCACTAGCCTGTGGCATTGCCTGACCACAATTTCAGGACGACCGGACACAAGGGGTCCCTACCCGCGCAGGTTCTAAGCGGCCGTTCCTCCGGAAGTGAGTCCTGTCCAAGGTCGCTGGAGTGTGTTTGGTATTGATACTGACGTCTTTAGATCGAGGTTACCAATTGCAACAGATGAAGTACCCGAGGTCGTTGCGCATGGCGGGTTGGAGATCAAGGTATGCGTACGGACGTACCGGCTCTTCTTTGTCTCCGACACCGAAGACTATCTGTGGCGCGTCGTCGACTCAGATGAGATCTCTTCTGCGCGCGAGAAGGGACGGATACAAAGCAATAAGAGACGGCAGTGGTTGGAACGATTCGCAAGGCAACGGGAGGAGCCGCAGCAACGGAAAGAGCAGAGTAATCCCGATCCTTCCGTCGCTCCTCCTGGCCCGGAGGCTAAGTCGAAGTCTCCTGAAGAAAGCCAGCATGACCAGGAGGCTCCGCGGCCTGAGGGCGAGCCTTTCCTTACGAAACCACAGGAGTCCACTAATGTCGCTTGAGGACCTTCATGATACTCCGTTTGCTCGGTGGGCCCATTCATTTGCACCCTGTATGGATGCATATCCGGTGATCTACCTTCGACCTTCGTCTGTTTCCATGTTGTGTTCATGTACGTATGTATGTAGTACAATACTATCACGCTAGTGAGGGATGTTAGTGAAGACATGGTACACGTCCATCTGGACAATCCCGGCGCTTGAGCACTTGAACGTTTGAAGACCTTCACTCGAAATGCCGCCATTTTGCCCTCGTACCACACCATTAGCTACCACCCCTCAAACTGATCCCATTGCTTGACCATCACTATGTACGCCGCAGGTATAGACTACTGTACACCTGCTGTACACTCCTAGAACGGGACGCAGATCTTGGGCGCGTTTTAACGCCCATGCCGGCGTCTGCCGGGTCTCCCACGGTGCCATCACTGATCGTGGCTGCTTGCATTGTCTCCCCGATTTGGTAGGCGTTGCTGAACTTGTACGACCACGAGCCGCAGTGCGTTGTTCTCTCTGACTCACCGACCACAGCGCTGAGTCTGAAATCAGGCAGCCACACGCTTCTCTCACCACGCGCAGGCGTGTATATAAAGATGGACGCGCCCCAGGTGCAATGTTGTCGTCCGCTCCCACTCGCAGGCATCTGGCCACCGCTCGCTCTGTGCGCAGAGCCACCGAGTCATCCTCTAGCTTTCTTCATCCTCAACTTTCAACAAGTCGAGCCTCCACAAGGTATCCGTCGCCGTCCCGGTCGCAAGATGTTCTTCCTGCGCTCGGCGCCGCCCGGCCCCGGCCGGGAGCCTCGTACTCCTCCCAAGAAAGAGAAACGTAAGGATTCTGTTTCGGTGGTCTTGATCATCATGCTAACTTGAAGATTTCAGAGCCCAAAGTTGTCAAGTCTACGCCCCACAAGATCAGTGCCGTTGATAGCGTCCAGGACGCCAGTTGTATGCTCTGGCAACCCAGGCACGATGAATTCATTTACCGGGAGTACACCGATAAGATTCATCGGGACGTTGGTGTCGAGACGTTCATACGCGCTGTGTTCGGCATCGGCTGGGAGCACATACCACCGACTCCGTATCGCAGGCAGGCTGCGAAGGCAAAGGACGCCGACTGCTACTCGCTCTTGGGGGCCGATATCAAAGAATACCGTACTAGCAGCGACGAGAGATCCAGCTATCAGCCGCTTAACCTTATGGCCAATGGATTTTTGACGCAGCTCTATGGCCCGAACGTGGAGGGCGGCCACGACACTCGTCAAGCAGCCGACGATACCGAGGCGCGTCGGCAACGGCTCCTCCATGTCAAACAGCACTGGGATCGCCCCGACCGTACGCCACGCATGTACTCGGGCCGCTTCATTAAACACGACTGCGAAGCTATCAACGTCCGCAAGTCAAAGGACAAGCCGGATGGCACCTACGGCATGTCGATGGGGAAGCCCGTGTGGGAGTGGGAGTTGGTCCCCATTGAGGTTGGGAAGAACCACGAAAAGATCAAGAAGGCGAGTGACGTATTTGTACGCTGCGAGAATGGTACATTCACTATATCGGTTCGTCCCATCCTACCCCACTGGTCACCACCAGCTGATCTGCCCACAGCAGGCCACTCGTCCCCGCTCTCAAGCTGAGGGCGAAGTAGCTGGGAACAGTTCTGCTGACAAGACCGGATCGGACCGTGAAGGCCAGCCCGTATCAGAGGCGAGGAACGAGGCACCTGAGGACGAGATTGCGTCAGATGGTGAGGTCGAGGCGCTCCTCGAAGACGATGCGCATACGTCGACCGCAGACGTACCGCAGGAGACCAGCGGGGCCGTTTCCGTGAGCAAGCGGAAGCGCAAGGCCGAGGAGGAGGTCCCGGCACCCGGTTCCAAGCGCCCGCGGCGTACTACGCCTGGCGGACACCGCCGCATGTCCTCCAAGGAGGTCCAAATCGTGCGATACGTGAACCACATTATGTCGTCCAATGTCCGCTCGTATGCTATCGGACTCCTCATCGAAGGGAACGCGATGCGAGTCGTCTACGGTGATCGAATGGGTATCGTGTTCACGAGGGCGTTCAAGTTCCTGGACAAGGAAGCCCATCTGTTTCTCCTAGTTCTTGCCGCTATAGGAGGCGCAGGCGTGCACGATTTGGGAATCCACCCGATCCTCAGCTTCAACGAGCTCAATAAAGAACGAGATGTCTTCCACCCTGACCGGGGCTATGCGTTGTCCAAGGCGCTTGTTCGACTAGAGGTTCGGGATGCGCAGGGTGTCTCACGCCAGCTCGAGTTCGACATTGATGAAGCCGACAAGATCCGCCCTGTCGACACCGCTTTCGGTCTCATTGGTCGAGGGACGACGATAATCGCTGTAAAGGCCAAGGGTGGCCCAGCGCTCGAGATGTGCGGGTCGGAACCGCTCGTTGTGAAGGTGGCGTGGCCACACAAGGCGCGTCAGGCTGAAGACAGGATGATACGTACTGTTCGTCGGCAATTGTCCGCGAAGAAAGCGAAATACCTGGAGTATGTCGTGGACATGAAGTGCGCGGTCACGAAGAGCATCGAGGAGATGGACCTGCCGCGTGTTGCGATGGGGACCTACCCCGAGGAGCAAGACCTGCGCGTTTGCCGCACTCTGATTTTCAAGCGCTACCGACGCTTGGAGGACATCGGGTCTGCGGAGGGTTTCCACATTGTGTTTGTGGATGTCGTTCGTGGTACGTCGTATCTAGTGCCTAGCCAGAGTTCTCACTGACGAGTCTTTTAGCTCATTACTGGGTGTACGAAACGTCGAAGATACTTCACCGCGATATCAGCACCAACAACATCATGTGGTTCATGAAGGATGGGCAGGTTGTTGGCGTGATCTGCGACTGGGATCTCGCGGAAGATCATAGCAACGGCGATGTTCGAACTATTGAACCCGCGAAAGCGGCGAGCACTTCGTGGTTACCATGGACGCGCACGGGTGCAAAGACGGCCGATACGTCGAATATACCGAAGAGTCAAGCCAACGCTGAGCAAGTTCCGGGGTCGACGACTGTGCCGTCGGAGAGCGAGCGTCTGCAGAAACCGAGATACCGCACCGGCACTGGCCCGTTCATGGCGCTGGACCTTCTACGCGAAGGGGATCCTCCAGTGCACAAGTATCGCCACGACCTCGAATCGTTCCTATACGTCTACGTTTACACCGTCGCTGGATACGATCCGACAAACAAGATATTCCAACCGATCCAGCAATGGCAACTCGACTCGCTCATCGCCATCGGAGACAAGAAGCACAAGTTTCTGACGGATCCTGTGGAGGCTCGTGCCATCTTGTCCTCCGGTCATGACGATTTCAAGCCGTTGCTTGAGCATGGAGCATTCCTGCCGCGGCTCATCAGCGTCTTTGCACACCTTGAGTTCAAGATGAATGACATCAAGCTTCTCAGCATCGATGCAATGTATTACACTTCCGCAGAAGAAGCCGAGGCCTCGATAGGTAAGATTGAGAGGGAGAGGGACGAGATGATTACATACAGTAAATTCATGCGGGTGCTCGGAGCGTCGGAGGATATATAGACTCGGGTTTCTGCCCTCCCTTGACGGCACTTGCGTTGGTCTTCGCATGTCTTGTATACACAGCACAAGCGCGATCATTATCTCTCCTTTCCTTGACTAGATCTCTGGCATGACGTGTCTCATCCATCCGGTGTATATTACGCGGTCTTCTATAGTATGTAACACACGATGTCGTTCGCCACCATCATGATGTGTTCTCAACTCATGGCCCTCGTGCCATGCCGAACATAGCGCATCATCACAACAACGACCATGCTATATTGATCCATATCTATGTGTCTTCTCTCCTGTACCAACCACGACACCAAATGCGGTCACAGCCGTGCTTGACGTATCAAACAGCATACGATCCCCGGGCCATGACTCAAACTCTGTAACACAAGTGCAATGCGTAGTACTGTCGGATCTCAGCCCCGACACACTCTGAACAGCACGAATGTGCAGAACGCAAGAAGAGCGGCGAATACATAGTAGAACACGCCACCTACCCTGTCCTCGGCGCCCCCGAAGAGCGCACTGCGCAGCGGGAGGAAGACAAACCCGACGAGGAAGTTCGCGATCCCTGAGGGTACGGTGCGAACTCAATTACAGTTGACTAAGAGACTGGCGGAAGAGAGCGCGGAAACGCCTGCGCATCGTGCGCGTGAAGTATGGTTGGTTGTAGGATCGTTGAACGCTGTGGAGATGCTTACGTGCTAGTGCGTCGCACCAGACAGTTGCTATGCTAGCATCGAGGAGCAGACAGTCATCAACGGGCGGCGGAGGCTGGGTTTCAGCACCATGATGGCTTCCTCTTGATCATTGCGTTCGGGCTACTCGACGACTCGTAGGGCGAGTTCATCTCCCGCCGCCCATTCATGCAAGCTCTGGCGTAAATGGCACTGTTGACATGGTTGCTAGTGCAAGTGATCACCACCCACAAATCAATGTACAGCATATCCTACAGAAACCGCCAGCTGTCATGCTCGAGCTGCGTATGACGGACAATCCTCAGAACCCGCCGTCGGGCTGGTAAGCAATGATCAATCGCCACTTCTCATCTTCCTTCTTCTTTCCCTTGCGAGCCTTTCGCTCCGCCTTCCGCTCCTTCTTTCGCTCCTCCTCCCGTGCTTTGCGCTCGTCTTTCTGTGCTTTGCGCTTCGCCTTCCGCGCTCTGCGCTCCTGCCGTCTCTGATCCTTCGTCGCATGTCTCCCGCCAACCTGTTCGTGACCTTCATCTTCGGAACTGCTTGAGCTACTGCTGTCATCCTCGTGCACGGTCGCATCTGGCGGGGGTGCACCGTCAGGCCCATTATAGGTTACCGAACCCTTTGCAAGGACGACGGTCATCCGCCGCGGATGGAAGAAATACTGTCGAGTGGAGTCATGTACTGCGCAACACTTCGAATGCTCATCGACACTCACCACGTTCCACAGATCGATCAACTCGCCCACAGCGCCAGTCTTCTTATTCCTCATTACATGCTCGATTCCTTTCGTCACCAGCATGCCTTCGCCGTGACGCGCATCAGTCCAGGACTCTAACCCAAGTTCACGCGAGAGCTACTCACCCGTCAGTCCAGCATGCATGGATATCGGTGCAACCGCGGCTGCTATGCGGTTCGCGGGCGAAAGCGAGCCTGCCACCTTGACATCATGCAGAAACCGCTGCCAGTCGTCTTCAGCAACGTCGTGCGTCGCGAACGGGTGCGGTACAGCCCTCGATGGCGGTGGGACCTGAGGGAATCCCTTGTCGAGGTCCTTGCTCAGGCTCGCAAGGAACGCTGGCTCGAATGGCTCGTATGGCAGGTCCAGACGTGGTGACCGGAGGAATGACGGTGGCGGCGGATCGACGAGCTCGCTGACGCTCTGCCCAGGGGCTGCTTTCCTCAGGTGCTCAAGTATGCCGCCTCCCCCCGCGAAGGCGCAGGAGCCGGGGATAATCGCATGCTGTCCTAGGGAGTGTGCGGCGGCGATCTCAGTATACAGTTTACCCACAAGCCAAAAAAACCCCTTACGGGATATCCCCCACCCGGAGGTCTCATCCCGAGCTCAGGACCAGTGTGGCGGCTTGCGCTACCCACGCATTAAGCTTCGGCCACATGTGACAAACAGAAAAAAGTGAGTACATACCTTGTGTTCGTCTGGGTACTTCCATTGAAGCCGGGACTGGATGCATATCTGGCGGGTGCAGGATAGTCGTCACCATAGAAGGGTGTCCCATCAGCAGCATGACTCTGGTAGGACGTGTTGTGCTGGGACGCATAGGATCTCTGCGGCCGGCTGGCCATCCCGGAAGTGCTCGCGTATGCAGCCTGCGTTTGGCTGGCCATCCCTGTGGGTGGCCCGGGGTACCCAACGTTTGACTGATATGCCCCGCGGCCCGAGGACCTCTCGTTGTGCTGCTGCTGTCCCTCGTAAGGCATGGACATAGAGCTGGCATTATGGACATCGGGTGGTATCGATCGACGCCAATCATCTTGTGCGCGGGGAGGATAAGCGTCTACAAAGGTGCCCCCGAGTCTGTCGGACCGCCTGAGTTCCAGAGACGGTGGAGCATAGCCCTCTGAACGATCGACAGCCTCGGCGTATGCTGGGGGTGGGAGGTCCTCATGGTGGTAACCAATGTGAGAATTGTTGCTGCCTTTCTCGGAGGGTGCGTATCCATGCGTGTCGGGCGGGATCATCTTGCTCGTGTGGAGATGCTGGAAGGTGAAGTTGTGGCAGGACGGTTGGATGAGGTAGATAGCTGAACAGAAGGCTGCCCTTGTGCCGCGCATCTTGGATGGCTCAACGAGATTAAGTACCATGTACGGTAATAGCTGTTAGGTTCTGTATTCCTGTCCACGACACTGCCTCCACGACAGGGAGTACGCAGTAAGGCCACCTCCGCAGCGCTCAGCGCTCACTACCGCTTCTGTCGAGAGTCCCGAGACCTTGACAGCCGACTGTGCTCCTCTACGACTATCGCTATCAGTATACGTTCGGCTGGGGTAACGAACGCGCGGCTATGACGGTCGTTATCGCGGAAAAATACTTAGACTTACGAAGACTTACGACTTACTTATCGCGTTAGACTTGCTGCTTAGTCGACACACAAATTGTACACCTTGGACATACATTGATGCCAGTTTGTACACTCAGACTCTACAACCGTGCTGATTTTGTGCCTTATTACCACTGAATGTGTAAGTTTGCAGCAACAGACACCCGCTGCTCACCATAGGGCGCCTAAGTCCGGTCTGGGGGCTGGCCAATTGCCTAATCCGGAATTATTAGCCAATTATGGTAACTTCATCCACACGCATTATTGTTTATTGCACGGCATGGATAACACGGATCATGACCGCCCGGAAGCCCGATTATAAGACGAAGCTGAGCTGCGAAATGTTTCATAAAACCACCCAGTCTCCATTATTGATGAGACATATGGCCCGGAGTGCTACAGTAGGAGAGCCTGCATGGCCATGAGCCCGCAGTTCTCATCGAAAATAACAGATATTATGACACCAAATAGAAGTGCATGAACCTAATACAGAACTTGTACTAATCACAGAGAAAAAGTCTGGCGCAGCGGTCCTGGCTTCATCCCGATTTGGCAATGACTGCCTCGGGCACGTCGGCCGGGCGCCAATTATACTAAGTCTAAGTCGCGCGAAAGTAAGACTTGTCGGTAAGTATTTTTCCACGAAAACGTCACTCATACGCGGCGCACGTAGTACACAGCCTACGTGGATGTCCAATTACTTCATCACACAGTTGGCCCGGCGTAAACCTTAGACTCTTGTAGGGGCAAAACTCCGCGACCGGTTCTCCGACGCCAACTTGGCGTCGCATCGGCATAACCGCGCAAGGACCGCCTTACGAGGCCATGGCGGAACATATCCACGAAGCGTACTTACCGTGACTTACTAAGTCAAGGACGTGTTGGACGGAGCCACAGGCCGCATCAAGACGCTTTAGTACCCAGACACCGCGGATGCGTTCTATCATCAAAGTTCTGAATGAAGATGCCATCGAACGCCCATGTCTTGTAATCATATCGACACTGCAAAGCATCCGGTTCGCAGGTCTTGTTGGGGGCACCTCGCGCTTACGCCCCGTCCAGTCATACATGGTTATGGCGCAGTGGCGTATATAGACGCGATGCACAGCTGACAGTCTGGGCTCGGGCTCCCAATTATGCGTGACATGTATGCGCGGCATTCGGAGAGTGATTTGCAAGAGGGATTCTCGGACGTACTGCCAGGGTTTGCCAACGTGAATAACCTTCCTCGAACAATAGCTGGTCATTTATGTGATCAGCTTCAGGAGAGGTATGATCAAACGTGAAAAGACCTGATGGGGCTCTCGTCGCGAGCCCTGGCCACGCCAGAATACATCTAGCACATAATTAGAAAACTGCACATACTCTGGGGTATTACACGAGTCACTGCGCTCAAGCGACGTAGGTACAGACAGTCATTAGAATCTGCGATGATAAGCAATGACCAGTCGCCACTTGTTCTGCTCCTGATAGACTTCGTACGTGCCCATGTCCGGCGGGCTTGCACCATCAGGTCCACTGTAGGTCGTCGAACCTTTTGCAAGGACGACGGTCATTTGCCTGGGATGGAAGAAACTCTACATAGAAATGTCACGAAGGATGAAACGGTGCAAGAGACACAGCTGTGCTTACCGCGTTCCATTGGTCGATTAGCTCGGCTACAGCAGTACTCTTTCTACTCTTCGTCATTTGATCAACCCCCATCGACACGAGCGCTCCTACACAACGACAGACATCAGTCAATGATTAAATGATTGAGATACCACATGAGAAAGAGCGACGAACCCACTATCCCGACCCTCCGACCCATCTGTGCCGAGTTGGACGTGAGCGAGCTCGCCAACTTGACATCATGCAAGAACCTCTGCCAATCGTCTTCGAACACATCATGCGTAGCAAACGGATGCGGCGCGACCCTCGATGGCGGCGCGACTAGAGGAAAGCCTCTGTCGAGATCTTTGTCCAGACTCTTGACGGACGCAGGCTCGAAAGGTTCGTAAGAAAGATCCGGGCGCGCAGGGCGTCGGAACGAGGGGGGCGGGGGATCGAGGAGCGCGCCCACGCCCTGGTCTGGCCCGAGGCTGCTCACCAAGGCCCCACTTATCACGCCTCTACCTCTCAATCCCGCAGGGGACGATCGTATGCCAACATCACGGGTATACTGCAGGAATACGCATCAGCGTCACCCTACCCCTGCATGGAGGATGTCCCTACAAGTAATTCCCGAGGTGTCATCCTCGGAGACAGGCGTCCTAGTCCTAGGCGGGAAGAGGGGTAGAGGCTTGTGCAACTCAAGTGTTAGGGCCTCCGCAAACGCACATAGGATACGGGTACATACCTCTCGTACATCTGGTTCCTGTCACTGTATCCAGAAGTCGGCGCATAACCGGGAGACGCATAGTTCATGCCAGCAGGGGGGATCGCATAATCGCTGCGAGTCTGATACGACGCGCCGGGCTGGGAAGCATAAGGACTATGCAGCTGATTACCTGCCCCGGAGGTCCCTGCGTAGTCGGCATACGGTTGGCTGGGCATCCCCGACGGTGGTTGCCCTGCATAAGGCTGGTGGAATCCGCGGGTCGATTCATAGGACTGGCGACCCTCGTAAGGCATAGACGCATCCTTGGTCCACGGCTCATTTGCGGCATATGCTGCAGTCGATCCCTCGGTCAATATACGCCTCGGGAGTGGGTAAGTAGGCCGAACGAAACTTGCCTTCCTCGCGGAGGAAATCGTCGGCAGGAGGACCCCTGTCCGAACGATAGGAGGCATTGGGCGGTGAGCCATACCTAGCCGAGTGATCGTCGACGCCCGTATATGGGGGCGGGACTTCCCCATAACCAGCACCGATGGGAGGATGGTTATGTGGGCCTTTTTCCGAGGGTGCGTACGCGTCGAGTGTCATCGTGATAGTAGGGTGCGGTAGTTGCTGAAGCTTTGGTGGATGTTGTAGCAGGATGATGGGTGCACCGGGGCTGGAGACAGCCCCTGTATATAAAGGCTGCATTATGCAATTACGCGGCCACGGTCCCAGACAGGCTTTGTGTCAGACGGTCCAACATTATTACTCTGAAGCGAGCGACACCGCTACGGTAGCGAGACGCCTGTCGCTATAGAGTCTCACTGTTGACAGCCAGCGGCATGATTCGCACTGCATCCTCGAGGTTCGGCCAGATCAATGTATTGCCCTCCGAGACAGTTGCTGTGAACGAGCGGTCGATCGACTGCAGTGGCCGATCGAAGGCCGACCTCTGAAGCGCTGTTAGAGGTTAGACGGCTAGGAGAGCCCGCAAAGCTGCGCTTATGAAGTGCCTGCTAGACCTGCCTAAACAGCAAACCAGCCGATCGACATCACCAGCACCCCACAGCCATATGATGGCAGCGAACGCTCCTGCAGACTTCGTATCAAAATCGGCCAAGAAGAGGCGCGACTCACCTACCAAGGAGATCGTATATTGGGCTTTTCGAGTAATTCGGTCACGTCGGTGTAAGAGGCACGAGAGCAAAGATAGATGGGAAAACGCATACAGTACGGACACTGATTGCGATAGCCTCGACCGTTGAACACGACCGGTGGTAGCCGTGTATCTTCCCTTCATAACCAATATGCTTCCGCGCGAGGAGCCGCATGCTCCCGGTCTCAGGCGGCAGTCGTTGATGACTTGAAGTTGAAAATTGTATTACGAGAGATCGAAGAGCCATTGAACAGCGCGAAGACGAACGCGAACCTATATCATGCGTGACCAAACCCACCAAGACGTTTTCACTGCCATTTTCCGACAATATACGAATCGCTATCATGCCGGGTACCCGCTCCTTCGTCCGCGCTTCGGCCTTGAACCACGTCTCCTTCCCCCCTTGGATCGCGACGCATCGCCTCCTTCCATATCAGTGTCCATCACGAAGTCGCCGTGGCTATCTCCGCCCTGAAGGCCCGGTTGCTTTGAAGAGAGATCCACTCTCTCGCGAAGGGACGCAGTCGAAGTCTCTGGTGCGATAGGCGCAGCGTCATTGAGTGACAGCCTGTCGAGAAGCGACGACCCTGTGCGCCTCATCAGGTCAGGCCGTGCATCGTCAACGCGAACTATTGCCGTACGCCCAGCGACTTCGTCCGGAAGTAGTCTGTCAGCTACCGGTGATTCCTCTGGCGACGCTTTCGTCATCGGGGGCGGACGACGGATACGGACAGGCTTGGACGTCTTCACCGGTTCCTCTAATGGTTGAGGAGCCGGTGCAGTATGCAACAGGCGTACACGATCCGGGTGAATCCTGGTTGCGCTATTGGCGGGGGAGACATCGCGGGAAGGTTCGACGCCTGGGCGATCCCAGGCAGACGCGTCGTCTTCACGGACGGGGGCCTCATTCCGGACGTCACGATAGTCGGAGTGCCGAGTTGGCTCGATGTAGACATCACGATTGACGGGGCGAGGAGGAAGCGACGCAGGCGGCGGCGCCAGGGAAGCGTGACGGTCATTGTACAATGGTCCAAGTCGATCTTCGAGACTAGGTCGCCGACCGCGGGGCCGAACATCCACGGGACTCTTGCGACCGCCAGGGGGATCAGAAAGCCCGAAGTCAGACTGCCGACCTGGACCAACTGAACCTGGCCCAGTAGCGGATCGAGTGGATTCGCGGACGGGCTCCTTGTCTCCTCGAGCATTGTGGTTCCCATTAGATCTCGTGGGTGGGTTCGCACCGTCAGTCGTGCGCCACGAGTCAGGTTCGGTCCTGGCTGGTCGTTCGGGAAGTTTGTGCATAAGTTCCACTTTCTTTGTATCCTTGCTATGCATCTCGAGTTGTGCCGACTCTTCCCTTGTCATCCAGATGCGAGGCTGTGTGTCAGGGGGAATGGGGGCAGATGGCTGAGCATGCTCTGGGCCAAAGCGACTCTGCAGAGACTTTAGTCCTCGCTTAGTTGTTCAACGACTCCAAATTGACATACCACACGAGGGCCACGATCCTTGCGTTCTGAATAAGAATCACCCCGCGGCCGCGAGAGCAAAGGCGGTCGGTCTTCAACTGGTCGAGCGGGCAATCTTTCAACACCCTACAATGACAACGTCAGCAAGGGTAAGAGCGAATGCAAGTAGATACTGACGGAATCAACACGACCAGCGCTCGAGACAGACGGACGACGAATTCCCAGACGACTATCGTCAAGGGGCACGGCCGATCTCTCTGGACTCCCAAATGGCGGGTCAGGCGACAACGGATAGTCCTGTAGCCTAGGTAAGGATTTTCGCTTCTATACTAATGCTGACGCATGCTCACTCTGCCTCTGCCAGGTCCAATGCGCGGAGCTGCGAGGGTATTTGCGGGAGGCAGCCTGTCTTGTAGGGGAAGCGTGCCGTCCGGCTCATGCATAGGCGGTATCTTCCTATTGCCTATGGGGACGAGATTCGTTCCTGATATCGACTTGGGAGGTGGGGGTCCAAATGACGGCTCCTTCGTAGGGTTCTGGAATAGCGATGAAGTAGACATGAGAACGAGGGCTGCAAGACGAGGATCAAAGGACGGACAACTTCGAGTATCGGGCGCGACACCGTTCTATGGCCGCCACGGGGAGTTGACGGGCTGCCGATGTTCCAAGAACTCGCATGGGATGGTGGTGGCGGAGGCAGACCTTGCGTCTCCAGAGGAGGGAAGCGCTGCGAGGGAACATGGCCCATGGGCTCTCGTCCACCTGCCATAGCTCGCGGACCTCTCGGTGCGTCACCAGGTACATCACCCATGCGATCGGCATACATGGACGAACTCGGTCTGGAAGGGCCGTCAAAGCCACGCTGAGATGGCAGGCTAGCCGGACGGTCGACGTCCATCGGCTCAGGAGCGTAGTCTCTAGGACCCTGTGACGGCAAATCGTCAAAGCGGCTGCCGGGTCTACTTGTCAGAGCAGGTCTGATAGGGGGCGGACGACCACGTCCATCGTATTCGACCTCGCCGATAGTTAAAGGTCCCTGGCGACGGGGCGGAGGCGCGTCAGTAGGTACATCGACATATCTCATTGGTACATCGTCTTCGCGCGGCCCTCGAGGGGGTATGTCGACGTAGCCACGCCGACTGCCCTCAGCAGCAGGGGTCGGTGGCGGCAAGAGTTCTTGCACTGGAGCATGGCGAGCCTCTCGGAAACGGGCGCTTTGCGGTGGTAGAGGAACACGCTTGCGAGGACCTGCAACCATGATGCAACAGCGCATATAAGTAGTCAGGCGTAAGATATTCGCGCAAAGGCCACAGCCACTCACGTTCATCTTGAACAGGTGAAGAGAACCCCGTCTGTGGACGTGCTGGCAGTCCATGCGGTGGTAACGCATCTATGGCGCTACCTCGACGAGGTGGGAGATCGTCATCACGCTGATCGTCGACTCGCCTTCGCTTGGTGTCATAACCATAGCTGGGATCCATACTATCAGCTTCTCGCCCTCGACGCTGAGGTACAGAATCGACTGGCGGGTAGTCATTGAAACCACGTGGAGACGATGGCCTTGGTAAAATCGGGGGTCTCTCTGGCCATGCTCTTTGTCTTGAAGCAGGTGGCGGAGGAATCGATGCTTGAGAGCTCCCAGGCGACGAGCCGCGAGAGAATCGACGGGCACCGGGTGGGGAAGGCACACGGAGGTGCGGCGGCGGTGATCTAGTCCCTGCAAGATGAAAACGGACAATGTAAGGAGGGCGACGAACGGAGACGCAGACAAACGAGAAAGTGGAAAAGGGTGACTCCAGGGTGAATGTCCTTGCGCCGCGTACGAGAAGAGGTCGGGTAATGGGAGAAGGGGACTACGGCGCTCGACTCCCAAGGCTTCTCGAGACAGCCAAATCGACCACGTCCTCCACCTCGGGAGGAGTTCACACGCCGGAGACGCGATAGATGGGAGGATGCGAATAACGTACTAGGTGCCGACCAGTCATTGGGACCACGACGATTCGTCTGTTCTCGATCCAAGGATGCGTTTCGAGGAGAGACGTCGAAGTCCATGCGGTCCTGCCGACCACGGGCACGACTGTGGCGAGGCGGAGGGTCCAAGTCCATCGAAATGCGAGACGAGTGGTTGCCACGTCGTACGTCGGCCAAGTCGCGCTCCTGCGCCCTCGGAGGTGTTTGCTCTCTGCGCGAACGCCCAGACCGCTCCTCGCTTCGGTAGTCCCGACGAGCAGGTGGGGACAACGACCGTGTGCGACGCCGCTCTGGCAGCGGACGAGGAGATGGCGCCCTACCTGCTGTGTACGAGTCTGCGTACGCAGCTTGCACTGGTGAGTGGGCTGTCCGACCGTCACGTCTGTCGCTCAGCTCTGTGCCGCCAGCACCACCAGGAGCCGCAGCAGGACGGTAATGTCGATCTTCGTACGAGAGATCGTCCGCAGCCCGTTTCGATTCCTTGCGACCCGTCCGCCGCTCCGGCGAAATAACGCGTCGGGAAGGTGACACACCTTCCCTTCCGCGCGACACGCCTCGCTCCTTGTCCTTCGCCGGGGACGACTTGCCGCTCACCGGTTGAGTCCAAGTGGACTCGTGCGTTTTGGTATTATAGTAATACTGTTCGCCCCCACCGCTCCTAGCTTGTCGGAGTTCCCAGTCCGGAGGAAGCGCATCGTGGTTGCTGCCGGAGACGGGCATCCCGAGGCCATTCGTCCGCGGCTCGCGCTGTATCATGGAGCTAGCCAGAGTGCTCGCCTGAGCAGGAGACGGATGCACAGGTGCCACGGATAAGACAGGTTTCGGAGGAAGTGCATGAGTGAGCTTGCCGACAGACTGAGAACGTCGCAGGTGGGGCGAATCCGGATCGCGAGGTGGCGCCGCCGACTGCTTCGAGCCATAGGATTCTCGCTTGCCATGAGACGTCGAATAAGAATTTGGAAGCTGAGCAGCGACCTCCTGCTCCGCAGCCTGGTACGAATAGTAGTCCTGCATGTCGTCCTCGTCGCCACCAAGCGAGACTGCATCTTCCGCGTCTTCTGGGCCGTGCTGGGCAGTCTGCTCGTCGTCCTCATGTCCCCAGTCGAGCACCTCCGCATCGTCCTCCATGCTGGCGACAATATGCAGATGGTGAAAGTGGTCGTCGTGCGGGGGGAAGGTGAATGTGCACAGAGGGAAGAATGAGGTCGAATACGTATTCGGCATACGCCGAGACTCCGATGATGGACTTGCGCACGATCACGTGCTCGTACTGCGCGAGCGTGACGGTGTCGCCGGCTGCAGGTTGCTTGAGGCAGCTCGACCGGCAGACAGCGACGACCGACGGTGGCGACAGCGACGAGGCTGCATAGACGTCCAGCTGTCGTGTACTAGGCTTTGTGCTTGCACTTCTTGCTTACCCAGGACATGTCTGTCCTTCCTCTCAGTTCACCTACGTTTCCCCGCAATGGCAGTCCAAGTCCAGGACCCATGCGGTCGTCTGGATCTCTCTCGAACCGCATTCCAGTCATATTCAGACGACTCACGCGCTTTCAACAAATGGTGTGCAATTTTCTGACCGAAATCTCCTGATTCCACTCATGCTGGGAAGTAGGACTTCGAGCTGGCGGCTTGGCAACTTACATACCTATGTCTGGCGCCCAAGAGAGTGTGAGCACTTCCTAGTAGAAAACACAAGGTGGCATTGACGATTGCTGCTAGCTATCGTAATGTCTATTTTCATAAACGTGAGGTCAACAATAGTTATCATGGACGTTCGTACTCATGTCGAGTTTATACAGAGACGAAGAACACATGGGCGAGAGACGACCCCGCGATTCTCATTCTCATTTCAGGATGTCTCGCAGGTTCGTCTGGTGCGGTTAGATGAGACAGAAGTGATATTGACCTTAAGATTCATAGTGTCTGCCGTTGCATGGTCCGTGGTGTACTCGTACTCACCGTTCCAGGCAATCGAGCTTGCATTCCTAATGATCCTCCGAGACTACCTCTTGGTCGGTGCCATCATGGCGACGATACTGTGGTATGATTCATAGTATGGCAATGAGTCTTGTGCGAACTGATGAAAGTGTCTTTACTTAGGTTGTTCTCCAACAAAGCTCTACTCAGTCCACCATCGCATTCTGCCCCATCGGACTCGGCGGTTGAGTGGGCGTATGCCTTCGATGTGCATACGAACGCGTTCTTCCCACTTTACCTCACGCTATATCTCGCGCAGTTGTTCCTGGTGCCGATTGTGCTGAGAAGCAATTGGATATGCCTGTTCATCTCCAACACTCTCTACCTCGCTGCGTAAGCCGTCGTCTACATCCAGATGGTATGTCACTCATGCAATCATAGTTTTGCACAGTACACCTACGGGGTTTACTTGGGGCTGAACGGTAAGAATGCTGCGCAACTCTACTCCAATACATATTAATTGACGTCCTTGGTTAGCTCTGCCATATCTTGTTCGCACGGAGATCCTTCTTGCACCGCTACTTCCGCTGTTCACGGGATACATTATATCATTATTGGGCTTCAACATTGCAAAGCATGTTCTACCTATGTATTTCGGCTCGTAACAACACGTATTGTAGCCTTTGCACACTATTATTCTGGGAAGCTGTGTCGATCCGGGTACCTCCTAGGATGCAGTGCGGTACAGCCCGATGGAAAGGCAATACAGAGTAACAAACGGTCTTAATGACGAGGTCTTATCGAATCAGTGGGACATTGAGGCTCCGCTGATGCGTCCTATTAACGTTTGTAATCTGGTCTTTGCTGTCGCGACAGGGCGATCGTGGTCAAGGTATCCCGCTTCAATCTTCACCACGACCATCTCCTCCGGCCGCTCACTACCTGTCGACGATGAGCGGTACACGCAGTCAGATTGAGAAGGCTATCGGTCAAATACAAGACAAGCAGCCTATACCAGAAATTGACTTCACCCAGCACCAGCTCGACAATGGGTTCACCATCAGCACCCAGGAGCGCGTCGTGAAAGAGGTATGCGTCGCGTGCACACCATCCTCAAACATTTGAACATACTAATCGCTCTGTTTCTTCATGTATGTGTAGGTGCAAGCACCTGCGATGGCCATTCCTACGGACGAGCAATTCTTCTCGCATGAAGATCCCACGAAGCCAGATGTCGCATTCCTCAAGAACCACTTCTACCGCGAGGGCCGATTGTCAGAAGAACACGCCATGTATATCTTGGAGAAGGCGACTGAGCTGTTGCGAGCAGAGCCAAATCTGCTCTACGTCGATGCGCCGGTCACAGGTGCGCCGCCTAGTTCATGCGGTGGCGAGCGCGACTCGCTAACGTCTCACCCCTGTTGTCATAGTCTGTGGTGACATACACGGCCAATATGTGAGCAGTTGTGCCCCGGATCTGCTGTGGCTGGTGCTGACTCTGTGTAGTACGATCTTATGAAACTGTTCGAGCTCGGGGGCAGTCCAGCAACCACGCGGTACCTCTTTCTAGGCGACTACGTCGACCGAGGATACTTTAGTATTGAGGTATGTTGCATCGCTCGCTGTTCTTAGCGTGTCCTGAGCTTCATGCCTTGTGCAGTGTGTGCTCTACCTGTGGTCCCTAAAGATCTGGTACCCGGACACCATGTTCCTCCTGCGCGGCAACCATGAATGCCGTCACTTGACGGATTACTTCACCTTCAAGCTTGAGTGTATGTCACATAAACCGTCTACGTTATCTGCTGCTTACGTCCCAGCAGGCAAACGTAAGTACTCAGAGCGCCTCTATGACGCGTGCATGCAGTCGTTCTGCGCGCTGCCTCTCGCTGCTATCATGAACAAGCAGTTCTTCTGTATCCATGGCGGTCTCTCGCCCGAGCTCCAGACGCTCGATGACATCCGTAATGTACGCGGTCTTCCATTCGTCCGAATTTGAAGCCACGAGAACTCACTAATATGCAGATCGATCGGTTCCGGGAGCCTCCCACGCAGGGTCTGATGTGTGATATTCTCTGGTCTGATCCTGTCGAGGATTTTGGCCAAGAGAAGATGAACGAGAGTTTCGTGCATAACCATGTCCGCGGTTGCTCTTACTTCTTCACGTGAGTGTTGTCCGTCCCTTGGCGAGGGTACGCCACCGATGATGTCTACGACTCCAGGTATCAGGCAGCATGCCAATTCTTGGAACGCAACAAACTCCTTTCCATCATCCGAGCGCATGAAGCGCAGGATGCGGGGTATCGTATGTACCGCAAGACCCGAACAACGGGCTTCCCATCTGTCATGACCCTCTTCTCCGCCCCCAACTACTTGGACGTCTACAACAACAAGGCCGCTATCCTCAAGTACGAGAGTAACGTCCTCAATATCCGACAGTTCAACGCCAGCCCCCACCCGTACTGGTTGCCGAACTTCATGGACGCCTTCACGTGGAGTCTACCCTTCGTCGGTGAAAAGAGTGCGTCTGTTCCCTGTCTGTTGAGACAATAGAGTGATTGACGTTGTGCAAGTCACCGACATGCTTCTGGCGATGCTCAACTGCTGTTCCAAGGAAGAGTTGGAGGAGGAGAGTTCAGACGAGGAGGTCGATGAACCGCTCGTATCGTCAGGAGGTGCCATTTCTGAAGAGTCTTCGGAGCGCCGTAAGGTCATCAAGAACAAAATCCTTGCTGTCGGGCGGATGGCGCGCGTGTTTGCTCTCCTTCGGTGCGACTCTCGCCCACAAATGTGTCATGACACTCATATCGTTGCAGGGAGGAGTCCGAGAGAGTATCGGAACTCAAAAACATTTCCGGCTCAGCTAAGCTGCCATTCGGGACGCTTGCGTTGGGAGCAGAGGGTATCAAGGATGCTATCACTGGCTTCGAGGATGCGTACGTGGACACGCATACGCACTATCACTGTCTCTCACCATTTTTCCGCAGCCGCAAATCCGACATCGAGAACGAACGTCTGCCGCCCGACCTCTATGATGCTGAGTCCGATGAAGGTAGGGCTATCCTGTCGTCCGGCCCTGCGTCGCCGGAGGGAGCACCGGTCTCCCCGCCGCCTGCCTCTGGCGTGGCACGCGCACTAGAGCAGGCGATCTCCAGTGGCTCCATTACACCCCTCAGCACGTCTGGTCCCAGCACCCCTGCGTCGCCATCGTCGCCGACAGCCTCCCCTGCGCCGTTCAGACGCGGCCACGGGCGCCAGGCGAGTCTTGGGACGACGATGACGAGCCCCAGTACGCGCCGGAGGAGCATCGAGAGCACGATGTCGCTCATCAAGGAGGTCGTCGACTCGAAGGTGCCCATCCAGGATCCAGAGCTCATCAAGCTCGCGGACTCTATTGCGGGCCAGAGCAGTCCGCGGACCAGTGCGCCGCCTTCGCCCAGTTAAGCACGGGGAGGGTAGCATGTATTGCATCGCATTACATTGTGGATAGGGATGTGGATGATTTGTGTACCGTGACTGGACTGGTGTCGGCTCCTTTGCATATGTTGGAATTTGTCCGTGTAATGTGCACTTTCGTGTATAATCTTTGTTCTCCACTGCATTTACGATTTCAAGGTCGCCACACAATCCTGATATGTCATGGCATGCCGGCGGAAGAGTATCGGTCGGCAGGGCTGGAGTTCGGTCCGTCCTTCACAATACAAGTGCGGTGCGAGAAGTCCCGCTGCGCAGTTACATAGTGCACCAACTATGAATGCCTTTACGCGTGGCATTCAATGTTTAAGGTACGTAGCCTACTCAGTGCTCCATGTATACTGATCGCGCCCTTTCTAAGTAACTGAGGTCAACCCCTGGTACAACGGATGCGCAAGCTCTATGTCAGTATGGTACTGAGGGATGCACGATTTCGCACGCCTTTCACGTTCCTTGGAGTCTCACCCATGCATGGGATTCCAACTGCGGACTGACTGCGCTCCTGGTCAAACAGCACTGCGGACAATGGTGCTGGTTGTCAGTCAGACAGCCTATTTGCCAGACGGCCCCGACCCGTAGCCACAAATCCACAGCCGGCCTCTTCATTACTGTCAGCGGATGACCTTCGCGGGAATCAACCCCTATCGAACTGCGAGTTCGGTATCACATAAAAGTGGGGCGTGTTGGCTATAGCTCTGCGAACCATATACACCAGCTCTCATCCCCAGTCAAACACACAACAGCCATGCCTTATCATAATGAAGACGAGGACACATACTCGGAGAAAGCCTACGAGGATCCCCGGTATCGCACTCAGGATATGCGAGCAATGCCACCTCCGCCATATGCCGATGTCAACCGATCGTATGCCAGGTATATGTTTGACACTTCTCTGAATTCATATACTCACAGGATTTGTAGCGGTCCATCCTATGGTCCCCAAAGCTCAAGTACCAGTCACATGCAAGGGCATGCCTACCCAGGCTCGGACTATCCGGTTAGTTCACAGCTCCTTGAACCATTCTTAATGCTGATCCCCGGGGCATGCAGGCTGATGCGTCTCCGGGGCAGTCTAGCACGTCCAACGGGAGCGGCTCTGGGGGCATGTCTGGCATGCTGAGGAACCTAGCTCTAGGACAAAGCATTGCGTCCCTGCTCGACCCTCCGCCTCCGCCCTTCCTACGCGCACCTCGTCCCGACCTTCCTTACGGACCCTTCGAGCCCGCGGCTCTGACCAGCCTAGATGATCAGCTTGACAAGGGCTTCCCGCCGCTTGCACCGCCTGCCGTGACGGCGCCGCATCCGTTCGTGACACACGATGTGGCCGACGAAGACTGGCAGCGATTCTTGCACGACGTTAGAATCGCCAGCTCGCTCTCACCGATCGAATGCGCCAAGGCGGGCGTGGCACCGATAGCAATGAATATCGGCTTAATGGGTGCGCCGCTGTCCTCTCGACTCAGGGATACGCTGATGTTTACTCTGGCGTACCTCGGGTAGGCATGCTCGTCTCCAAGGGTATTGAGAAGCGGATGAGGAACAAGAAGAGCGACGCGATCGGCGAACTCATCGAGCATTGGAACGCTGTGAGTCTCTCCCACTATCCTTTCGCTCACCTATAAGTAATAGCCAAAGGCAGCACTTCTTCCATCCAAGACGTGTCACTGTGGTCCTGGCCCAAGGTTCGATGGCTTATAGCGGACCCGAGGGCGTACCCCCACCGGACATGGCACTGTACTCAGCCGCCCTTGCACGCGACAACGAGATCATGTCGAACAGCTCAGACGAGGAGGTACGGCAGGGCCAAGGTGTCTTGGGTGGGCGAAGAGAGCGTCGTGATGCCAGCTGGAACTTCACTCACGTGCATGCCGGTTTGTACTGGTATCCTCTTACTCCCATCCTGCTATGTCCAAACCAAAGTAGCCCGGCAGTTGTTTCCAGACGGATTGCCGTGCTGCAAGGTCTCGTTCCTTGAAGAACTTCTGGCAGATGTCACAGAAGTGGAAGTAGTCCGTGACCGATTGTATTTCCTCATCATCCAAGCATGATGTCAAGCAATCCACGTCGAGAGATCGGTACGAGGGGCTGCTTTGGCATATGACAATAGTGTCAATGGTAAGGTCGTGATACTCGCGGCAATCGTCCCTATCACAGCGTGGACCCGGGTTCTTTGCGAACGTGGAACATAGCACCTGGATTCTGGCTTGTATAAGCCGGGGACGAGCGACAAGGCAGCGTAAGATATCGTCGTCGGCCATGTGGACATCCGCCTGGCTGGTGTCAGTCCCTGCACAGAGTCTGCTGATGGCAGTTGCGTCATTGAAGAACTGGGTCTTGCAGCAAAAGTAGAGTGCAACGGGGAGTATCGACTTCGTGTTGGTGAGACGTGCCAGCTGCACCGCCTCGAACGCATCCTGCCATTTGTGAGACAGCAGCGGATGCGATCCAGGTGACTGATCCACGAAGTTTTGGAAGTTGTCGGTATACAGAGTCTTGATCCTGGCAAGAGCGTCGTCGCGAACCTTGTCAAAATCATACTTATGCGCTAGGCGAAGCAGAACCGCGGCGTCTGCGAATTGGACTGATGATTCAGTTTCGGTGAAGCTGGGAACACCGCTCATGAGTCACTGAGTCCATGGACATATTAAGGGGTCTGCGCACGTTCTACCGGTGTACACGACCCATAGAATATTACGCATGCCACTCGCTGCATCAGAGACCCGCACGACAGGACATCCTTCAATGGTTTCACCGTCGTCAGGTGAAGCGATCCCAAACATGTCGCGGAACACTCCGAGTGCAACGATAGCACACCACGGTGTACTCGAAAGGCGGTGTCTTCTGCGATAATCACCGAGTTCCCATCGTCGAACCATACTTTGGTATCGTGCTTCAAGGTATCCGTCGCAGCCTCACGCTCAGACTCCGTGCTTGCGAGCTGCGTTTTGGCGACAGACATTATTCTGGAACAGGGTACGGAGCGACGTATCAGTAATCTCGAGCTCATGTTTGCATCGCAATGCAAGTTAACACTTACTCTGCTGAACTTGAAAGACTCGGAGCCCGGAAGTAGTAGGCGTGCTCAGAATGAACGATCGATTCAGATCAGAAATTGTTGAGAGCTGGGAGCCGGGTAGATCGAATTTGAACACGGTCAAGGCGACCGTCGGACGTGGACTCGGACAGCGCGACGATGGCGCGATGTACGTGCAATGCTTTACTGTAATACCTGTGACGATCGATTATCTTTGCTCCGATTGTATAGTTAACTTTGTAGACGACTCACCGTGCTGTGTATTGTCGTTGCCCCCATGGTCGAAAGACAGATCAAGAAGCACACTCAGAGTGGCGCTGTGCCAGTGGCGGAGTAAATGGTAAGCTCACTGGAACGCGGTACGTTACTACTTCAATTATCAGTGCGCACGAACTCTGCCAACTTCGCACCACTGGCAAGACCAGCCGTCCATCAGTATTTCTCCACTCACGGCATATGTATGTCGTTCTGCCAGTGGTGCAAGGCACGATGGGGTACAGCGGGTCGCACGAGGGGCCACCCGATATAGCTCAGTACCAGGCGACAGCAGGATCATCTCCCCAGGAGGCTCGGGAAGTGAAGGGAGTCTTCGTAGGACTGAGCCAACAGCCTGAGTACACGAAGGGCAGATTCGAACGTGGCGTGGCGGACGCAGAGCGAGTAGAGAGATAAGCGGAAGGTATTAATGGACTCGGACGATGTCTGGCGGTTGGTCGTAGTCACGCCTACTACAAGCCGTAGGGCTGAGACATTGTCTGATCAACGACTTATTTTGAGATTGGACATAACGGTGCGTAAAGATATAGGGATGTGTACATGCAGGTGAAGGCGTACAAATTGAATCAGGATAGATGTAGAGCCTACGTTGCGCTTCTTGACAATCAATGACAGGCCGTTCTCTCCCAATTGTCCACAGCCAGTTCGAACAGAGACGGTAGCTCCTGCCAAACTCGTTCGCGCTCGGCGACGTCTCTTTCGAGCATCATGTCACGGCACGCCCTGCAGATACACGACAGTTCAAGGTGATCTCGCAGCTCTCGCTCGATGTCCCTTCGCCACGTCAAGAGTGCATCAGTGGAGCCAACGCACTGTGCCCCAATTGCAAGTATGTCGTGAAGGCGAATCATCGTCACCCCACAGGCTGTTGGTGTCGCACAGCGGCTGCTGACTGTTGGACGACATATTCTCGAGAGGCACAGAGCCGCCTGGCCAGCGAGTTCTGCCTTGCCCTGGATGCACCGCTCCAAATCCTCTGGGGCCAGGCAGTCGACAGTCCCGTCTGAGCGTGCGGATCCGCGGAGAAGAGTCCGACTATCGAGCGTGCAGCAGTAGTACAATGCTGGGGGTACCATAGTAGCAGTGTCGGTGAGACGAGCGAGGTTGACGGCCACGATGGCGTGTTGCCGCTGTACAGCGTGGGGATCGTCCTTGAAGTCCGCGAATTTGTCCGGAAAGTATTGCTTCAGCCGCTTCATCGCGTCGACGAGTAAATCTTGGATGTTGTATTTGTGGCTCATACGCACCCAGGCCGCGATGTCTTCGAACTGAGCTTCATCAACGCTGGCGTATCTGCGACGAAGAGGAGATGTCGGTCAGAGCATCCGATTGCTAAAATGGGGAGTAGTACGCACTTTCGACCATGTATCATGACAGACAGTAGGGCCCGTAGATCCTGTGCCGTGTCAGACAGATGCACCGTGGGGCAGTCTTCAACCGATTGTGCCTCAGATGGCTGAGGAAGCGTGAACAGGTCGCGGAACACTTCCGATTGCTCCGCAAGAAGCCCTTTGTACACTTTGAATCCAATGTTTTGTGCGAGTAGAATGATATTCCCGTCCAAATACCAGAACTTGTCATCTTTCGTGAAGCTGACCTCAGGCCTCGAGCCACAGTCTCCCGCAAGCGAAACAGTGTCGGGATCCGTGCGAGCGCGTTTGCGAGAACGGAGAGACATGAGGGTCCCAGAGATTGACATGTGTCCAGTTTGAGAGCTGTAATAGTAGTTTGAGAGAGGAGACTTGATAAAGCTGAAGTTGGTGTGGTGGTGGTGAGTGCAGCGCGACTGAATCTGGCCTGGCCACAGTGGCGGGTGTTGTGGCCGACATCGACGTACACGTGATCGCGTGGGCCGAAATTTGACAATATTATCCAGTGCGAATCGCGGCGATGCACCTTTGGAACTCAAAGTAGTTTGAGTCGCAGCACCAGGTATGCTTTGCCCACCTTCTCTCTCTCGATATTGAATGTGAAACAGGTTATCATGATGTCTGAAGGGGCTGACTCGGTTGCTACCCGCAAACGGCCCCGTCTAGAGGCGTCCGAGGGAAGCAGTGACCCAATCGGGCGTACAGATTTCGAGCGCGACGAAAGTCTGTGGTACGAGGATGGAAGTGTCGTCCTAGTTGCAGGGGGCATAGGTTTCCGCGTTTACCGGGGTTTGCTCGCGGAGCGATCCCAGATATTTCACGACCTCTTCTGCATCCCTCAACCACCCGACAGTCACTCATCTTCGGCTGTCCGGTTATTCACCTGTCCGATACTGAATTCGGTCTCAGGGAGTTCTTGGACGTATTGATTCGCGGCAGAAAGTGCGTATATAAATTCTCCAAGGGGATTGTATCGTCAGTTTCAACACCACCGCATCACACCATCAGGTACAACCCTGAGGAAGACCAAGATATTCACCGTCTTGCGTACCGCATCCGGCTCGCTCACAAATACGGCGTAGAAGACCTGCTAGAGGAGTCCATATGTCACTTGCGAGCACTGTACCCCACCCGCTTCACCGCGTGGACCGCACTTCTAAAGCATCCCAACTGGACCTTGCGGGCCATCACTGCTGTCAACTTGGCAAATCTGACCAACACGCCTTCTATCTTGCCCTCCGCACTTTATGCTTGCTGTCAGCTTGAGGCCGACGACCTGATCCGAGGCGCACACCATCCGGACGGAACGGTCGACATCCTGAATAGTGACGATTTGCTGCGGTGCATCAGAGGGAAAGTCAAGTTGGCCTTCGTGCACGCAACCTCAATTCAGACAATATTCCACTTCCCCGCGCCCCCGCATTGTGGTACTCAATCTTGCAAACAAGCGCTCCCTGACCTTCGTGCCGAAGCTTTTGGATGTGTAAATGATGCCTTTGAAAGTGACATTCTTGCATCATGGGGTGACTTACTGGAGGTTGCTATCAGTACCGGGGATGATCCTGCGCTATCGCCATGCAACGACTGCATGGAATGGCTCCGAGAGAGAGACACGGAGGTTCGGAACAATGTTTGGAATGTCTTGCCGGAATATGTGGGAGTTACACATGAAGCTATCGGAGATTGGCCGGACATAGACGAGTAGTATCAAAAGTAAGCCAATTGCGATTTTCACAGTTAGCACAACACTTGACAAATCTACACATATCGAATTTTCCATCCACCACCAGCCACCACCCCCGTCCGTACAGATCCTTTCATGGGGTCAATGCTCGGCACTGGAATCATTATATCTTTATTTCTTAGTGGCCGGTTGTTAATATACGCTTCTATGAACAGATGATACTTGTAGCTTGAGTTCTGTGTGCACTTAGCTTGAAGCAAGTCACCGTTCTACAAGGCTGGTCATCTTTCGGCGGAACTTGTATAGCACAACTAGTAGTACTGAGCCCATCTACTACCCCATTCTAACCCCTTCCAAGCTACGTACCAGTCCTTATGTAGTAATTTATTTTATGCTGCACCGCCATGTACACAAATGCCGCAGTCGGCTACAACTGATTTGCGCTACTCACTGCGGCGGGCCCAGAGCTGTACTTAGCGCGCTAGGGCGCATTAGAGGAATTCACGTGACCGCGACAACGCGCTCAACTTGAGCTTGACCGTAACTGGAACGCGTGAACATTTGAACTTGCAATTCTAACTTTTATACCGTGAAGTCTATCGGCAAGCCTTGACGTCGGCTCGTACCACTCCTCTTGGAAACACAACCGCACTCCGTTCGACACAGTTCGATGAAACGTAGTACTTCCAGGTAATACCGTGGTCCGTGATGTACGGTTGTAACTTGTGGAAACATGGACTAACTGACCCTATGTTGAAGAGACGGAACGACACCTGCCAGTGAAGACAGCGGCCATACGACACATAAACGACTGCGGTTGGAGATGGACAACAGCGGCCCATCCATTCTCGACCAGGCCGAGAATCTGGGGTTCACCCGCGACGAGGACTTCTGGTACGACGACGGCAGTATAATTCTCATTGCACAGGACGTCGGCTTCCGAGTATACCGGGGCTTGCTGGTCAAGCTATCCGAGATATTTCGCGACCTCTTCACCGTCCCTCAGCCGCCGCACGGACAGCTTGTCTGTGGATGCCCAGTCGTCCATCTGCCCGACACTGCGGCTTCTCTTAGAGAGTTCTTGGAGGCGCTGCTGCATGGGAAAAGGTGCGTCGGCACATCGCACATACTTTCTATTCCAAGGGATACTGATAGTATGGGACCGGATTCCTAGATATGTCCCAGAGGACGACGGGGAATTGGACCACCTGTCCTATCGGATTCGCCTCAGTCACAAGTATGGAATCGAGTATCTCCTGAAGGAGTCTATACAACAGCTGCAGGCCCTCTTTCCGACGCGCTTCGACGACTGGGCCGACCTGAACCCGTCTGGACCGTATTCCGCTCTGCGGGCTATCACAGCCGTCAACTTGGCACGTCTCACCGACACGCCGTCCATCCTTCCCTCCGCAATCTATGCCTGCTGTCAGCTTCTGGACCAGGTCCTGCTCGAAGGTGCAACGCACCTCGATGGCACGATCGAAACGCTCGGCCGGGGCGATCTAATCAAATGCATGAAGGCGAAAGTCAAATTTACCTGTATGCAGACACATATGGTCCATCAACAATTTCGTGTCTCGGATGCCCCTACTTCCGGCGGGAACGTGACCATGTTGACGAAACATGCAATCAAGCCTTCAATCACATCGCGAGGTAGCCGTAGCGCAACTATCGACTGAAAACAGGGGACCGGGTATACTCGAGCCGTGGGGCGACTTATTATGTGCAGACAGCGCCACGGTTGGGATCGCCGATGCCAACGCTCTCAGACCATGCGCTCGTTGCATGTCTGATGTCGGCCGTCGGATCGATAGTGAGCATAGGGAATGGTGGTGCAGCCTGCCGGAGGACGTGGGCATCGAAGTCGATGACTGGGAGTAACTCATGCATGTCCCACATGCAATGAGACGCACTGACGTGCATTTGCGACGAGGGTCGATCAATTGGTGAGCCTATTTTAGACGCAGGGACCAAAAATTGACACCCATTTCTACATATCAGCGGCCCCTCGTTCGTCAGATTGATACGCATCAGTGCAAGACTGCGGTGTATCGAGCATACCGAATAAACACTTTGCCCTATGGCATTACTCATGCAAACATATATTCACATTTATACTCGTCCTTCGATGCACGTTAATACTTAAACCGCAAGAATCTGTAGGTGATTACTACGCGTACCCATACTAGGTCGAGTGACTCCGAGTCTGACTCGTCAAGTCGACCCGCTAGTGGTGCCGCATGGCGCGATGCAGACGATGACATGAAGATATTCTTGATTGTCATATATGCGACGGAGAGCCGGACGGTGGGACGAAGCAGGACGAAGCAGAGCCTGGACGGGACGCAATGCGCATTCTGGGCTGGTGAGTACATCTGCACGTGACCTGACCGGTGTGGTGTGGAAAACGGTGACTCTGAAACGAAAATGACAATCATCGACCACACAGCGCGACACAGGCCTGTACATACTTACATGGGCTCTGATAGTAGCGTGATTCAATGAAACGCGGAGCTCTGGGTAAGTGTAGTGCACTCGAGGGTATGATCCTACTCATCTTGACATAGAGACGCCATGACATCAGAGGGAGGCAATCATAAGCGACCTCGAATAGAGACGGGCAATGGCGATTCAATAGCCAGGATTCGACCGAGAACGTAGAGTTCACATGCGACGAGGAATTATGGTACGAAGATGGGAACGTATTCTGGTTGCCAGTGGCGTTGGCTTCCGCGTTTATCGAGGTCTACTGGCAAAGCGGTCAGAGGTGTTCTGCGACCTGTTCTCTGTCCCGCAGCCTCGGGACAGTCAGCTAGTCTTCGGCTGTCCAGTCGTTCATCTTTCCGACACCGATGTTGCGCTCAGGGAGCTATTGGATGTATTGATGTGCGGCAAGAGGTGCGCCCGGAATTGTGTCCTTCCTCTGTCCTGAGACGCTGATGCACCTTATCGAATCTTAGGTACATCCTGAAGAACGATGTCGAGCTAGACCGTTTGTCTTATCGAATCCGCCTTGCACACAAGTATGGCATCGAGGACCTCTTGGAGGAGTCCATCCGCGAGCTGAAGAAACTTTACCCCACGACACTCTCTGAATGGGCCGACCTACGGCGTCACTACTCCCCGCGGGCGATAACCGCCGTCAACCTGGCGCGTCTAACCAAGACGCATACCGTTTGGCCTTCCGCACTTTACGTCTGCTGCCAACTCGACGATCATTATCTCGTGGATGGCACGACTCATCCCGACGGCACAGTTGAGAGGCTGGATCGAGACGATCTGCTGAGATGTATCACTGCAAAAGTTGACTACACGCATCTATTTACGGATGCCATCCACGATCTATTTCTGCACCTCGACTCTCCCTCTCACAAGTGCTACTCGAAGGCCACCTGTCGTCTGTTGTTCCGCTGCATTCGCGGTGAAGCTAGATCGCGGTCCTTTGCGGGCATGGCCGGAGTGCTCGAACCGTGGGACAAGCTCCTGGACAAGTATGACAGGAAGAAGACCAGCGACATAGCTCTGGCTTCCTTATGCGAGCTATGCACGACCACTCTTCGCGCTCACACCAAGTCGAGAATCACCGATACGTGGGCTGACCTGCCACACGACTTCGGGGGCGACTACGACGATTGGAACGAGGGAGGAGCTACATCCGAATCTGATGACTGAAACATCCTACGACTCGGGCCTGTGAAGACCACGCACAGATCAGCTAGGTTGGAGCGCACTTTCAAGGTACCCGGACATGAGGTGGACCTAGGACATGGCATTCCAACTTTGTCTATATACCGGGCCCATGGTCGCAGATTTGGAACGCGCATCATACTGGTGACTCGCAATTCTCGACATCCTGTTTTTACAATACATATCTTACTATACACGTACCTACTCGGGGAACGTACCGGTACTTGTTCCATTTGTACAGAAACATTGATACCGTAGGAACTGGTACCTGCGTCGTACAGTCTTGCAAATCAAGGAGGCCAAGAGCACAATTAACGCTCGGCCACGACCATCACAAACGACACGGCCGCGCTGCACAATAATATCTACATTTGTTTCTCTTTTGCGGCTATAGACACGGTACTATCGACTAACAAACATTCCAGGATTCGACGAGCTAACAGCTAGTAACTACACACGCCGGCACTCGCGGTGCCGGGCGTCGCAAATACGGTACGGTACGGTGCGCGGGGCAAGAGGGTCAAGACGACGAGACACAGCACGCGGTCGGGAACGGGGAGAGGGGGTGCAATGATCGAGATGCGGGAGGACGACAGATGGGAACCGGGGATTAGGGAGAGTGCAGGGGGAGTGGGGATTCGTGAGAGCTGGATCGACAGGAGAGGACGACAAGAAGCCGTATAGATATGAGCGAGGAAGGAGGTTTGTTGGCACTAGCACTACGAAGACTAAAGACTGACAACGAAGAACGAAACGAGCACAAAAGGCAAGCGGTAACACCGCAAACAGAATAGGGGCGTGCCCACACGCACGTAACGCAAAAGAGCGTCCGCAACGACTCCGACTACGCACCACACGCTTCTCGCACGAAAAAATGCAGTCACCCATCTACTTCTTCCAAGACTGAGGCTCGCCATCGACTCCGCGAGCACGTCCGTCAACTGGCACTTCTTCTCCATCGTCGCGCCGAGGGCATCGACGACGCCGACACCGTGCGCGCGAGCATCGGCTGGGGCGCCGGCACGCGGGGCGACGTCTTCTCCTGCGGCTCGACGTCGACGACCTTGAGGACCGCGCTGCCCTCCATGACGCGGCGCACCTTGTCTGCGTCGAGCGCGTGGCGTTGCGCGAGCCAGAGCCGGACGCAGAGGTGATACCCGCGGGCTTCGCGCGAACGCGTCCCAGAACGCGGAGCCGAGCTTGCCCATAAGCGTCTGGGACGCCATCGAGGCGAGCATCGCTTGCTGGGCTGTCGGCTGCTGAGCCTTGCTTCCCGAGTTCGAGGGCTGGAGGTTGTGCGCGTGGGACGGCGCGAGCGGAGGCGAGTTGGGCGGGGTCGGGTATGCGTTGACGGCGGCCTTGCCGGAGAGGATGGCGGAGAGCGGGCCGGACTTGGCAAAGTAGTGGGGCGGAGGCCGCTCGCGAGGCCGGAGGGCGAGGAGTTGGGGCTCGCAAGCGGGCTTGGGCTTGCGTGCGATTGCTGGGCCTGTGGCCTGCTGGCTTGTTGCTGCGCGGCCATGTTGCGCCACAGCTGCATGCGGTATCTGGGGCAAAAAATCATTATCATCTTGAGGGTCAGCGGGGGTGAGATGTGCTTACGGATCGAGAGTCTTCATTGTGAAGGGTGCATCTCCATAAAGGACTCCAGAGCACCGAGCTGTTGCTGTTGTTGCTGCTGCTGAGCCTTGTCGGCGCTCGGCCACGGTGCAGCATTGAGCACAGGGTTGATGTTCTCCTGGAGCGTCGGGCTCCGCCTGCCAAGGGCTTGCCGACAGAACGCTGCCCCACTCAGGCACAAGAGTGGTGTGCACGGGAGTGAAGCCACCAGCACCGAAGGGACTCGACGCCCCGCCCCAGAAGCCCCGCGCACCAAGTCTGGGCGATGTCGGGAGGTCCTTCTGGGTGTTGGGCGTGACGAGCGGGCTCTTCGGTGGAGCGGAGCCGGGGTGCCATTGGAAGAGGGCCGGAAGAAAGGAGGGGAGCGGTGGGATGGGAGCAGGAGGCGGGAGCACGGGGGCGTCGACGCGGCCGCGGCCGTCAAGCAAGACTTCTTGAGGCTGTCGACCTCCTGACGGAGAGCGACGTTCTCCGACGCATGCTACCGAGCTCAGTGCGAATAGCGTCGATGAGACGATCACGCTCCGCGATGTCGCCCTCAAGGGTGGTATGTACTCTGTGAATATCAATCATATCCGGAATTGAAGTCTCTGACTATATAACGGCACGTCAAATGAAGAGGGTGGGGGCTCGTGGGGATCTCTACCAAAAATACGGTATGGAGAAGTCCATCTCGAGCTCGCCATCCAGTTCTGACGGACACTTTGCAACGGAAGTACTACCCTTTCTTCTCACACGAAGTTCCTAGCGCTGATCTTGTTTCTCAACTGGCGTTTCTCCTTGCTGTTCATCTTCTTGTACTCCTCCGGCGTGGGTCGCCAGTCTTCAGGGTCGGCCGACGTGGTCGAGAGCATGTTCGCCGGCTTGTTTTCCTTTTTCTCGCTCCCGGCGCGCTTGACACTCCGCCCGACTGCACCGTCCCTTCCTGTTCGACTTGCCCCGACCACCGACCTTCATCGGTGCGAGCGACAGCTCATCATCTAGGGCATCGTTCATAGCACTCGCTGTGTCATCTAGGTCCCCGTCCTCGTCATCGTCCCCTTCGTCGCCTTCACCAAACTCGCTCACGGGTCGGGGACCCGTGGGAGAGGTGACCAACTGCGGGTCGATGCTTGTTGGCGACGTGCCCGACGTCGAGGACGATGCACCTGAGCCCGAGTCGCTAGGACTGGCCATCTGCGCCGCAGCGCTGGTGAAGGCGCCCATGAAGTCGAAGCCGGGCGCTGCGAGGGGCATGGGGAGGTCGAGCTTGGAGAAATCGTCGTCAAGGGGGAAGTCGAGATACGGGTTGGAGTTAAGGGCGACATCGGGCATGTAGGGGTTCGGAGGGGTCGGCGGGAGACCAGAGAAGGAGTCGGAGGGCGAGCCGTCTGAACGGGGCGACGAGCCACTAGAGCTCGAGCCTGCGGCGTGCGAGGGGCCTGCGAGGAGGTCCATGTTGAAGAAGTCTTCAAAAGACGAGTTGAGGCTAAAGCCTGATTGTAGCGGATTGTCGACGAGCATGGCGGAGGTATGTACGGGCTGCGGAGGAGGTGAGTGTGGATGTGGTTTGGAAGAAAGCGCAAGCAGCGCGCTCTCGGCGAGGCAATCCTCGCTTACGTAACATTCCCATACATGGCCCCGTCACATCATGATGTGGGGGAACTACTCCGAAGCTGGCAGAAGATAACTGTGCCGCCTTCATCAATTCCCCCAACTGCGATTCAATAATCACTATCTGTCTGCTGAACGCCTGGATGCCGATATAGACTACTGCCATTGCTTGCTACCCGAGTGCAGTTGCATGAGCAAGAGAGAGGCAGCCTTTTTGAGCCAGATACTTAGCACCGTACCGTACCGTTCCCGACGTGGCGCGCCGGCTTGCTGCCCATCGCATCCTCCGCGCGTCTCATCGGCATCGGCGCTGGCCCCTCGCAGAGTCGTTGACTCGTAAGCTGATGGAGCAGCGCCAATCCTGACTCACCTCAAGGTGGATAGTGCTGTGTCGATATATGATGCGCACAGGGTGCGCACCGTGACAAGCCCAGGCAATCAACTGCAGAATAACAGAGAAACCAGGAAAACACTCCGAGCATCCAACAGGTTCTTACTTGTATAATATATCGTGCAATAATCCCATTGGCATGGGCTGCCAGTTCTTGCTTCGCTTTTGCAGAGATAAGTAGGCGTAGACCATGTACGGTGAAGACCTTACGGTACTACTTCAAATTCCTACATGACCATATGCACACCACGACGACTCTTCCACACCTGTCGGAGTCCTAGTGGACACGCGAGGAGCTCTTTCTCGCGATCAGTCAGTATGGTACGCCGAGACCTCGTTCGCCTGCCCTACGTCAGCTCAGGGCTGCCTGACAGGAAGAGTGAACGTCGTTATTTCGGGTGTGTGGCCACGTGATTTAGACGTACAACACCTTCCTCATATGGCAGGGCACCTTCCTGATCCGTCAGACGTTCGCCGTTACCTCTCAGTACTGTCTCGCTGGAACTCTTTTCATGTCGTCATTTGTAACTCCGCCACGGCTTCTGAAGAGCTCCACTTCTGGCCGCACACATAAAAGCAGGTCCGCGCCGCCTGGTCTGCATCGAGTCCCCTCCCCTCTCGGTCCTCTCTCGTCTCTGTTTCTCTGCCTCGGGCCTCAAGCTCAAGGCCCAACACTGTGACGACGAAGCGACCTAGATTCATGCGTATGTCTGGGATTTCAAGAGGATAATGGTAAGTGTCGAAATCGTCTGGTTGGCCAAATTGACGCGCATACATCTACCATCCTACGCACCAATAAATGTCCGGCTCATCCCTTGCAATTGGGCTGGGTTCATTCCAACTAGAGCCGTGTAAGCTCTCCACCGCTGTATGCCTCCATTCCGACACTGCGCATCTATTGCAACTACGGTCACAATGACCTCTGAGGAGGTCCACGATACGAAGGTGAGCTAAGTACTGGCATGAATTGGCTACAACCGTGTCATCCAAAACATGATAATGGAAATACGGCTACGATACACGAAGTATGAATAACGCTCCGGGATTACTGATGGGCGAGCAACAAACGAAGGCAACGCTCGCATTATGGCGGAAGGAAAGGGTATAGGTATGTCTTACAACGTTTCATGGCGAGATTCGTTATCCTTACACTACTCTCACAACAGAGCCGGACGTTCAGCCCACGCGCAGACCCCATCCCAGCGCCTCAAACATGACGGGGATGAAGCCGCACGCGAGCATACCGATTCCACAGTAGACGATGACCTTCGTCAGCACTGCACAGCTAAGGTCAGCATCGCAACACAGTCGGGTGCACAACACGCACCGTCCGCATCGTAGTGCTTCACCACCTCCACCTTCGCCTCATACTCGCCGACATCCATGGCAAGGCCCTCCTTTTCCACCGGGTACTCCCCCCGCGGCATCCTGCCCCTTGCCTTCGCGCCACGCAGCTTCACACTGCGCTCACCGTAAATGCCGCCTGGCACGCCAAACCGGTGGCCGCTCGCACCGCCAGCGCCGTCCATCTCCATCTCCATCATGCTCGAGAGGTCGATGACTGACGGGATCGGGTAGAGACCCTTCTCGGCCGGGACATTCTTGTAGTCCGTCGCGGGCGTGTAGAAGCGACGGTGCGGAAGTGTGAACGCGTGCGCAAGGAGACGGAAGAGCGGGGGGAGGACAAAGTGGAGGATGCTTTTCGCGACAATGCGCCACACGAAGATGAGGAGAATACCTGGGGAGATGTTCAGCGGAAGACCATGTGGTATTTGGCTGGAGGCTTACCGAGAACCATCTTCATGCTGGCAACAGACCACCAGGTCATAGCATCCATCCAATCACCCAAGGGCTTGCCCGGTTGGACGCGCGCAAAATAGCTGTCGTCGTAGCCGTGGTGCAGCATGTACCACCTCGAGAGGATCTCGCCCAACACCACAGACATGAAGGCGATGGCATCCTCGAAACAAGGGCAGTCATCCACTGGCTGTGGATGCCAGTGGACCATCAGGAGGCAGATCGGAATCGTTACAGCGGGCACTACCATGCAATTGAGTATGGGTCGTTACAACATCTGCCGCAACACTCACCTATCAAGCCGGAGTCCCGTATCCAAGCATGCAGGGGATCACTGCACCACAAATTGAGAGCCCAGACGCCCGTGCCGAGGACAAATCCACAGAGACAATCCGTGAAGGAGTGCATGCCCGTGTACAGCCGCCCGTACACGATCGAGAACACGTAGAAAAGCAACACGCCGACAAGGACATTGTAGGTATCGCTCGAAATGAACCGGCCGTCGGGTGCAGCGACCTCGTCGAGGAGAACAGCCGTCGAATTTTGAGCCGACAGGACGGAGGCAGCGGACTTTGCGTACGCCCGTTGGAGGAGCGTGAAGAAGAACAGCGCGATGGAAACACTGTTGGTCGTATGTGTGGAGGGGAAGCCATACTCGTGGTGGTGGTTTCCAACGGCTGGTGATTATGAATGAGGAGAGTCGCAGACAGGGATACAATTTGAACGTACTGAGTCTCGTAACGGGAGGAGCGAATGGTCTCGGAGAGCAAACCGCGTCCTTGACAAACGACGACGCGTAGACTCCGAGCGCGAGCACCATGAGGAGTCTACGAACCCTCGTTGTTAATTCTTCATTGTGAGAAGTATGCGGGACACGTACCCTGGAACAATTTCTCGGTGTCCGAAGAACACGAACGCCGGCAAGGAGATCATGAAGAACGTGTGGGTACCGAGCGAGGACGTGTACACGAAATATCTATCGAGGAATGGCGTACGAACATATCCCTGCGCATGCATAAGAACCGACGCAGACCGCCAATGAATGTACAGCAACTCACCTGCATCCTCGCCAGCACGTCGGACTCCCAGACAACACAGCTTCGGATACGCGACCGGATGCTGCTCCTCCACGAGTTCATGGCCTCCTCGTAGACATCCTCCGGGAGCAGGCCAATGCCCGCGAACTCCTCGCCCTGCCCGTGCGGCTCGTCCTCCGGGCTGTACCCCGTCTTCTCATCCCATACACCTCTGTCCTCTGGCGACACCGACGACGACCGTGACTCCGAGCGGATGCTACTGCCACAGCTGAAGGACCTCTCCGACGTAGGGCTCGAGATGTCGTCGACGTGAGGATAGCCAGCCAGCTGGCTATCTACCGCGTCGGTTGCGATTGGGGTGATGGGGGACATGACTTTGTCAGCGGCGGTTTCAGACTGGGCTGCGACTTGGGAGTCTACACCAAGGTCTACAGGCTCTACACTGTGAGATTAGGGGGCTGTGGTAAGGTTGACGTGACTGTTCGTGAGCGCGTGAGCGGTAGAGTTGGTGGGAGTGGGAAGGGCACGGCCGGCGAACGGCGTACGCGGGTTAGCGCGTTATATACAAATTGTTTGGTGGAATCAGGCGCTCGCTCTGCCTCGGCGTTGGCTCTTGCAATGAATGATGCTGCTAAACACAGCCTCGGAGTGTCATATGTTCAACGCTCATAATTACCGCAGCGCTACGATCGGCCGTACGTAGGTTGTCATTGTGGAGATGGAGCTCAGCGCCGAGGAAGACCGAACATTCACCCAAGACACACGCGATGGATCATCCGACTGCAACATGCATTGTATAATTGGCTGCTAATACGGGACATGAAGATAGAACACCGGGAACGCGGGGCAAGCGGATCCCAGAGGACCAGGGTTGGACCAGGGTGTGCAGAGATCTGTCAGATGAGCAGTCAGTTAGATGTCGGGCGAAGAACGGAACTATCGAAGTGATGAAGAGCCTCAGTCGTATAATGATGAGTCCCCATACATGAGGTCGGACATATGCTTGTAATTGTTAAAATCATCGGCAACGAGAAGACGGAAGTGCACGGGTACATGAGGGACACTTACCCATAAAATGAACAATCTCGCCTATCCACTGGTACAACACTCCGATGTTTCGACATACATACCTCGGTCAGGACCAGGTACGCAGCAGCGGTAGAGGTACGCTGCCCACTGCGGCATATTCGCGTGTCAGTGGGCAACAGCCTATCGCAGTAGCCCACAGGCCGAGACCATATCACCAAAAACGTACGAGCCGACCTGAGGCAGGAAAAGATGCGTCAGTGAGTATTTTGATCATGCAGATAGAACTCGAAGGAGGAATGCTCAGTTGGTGATGCATGTTGTGAGTAAGGCTCAGGAATCGCCAGCTCGAATATGTTATGGATAACAATCTTCATAGCAAAGGTAACGATTGAATACATGTACTCACCTACCACAAAACGTCCTTGACAGTGTTTCGCCTGTTCTGCGCGGCCGTCGAGCACATCGAAGTCAAGAGAGTAAAGGTCTGGCAAAAAAGGCCAGCGAAAAGAACAGAGGCGCGTTGGCACAGAAGTATCACAGGAAGCGCTGAAGACACCCAGCACTCGTTCGAGCTCCGCGCCAATCCAGAGCCGAGTTTCAGACGGAGTTTGACAGCTGTACAGTTCGCTCAAAAATCGCGCTGCGTCTCTTCGTTTCGCCATCGTCAAGCGTCGTCGAACATTGCGCGGGTCAGGCAAGTGGTGAGTATTTTCTTTGTATTGCTGGTGGTATGAAGAGCCTACTATTCAGTTCTGCTTCCGAACGGAGAGAAATCTCTTGTGGACAACATCTATACCAAAAAAACTTAATTCTGACCCTTTTCCCTCGTCCTAACGCGACTGCAAACTACTCTTGCTGACATGCCTTTGTTCTCCAGGGTTGAACGTTGAGGCTGAGGTACCTTACTTCGGTCGACGTAGTTGGTTCGTCAAGAGGTTGTGCATTGGTGGAAGGTGAGCATCTGCACCTGCGCGTCCGACCAAGACGAAACCAAGTTCATCCATTCGTTGACGTCCGCTGGCGCATCCTGTCTCGTCCCTCCCAACTTGCCTGTCGGGTCATGGAGCGTGTCCGTGTGCATCGTCTTGGTGCGCATGGGCCGGATGGGGTGGGGTCCATGTGTCGGAGAACGGTGAAAATACCGGCTTCTCTGATTTTCCCTTGCTTGTGTGACGAGTGGAGGCATTGTACTGATTCATGTCTCATAGGTAGGTCGTCGGTTTGTGACAACAATCTTCAGCGTAGTTTGGTTGTAGTACGTGTATCGGAGGGATGTAATAATGTATGATACAGCAATGCAGACAAGTACAAAGATCTCTAGCACGACAGCAAGCATAGGCAGACGCGACAAGTGTGAATAGGCATAGCCAAAGAGCAAGGTATACACTGGTGTACAGCAATGTGAGGAATCCGGCCGCCCGCGTCATGGCCTATGCACCACCACTAGTCTCCAGCATTTTGGATATTCTGCCTCGAATCGCTTGAGATTTTTGCTGCGTTCGCCCTCGGTTTCGTATTCCGACATGGCGGGCACGTCTGGAGGGTGCGGATCCGAACCCGAGTACGCTTTCGCTCCCCGGGCGAGGACGACATGCATACGTCGCGGATGGAAGAAATGCTGTCCATATTGTCAGTGCACCCGTCGAACTCGGATAGAAATACAGCGTACATGGTTCCAATACCCAATCAGCTCGCCCACCGGTCCCCTTCTCCTGTTATGCATATACACCTCGATGCCTTCACCACCAAGCCCACCGACAGCCCCAGCAGCGACGGCAAACTCACGCGCATCATGATCCGGTCCCACTTCGACAGCTGGCCCGCCGCCTCGACGTCGCGCAGGAACCGCGACCAGTCCTCTCCGTCACATCGTGCGTCGCAAACGGGTGTTCCGCGCCGCTCGCGCATGGCGGTGGTATCCTCGGGAAGCTCCTCGTGAGGTCCGTGCTAATCCCTAGCAGGACGTCGGCTCGAACGGTGTGTATGGCACGCCACCGCTCGCGGGCGCTCGAAGGCGGAGGGGGCGTGCTCAGGAGCTCTGCGAGCCCGTCGCTGCTCGTGGGAGCTTGAACCCGCGTGAGGAGTGCGTGCTGTTGTCTGGCGTCTGGCGTCGCGCAATTCTGCAGCGGTGACGGGAGCGGACAGTGGGGAGAGCGAGGCGAGGGCGGGGGAGGAGGAGGACCGCGCTAGGGCATCCTCGTGCGAGAGTGCATAGGGAGATAGCGACTGCGAGCTGACGCTGCTGAAGTCGCGCGAATGGGATGGGACGGAGAGGTACGGGTTGGTTGACGGGGAGCGCGAGCGGGCCCGGGGTGCAGAGGATGGCCCTGATGTTGAGGGACCTCCGCCTGCGCTCAGGAATGCTGGGGGCCGTGTGGATGGCCCTCCCAGACGACGTCGACTTGCTGATGTGTGTATGGCGGAGGCAGGTCAGGATCCGCTAGGGGGCCCGCAGTCTTCGCGGATAGGCTGCCCTCGCTCAGGACGATCATGATTTCACGACCTACTACGCCGCAGAGCACAGTATCGTCACTGCGTCAGCCATATCAGCGGTTCAATAGTGTTCAGAACTCACTTCAGACAGCCGAAAGGTGACTGAAGCGTTGTGTATATCGCAGCTGGACGGCGAGTCCTGAGTAGCTGCTCGGGAAAGGTCAGTTCTTCTGCGTCTACAGGCTCGCTCGCGGTATGTACACAGTACAGCCACTCCAGGGCCACACTCCCGCCCGGCTAAGTCACCCCGAAGCGGCGGCAATAATGAGTTTATGTCCGGCCTTGGTCCGTCCCATCTCAATCCTCCCAACTCTCTGAATACCCATCCGTGGGGGTGGGTTGGTGATCCTCAGAACATGATTGTATCGGGACATCGTCTCCATCGCTTCCCGGCCCCGGACCGCTGACTGAAGACGAAGGCACCAAATGCACTAAGTATAATTCACTGATGACTATTGTCCCGAGGAGCGCACCGTTCAAGTACGTACTACTGTCCTATTAGCGAGTAATTACAGAAATTGTTGTGGAATAAGGACATGAGCTCGAAGCCTACCTAGATCTACAACGTGTAATATGTATAGTCAAATTGGAGTACCGAGGTTCCTGGCTGTCGTCTGAAAGTATGCAGCCCTAGTCCAGGTCTGAATCCGAATCACTACTATCACTGTCACTGTCTGAGTCTAGACCCGCAAGCACCCAAGTCTCGACCTCGATACCCATGACCTGCGGTAGAGCATTCCACATTGCAACCCGATGGTGCCGCAGGTGTCTGCGGACATCTCGCACACCGTCATTGCACAATCTAGGCGATCCGGGAGTACCATTGGCAAGACCGCCACGCCTGCGACATGCCTCCAAGAAGCTGTCCCAGACTTCAAGGAGCCCTGCTTCGGTGTGCGTCATCGTTGTATACGCGAGGGCCAATCTGCGCATGGTGTCGAGGTCAATTCACAGTCCAACTGGGTATCACAGATATGGAACTGCCTTGCGAGGAAGAATGCCTCGACGGTGTTCTCCATATGCTTTCGGGTAAATAATACTTTTGCTTCCATGCATGTGATCATATCACCCGGGCTCAGCGTGTCGATCGTGCCGTCGGCGTGAACCGCACCGTTGAACAGGACTCGCACAGGTAGCTGGCAACATGCGTAGAGTGCCGTGGGCAGGACTGAGCATGTGTTGGTGAGACGTGCCAAGTTGACGGCAGTTATGGTCCGGGACGTGAAGCCGCGCTCATAGCGTACTTGGTCCCATGAAGCAAGGCTGGTGGGGTAGAGCTCTTCTAACGCCTGCACGGATTCTTCCAGGATGTCTTCAACGCCATACTTGTGGGCCAGGCGGATCCGATATGAAAGGAAATCCAGTTCAGGATCATCCTGCTCGCTGTATCTGACGACCGACCGACGATGATGTCAGCACTGTCTCGTACAGGAAGATGTTTCAGTGCACCTTTTGCCGCGCAGCAGAACAAGTAAGAGCTCCTGCAAGGCAATGGCAGTGTCGGAAAGATGGACGACCGGGCAGCCGTCAATGAGCTGGCTGTCAGGCGGCTGGGGGACGCAGAAGAGCTGCTGAATACTTCGGATCGGTCCGCCAGTAAGCCTCTGTACACGCGGAAGCCGATACCGCTCGCAACTAGGATAACATTCCCGTCTTCGTACCAGAGCTGACCGTCGTGCCTGAGCCCGGTAATCGCGGTAGGTCGCCCTGTTGGATCGTTGCTGTCCAGGCGGACCCGTTTGTGATTCATGCTCGCCTCCTTCACCTAAGAACTTTTGAGTCTGCATTATATTGAGTACTTCTATCTTGAAGCTCCATGAAACCCCACACACCTGGTGATGCTACGTCAGGTCCCTCGGACCGTCGAGGAGGATGTATTTAGGTCGGCCTAAGGCAAAGTGACGATGTAACCCGTTCTGCTCGTGTGTCACATCGAATAAAAACGCACCTTACACGGCGGTGAAGATGGTCTCGTGAGGATCAATGACTTAGAACACAATGAGAAAGGCATGCAAGACATGAACTTGAACGGATCGCGGTCACGTGTCTACTACCAGTGAACTGACGCGTAACTACATTTTAGGTAAAAGGACACTTCGTTCTCGACAGTTCTGAAAGACGGAGAAGCGACACCAAACACACATTTGTATGTTCATGGAAGGGGAAGCAAGTGTGGCTCGGTCCGGGACCTCATTCGAGTATACCGGCGCGGCCAGGACCAAATGCGCTCGAGGGGATATGCTGCCGTCAACGGTCAGGTTGCTGCCAGTGCCAAGGGGCCTAGTGCCAGTAATACTGCGATTCGGGTGGGTATTGACACGAGTGGAGATGAGCTTGTCAAGAGGCGAGAGATGGGTTTAATGACGTGTGTGTACACCAGAACGAGCGGGATGCTAATGATTGTCAAGGTGGAATGCAAGCATCGGACATGACTCACCTGTGACTCACTGTATGGACGCACAGGCACTACGGCTAGCCTGCTCAAAGTCCTGGCTACGGCGAAGACAATGCGCGAGGGAGACCTTGTCCTGGCGCGTGTTGGCTGAAATTAGTGTGAAATTGACTCAATGCACGCAACTGTCATCCCCTTCACACAGCGAACATGTGAACGTATTCGGTCAGCTACAATCCGTCGCCTGAAGATAGATATCGTACATATCATGATTCACTCAATACACGCAGCGCTACGTCTTCTCTCCCGTACTCCTCTGCCTGATTTTGCTTTTTTGTGCCGCCTCCTGGACCATCTGCCCTTCCCGCCTCCACTGTGTCTTCTCCCACGCGTCCCACTCATCTTTCGCGTCGATCCACCGCTCCTGGACGTCCCGCACGTCACTCCGCGGGCCTTGAATTGTAGCAGCTGCGCTCGTGAAGAGCCCGTACGCATTCGGGCGCTGCGTTCCCGGTGCGCCGTCAGCCTCGACGGTGCCTGGTGGTTGCTGGGCGTCTGGCGGCGGGACGAAGACGCAGCCTGTCGCCTTGTCGATGACATGCATGAGATGGAGCATGGATTCCTTCTCCTACGTCAAACGACGTGAGGACGTGTGCACTATCGATAGGATGACTTGAGGGTAAGGGCGTACCTCGACTGCGAGGGTTTCGAACCCTACAAGCCCGTAGTCCTCGATCAGAGAACATATAGCCATGTTGAGTGCCTTGAAGCGCGGCGTAGACGTCGAGAGTGAGTTCTCGAGGTATGAGAGGTCTTGGACCTCGGTGTAGAAGTCGAGATTGAAGTCTGCGCAGGTCAGCATGCACCATCCGGCGAATGGCCTGTGAACGCACCGAGGTCGCCATATTGCTGTATGAGATCGACCTTCGACAGCACGTTGACATGCGGCAGCTCGAGGTGCAGCATCGCGCGCAGCGACAGCATCAGGACGGAGATATACTTAGACGCATCCGTCACGTAGTGCGCGTCGCAGAGGTGGACCGCGGCTAGCTAGCGCAGTTGCAAATCGTGTCGCGCAGCGGAGGAACAGCAGACGTACCCGAAACCCGCTCTTCGTCAGCTTCTGCACGATGTTCTTCACGCTATCGTGGTTCGTGCTCAGCTCGACTGCCCAGGCAGGTCAAACAGGACATATGCGTCCTTGCCCAGCTCCCGCAGCCTGTCCTCGAGCCAGTCGAAGTTCGCCTCGAGGTACTCCATGCAGTAGAGCATGCCGCCGTTCGGTCCGAGGCCATGTTCGCCATGACGTCCTCGAGTGTGATGAGCTGCGAGATGTCGACGGCGCATGGATATGGTATGTTTTCGTTTGCAGGGTCGAGGTTGACGACGGATATGGGACGGTTGAGAGCCGTGAAGAGCTGGTGCTTGCCGTAGCAGTAGGTCGACTTGCCGCTCCCGGGCGAGCCGCAAACGACCTCGCCGAAAGGCATAGTAGGATTGTATGAACGGAGGATAGTATCAGACTTGTACCGCCGTGACGCACATGCGGGGTGAAGTGTAGAGGATAGAACGTACATCACTGATGGCGCAAGTCAGCGAACGTTGTCGATGCAATCTGCCAAATATGGTAATTTTTGATATGTGGCCACAATGGAGGATTTAATGATGTTCTCTACAATACATTGATGTTCTTCACAGTGCTCGAGGTCGCAAGCAAATACAACGCATCATCTACCTCGAGTCTAAACCTATACACACCTCCCATCAAGCGTCCTGAGCAGTGGCCCAGCCTTCAACCTCGATGCCCAGTAGTTCCGGTAGATTCTTCCAACATTCCAGCAATACCTGCCCGTGACTCTGTATCACCGTCTTGATGCACCTGGGACACATGGGATGCGCCGAGTTTTTGACATTGGATGTCATATCCCTGTTGTACTGCCCCATGAAACGAGCCCAGGAGCAAAGCGGGTGGCGGCAACCTGGGCTCTTCAAGTCCTCGAGAAGCTCCGTCTTGATCGCACTGACATGATCGGCGCATTCGAAGCGACACGAGTACCCGCATGCCGACAAATCCATGGATTTGACGATGGCCAGCGTTCGCTGAACACCGAGGACGGACAAGGCTTGTATGCATCTCTGAACATCGTCGGCACTCAACTTCTCCACCCGACCACCAGGATATGTGTGCCCGTTGAGAAGCGTCTCGACAGGGAGTTGGCAGCAATCATATAGAGCGAGCGGAAGAATGGAACTGGTCTCGGTAAGGCGGGCCAAATTGACCGCTGTGATCGAGTGGTGTGGCGACTGCAACGAGGGCCGACGGCTCCACGACGTGAAATCGGATGGGAAGTAGCGTTTGAGAAGAACAGCGAGTTCTCCAAAAGGTCCGCGATGCGGTATTTATGTGCGAGGCGGATCCAGATTGCGAGGTCCTCGAAGCTGACCTCGCGCTTTGTGATGTAGCTACGATCAAAACAATCTTTCGCCGTCAGTGCAACACTACAGGATGTAAACTGCGTACGCACGTCTTCCCGTTGATAAGAACGGACAATAGAGATCGCACTTCCTCCGCCCTGTCTGACATATGCACGACGGGACAACCATCGACGTGCCAGGCAGGATCGGCTGAGCATAGATCGTCCAACACAGTTGACTGCGAGGCGAGTAAGCCCCGATAGACTCGGAAGGCAACATTGCCTGCCACGAGAACGACGTTCCCGTCTTTGTACCAGAACTTGTCATCGCGATCGGGCTCCACGGAAAGAGGTCTCATAGGACGTATGAATATCAAGTCTTCATGTGTCTCCCGCTCTGAGTCTGATAGTGAATTTTTGAGCGAAGCGTCTTCTGAACGAGGTCGCTTGCGGCTTGGCTGCTCGCGCGAAGTCATGTCGGAGGTTCTAACCATGGAATGAATCTGTGAGTGGTCAGTGACACTCAGATGAGGAAGACTCGCGGCGTACTGGTACAATTGGCCGGGGACAGTATGATGGGAGTAAACGGGAAGTGTGTAGTGAGTACTGCCAGGCTCGAATCCGAGGCCACACTGTGGCTGAATTTGAAACTGTGTTCAGAATCTCGATTTGATCTCGATGCGGCGCAGCTACTCGACGCTCAGATCTCAGACTCCGATCTGACTCAGAGCACTCAAGCGTTAAAACGTTAACCACCACCGGCACCATTCATACACAAAGGCTTAGGCACGTCCTGGAACTTTGTATGATCCACAGTGAGATGTACGAGATGATTGTCATCTTGCTTGACAATTGCTGCTCAAAGGTGAGAAAGGTGAGACAATACCGAACCATTCACAGCCTGGCAACGACGGTGTCACCGCGTGCCAAAGAGTCGGCAGGCGTTGTGGTGACCATTAATGTCCGAGTCCTCGGACCCCCTACCTATAAAGGGGTGAGTTGCATCGAAAATCTCGTAACACTTGGCCGTCTGACACCCATTTCATAGTAATTTACGAACATGCAAGCACCCCACTGGATCCCCGCCACACAACGTCTGCTAGCGATCTCCGAGGTGCTGATCCAGGTGGCCGAAGATGCTGATGACAAGTTCACCGTGGCGTCTCTTGCCCGAACATGCCGCGACTTCTGCTCGCCCGCCCTCGACGTACTTTGGCGAAGCCAAGTAGGTCTCGCGAACATCGTCAAGTGTATGCCTCCGGATCTCTGGGAGATCCGGGAGGACGGAGGGCGTTCTAGCCACCCGATGTTGGTACGTCGTGCTATGCGCCACTACCTGTAACTTTCTGGTTCTCTGCAATAACTGATTCTGGAATGCTGTCACCTTGGTCAGATGTTCATGTTCAGACGTCCCATGTGCGCCAGCGACTGGGATCGATTCAACGTGTATGCACCTCGCATCCGTGAGCTTACTCTTTATCTATGTGACCGTGGCAACACGAGGCTCCCCGGCAATGTTTACGCTACGCTGAACATGCATGCGCCCTCGCTCCCGCTCTTTCCTAGTCTACGTAATTGGCGCTGCTACGACATACCACACGCGACAGTCGTACCGGACCATTGGCTCTTTCTTGGTTCGTCCTTGGCTGAGCTTGTTCTGGAATGGGACGTGCTCGACGAGCGGGCCGCGTTTCTAATGGCCTGCCTTCCTTTCATCTGCCCCAAACTTCGGACACTCCGTATCCGCGTCAGGCGCGGCTTCGCATCGTACCTCATCTGGCTCCAACCTACTCCGTTCAGCTCATTGAAGGAGTTGCGGACTTTTGAGATCCGGAGCATGGTGGATATCCCTGTGGACACACTGATGGCCGAGCTACAGTCGCTCCCTTGGCTGAGTGACCTGACACTAAACAGGTATCCCGGTCCTTTGTGGGCGTCACCGGCTGCTACAATCGAAGCACCACCCTCTTTTCGGGCCCTGACATCGCTCCAGCTTGCAGGCGACCCAGGAAACAGCTGTATGTCCGTGCTGGCAACATCCTACTTCCCAGCACTCGAGGAACTGTACATCAAAGCCGCCGCATTCGGGCCTCTCGACCACATCTTCCGAACGATCCACGACCACTGCTCGCACACCTCCCTTCACACTCTGCACGTCACCGACGGGGTGAAGCTTCGCGAGGACACCCCCGACTTCGAGCCGCTCGCACACCCGGCGCACTTCCGGTACCTGCACGCCTTCCGCGGGCTGGAGGAAGTCTGGATCGAGACGCTGCATGGCATCCTGCTGACCGACGATGACCTGCGGGACATGGCGCTCGCATGGCCGCGCCTCCGCGCCCTGAGGCTCCTCCCAAGCGAGAACCTCCTCCCGGGCCCACCGACGTTCGAGCCCGCGGGCACCCTCGCGGGCCTTGCCCATTTCGCGCTGCATTGCCCCGACCTGGGGAGCCTCGCCATCGCCATCGACACGTCCGAGGCGCACAAGATGGACATCCTCAGCGCGTTCCCCGCCCTGCTGGAGAGGGTGTCTGCTCTGACGCACCTCCTCCTGGGCCAGTGCGAACCCATGGGGAAGCCGGAGGCGATCGCGACGTCCCTCGCGATCATCTTTCCGAACCTCGAAGAGGTGCTGGGCAGCTATCCCGACCCGTTCCTGAGCGACGTGTGGGAGGAGGTCGACCGGCTCTATCCCAAGTGCCTCCGTGAGCACAATGCGAGGAGACAGCAGCTCAAAGACATGTGAGTGCGGCGGTGCGCTTGCGGTGTGGACTGACTGAAACTGTACGGCTAGGTTCGGCGCCAGCCGTGCCGCACAATGAGTACTCTGTGGGCTAGACACAGCACCGGCTTGGGGAGAGGCAGACGCATCACGAGAATCACAGGACTGGTGATAGTAGGACCCGTAGGTTTCTTCCGCATGCGCATCGATGGAATATGGAGCTAGCCAGAATTTACATAGCAACGACTTGTTCGATTCAGCGTACAAGCTCGTCAGCGAGCAATGATATAACCTTCAAGAACCATCAAGATAAGTCGTAAGATGGGACACGCACCTGGTTGTTCATTTACATGAACGACAGGACATCAAGGACGTCGTTCGGATCTGCGAGGGGAGTTAGAGCCACCGCATTCCTACGCGGTCCGATATATGGTATTTCGATCTATGGTATTTCGTGTACACGGAGGCCGGGTTTCATGGAAGGTGGTGACATGGACTTCGACTCTAAGAATCGACGGACCACCAATCAAGGATGACATACTTGAAGGATTGCGCATATACACGCATATATACGGCACAGAGTGCATATACTGTGCACATATGCTCTCCGTATCGCCTCTACAAGGTCATACACACGTAAGCTTAGCTGTTTTGCTTCTCAACTACGAGCCAAGACTTACTGACTGTATTCAAGTGCTGTTTCTAGAGCCGAGCACTGTGACGACAGCGGACATATGTGTGTCGTTTCTCGTCGGCTGCCTCCAAGACTTCCCACCTGCTGGCTTCCTTCCGATGTCTATTGAGCGCGGTCCAAGAAGAGTCCAGACAACTTACAATGATTACAAGACTGTCGTAGGCGCCGAAGGCTTCCCGGGCGTCTATGATGTGGGCGTCTATCCGGCGCTGCTGGCTGGCGACGCTTTTGTTCCGGATATGGAAATCGTTTTTGTCTACTCCTTGACGCAGAGGACAATGGCGGGCTCGCACAAAAGGTCGGCCATGCACCTTCGCATACTAAAGACTTGCTGGCCAGTCCCTCCCTCTCGTTCCCAACGTTCTCTGCGACTTGATCGCGCCGACGGTCCCTCATCTTTCCTTGCCTATCCACATAGACCTTCACGACGCTCACGATGAATTCCTGTGAGTTACATATCCAGGTAGCTACTCGAGATGCTAATACCACACCTGCAGTATTTGCCAGCAACCGCATCCTGCCTTCACTCAAGCGCCGCTCGAGAGTGCACAGCAAATCAGAGACCCTTACTACACCGACGCGGGGTACGTCGCTCGAGATTCTCCCTGAACTCGAGGAGGAGGAAGAAGCACAGGCAAGGCCATCCTGCTCCTCGACGCACTCCGCTCCTGCCCACGCCCACAAGCGTAGCAACACCCCCAGCCATCTCTGCATCAATGTCGGGGACGCCGCAGAGCGCAAGCGCAGCTCGCGCAGAGTCGTCCTCACCGGTGCTGAAGGCCTCACGTTCGAGGACTTCTTCCCTGCCTGCAGCGCACCTAAGCCTCCGCGCCCTGCGCCCGCTCCTCCCCTGTACGACGCCGAGGCCAGCCGCACGGCGAGCCCAATGGGTGAGTCTCCGCTAGACAGCATCGATCTGCGATTCTCTGGCCTGGGCATCTCTCTCGACTTCCCCTCCCCGCCTCTGGAGCGTGTGAGCATCAGCGCGTCCCCATCTCAGTCTCCACTGGCCGCTCGCCGACGCGGGCACTCACCCACGCCCAGCGTGGCAAGCACGGTCACGTCTCACACCAGTTCGAGCTCGGGTTCCAGCGCGGGCTTCAGCTCGCCGCGTCTGAGGCGCGAACTGATGACACCACCCACCTCTGACGACGACTCCCTCCCGGCGACACCCACGCGCCCACACCTGATGCGTGCGCCGACGTGCAAGTCCCACCGTGCGTCGGTCCTCTTCGCCAAGTCAATGCCGGACCTCAGCAAGTCTTCCGCGGAGTCGGACGGCGAGTCTGATGTAGAGTCGGACGTGGAGTGGTACGCGCGCGACATCAGCGATGTCGTTACGCTGTCTACGCCGCTCCCGCCCTCGTTCCCCGCCGTCCTCGTTGCACCGACGAGCAAGGACCCGAAGGCACGCCCGGACTCGATCATGCCCCTCAAGCGCAGCCGTCTCAGCAAGCCCCTCCCAACAGTTCCCCGGCTATCGATCCAGACGGCGGACGCACCTGCGAAGACGAGCCCGAGCGCACAGCTGGACCCCACCTTCATGCAGGCCCGCCGTCGTCGGTCCTTCCTCATCCCGGACAGGCCCCCTCCGCCTCCCCCAATCCGCATAACACCCTGTGCTTCGTCCTCGTCTCCGCCGACCTCCTCGTCCCTTAGCCCGACTGCTTCGGAGATGGAGGCGTGCACGGAGGAGCTGCTCGCAGAGCTCGCGAGCGCCGCGCTCAACAGCGGCTTCCTCGGTACGGGCTTCGCCGCGCCGCACACCCCGGGGCCATGGAGCGCAGGCACGACCCCGACAACGCCCAGCAGCGCGTTCTTCGTGCCGCACTCCGCGTCGTCCTCACGACCTCTGCCGCGGATGTCTCTCCCCACCGACATCTGGGACGACCTCGCGGAGGACGAGGCCGCGCTGCCAGAGCTCGTCGTCGACGCCTCCGTGTCGCCCGAGCCCGCGACGCCGCAGAGCGTGTCCGTCTACTCCCAACCCAGCAACGGCCGCTCCGCAGGGTCCGCCTCGCCCGCGTCGTCTTTCTCGTTCGACGTCGACGTGTCCTTCGTCGACGGCAGCAGCACGCCCGTCGTGGACGCGGACCTCCCCGCCGCGCCCGACAGCCCCGGCTCCGACGCGCCGGCGTTCGAGCAGGAGCGCGTGCTGCGCTCGCGCTGGTCCTCGAGCACGCTCGGCTCGCAGGTGCAGGCGGAGCGCGAGGCGTTCGGGTGGATCTCGCGCCTGACGCTCTCGCCGACGAAGAAGGCGTCTGCGGCGCGCAGGGCGCCGCCGAGCCCGTCGCCGAAGTCGCCCACGAAGACGATGTCCGCGTTCGTGCTCCAGAGCCCGCGGTCGCCGACGCGGCCCGCGAACACGAAGCGGTACGGCTACGTCGACTCGCCTGCGAGTGGGCACGGAAACCAGCGTGGCCTGGAGCGCCGCGGGAGCAGCGTGTCGAGGATGAGCGAGAGCAGCGCGGATAGCGGGTGTTCGAGCCGGAGCGAGGGCTTGAGGAGGAAGCCGATCCCGGTGGAGATGTTCATCCGGACGTAGACGTGCCGCTCGACTCACTGCAAACGACCGAAACGACCGCGCGAGCGACGATGTCCCTTTCTCCTTGGTTCAAGATCAGTAAACTGTATCTCTATCTCCCAGTCTGGCGTCCTCGCCCGACCGAGGTGCGCTGCCCACACCACCATTGTATTATTTATCGCCACTCCCTGTAGCATTCGCATTCGAGCATGCCCCTCTGTCTTCTCATCTCCTCTCCTCTCCTTCTCTACTCTCTGCATGGATTTGCTCGGAACAATAGTACCCCGGGTCGCCGGATTGATACCGCGCCCGACAATAATACGGTCGTTTCTGCTGCTGTGCTCTACATTTGTCTCCATAGCTACACAATCCCTGGATAATGCATCGCTTTTTGTTACGACATGCGAAGACGGCCGAAGCAGTGGGGAAGCCGGTGATGGGGTTTGTGTTCTATTGTTCACTGCGAGTGGGCTTGCTGTGCGATGACAGAAGCTAAGCTTTACTGGTGCGTATATACTTCGTCTGACCCCGCGAGTTCGACCACTGAGTTACGCATGTTTTGTTGTCTGCAGATGACCCTGGCCGCTGCTTCACTGCCATGTCTAGATCAGGCTTCCACTCCCATGACGACCTTCTCGAAGTCAGGAAGATGCTGTAAGTGCGGTGCGTGGATCACCAGCCCATCAGATGCCTCAGCATGGTCAGAGGTCTGCATTCTCAGCAGGACATTGTCCGAGCGCCATGACTCAACCTGACTAATCCAACCGTCGCCCGGTGAGCGGGATATCCATTGACAGGATTACCGTATAACTTACATGCCGCGAAGACTCGGACTATGGGCATGACTTCCCATCGCCGCGAGTCCGATGGTTCGCCATGTCTCAATGTTCGCAACCTCGAGGCGTGGACTCCTCGCGAGTGAGTGAGTGTAGTCACGATGGCCTGTTTTCGCGCTATCTTCGTGTTCTGTCAGATGTCCTAAGTTAAGGTTATGGGCACGCCATCTTGGATGCCGATCCGGGCGGGAACGCTCTCATGGGTGGCGCAATTCATGTCCTAGGTTTGCTGACTGATCCAGGTACTGTCCGGGTATATATCGTCGTCGACACCCTCGCCCAAACATATTCGTTCCCCACTCTCGTCTTGCGCTGTGAACCCGAGTTCCATACTCCACCATGCCTGAGACTATCACCCTTTACACTGCAAAGGTTCGTGGTGCAGACGCAGGTCATCTGGGGAAACCGACGCTGATCCCCCGCTTTCTGACACGCAGATCTGCCCATATGCCCAGAGGGTGAGTACCTCATATGAATGAACATCGGCCAGCGCGATCAACAGACGATCTAGGCAGAACTGGCCCTCGAGGAGGCCAAGGCAGACTACACCAAGTACCAGATCGATCTGCAGAACAAGCCCGAGTGGTACGCCCCCAAGGTGAATCCCGCGAGCAAGGTCCCCGCGCTCGCCTACGGCGGGCCCGCCGTGCCCGCCGACCAGCCCTCGCCCGAGTCCGTGAAGCTCGCCGAGTCGCTCATCCTCGTCGAGTTCGTCGCCGACCTTTACCCGCACGCGCACCTCCTCCCGTCCGACCCCGTCCAGAAGGCGCGCGCCCGCTTCTTCATCGACGTCGTCTCCACCAAGCTCGTCCCCAGCTGGAACACCGTCCTCCGCGCGGGCGCGCCCGACGCGGACCAGGCGTTCCTGAGCGCCGTCGACGCCGTCCAGAGCCTCCTGCCCGCGCAGGGCTACGCCGTCGGCGAGTACAGCATCGCGGACATCGCTATCGCCCCGTTCATCGCCCGCGCATACGTCGCGCTCGGGAATGAGATCGGCGCGTACGAACCCGGCCAGGGCAAGAAGCTCCTCGAGGCTCTCCAGCAGCCCCGGTTCGCACGCTTCCAGAAGTATTGGGCGGACCTCCAGGCGAGACCGAGCTTCCAGGCTACGTTTGACAAGGTGCGTGGGTTGCGAGGAGGGCTGTCACCAGGGCATACATTGATCTTGCGTCTCCATAACTAGGAGTACGTCACTGAGGCGTTCAGGAAGCGCTTTGGCAACAAGCAGTGAATCGCGAAGCTTTGAGGGGCAAGGTTTGCGGAGGCTTAGTAGTGAAGAATCCATGTTGTATTAACACTCAACGGAGTCGGTGGGCATATGAAACAATCGCAACAGATTGCTGACAATTGGCCATGGCTTCATCTCTGTCGCGCAAAGGTACCCTGGTGTCAATGATGAATCACGTCTTGTCGTTCATGTAAATGATTGGCCACCTAGCTAGAAATCACCCAGCGACGACTTGTTCGATTCAACGTACAAGCTCGTCAGCGACAACTGATACGACCATCGAGATGAATCGTAGGGTAGCACTAAGGACACGCACTGAACATCGACCTCATTGTCATTCAGATATCATGCACTAGCAACGGAGACTAATCATGCACCTGGTAGCAGAACTAATGCCATAATCTGTCTATGCACATGCGGCAGATCCTCCTACGAGTCTTTCTATCACCAGACCTGGTCTTCTCGTGGTGCGTCTGCCTCTCTCCAAGCCAGTGCTGTGCCTAGCACTCATTGTGTGGCACGGTCGTACAATTTCAGTCAGTCCACGCCACAGGCGCACCGCTGCCCTCAGTACAAGTAGTGGTGTATGGCACGACGTACAACATCAAGTTGCTAGAACGCCCTCCGTCCGCCCGGAACTCCCAGAGATCCGGAGGCATGCACTTGACGATGTTCGCGAGACCTACTTGACTTCGCCAAAGCACGTCGAGGGCGGGCGAGCAGCATTCGCGGCACGTTCGGGCGAGAGACGCCACGGTGAGCTTGTCCTCCGCTTTTGCGGCCACCAGGGTCAGTTCCTCAGAGATCACTAGCAGACGTGCGTGTTGCGAGTTCTGCGATGTGATTCGCCCCCTTTATAGGCACGGAGGACTCGGACAATAATGGTCGCCACAACACCGTCGTCACCAGGCTGTGAATGGTTTGGTGTTGTTTCACCTTTGAGCGGCAATTCTCAAGCCAGATGTGACAATCATCTCGTATGGCCCACTTGTACTGTGGATCAAGCAAGAGTTTCAGGACGTGCCCTTTGTGTATCCTTGACCCAAAGAGCCTCCCATGACGATCAACCATCACGGAAGCATGGAAGTACTGGCACAACTTACGTAGTACGTAGTCCCACGTATGGGCTGTAGATGTGTTGTAGCTAGTGAGCGCAGTTGGCAGCTGTTAAGACACCAATTGGCGCGTCACGGTGTCGTCGGTCAGCGTCCAAATGAATCCCTCCACCTCCTCCCCCCCGTCGTCGTCGTCATCATTATCATCGCCGTCATCGTCATTGGCGTCGTCATCGTCGCTCGTGCTCGTGTCGGACCTAATTATGGAAAAATCAGTCGGTACACATCACAGGCAACTCATAGTACTTACACTAGCAGTCTATTACAATGTCGACGGCGCATCGCATTGATCGCGCGAAGGCACGCAGGATAGAGCCGCTCGATTTCATCCCACGTATCGTTGTGTATGAACGGATAGTCACCCGCAAACTCCTCAAGGTGAGGAAAGATGATAGCAAGTGACTTCGCAACCTCGTGTGCGTCCCCGTCGCACGCATCGCTGGTGCCCACCATCAGGTGCGTCACGGCAGACTCGACCTCCAGCGCGTCCGGGAACTCGAAGAGAATCTGCTCCGCGGACGCGGACAACGTGTCGAGCACGAGCCAGAGGCTCCGCAGGGCGGGGCAGTGCCGCGCGAAGTGCATGAGACCGGTGAGCGTGCCCGCCGCGGGGGTCCCCCAATTTGGCGGGTTCAGCTCCTCAGCCGGGAGCAGCCGCAGCGACCGGAGGCGGGGCCATGAGAGAGCCATGTGCCGCAGATCGTCGTCGGCGAGCACGAAGTCGTGCAGCGTGTCCACCCAGACCTCCTCCAACCTGTGAAAGGCGTGCAGGTACCGGAAATCGTCCGCTGTGGCGGCGGGCTCGGGCTTGACGTCCTCGTCGGCACCCTCGTCGACAGGGTCGAGTCCTGCAACGTGCAGAATGCGGAGGGAGGTGTGTGAGCAATGCTCGTGGATGGCCTTGAAGAGATGTCCCAGAGGCCCCACCAGGCCGGCTTCGATTTCTAGTATCTCGAGAACAGGGAAGAAGACCGCAGCCAGCATGTCCACGCAGCTCTTTCCATGACCAGAATTTAGATGCAGTGATATCAAAGCCCGGAAAGATGACGGTGTCTCGAGAGAAGCCGGGGGTAGTGACCACACTGGGCTAGGGTGAGTCTCGATTACCAGCTCCTCAAGTTCAGGCAGCCTTTGTAATTCCACGAATGCGGCCGCAGGAAAGGAAGCATCAGCATTGACATGAACATAGTATAACTCCTTTAACGACGCGAACAGGCCGGGTTGAAGCCAAAGATCCTGTGCCGCGGCGATCGCGTGGTCGACTTGCAGATCGATCGTCTGAAGCTTGTGGCAGCGTTGAGAGAGACAAGCCAGCAGAAAAGCGGCGCGTTCGTCAAATGCATCCCATGCCACAGTCAAATCGACCAGGTGCGCCCCAAGAAATAGCCGATGGTCTGGTCCGGCTGTGGCCTGCGGGATGCCGAGGCAGTACCATGTGCGCAGGTTGGGGAAGAGCGGCATTGAGAGAGCGTACATACTCAACGCAAGGTAGACGTCGTTTTCGAGGTGTACGTCGCGACGGCCACAGAGCCTGAGCGCAAGTACACGAACACGGGGAGCGTACACGTTGAAGCGATCCCAGTCGCTCGGGCGCATCGCTCGTTTGAATGTCTAGAGAACAAACGTTGGACCCGTGGGCACTTACAGAGATATAGCGATTCGTGGTAACACATACCAAGGTGCCACGACCATAGAGTTCGGGCTGAATCTCCCAGAGATCCGCAGGCATGCACTTCACTATGTTCGCAAGGCCCGATTGGGACCGCCATAGTACGTCGAGGGCGGGTGAGCAGAAGAAACGACACGTTTGGGCAAGGGAGGCCACGGTTGACTCGTCCTTCGCGTGCTCTGCAACCTGGACGAGAACTTCGGGGATTGCAAGCAGGCGATGGGCGGCGGACATACGGAGCATTGTACGCATGCAAGCTACTATACAAAGCGAACATTAGTTGGTAAGGTATGACAAGCGTTTGGCTGGACTCATCAGGCTGAGTTCAAGTCGCCACGTTCTTTGAATCTTTCGACGACCGTAATGGTCGCCACCATTACGGCCATGCACGGGGCAGCCTTGGGTGACATACTCTCACCTACAAAGTGGCAGTCCCAGAACAAGACGACGCTCTTTGAGATGGCCTACACGCCGGAATATACGAATATTGCACGGCGTAAGTACTATGTAGTAGCACTGCCAGCAGGATGGTCTAGGGATGGTCTGCTCGACTTGAGGTTAATCACCCAGCGGGTTTGCAGGGCATATTCAGACTCCGCTGTGGCGCGGGCTCCCGTGCGCGCGCAAGTCGCGTCGCGCCCTCTAAGAGTCGTGTAACTATACAATTCTAATATGTTTCTTAATGCTCGATACACTCGCGCTATACGATCGACACTGACGTCGATCAATCAACACTCTATGGTCATTACAGAATACTAGTAAGCTCAGTACTAGTCCGGCGAGCGAGTTCCGCACCGCCCGACGTCGACTCGGAGCATGTCGCACACATGAAAACACTGTCAAAGTTGTGGTTTACAACACGCTCGTCGGCTGCGTTGGCACGCGGGGCACTGGCCCTGTGTGCTCGTGGTCGGCGTGTTGCGCACGCCCCGGCCCTGCTCACCGTCGTCGCTGTCTCCCATCCTGAGCTCGCCGAGTCGCGCGCGTCCACCGTGATTGCGCGCTGGGATATTCGTCCAGTACGCTCGCAGTGGACGTGTGTGTCGTCCCCCCGCTTGTGTGCCCGCTGACCCGCTTGCCCACTCGCACGTGTGCCCACTCGTCCGCCTGCTCACCCGCCTGTCAACCCATCTGCCTGTCTGCTCACCTGCTCGACCTGTCACCCATGTACTACTTGCCTGTTCACCGGCTCGCCCGCCGCCTCCCCGCTCGCGTTGCGCGCGTTCATCGGCCGTGTCTGCGTGCTGGGCATTTGCCCAGCGCGCTCGCAGTCAGCGTGTGCTGCCGCCCGCGCCCCCGCTCGTGCGTTCGTCCGGCCGACCGTTCGACGTGCCTGCACGCGGGCATTGACCCAGCGTTCTCGAGGTAGCCATGCGTGTTGTGCTGCACGTTAGTTGCCGCGTCCTGTGCCTGCATTAGTGAGGCCCGTCGCTCGCGTGCGTCTGCGCTCACCCGTGGGCACTCGCCCTCGCCCGCCCCAGCCCCCGCGAGCCGCTCACCCTTCCCAGCCATCTGCTTGTTGCTGTGCCCGAGCCCGCGGTATGTTCGTGGGCCGCGTAAGTTACGACGTTGGCGACTCTAAGAGGGCGCGACGCGACTTGCGCGCGCACGGGAGCCCGCGCCACAGCGGAGTCTGAATATGCCCTGCAAACCCGCTGGGTGATTAACCTCAAGTGTCTGCTCGTGCGGAGACAGCGTGATGGCTGGGTGTGTGACAGCTCGCGTGACCGACGCGACGCGGGAAGGGGCGCTTACGCGATCGCGTTCATCTCCGCGCGCGCCGCTCTGGCTTTGTGCTAACCGTGGAACCTGCGCCGGACCGACTCTTTGAATGGCCTCCAATGTCGTCGCGCATATCTACACGTCTTGAGACCACCCTCCATGTATGCGCCCGACTTTGAATTTGAGGTAAACGCTTCTCAATATGCTCGCTGAAAGGCGTTCCTGCGATAATTCAATTTGCTGCCGTCAGGACGAGCTCGAAGTGGCTCTGCAACAGTCGCGCGAAGAATACGAGGCTACGCGTTCCTCGTCCAGCACCACCGCGGGCGCGTCCCGCATGTCCTCGGTGCCGTCCTCGAGTCGAACGGTGTTCGCGCCGTCTCCCACTGGCAGACCCGTGGCTGAACGCCCGATGGGGCCAAACTACGCGGAAATTGACCGCCGGGTCGCGGAAATTGACGCAGAAATTAAGACCAGCGATGAGCAGATAGCCAGGGAGCAAGCTCGCCGCAATGAGCTCGCGCGGCAGAAACGCGAGCTGCTCGCGATCAAGCAGCGGCAGCAAACCTCCGTGCTGCTCGACAAGGGTAAGGGCGTCGCTCGGAACACCATAGATTATTCCGGCGAGTTTCAGTGGACCCGCGAGCTGAAGGCAACGATGAAGGCGGTCTTTGGAATCGAGAAGTTCCGTTTGTGCCAGGAAAGGTGAGCGACTGCACGACATTTCCTTTGTGTACGCAACTACCACTTGTTCTACTTCAGCGTTTGTAATGCGAATCTAGCCCGGATGGATATTGCATGCGTAATGCCGACTGGTACAAAATTTCCTTCTTCCTCCGGATGCGTCTGTGATTCTGACGCGTCGAAGGTGGAGGCAAGTCACTTACATACCAGCTCCCGGCGCTCATGACCTCCGGGTGCACGGTGGTCGTGTCGCCTCTCATTGCGCTTATGACGGATCAAATTCTACATCTACTTGAAGCGGGTGGTATGTCGCTCGTCTCTTCATCCAGATATGCCAACATACCATCCTTATATTCAGTGAACGCGGTGATGCTCACGGGTGCAACCCCGAAAGAGGAAGCCCGTCGCATCAAGCAGCACATGTTAGACATGGCGTCAGGGCGTTGTGCGCGCGAAGATGAAATAAAGCTATGCTATGTGACTGTGAGTAGTGCGCTCGCCCGAAATTTTTGGTCGACTCACGTCAGCTTTAGCCAGAGAAACTTTCTAATAACAAAGCACTAGTCGCAGACCTCCACAAGTTGTACAACACCGATAAACTAGGTAAGAGCCGGTTCTGCACAATGATCAGGTACAGATGCTGCCAACTCTGTATCGCGTATTAGCCCGGTTCGTCATCGACGAAGCACATTGCGTTTCAGAGATGGGACACGACTACAGGTGAGTGCAGTGTATCTTCAGAATCTCAACCACTGATTACTGCGTGAAATTAGACCAGATTATAAGAAACTCGGGTACTTACGGGAGGTATTCCCAACAGTGCCTATCCTGGCACTGTCGGCAACGTGTCCGCCAAAAGTGCTCGACGACCTGATGATTTCCCTGAAACTGCAGGCCCCGCTGCAAAAGGGCCCAGGTGAGTCTGTTAACTGCTAATTTTGCATGAATGTGTATAAATGGTCTTGCATTGATCAGAGGCAGCCAAGGGTACTGTATTGTTCTCTTCACCACTCTATCGAAAGAATTTGCATTACATGGTAGCACACAAGCCAAATGAGTTTGCGGACACGATCCGTGTTATGAGGGAGTGGATCATTCAACATCACCGAAACCACTCTGGCATTATTTACTGTCTCAGTAAAAAGGTATGTCAGCCTCGTCGTTGGTGTTTTCTCTATCTGCTGACTTTACTCTGTATAGGATGCAGAAGACGTTGCACGCGAGCTCCAAGTGGAGAGCGGGCAACAGATCATGACTGGCGTATACCACGCCGACATTTCTGATGGACGGAAAGAAAACCTGCACAAGCTTTGGCGGCAAGGGATGGTCAAAGTCGTATGTGCGACTATAGGTGAGTTTCATCCACGCTTATTTTTCTATAAGAGCACTTATGTTCTGCTCGCTGTAGCCTTCGGACTGGGGATTGACAAAGCGGACGTGCGCTTTGTCATTCACCACTCGGTGCGTTGTATTCCCCAAGATACGTGTTTGAGATATTGAAAGACTGTTTTAGCTTCCGGTTCGTTTCACGCTGCTGTCAAAATCTCTCATACTGACAGCGAGCACATGCCTCTAGAAATCGGTCGAAGGGTTCTACCAGGAATCCGGGCGTGCTGGTCGCGACGGGAAGGACGCCGACTGCGTCCTGTACTACAGGCCTCAAGACGCCACCCGGATCTCCTCGCTCACTGCGACCCAGCGCCGATCGGCACCCAACAAGCGTGTGTATTGCTCGCATTTATGTTCGTGCACCAGCGGCTCACTCCATTTGTCACGCGCATCACGTCATGGGTCCTAGTCTACGACATGCTCGACTTCGTGCAAGATATGCGAGGGTGCCGCAAGGTGCTATTTGCCAAGTAAGTCCAGACTCGGATCACATCACAGTACACCGCCAGCTGACAGGACACACACCGACAGCTACTTCTCCGCGTCTTCACAACTCTCGGTGGACGCATGGACAACGGAGGAATCGAACGCGTTGGAGCCCTGTGGGCACTGCGACAACTGCAAACGGACGCCAGACATGGTCAAGCCTATGGACGTCACGCCGCATGCATGGCAGGTTCTCAAGATCGCGGAAGAAGTCAAGACGCGCGGGGGCCGCCTCTCTTTGGTGCAGCTTGCGGGTCTCGTGCGGGGCAATAAGGTGACCGTGAGCAATAGGAGACAAGGCCGAAGAGAGAAAGAGCAGGGCGGCGAGACGCTTGATCTGAACAAGGTAGCCGGTGGTAAGGTAGTGCTTAGCAGGGAGGTCCGTATTTTTTCCTCGATGTGTCCTTACTCTTCTTGCTGAACGGAAACCAGGACACGGAGAGGCTCTGTATCCTTCTTTTGACTCAAGGATACCTAAAGGAAGAGCTGATACCGACCGCGTACAACACCAACGTCTACCTCGTTCCCGGCGACAACGCCCGCAGACTCACTCTTCTGTCGCGCACAGACATCGACAGAGGCAAGGGAACGAGGCTCGAGTTCTGCTTCCCGAACAGAAGCAAGCGGAAGCCTACGTCGAAGCCGACCAAGGAAGTGCCACAGGAGCAGGAGGCTACAGCGGCTCTAAAGCGCAGGAGGCCCGCTAGCATCGAGTCGGATGAGCCAGATGATGAACAGTATGATGACGCAGCATCAGAGGAAGGCGTGGGCGTAGATCATGGCGTCGACGCGACGCTGCAGAAAGGCAAGAGCAGAGACGCACCGATCGTATTGGGGGATGAAGACGAGGACGATGTTGAAGACGAGGATGAAGGTGGTTACGACTGGTCTTACTCCATGCGAGGGGACGGACCACCTCCGAAGAAGAGACCACAACCGTACGTTGAGATACGTCAGCGACCACGGGCGAGACGTGCAACTGTGAATGTCGTCGACGAGGATGTAATTTCCATAGACTCTGATTGACAAGGATGGTAATCGTGGGGTGGTATCATTGCGATCATGGGTACTGCACTAATGATACAATAGTTAAAGGGCACTGGCCGTGCGCTCGTCGACGTCGTTGCGTTAAGAATCATGAATAAGTTAATCGTGAAGGGGAGTGTCGCTCGGCAAGGGCAGTCGGAGCAGCCCTACTGTGTGCCCACGGCGACCTTGGGGCGTTTAAGTGCGGAGCGAAGCGGAGGTTTGGGTATCAGGCAATGTTCCATATCGATTCTCACCCCCTCTTCGTTCATCCAGCCCGCATTCGGTTCTGGGTATCCCTGAATGACACCACTCGTCAGACATGTACAGCACGGTACCGATGCAATACGTACCACAAGCTCTGGAGGGTACTCCCTACCAGGCTCTGGTGGCTTGAAGCAACCATCGTTCGTCCACAGCTGGTCACTGCGAGCGTTCCTGGTGAGTGTACGTCAACTAACGATGATGGATCGGTACTTACCCTCTGCGATTGAACCATCCCTTCCGGCGTTCGCTGCGTGGTATGGGGCATGGACACATCAAATTCTCCGTCCATCGCACAGCGCGCCTCGTCGATACGGTCAGCGCGCCTGCTGATGTCGATGTACTGCGAGTCATGACTGGCACAGATGCGTCCGGTCTTTGTTGGCCATTCGATCCGTTGGCTCGTGATGCTGACGGGAGGGGCGCGATGGAAGGCTTATCCTCACTTCGAGATACCTGAGCTGCTGGCGTCGCTGGGGCGGGATTAGCTCTTGAAGGCGGAGCAAGCTGAGGCGCCCGTCGTCCATCATCAATGGGTACGATGTAGGTAGAACCAGTGGCAGCGAAGCTAGGAGGGCCACGGTTCTCCGACGCTTTTGCAGGACCCAGTGGACCGCGCGGAGCTAGAGAGTGACACTGCGTAAGTGATGGTGACTTGGAGCCTGCCTGACGATTCGCGTACCTTCGGAGCCCATCCTCTGGATAGGGAGCTGCTGTGCAGTCGCTCGCTCATCTGAATAACGTCTCATGGGCGCAGGTGCAGGGCGTGAGCCTGCATACCGAGGGTCGCGTACTCCATCATCCCTGGCCGCAAAAATAACGGGCCGCCCTTGAGTCTGCATGCCAACGTCGTCACTGTCGTCGACAAAAGTGTCGTCCTCGGTGTCGGACATAGCATCGGCAGGTGGTAACCATACCATCTCTGGTTTGGGCTGCGTTCCGTTCGCGTGACTCGATGCACTACGAGAAATTGGAGGCAGGCCTGGTGGCAGAATGCGAGAGCCGTCAGGTGTGATGCGCGGCCAGTCGGACGAAGAACCGGTTCTTGGATAGGAGGGACGAGTCGCGGAGGAAGGATACTGGATTGCAAGGGCTGTCGTCTCGAGAGTCTCGGTACTGCTGCTAGCACGCGTCGACGATATTTCGATGGACGCAGAGATGGCAGAATCCGAGAAGATATCTGATTCGGAGCTCGACGACTCGGATGAGGGTGATGTTGCTAGGGCGTCAGGTGCGGTAGAGAACGATCGTCCATAGACATATGTGTCACTTGAAGAATAAGGATAAACAGCGTTCCCTCTCGATGACTTTGCGCGCTTGGGGTCGACGTAGACGGCGGGCTGCGTAATGCGGAGGGGGTCGTGAGGGGTCGATGAGGCCTTTCTTTCGAAGTTAGGTCGTGAGGAGTCGTCCACGGTCCTGTCCTGGTTGGACTGCCCTTTGGGTGCCGTGTGATACGACGGCAGCAAAGGCATTTGGGCTGCGGGGTTCTTGAAGACGTGGACCGAGAGTCCCCGAGGCATGTCAAAATACTGTGTATCATGAGTCTGCGAGCTGTTGGAGAGAACAGGACGTACTCACTTTTGACGACCCGCTACGAGTGTTCCTGGCTGGATTCCTGGAGTCCGACCTCAACGACGAGAGCATCGCGGTGTGTATCGGTTGACGGCGTGGTCGCCGCACCGTACTTATACAGGGCCGACAGGGGGTCAGTAGCATGTAGGCTCAGGCTCGAGTCCGAACACGCGTTTTTCATTTGCGTGCCATGTTCGCAGGTTCATTGGTTCCTGCCTGCAGGTGTTACGGTCGCAGGAAGGTCGGGCGTGCTCATGTGAAGCTGATGACAACCTCGGGGTTCTGGCCATCAATCTCACCTCGAGCCTCATTTTCTAAACAAATGATGGCAGTAGACCCGATCTCGGAGTGATGCAGAGACTCACAATCGTCATAGCGGAAGAATTCGAAGCGCGGCCGTAGCTGGATTGCGACGATCCGAGAGCGTCTGTTGCCTGACGCATCCGAATCCGAGTGGCGTCGGGAGTAGGCTCTATATCTTGTCTCCACTTGCGCTAGGGTCCAGGACAACTTGAGCATGAAGAGAGCGAGGCAGTAACGCATGGCATCAGAGTGGTTGCAGCAATTCATAACCATGTGAAGACAAGTGGTTCCAGGTCACAACGTGTTGCCGGGGTTGACGGATCCGGAGGAGGCCATGCATGGGGGGACCACTGCTGGTTGCAACAGCAGCGTCGAGGGCAATTCGGTGGAAAACATCGAACTTGACAGATACGGGGACATTACGTGTAGATAAGATAGCGTTCACCATGTACCGTTTAAACACAACCAGTCTTTCAGCACCGTCCCTCGCTCAGTTCCAATCTGCCGAGTCATCTCATGTTGCCGCGGTATTGGGAGGTCCTCAAAAGTCGATAACAAGTTGCCGTCCAAGATGCCTTTCGACAGTGGTCGGGATACATAGTCATTGCGCACGACACTGTAGTCGCGTGAGTCTGGACAAACTATTCTGAGATCGGCGGAAACTCACCGGAAGGCCTTGGGATTGAGGCCAGCCACGTGCTGGACATTTCTGGTAAGCTGCCCCTGGAGTAGATGCAATCGTTTGAAAGCGCTTTCGTCCACGTATGTCAATGACGACAAGGAGCCATCGGTAGAGCCTGCGGCAGCGTTACGCATGATATACTGTAACGTGCATGAGATCACGTACCACAGATCAGCTTCGCCTGCGGTATATCTGTATCTTTGGTTTTTCTGCGAGCAATAAGCGCGGAGGCACGGTATTCCGTCTGACCGTGGAACTCCGTGCGGCACAGCAAGTGCTGTCCACCTCTGGATTCAGGATCTGGAGACATTGTCAGACGACCTAATGTTACTAGGCAAGCTTGATTGACAAGTTTACGTACCATGGGGGTCATACTCGTATAATCTTATAACGCCGTCCTCATCGCAGGCCAGTAGGGATACCCGGTTATCGGCAAAGAACAGATCTGCGCTGGTCACACAGACATGATGTGGATCCTTCCCAAGGATGACAAGTTTGTACGGGTCTTCCTGTTCACAAGATGCAACACGCGCCCGGAGTTATCAACTACTGGACTTACCTGGAAGGCTAAAAACCAAATGCTCTTGACAGCATCACCAATCAAGAGCAGGTTCTTCACCGCGCGCAAAGAGGTCACATAAACGCCGACATCCAGGAAGGCGACGCCCACAAGTCGCTCGTCCAGATCAAACGCACGAACAAAGATCTGAGAGAAAATGCATCATCAGGAGCGGGTCTGGAGACACACAAAAGGCCGTACCTTTTGACCCATGGATGACACGAGGTAGTTATCCATGCCGCAAAGCGCCGTCACTGGACCCTTGGCATCGTCTCGACATCGCAATTTTAACTGGTGCCACCGTTTCCAACCCGTGCTCACGTCCGGTACGACCTCGACGATCTCAAAAATGTACACCTGCGCCATTGCACTATCAAGCTAATGACCAGCAATAACTGACCGGTTCGACTCACTGCTCCTTTGACGGCTAGATCTTCGCCCCGGTTTATCGTCGTGCCTACGGCAATAAAGTCCTTCGTACCGGTCTCTGTACTTACAGACTCCAGTGTCACGCTGTCAAGGCAAGTCACGAACTCGTTCTGGGCGAACTCATACCTACACGTAACATGAGTACGATTGCGCCATCGGTCTCGGCGCACTTACCCATCCATAGTAATCCAGGAATCGGGCATGAGAAGTTCGAGGGTTGAGCTATCGCAATAAGGGAACGATACATTCGGGGCTAGGCAGCATGCCGCCGAAGATTGAATTCGCGGACATACGCAAGACAGACCGCGGATGACTCACCATCTGGTTCCCATACAATGTTTCCATCGTCGTCATACGAAGCGAACCGCGACTGACGCGCCGATGCGGTTACGATCAGGGAGGTATTCGGGTCATACACCACGTTTGTATATGTTCTGGGTCGGGGTACGGATCTTGAGGGCAAGTGTGTGTCGAGCTGAAGGTCGGGTATCCACTCGACCAAGCTAGGCCCCTGCGAAGAGTGGTAGCACGGAATGAGCACCACTCGCAGTCCGCATGAGGATTGTCCTACCTCCTCAGAATATAGCAGAAAGTCGCCTTTCGACTCCCACACGGATGATGCAGTGAACGCATGGACTACAGAGTGCCCAGAGGAAAACACTTTCACACCGCCCTTATCTGTGCCAAGGACCCAACATGGCCGATCTCCGGTGAAGAAGACTCCAGAGAATGTCTGTCCGGGGGTAGGCGAGGACACGAAGGGAATGAGGTGGCGAGAGATTTTCTTCACCTCCGCAAGTACTGACTTCTCCTGCTCCTCAGGCACTTGGATATCGAACGCACGCGTGACGACCTTGACGAATTTGACTAACAGTGTCATAGTCCTATCGTTTGGCAGAGGATCCGCAGGTGGCGGTGCCGGGAGGACCTCATATACTGTAAGCAAACCCGACCGCATGAACACCTACGAAGGGACCATCAATACGCAGCTTTGTGCCTTTCACAAAAGTCACGAGGCATACCATGAGGTGCGGGCGTGGCGACGATTCGCCCAGAGGCGCGATGATTATTTGCTCAATGTCCAGCTCATGCGGCTTCCTTGGAGGATCCTGCGGAAGTGAGAGCGCGATGGGATCCAATGAATCATTCAGTACAGGCTCCAGCGAGGCAGCCGAAGTCGTCGAGAATGCAAGAACGAGCTTAGGGAGCGTCCAAATCTACACATGACGGCGAAGTGAGGCTCGGTTATGCATCAAGCATGGACGCAACGTTACCTCCACCACACCCTGCGGTCTGACAAGGATCAGCCATTGGCTTTTCTTGCCCGAGTCCATGGCAGCCTGCAGGGTGGACGTCCCACCCTCGGTCCCGGAAGCCTCCGCACTCTGGTAGGTCTGGAAAAGTCCACTCGTGTCGGTGAAGAAGCAGCCTGCGAGATACTTTGATGTCTGCGGAACGGGCATGTGTAAATGAATGACCATGGGAAGTCCTCGGAGTAACCGCGTATCTGACCTTGTCGCCCATGGGGGACATGTCCTTGCGTCTAATCTTTCCACGTTCGATCTCGCCAACGAACAGACCAATGGAATCATCCTCACGGATGACCAAGATGAAGGGATCGCATATACTACAGAACTTGACCCGAGGTCGAGGTACGTCGCCATCAGTGTCCTTGATAGCCTGGCGTTCACTACCATCTACGATATGCTGAGTGATAGTAATGCAGTCTTGAACGTAGGACTTACCAGGTTCCAGTACTCGTACCACATTGGCAACATTGAACATCACATGGATAATGGCGGTCCCATGGAAGAATGGTGCGGCACCTATAGTCGTCCCCGGTATTCGCGTTGTGATTTGAACTTCGCCCTGACTATTCCGAGATGCAATCTGTACAGAACATTTTAATTTTCAGCAACGTCACTACAGCAACCGATCTCACTCTCGAGAGTCCCGGTGACGGCGTTGCATCCGTACTGATGATCAGCGTGTCCTTCTCAGTATGGAATGGATTTGCAGGGCGTTCGAACGTCGATCCGTTGACCTTAACTGGCTGTCGCACCGGGAGGGACCACATCCCTCGTGCGCCGCCAATCGCATGTATCTTACGCTTCGTCCGCGTCGGTAGATCCTTCTACACAATGATGTCGGTAGCAGAAGCCCGTGCAATGCGATCGGTGTTCAACAACAAATGAGATGTGAAGCATTTGAGGATGAAGCCGGCGCACCTGCAGTAACGTAAATCCACCTAACGCACCGGAGCCTGTTGCTGCGACCAACTCGGGAACGAAGCGGTCCTAGTAACAAACATTCAGCCGTTTAGCGTCGTTGAGTGAAGAGGGTAGAGCACGGAGAACGATCGACGTACCCCATTCTTGGCCAGTGCAAAGGTCATATCGGCAATCGGACCGTACCCTGGTATCGCGTCGCACAACGACAAGTGGACGACGGTCCGCTTCTTAGTGGTAGCGGCCACCCCGTTTGCGGCATTACCGTTGGCATGAGCTTGCTCGACTGCGGTAGGAGTGCCGTACAGCTCTGGAAGTACACTTAGTACGCGAATAAGCCTGTGGTCCAGCACTGCACCTGCCTTCGTCTTCGTCAAGGTCCATGGTATCAATAGGAGCGACAACCGTAGCAGGCGCAGGCGCCATGTCCACGTCCTCATCTCCCACATCTTCCTCTACCCGCGCTGTCTTCAGGAGCACGCTGGGCCCAACGATACTACCCACAAAGAGGTGATCCTCCCCAACCCGCTTGACCAAAGCCGGAATTGTCGTACGCGCCACCGGTGGTGCCATCGATAAGCGCGACACTGTCTTACCGTCCAGCACAATCTCAACGGGATACACTGTCCCGTCCTTCGCAAAGATGTAGAGCGTGCGTTCGTCCACAAGGGTGAAGCATGCCCCTTCAATCTGAAGGTCCCGTTCCTGTTCATTTGGCGTCAGTGACGGCATGGGCATATCTGAAGTACGCGCAGGCCAGCCATTGAGGGGTAGGATAACGCGGCGAGACGCCTGATCTACGTAGACAATGCTGTTGCCTGCGAGGACAACCACGCCCCCGAGTGAAGTCGAACACGCGGTGAGGGCGAAACAATCGTAGGGCAGGGACTCGACGACGGTGATCACAGGGTAATGATGAGTGACGAGGTCGAGAGTGAAGATAAGCAACCCGACAGTGTCCTTGTACTCTTGCAGGCGGCTGGTTGCATCGTTAGAGCATGCACTAACGAAGATACGACAAGGCATACCCTGTCCATGTCTGCGTGTGTTGAAAGAGAACAGCGACCGTTGGATTGTTGAAGCCTGGTAAGAAGACAAAGTCGATCACATTCCGAATGCGATCGTCAACCTCGGCGGATAGATCAAGTATGAAGCTCGGCGAGTAAGGAATCTCCCTGTGGTCAATCAGCTTCATGACAGCAAGGAAACACGGGGCAGCTACCTCGCTTGGCTCATCTCCTGCTCCATCATGTCCAACTCTGCTTGTGACTGGTAGAAAGGCAAGATAGCGACCGAATCTTTTGGGAGGAGTAGAGCAGCACATCGGGACGATGGGTCTGCCCGGAGTTCTGGACGAAAGAGAGGCGCATCTATGGCGGACTGAAGATTGACTTAGTGACCGCAGGCTCTGCGATGTATAGACAACACACCAGTTGTGGGGCCCTTTCATACGTGTGTATGGACACGGTGATCAAGTCGTGGACAGCTTCCGACCATTCCAGGAGGGCAATCTGTGTTCCAGGGTAAGTACTGCCTCGCGTAGCCGTCCCATGCGGCGTACCTTCGCGTCCTTGAACGACACCACTAGCCTATCGAGGCTGTCCTCGATTGAGGCTACAATCCGTACGGCTTCAATCCCCGTAACGATCCCATGTAGACGATGCTCGCGCACGAGGTAGAAGCGAGTGACTGTGTGTGGCTCTAGCACACCGTTCGGACCGGTTGTCTACGACGAGATGGTCAGCACACGTTCCTCACTTCATGCACACGAGCAAGAAAAACAATGCTATCTCATTGATTGCTGTACGAAGAAGACAGCAGAGACTACTCCAATTCACCTTGAAGGACCCCATGTTCACAAACCCCTCCCCAGACGCGTCCATTTCGACCTCGCCCTCCACCGCCTCCGTCCCTTTCCTAACGCTGGCCCTACGGTCTTTTTCATCTTCCTTCTGCGAAGATATGGGTGCTGGTTCTTCCCTGACCTCGAATATACGGAGGTGATTCGACCGAGCTATCACGACGTTGAACAAAGCTCGACCAGTGCTTGTGCTTGATCCTGGAAATTTGCTGTCCGGCAGTGTCGAGGGCATTAACTTTAGACATGCCGCAAATTCTACCCCACTCGGTGGTAAGATTTCTCGTCGCAAGGCCTGCATAGTTTGTCAATGTCTGGCCTGCAAAGCGGCTGTTTCACCTTAGGAACTTGAGCAAAGGCGACCGTACGCCCAGCGCGTCGGCAGTCACTTAGCTGGAGAGATAAGTAGTTACATGACAGAATACACATTCATGAGAATACGTTTAATCCATATCTAGTAGTTGTAAGGTAGATTAATATACTTAGTACAGCCTTGTCACTCACAATACCGTCTATACATTTGCTCATCGTCTTCGACGGCGACCACCATCTCCTCCACGCCATTCACGATGTCTGCGAAGCGGGATCTGTCTGGCTACAACTATGCTGCCATCTCGTCTCTCGTCTTGACGGCCGACAGGTCCGCTCTACCCCGTCGCGACAAAGAACCTGATGGTGCACCTACTTCTCTTGCAGGTCGCATCGACCCCCGCGAGATGGGCTCGAGGGTCCAGCGGGAAGCCCCTAAAGACCTCGAGAAGAAGAAGAAGAAGGCCGCGGACAGGCAGGACGACACCGAAAAGCAGCTCGCCAAGCGGCGGGCCGCAGCGGCCACTGGCTTTGGCTACACCGACATCCTCGATGCGACCCAGGACCTCGAGGGCTTGACCTACAGACCGCGGACGGCCGAGACGCGGGAAGTATACGAGCTCGTCCTCGCAAGCGTGCACCAGGCTCTCGGAGACCAGGCGCACGACATCGTCCGGAGTGCCGCGGACGCGGTGCTTGAGAGCCTGAAAAACGAGAACATGAAGGACTTTGACAAGAAGAAGGACGTCGAGGACGTCGTCGGCTCGATCTCGAACGAGCAGTTCTCCCAGCTGCTCAACCTGTCGAAGAAGATCACGGACTACGGCGCCGAGGACGAGACGATGGCGGACCCGGACATGGAGCGGAAGGACGCCGAAATCGACGACGAGATGGGCGTGGCGGTCGTGTTCGACGAGGAGGAGGAGGAAGAGGAGGAAGAGGAGGGCTTCGAGGTGCGGGACGAGTCGGACGACGAAGGAGAGGAGGCAGGCGCGGAGGCACCCGAATCGCTCGAAAACAACGACGAGCTCGTCATTGGCGGCAGTTCTGCAGCACAACAAGGCAGGGCGCAGGTCGACAAGGACATCGTCTCACCCCACTCCATAGACGGCTTCTGGGTGCAACGCCAGATCTCAGAGGTATACCCTGACCCCGCCACCGCGGCGGAGAAGGCGTCGGCGGTGCTGTCGATCCTGGGCTCCGAGTCGAACCTGCGCGACTGCGAGAACCAACTGATGGACCTGTTCGAGTACCAGAGTTTCGACGTCATCACCAAGTTCCTCAAGAACCGGGACGTGATCGTCTGGTGCACGAAGCTCATGCGGAGCGACGCGGACGAGCGCGTGAACGTCGAGGTCGCGATGCGGGAGAAGGGCCTTGGCTGGATCCTGCGCGAGCTGGCGGGAGACAGGAAGGCGAAGGCGCGGACGGACGCGATGGACGTGGACGAGAGGCCGAAGGTGGAGGTGCCCAAGACCGCAACGCTAGCTCCCGGCTCAACGGTGCAGCCCAAGGCGACGGTCGACCTGGAGGGCATGGCGTTCAGTCAGGGAGGGCACCTCATGTCGAACAAGAAGTGCAAGCTGCCGGAGGGGTCGTTCAAGCGGTCAAAGAAGGGATACGAGGAGATCCACGTCCCGGCGCCGAAGCAGAAGCCGCTGGCCCCGGACGAGCTGGTGCCCGTCACGGCCTTGCCAGAGTGGGCGCAGCAAGGATTCTCGGGTATGAAGAACCTGAATCGCGTACAGAGCAAGCTGTATCCTGTGGCGTTCGGGACAGACGAGCCCCTGTTGCTCTGTGCTCCCACTGGTGCCGGAAAGGTCGGTCATCTGCTCGCGTATCCTCTCCACTGAACTGACAATACCTCGCAGACGAACGTAGCTATGCTCACAGTCTTGAACGAACTCGGCAAACATCGCGACGAGCAGACCGGCGCATTCGATCTCGACTCGTTCAAGATCGTATACGTCGCGCCGATGAAGGCGCTGGTGCAGGAGATGGTCGGCAACTTCAGCACGCGACTGGGTGTCTTCGGTGTCAAGGTCGGCGAGCTGACGGGCGACTCGCAAATGACAAAACAACAGATCACAGAGACGCAGATCATCGTCACGACGCCCGAGAAGTACGACGTTATCACTCGCAAGAGTACGGACACCAGCTACACAAACCTCGTTCGTCTCATCATCATCGACGAGATTCACTTACTGCACGACGAGCGTGGCCCCGTGCTGGAGAGTATCATTGCACGTACTATCAGGCGGATGGAGCAGACAGGAGAGTACGTCCGCCTCGTCGGTCTGTCGGCAACATTGCCCAACTACCAGGACGTCGCTACTTTCCTTCGTGTTGACCCTGCGAAGGGCCTATTCTACTTCGACGCGTCGTACCGGCCTTGCGTCCTCCAGCAACAATTCATTGGTGTCACGGAGAAGAAGGCCATCAAACGTTATCAGGTCATGAACGAGGTCTGTTACGAGAAGGTCCTCGACCAAGCCGGCAAGAACCAGACGCTGGTGTTCGTGCACTCGCGCAAGGAGACGGCGAAGACGGCGAAGTCCATTCGCGACATGGCTATCGACAAGGAGACCATCACGCAATTCGTCAAGCCCGATGGCGCCACCAGGGAGATCCTGCTCGAGGAGTCTAACAACGTGAAGGACCCGAACCTCAAGGACCTCTTGCAGTTCGGCTTTGGAATCCACCATGCCGGCATGTCGCGTGAAGATCGTGGTCTCGTCGAGGAGCTCTTCGCCGACGGACATCTGCAGGTGCTTGTATGTACCGCGACGCTTGCATGGGGTGTCAATCTCCCCGCGCACACGGTCATCATCAAGGGCACCCAGATCTACAATCCCGAGAAGGGCCGTTGGGTCGAGCTTTCGTCACAGGATGTGCTACAGATGCTCGGTCGTGCTGGTCGCCCGCAGTACGACACGTTCGGAGAAGGCATCATCATCACGAACCATTCCGAGCTGCAGTACTACCTAAGCTTGATGAACCAACAGTTGCCGATCGAGTCGCAATTCGTCGCTAAGCTCGCAGACAACCTCAACGCTGAGATCGTACTCGGGACAATTCGGAATAGGGATGAGGCAGTCCAGTGGCTCGGTTACACGTACTTGTGAGTGTGCTTGACTTGTCCGCATAGCGTGTACTCATTGCCATGCTCGCCCAGATACGTTCGCATGTTGAAAGACCCAGGGCTCTATAGCGTTGGCATTGACTACCTCGAGGATGACCCGAGCTTGATCCAGAAACGCGCCGACATTGCGCACACGGCCGCCGTGCTCCTGGAGAAGTGCCATCTCGTCAAGTATGAGCGTGCGTCTGGCCGGTTCCACAGCACGGAGCTCGGTCGTATCGCGTCGCATTACTACGTCACGTACAACTCGATGGCGACTTACAACCAGCATCTGCGCCCGACCATGACGATGCTCGAACTGTTCAGGGTGTTCGCCCTTTCGAACGAGTTCAAGCTACTTCCGGTTCGACAGGACGAAAAGCTGGAGCTTGGCAAGTTGCTCGAGAGGGTCCCGATCCCTGTCAAGGAGAGCGTCGAGGAGCCCGCAGCCAAGATCAATGTACTGCTGCAGGCCTACGTCTCACAACTGAAGCTCGAAGGGTTTGCCCTAGTTGCTGACATGGTGTACGTCCAGCAGTCTGCCGGCCGTATCTTGCGCGCGATGTTCGAGATCTGTCTCAAGCGTGGATGGGCCGTCCCCGCGAAGGACTGTCTCGCCCTCTGCAAGATGGTCGAACGTCGCATGTGGGGTTCCATGACACCTCTCAGGCAGTTCAAGGGCGTCCCCGCAGAGGTCGTTCGGAAGGCCGAGGGAAAGCAGTTCCCGTGGTACCGGTACTTCGATCTCAACCCGCCAGAGATCGGTGAGTTGATTGGGATCCAGAAGGCCGGCAATCTGGTGCACCGTCTCGTACACAGCTTCCCGAAGCTGCAACTGCAAGCTCAAGTTCAGCCCATCACCCGCACGCTTCTCCGTATTGACCTGACCATCATTCCCGACTTCCGGTGGGACGAGAAAATCCATGGAACAGCTGAGTCTTTCTGGATCATGGTCGAGGACGTCGACGGCGAGATCGTCTTGTTCCATGACACGTTCATCCTTCGACAGCGATATGCAGAGGACGAGCACAACGTGACGCTGACCGTGCCCATGTTCGAGCCAGTCCCTCCCAACTACTACATCTCCGTAGTCTCGGATCGCTGGCTGCATGCGGAGACTCGTCTTCCCATTCTTTTCAAGCACCTCATCCTGCCGGAGAAGTTCCCGCCACCTACACCTCTCCTTGACCTCCAGCCGCTGCCGCTTTCGGCTCTGCATAACAAGGAATTCGAGAGTATCTATTCTTCGACCATCCAGATTTTCAACAAGATTCAAACGCAGGTATTCCAGGCCCTGTATACGACTGACGAGAATGTCTTCGTCGGAGCGCCAACGGGTAGTGGGAAGACCATCTGTGCGGAGTTCGCACTCCTGCGACTCTGGAGCAAGCGTGAAGAACAACGCGCGGTGTGCATCGAGCCGTACCAGGAGATGGTGGACCTTCGTGTCGCTGAATGGCGCAACAAATTCGGCGGCCTTCAAGGCGGCAAGGAGATCGTCAGCCTGACAGGAGAGACTAGCGCCGACTTGAGGCTGCTCGAGAAGGGAGACGTCATCGTGTGCACTCCTGCCCAGGTACGCCACAAATGCTCATTATTTCAGGCGCTGCTGACGGTGTCATTCACAGTGGGACGTTCTGTCAAGGAGATGGCGCCAGCGTAAGAACGTGCAGACGATCGGTCTGTTGATCGCCGATGAGATTCAACTTGTCGGCGGCGAGGTTGGTCCCACCTACGAGGTTGTCATCTCTCGTACACGGTATGTTTCCGCGCAGACTGAGATCAAGACTCGCATCGTCGCGTGCGGCGTGTCACTCGCAAATGCTCGGGATCTCGGTGAGTGGATGGGGGCGCCCTCGCATGCGATCTTCAATTTCCCTCCGAGGTAAGTGGTTGACCATATATCTACAGATGTGTACTGACACCGGGTCTTGTAGTGCGCGTCCGCTGGACATGGACATCCATCTGCAGAGCTTCAACATTCCCCACTTCCCGTCGCTCATGATCGCTATGTCAAAACCGGCCTATCTGGCAATCCTCGAGTATTCGCCAACGAAGCCGGTCCTCATCTTCGTTCCGTCTCGTCGCCAATGTCAACTTACTGCAGACGATATCCTCACGCACTGTGGTGCAGACGACGACAGTAATCGTTTCCTCAACATCGAGGAGGCTGACCTTCAACCTCACCTGGACCATATCTCCGATACCGGTTTGGTCGAGACCTTGAAACACGGTGTTGGGTACTACCATGAAGCTCTGAGCAAACAAGACAAGAAGATTGTCGAACGCTTGTTCCAATCCGGTGCCATTCAAGTCCTGATCGCTTCGAAGGTAAGTAACAGTGTAGCTCGCGTTCGTCAGTCTCGTCAGTCAGCTAATCCGTTCACTAGGACACTGCTTGGAGTCTCCCCGTGGCCAGCTACATGGTGATCATCATGGGTGTCCAGTTCTATGAGGGTAAAGAACATCGATACGTTGATTATCCCGTCATGGATGTCCTACAGATGCTTGGGCGTGCATGTCGTCCCATAGAAGACGACAAAAGCCGCTGCGTACTCATGTGCCAGCAGACGCGGAAGGACTTCTACAAGAAGTTCCTTGCCGAAGGCCTCCCGATCGAGTCACATCTGCCTACACACATGCTCCACGACTATTTCCTCGCCGAGATCGCCGTGAAGACCATCGAAAACAAGCAGGATGCAATGGATATTTTGACATGGACGTACTTCTACCGACGAATGACTCAAAACCCGAACTACTACAACCTCCATAACGTCAGTCACCAACACCTCTCCGATCATCTGTCCGAGCTTGTGGAGAGCACCCTCAACGACCTCGTCAACTCGAAGTGTATCGCCATCGAGGACGAGATGGACGTCTCCCCGCTCAACCTCGGTATGATCGCCGCATATTACAATATCTCATACGTCACTGTCGAGGTGTATACGCTCTCGCTCAAGGAGCGCACGAAGATGAAGGGTCTTCTGGAGGTCGTTGCCTCGTCCGCCGAGTTCGAATCAATACCTATTCGTCGACACGAGGACGTGCTGCTCCGGCGCATCTACGACCGCGTGCCCGTCAAGCTCGACCGCGCGGACTTCGAGGCGCCGCACTTCAAGACGTTCCTCCTGCTACAGGCGCACTTCTCGCGTCTGCAGCTCCCGCCAGATCTTGCGGCCGATCAGGTGTTGGTGCTCGAGAAGGTCCTCAACCTGCTCTCGGCTTGCGTGGACGTCATGTCGTCAAACGCCTGGTTGAATGCCCTCAGCGCAATGGATCTGTCGCAGATGTGCGTGCAAGCTTGCTGGGAGTCCGACTCACCACTCAAGCAGATCCCACATTTCGAGCCCGAAGTGAGTTCTTCGTGCTTATTTCTCATGATGTTGAGACTGATCGAGTTCTTCTCTGTTCTTTTATAGGTCATCGCGAGGTGTAAGGCGGCTGGCGTGGACTCAGTATACGACATCATGGAGATGGAGGACGACAAGCGAAATACTGTCCTGCGCATGGACGCGCGCCAGATGCGCGACGTCGCGACCTTCGTCAACTCCTACCCCACCCTGGACGTCAACTACGAGCTCGCGAAGGGCGACTACACTGCCGGCGCACCGATACCCATCAAGGTCTCGCTCAGCCGCGACGCGGACGAGGAGGGTGAGGGCGACGACGAGATCGTGGTTGCGCCCTTCTACCCGCTCAAGAAGCTTGCGAACTGGTGGCTCGTCGTCGGCGAGCCCAAGACTCGCCAGTTGCTCGCGATCAAGCGTGTCACTGTGCACAAGAACCTTGCGGTCAAGCTGGAGGTTTCGCTGCCGCAGGGTGCGCATGCGCTCAAGCTCTACGTCATCTGCGACTCGTACATTGGCGCGGACCACGATATCGACCTTGACCCGATCGACGTTGCGGAGGGCGAGGAGAGCGACAGCGAGGAGGAGAGCGATGATGCGATGGAGGAGTAGATACTAAGTCCGGGACTCTGATTGTTTGTTTGTGTTCTTGTTGTTGTCGTCTCAGTGCTGCTTTGTTGTCCTCCAGTGTATCATTAGTAAAGTACAGTACGGTGTATAACTACATGCTCCTATATCCCGCTAGATCGGCTCGAAATGCGTGCACTACTGGCTATGTAAGGTGATTTGGCGCTGCAGGTGTAGGGATGACGGTCATCGCGGAAGTGTTGGTGCTACCTTCCTTTACCTCCTGCAGGCGCTGTTTGAGCAAGGTGAAGAGTACAATCTTGTCTTGCTTCTACACGCGAGGGAAGTCAGGTTAAGAATATGTCGCCATACAAACCGTGTACATGCGCACCTGATAGGCCACTACCCTTGCTGACGAGCTCGGGAGGACGAAGAAGAGCGTCTCGCGGACGTCTTGGCCTCCCTGCACTGGATGAATGACTTTATACGGCTGGAGGTCGTATGAGAAGGCCTTGCCGCTCTTCTTCGCGACTGTCACGCCAGCTTTCTTCATGCCGCGTTCCATGGCGTCCCAGATCACCTTACCCACGAGCGTGACTACGCGCGGGCGGTACTGGGCGATCTTTCGGAGGAGGCTCGGGACGCCTGCGACCAGTTCCTTCTGGGACAGTTCGGCAGCCTGCATGATGAAAAGAGTACCCTCAAGTTAGCAAGGACGATACGGCGTGGGATTGGGTCAGACAACTGACCTCTGCACTGGGTCGCTCGACGATGTTGGTCTGTCAGAGGTAGAGCGTTCATAACGGACGTTACTCAAGTATGCGTTCTACTGACCAAGCCGAAATTGAACCTATCGGCGATGGTGTGGTCCTCCAATGCGGTAACCTGCTCGCCCTTCGTTAGGCCTAAGACCGCGCTGGTTGAGATACTGATCTATCAAAGTTTGGTACGATATAATTCACCTGAATCGACTAAACATGGCCAGAAGTGGTTGCTACGATGCCCGTAGTGGTGTCCGATCTGGGCAGAGCGTACCGCAGGACTACAGGTAACTTGGGTTAGTAGAGGGTTTGTCTCGACTGCTGCATCGAATGATTACCCACTTGATACCACAAAACAGTACTGGGGCGAGACAACAATCAGTTAGCGTGAACGACTCCTCTCGCCGTATGGCATAATATCTCGCCCAAGAAAAACTCACTATCGAGCTCCTCCTTCAAGAATTCCGGGAGGAGATGCAAGTGCGCATATTGCTCCGGGGCCGCGTAGCCTCGTTTGGCCTTAAGCTTGACTGCACGCTTCACCTCGACGGGGGCGAGAGTTGGCGAAGAGCGAATGAGCTCCTGTTTTGCTGTTGTGCCACGACTGATGCGCGTTGACTTGCGAACGGGAAAATCCAGTGCTACGGGACTCATGGGAGAAGGTAGAGGCGCACTCTGGGCGGAGTTGGATCCAGTCGCTCACATGGACCAACAAGTTCTTTTATCCCCGAACTTTAAGTTTTGGCAACAGCGATCATATCCATGCGTCGGCGCAAGTGACAATGGCCCACTCATTGTTTGAGGCGTTTAAATGACTTAGGTTTAAACACCACAATTGCATCGCGTAGCACTACAAAGCTCTTGTACACACAGCAAATAGTACACTTCAGATCCCGCACATTTTCCCGGTGTACCTACACCTTTGATCCAGGACAACAACTTAGAGGTCATTCATGCAGCGATCGCGCTGACTTCGTACAGGTAGGTGCCCAGGAGCTTGCTCTGCAGATAACTGGTCAGCGACTTGGATGCCGGACGGAATACTCATACGTACGCCTTCGATGAAGTTTGCCTTGTCAAGCTTCTCGTTCGTTGAGCTACGAGAAGCATTCAGTACACGTAAACATAACAAATCGCCGCAACTCACTGAGCGCCATCGTCGCCACGGCCCATGGGCAGCAGAAGGACGTTCACGCCCAGGCTCTCTGCGAACGTGAGCGTGACTGGGATGGACCCGCCTTCGCGCGTGAGGTCCGGGGTCCGCTTGTACACCGCCTGCTCCACATGCTCAGCCTCCGTAAAGACGGGCAAAAGAAAGCCGTACCTCCGTCGCCTTGATGCCCGCCTGGTAATTCCAATGCTTGTAGTCCGCGACCCAAGGCTTGCCCCCGTGCAAGTTCTCCACCTTGAGTTTGTTCTTCGAGTTGAGCTTCTTGAACTCAGCGAGGAGGTACGCCTGCACGAGTGGCTCGACCGCATCTGGTGTCTGCGGAGGAACCAACCTGCGTTCTGCGTCAGCATCCGAATGTACGGGTGCCTCAGGCTGGCGCGCCTCACCGGATGCTGAACTTGCCCGAGACGCTCGCGGGGATGACCGTCTTAGCACCTGCGCCGTAGAACGCGCCCTCAATGCCGTGCAGCGAGAGCGACGGGTAACGCATGCGGCCCATCAGCACGGCCGCTTTGTCGGACGAGAGCGCGATCGGTGCGCCGACAGCCTCCTCGATGTCCTGGATGCTGTAGTCGAGCTTATCGTAGATCTTCCTAGTTGTCCAGGGGGTGGTTAGCCCATTGCTCAGACCTAAGAGCGACCGCTGCGTTACTTACTTTTCTTCCTCGGTCGCGGCGGAGACCATGTCGTCGACTCCGGGGACGAGGATCTTGCCGTCGGGCGCGACGAGTTTGCTCATGAGGATGACAAGGTCGGTCATGGGCTCGTGCACTGCGCGGCCGAAGGCACCGGAGTGCAGATCGCGTGCGGGCCCGGAGACGGTGAGCTTGAAGTACGCAAGCCCACGGAGACCGTAGGTCAGACACGGCGTGCGGGTATTCAGCCAGTAGTTGTCGGACTGCCATGATGTATGAGCATGCATGAACCCACTTGGCTGCGAGTGTCCATAGCGTACTCACAATGCAAACGGCGTCTACGCCACCGAACCAGCCATCCTTGCCTTTCGCCGCCTCGGATGCGATGAGCTCGTCCAAACCCTCGCTACCGCTCTCCTCCATCCCCTCAAAGCAGAAGCGCAGATTGACAGGGAGCTCGAGCCCGAGCGCCTTGTGTGCTTCCAGGACGTTCAGCCATCCGAGAATCGGACCCTTGTCGTCTGTCGACCCACGACCAATCAGCTTGCCAGTGTCGTTGTCGACAATGAGGGTGAACGGCTCCGTGTCCCATCCATCGCTCTTGTTCGCCTGCGCAAGTGAGCCATTTGAGCCGACCGTACGTACGCGACCTCAGACGAGCGACTCACGGGCTGCACGTCGTAGTGGCCGTAGATGAGGATCGTCCTCTTCTTCGGGTCGTCGCCAATCCGCCCGAAGATCGCTGGGGGCAGCTGCAGTTCCTCGCCGTCCATGATGTGCTTGCCGAGGTCGACTGACTTGGTCTGCGCGCCGAGCGCCTCGAGCTGCTTCTGCAGCCAGCTGCCCATCTTGAAGACATCCTGGCGGTGATTCGGCTCGCCACTCACGCTACGCGTCGAGTTCGTGCATTCAGTACGGCTCTCCAATTGACGAGCAGGACGCACACACTCGCTGCTCACCTAGGGATCGCCACCGCCTCCTTCAGCCGCTGGATGAAGCTGTCGGCGTGCTCGTCGATGAACGTGGTGAATTTCGCAGGCGCGGGCATGTTGGGCGTGCGTGCGGGGAGGCTGTGTGTGTTGAGCGTTCGTGAGAGCCGCAGGTCAGGGGAGGAGGGCTGCAGCAGGCGGCCGGGACGAGCGATCTGGGCAGAGATGCCGGCGAAGTTGATCGTCTCTGGACGTTTTCCAGGAAAGGAAGGTGTAGTGGACCGGCTCAAGCGTCGAACGCAGTTGAAGTGGGCCTTCATCGACTGCGAATTTCTTTTGAGCATTGCGCCGCGATCTCGAAGCCTGAATGATGCTAGAAAAAGTATGTAGACTCCTTTCAGATTGCTTGTGTACGCGTCATTGACCGGAAAGGCTGTCACTCAGTAGGCTCCGAGTCAACCGAAAAAGTCTGAGGGGAGAAGGAGATCGGACACTGCCAAGTACTATCGACAAACCGAAATTGTCTGTCTTTCTCCTGTTTTCCTTAAGTCGTACTGAAGAACCAGCAGATATGCCTCCGGCTGCTATGACAGTACCTATGGCGGTTTTGGTATCTGACACGTCAACACAAACTGCCGCAAAGATCCGTTCTGTGTTCAGACAGGTCTGGAACGAGTACTACGCATGGGAAGCCGTACTTGCGAGCAAGGCACTGGCGTCCATTCATACCGAGCAGAAGAAGGACCAAGATCGACAGTCCTTTTTTCGTATGGGCGAGCATCTGCCCCTAGTATCCAGGGATTCAAATCTTCACAAGTCGGTTGACGGCTCAAAGACGAGGGAAACGGAGGCGTTTACGGCCCTCGAATTTGGCGACCAATCTGCGACGCTCGAAGACACGGTAGTAGACGTGGAGGTTCTCTCGTTAAAGGATTTTGAGCCTTGCCCGTCCTACGAGGCTTGCACGCCAATCCCAGCTAATGTGCTCCAAGGAGACGACTCCAGCGACATGCCTTTCATACCACTAGCAGACGATCCGACGTTCGATGCAACAGACCATTGTTTGGACTATGACAACTTCGCTTGGCAGGTCACCCATGTCGACTCCGATTGTGAGTCCTCCGTGTCGAGAAATGGCCGCGACTGCACGATCAGGGCGCTGATCACTCCCCGCTGTGAAATACGCGCACAGTGAACGCGATCATCCTCGAAACTGCTCTCCGGCTGCATTACAAACACGGCATATCAATAGCACACATAGATGAAGCGAACGTCCTTCCGAGACGGCTCAAAACCTGCTCGGGTGTTTGGGGCGTCATCTGGCTCAGTACACAAAAGTGCAGGTTCCCTCACTGCGCACACTAAATATACTGACTCGTGTATTCTAGCGACATAATCGACTGGCCGGGATCCTCTCGAGCGGACTATCCCCCTCTGTTCGACTCGGACTTCCCCGTTCCAGACGCGATCGACCTCCGCACGCGCCTGCAGGACCATCTCACGCTGGTCTGTCCGAACCTGAGCTGTACGCATGCATCGTGTTTGTCACATGGTGCGTCTAGGAAGGCAAGTGGTAGTAGGGGAGCGATGATGATGCTACTGTCTGCCAGATCCGCGCCCGGTGACTGTGGGACCTCTTGACGAGCGGTTCACACCCGACCATTTGAAGGAAGGAGAGCATACCAGGAAAGAAGCACCTCCGTGCGGTCCATCGTGCTGCTTCCTGCAGCCTGACAGCGCCCTTGAACAAGTACGTCTGCCATGCGAATGAGCTATGCCAACGAGGACAGACCTGGTGGTCTCTGTAGACACTATCTTTGACGCCGTCCGAGAGGGCTGAGATTCGCGTGGTACTGCAGTTGGCGTCGACGGCATCGTCTTGCGAGCTCGCAATGCTCTGCCGTAGACCGTGTCTGGAGGTGAGAACAGCTTTTTAAACTGCGACAGTCGCTGAACCACTTCTCAGATACCTGCAATACGCAAAGCGTTGGCATTGACACCTCTCGATAGCAGCGCTCCGAGTACTCGGGCATACGACGATGCAGCTGCACCCAAATTCGGTGCGTCTAAGTTGTACCATGATCATGCCGATCTGACAATGCGAAACAGAGGAAAGCAATGCTTCCCAATTCACACCGTCAGTACACGCAACGATCATCATGAGCACACCAAATCCTGAATCAGTCGTGTACCAGGAATCACCCCTGCGACCACGCCGGACCGTGCACCGCACAAATCCAGTGCGCCTGCGTTCTCACCAAGGCGCACTGCACGAGGAACTGTCGATGTTCGCGCCAATGTGCCTTCACCTGTCTTCGTTTTCCTGTTCGGGCTGAGACTAACGGACCTGTTTGCGCAGGTAACAGGCGGTGGGCAGGCTGCCGATGCGGACACAATCCTGCAAGAGCCCGCGAGCGACGCTCGTGTCTGATCGCAACCTGCCCTTGTCGGCGCGCGGGTCGTGAATGTGACCCGGAGTTGTGTGCGCCGTGTTTCGATTCGGTAAGGGAGCAGCGGCCAGGGCGTGTTCAAGTTGTGTTCCCTTTGAAAGGTGAGAAACGCTGAGTGGATCGCGTAAGACCACGGCTCACGAACTGTTTATGTCATAACACAGGGAGCCGCCCGAATACGTGTCGGAACTGTCAGATTCAGCTGGGTTGTCGAAAGGTGGGTGTGCAATCCCAGCTGGGAAGCAGCCTTGAGATGGTCACGCTCTCCATTTAGGCTCTGGAAGTCAGACGCAGCGAGTTTGGGATGGGCGTCTTCCTCGCCGAAGCTGCGAGGGAAGGCGACCTCATTGCAGGTATGTATTGAGCCCTTCCTCGCCTTTGCTCGTGTCATCGCTCACTGGCACCACGTCTGTTATGTGCAGAGTATACGGGGGAGCTGATCTACGAAGCCACTTTCGATACCCGAGGGTAAGCCTGACCATTGCCTCACCGCTGCTTGTGCCTCACCGCCATGACCTCAGCGACCTAGCAAAGCACCGAGGGCGCGACTATGTGTATAACCTTAACGAGTCCTTCAGCGTCGACGGCACGTACGCAGGGAACGAGACCGCTTCATCAATCATGCGCCGCAGAAGAAAGCGAGCGGTAGAGTGGCTAGTGAGTTCGATTCAGTATAGGGCAGAGTGCTATCCTCCTGAACGATACGTATCCGATCAGTATTCCTGGTGAACGGCGATCATCGAATTGGTGTTTTTGCTAGTATGGCCATTATTGGTTTCGGTTTCTGTCCGTGACAGTGAACTGACCCATGCATGATTTACATAGGAAAGAGCATACCCGCTGGCACAGAGTTGACTGTCGATTATGGGCCAAGCTTTCCTATATGACTTGTGATTTTTGGACCGGTGCCCTGTTGTAGTTGACGATTCTAGATTCTGTATCGCAGCATACCATACTCTTGTGATCTTCAATCGCTGCATGCCGGCCAAGCCGCACTCAAATGGCCCGTCTCCGATTTGCAGCTGCCTGTTCTCATGTTTCTCACTCGTCGCAAAGAGTCGGATGGTGATTGGCTGAGCGGTGTAAGCACACGCGATGTGGCGCGCTAGCTACTGTCTGGCTCGACGCGTCGCGCAACCGCGCCCAAGGGTCGTCCGACGACGAGCGCCACGTGCCGCACAACGCCTCTCTTCCCACCAGCTCTTTCGCCAGCCAGCTCGACCGACCCCGCTCAGCCTTCGCCCACAGCGACCGCGACTCGATTCGACACATTCCGCATTGTAGCGAGCAGACTGAAGTGGCTGAAGAGGGCTGCCCATTGAGGGCAACGGCTCGCCATGTCCGACTTTCCACCGCTCCCTATCGCCCCCCAAGACGACGGCTCGGGCATCGTCCCAGCCCCCGTTGAAGATGCGCCAGAACCCGTGCCTATCACGGACCAGGAAGTGGGCGAGTATCGCGAGCAGGACCGCTTTCTTCCGGTGCGCTGTCTCTCCTTGTACCTGGTCGCGTTGCCTCACATGTACGCCACCGCGCGACCAAGATCGCGAACGTCGCGCGCATCATGAAGGCGGCCGTGCCCGGCACAGCGAAGATATCCAAGGAGGCGAAGGAATGCGTGCAAGAGTGCGTCTCCGAGTTCATCAGCTTCATCACGTCGGAGGCGGCAGAGAAGTGCCAGATGGAGAAACGCAAGACGATCGGTGGGGAGGACATTCTCTATGCCATGGTCACCCTTGGCTTCGAGAACTACGCGGAGACACTGAAGATTCATCTCGCAAAGCTGCGTCAGGTGCGTTCCCGCATTGCCATTGCTAGTCGTCTCATACGTAATGCCGCTCTACAGCACCAAACTGGGCTTGGCAGCGAGAAAATTAGGGCAGGAGAGCCCTCAGACCCGGCAACGGACGATGGATGAAAAGAGAAGAATACAAAGATGATTTATGCTGTTGGACTGCTGTTTGTATAACAACTAACGTGTATGGTATGTTTCGTGCTCCTAATCACTTATGGTGCCGCAGGCCGGCTCGGAGAGACCAATGGGCAGCCTTGGGGCAGCCTCAGACTTTCAGACTGACAGAGCTACCAAGCAATATCACCACCGAAGTGGCAGGTATGCAATCAGCCTCATCCTCTGAGACCGGGACTTCTGTACCGACGGACTCATTGGCCTCACAACACAGAACACATCCACGAGATATTCATTGCAATATAGAAACAATAATACGTCTACGCCAGCGCGATCATCGTCCGACAGTTTTTCTTCCGACTTATTAGACATGACACAACGTCAACAAGAACCTACAGGCGCAGGATGAGCTGCTTCACGCCCGACATCCACAACCCGATATCGTCCGTGAGCGAGCCCGTCGTGAGGAGATCCATATGCAGGGCCATGGCTCCGTCCCGGTCGTGCGCCTCGATCGCTGTTGTGCGCCTGTTAGCATCGTTTACAAGCCGAAAAAAGAACCGCGTACCTCGAGAGAGCACCAACAGCTTTTCTTGCACGGGCGTCGACAACGTCTCGCAGTTGAGAGCGTCGAAGAGCGGGTTGATCCTCCTCTCCAGATCGTCGACGAGACGTTTTTGCGAGGGCTGTAGGCGATGTCAGCATGACCCCGAGCACTTAAGCGCGCAACACTCACCGGGGAGTCTGCCTCAGCCGCTCCAACTGCCCCGAGATCACAGCGTATACGGGCCGCATTTCGTCGGTAATATGGCTCCGGTCACCAGGAGCTGTGAGCGAAGAGGTCAGCACTGAGGCACTTTGTTGAGATCACTTACGGTACTTCGGCGGCGGCGGGCCTGCGCGTCCTGGCGCTGCCGAACCGTTTCCAGTTGGCGCGCCGCGCGGTGGGCCCTGCGGGGGACCCTGAGGGGGCGCACCACCAGGCGGAGGATTCATTCGCTGCAGCGGGGGCATGAACTGCCCTTGCGGCCCCGGCTGCTGGTGTTGCGGCGGCGGGTGCTGAGCGAACTGCGACTGGCCAGGAGGTCCCATCGGCGGCGGCGGGCCTTGCGGCTGTGGCGTCGCGCGGGCGTATGGGCCGGACGGGCCTGGCACGCCCTGCGGCGCGGCACCAGGAGGGAGTCGCCCTTGCATGGGAGGCGGTGTTTGGCCGGGCAAAGGAGGCGCCTGTGGCGAGCGTGCAATACCAGGGCCTGGTGGCGGGGACATCATCATCCGACCAGGAGGGGGCCCCATGCTGCTCGGAGGGCCCGATGGTGGACGCGTTGGGAAGGGTCCTGGACCACCCTGTGGCGGAGGCGGCATGCGCTGTCCCTGAGGCGGCGGTGGCGGACGTTGCTGCACGCTCCCAGGACGGGGTGGTGGCGGCAACGCGGGCTGGGGCTGGCCATGACCGAAGCTCGGGGTGCTGGGCAGGCTCGGGGACATGGGCGCATTAGGGAAGGGAGCGGTGATGGCAGCCGGTCTACTCGTGGGTCCTGTTCCGCGGCGCTGGGCGATACCTGAGGGTGCGTCATTCCAACCGCCTGCATCACGTTTGGGTGGCAGTGGCGGACCGGAAGGCGTGGCATTCGCGGCTCTCGGCGGGGGAGGAGGGAGGATGGTAGGTGGAGGAGGCGCTTGGCCCACCATTGGCTGAGGTTGTGATGCTGGGCGGCCGTAAGGGTTTGCGTTGGGATAAGTCATCGCTGCAGTTGACTGATACGGCTGCGAGGGTTGTGTGGCCTGAGCAGGGTGACCATACGGGTTTCCTACCGGGGCAGGAGGAGCGTACGAGTTAGCCACGTTCGACGCGCCCGCCGAGCCCGCGCCGTAGGGGTCGTATAATGACGACGGTGCCGCGGGGACTTGCGTTGCAACGGTCGGCTGAGTCGATGCAGCGTACGCTGGGTAGCCATAGGTCGAGCTCGAGGATGCGAGCGGGACTGCCTTGACTGTCGCTTGCAATGACGCAGACCTCGGAGGCAATTTCTGCTCTCCAGAAGCCTTCAACAGGCGGTCCCTGATGACTTTGAAATCCAAAGGCGAGCCTGTGAAACCCTGGTATTCATCAGGAGTGAGCTTAAGATACGCTACAGCTTGCGTGACCAGTCCTTGAGCAGCGAGCAGGTCGGCGTACTCGAAGTAGCGATCGTAGAGACCAGACAGCTTGTACGCGACGGCGTCGACGTCCTCGCCGCTACTCTTCTGATTGAGATCCGTGTCTTCATATTTGATCGCACCCGGAAGACCGTGACCTTCTCGATGAACGTCTGCAAAGCATGCGCGTGCGCCGTGTATCGAGATCCCTGCAGGCTCTCATCCTGGACTAGATGATGCTCATCCTCGGCCAGATCTTCGATCCAGATATTCACAAGTCTCTCGAGGCGACCGGCGGCAAGGTATGTCAGGGTAGCGTTCCTCCTGAACTCCGTCGCTTTGTCCTCAGCGTCAGGAGCACCAGACGCCTTAGCAACGCTCGACTGGAACTCCAGGCGCTGGCCCAGCTGCTCCGCAAGACTAGAGAACTCGTCCTGGCTGGCGAAGGTGCACAACACGACGAAAATCTCCTGCCACTCCTGGAGGTCGGCATTTTGCACGATATCAGCAAGATCGTTGGTGACGATCGACTGGAAGAGGCGTAGGTACGGCAGAGCGGTGGTCTGGCTCTCGAAATATGCCTTCTGCGTCTTCTGCAGGAGTTGCGGACCGCCTTTGACCGCGAGCAGAATGGCATCTGCGAAGCGATTTGAAGAGAGACAGAGAGAAACAGCGGAATCGAAGTCGCCGAGAACGAGTGCCTTTGTGACTAGGCGATCAGTCTCTGACTCGTCGGGCGGATAGATCTTGAATGTGTTGCTCTGCAGTGCCTCTGAAGCCACAGATGAGGGTCCCGAACCGATCGTCGCCGCAACCGAGGAGTCGAGGCCGTAATTCCTGTGCGGAATCTGGATCTGGTCATCGTTCCTCTGTCCAGTGCCAATGCTACCAAAGAAGTCTGCCGCAGCGTCCAATTGAGGCGTCCCGATGATCTCATCCCCAAAGAGACTTGGCGCAGTGGTCGTAGACTCGGCATCTGCTACAGGGATGTTGGTGTTGTCTGATGCGGCACTGGCGCTGACCTCGGAGGGTGTCGCTTCCGCCGCGGTAGACCCGGTCTCGTCGGCGTCCTCGCCAACGACATCCTCCCCTCCACTGTCCGATCGGGCCTCGCTCTCAGGCTCCGCAAACGATACCACGGGCGGCTTGTAGCCTGTGTCTGAGGCCGCCTCGGTTATGTCGTCCTCAATGGGAGTCGCAGGCGCCTCAGCGGACGCTTTGAGCTTCTCGACAGCCTCCGCCACGCGAGCTGCCACTTCGTCCTTCGAAAATCCAAGCAGCGTAATGAGTTCATCTCTCGAGTCGGCCTTGAACAGACTGAGCAGCGCTTTCCAGCTGGCGGAAGCTTCCGCAACCTTGACCTCCGACGTCTTCCTTTCTGCGAACGTACTCAGAGTCTCGCCCTCGACCGCATCTTGAAGCTTCACGGCGCGCTCAGCGATGGAAGGTTCAGTAACGACCTTCCGGATGTGCACGATGCTGCTCTGCGTCTTGCCCTGGGCAGAGGGTAGGTTCGAGACGCTAGCCAACTTGCCGCCGTAGCCGAACGAACTGGATACAGGCCGGCGCAGCCACTTCGGCGGGTGTTTCAGTGAGAGCGTTGCCTGAGATGCGCGCGAGAAACCAGAGGCGCCGAAGATATCAGAGCCGTCTGTCTGCGGCGTGACAGGTGGGACATCCGCGGCCTCGTTGGTAGACTGAATTGAGTGGATACCGATGGTGCCGTCGAAGAACGCGGTTGCGAACAGATCCGGATTCCGAGGACACCACTGCACCTGGAACGCCCAATTGTCTGCGGACGGCAGCTACGAAGGTGTCAGACTATGAAACGAGGCACCTTTCGCCACGTACCTCGCCAATATCTCTGACGTCTGCGGGTTCCAGCACAGGGCACGGTTGTCCTTGCCGCACGACAACAGCAGATCCGGATCTTGTTTGCACCATGACAGCGACAGGACACCCTTCTCATGCCCAGTGAGGATCTGCATACCGGGTTAGCCGACGTGCTACATATTGCGAGTATGGAATGATTACCTTTTCGGGAGCACGAGCATTCCGCAGGTCCCAAACCATGATAACGGGCGACGTGTCGTCTTCAGATGCTGTGACGAGACGAGTAGCCTGCAATACTGTCAGTAGATGCAGCACGACAAACACGCATAGACGTACATTGTCCGGATGCCATGCGACGTCACTCATACCACGCCTACCGCCCATGGCCATCCCGCCGCCAAATCCTTGCATAGCACCTCCCATTGTACCTGCGCCGCCGCCGTATGTGAGGGCTGCAACTTCTCGCTTGCCTCGAAGATCCCAGACGACGGTGTAACCGGTGCTGCTGGATGCTGCGAGAGCGTACTGAACGTGGTGATTCCATGCTAGGGCCGTGATTTCGTCCAGCTTCGTACTGCGGGTACCAGGCGAGTACGGTTTACTTGGGTCTCTGAGATCCCAGATGTATATCTAAAGACACCGTACGTCCATACATCTGCATAAACCGAGGCGCAATATACAGTGTACGCACCTCTCCGTTCACCGCGCCTGACGCAAACAAGTTCGTCTGAATCGGGTTGAAGTCAAGTCCCCGTACGGGCCCGTATGCGTTGAGTTGCGTAGGATTAGGGACTCTGTCGGACTGCCGGACGTATCATGATTGAACGAACGCGTCGCAGTGGGCGATGTTACTCACTCAGCATTTGCGACGATCTTCGCAGGGTCCCAAATGTCCAGCTCGCCGTTCTCCATGCCCGCGACGAGCACACCCCGCGGTCGACTTGCGTCTGTGTAGCCCCATGCTAAACGGTTGAATCTACATGTCGTCGACGCGTCAATAGCAGGTCATAGCAAAGGTTCCGATGAATGTACCGTGATGTGGTCGTAACCGACGCCTTTGGCCCCGCCTGGCCCTCCTGACCAAGGTCATACTGCGTTTTGTCCAGGAAATCCGGAGCCCATATTTCGAGCTGGCCGTTATTGCTGAAGGACTCGTCGAGTGCGCCTGCCACCGTTCCCGTCGCCAGCAACGGCAATGACGGCGATGGCGACCATGCAAAGGTCGACGTCCTGTGGATTTCTTTGAGCTTCATGGCGCGGTATAAAGAGAGATGAGATGGGGCGACGTGTCTCAGTGATGCGTAGCAGGTACAGCATTTCGCGCGGATTATGTGCTTGCTATATTTGGATTATTGCTGATAATCTCGGGGTCTAGTGCTTGAGCGCTTACGTCTCGTACTGCTAATTACGGGACTGGATCGTCGTATGCATATGTATGTGGGCTTGCAAATGCAGCTCTGGCAATCGGGGCCCAAGCGCAACACGTATGCTTGTTGCACTCCGGGCCATTGGATTTCCTATCCTACGTACTCGTAGGTAACGGGAGCTACGTACCGGATGAAATATCACATGATCGCCCGACTACTACTCAAGGTGCCACAGTCGCAGACCTACGCTTACACCCACACCGTGTCACCCATTTCCCCTGCGGCTCTCCTCCTGCACCCTGAGCTCGGTCGCTCAAGAGCTTCTTGAAGGACCATAAGCCGATCGGTTCTTCAATTACCGGCTGAGAACCTCGGTCGCAGCATGGCCAACTTACACTTCTCATGGTCCGACAGCATCCAGGCAGCATTCTCCTCATGTCTGTTCTGCTTCACATCCTCTGACGACCATCACGACCACGAACACGACCGGGAACAAGAACAATATGGTGCGCGCCAGCGAAACGGGCTGAACTTCGTTGTCCCGCCTCCGCGCGCCAGGCCGGACGAGCTCGAGGGCCTCCTTGCTGGTTCGGACTCACCAGATGCGGAGACCCTCTCGCTGCACTCAAACATCGGAGACGAGCGTCGGCGCAAAAAGCGCCGCAAACCGCGCAAGGGCATCTCGCTATTCGGGTATAACCTGTTCGGTCGACCGCCCATACACCTCGACTCGGAGGACGAAGACGTAGGGAGCCGGAGATCGAGGACAATATCCACTTCTACACTTGACTCGGACGCTGCGCCTCTTGACGCGTCTGCGCTGGACGAACGGGCGATCGCGCAACTCGCCGCGGCGACTGCGGCTGCTGAGGAGGAGCAGAGGAGGGCGAAGGAGGAGCGGCGGAGGCTGAGGCGCGAGAGGAAAGATCTGAAGCGGATGGCTATGGCTATGGCTATGGGGATGCAACCACATAACGGCGAAGGAGAGTTTGAGGGGTTCCCAGTAAGTGCTACAGCCTTGCACTCAGTCTACCTACCAACGAACGACACACCTTCGCAGGGAAGCGGGCCTGCGCCCGGTGTTCAGTCTATCGGGCCCGGTTCTGGCTCTGTTTCGACAGGCTCTCCTTTCGAGGAGGAGTTTGGGCCATTCGCCCAGGGCGACGATACAGTTGAGGAAGATGCTGACTTTGGTGCGGAGACGTATGTTCGACGAGCTCCCAACGGCACCTCTGCTGGTGGAAGCGCATCAGACTCTCAGTCCCGGACATCCGCCTCCTTGTCAAATGCGGATTCTTCGCGCTACAATCATTATTATCTCTCCCAGACGTCCCCTCTACCTTCACCCGCTCTCCCGTCTGGTGCAGACGCACAAGGCACACCCAAGAAAAAGAAGAGGTCGAGGGGAAAGTCCCTGTCGTCGAAGCAGTCGGACGAGCGCTCCCACTCGACATCCTCTCTCCTCACGTCGCAGTCCCCCTCCCTTCCTTCGCCGCCGCCTACCCAGACTGCCTTCGAACAGTCTGCCACCACCATTTCTCCGATCGTAGAATCCGACAGCCAATTCGAGGGCTTCCCAGGGGGGACTCTGGACCTCGCGCGCGAGCAGGCGATCGCCCAGGAGACTTCGAAGGACTCCGGCAGTTTCCGAGTGTTGGCTGCGTGGTATCCAGGGACGAAGAGCGACATGGGCGTATTTTTGGCGAACCGTGGTCACGCGTGATTCAATGACTGCCTCGTATTAAACGTTTGGCGTGTACGTTCGTTCCGGTCATGCAGACCTATGTCACATCTAGCGTAATTTCTTTCTGTATTGGAGGTACATCACTATCATTCATGTATACCCGTCCATTCCGTGCTCCGCAAACCTCGGAGCGTTCTGAGGGTCTCAACGCCTGAAAGTCTGGCTTGGACACGACAGCGCCCTTAGCAGCGAGGTGTCTAGGTTGGTGATATTGGGGGCGTGTAATACGTTTACAACGCCGGTTTTGTTACTGTGTAAGCAGTTTGTAATGATGTTATTACCGTGTTGTTACCTGACGGAAGCGCGGGAAGCTCGTCCCTTACCTCCCCAACCTTCCGGCCCCTCATGGCTGAACGCGTGAACTCGAACATGCTGTTCGCCAATTTCAACCAGGACTTTACGTGAGTGCTCCGGCATGTCGGTGTAGAGCCCAGCTCATGTGCGCAGATGCATCTCCGTCGGGACGCGGAAAGGCTACAGCATCACGAACGTGGACCCATTTGGCCGTGTATACACCAAGAGTACGTTCGCGCATCGTTCGCCACGAGGAAGCTAAAGGGTAAATGCTGCAGATGACGGAGCGAGGGGGATAGTGGAGATGTTGTTCTGCACGTCGCTGCTTGCGCTCGTCGGTGCGGCAGACCATCCACAGTCTAGTCCTCGTAAACTGCAGATCGTGAACACGAAGGTGAGTCTATGATCTCGTATGCATACACCTGTTCCAACACCATAGATCGCCTTCGAACTTACATGTGTTCGGGTAGCGGCAATCCATGATATGCGAACTGCTCTTCCCCTCCTCCATCCTTTCCGTCAAGATGAACCGCAAGACGCTCGTCATCGTCCTCGAAGTAGAGATCTACATTTACGACATCTCGAATATGCGGCTTATGCACGTTATAGAGACGACCCCGAACCCAGACGGTCAGTCCCACTCCTCCCGGCGGCGCGTCTGACTGCTGACGATCGACCCGGTCCGCCCAGCCATCATCGCGCTCTCCCCATCCTCCGACAACTCCTACCTCGCATACCCTTCGCCCGTCCCCTCACCCACGTCGCCCCTCGCGCAGCCGTCCGCGCAGCCCGCGTCGCCTACGCCCCCGGGCCAGCAGACCGGCGACGTGCTCCTGTTCTCGACGCGCTCGCTGACGGTCGCGAACGTCATCCAGGCGCACAAGTCGCCCATCTCCTTCCTCGCGATCAACTCGACCGGCACACTGCTCGCGACCGCGTCCGACAAGGGCACCGTCATCCGCGTGTGGAGCATACCCGGCGCGGAGAAGCTCTACCAGTTCCGCAGGGGCACGCGCGAGACGAGGATACACTCCATGAGCTTCAACCTCGTGTCGACGCTGCTCGCAGTCAGCTCCGCACACGACACAGTGCACATCTTCAAGCTCGGCCAGCAGAAGGGCGCTCCGGGCAGTCTGAAGACGCCGTCCAGTCCATCGGAGTCGGTGGATAGTCGGGAGGGGCAGCTGGATGGAGGCTATGATGCGTACGTCGATAAGAAAAGGAACGGGGGTGTCTCGTACGTCCTCGTTGCCCTCAATAGCATCGCGCGTATTCACTTCTCACCAGGTCAAGCCTGCGTCGCGGGTCGGCACGGTTGACGAAGAACCTCACGTCCTCCGTCGGCGGCTACCTTCCAAACACCCTGACGGAGATGTGGGAGCCATCGCGGGACTTTGCGTTCCTGCGGCTACCCACGAGCGGCGCGCGGTGTGTCGTTGCTCTGAGCGGGTAAGCAACTGTACATTCTGGGAAACTGCAGCAGGTTGGGCTCATGCGGCGCATCTAGGACAATGCCGCAAGTCATGGTTATCTCCTCAGAAGGCTATTTCTACTCATATAGCATCGATCTGGAGAACGGCGGGGATGCTCACTAATGAAGCAATACAAGTGCGCCTTCGATCGTCATCGCTCACACCATCGACTGACTCGCCGTCTAGCCTTCTCGACTCCAATGACGAGGCGAATGATTGATCGGATGTGGCTTATTCTAAAGGATGAGGATGCCTTCTTACGAGGTGTTATGTTGTTGGGATCGTCCCGACTTGCGTAGTCCATCTCGACATGAGAGTCGGCTGCCGCGGTTTTCTGTCTGACACGATCATGATATGTCGGGTGTTCGGGACTGTGTACAGTATGCTCTGGTTAGTTGTCGTGCGGTGTTCGCACGCGGTATGCTATGATTTGTTTATGTCGTTCCGGCTGGTGACGGGTTACAGTAAGCATGAAGATGAGTGAAGCCTGTGTAATTGTGTAGTTAATGAATTCCGATCGTTGATACTCCGCCTCATAGTTGATCCCCCCGCAATCTTACATTACACATTATCAGGACATGTTATGCATTGGCATGCTCAATGAGTATATAGAACTACGGCTGATGACCCGGCACATCTTTCCAGTAATTATCACCATAATTAAACAGCAACTCTTGTCCCTTCTTGATATACTTGGCTGTGGCAACAGTTGAGCTTCTGTCAAACATGGCTGCAAAGTGACTCACTGCTTGTGAAGGCTATTCTGAGCTCCCCATCCACCCAAATCACTGTGCACATTTGTGAGCTAGAAGCCAGCATGGATGTGGTAAGTACACTTCACTATCAGCACCAATATTGATATATGTTCCTTTTGCATGGTTCATGTACCTAGTGTCATTTCCTATCCATGCAGCATCCAAGACCTGATATTCATTCAGAGTGAATGTGTAGTTGAGCTGTCTGTGCCTGTGAAGGATGCTATCATGTGGGATGAGTTAGAATTTCACTCAGTATGGGATAGAAATTACTCCAGAAGCCCAGATGATGAATCAGGGTACAGTTCAGCAATATATTCTGCTCATTCAAGATCAGTGGCCTCAAAGAAAAGTACATAACTCTTGCATACCTCCAATGATTGTGTTCTTAGGTATGTTTTGGTTGGCAAATAAACCTTGACCATATTGACCAGTCTTGGTGATTAGTTCCTAGCAAGTAATCATGGATGATGCACTAGTAGCATAGCATGTGTATTTGATAGATCATACCTGGTTCAAGGCTTGTTGTAACACAGTATTGGGGCATGCATGCTTCCTGCCTTCACACCAACATGAATAAACATATTAATCATAATTCATTTCTGATGGATGTTTTACCTCTCCTGCAAAGATCTATAATCAGCATGTGCATGGATGTCATATGTATGTAACCTGACTTTCTCAGCGGGGGTGGCCCACACCTGTCTGGATCACACTCTCTATTGGCCTTTCTGCAGGCACACTTGGAGTCTTTCATGTTCTTGCACATATCTGCTCTCCTACATTTGCATCCTGCAAATCTTAGGCGGCCTGTGCATGGCATTAGATCCTAATGCATGCTGATGAGAGATGTAACATACATTTATCATCACATCTACAGCCTCGCTTGCAGTGCATTTTAGCCCTGTAGCAAGGACACTGGAATCCACATGGCCCTTGATGGTAACAGAAGTCAACTCTATGAAAATATGTGAGAAAATATACATTGATAATCTTGAGATACCTGCCCTGCAGGATTCAAATATCCTTCCCCAGCAACTCCTTCATCTTCTATAAAAATGTCAACACATGGAATAAAGTGGATCTGTGATTGCTCTCATACTGAATTGTTGGACAGGAGGTGCTGGATGCATGTGCTCAATTGAACCAACACCCCTAGCTGGTACAATGCTGTGGTCAGGAAATAATTGGCATCTATTCATGAACACCTGGGAGGATGCCAGTGTCAGCTCATGATCCCATAGGAAGTGTAATTCATACTTGGTAGCATGGCACCATTGCAATAGAGGCAATTGTGCAGGGCATTTCATCTGGCAAAATTGACAGAATGTCATTGATGCATTGTGCATCAGTCATAGCAGGGTTGTCTATGTCATCCTCAGGCTGCTTATGAATGAGATATATGACAATCTATGTGCTTGAAAATCCATACCCTGTCTATGACACAACACATATCTCCACATGGTCTCTGGATTTGTTGCTTGAGAGATACAGATTTGATGTGTGCAGTCTGCCCTGAGAGCAGCTCATTGACCTGCTCTGTCAACACTTTATCAGTGCCAGAAAATACAGTGCCAGACAAACAAACTGACTATGTGGGAAGCAGAGACTGTATAAGCAGCCCACATGTGGGCATGTCTTGTCTACATACTCATTGACCTGTGTTTTAAGAGTATAGTCATCCAATTCGACATGTGGCAGCTCAGGAACATCAGGCCAGTGCCATAAGTCCCTAGGAAATACATGCCACTAGTATGAATACCTAAAGGCAGAACGGAAGGCATAAGCACACCTCTTGTGTATGCGCCCGATCAGACCGTTGTGTCCTAGAAGTCTGGGAAGAACCGAGTGTGTATCAACAACGTTGTAGGAGAACGATTGCGCCTCCAGGCGATGTATTGTTTCGAGTCCAATCAGGTCAGCTTGTAGGGCATCACTATGATCAGGATACATCGCGGCTGCGAACAGAACAGAGCACGTACCATCCGGGTCACGACAGACATCCTGCCAATAGAAATGCTTGTGGTCTCGCGCCAATTGTTCCTCGTCGAACCCGGGCTCTCCAGCATAGGATACGAATCGGAGCCACTCAGACTCGTCGTCGTCGGTCTTGATGTTTTGCGATGTCGGCGTGCATGCCTCGTACTTCGGGTGTAGAGCAAAGACCTGACCACGGACGTTGTCCACATCTAACATACTTACCCGCTCCCGTTCCATGTCGAATACCTGGAATATACCGTTCGCGACCTCGTCGACATCCATGCTCTCGTCAGAAACACAGAACGGTACGGCCGTGTCAGCCTCGTCCCATGGGGCCTGAGTTGGCGCCGCGATGAGGCTCCTAATCAGCGAGTGACAGGGCTCGGGCTCCCAGTCGTAGAAGTCGTCCCAGGCTTTACGGTAAACTGCAGCGATGGCGTTCCGTTCTTTGTCCCGTGCGAGCAGTCGCGCCGCGATGGCCTCCGACCGTTGAAGCACGTATTGCTCTGCGCTGTCCAGGCTGGCGCGAGCTGCCTCGTCGTAGGCGTCCTCATGGCGTTGATTGTCTGCGTCAGGAGAGTCGGCCATCCTACGTTGGTAGTTCAAGACTGAGGACGTGGGTGCGAACTGAGAGTGAACGCCACAGCCCGAGTAGACGCGATCGAGATCGAGTAAATGGGCGCTTGTCGCGTCAGGTACAGCAGTCGTCGTGACTTGGTCTTGTCCACCACTTCGCATTTCTCTCCTATCCTGTCAAGTCAAGATGGACGACGAAACAGCAGAAATTGAATTGGTATGTAATGTAGCTCCATTTCGGTGAGCAAGTGCGATAGCTGGTGTTGTGTGCGACGTGCAAGGCTACGACCTGCTGTATCCAGGGACACTCAGCGTATGTCATGTCTCATGTCTGACGGTGTATTCTCATAGCTCGAGCAAAATCTCAACAAGACGCGGCAAATATCGCAACGGATGACTTGTATGCACCGTCACTTCGCAAGCCTTGTGCCAAGTAACGGACCTTTGCAGCGATCTTGTCCAGTTTCGATGCACGCCTCGTCAAGCTCGAGAAGTCCATTCTGCCGTTATACAACTCGTCTCAAATTCTGACGCGAAGAGCTAAGAGTTTGTCGCCCCGAATGCTATGTCTGCTTTGTCTATCTAACCCTTCGTGCTCAAGATATCGAAAGTGCCTTGAACAAGATCGACGAAATTCATGCCTACCAGGAGGGTATTGCTGCAGAGGAGGCACTGGTTCTTCGCGGGTGAGCGTCATCGGACATTGACTCGATGTAGGCATGACCACCGTTTCTTCAGTCCACAGCCGGGTCAGCTGCAAGCATACATCGAGATCGTTACCCGCATGAACCAGACCATTGCATTCGGCAGTATGGACCTTGGAGCCGGCGAGACCGTACGCGTGTATGCTTCGATCCTACCCTTCAATTCAAACACCTTTACAGGCCCGCCTCGTCGAGACTGGTGCAAAGAAGCTCATGCAACTGTATACGAAGCTCGTCGCCGAGGCGTCATCTGGCACGCCCATCAACGGTCCTGACTTCGAACCTATGCCCTTTCCACCTGACATCCTCGGGACCCTCCATTCTCTTGTAGCCTTTTTACGCACGCTTCCTTTACCACCGACGCATCCAACCCACCCTGCCGCACCGGCGATCCAGGCTGCATTGAAGGAGGCACAGAAAGGATACGGAGATATGCGTGGCGCATGGGGAAAGAAATGCTTGGAAGTCTACGGGAAACGGGTGGTGGAGCGTGCAGGGACCATCGATGGTGTTGCAACCGCGCGGGAGTTTGCGAAGTATATTGACAACATCATGAGCATCGCAGATGTAAGTCGCGCATATTCTCACTATACTCTTCGTACATCAGCTACTAACTCTGCTCACGGTAAACAACAGGCCGAATACGCTTTACTTCTCACTCTCGCCCCTCTTACAGCTCCTGCCTCAATAAACAGCACCTATACGACCCTCCTGAACCCGCTCTGTTCCCTGTTCTCCTCCACTCTCTCCTCCCTCAGCTCGCTGATCAAACGCGATCTCACCAAGAACACACCCATGGCACTGTCACTCTACTCCTGTCTGAATGCAGTGCAGGAGCAGTGGGAGGAGACGATGGTCCGCCGAGCCGGCCGACGCGAGAACGAGCTGAAGGACGGCATGCAGGCCATGAAGGCCACCTGCCAGCGGAGTTTCCCTGAGTTGTTGGCGGATATCAAGTTGGCGGCAGGCAGCAGTCGCGGAGAGCTCAGCACCGGTATCATTGATACCACCATGTCGGTACGCAGTGACCGAACACATTTGTTTTATTGCTAGCTGCTAATCCGATTGCTGCAGACGGTCGAGTACATCGAGCGCCTGCCCGACGTACGGGAACCTGTGTGCGCTATGCTGCTCAGTCTCGGTGATGGCAACTGGAAGATGGGCGAGGGCGCTCAAGTTGCGAAGACTGCACGACAAGACATCGACGAGAACACGATTCTTCAGCACTTTACATGTACGTGAATCGGGTTTCCAGAACGATGTAGAGAACTGACATAGAATCCCAGTCGACCTCGTCAATATGACGCTGAACACGCTGCAGGCACTTGCCAACTCCAACCGACGGCCCGCCTTCGGGTCCATCTTCCTCCTCAACAACGTCTCTTACCTCATCACACGCCTCCTCACGCGGCCATCTTCGCCAACATCCCCCGGCCTACTCTCGAAACCCGCTCAGGACATCCTCAAGTCGAACTTCCGCACCGCCAAGGCGGCGTACTTCGACTCGAACTTCAGCCCAATGCTGCAGACGCTCACCGACGACGGGAACAAGAGCAAGAGTGCGATCAAGGAGAAGTTCACGCGTTTCTTCGATCTGTTCGATGAGACCACGGAGCGCCACCAGCTGGCGAGGGTGCTGCATGACGATGAGGAGGCGCGCGCGCAGGTCAGCGAGGAGGCGGTCAAGCTAGTCGTGCCGTCGCTGCAGAAGTTCATACAGAAGAACCTCGGGAAGGAGTTCAGTAAAAGTGAGTGTGCTCTTACGACACATACACCTTCAGTTCATTGACCGACTTGCGTGCTTTAGACCCGAAGAAATGTGAGTCGCTCGGGACGTGGAATCTTCACGATGTACTGACTACAAGTCACAGATATCAAGATGTCAGCTGAAGAAGTGGAGGCACTCATCAAGAGCTTTTATCTGTAGGCCCTCTCTCTTGTAAATAATGACGTGGATTCACACTGGCGATCGACATTTGCAGCGCGAGGGATGGCATGCCTCCACCAGCAGAACGCGAGACGAATAATCTGCTTATCCAAGCAGGCTGGAGCCGCTAACGCTGGTGGCATGGACACCCGTCTGCATTCCATCTCTGTTGTAGTCTGTCCCTTGTATGGATCGATCTGGAGTATCGTGTTCTTCTGTGTATCGTAAGGAGAAGTATTGTAAGCCACACTTCACTCTGCGCATTCGACCTCACAGTGCTCCCCACCCAACTTTAGTGTACAATTCAGTCCTTCATACATCGGTTCGACCTCGGCATGGGCGTAGGTAAGCTTCCCCATCACTCCGAAAGCCATCCCTGGAACACACAGTCCGGCGGAACCATCGGCTTTTCCCATTCTTCATGGCAGGCAATCGCTCAGCTCGTCCTCAACATCACGCTCTTATATAACTCACCTTTCGCGCGTTTCCAGTAGATCTCCCTCGCAGGCGGGAGTTGGTTCCCGAACATCGCAAGCTTGATGGAGTACGTCTCCGGCGCCGACTCAGCCGCCGCCCACAGCGGCGTCCCGCAGTCGCCGCAGAAGTACCTGATCACGTCCTTCCCGGACTGCGCCGCGCCGGTGGGCTGTTTGTACCCCTTGGGCTCGCCCGTGAGGACCTTGAGGTTCTCGCGCTCGACGAATCCGAGGTAAGAGAAGACTGCCGTACGGGGGGACACTGGTCAGAGGTGAGTGTGGGCGGGAAGGAGCGGGCGGCGTACGGCTGCCGGACAGCATCTGGCACTCCTCGCAGTGGCAGATGCCTGCCTTTGCGTTCTCTCCGAATCCCCCGAGGACGCGGACCTTGATGGCGCCGCAGTGGCAGCTCCCTGGGTTCCTGTGCTCAGCGACTCTGGCGCGACTTTGGACCAGACACACAGACCTTCGACGTCAGCCATGGTTTACTCGCGAGCGTATGGGCGACGTTCAGCAGCGTGCCAGTGGTGCCCATTATATACCAACCGCACAGCGCCCTCCAGAACACATCACGGACGCCGTCGCGCAGCCATCATATCGGACCCATCATCAACTCCTGATTACGATGTTCTTGAGAGGTTCTGTGATGCTAACGTCTGGCGTTATCACTGAGGTAAGCTTAATTGGAGCGGCCATCCACAAACCACACTACCGCGCGCGCAGCCTCACTCTGGTAGCATGCGGTGCCGTCACTGAATACGTGGCTGTGATCCGAGTAGTGCCTCATGATCTGTTGAGGGTGAACAAGTTTGATTGACGCAGGCGTACCAAGGTCGCTTGCGATGTGGGCGATATGAACGTGTAACATCCGTCAACGCCTAGAACCGACCTGTCACCTGCGGAAAGAGCGTACGATCGTGCACGAGCCAACTCACAAGAGATGCGTACGTAACTGTAGATGGACAACAGCTCGAGCTGGCGAAGCTAGCTATGGCCTTGACTCAGCAGACAGCGCAGCAGATATGTGCATGTGCATTGGTAGATCATTTCGACGACTCGCTCGCTCTCAGTGACCCCTTTGGAGAACACTAGTACAACGCGTATGCCGGGCAGCCCGTGACATCGATATCGGGCCCAAGACGATGGTGTTCAGATGGGTCTCTGTCCTTCATACGAAGCCTCAAGGAGTCGTCAACTTCTCTCACTGTACAGAAAGCCATCCCATCAGCCCATCCATCGTGCTCACGAAGAGTCGTACCCAGACTCACCATGTGCCCATCTCCAGAAGACTTCTGTGCCAGGGTGTAGCTGACACCTGGCGCTGCCTGTGACTCACCTCAGAGCAGCGTGCCGCAGTCGCCACAGAAGTAGTATCGTGTTACTTGTCCTCCCAATCTGTTCGTAGATTTAGACTGCCTGTAGCCCTTGGGCATGCCCCAGGCGACTTGCAGATTGGTCCGCGTACAGACGAAGACTGCCGCGAAGGTGTGTGCCAGTGAGCTTGAATTATGATTGGATGTATGCGAGGCATGGGACGTAGTATGACTGCCGGAGAGGGCTTCACTTCGCAGTGGCAGAGTAGGGGCTTGGATTGAATGTCGTTCGTGAAATCGCCGACAATTTGCAACTTGATCGCGTCGTAGTACTTGACAGCTTCCTGCGTACGTATGGGGACAGTCGTGTCGGGGGTTGGGATATGTTATGTCAATAATACAAGGCTTCGAAGTCTGTTGAAGTGACGGTAGCGGTCGAGTTGCGCATGCATCAGTGGGGAATGAGTATATAGCGGTCGCATTCCGGTCGCATTATGTTTTCCGTTGAATATGTAAGGAAGGAGGAGTCGTGTCATAGACGCCCAAGCCACACGGTCCACATAAACGGCCCGATCAGATCTGTTTCAGACATTTCGTCATACATACCGCCACACAACGGGCGCCTGTACAGCACAAGTACTTGAACACTGGCACGTCCTTCGCAGGAACTGCAATCATTCGGTCTTCACTTCGTCTACTGTGTCTCCTGTTCCGGCTGACCCATCCAACAAAACATAGGAGAAGCTTTACCACCACTCTAACCGTACCAGGGCGGAAGTCGCCGCGAGTCATTTGCCAGCGCTCAAGAATGGAGAGTCAGATGGCGAGTCAGCCTGCAATCACTACCCCGCAACGTACAGAAACGAGCTCTACGAAAATAAACACTACAAATGAAGAGACAGATTCTGTTGCAACGCAGAAAGATCCTATCCCTACTGTCGATGCGGCCGAGAAAGATGCCATCTTCAACTCCATCCACATTGATCCAGAGGATTCGCAGCTCATCGAGGACCTCTTCCGCATCTCAAAAAAGAGCCCTAAGCTTGTGCGGTCCACGGCGTACACTGCACCCGCAGACCCAAACATCGTACTTCGGAGTTGGAAGATGAACGAGTTCAAGTACTACGACGTGCCTTCACCATTCCCAACGCTTGCGAGAGGCTTGTTCACCCAAGAGATCAAGAAAGGTGACCAAGTGAAGCACCGGATCGTTGCGCGCGGTTATGACAAATTCTTCAATATCGGCGAGGTGCCATGGACACATGTGAGTGTATGCTCTCACTTCACCTTCTTCATACGCTGAGATATCATCCTTGAACAAGTGGGCATCACTTGAGAGCCACACAGGCCCTCCGTACACTCTTACCCTCAAGTCGAACGGGTGTATCATCTTCATAGCTGCGCTAACACCCACGAAGCTCGTCGTCACGTCCAAGCATGCGCTGGGCCCCTCGAACAACACTCCCGAGAGTCACGCCCAGGTCGGCGAGCGCTGGCTGCGGAAGCATCTCGCCGATGCAGGAAAGACGGAAGAGCAGCTCGCAAAGACACTCTGGGACCAAAACCTGACCGCCGTCGCAGAGGTACATACACCCTTCCTCCACCTCTTGCCGCTGTCTAACACGTGCCACGAAGCTCTGCGATGACTCGTTCGAAGAACACGTCCTCCCATACGGCCCTGATCTGACAGGTCTCCACCTCCATGGCCTCAACGAATGCACCAAGCGCTTCCGGACAATGGACCAGCCCGCCGTCGACGCCTTCGCGCGCGAGTGGGGCTTCATCGTCACCAAATGCATCGTCCTGCACACCGTCCCCGAGGTCAAGGCCTTCACCGAGGAGATCGGGCGCACAGGTAAGTGGGACGGCGAGTCGCTCGAGGGCTTCGTCGTGCGCACGCGCGTCGTGGACCCGCCGACGAAGGGCGGAAAGCCCGCGAGCGCGTCGCCGTACGCGCCCGGCTCGTCGTTCTTCTTCAAGGTCAAGTTCGACGAGCCGTACATGATGTACCGCGACTGGCGCGAGGTCACGAAGAGCCTCCTGTCGAAGGGCCCGCTCGTCGCGAACGTGCCGAAGGGGAAGCTGCGCAGGCCGGAGACGAGGGTGTACGTGGACTGGGTCATCGGCGAGATCAGGCGCGATAAGAGCCAGTTCGACACGTACGCGCGGGGGAAGGGCATCATCGCCACGCGCGAGCGCTTCTTGAAGTGGCTGGAGAGCAACGAGGGGCGGTCGGCGGAGAAGACAGCGGAGGAGAAGCATGACGAGAGCAGTATGAACGGGGCGGCCGACTCGCATAAACAGTTCGGCAAGACGATCATCGTTCCGGTCGCCGTTCCTGGCGTGGGCAAGACCAGTGTCGCCGTCGCGCTGTGCCACCTCTTTGGATTCGGCCACATGCAGAGCGACGACGTGAAAGCGAAGAAGCCCGCGCCCGTCTTCATCAAGAACGTCGTGGGTCTGCTCAAGACGCACGACGTCGTGATCGCAGACAAGTGAGTGACTGCGTTAAATGTAAGCCCATCAGGACTGACGTGCACCAGAAACAACCACCTCAAGCAGCACCGTCAGCAGCTGCGCGAGGCGACGGCGAACATGAAGCCTCCCGTACGGCTCCTGGCTCTCAACTGGTCATTCGACGTCCCCCTGAGCACGATCCACCGCATCTGCGCGGACCGGATCACAGAGCGGGGCGAGAACCACCAGGCCCTCGTCGCGGGCGCGCACGAGACCGTCGTCTGGCAGTTCCTAAAGAACGCGGAGGAACTGACGGACGACGAGGTCGACGTGTCCGTCGAGATGGAGTGGGAGGAGAGCCTCGAGGACTCGCTCGCCCGCGTGGTAGACGCGTGCGTCCGGATCCTGGGCGTGCAGCGGCCGGACCAGGAGAAGTTCGGGGAGGCGCTGGCGGTCGCCCGGGGCTACAGGGCACCGACGACGAAGAGGAAGGCGGCGGGCGAGCAGGGGAAGAAGGAGAGGAAGGAGCCGCCGCCGAGGTACTACGGCATCCTCGCGGAGGTGGACCTGGAGGGCGTGCTGGGGAAGCGGTTCAAGGAGGCGGATGCCCCGCAGGCGGGCAAGACGTTCTGGGAGAGGCTGGCGAAGGGGAAGCGGGTGGCGGCGAGGCCGCACGTCACGGTCGTGCACTCGAAAGCGCTGCCGGAGCAGACGGCGCTCTGGGAGCTCTGCCGCGGCTTGCAGGACGAGGCGCCGCCCCTGTTCAGCTTCCGGCTCGGGCACGTCGTGTGGAACGAGCGGATCATGGCGGCGACCGTGGTCGACTTTGCGGTGTCCCTTGACGACGGCAACGCGGCAGCGGAGAAGAAGGGTTTAGACTTCGTGTTGAAGCTGCCAACGGACGTGAAGGACAGGATGCATATCACGGTGGGGACGCGGGACAAGGAGGTGGCTCCTGTGGAGGCGCGGTCGCTTGTCTGGGACTGGAAGCAGAAGGGTGATAGGGTGGGGGCTGGGGTGGGCTCTGTAGAGCTCAAGGACGTGTGGGTGAAAGGGAGGGTAAAGGGCTTGATCAGCTAGGCCCCCATAGTGCGCCTGGTGGAGGATCTATGGACTTTGTTCGCTAGCAATCTGGAATACATGGTCGAAACACTACTCAATATCTATCACATCTGTACGACCTCTCCGTTGCACCGCACATTATGTACACTCCAAACCAAATTGTAAAAATATAGCCGGTCGCAGCTCGCTGCATACATCCTAGTTTGTCTTCGGCAGAGGTGTCTGGTCTGGCGCCACTAAGATCGTCGGGCGCTGTATACGCTGACGTGGAATCCTCTGCCTCCACGGGTCTTTCGTCGGCACGTCTTTCTCAGCTCTTTGCAAGCACAAGCCCCCGCCCTGATGGGCGCCGCACTCACCCTCCTCCCGCCGCCTGCCGCCCGACGACCTGACAAAGCGAATTGACTCGTTGCGTGCAAATTTCGCAAACGAGCGGGACGGCATTGACCGCGTCTGATTGATCCCTCGGGCAACATTAGGCACCCATTACTGAGTAGCTGTCAAGGTGTGGCGTACGTCCTTCTGAATTGCGTTAGAAGTATTGAATCATGCAGACTTAGGAAATTTATCTTAGCAGCTTGACTCGACGCAAGCGTCATGGAAGCGGTCGCGCGCTGTACGAGTAGGCAACAGTCCATGAGCTGGCGGTCATGAGGAGCTATACGGGGCATGTATATAAACGAGCTCAAGGATCAGTAAACTCCAAACCACTTACCTTCGACTCCAAGCAGCCCGACAGCACAATGTCCGACGTTGAGGGTACGTTAGCTCCGCAAGGCTCGGCGAGGACGTACTGACCACTCAGCTGCAGGGAGCTGCCACTGTGGCGCTATCAAGCTGCGCGTCGTCGGCGGATTTGACGACAATGCTACGGCCATCGTGTGCCACTGCACCGTTTGCACCACCCTCTCTGGAAGTCGTAAGCCGCTTTCATCCGTACCATGAGTCACGGCAGACACACTCACATCTTACTCGCGCTGGCAGTGTTCTCCTATGTCGCTCCCATCCCGCGCAGTAGCTTGCAAATCCTGAAGGGCACGACGAAGGGCTACAAGCAGCCGAAGTCAGAGAACTGTCCGGAAAGCAGGTCACCCGCCACTTTTGTGGCGACTGTGGCACGCCGCTGTGGGCAGAGTTCGAGTCCGCTCCGGAGGAATACTTCATCAAGCTTGCGCTCTTTGGCAACAAGCTTCCTCCTGGCGCCGAGGTTTTCTGGAAGAACGTCCACGGTGAGTGCGTTGATATGAGATTGTGAGGACAGAGTCTGACATTCATTCAATTGGCCTTTCAGAATCGCGGCAAAAGCCGATCGTCGCTCCGGAGGCCGTGTTTGATGCGTTACCTGCCTGAGGACAACGCCGACTCGGTTGAATAATGGTCGAGGGGCCTTGAGATTAGAGGAATGCAGACGGCGTGCCCTGTTTCAACACAGGGATAGCCTGCCAGTATCTCAACACAGGAAATGTGACCGCAGAATCGAATGAAAGGAATATCTGCAGACCTACTCTGATTGACAATCTGGTATCATATAATACATTGGACATGTGTGCAGAGGTTGGCGTTGTCATCGACCACCTGTCTCTCTCGATTGCCATGTCGACTCGATTTCAGAGTAAACCGACGCCTACATTGGAAGTCGGGCATGTGAAGAGGACGTCCTGCTTCGAAGATTGAACTTGGCTTACCTCTGCGTGGTCTATATGTGCCCGAAACTGTCGGCTATGCCGAGATTCGGATTGAGACTCGGATATAGTAACACATTCTTTCCAGCTGTCGCCGAGCCCGGTGTACCATGGCAGGTCATCCCAGATGTCGCCGAATCCGCCCTTGGCACGAGCGCGAAGGGCGCTCATGCAAGGTACGCATAAGGTGGGCAGACCCGCATTGATAATCTCAGGGTTCTGCCTGTCGTATCCATCGAAGAGCTTGTCCCAAGGCTCAAGCACCCCGGCTGCCGCATTTTCCATTGACGCCGCTCCTATGGCTCCGGTGCGAATGTTCTCGAAGATATGTAGACAGGAGGCCTCGGAGATGCACTTGTAGAGGGGGCGAACTGCTTCGTGGATCTCATGCGTGAAAGCACGGGCGAGTTCAACTTTCGCTTGGATGCATCTCAGCAGATCGCCCCGGTCCAGTATACTTATCAACTGCCGCTGCTCAGCCTAGCGAGAATGAGGAGTTCACGCGCGACGAGGAGTTCTGGTACGAGGATGGGAACGTCATTTTGGTCGCCCAGAATGTTGGCTTTCGCGTGTATCGAGGTTTTCTGGCGATCCGAGGTATTCCGCGACCTCTTTTCCGTCCCTCAGCCACTGGCACTGGACGTCAGTCTGCGGCTGCCCGATCGTACATCTCTCCGACAATCCTATTGCTCTTAGAGAGCTACTTGATGTGCTGATGTGCGGCAAGAGGTACGCTCGTACATTGTGTCTTTTCTTCGTCCTGAGATGTTGATGGCCACCTGGTTGGATGATAGGTAAGTACATGCTGGAGAACGATGCCGAGTTGGACTGTTTACCCTATCGAATTCGCCTCGCACAAAAGTACGGCATCGGAGACCTCTTGGAGGAGCCAATATGGCAGTTGAAGAAACTCTATCCCACGACACTCTCCAAATGGATCGACGTACAACGTCACTACTCCCCTCGGACGACAACTGCCGTCAATGTAGCCCGTCTAACCAACACGCCTTCCATCTTACCTTCCGCGTCCTACGTCTGCTGCCAGCTTCCCAACCACGATCTGCTGGATGGCGCGTCTCACTCTGACGGCACAGTTGAATCATCTGTCGAGTCCAATCGGAGCCGTTTATGACTGCTTCCCTCCAACTTGAAGGTCGTGGCATCGCTGCGTCGAAATGAACGACATTGGATCTTGGAGAGTATAATGCATACCTGGAGCTATCGCGCTTCATCGAGGGACACTACCACTGAGGGCCTAGTCACGGTAGTAGTACCAATACCACTTCAGAGGTATGCGACCTATCACGATCACGTGCGCATGTATTATCTCACTTCAAGCTCAGGTTGTCCGCGGCAGCTGTCTGTCCATCGCCTCATCTGGTTCCACTTCGCTAGCGTTGCCTGTCGAATATAGTCGGCGCACTCAATATGTGCAGAGCAGGATACCTACAGAGATGTGCATGCACGAGTGTTGTCAAACATCTATACCTGCCAGTGATAACGTCTGCATCGCGCGATGCTGTATTGCGGTCCACAACGCCAGCGCCAGGCTCGACTCGGCCTGCGCGGTACGTGTAACAATCAATAGTTCTCGTGCGGAAGTTAATGCACATTGAAGCATATGTCATAGGACGAAGTATGCTCGATACATCTTGAACAAATGAGGGACTCCGTCGCTGGGAAGGGATCGGTGTCAGCTTGGAGTGTCTTGCATCTACCAAAGCGGCTCACCAATAGACTGTCACCCATCTGCATCAGCATCAAGGGTCCCAATGCTCAGGCTGAATTTGCCAGTAGCCCACTTCGATGCCCATGACCCAAGGCAGTTCGCACCACCATTCAACATCCACGTCACTGACCGCATTGATGACATTTTCCAGGCAGCGTCTGCATGGTACCGCGGCAGTGCTATGTCTGGTCCCAGAAATGTTGCCGCGTGCATTGAGAAATTCGCGCCACGGTTCAAGGATCCCAGGTTCCACGTTCCCAGTGAACAATCGCCTGATGGCCGCCTCGCGAATGAGATTGAAGGCCTTATCACATGCGTCACCAGCAGAGAGGCAGCTGCGACGAAATTTCTCGTGGATCATGTCCATTTCCGAACGGGCATACATGACTTTCGCCTTCATGCATTTAACCAGATCACTCCGGCTCAGGGTATCTGCCGTGCCATCGGAGTGAACCGCGCCTTCGAGCAAGGTATCATCTGGAAGCTGACAGCAGGCATAGAGAGCGGTGGGAAGAATGGATGGAGTGCTGGTGAGATGCGCCAAGTTCACCGCCGTAATGGCCCGAGAGGAGTGAGGTCGACGTATTTTTTCCCATTCCATGAAGGATGTCGGATAGAGGGCCTGTAATTGTTGTGTAGATTCCTTCAAGAGGTCCTCAGCTCCATACTTGTGAGCGAGGCGGATCCGATACGACAGGGCGTCCAGTTCAAGGTCGTTCTCGGGGACATATCTGGGCATCCAAACCAATGCTACGTATCAACGGGACAACGAAGCACGTGTGTTGTATTGACGCACCTTTTCGCATACATCAACGCACTCAACAACTCTCTCAGAGCAACCGGGGTATCAGTCAGTTGAACGACTGGGCAACCGCAGACCAACTGTCCGGCCGGCGGCTGCCATTGACTCGGAGGGACAGTGGACAGTTCGCGAAATATCCCACAGTGTTTCGCTAGCAGACCTCGATAAATGCGGAAGCCGACCGTCTGTGCGACGACGATTATACTGCCGTCTTCGTACCAAAAGTCCTCGTCGCGTGTCCACTCCAGATCCTTGCGCTGGTCGAGCATGGACGCATCGCTGCTGTCCGTGTCCGACAGCAGCTGTGCATACCCCGTATGGCCGCACTTATCAGTTGTAGGCATCATGCCGTCTCTTCGTTCATATAGGCTCAGTGACATACCCTTCGACTCGACCGGCCCTACGTACCTGGAGCTACTGCAAAGTTGTATGATCCGAGATGACTGGTACGTCCAGTGATGTCAAGGTCAGCCAGAAGGACATCAATATCAGCCAGGGGAAGCTTACGGCGTGGACGTTGGGCGCTAGACGTGCGCACGAACGTTGAGAGTCGTGTCAATGTTGCATCGGTCCCGAAGTCGATTCGTCAAACGCGAGACGCGTTGTCGCGGTCACGTGAACTCTTGATGACAGGCGTCACGGTGCAGTCCAGACAGCATCATGATGTTCCCGCTCTCTGTTTGGCCTTGTAACATTTGAGGATGTGCTCAATATGTATGAAAGTGACGAGTCGAGCAGGCTCAAATCTGGAAAACCTCTGCGTTGCGGGAGGCAAACGTGTTAGCATTACCGGTCAGCCATAAGTTACTAACTCGAAAACCCTCCCGCCAATAATTTATTAGGCGAATTACGGGGCCAGCGCATCTCGTGGTCTGTCACCATTCACCAGGTATACTAACTTCTGACCCGTCTGACCTCATATCTGGCCTTATCGCCGTCTCTGAGGAGGACGACGACGCGTCCCGTGCCCTCCTCCCAGTGGTCCATCCTGCGCAGTTTCTGGCATTTCCACGCGAACGTCGCCGCGACCTCTTCGTTCTTGCGCATCCTGCTCCGATCTGACGGGGTCACCGGCAGGCGCGTGCGCTCTGACGGCGCGAGGGGTATCGTCGCTGCATGCACGCCAGACGAGGAGTTGTGCACGAACGAGGCGGACGGTGGCGCGAGCGCCGCCGGAGCGACCTCGTAGAAGAAGCGCACGCCGTGGAAGGTCGCAAGCTGGGGGAAGTGCGCGAGCACGCTGGCCCACTCTGTAAAGTTCGTCGCGATCGCCGGTGCAGGCCGCCCGGCTCGATCCACGCCCATTGCGGTCCCCGCAGCCCCATGCCCGTCGATCCGCTTGCCGACGTCCAACCAGGTGAGCTGCGGGGCTGCGTCCGAAAGCTTTCTGACCTCGTCGATGTCGGCATAGTTAACGAGTTCTATCCGTTTCACGATATGCCCGAATGCCCCCAAATTGGCGAGGAACACGTTCCCACCGGGCCCTGATAATCTCAATCCCTTCAGTGTCTCGAGCGGACGGCCCTCCGGATGAGCCTTCGTGGGCAATATCGGGCAAGCAAGAATGGCACTCGCTACCTCCCGGCTGGCCTTCAGCTCCTTCAGCCTCGGCAGGGTCTCATCCGCCAAGCAGATCGTCGCCGCCCTCGCGGCCCCGAAAGAGATATCCAAGTGGAGGACCTCGAGCTGCACGTGCGCAGCGAGGAACGACGCGACGGCGTCCGGGCCAGCAAGCGGCGAGCAACGCAGATTGGTGAGGGCCAGAGTACGCAGGGTGGACCAGCGCGCACAGAGCAGGAAGTCGTCTGCTGCGGGTAGATGGAAGCCCACCGCGCGCCGGGGCTGGTATGCGATGCTCAGGGACTCCAGTACCGGGCAGTTGGTGAGCATGCCGGAGATGCGAGTCATCTCGGGATTCTTGGACGCGCCATACGTGTATTTGGTCGACTGCAGGCTGATCGTTTTCAGCGCGGGCAGCTGTTCGCGATCAGCCCATGCTCAGGACACTGTGACCTGTCGTCACTCACGACGTACTGGCGCCTCTTGTTCTTGCTGGTTTGTCCCTCGCTCGCAGGCAGCTCGCTCGGCGCGAAGACAAGATTGTCGTTGATCTGGACATTCTTCAGGGCCTGGCACTTGCGGAGAGTCGGCCAGACGAGATCGATCGAGATCGGCGAATGGCTACACGACCACACGAATGACTCGAGGGCGGTCATCCGCGTGAGGGCGGAGACGAGGATGCGCTCCTGCTTGTCGTGCATGCCCAGCTCATCATCTGTCGACTCCAGGTCGGTGTCTGAGGTGAGAATGTCAGAGGGGACAGACTCGGGCTCCGTGCCTCGCTCGTCCATGATCTCGAGCCGGCGTACATTGCGCGCGAGGCCGCGATGGACAGCGAGGTGGTTCCACACCGCGATCCTGCTGATCTTGCAGCGCACGACGCGGTATTCGAAGTGCCTCGGGAAGATGATCCCGTGCAGCCGCTTGCACGCGAGCGCAATGTTCAGCAGGTCGCGCTTCTCGTCGAGATGGAATACGATCGCGTCAAGGATCTCCGTCGGCTGGCGCGTAAGCGTCCTCCTCTGCGGGGCCAGCCCAACGAAGGGCTCCACAATGGTGAGGAGGTGCAGCGAGAGCCGGTGCTCCTCCGGCGTGAGCTTGTACGCGCACCCGCCGATACGCGCGGGCAGCGACGCGACGAGGGTCCGAAGGACGTTGAGCGCTGCAAACGGGTCCGTGCGATCATACGACGATGGATTGGTGTCTAAAGAGGGGAGAAGAGCCTTCCGGGCACGGCCCTTTCCAGCAGAGGATGGCCCTCGCGCCTTGACCAGCATCGGGCGCACCACGACGGTCGCCATGGTTGACTGCAGGACAGGACGCGGACGCGGACGCGCCCGTGGACGACGTAGTCGGTCCCGAGAGATACGGAGTGACTCGAGTCGATACTCGCCCATCTCCGCGAACGAAGCTTCGGCCACTAGTGTGATGGGAGAGCGTTTGTCGCGGTTTGTGCGATCAGGAACGATGATGATATGGGACCAGGAACATCCCACGCTACGTATCAGTATCGTTGTCATCCTAAACGACTTGTGTACCGTTGATCAAAGCGAACAGGACGTTACAGAGGTGGAAAGACACGCTCACCTTACGCGTTGCATCGAAGTTGTCATTGACATAATCATGTAGTCGACGGACCGCAAGTCTGCCTGTCAGAATTCGAGATGTCTGAAACATTGCTTTATCAGTTTACAGTGTGGTGATTATACTCTGAAAACAGTACAGAGAGACGTCCGAATGCACCAGCGAGAACCCATAGAAAACCCCAGTCATCACAAGTATCCGACAATAGATCACATACGCATGCACCGCATACTACACTACACTGGCGATGCGTCCATCCGCGCACTAGTACCGAGTATAGAGAGGGAGGGGCGTGCGTTCTCTATTCCAACGCGATGGTTCCATTCCGACGAAGGAGCGACGGCAGTTATGACTTGACGTCGGGGGCGATGACCTCCTTCTCGATTGAGCCCGCGTCCGCCTCGGGCGTGCCCTGCTCCAGCCCGTCCTTGCGCACGTCCTCGACGTACACGACCTGCTCGTCCTCGTAGTTCGTCTCTTTCACTGTGCGGAGCACGAGGAACGCGAGCGGGAACGAAACCAGCATTATGATCCAGCTCGCGAGCTGCGGAGAGAACGGTCAGCGCCGAGTCCGCCGATAAGTCCACAGGGAGACGACGACGTACGAGCTCGTTCAGCCAGGGCGTCTTCACCGCGTCCATGCCGTAGCTGCCCGCCTCGCCCGCGCTCTGCAGCGCCTTGTAGAGACCCGCGAAACGCGCGAGGGTGAAGGGGTCGTTCGAGAGCGCGGACATGATCCAGTACGCGAGCGCCTGGTAGCACGCGTCGCCGAAGTAGTCTGCCCGCCTGTCAGCACACATCTGGCCCCCGCAGCCCGTTGCACTCACAGAAGAAGAACAGCGGGCCCTTGGTCCTGTACGCCGCGTCCTTGTAGTTGATCAGGTACAGGACGGAGTCAGGGCTGTGCCGCGTGTACGTGACCTGCCACGCGAGGCCGCACACCCACACGACGACCGTGACCACGGCGACGGCGGCGAGGCCGATGTAGCCGCGCGTGCGGCGGTCGAAGCGCTTCCCGTCGAGGACGAGGAAGCCGATCATGAGCGCGCCGACAATGGCGCCGGCACCCTCGAGCACCGCGTTGAGCGCACGCGTCGGCGCGTCGAAGCGCGCGGTGTTGATTGAGCCCTGGTAGGCGTAGAAGTAGTTCGACGCGAAGAACATCGGGAGCAGCGCTGCACCGGCCGGTCAGCACCGGGGATGCTAGGCAGAACGTGAGGACGTACCGATCATGCGCCAGTCCTTGAGCGTGCGCCACATGCCGATGATCTCCTCGTGCGGCTTAGAGGCGGCCTGGAGCTTGACGATCGTGCCGTCACTCCGGATCACCTGGTTCGGCGGGAGGAGGAGGATCGTGCTCGCGACACCGACGAAGATGATGACCAGGAATGCGATGTATGTGGAGGTCGACACTGCGCCAAGCGAACCGGAGCGGATGTTGATCGCCAGCGCAATGAGCGCGCCGATGAGCGAGCCAAACTGGAAGATGGCCCAGAAAACACCAAACGCCTTGCCCTTGTCTTTCTCGAGCGGGTACGACATCATGATCGAGCCCTGCGCGGACCACAGCAGCGCGGCAGTGATGCCGAGGATGGCACCCGCGAAGATGAGGAACCATGACGTGCCCTGCGTCTGGTAGCACCAGAGGGCACCGACGTAGAGCGCGTAGCCTAGAGTACCGAGGAAAAGCGTGATCCTGGGGCCAAGAACTAGAGGTGAATGATCAGCATTCATTCCAAACAACGCGGTTCCACCCAGACGTTGCGAAAGTCTAGTACTGTCGGCTTCCTGCGTCGAGAAGACGGCGCGGAGCCAGTTCAGCGAAGCGCAACAAGTGTGCCCACGCCCGCCAATGTCCCGGAATGCCCTCTACTGAAGCCAGGGGCATTGGCTTCGCTCGAACGGAGCACGCTGAACCTTGATCAAGCTCTTCTGCGGGGCGCCCATGATGCACAATGGCACCGCACGTAAAGATAAGGATACCCTGACGGGGTCCCCACCGCAAGGTCAACGACGTTGTTTTGAAGCTCCCTCACTCCTCAAGCTAAAGCTGACAGCTTGGGAGCAGAGGTGTGAAAGCGCCTATGCCTGGCCTGATAAGCTGTGGCAAGGAGGGCGTTTGACATGTCAGAATGAAGACTGGGCAGGACCGAGCCTGACGATTAAGCCACCGCGTCCGTACCCGGAGGGCCCGTCAGGATCAAACTGACCGAGCCTCGTGCATCAGGTTTGCCTGACACACTGACAGTTCCTGGGCATGCCTCGCCGCCTCGAAGTCACAAGGGTCTTCCAGGCTTCCCAGCCGAAAAAAAGAGGGAACGCCAGCCTGAGGGAATGGAGGTAACGGAAGGAACGTACCATTGGCAATACCGCCACTGACTATACCGGTGATGGCGAAGAGGCCGTAAAGGACGCCGTTCGCCGTGTCGGAGAGCGTCAGGTTCTGTGTACCTCCTGCGCCGAGGTTGGAGACAGCGCTGAACATGCCCACTGTCGCGAAACTGCATGTGGGTCAGTGTTACGTCCGATCATGGCGAGCCTGTAGCCTTGGCGAGGACTGGCAATCTGTATTGCCTTTCGCTGTCAAGCATACCGGCGACTGAACCGTGTGCGATGAGCCGGAGTGGTTGACAGCAGACGCGAACGGCAACCTATGGCCGTTCCTTGCCAGGCTCCCAGGTCGGAGGACTCACCAGGTGATGCCCACGAGTACCACCTGTACCATGGGCGTGCTGCACAGCAGAGAAAACGTTAGCCACAACACGAGTGCGAACGAAGGCGAGCACGCACGTATAGAACCGAGGGTATTTGATTTCCACCATGTTGGCGGCGTTGGCTCGAGGACAGGAGCGCGTCGTGCAGGGAGGGGGCTCACTCGCGGGGAGGCAGCAGCGCGGAGGCAGGCTGTCCCAGGGCTCAGATATATATGTACTGTCTCCGCATGGATGGAGCGGGAGGAGGAGGAGAGATAAGCTGGGAGATCGCAGAGTCCCGATGGCCCTAACTTACCTCGGCGCGCGAGGCTCGCATGATACCGTCCGACCTCCAGCCTGCCCGGCCTGTCAAACGGAGCACACCCTGATGTCCCTGGCCGTAGCCGTGGCCGCCAGCGCGATAGCGGCAGCAAGGCTGAGCGCTGAGCACGTTGATCGAGCACCCGTGCCCGCGTTGGTGTTCCTCTCCCCGGATGCGCCTCTTCTTGGCTGCAATTTCAAGCCGCGGACAGAACTCTACGTGCACGCGTGGTCGCTCCGCCGCGAGGCTACTCACGCGCGCACCTATTTCGGTCCCATGTTGGCGGCGAAGGCGTGGGTGGTGGCGAAGCAGGAGAAGCTCGCCGGGGCGTATGGCCGTCGTCCATGTCGTGTGGTCGCAGCGCCAGGCGCCCGTCTACCGGTCGTCCATGATCGTGGGACCGTGCACCTCCTCGAGCTTGCCTCACAGTCGGGCAGTTGACAATGTCATTGAACAGCACATACACCAGACGATTTGTCGGTGCCGTCTCCCAAAATCCCACATGCCCTGTCAGTCAGACTAGCGATATCCACGGTGCCGAAGTGTGGCACCCCACGACGAAGGCTTCGAACGCTCGACGATAGGCATCCGCATTGCCTTCCTCAAGACCCAGCGCACGGCCCAGTCACTACCCAGTCTCATACCGAGGCCCTCCACGTGAGGGCTTGTGTCGAGCCTAGCGCACGGCCTTTCCTCTCCGAATCGACGCTTTGGTGCATGATGATGGCACCGCTTCAAAGTACAGTGTGTCATCGGGAATCGGGATGTCCTATCCTCGCAAGGCTAGTTGAGTGCATTTGGACCCCGTCATGATACCCCGTTTGCGAGTGCTCCATTCTCTCGGGATGTGGCTACGAAATAGCACTAGTAGGACTGGCCTCAGAGGCACACGCCGTATGTACGTCGATTTTTCTCTAGGGCTTCTCGACCGCTCGCTGTCAGCCGCAGCTTACGTCCTCACCATTTCTTTCTGCAGGCGGACCTATTGTCCTAAAGACAAACACAGATCACGCCTCCCAGTTGCTTCCAAGAGTAAACTTCACTTCGTCTCTGGCATTGGTCTTGTGTTCAACAGAGTCAGACAACTCCCCGGTGCGCCACCCGTGCGTTCCACATGGAACATCCAGCGCGTTCCTGTCCACAACTTGAACCAGGTAAGATTGGGATCTCACGCTGGCGCACTGATACGTGCGCAGACATGCTAGCGTATACCACCTTATCTTCCGTCGTGCCTGGTATAATGTACGGCCGCTCGCCGGGAGCACAACAGGCCAGTGCGCGGCGCACAGGCACCACTTTCGTCGACGACGATCCTGCGGATGATGAAGGCGAAACATAGGCAGTCGTGTAGGTTCGCACTGCTTGCGCGCATAGTCAGCATGCGCGCAGGTGCGCCACGTTCGACGACAACTGCTGCTCGGTCACCCGGGCTGTCCTGGTGTGCGGGAGGCCTCACGGCCTCCGAATCATACAGCTCCGGTGGCTGGGGAATGTCTCCGATACTTGGTGCGCGGGAAGATATCCGGCGAAAGTCGACACGCATGTTTCCAATTCAGTGCGATCGCAGGACTACAACGTATGCGAGACTGCGTACCCGTTCGACTGGAGTGTGGGAAAAGCAAGGGCGATGTCAGCTCCCGTAGATATCGGAGAGTATCCCTTGGACGCAGATTGCGTTCCTGCGGTAAGTATTACGCATCCAGGCGTGGACACAATTCTGAACTCGTGTGCGGAGTGGTAGGGCTTTTTTTCAAACCTTGTCAGCGATAGCATACTTATCATTCTCCACTCCAGCTGTCTTATGATGCCAGAGTGGATTCTACATGCCAGTCTCTGGCTCTGATGACCGCGCGGCCCGGATACAGACCCTGCTCCCACACAGGTCTACGTACGTTTTGTATCAGACTCCTGGACGGCGGTATACGTACTTAAGTATCACCAGGTCCTCGAGCATCGCAACATCGCGTCCAGACAAGCCTTAAGTCCATACAAGTATCCCTGCCTCTCCACCCACTCCGAGTCAATCACCGGCACTTCGATCTTTCATCGAGTATGTACCCCCACCAGTTGAACATAACTCTGATAGCCTCGAAGCCTTCGACGCACCATCGATCCGCGCAGCACCCACTTTGGAACGCGATAGCATTTTTGCCGTCTAGGGCTTTTCTCGGCTGATTTCATTCTACACAGATTGCACCCGAAAGGCAACGCGACGTGTTCTCTGTTGACAGATTGTCGCTCGTCAGTGTCCAGATTTAGACTGGGGTTCATCGTGGCGCACGACTACCTAGTACGCGGACTTGAAGGTGCTGGCTGCCAGTGTAGATCCACATTAGCGAAGAGCAAGCTGTGGGTTGAGCGAGGGTTACTGGTATGTGCGAATGTCGTGCGTTCCAATGATCATCGATCATCTCACAAGTCACCTTCTAGGTCTGTCGTTTTACCTAGTACAACTAGGGTTACTGTCTTTGGATCACAAATGCGTGCAATACAAGTGCTATACATAACCTACGCAACGGACTTGAAATGGGAGTACACTATATGACAACAATATGACAAAATAACAGGTACTGGACGGTCGTAACACAGCAGGACGAATATAGCAAGCCGACAACGCTGTATCATAACATACATTGTAAGATCACACAACCACGAGAGCGCGGAACCTCATTTCAGGCAAACCCACCGTCGCCTCCCACGTCGCTGGAAGTTTCGAAGCAGTGCGATATGTCCTGCATCGGTGCCCGTCTGGGCGCGCACCGCTGAGGCTGTGGCCCGGTAGTTGCACACGGCGCGTACTCGAGCAATTGGCGCATCAATTCGCCCGAGAGGTTCTTGTCCCAGCGATGGCACATGGACCTCGCCCCGCTTGCCTTCCGTTCGTTGCAGCCCATCCAATCCAGGACGTTGCATATTTCCTACGAAGGTTCGAGCGTCAGCTAGCCTCATCCACACCGTCGACTGATCATCCACTCACGATGATCCAGCGCTTCACCGTGTCGGGGAGGGTGAAAATGCCCCAGCCGAGCGCCGTACACACGAGTACATCCCTCCAGTGGTGTAGCATACTGAGGGGTAAACCCCGTGTTGCGGCTGTGCACGCGCGGAGCAGCAGCAGATGCAGCGCGCGGCAGTGCGTCAGCGATTGGAGGCCGTAGACTAGCGTCGAGACGAGCTCGATCATGACGGTGTCCGCCAGCACGCCGAGCGCGTAGAGGTCGCCGACGAAGGCGGCGATGTTCAGCACTTGGGCTCGTGTCGGCTCGAGCACGGGGCTGATGGGGTCCAGGCCGGTCACCCCGTCGAGGAAGCTGAGGTCCGTCTGCGCACGAAGAGAAAGGTTCGCTAAGTCATCTGTAGGGCTACACGGCCGGGAATGTGGCCTACCTTGAAGAAGCTACAGAAAAACGCGGTCGTGAGCGCCTTGAGGAACGCGAGGTGCAGCTCGGACCCGGTCTGGGCGTCGCCCCAGTATAGGTCCGCGATGGCCTCCCTGACGACGACCGCAATGGTGCGCGAGTACGAGAGCCTCTCGGTCCCTGCGTGCAATAGGCGATGCGCCCAGGAGGCGAAATCCAGGTTTTCCTTGTTCTCGTCCGCCGAGGAGTCTAGGAGTGCCTCTGAGATCACTCGGGCCTCCCCACACATCTCAAGCGGGTGACAGGTGAGTCGCGTCGTTGACTGAACGCGGACAAAGTACGCCTGCATGTGGATGTCGAGGGCACGAGGGGGAGGGCTGGCCCGGGGACGACAGCCTGAGCAGACGGAATGGACGGCCGTCGGGTTGTAAGACGGTACGGATATTGTTGTTCTCTCGGGGGCGAGTTGATGCACTGAGGGCCAGACACAACTGACGAGGACATTTCAGTAATTGTGCTGGATCGTGGCGCGCTTGGGTCGCTGGCCTCGCCATTGTGGCCGGCAGAATTAGGCATGTCGCTCCAGAACCAGCGCCTTGCACTGGCATCATGAGCCATTATTGTCTCATCGTCAAGCTCCTGCGGGATGGGAGACTGGGAGGGGAGGAAGGACACGAGCCCACGAGAGAGCTGTCTGTCGTCATCATGAAGGTGAGTCTGGTCGTGGCGGGAGTTGGAAGGAGGATGGGGAGCAGCCGGCGTCCAACACGCCGCGGGTGATGGTGGTTCGGGTGTGGGTGACCACAACACGCGCCAACGTGTTTATATGCCTCAGATGGACTTCTGTGCGGCGTGGCCCGTGATGGCGCTTTGTCACCGTCGCCGTTAGAGGATGAAAGAAAGTGGCGCTTTGGCTTTGCATTGTCGTCGCTATGCACTATTTTGGACATTGGACACTTATCAGATCTTCCGCTGATCAGCATGATACGAGCAAGAAACGCAGAGGAATGTGGATTTCGACGGCTTTCGACGGGGTTATCCAAGACCGTCGTGCCGGCGGGGTGAATGTTGCATAAATTCCACCACTCGGAAAATAACCACCGCGGCGCGACACTCTCGGTTCGCAACGTCGTCCCAACGTAACTAGACAGTGTATCGCTTTGCCGCCCGACTCCTTGTTGCACGCCACTGCAACTGGATGCACTGTTGGCTTGAACGCGACAGACAGCGTCAGCCACCGACGCGTACCAAAGCGCCTCGGTATTCGCCGTTCGATCATTGTCATCACGTGCCAATGTTCTCTACCAGTGCATGGCGGCCCGCGGGCAACGACGACCTCGAGTTTACACAAGAATCTCATGTCCAGCGACCGCCGCGCTAAGTCGGACGCACCCTCCGTATTACAATCGAAGGATGTAGCGGACACAAAGTCAGGGTACCGCCCTTCTTTGGTCTGGGCGAGGGAAAGAAGGATCCCCTACCGCTGTGGCTGCCCATCTCGCTGGTGCGTTTCGATTACATTTGGCCCGTCGTTCTCAGCCAACAGAGTTCATTCAGCTAGCATTGACCACGGCAGCTCTCGCTGCTCCATTGTGCTCCTGAGACGCCAGCGGGCGGCCACGGCACTCCAGAAGTCGGTGGGAGGTGCCCCGCCCCGCGTAGGATCGGTAGCAGTGGAACGCCGTCATCACCACCGCCACGACGGTCCGTGTCGACCTCCAGTGCTGCACCGCCGCCGAGGATTCCTTCAAAAAGTGAGGCGCCACCATTGAGGGTACCTGCGAAGACAGGTACGACGTCGCTCGACCGTTCCGCTGCGCCTCAGATCGCCATTGCTTCATCACCTGCGATAACGGATGCCAGCGACGGGTTCAATGGTGCACTCTATTCCGCAAAAGCTTTTGGAATCGCTACGCTCTGCGTTGGTGCGGGGCTGTCACGATGGTGTGGGGCGTACAGCAAGTCTTGGGCGTTCAAAATGTACGTCTGTCCTGCAATCACACCTTCGCTCGATCTCACAAACTTTGGCATGGTAGACGCAGGAGTTCGCACACCGCATGCGGTCTCTCATTCTGTACCGGATGCCATTCCTATCATCTCGAATTCACCGCCCCCAGAGACAGAGGACAGCCAAGAAGTTTCTGATGCCCTCCGAATGCGTGTGGACCAGACCCCCGCGCTACCGATTGGACCTGGCATGACGCCGAACGGAGGCTCGCAGCGGCGTATGAAGAACGTGGGATTATGGGTGGGCGCAGGCTGCACTCCAAGAGCTGGAGGCAGAGGGAGAGTTGGAACGGAGTAAAAGGGGCACACATGAACTACATCTAGTGTACAGTCGTTTACATCACTGGGCATCCATTCGCTCCTCTTGACTCTGCCGACCTTCGAGACTTGCCAATGCCTCGCTCCCAGCCGTCAGCTCTAAGACAGCCTTGACGTCCTCCGCACTCCCGACCCGTATGCAGAGGCCGCGACTGCACCCACTGCGGAACTCCCCTCGCCAAAGCCACCTTCCCCCTCACTTTCTCTTTCGCACGTAACATCAGTTGCTCCACTGCCCAGTTGATGTACCCCGTCTTGCTGGTCTCCCAGGGCCGCTTGCCCGGCTCCGAAGGACCAGCTTGTTCCGGCGCGGTGAAAGCGGGATCGGGCGGCGGAAGGGCAGAAACGGAATCGTACATGGACTGGAACTCGGTGGAAAGTGAGAGAAGTGTTTGCAGCTGGGGTGCGCGTAAAAACGAGAGACGTTCTAGGCGGGATTTGGAATGGGCGAGCTGGACAGCGGAGGCACGAACAGCATGCGTGTATAATCGGCGAAGCTTTCGTTGCTACAACTAGCGTAAATACAGTATGATGGGAGTGACAACGCGCCACGCACGGCCTGAAGCTGCTTCCTAAGATCCTTGATCTCCTGCAGCAGCTCTGTCTCCTTCTCCTCCGGCTCATCGAGGTTCAGCCCCTTCTGATGCGGAGCGACAATGGGCAGGTCGGCGGGGATGGCGAAGATGTTGCGCAGCGACCAGGCCTCGAAGAAATCGAAAGCGATATCGACATGAGACTCGAGCAGAGTCTGAAAGGCATTCAGCCCCTTCTCGAGCTCCTCCGCACTCTTCCAGGCGTCGGTTGTGTCGGTTCGGACTGCGTCTCTCCTTTCGAGGAAGGCTTCCATCGCATCCACCGCCTGCTGCGTCGCCTCATTGGCAGAGTTGATGACATCGTCGAGTAGAAATTGAGGAACAAAACCGATGAGTTCAGGGAGGAGGACGGAGGGAACGGTGGGTGGTGGTGGTGCGCTCATCGCGGCAGCATGCAGGCTGAGGACGGTTGTGCGCACTGCGCGGCGCGTCGCGTCTCAGCGCGCTCCGTCACAACTAATAGTCACTCTGTCACATCAATGTCTAGTCACGTGCATTCTAGGCGCAAATTCCCGGCAAGGCGAAGAGACTCTATCAACGCCGCCAGTGCACGACGACAAACGACATCCTCAAGAATCCACCATGCCGGTGAGTCTGTCTTGCTGCAGGCCTGATCTACGACCCTCGCATGCTCGAAGAGAGTGAAGAAATCTGGATAAATTGGCGAGGAATAGGGTGGATTGCGGTCGGCCTGGGTGGATGACGTTTGGAGGTGCTGGGTGCCGGGTGGTTCTAGGTGGGATTCGTGAGGAACATGGGCTGCATCGGCGTCGCTGGAACGGAGGAACTGACTTGCGAGGGTCAATTGCAGACATCATATGCAACTGTGAGCGCTGAACCTCTTTCGCCTACAGGACCAGCCATCCAACTTCAAGCGCTTCGTCGAGGTCGGCCGCGGTATGCCTACAAAGTTCCTACTCTGGTAGTCCCGGACTAATCGTAGTACAGTCGTGCTCCTCAAGTCTGGTCCCCATGCCGGTCACATCGCGGTGATTGCTGAGATCATCGACCACAACCGGGTACGTATCCAAGATTTCCTCACTTGCGAAGTGTTGATACTCATTGGGCTCACAGGCCATCATCGATGGTCCCACAACCGACGTGCCCCGCCAATCCTTCCCCTACCGCCATCTAACTCTCACTCCCTTTGTCCTTACCAAGCTCCCCCGCGCAGCCGGCTCGGGAGTCATCCGCAAGCAGCTTGAGCAGGAGGGCACCGTCGAGAAGTGGAACAAGTCTTCATGGGCGCAGAAGCGGGAGGCAGTCGAGAAGCGCCGGAAGCTCAACGACTTCGAGCGGTTCGCCGTCATGCTCGCGAAGAAGCAGCGGAGGGACACTGTCCGCAAGGCGGTCAAGAAGGCGTCTGCATGAGCTTTGGAGTGAGCGGCTGGGAGAGGGGTGCGGGTGTGTATGTTTGACGCGTTGGCTCGCCTTCATGCGCGGCATGGGACCAAAACGGGCTGGGACGTGCGTTCTCTGCGGCTGCGTCCCTCAGCATCTATATTGCATCGTCGTCTATGCTTTCTACACGATTTATGACATGCAGCATGCAAAATCATATTCTTGGCAGATTGGTCCACAGCGTCAACACGCATAACACGCAATGTTCAGCACAGCTGTCTCCGACGTCGATATACCCGTCGCTGTATGGCAGAGGTGCGCTCTGCAGCCACTGAGTACTGACCGGGATCCTCGATTAGCTGCATTTTGCTATTCGAGGTGCTGTACCATCACCGTCTTCGGCCATCCGAGCTCAAGTTGGTGGTCCCGGTCAAGCTTCAAGAGGCAATAGTACGTCTACAGACTTTGTACGTTGTAAGTAGCGAAACTACCTAGGTAACTTGTATGCCACATCACATCTGTGAGATGGTGCAGAGAGGTGGCAGTACCAGTGCGTTGCCTCAAAGCTTAGTTTTTTTCGAACACGAGAAATTTCCCTCATCGCCGTGTTCTTGTCGCGTCTCCCTAGATGCACTGAAAGCACGCCGTCGATGGAGAGCAGTCAAACAATGACACCGCTCACTAGCACTGCTCAGATTCAAAATACGGTCACGTGTTCGACGCGTGTCAATTAATGAGGGTCACTCGGTTAAACATCTCTACACGTTGGTTCGGCGCCGCTCTTCAGAGTCTTCTTATCTGACGCCACTCCCGAACTTCCCTCGCCACCAACCCCTTCAAGCTCTTAAGAAAGGCGCCGTCTTTGCGTAAGTAACCACCAGCACACCCAACTTCATCTGAGGGTCACGGTAATCCTCGACGCTAGTAGCCGACAAAGACTGTCTCATGATGGTGCCCACGAAAGAGGTTGTCCTTTCTGCCGAAAGTGGATATGCTTTACGAAGGAAGGAGCTCCTGGCACTAGTGAAGAAACTACGCGCATCGGGGTGAGTCGCCACAACACTTCGTGTTATATCTCAGCTATATCGAAGGCCTCGCCGTATTGACGACTTTGTGACTCGCTGACAGCGCTCAGGCCGACTTAGACTTACCACGAGTGGCTGTCATTGGGAACCAAAGCGCAGGCAAGTCAAGTCTCGTCGAGGCCATATCGGGGGTGAGTCGGACTCTCTCTTCTCTGTCTTCTGGTGCCAACTCGTCCAGATTACTGTTCCCCGTGACGCTGGAACATGTACTCGCTGTCCCATGGAATGCCGCCTTTCTTCCTCGTCCGAGCCATGGCGTTGCCAGGTGTCCATCCGGTGGGAATTCGACTCGAGTGGTAAGCGCCGCAACGAAGTCCAGGAAGTCACGTTTGGAGGAGCCATCACGAACAAGGCTGATGTTGAGCTGATGCTGCGCCGCGCTCAAGCCGCTGTCCTGAACCCGGACATACCGGCTGTCAAATTCGTCACGATGAGTGCTGACAGCCTGAACGACGCCGGCGCTCTCCAGAAGAAACGCCTACTGTTCTCGAGGAACGTCGTTTGTATTGATCTTGCAGGACCTGATCTGACAGATCTCTCCTTTGTGGACCTTCCTGGTGAGCACCCACTTGCACCATGAACTTCGGACATAGCTGACGGCAAAGTCAGGTATCATCCAGAACGCGGACCCTGAAGTTGTGCAACTCGTGGAGAACTTGGTGATGTCGCACATCAAAGGCAATTGCCTCATTTTGGTGACCTGTCCCATGAGTGGTATGTATGTTGTGTATGCCATGTATCGTGCATGTCGCTCAAATCAGCTGTCCAGATGATATCGATAACCAGAAGGCCCTTCGCCTTGCGAGAGATGTAGACCCATCCGGCCTGCGAACAATAGGTTAGCGTTCGCCTTAGGCGCCGCCAGCCTCACAACCCCATATACTCATACTTGTTTCGAAGGCGTGCTTACGAAGCCAGATACGCTGACCGCTGGCGCTATCAAGCAACAAGAAAACTGGCTGGACGTCCTCGAGGGCCGCAATGCCCAACACCGGCTCACGCATGGCTACTTCTGTACGCGCCAGCCTGACGATGCTGACCGTCGCTCGGGCATTACTGCTTCAAAGGCACGCATTTCCGAAGCTGCGTTCTTCTCAAAGACTGCCCCATGGTCACAGTCCAGCCATCAGCACCGTTTCGGCACGCCCAATCTTGTAAAGACATTAAGTGCACTACTAACCCACATCATCGACGATTCGTATGTCCAACGATCTATTAGCCTTGGTCCCAATGAAGGTCTGACGGGAACCCATTGTGCAGGATCCCGAAGCTACAGAAAGAGGTCGTCCACCAGCTGACAACCTGCCGCGCGGAACTCGACGCACTCCCACCCGCCATCACCGCCGACCCCGCCTCCTATGTGCTCAGCCTTATCACAAGCTTCTGCGGCCTCGTGGTTGCATACGTCCAGGGCGGTCCGAGCACAGCACACTTTGTCCAACAGAACCGCGTCTCGTACGCGGCGTTCAAGCGCGCCGTGCGCGGGACCGCTCCGCCGTTCCTCCCCTTCCCCTCTGCCGCGGAGGCCCCTGGGCACGCGCTCGCGTACCTGGGGCTCGACCTCGAGGAGGAGGAGGACGGGTTCCAGCCGGTTGGGGAGACACCGGCTGGGGGAGCCCAGACGAAGCGCATGTATCTGCGAGATGTCAAGCAGTATATCGCCAGGTAAGTCCTTTCCCGTTCTCGTCAGGTTAGCACGGCCGTCGTGACAGTTTGGCAGATCTATTACTCGCGAACTGCCGAATAACGTGCCGTATCCGGCCAAGGTCGCTCTCATCAAGGACTTCCAGAGCTCATGGGGCCAACTGTGTCAAGAGGTCTTCGATAACGTCGGAAAGGATTTCCAAGACATGCTGTCAGAGCTCATGCGTAAGAAGTTCCAGCGCTACAGTCTCCTACATTCTCGGGTCAAGTCAGTCCCTCTTCATTTGAAAAAGTCGGACTTACTGATAAGATAATAGCTCAGCGCTCCAAGAGCTACTGATCAGTCGCAGGGATGCGGCGTTGATTCACCTTCAAAGTCTCCTCAAGCTCGAGTCTACGCCATTCACGCAGAACAGCCACTATCTCTCGGAGAAGACCTCGAAAACCCTTGCGCGATTCAAGGATGCGCGTTCAGGCAAAGACGTGATGATGGATGAGATCCGCCGCTTCCATGCTCGTAAGCAGACGGGCGCACCAAGCAAACGACCTGAGGCCGACGGTACCGCTGCACAGACTGATCAAAATCCATTCAACTTCGCGGGGCTGACGTCTACGAAAGAGCCGTTTTCATTCGGAAATTCGACCTTCCCTACGCCCAGCACACCGACGCGCCCTTCTAATGCTGCGCCTGCTAAGAAGGCCCCGGCTGGGGCACAAAGAGGCACGTCGAAGTCACCAACACGATCAGCTGTACCTACCTCTCCGACGCCACAGCCGCAAGCTGGACAGTCTACGTCGCAGATTGATGGCCTAGAGGCTGTGCAAGATCGCGAGAAACTCGAGATTGAAGCCCTGGCACTCCTGACAAAGCTGGGTTACAAAGGCCTGAAGGTCGAGGATCTGGGGAAGCTCAACCCGCCGGATGAATTCGAAGAGGAGATGCAAGTCATGGCGGAGGTACGAGCGTACTTCCACGTTGCGTACAAGGTGAGGCGAGCGCACAATTTGCTATTACTTGCCGTTGATTGATGTGATATCACAACCAGCGCGTCATTGACTACATTCCGCTCTCCATCGACCATCTCTTTTTGTACGGATTGAGCGAGCGTCTGCAAGACACGCTGATTGAGAAGCTCGGCCTCGGCTCTGTCAAATCGACGGAACGCTGTGCCGCCTACTTGTCGGAGGACGCGAATGTAGTCGCTGCCCGTACGGAGCTGTTGGGTAAGCGGGAACGGTTGGAGAGCGTCCAGAAAGAGCTCGACAATTTCATGTATGCTTGAGTCTTGTCGTACATATACCTGCTTTGAATATGTCTTGGGTAGTCTCGTAGCCTCGTTGCTAACTAATTAGTCCGTTCATATTGGCATCTGCTCATCACGCGGCCGATTCTGTCGTACGCATCTCCATTGACTCGTGTTTCCGCTTCTTCCGGGGACTCCCGAGATCTCGATCAGGATCGACGCACTGAATATGGACTGACCGGGCCCAGTGCCAGTGGGACGTAGTAAGTGATCTGCTACGTAGCATCTACTACGCCCTGCACTTGTTGGTTGGTACTAGTATGCTATCGAGTGGGTATGCAGTCGACTGTTCAGTTATTATGAACCCTATATTTTGAAGTCCCATTGGTAACTGAAGTTTACGGTGATACTCACGTACGCATACTTGCAGCTACTAGGAGTGATGCTGAACCACTCGTTATGGCGAACAAGGTCTGTTCTGTTAGGTCAGTCTTGTCAATGTCCCATCAAGGACTCAGTGAGAATCTTCCTGACGCACGCCCCAGATAGGTTTAGTCTTGCTGGTGCGCAGTGACGCGCACCTTTCCAAAACCATCGTACGACTTGCAAGCTCGCACATGGCTCGCTCTCAGGGAAGTTAGGAAACACACATGGACCAGCTGTGTCAGGCAATTCCGAGCCCCCCGGAAGTAATGTTAAGTCCTATAGAGTTGCTGCGCTGTCAGTGTGGCTCGGAGTGTGGCCTGTGACAGTTCAATCCGGACTGGGTCTCCGACATACCTCGGACATCCACACTTTATCGGGTGGAGACTCCCACTGGTGCAGGATTCTTTGCGCATTCGAGAACCCGGGGCGGGTCGCTTCTCTATCGTGGCGCCTGATTGGAGAAATTCCGAAGATAAAAAGAACCTAGTTCGTGAGTTTGTCTGTTCCTGTTGTGTCAATACAAATTGACTTTCTTGATGCGATGATCTAGTAGGTCTGTTACCTGAAAACTTGACGCTGGACGTAAGCAACAGCGTCGAGCATGTTGTGCTCTTCACTAGCAGTATTTGGATTTACAGGGCCTGATTAGAAGTGTTCTGTCGCGAGCTCGCCGCTTGACTCCCTACACGGAGGAATGGCAATAATGGCGCATGCCGATTGGATCATATGGAACATTTGTCCCCGCCTCAAAAAGGTCGTGCATTTTCTAACGCGCTGCCTGACTGATTCACCATATAACCCGAGTAATATTCCGCTTGCCAATTACCAAGCCACTTTCCCCTCGCAGTCGCCATGGCTCTCTCGAAGATTGGGATGAACGCCTCTCTCGCACCAGATGCTTCACAAACACAGCCGCGCGCACCAGACGATTATGGCATTCAACTCAGGTAGATTTACTAGCCTCGACATGCACTAGCCAATATAACGCTTTTGTCGCTGACAGATACCGTACGCTGTCCATTCGCGTCGACTCGGACACGACAGAAGACGAGAAGGCGCTCCCGCCCCCGAAGAATGCCCCCGCCGACCCAGCTACCGCCATCGGCCAGATTGACGTGCATTTGGTCCCGACGGAAGACGTCTACAACCGGTACTCGACATCACCGACGACGGGCCTTGAGAGCGAAGCTGTTCAACGCCGGTCGAAGACAGGCGGGAAGAACGTCATCTCTCCACCCAAGACACTGTACGGGAAGAAGATCGCGAACTATGTTTTTGGTGGTTTTAATTTCCTTATGTGGATCGCGTTCATCCTCGCGATTGTGAGCTCGCTCGTGATTGTCTCTGAACGCTTCGTTGATGATTATCTCGGCAGCTTTCGTACGAGCCTCTCGGCGCGCCCGACCCTCCTGTGTTCAACCTCGGTGTTGCTATCCTCATCGTGGGTTCTCTCCGCATGTCGACATATCCGCTCAAGTCCATCTGACGGCCAACCTAGATGCTCGTCATCATTGTTTCAGCGACCTTCTATGCACAGGTCGACTGGCAGGCCTCGCGCATCATGAGCTCGATCAAGACGCTCATCGCGGAGACCGCCACAGTCGTGCGGGACGGCAAGCAACAGACGATCCCAGCCAGGGACGTGGTTGTGGGCGACCTCGTCCTTCTGTCCATGGGCGATCGCGTGCCCGCCGATTTGCGTTTGGTCAAGGCGTCCTCAGACCTGAGATTCGACCGGTCGCTCCTGACCGGAGAGAGGTGAGCAGCGGATCATAATTCGTCCGTCCGTCGGTTGAGTCCGAACCTTACAGTGACATGATACCGGGCACCCTCGATACGACCTCTCCGAACGCACTCGAGACTCGAAACCTCGCGCTCACCTCGACATTCGTAGTCCAAGGCACGTGCACCGGCGTCGTCTTCGCGATCGGAGACAAGTCTGTCATGGGCCGCATCGTGTCGATGTCGGGAGAAACCAAGTTCAAGCTCACCACCGTGCAGCGCGAGGTCTTGTTCCTGACAAGATCATCTCTGCTCAGGCTTTATCCTTCTTCTGCATAGCCATCATCATCTGGGCGGCATGGCTCAGGACGAGCTATCCTGGCTACGAGACGGCAAGTGAAGCGATCGCCAACTCCATCGGCTGTCTGACATCATTCGCTCCGCCGGTGCGTCGCCTGAAACCATACAACATCGCACAGTGGGCTAATGTCAGATTCCCGCAGGGCCTCCCGATATCCGTTGCTGTGTCGTTGACTATCGTCGCGAAGAAGATGGCGAAAAGGCACGTACTGGTGAAGAACTTGGCCACCGTCGAGACGCTGGGCTGCATGTCGGTGCTCTGCTCCGACAAGACCGGCACGCTCACGGTCGGGAAGATGGTAAGTCGGTTCATGAAGCACCCGCTATCGGAATTTGACAGTCTGGCAGTCGTCCAGAATGTCGCGTTCATCGACAGCCAGCATAGGGTGGACGACCTCACAACGCCGTCCTCAATCCCAAAGGCGATGGCAGCCCTCCATATGACCGCTCGGCTCTGCAATGGCGCGAAGTTTGAGGCAGCTTCAGATGACGTCCCAGTTTCCGAACAGAAAATCAAGGGCGATGCGACCGACAGCGCCGTGTTGGTGTTTGCCGAGAGTCTCCATATTCCCTCGCTCGGCATAAATTCGACGTCGCTTGTCGCCGGTCACGAGAAGCTATTCGAGATCCCATTCAACTCGCGCAACAAATGGATGATCACTGTTGTCCGCACATTGCCCTGCAATCCGGCAGAAGACAACAGCTTCTCTCCTCACACCTGGATGCTCGTCAAGGGTGCCCCCGACGTACTCTTTCCCACATGCACGAGCGTCATGCGCTCCGACGGTTCTGTCGTGCCGATCGACGTCTCCTCCCGTCGCCAGCTGTTCGCACTTCAGGAGCAGTGGAGTAGCCAAGGCCAGCGCGTCCTGGCGTTGTGTCGCCGTTCTCTGGACGACGTCAAATTCGATGTGCAGAGCATGCCCGCCAACGACGTCGAGGAGCTCATGTACTCTGAACTGCAGGGTTTGACGCTTGTCGGGTTGGTTGGCATCCGCGATCCTCCGCGACCCGACGTCCCGGGCGCCGTCGCGGCGATCCGCAGGGCTGGCGTCAGGGTCTTCATGGTGACAGGCGATTTCAAGTTGACCGCTCTGGCAATCGCGAAGCAGGTGCGTGTAGAGCTTTCACGCAATTCGTCGACTGACACATTCCGCTCTCAGGTCGGCATCATCACTCAGGAGCAGGTTGACACGGTCGAACAAATCCGTGCTGTCGATGTTGCAAAGAGCTATGCAAAGCTTCCTCCGTCCCAGATCAAGCCTGAAGAGGACAGTCCAACCTACTCTCTTAGCCTGACTGGAGACGACATCGAGACCTTGGAGCCGAGTGATTGGGACGTCATAGTTGGGCGGTACACTGAAGTTGTCTTCGCACGGACGACGCCAGAGCAGAAGCTACGCATCGTCGAAGAGATCAAAGCCCGTGGAGACAATACAGTGGCCGTGACGGGCGATGGAGTGAACGATGCGCCAGCACTGAAAGCAAGCGACATCGGCGTGGCGATGGGTAGTGGCAGTGATGTCGCGAAGGAAGCAGGTGAGCTGTGCTCTGATATTCACCACCTGTCGCGTGTCTAAGGGATGGTGAGCTGCTATGGTTCTACTCAACGACGACTTCTCGTCGATCGTCGTGGCCATCGAGATGGGCCGCCTCGTGTTCGACAACCTGAAGAAGGTCATGATTTACTTGATGCCTGTAGGTGTCCGAGTGCTCCACCACGCTGGACGTACATAATTGACACGGAGCACAGGCCGGATCCTACACTGAATTTGTGGCGGTGTTCACGAACGTGTTCCTCGGGATGCAGATGCCGCTGAGCTCGTACCTGCAAGTCTGCATCTGCGTTTTCAACGACGTGGTAATGTCCATCTCGCTAATGTACGAGAAGCCCGAGTCCGGTGAATCTGCTTTCATGAACTCATGCATGACTATTGATCTCACGTCGATGTCCAGATCTCATGAACCGGAAACCGCGGAACGCCCGTACAGACCGCGTGGCGAACCTTCGATTCTTTGTCCAGGTGTACTTCGTGCGTGAATTATCTTCGCTCAACCACGCTCACTTTTCACTCACGTGGCATGGAATAGTTCATTGGCCTCATGATGTGGCCTTGCTGCATGGGGATGTGGTTTCTGTATATGCACCAGCAAGGCCTCGGCTTCTACGACGTACTGTTAGTATACAACAAGTGGATCGACGGTTACATGGGATATAGTCTCGACCAACTCACGCACTTTGTTTCCGTCGGCCAATGTATCTTGTGAGCTCGTTTCATCCCTCCTGTTATTGGCTGCTCACGCGACCCGCATCTTCTCTCAACAGCTACGTGACTGTGGTCATCACGCAGTTCGGCGGACTGCTTTCGGTACGCAACCGCCGCGTTTCTATCCTGGAATCCAATCCGCTTTGGGGTCCGCGACGGAATCTTGTCGTCCTAGCGGGGATGGCTGCCACGGTGCTTATCACGATTGTGAACTTGTACGGACCCGGGCTCCAAGACGTGTTCGGGACTGCTCCCATCCCTGCGATGTTCTGGGGCATCCCGTTCACCTTTGCGCTGGGTATACTGATCATGGACGAGATGCGCAAGCTGCTTGTGCGCACGTATCCGAAGGTTAGGCATCTTTCTTCTAGTACCCAGCCACGTACTGACTAGCTAATCTCCAGTCGATCATCGCGAAGATGGCCTGGTGAATGGTGGTGCACTTCTAGGATGAGTCTGGCCCTTAGACTTGTAATTGAGCAACAGAATGCATATGCTGGGGAGATACCGCAGCACAGCGTGTATCCTTTTTGTTCACGCACGGCGTCAAGACTATTCAGGAGCCATAAGCAGCAAACTACACAGCAGATATCCTATCCGGTACCAGTACATGGCCTAGCAAGAGGTCCTTTTGAAGCCAACAATTCTGTTGAGACGCATGCCTTACGAGGACTCACCCTTCCCGATGCGCTGCAGGTTCCACTTCCCACCCTCATAGCCCCGCAGGAGCTTGAACTCCGTGGTCAACCGCACTTCACGGAGTGCGTGGCAGAATCTGTTCCAAGGAATAACCAGCTCCCGCAGCTCGTCCTCAAACGAGTTAAATGTGTCATCGAAGAGGCAGAGCGGATGCCGCAGCTCGCGCTCTACTTCGTCGTCGCTGTCGTAGTCGACGGAGCGCACGGCGGTTGACGAGATCGGGCGGGCGTAGAGATGGAGAGTGTGCAGATGAGCGAGGCGACTCAGTAAATCCGGCCCCATCGCTACCAGTGCCGTCTGAGGTGTATATACGTGAGGAACAAACAACTCAGGTCAGACTATAGAGGCTCACCTCAGTCGGCCCGCCGGTCTCATACGTGACCTTGAGTGTCCGCAGCTCAGGGAAGAACCCCACAATAGCATGCATGATCTCATCATCCCACGCCGCGAATTCGACATCGAGTTCCTCAAGATCGTGCAGGGTGTTCGCCACAGTAGCGAGCGCAGGCAAGCCTTCCCTCTGCCCGCCCACATTGTTCGGCACCACCGCATTGGGCGCGCGTTCTGCATTCCCCGGGGCCTCCGGGCCCGTGCAGTTCGTCAGCCTCAACGACTTGATCGGACGTCCGTTCCCCACGACGCCGGGCAACGTACCCACAGGGCCGGCGTACTCCCGAAGGTTCGGCAGCATCCCTGGGGGCAGTTGCGGATTCTGCGTCGCGCAGTGGTACGTCGAGTACGTTGTCAGCGTCGGACAGCGCTGGAGGAACGAGAAGAGCGCTGCCTCGGGGAAGTCGCCGCCGCCGTGAATGTGCCCGTGTGCATGTATGTGACCGTGCACGTTGCCGATGTGCCAGTTGATGCCTGCGGGCAGATTGGGGATGCCTGCAAACGGATGTTGGGGCGGTGCCTGCTGTTGAGGGCGCCCAGGCTGGTGCTTGCGCTCGATGAACAGGCGCTGGAGGTGCGGCGGGGGTGGATGTCCCGGACCAGGGCCTAGTTGCCCGACAACCCATATGCCAGCTTGCGGACCACCAGCTGGGTCGCCGGGGCCGAAGACGAATTTGAACACCTCCGCAGAAGCGTCGACAGTGAGCGTGTGCAGATTCGGAGCGCGGACGAGACTGAGAAGGGCGTACGCGTTGTCACCCATCGTCCCGTCACCGATGAATTCATGGTACAGCCGGCGAAGGTTGCGCATAGTGAGGTTCGTGACGGGCAAGGTGAGCGGGTCGAAGACATTAAGGAATCTACCGGACTGCACTCCGCACGACTCGATACGGAGCATCCTCAGCAGGGGGAGGTTGTAGATGAGCTCGAAATGTCTGTAGCCAAGCTGCAGTCCAGAGAACGTCACAGCGGTCAACTGCTTGAATGACAGCATACGAGAGATCATGTCCGCGTGTACGGCGGGTGTGAGATGATTGTGCCTGCGTCGACTGCTGGTATCATCGTACGGTGTCTCGTCCCCATAGTCGGCCGTGCGAGAAGCCGCGGAGTATGAGGGGGGTGCAGAGACGGAGCACGCTAACCTCTGTACGATGCGGTGCATGCCCGGATGTTTCTCCCACAGGGGTAGACTGCGGATCACGTCCGTCGCGTTTCGCCAGACGACAGTCTGGTGCAGCGCACGATTTGCAAGTATGTGGAATCGCTTGGAAGCCAGCATGACACTGAGGACGTCGGCCGAGCGAGGAATGAGCGAGAAGATCTCCTGCCAAACTTCGGCTGGGACGCTCTCGGGATCCATGGATGTGTCCGGAATATTGAATGCCGTCAATGGAGGGCCATCCTCTTGTCTCCCGTCGTCTGAAGCGAAGTCTTCCATGGTCGTGACAGGGTCTGAGTAGTCAATGGTCAGGCGTGAATGCATGATCCAAAGACAGGCGGACTTTTATATGAGACAGACGACTGCATTCACTAGGCTGTTTAATGATAAGTTTCTGTCCTGCCCACCAACAATGGAGACCGACAATTGTCTCACAGCATGTGCAGATTTGAACATGCCACTCAAAAAACACGTTGTCAGAGACGTTCCTCGCACAGCTTGGTGTCAGAGCACGCCATCAAGAGCTCTCTGCACAACAAACAATTGTGACAGGTTATAATTGACATAGCCTGACCACCACGCAAGCGTCAAGCTCGCCTTGCTGTGCACGACCCCTCTCCGGTCCGCGATACAATAGTGCCATTCCCGGCCATTCGCGCGCCCAGCTCCAGACCACGGTAGCACACTCACTATTTTCTAGTAATTCAGTCGCCAGAGAGATTGAGAAGTGCCGTATCGAGTGCGGTAGATGGAGGTCAAGGACAAGGTCGTAAATGGGCGTCTCGCCGTTCCACCGTTCCTTGTATGCGGTCACGTGCTCTTCATACTTGGACTGGACTGGAATGCTTAGGAGACTTGGGCTGTATCGGGCGGATTTTGTATGCGCCCTGAGGCCAGCTGTCGACAGATATTGAGTACTGATAATTTTGACAGACCTCGTGAGGGAGTGCGAACGCGCTAAAGGTTCTTAGTAGTACACCTGCCAGTTCCTGAGTGCAGTACTGTACTTACCATCGGACGGCCGCAAGCAAACCACTGTGCACTGAAAGGAGACGCATACATATGAATTAATGTTCCATACGCTGATGAGCTGCATGCCAGTATTGCTGTAAGAGAGCTCAAGGTAGCGTAGATCATGTGGATTGTGTATGTTGTTCGCGAGAAACAAGAGCCCCGCGTCGCGCACCAAGATCCAGATCGACGCAAACGCCACCGCCAAGCGCAGTGTTCAAGCAGCCACCAATGGACGATCTACATATAATTAATTATCACCTTACCCACGGATCGACTACACTCGAAGCAGGTTGCCTATTATATGCGACTCCTGATGTTTGACGGTCGCAGAGCGCGCGTGCGATGACCTGCAACTACAAGGTCCGGAGCCATTATGTAACCAACACATCTCTACAAGTCTACACGATACAGCAACCGGGACACTATATGCTACATACAAATCCAGTCCTGTTCGGCGCAGCCGCCACGACTATAAGATACTACTAGTCCATACCAGCAACCTCCACGAAGTCCCATCCGTCCTCATCCTCCTCGACGATCCTCTCCGTCCGGCGCTCACGCCCGCCCGTGCCACGCGCCTTCGCCCGCGTCGGGTTCGCCGCGGTCGCCTGCAGGAGCTGCGCAAAGTCAAGCGGGAAGCTCGGCGGGGTCGGTGGCGGGAGCAGAGGATGCGTCGCGTGCGACTTCCTGCCATGTCATGAACGGGTCAGCTCACCGTACATGAAGCACTAGATCATGCTTGAAATAAAACGCACCTTCCGAGCTCTGGACTGCAGCACACCGCCCATAGGTTGCTCAGGACCTCTCCCGCCTGCGCGAGCGGGACCTCCACTGCCTGCGTATGCGCTAGGTAGCACACATCGTATACCAACATTGCCAACGCAGTCGTGAACGCGCCGCCAGGCGCCGCCGGCTCCGCAACGTCGGCTTCGATCTGGGAGTCCGCCATTGACGCAGAGAGCGAGCCGGAGCGTGCGCGCCCTGACATGCCGCCGGAAGATGCAGAGACAGTCGTGCTCGCACGACGTGTGTGTGAAGTAGGGCGAGACGGGGAAGCAGAAGAGGAGGGTGAGGGCCCGGAGGCGGACGGTGGGGAAGACGCCGAGACGTGCAGTGGGTGTTTCGTTGACCATCTGCCACATGAAAGGTCTTAGTATGCACGGGCAACAGGACAACCCCCTGAGCGTACCTTGCCCAACCCCCGCTCTCCCCACCCTTAATCGCCCCGATCCATGGCCCGCCCACACCGAGCAAGCCTATACCCATACTCGAACCCGACGTAGGAGGCGCGCCAGACTGACTCCATACAATCTCGAAGGGCAGCTTGAGCCCAGGTAGAATGCGAGCAGAGTAAGGAAGTGTACGGTGTGCGTGATCACCGCGTTTATGTGATCTGGGGGATAGCCTAGACGCAAAAATCTTGATGACTGTATCGTAGAGGTACGCTATAAGAATACATACGTCTCATGTCTCCCGGCACAGGTAGCACCAGGCCGCCAATAGTCCACTCGCCCTTCGTCCCGGCCTTGCCCCCAATAGGCGGGCGTCCACCGACCTACACAGAACATCACATCAGCACCCACGCACTTCGAACAGGCGATGCGCTCATACAGGAGACGTCCAACACGCACCTCGACAACACTAAACACCTCTACAAGCTCCTGCACAAGTCCCGCTCTCGCACGCGCAACCGTATCCCCAAGCGCCGCCAGCTGATGGCCCGCTTCGTCGATCTGGCGCGCAAACATGTCCGCACCGCGCTCGTGCGGCCCACGCGCATATGGCGCCGAGGCAGTCAGCGGGGATGGCAGCACGCCTCTGCCAGCCTGGGGTGACGACGTGACCCGCTGCGCTGCAGGAACACGCGAGATGGACACGGCGGTCGGTGGGGTGGACAGCAGCGGGGATGCTGAATACGAGGATGAGCCGCGTCGGTGTGCGGTGGGGCGAATAGCCTGCGGAGACGAGGTCAAAGGAGACGGAGCGTGAGGAAACGAGCCCGGAGGCGTTGGCGAGTGCCCGTAGGGTGGCGAGGCTGATGTAGAATTGGGCGAGCTCGCGGGGTAGTAAGCACCCGTCGAGTTGTGGAACGTTGAGGAGGCGATGGCCAGTGTCCTCCGCCTCGTGGACAGGGATGCGCGGAGAGTCCTCAGACGATCGCGATCTATGCGCGAGTTATGCCTTTGGTCAGCATGGAAAAGCCAGAGAGCCTGAGGCGGATATCAACTCACTTTTCTCGTTCGCTTTCCTAGCCTCGTCGACTGCAGACCATATCTCCTGCACCCGCTCCTCTCTCCCTTCAAATCTGCCCTCCTCAGGCGAGCGGGATTGATAATCGACTCAAGTGCCTTCTGGGCGGATGCGATGTGGTTGTCGCGGTCAGTAGCAGCATGCTTGGTTTGAGACCGAAGGGAAAATAGGCTACACGAGCTATCAGGTATGTTGTGTGTAGAAAAGGAGGCAGCAGCGTACTGTTGCTTCAGACAATTCTCGCAGTAAAACTGGCGTTGCTTCAGCTCACAGTTCTGGCATTCCATGCGCAGGCGGCTTGGCAAGGGTGGATGTTCAAGGGGTCGGTCAAAGGGTCGTTGAATGGCTGTCTCCAAGTCGATACTTGGAGTAACAAGACTGTCGAGCAATATATGCGTAGATGATGGGAAGTACAGTAAAGAGCTAGTCAATGAGCCCGGGGCGGACGTCGAGAGGAAGAACAAGAGAGAGGCTGAGCTACCCTCAAGCTGCCCTAATACAGTGACGCGTCCCACGTGATTCATAACCGAACGCGCGTGGTACGGTGCCGCCGCGGCGTACGCGACTTGGACGCGAGCCACCACGAACTTGTCAAACTCGAAGCTACCCGTCATGCATTCATCCACGACGACGACGCTCCCGACCCTCTACATCCAGCCGCACATGCGACTTGGCCGAGAGCCCTACATGCAAGCTGGTGACACAATATACGAGAACACGAAGGTCCGCGCAGCGCACGCCGACTGCTAATACTCTGCCCTCGCGCCCAGGATGAACGAGATGAACATCGTTCATGAACACGCTCATCGCGGCTCTTGCAGTCTGTTGATCGCCACAGATAGTCCGCATCTTCTATTTCAATCCTGCCCCGTGGGCCTGTTCACCAGGGCCAACTCCGCGCTGTGCTGAGACTCGTGTTCCAGCCTGCAGAACAACTTGGAACACACTAGTACTTGTTCCATGGAAGCCAGCGGGTGAGTTCCGAGTCAAGGCTAACGGTTCCTCGAATCAACGTGAGTGCCCTAGCGATCTGGGAATCTGCAGACTGACCCAGTGAAACGCATGTCTACTTCAGTTACAGCTGCGATCACGGAGATGAAACAGCCAGTGTCGGGCTCGCTTGATGCACCAGCTGTGGCCCCTCCGAGCTTCATGGCTACAGAAGATAGACTGCGCGCGTTGCCGTTGTCGAACGAATGACAAGTCCCTCAGCGTGTTGTCGCCTTGATGATGTCAACGAGCCTGTGCTGCGGTCTGCCATAGCATGCACTTCAACAGAATCCACACCTGCTGATCGTGACGGGGGCCGGTCATCGTGAGTATGCAATTTCCGCAAAGGATTGACGAAAATGTGAAACCACGGCGATCGCATGTAGATTCAGGTATGTAAGAGTCGATTGCGACTTGATTGCAATTGCCCTTGATTGGGGATAACAAACACGCTCCGAGTCTTCCAGGCGGTTAGCATTGCCCGCGACGAAAACATTGATTTGATTCACACTAGGATTTCTCCTCCCGGCGCTCATCGAGATTGAAGGCCTCACGCACTGTAAGTCTTGCAGACTAAGTAGCTTCTCGGACGACAGCTGTCATGCGATGCGATATACTGATTATTGCCGTCACAAGGACTCGTGCACATGCACGATCTCGGGATGGTCAACAAGCCCGTACCCGAAGACTGCGCACAAGCCACTCGGAATCCTGGTTTATAAAGCGCACAGGACCAACTTGAAAGTTGCGCTATCTCGACCCACAGTGCGCTCATCGAGGTCGTCATCTCTTCTGTCGTACCCAGCGCGAGCGCAATCACTTCCTATGTTTCACATGCCGTATCAGCGGTCACTGTCACCACAGCCGTTCCGTTGCGCCAAGTGCGGCGGTTGTGTCTTCCGTGCCAAGCTGGGAACCTTTCATCGCGGGGAACGTATCTCAGGAGCAGATACGAAGCTTTCTGCAGTCGGTCAACTCTGGCGTATACATCGGCGCCATCTTCCTCGGTTCGTCTATCACACTGTTACAACGACGCTCGAAACTGATGATCCTTGCTTCTTGCAGGTCTACACACATACACATTCGCCCATGCCCTGTGGTACATATGGAAGGACAAGAGAACGAGCAGACGTGCTACGCTGCTTCCCCTGATTAGCGTGCTCTGGGTGATGCGGTGCTCATGAACGAGGCATGTAACATCGGCTTCAACGCGAATGCGTGGCTTCAATACGACGGGACGAACGAGTCGGCCTTCCATTACTTCGCTAGAAACCAGACTTCCTCGTTGAATGGCGCCGCGCTGGTCGGTGCTTTCATCAACGTCGTCCTGGTCGATGGGTCATTGGTACGTGCATGCCTACTGGATAGTATATGACGACACTCACCTCCAACCTGTCTCTCGCATCAGCTCGTGCGATGCTACCGTTGGTGGAAGAACCTATGGGTGATCATACCGTTGGCGTCGCTCGTGCTCGTGTCCTACGGTAAGCGCCCTCTCAAACTGTTTCACAACTGCTCATAGGGTATCTCGTCAGTCTGGTACCTGCTCGAGGTTGTGTACACCGCCGGACACGTAGAGGATGCTAATAGCGGCTGGATCATACCCTTCCTCAACAGCTGGCCCGTCACTATCGGCCTCGCAGGGGCCCTGCATGCCATCTACACTGCCTTGTTGGCTTCCCGCGTCATTAAGCTCTCCCGCCAGGCAGGGGAACACGCCGGCATTTGGGCGATCAGCGTGGAGTCCGCCCTGCCATACGGTATCATCTCGTGTTCATGATCATTTACTGCGCAAACGTCATGGCCGCCAACGCCTTCATACCACTTTTGGTGCGGCCGCAGGTGCGCATATACTGGATGCGAAGGATCTATGATGTTATACGTGCTCTGACTGCCGTGCGCATCCGTAGGGCATCACCGTTGACCTCATCATCATGCGTACATTGAAGGCTGAGCGTCAGGCCGCCTTCGCGTCGCTGCCTGCACCCGTCGTGACGCCACAGGCGACGGTCGCTACGCCTACCCCGGTGACCCCGATTTCGACCACGGATTCTGCCAGCCTATCACGGATGAGAAGACCACGCTCGTGCGGATGGCGAGCATGTGGGAGGCATCGCTTGACAAGAAGGAGCCGGCACCTCCTGAATATACAAGCCGGTTGGGCGAGATGTAGGCACCTCACTTGGGCTGTGCACTTTGACGAACAGGCTGAATCAGGCTATGTTACGTACAAATGTGGATGTATCATGGCGTGTCGGACGTAACGAATGGCTTCGGAGCAGTGTGTTTTATACAAACAGATGGGGATGTACCTATGCTTTGACTTACGTCTCGGACTACTAATTTTCAAATCTGAAGCTAGGTTAGCTCTGGTGTGTCTTGATGTACAGATGCCCGAGATAGTGGGTCCGAGACGTTCAAACTCACATACATACAGGGTCTTGCATATTTTTTTGACGGTCGCCTCGCGCGAATCTTTGTTTGTTCCGACCAAAGGCACCCAAATCCGGCAGGTAGCACGGTCAGGCATGTCACGTGTGGAGCGTCTTGGGCTCAACACCTACCGGATATGGCTGACTTTGGTCGGAACAAACAAAGATTCGCGCGAGGCGACCGTCAAAAAAATATGCAAGACCCTGTATTTTCCGGAGCAGCCTCCGAGTCTTATTCGCACCAGATCAAAACGCCACTGGAAATAGTGAATCATTGAGTGCTATCTCCCCCGCCTCGAACTTTGACCTGATTTCCAATGACAAGAAAGAAAACATGTTTCGGAGCTCACACAAGGAGAGTGCTTTCCTTTGAACCTCGCAGAGCTGCATATGTGGGCTGGCGGTTAACGTATGTGGGCTGTATATACCAACGTTAACCGGTTAACGTTGGCATACACGTGGCCGATCGGTGGCTAATATGCTTCCGAATCCAAATCGGGAGTACTACGCTCGCTTCGATGGCGCTGAGGGAGAAATTCATGCATGCCAGGTATGTCAGACTCACGGACAATGTCAACAATGACTGGACACAGCATTCCGTAGGTCGTGATTTATGATCACTGCGACCGACGACCCCAGTGGCAGGCACTGAATACGGGAAGTTAATTCGATTTTATCGCTCCTCATTGAAGATAAGTACGTGTCCGAGCCAACTGCCCTCTCGGATGTCCAAGCCCGTCAAGCACTTTCTGTGATTGTCGCATTGAAGGTGAGCGAACCTATGCCTGATATACTTAAGTTTTTCGTTACTGTTTATCTGATCCTCGCGGATAAGGTGGAGGCTGCATCGTCTCGGCCTCATTATGATCATTGGACGGATCCTTTGCGGGATCCAAGGGGCACGCTGACGCGTAGCGCACGCCAAGCGCACGCGTGCCAGGTGGTACGCACCTCGTGGGCATACCGCCTCGGGGACAAACCGGTGAGCCATAACAGGAGACCGAGGATGGAGCTGGATAGTGTCCCTGGCACCATGTTGTAGTCGGTCGTGCACTGTCGCGCGTGGTGGGTCGTGTCGTAAATGATCGCAGTCGTATCAAAGAGGTCTCAGCGTGGTACATGCAGCAGAGTAATTGTATCTAAGCTTGACTGTCTCCGAATCTGTATGTTCCAAGACCCAATATTTGAACATACTGGAATACTGCGGTGATCACTGTTAGTAACCTTTGACTTTCAGTGCTAGATTGATCTACACATCTTAAACACATTTTAGGAGCTAATATACAGGGCGCATAGTCACTCGTTCTTTGGCAAAAACAAATACATAGTTTCCGTCTGGCGTGCACTGTGCGATGTCCATCAGCGTGATATTTGACTGTTTGCAGCGCAGCGTCTAATCCCCAGTCGCCCGGTTCGTCCCCGAGGCGGTATTCGCACGAGGGGGTGCGTAAGTACCACCTTGGCGGGATCTACTCTATACATTCGCACAGCCTTTCGCACAGCCTTTGCCGCACATACCACAGGCGGGTAATGTAACCCGCAGAACGAGGAACCAGTGACCGCCTTCTCTCACCTTCCTTTCTCGTGGATCACACTTGCTATCAGGTCGGTCTTCACTTCCGTTATACCGCAGTTTCAGGTTGCCTGGGTGCTGAAAGATACTTCAGTCCCGTAGTCTACCCTCCCTCCACACGGCGACACGTGAAGCGTTGTGTCGACCTTATGCCGTCGCGGTGGCATTGCTGAAGATGGCGCAGTCGCGATACTCGTCGGCTCTTATGGTCTGCAACGGAGACTTCAGTCGTGATGTTGGGATATCCAGAATATCACATGAAAAAAGTAGCAGGTGCTGCTGCGACTCACAGTAGACTGAGTAGTATGCGATGTGCTGCGCACCATCGATGCCATTGATCGAGGCACAACTCCGCTTTATCTGAACTTCTCCGGCGGAGCGAATGCGGATAACGGTGCGTGTTTCCCTCATTAAGTACCTGCGTTTAAGTTAGTACTCACGACGGCGACTTACCCCATTAGTGACCAGTCAGACTCCCTGGGCGCCGTCGATGCCCATCCTACTATAAAGTGTTCGGAAAAGGTTGTGTGCTGTCCCGACCGCCGTGCTTGGTCTCCGTGTGTACGACCGTAACAATGACGGACGCTGTGATCTCGATCGTGTACAGTTCAATTCCACGAGTTTCGTCGGCCTATGCCACTGGCACTGCGTCTGCTGCAGTAGCGAGCAGCTCTAGCGTCGCAAGCACCTACCAGCCGTTCTACGGCCAGGTCGACTCTACTTCGCAGCCCTCTTTCTTGCGCTCGGTTAATGCAGGCATGTACATCGGCGCCGTCCTGCTCGGTGTGTCAGGTTTCTGCATGGTCTACAGCACTCTCACTGACGTCTGCCGCAGGTGTGCACACTATCACCTTAGGCCGTGCTCTTGTTGCCGCGTCGCGCGAGAAGCGGTTGAGCCACCGTGCGCTGTTTCTGGTCGTCGCCAGCGCGCTGTGGGCAATGGCACTAGTCTACGAGATCTGCAACATCGTTTTCACTGTGGACGCTTGGATCATCGGCGAAGGGAGCTCGGGCACGTCGTACACCTACTTCGTCGACAACCAGAACTCGGGGTTGGAGATTGCGGCCACTGTCGCTGCCTTGATCAGCACCTTGCTGACGGATGGGTTCTTGGTAGGCGATTCTTCTTTCACTCGTGTAAGGTCGGTTGTCCTGAGTCTGGTTCTGCTCTAGTTTGTACGGTGTTCCGCTCTATGGTGGAGTCCCTTGGTCACTGTTCTGCTTGGGTTGCTCACCTTGGCCACGTACGGTACGCACTGGCGCTTCCATACTTTCGGCGTAGATCATTGAACACGACCCGACGCTTCTGCTAGCCTTCGATATCTTGGAGGTGTACTGGGTCGCGACATCGGGCAACACCCTCTGGCAGACTCCGCTGTTCGGACAGCTCAGCGTCTCTGTTGCGCTCGCGCAATCGCTGCATGTCATCTTCACGATCCTCTTGACCTATCGCCTCGCCGCCAAGCATAGCAAACTCGTCGGTGTCACGGGGATGGCGATCGAGTCCGCGCTGCTGTACAGCATCGTGTCAATTGTCTTCATGGCGACGTACTGTGCTCCGAGCATGGCGGCCAACGCGTTCCTCCCGATGTTGGTACAGATCCAGGTGAGGCTACGTCGATGACTTGCAATCTACGAACACGATCTGATCCACGTATTGGCTCTCACCTCAGGGAATTGCCATCGACTTGATCATTGCGCGCTGGTACAGGCGAGAGCGTACCCAAGCCGCCGAGCCCGCTGTCCCCGCCACCATCGTGCAACTTCCCGCGCCGGTGCAGGCACCTTCGGATACGAGCAGCATCATTGACAACGAGAAACCCATGCTCACACTGATGGCCAGTAAGTGGGACCAAGAGCTCGACAAGGAGCCCGTCCCTCCGGAATGTACTGCCTAAGTGGCACTAGCGACGGCATTGTGCTTAGCTTCATCGGCGACTGACCTTCGCGAAATCACCATTACGCTCTTCCTGTACCGCCTCACATTATCACGTAGCCGTGCTGATGAAGCACCTCCCCGAGTTTGCTGTGTATAATGGACAATGGTTGTAGACGTACCAGCCTTGTAAGCCCACGAACTTAAATGATCATAACATGTGTTGACGAGAAATCATCGGCGGTGAGATTCTGGGATACCATGCAAATACAATCGAGGTGTTCAGTTACCCGCCGTCGCGTTCGTCCACTCTCCGTCGCTTTATCGCCTTTTCCTCGTACACACTGTTGACGTCCTCTGGAGGTAAAGCATTGTCGTTCTATGCACTGGGATACGATGACCGGCGTGGCGGATATGACGGTCACGTGTGAAGCGAGGCGTACCAGCAGCCCGCCTCATTATTACTGAGTGAGCTTGGATGGTCAGTTGCAAGAGAGCGAGAGGGGAATGATTGGCGGTGTGGGGCGCAGCCCGCAGGGCTGCCCGACTCGAAGAGTGTGCCTGGACCTGAGGGGCAACGGGTGAGCCGCGATACCCAATATGAAGACGTCGAGTACGGCGGCGCGTTGCGGCGAAGCCGTTACCCCCAGTCCAGAAGCCGACGAGCCTCGTCGTACATGCTCTGTGAGCCAGTGTCCAACACTGATGACGCCAATGACCCGTATTGCTGATCAACCGGTTCGCAGAGTCCCGCCGGATGGGCGCCGCGAAGCAAACATCGCTCCGCTGACCCTAGGAGGAGCAGTGCCGTGTCGTGCTCATCGAACCCGGTGTGTCCAGCCTGACTCGTGTGCAGTGGATGACACGAGTTCGTTACGCTCGTGCCGACACGAGCCAGTGCCAGTGTAAGCGTGCTGCTGCTGCATGCTCCTGACTCGTGTGCAGTGAATGACACGAGCGTGTTATGCTCGTGCCGACACGAGCCAGTGTAAGCGTGCTGCGTCCAGCCCGACCCGTGTGTGACACTCGCTGGCCATGAGCTCGTGCTGACACGAGCCGGTGTAAGCCCACTGCGTCCAGCCTGACCCGGTGTGACACTCGCTGGCTATGAGCTCGTGCTGACGCGAGCCAGTATAAGCCTGCTGCGTCCAGCCTGACTCGTGTGTGACACTCGCTGGCTATGAGCTCGTGCTGACACGAGCCAGTGAAGCATACTGCGTCCAGTGTAAGCATGTTGCCTCCAGCCTGACTCGCGTGTGCATGACACGAGCTAGCGATGCTCGTGCCGACGCGAGCCAGTGTAAGCGTGTTGCGTGCAGCATGAAAGAAACTCAGCGGGTTGGTCCCGCCCGGCGACCAGTGAGCGAGAGCGCTGGTGACGGAGCACTGGGCGGCGGTCGAAGGACTCGGAGTCGGACAGTCCACAATGGCAACCGCTGCTCGCTCAGCTGGATGCTCATGTCGGACGAGCTTGCGAGACAGAGACTACGACTCTGTGTTGACCATCCTCCACGCATTTGTGAGTGGTACCATCATTTGGTCGTTGCTCACATAATCCGGCTCTTCGTCGCCATCGGGATTGATGAGCGAAGGTTGTACCATAGTCCCCTTCCTGTAAGCTACAAGTGGTGTAGTCTTAGTGGAAGAAAACGAGAGCTATTCGAAGGGCGTAGCAGCCGCGGAGCCTTCGAGAGCGGTCGTCCGAGTGGGCGCGCAGAGGAGAGCGATGCGCGCCTAAATCTCCTCCTGCATGCGTAGACTCACTTCTACGCGACGCTCGTGCCTCGCTTCGCTTAGAATACCATCTTCGTTTTCTCTTGGTTCATCGCACGGCGCCTCGCCCAATCAGCCAGCGACGGTCGCCGCAACGGGTCACGGTCTTTCAGCTCAACTGCAAACGCCCGGACCTTCTCTCGTTCTTCAGCACCCGTCTCCGTAGACAGCGCCATAAACGCCTCCAGAACCCGACCGCATGACCACCTGTCCGCCCGGATGGGGCTGTACGTCTTGCCAACCTCCGGTGCCGTCCAGCCCGCCGAGCCGCAGAAGCCTTCCCTCATCTCGTCCTCGCCCACCACCCGCAATGCGATGTCGAAGTCGATAATCTGCAGACGATAGTCGGCGGTGTACACCAGGTTGGCCGGCTTCACATCGCGGTGCGCGACGTTGTGCGTGTGGAGGAACGAGAGACCGCTGATCAAGTCATAGCTCAAAGAAACAAGTCGCCCATAGATGTCCTCGACCACGCGATTCCGTTCTGCGACCGGCCGCTGCCGTGGGAGCACAAGCCACGCGCCCTCGGGTGACCAAATGGTGTCGAGTAGAGGGATGATGTGCTCGCTTCGGGGCTTTATCTCGTGCAGGTATTGAAGGATGCCTTGCTCGTCAGAATCGTGGCTGACGTGCTTGGTGACAAAGTCGCGCCCGCCATCCACCTTCCTGACGACATACGGTTGCTGGTTGCTGCAATAGCCATGTTAGCGAGAGCTCAGAACATTCGCATGGATACTTGCAGGTCGCACCTCGCTCGATGAGGAAGAGTTATCCCTCCACTGTGTCCAGTCAGTGACGATCGTGTATCCCCGTGCGGTGAGCACTCCATCCACTGCACCCCCGTCGTTACCAGTGTCTGTCCGGCGACGTTTGTTAGCGCGGTGCTTCATACTCTTTTTGGTGAAGACCGGAAACTTGTTTCTATTGACGATCTGCGTGTATGCGTCGAGGTTGTCCTTCATGCTCTTGTACCTTCCATGATCGCTGCCCTCCATCAACGCAGACACAAAGTTGTACAGAGAAAACACGAGGCGGAATCGGTCCTTCCCGGTTCTCAAGTCGAAGGTCTCCACCTGGTGATAGACCTGAGTACAAGGATGCATTAATGACTTAACGTTGATGAAACAAAGTTAAGCTTGCACCGTGTTCTTTCCATCGTCGGTCTGAAAGAGAAGATAGCGTCGGGCCTGGCGCAATTTGTGGAAGTAGATGGCCGGTAAAACGAAGTCTTTCTTCCTGTCGTCGCGCACCTTATTGACGAGACGGACCACCGCGGCCCCTTGGATCAGCATCCGAGATTCATCATCTGCGCTCGAAGAGTCTTCCGAAGAGTCCGCTGAAGAGTCCACCTCTGCGATCAATCGGGGAATACCACCAACACATACGCAGAAGTCGCTTTTCGGACGATACGAAAATCTCTGCTCATCTGCTTTGACCACAAATGGAAACGGCCATCTCGTATCCGAGTCTCCGCTATCAATGTCAGCCAGGAACAAATTGTATCCCGGAGTGCACACTCACAGTCCAATCGTGGAATGAGACACTCCCTTGATACCGAGCTGAGATCACCAGCGCGCCATAAGGAAGAAGTAAAGTACGGTGGCTTCCTCCTGCTTGAGAATAGAGTAGTTGTCCATGTTCTTGTCCGCGAGAACAAAAAGCATGTGCGTCTCCTCCGTAATGTTTTCCATCCGGTCTAAATCTCCAACAGCGTCGTAGAAGTCTCTGAATGGACGACCTCCCAAGCGTCGATACGCTTCATAAATCTCCTCAAGGCTAGCATATGCCTGTCTCGAAACTCATTAGTCAAGATCAATCAGCCAGATATGAGAAGAGAGCACTGACAGTTTTGGCCAGCTTTCGCTGGTTCCCCAACTGCTTTTCGAAGGCACTAGCGAAGATTTTGGCCAACGGTTCCGTAGACGTCACCTCGTACACGTCGTTCAAGGCCCGGTCGTGCATCGTGAACGTGCCGGCTTCACTTGCGATGACAAAGGTATCGCTGTAACGATCAATTGTAGTAGCAGGATTGATTTGTTGGTGGCTATCGAACGTTGGACCGACGGCTTCGTTAGACGAACATGAGCGAAAATAGCAAGGGATGAGAAAAACGAACGCAGCGCACCGGATATCCGCACGACCAGTGCATCCCCCGCAAAATCCTTCACATCTCGGTACGCATCAAGTCGTTTGATGTCTTTGGTGGAAAATGCCTCTCTGACCCGCACCCCCACTTCTCTATCTCCACAGTGGAAGATGTGCTTATCAACACATCTCCAGACCTCCAGGCTGGCGTACTGGACATTGTGTAGCACAGGTAGGTTCTCTTGCTGAACCACTTTCTTCAGATCGCTGACGGCAGCATCTGCAGGTACTTCCACATGAATGCTTGTTCCCACGGGTTGAAGGTCTTCAGTGACGAGGAGGTAGCGCACTCGAAGGTAATTAGAAGGCATACCCGACGGCCAAGGAGAAGGAGGAGATATGAAAGTAACCCACAGTGCTTCAGGGGGTTTCGCACTCCGCCGTCGCGGTTGTGGCGCGACCGTGACCGTGTTTGGCAAAGTACTTACTGCTCCCAGTGATGCAATTTGGGGGCCTAGAATAATGCAAACGGTCGGTTTCTCATTACACGTGGGATTACTGTGCTCAAACAAATTGCATGATGTTGCTATATCTAGCCTTACTTCCCATACTCACTCAGAGCTACGTGCTCTACACAGGGAAAATCCGAATTTTCAGCCCCCCTTTTCGCAGCGCCGGTTTCGGCGGCGGAAACTCCCCAACATATGCATTCTGTTGCTCAGTTACAAGGGACAGGTTCTGTCTAGATGTGAGCCACCATTCACCAGGCCATCTTCGCAACAATCGACTAGAGGTTGCCTGGTCAGTACGTGGCCAGGTAACACGAAGAAAGATGACCAACCTTCGGGTGCGTGCGCACGAACATCTTGCGCATCTCGTCCATTATCAGTATACCCAGTGCAAAGGCAAACGGGATGCCCCAGAACATCCCAGGGATAGGAGCAGTCCCAAACACATCTTGGAGCCCCGGTGCGTACAGGTTCACAATCGTGATGAGCACTGTGGCAGCCATCCCCGCTGGGACGACAAGATTCCGCCGCGGACCCCAAAGCGGATTGGATTGCAGGATAGATACGCGGCGGTTGCGTACCGAGAGTAGTCCGCCGAACTGCGTGATCACCACAGCCACGTAGCTATTGAGAGAAAACATAGATCTCGTCAGAGGCGGATGCAAAAGGCAAGAACCGAGCTCACAAGATGCACTGGCCGATGGAAACGAAGCGTGTGAGTTGATTGAGGCTATAGCCCATGTAACCGTCGGTCCACTTGTTGTATACTAACAGCACGTCATAGAAACCGAGACCTTGTTGGTGCATATACAGGAACCACATCCCCATGCAGCAAGGCCACATCATGAGGCCGATGAACTATTCCATGCCACGTGAGTGACAAGTGAGTGTGGTTGAGCGATGATCATTCACGTACGAAGTACACCTGGACGAAGAATCGGAGATCCGCCAGGCGGTCTGTACGGGCGTTCCGCGGTTTCCGTTTCATGAGATCTGGACATCGGCGTTAAATTAACGCTCATGCGTAACTTCATGAAAGCAGATTCACCGGACTCGGGCTTCTCGTACATTAGCGAGATGGACATTACCACGTCGTTGAAAACGCAGATGCAGACTTGCAGGTACGAGCTCAACGGCATCTGCATCCCGAGGAACACATTCGTGAACACCGCCACAAATTCAGTGTAGGATCCGGCCTGTGCTCCGTGTCAATTCTGTGGCATGGTGGAGTGCTCGATGACCTACAGGCATCAAGTAAATCATGACTTTCTTCAAGTTGTCGAATACAAGGCGGCCCATCTCAATGGCTATGACGATCGACGAGAAATCGTCGTTGAGTAGAACCATAGCAGCTCACCATCCCTTAGACACGCAACAGGTGGTGAATATCAGAGCACAGCTCACCTGCTTCCTTCGCGACATCACTGCCACTACCCATCGCCACGCCGATGTCGCTTGCTTTCAGTGCTGGCGCATCGTTCACTCCATCGCCCGTCACGGCCACTGTATTGTCTCCACGGGCTTTGATCTCTTCGACGATGCGTAGCTTCTGCTCTGGCGTCGTCCGTGCGAAGACAACTTCAGTGTACCGCCCAACTATGACGTCCCAATCACTCGGCTCCAAGGTCTCGATGTCGTCTCCAGTCAGGCTAAGAGAGTAGGTTGGACTGTCCTCTGCAGGCTTGATCTGGGACGGAGGAAGCTTTGCATAGCTCTTTGCAACATCGACAGCACGGATTTGTTCGACCGTGTCAACCTGCTCCTGAGTGATGATGCCGACCTGAGAGCGGAATGTGTCAGTCGACGAATTGCGTGAAAGCTCTACACGCACCTCCTTCGCGATTGCCAGAGCGGTCAACTTGGAATCGCCTGTCACCATGAAGACCCTGACGCCAGCCCTGCGGATCGCCGCGACGGCGCCCGGGACGTCGGGTCGCGGAGGATCGCGGATGCCAACCAACCCGACAAGCGTCAAACCCTGCAGTTCAGAGTACATGAGCTCCTCGACGTCGTTGGCGGGCATGCTCTGCACGTCAAACTTGACGTCGTCCAGGGAGCGGCGACACAGCGCCAGGACGCGCTGGCCCTGGCTACTCCATTGTTCCTGAAGAGCGAACAGCTGGCGACGGGAGGAGACGTCGATCGGCACGACAGAACCGTCGGAGCGCATGACGCTCGTGCATGTGGGAAAGAGGACATCGGGGGCACCCTTGACGAGCATCCAGGTGTGAGGAGAGACGCTGTCGTCTTCCGCGGCACTGCAGGGCAGTGTGCGGACAACAGTGAGCATCCATTTGTTGCGCGAGTTGAATGGGACCTCGAATAGCTTCTCGTGGCCGGCGAGCAGCGACGCTGAATTTATGCCAAGCGAGGGGAGATGGAGGCTCTCGGCAAACACCAATACGGCGCTGTCGGTGGCATCGCCCTTGATCTTCCGTTCTGCGACCGGGACGTCTTCTGAAGCTGCCTCAAACCTCGCGCCATTGCAAAGTCGAGCAGTCATTTGGAGGGCTGCCATCGCGTTTGGGATTGAAGATGGCGTTGTGAGCTCGTCCACTCTATGCTGGCTGTCGATGAACGCGACATTCTGGACGGACTGCCCGACTGTCAAATCCTGGTATAGCTGGTGCTGCAAGGACCGACTTACCATCTTCCCGACCGTGAGCGTGCCGGTCTTGTCGGAGCAGAGCACTGACATGCAGCCCAACGTCTCGACGGTTGCCAAGTTCTTCACCAGTACGTGCCTTTTCGCCATCTTCTTCGCGACGATAGTCAACGACACAGCAACGGATATCGGGAGGCCCTGGGGGGAGTCTGACATCAGCCCACTGTGCGAAGTTGTATATTCAGGCGACGCACCGGCGGAGCGAATGATGTCAGGCAGCCGATGGAGTTGGCGATCGCTTCACTTGCCGTCTCGTAGCCAGGATAGCTCGTCCTGAGCCATGCCGCCCAGATGATTATGGCTATGCAGAAGAAGGATAAAGCCTGAGCAGAAATGATCTTCGTCAGGAACAAGACCTCGCGCTGCACGGTGGTGAGCTTGAACTTGGTTTCTCCCGACATCGACACGATGCGGCCCATGACGGACTTGTCTCCGATAGCGAACACGACGCCGGTGCACGTGCCTTGGACGACAAATGTCGAGGTGAGCGCGAGGTTTCGAGTCTCGAGTGCGTTCGGAGAGGTCGTATCGAGGGTGCCCGGTATCATGTCACTATAGGTTCCGGACTAAGTCGATGGGAAGATGAATCGTGATTCACTGCTCACCTCTCTCCGGTCAGGAGCGACCGGTCGAATCTCAGGTCTGAGGACGCCTTGACCAGCCGCAAATCGGCGGGCACGCGATCGCCCATGGACAGAAGGACGAGGTCGCCCACAATCACATCCCTGGCTGGAATCGTCTGTTGCTTGCCGTCCCGCACTACTGTAGCGCTCTCCGCAATGAGCGTTTTGATAGAGCTCATGATGCGCGAGGCCTGCCAGTCGACCAGTGCATAAAAGGTCGCTGAGACAATGATAACAAGCAGCTAGGTTGATCGTCAGATGGACTTGAGCGGGAGCGTCAGGACAAAACCCACGATGAGGACAGCAACACCGAGGTTGAACACAGGAGGGTCGGGCGCGCCGAGAGGCTCGTACGAAAGCTGCCGAGATACTCATCAGCGAAGCGTCCATAGACAATCACAGGCGAACTCACAAGCGCGAGAATGAACGCAATCCACATAAGGGAATTCAAACCACCAAAAACGTAGTTCAGTACCTTCTTCCCGTACTGTGTCTTCGGCGGAGAGATGATGTTCTTACCGCCCGTCTTCGACCGGCGTTGAACAGCTTCGCTCTCAAGGCCTATCGTCGGTGATGTCGAGTACCGATTGTAAACGTCTTCCGTCGGGATCATATGCACGTCAATCTGGCCGACGGCGGTAGCTGGGTCGGCGGAGGCATTCTTCGGGCGCGGAAGCAGCTTCTCGTCTTTCGTCGCGTGGACGTGAATGGACAGTGTGCGATATCTGCCACCGTGACAGACGGAAGCGTTAAGTGGGCAAGTGCATATAGGGGCTAGTGAATCTACCTGATTTGAATGCCATGACCTTCTGGTGCCTTTGACCGTGCGTTTGAAGCATTTGTTGTGAAGCGGGCGTTCATCGCCATCGTCTAGAACGCTATGGCAACTGCGAGGACAATTGCCTTGCTACTAGTTGGCAAGCGGGACGTTCCTTATATTATATGGTGGGTCAGTCAGGCACCATACTAGCCACGCAAATGCAGGACCTTTCACATGAAGAGGCGGAGACGAACCTTCCATTTCATCTCATCGCCCTTCCTGTTATCTCTATTCTCCTGTGTAGATATTGCGCCGGAAGGTCGCGATAGAATGCTTCTCATCCGACCCTGTAAATGCAACTGCTGCTACTCAGAAGCTCAACGGGCTCGGCACTGTTGCTTCCGTCAAGTTCCGTCAACCCTCTAAGGCAATAGTCCTACCTGCGATACACATCGCTCGACAGGAACAGTCAAAACCATAGAAATGGCGGGAAATCACGAACTGCTCGAATCAAGCGCCATGCCAGACATGTGACTCGCCTCGACTTCTCGGATGCGGGATAGGACCCTGCACGCAGCCGCAATCCCCCCGCGGGATGTAGTGTGAATGGTCGAAGAACTTCATAGACGGAGTGCCGATTGAATACCTACAAACTAGCATGCTCGGAACCACGGCGCGGTCGCTCCATAAGAAAGGAATTAGGCTTGGGCACTCGGAATCGTCCGATGCAGCTGGTCTGTATGTGTGTTTCCCAAGTTCCCTGAGGGCAGGACATGCGCGAGCTTGCAAGTCGTGCATTTGCTTTGAAGAGGTATAGGTCGCCGTGCACCAGCAAGTCTCCAAGTAGAATACATCTGGGGATGCTTCAGAGAAGTCTCACCGGATCCTCAAGAGACATTAAAAAGACCGACCCAAGACGTCTCAATTTGCGTATCGGAGGTTCCAACATATCTAGCTGCAAGTGGTATCGTCAGTACCACCTTGAACTTCATGTAGCGGGACTTACTTGAACAGCACTATCGCAAGATGGGAGGTTGATGCATTAGAAGGCTCGGACCATCCTCCCCTTCGTTAAAGAGGTCTTCTTCAGGGTCTGCCTCGGCCAGGGGAGAGTAAGGTTCACGAGAACTGACCGGGCCCTTCAGACTGATATGAGTACTGCACACCGACTGGCTGACATAGTACGACTCGAAAGCATATAACCTTTTGATCAACGCAGGGAGCAGCGGATGACACGTAGCAGGTCACTTACCGCGTCCTCCTAGTGACATAGCACTCCACATTGTGACCGTTGTGCGTCGATCCTGATCTCGGGCGTCTCCACGGTGGAGCGGAAACACGATCATGTGATTATATCAGGTCGTCTCGAGGTCCGAGATTAAATATGGTGATTTTAAGAAGCGTCGGGCGGAAGCGGCAGAACGGCATAGCGATACTAGAGGAAACCGATGTTACGGCACACGCAGAACGGATCAGTAAGTTATGCAAGACAGCAGTCACAATACAGCAGAACAAATATGTATAGATACCGTCCCCCATCCGCAGTTAAAGCGCATGGCAAATCCTCCAGAGTTTGACTACGTTGCGCAAGACTCGGACAGCGTTGCGCAAGAACGCGTCGCAGAGAGGGTGCACTCAGGCCACCAGGTCTGCTCGTTGCAAGTGTTGTTGCAGGAGTCCATCTCGCACTGGAATCCAGTAGTCAGGATTGGGGCAGAAAGTGAACGAAATAGCATGCCGCACCTGATGAGAGCGTAGACGCTGTCGCTTTCGTGTCCTACAACGGCACCATGGTCAATGTATCTTCCAGGTAGCGAAGCATAGATCGAAACGCACAATAACACAAGTCACGTATCCGTAGAACGACCGCGGCTCGGGAGAGTATTCCTTATGTTGCTCACGGAACTTTTGGTGCAAATCTGGGAGTGCCATCCGACATCAGACGGCACCGCGCGCGACAAGGAGGAAAAGACTTACATTTTGCGAACACAGGTGCGGTGTTTTCGCGCTCCCCGTAGCTAGAGAGGTGCTTGTTGATCGTCGCGCCCGCCTTCAATTTCTTCGCCAGGAGGTCATACTTGTTCAAGAACACTGCCATCACCCGCGCGCACGCCCACCCACGAAACCCACAATGAGCGCGCGGCCCCACGGAATCGGACGCCACGAGACGAGCGAGCAGCCATGAAAGGAAGGACTCACAGACGATGATGCACCGCCGCAGGAGCTTGCTCCCCACGACGCTCTTCCAGAGGATGAACGAGTCCTCGAGGCGGTTGACGTGTCTGTCCTCCTCGAGCGACTCGTCGAAGCAGCTGATCGGCGTGAGGAAGAGTAGTGCGTTCGCGTCCTCGAAGTAGGGCACCCAGGCCGCGCGCTGCGGAGGTCGTCAGCTTCCGTGCCAGCGCGGGCAGGGTGGGAGACACGACGTACGGATGAGCGGGCGCCGCCGACGTCGTAGATGATCCACTCGCGGCCAACTGAGCGATCCACGCTTGCTGCATCATCACGAGCGGCATCATTACCACGAGCGGGGCGCGTAGGTTCAGCGACTGCGACGAGTGAGCCCGAAGTGGACGCACCAGGATTCTCGAATCTGAGTTGGTACTCTTGCACGCCTACGGTCCGCAGCCGGGCACGCACGACGTCGTCGTCTGAGGGCTCATACGTGCGTGTCGCTATTCGATCGACGTCGTCTAGGAAGCTGTGATGCGTGCCATCAAACGGATGTTAGCATAGATCAAATGGCGCGGAGACCTTGTCAGGGGAGGATGCATCTAGCAGTCATCCGTCAACTCGGTCGCGGATGACAGCCAGGTCCCGTCGAAACATCAGGCAAGCACCGCGACGGGCAACCGCCAGCAGAACCCCTCCCAACCCCATCCTCACCGCCCAAACCGGCTGACAGACACTCACAAGCCCGCGCTGTCCTCCATCCGCAGCCGCAGCCGCGTCAACATCTCCCGGACCACCCCGTCCTCCCACAGCGTCTTCATATCCTCCCTGCACCCCGCGATCACCTCCGTCGCGTCGTCCCTCGTCTCCGCGCCGGGCGTCGCCGTGCCCTCGCGTGCGCCATGCCCGTGCCCGTGCCCGTGATACGGATGCTGGTATTGCGTGTGCAGCGCGTCCTTCCACGAGCGGTTCGAGCGCAGACAGAAGTCCGCGCTGCGCACGGACCGCACGGACATGCTTCCGCTCCCGCTCGGGGCGTACGGCTCGTCGAACGGCGTCGCGCGCATGCCCGCGCCGTCGTCCGCGCCGAGCTCGTGCGACGCCGCGCCGAGCAGCCGCCGGAGGTCGGTCTCGACGTGGCGGAGGGGCGCGAGGCGGAGCTTGAGGAGCGCGTGTTTGTCGGTGAACTTGAGCGGCGCGGAGATGTCGGGGACGTCGTCGGCGAAGCTCGGGCCGGTGGGTGAGTCTGGCGAGGGGGGAGTGGACAGGGCTGTGTGTGCCGCCGCGGTGGAAGTCGTGTAGGGGTAGGCGCCTGTGCGCGGGCGCTGGAGCGGGTTCGCGGTGAGCTCTTGGGCGAGGACGTCGAGGATGAGGTTGATGGAGTGGACGAGGTTGAGCTGGACGACGGCGCGCCAGGAGGCGCGCTCGGCTGCCCATGCTTGCGGCGCGAACGTCAGCTGGAAGTCTGTGCGGGGAGTCTGGTCATGCTAGCTGAGTGGGACCCAGAGGGCGCGGTTGCGTACTTTTCAATGTGGTCGACTTGCCTGGGATGAGAAGTTGAATGTTAGGCATGTGCGTGATGATAGGAGTCAGATAACGGCATAGCAGGAAGAGGGATGGTCATGAGCAGCAGCTCAACGACAACAATGGACCCGTGGGTATGCGGACTGGCCCGCGAAAGCCCATGTATGTGTGTAGACCATACCCATTCGTAGTCCCAATGATAGAGCAGATGTTGACGATTGAGAGGGAAGCGGGTTTTGGCGAAGTTCACAACGACAATAGGAGGTCCTCTCCTTATAAATGAGAAGCCATGGCTCTTGTCCGCACCAGACGTAGTTGTCTGTGAGCGACATGTCTGCCATAATTCAATACGACCGACGGGTCAATATTGAGAACATTCGGGATAACATCATCGGCCGACATTGGTTAGCACAGCCCAATGTTTGATGTCGTCGGAGCAAAGCGCGCAGGATCATATGGATGTAGAACACCGAGCCTCCCCAGAATGCATTGTGAAGGGTAAACAATGCCCAATATGACCCCACACTCCGGGGAATTTACCAGATTTATCACGTTGTGAATGTGCCTGGAAGACCCCCCACCGACGGAACTTATGTCCGGTCGTATGCACTCTCTATATATGCACTGGTATGGCATCTCCCTTTCGTATCACTGCCTGCACAATATTGCGGCCATCCCCAGATGCCTGACCAGTTGGACACTCACCACTTTCGCTCTGACCAAGCAGCAGCAGCCGGAAAAGACTCTTGTTCTTCTTCCACACCGCCTTTTCTTGACGGAGGCTCTCGTCTATTTCGTCACTGACCTGCTTGGCCTCTGCCTCCCTGCGCAGCCTGTCCGCGCGCGCATCTGGTGTCTCGTCCGGCGGTGGACGAAGGACGGCATCGAGGGGGTCTTCATTGATGGAGAACTTGGAGGGCGAGAACCTGGATTTGGCCATGAATTGCGGGTCGTGAGAGGGCGAGTTGCGACGGCGGGGAAAGGAGGAAAGCAGGAGGTGGCAGGATTGACGCTGCGTTGACGCTGCGCAGGCAGTGATATGTAGATCCAGTATAGATCTGGTATGTTTCATTCAGGGTACGGAAGCAAACCGCCCGCCTCGCGACGGTATCAGAACGGCGGCGGCCCTCAGGCGCCCTCCCCAGCCCGGGGCGCGTCGGTGGCGCCCAGATCGTACTGCGCTCAGCCAATCCGCAGCCGCGCTGAACGACGTGCCGCGGCCTCATACTTTCTCCTCACTATTTACTATAATTTAGTAGTCACCGGCTCCCGCGGCCGCATTCGGCCCGACCTGTTTCTTACGGTGAGTCTGTTTCTGAACCATTCCGCCGCATCATAATTCAGGGCGTCTACATAGGCTATACCGTGTACCATACTCATATTCTCCCGAACGTTGCACGTCTATCAGCAAGCGCAGCGCAGATTTCTGGGTTGAGCCATGCCTGTAAGTACACCGATTCCGCTCTCGTGCACATTCTGAGCTGTATATGAAACTTACTGCCTTAAATACCGAGGCCCGGGATGCAGGAAGGCCCGAATGTGTTGGAGGACAGGACGACATCACCGACGCGACTGCGCGACAACTAGCCGAAGACAAAGATTTCATCCTCACCCGCTCCGACGGTCCGCATGTGCGAATGATCACCGAGACCGGGAGTCACATCCGCAAAGCCTCGACGAGTCCAGCCACACTGATCATAAGCGAGCAGGTCGTTCGTCCTACTCATGTACCCCAAAGGTCTTCTATAGCCTACATAAGACGCGCTTTACAATCATCCAGCGTTGAGTACAATGCCGTCATTAATCTAACTCAGATTGATCAGCTTGAGTGGATACCACTGCTTGCCGCGAACAGCTCCGGCGGTGCCTCGATCAATATGAAGAAGCACACTTGCGGATGATCGTGTATCTGGCCCATCCGCGATCAGCCCAGGTCGATCATAAACATCAGTACGTAACGTAGTGAGTGAGTGAGAAGTAGAAGCGAAGCTAAGCGAGAGCTCTCGCCGTGTCCATAGCCATGCCTGGTTACGCCCTTCGGCGCCTGGAATGTGGAGGATCCTGGTTGCTCAAAGTCACCCAACGATGCAGAGAATTCCAGCGACTCAACGGGACTTGATGTTATGTGGAACACGTCGGTTTGAAACATTGCCCTGGCTAGCCTGATACAATTTGTTAGAGCCCTTATTGCTCACATCAACGATGCACATCAGGACAACCAGATGTCACTCAATCAAAGACGATCGATTCAGTCGAGAGCAAGACGAGTGTATAACACAGCGAACGCAGAGCTAGCGCAGTAGATAACGGCATAATTTCAAGATTGCATACTTCGGGTCCGGGTCTGCTGCATTCATAATATGGCGACGATGAGAGGTACGAGCAGGGAAGGGCAAGGCAGCTCAGGAGTCAAGAGTGGGAAGGCATGGGTCAATGGGTACGTCAGACGAAGTGACGCAAGACGACGAAGTACGAAGCGCGACGGGGAACGCAAGAAAAAGGCGAGAGGGACACGTATCTGATACATGGAGTGCGTATACCATACAGTACACATGCGTTGTGGTGGAGTGTCCGGGTGCGGATCAGTGGGTGCGGGTATCCAGGATGCGATGATGTCCGTCAGAACCGAGAGGCTCACTCACGCCGCGAGCATGCTCATGCGCCGCGCCTTCGGTGCCGAGTTCTCCTTCTCCTTCTCGTCCGCCTCGCTCGCCGAGGCCGACACCTCGCGGTCGCGGCTCACGAGCGTCGCCGGCAGGCGCGACGACACGGACGTCCGGCGCACGAGCGTCGGTGTCGGCGTCTTCGCGAAGGCGCTCGGGGGCCCGGCGATGGACGCGCGTGACGATGATGCAGATGGTATCCGCGTCGGCGTCGCGTCCTTCGCGCCGGCAGTGCTTGACGCGGAGTTCGTGCGTGAGATGTTGGGAGGCGGGCCCATTGTGCCTTCGAGCGACCGTTTCCTGACTGTGGTTGCTGTCGACGCGGCGCCGTTCGCACGCACGCTCCGGGTGAGCGCAGGCTTCACAGTTGACGGTGTATCCACGCCCTTGCCCTTCAGTGTCGACGGCGTCTCGGCGAACTTGCCCTTCGTCGTGCTACCCGTATCCGACAGCACGGAAGACGGTCGTGACCCATTCACACTTGGCGTGCCGAAGATGGAGGACTCGCGCCGGTGAGGAGGGACTTTCGAAGGTGCAGCGGGGGTGGCAGATCCACCGCGCACGCTCATACGACGTTTGAGCTGTCATTCAAACGTAAGTTTGTGTAGAAGACAGAGAGCTGGAACACGCACCAGCTCGAGCTCCTGCTGCTTCGAGTCCAGGGCGATGTTCAGACCTTGGATGTCCTCCTTGTCCTGCGCCCGCTGCTTCTGCAAGTTCACGAGCTTCACCTCCTTGTCTGCGCTCTCCTGCTGCAAAGCATGCACCTGCTTTCGGAGCCTGTCCACTTCCTCCTGAAGCGCGTTCGCCCTGTCCCTCAGCGCGCCTAGCTCGACGCCCGTTTCGCCCTTCTCTCTCAAGAGCGCCTCGAAGTTAGCCCGCGCCTCGACCTCACGCGCGACGACCTCCTGCAACCTACGGCTCTGGTCGTTCACAATCCGCGCGTGCTCGCGCTTCATGCGCGCCGCGTCTTCTTCTGCGTCGTCCTTGGCTGACTCTGCCTCCCGCACGCGCTCGCGCATCTCCTCTGCCTCGGCGTCGCGCACCTTGAGTTGCGTCTCGAATCGCGCGGCACGGTCCATCGTGTACTGCTTCTCTTGCGTGAGCGAAGTAAGTTCGGCTTCCCGCTCCTGGAGTGCCCGCGTGAGCTCTTCAGATTGCTCATCCGCGGAGTGGACCTGGTCCTCGAGCTCCCTGCACTCGCGCTCGAGCTCCTCCTTCGCGGTCAGGAGCTCCTGCATCTCCGTCTCCAGGTCTGCTTTGCTGTTCTCGCCTTGTGCCCACTCGAACTCCATGGTGGACACCCGCTCGTTGAGCGCGTCGGCCTGCGCCTTGAGCGTGTCGCGCTCGTGTGTGAGGGTGTTGATCTGCTCGCCCGCCTCCTCCGTGTGGCGCCACTGCGCCTCGAGTTCGTCCTTGAGAGTACGCAACTCCGAGTCGCGCCGGAGGGTCTCCTCGCGCGCACCCGTCAGCTGTGCTTGCAGGGATGTCTGCTCGCTGCGCAACGCCTCGTTCTCTGCAAGGAGGCGGGCGCGCTCCTCAACCCAGTCACTCTCACCTGAGGTCTCGCGCATGGAAGGTGCAGGGGCTGGCAGACCATGGTTGCCGCTCATCTCGAGATCCAACTGCATCCTCTCCATCTCCTCTCTCGCGTCCCGGATCCCCCGCTGCAGCTCCTGTTCACTGTCCTCCTTCCTCTGCAGCTCATCCCGGGTCCGCTCCAGCTCTTCCTCCCTCATACTCATCTCCCCCTTCACCGACTCCTCTCTCCGCTCCCGCTCCCTGCACTCCCGCTCAAGCTCCCCGATCCGCCTGTGCATCGCCTGCAGCGCCATCCCACTCGCCTCGTCCATCACGCTCCGCTCGCTCGCCTCCTCCCGGCTCCTTTCGACCTCGTCGCTCAGACCGCGTACACACTTCTCAAGCTCCGCAACGCGCCGGCGCCAACCCTTCACGAGGCCCTTCCGACGCTCACACTCCTTCTCGCACTCCGAGAGGCGCTGCTGCAGGAGCGCGACGAGCTCGTCGCGAGCAGACAGGTCGACCTCGTATTGCGCGCACAGCTCCGACTTAAGTGCGAGTGCAGTCTGCAAACGCCACGCGTTGTCCTCTTCGCGGGAGACCTTCCGCGCGTGCGTGGGGTGGTTCGGCGGCGTCGGGGGCACCGTGCCCGGGGTGAAGAACGTCGTCGCGTACGCCCCGAAGGGGTCCTTCTCCTTGGGGCGCTCTGGGGAGAGCGGCGAGGGCGGCCGCGATGCTAACACCTTCAAGGCAGACGTGTCGTTGATATCCGCCTCCGGCACCCCTTTCGTCGACCCACTCGCGAACGAGTGGAACACCGTGTCGCTCAGGGCACGACCTCTGCTCTTCGAGAATGACGATCCGGGGGGAGGCGTACTTGTCCGCGCCTCGTCCATGGGGCTGGTCAGCGAGCGGAACACCGTCTGCCCAAAGCTGAACGAGTGGCTGCGATCATGCATGCCTTGCTTGGCGGGCGGCGTCGGCGGTCCTGACCTCTCTTCCCCGTTCGGTGCGTCTACCTCCGAGATCTCGACTGCACTGTCCAGGAGCGGCACCTCGTGTCCAGCTGGAATCATCGGCATCTCCACCTCGTTTGACAGGTCGAAGATGTTGGAAACATTCGGCGGAGGTTCCTGGGTCAACATGCTCGGCATACCCTGCCCCAGCATGCTAGGCGTAGTTGGTACAGAATTCGCAAACAGCTCTTGAGCCACGGGCCTCGCTGGTTTGGCATTAGCGCGGTGGAGACGTGCGGCGAAGGAGACCTCGTCGGGCTCGCTGCTCGCGCTCGAAACGTCGGGTGTGATCAATTTGTACGCGTCGCGGCTGAAGAAGCGCACGCTCTGCCCTGTAGCGGGCGTGTTACGATCGCGTAAGATGGAGCGGAGTGAGTTGTATCGTGCATCTGTTGTCGGTGTAACCGGGGGCTTGTTGTCCTGGAGAGACACTGCAGAGTCCTGAGACGGCCGCACGCTGTGTGTCGCTTCCTGCGGGCGAGAGCGAACTGAGCCATAGCGGGCGACATCTGCAGGAGAGCTCGACTGCGAGTGGTTGTCAGATATGGACACCGTTGATGTTGAATCCTGGGATGGGCGGGGCGCATGTGATGGCTGGGATTCTTGGGGCCACGGGATCGCAGCGAGCCGAACTTGAAGACTTCCGAGATGGGTGTGCTTGAGCGCTCGTGTGGACCCTCATGCTGTGGGCGGTGATTTGACTCTATGGATGAACGACCAAGTGAGATTTCGGATGCTGCAGATGATAAGTGCGTCAGTCATATGATCCTCAATACACACCGCGAGTGGAAGACGAGAAGGAACATTGTAGGTACAGCCCAAGCCTCGTATGCAAGTGAGGCCATGCGATGGCAAGACCAAGATGCGTCAGACGACAGTAGGACAGCCTCAAGCATCACCACGTCTAGTTTGGGACTCGGGGTGAGTCCCTCTTGTACCATGCTATGGGACAGATCTATTCCACAGATCGAGAAATCATTTCTATTGCGCGGCACTAGCTCGTGTCACTCCTGGCATGTCCGTCTTATAACCAGAGCTCGTACAGCATCACCAGCCCGGGACGCTCTCGCAATTGTCACATCCGAGTCGCATGCGATGACATTCCAACCACTGGCTACCGATACGGAAGAGAGTACTCACCACTTGCAAGATTCTGGAGGGACGACTTTACTTTCTTCGGGAGCAGGAGCGGACTCATAATGGGGCTTGTAACGCCTTGCTCCGATGCCTGAGTGTTGATCGGTGGCGGCTGTGGCCTGCCTGGTTTCTTGAAGATGCCCTTGCGACCATTAAGTGTAGGAGACATTGTCGGACTCGAGGGTGGGAAAGGGATCTCGGAGGGATGTTCTGCGTGGAAGACAGAGAGGTTGGGATGCTGTTCGTATACGCCAGCGAGAACGTCTGCTTTGGATGGCGATGGCTCGTCGTCGCCGTCGACGAGTGAGGGAGTGGAGGGGCGTTTGAGTGCGCTGCTGAGTTTAGACCACATGCTGTTGTTCGATGTCGATAAGTTAGGTTTTGAAGTTATGTTCTTTGGGTAAGGATGTGGCAGAGAGCGCGGAAGTGGTGTATCGACATGAGATGTGGTGGTAAGCGAGGAAGATTAGCGCTGTGGCTGCGACCAGACAACTCGGTTCGGGCGCTAAATGTTGGACGTCGAACAGTCGCGCTTGTCATGTGATCGCGTGTGCCCGTTGGCGCTTTGCTCAGAGGTGCAGCGGGCGCTGGGCGAAGCTACATACTACCACCCCTGGGCCCGTGCCAATTTGAATCCGTCACTTTGGTCAACTGTTACTTACACAGAGCCTGTTACTTGACTATTGTGATCAAAGACTCGGAAGGGTACAGCTTCAGATCTGTCGAAGGCCATGAAGCCAACATGAAGCTCAAGCCCGGGCCTACTCTCAGTGAGTCGTCGTACACTGAACCCTTGAAGACTTCAAACTGAGCAAACTATGATCTAGGAGCAGTAAAACTACGTTGCACGTATCAGATACCGTGACTTAGAGATCCTGGCACATTGGAACAACCCGTCAAAGAAATTGTGTTGATGGGAGACGGATGGATCCCGTATGAACATCTACCATAATCTTACACATCGGTGAGCTCATATTCACCCATGGTTTGCGAGAGGAAGGATCTTCCAGTTTTATCCGCGGGGAATACGCACTGGTGATGTGAACTCGGATTGGCGGCCCCAGTACTGCAGGCGCGTTTGCTGCCTGCGGGTGCGCCCGTTGTTGCCTTCGAGTACTTAGTACTACTTGCGCAGCCCGAGCGATTACACGGACGCTGAAGAACATGTGGACTCCATTGTTCAAATCAAAGGAACCTCGCAGCGGCTCTGCGCTTGTGACCGATGTCTGGCACTACCGGAACTTCATTTCACTGATTTGATTCACATTTCGTATCATATCCCTGTTTCTTTCCTCCTCGCGCCAGATAACCTGTCCGCGCGCGATATGAATAGACTCTTTGCAACCCTTGGTGTCCCAAGGCACAGTGGCTGGCTTCTGGGTTCTGTACAAACTGCCACCGGAAGTCAAGATGGCTGGCATGTTGCCGTTACATCCCCCTCGTATCACAGGGACACCGCAGTGATATTTCAAAGCTCGCTCGCCACAGTTCGCCTTTCATGCTGCCACCCCATGCTGGTGGCCCGTGGGCGCGGCCGGATGAATGGCGAAAAGTGCTCAGCTCACCAAGCATGGAGATCCGGTGTCCGGAATACTTCTCTGAGGGGAGTGCGATTCTTCTTGAATCTGGATCCAACTACTTATATCACTAGTTCCTCACATATTATAGGTCCTGCGATGCGGTAGTTCAGCGCAGTCGCCGCTGGTGGCCGGTGGAGCTGCGAGATATACTCAGCAGAACCTCCATAATTTGCATTGGTGCGAGCCATACCTCAACCCAAATCCATGGAAAGGAATAGCGAAATTCCCGCATCCCGATTTCAGTGTCTCACATCATTAGCGTGCGAAGCCCGTCAGCACAGGGGAGGCGTCTGGCACCTAGCGGAATGAATATAAAGGCTCGCAAAGTGACCGCTCCTCCGCTCCCGAAACTTCTCCCTGTGAGCCACGTACTTGTGCCGGACTGCGAGATGAGTGTCGGACACACCGATGAACCCAATGCGCAAGACAAAGACGGTGTTCCGAAGAACCATGACATCTCTATCCGGTATGTAGATCCTAGAGCATATACTTCCCTCTCCGGCACTGATACGAAGGTCGCGCAGCTACCGCACGCTCTCCATCCAGGTGGACGAAAGCCAGGGCGAGAAGCCCAGCGCTTCTAAGAAGGGCAAGTCCGACAACGATCCAGCATCGGGCATCCGCAATATCGACGTTCACGCCCTGTCCCCGGAGGAGGTCTTCGCACGGTATACTACCTCGCCTACTGTCGGGCTCGAGGCCGCCGCCGTCGAGCGGCGCGCCAAGTCCGGAGGCAAGAACGTCATCTCGCCGCCGAAGACTCAATACTGGAAGAAAGCTCTAAACTATGTGTTCGGAGGGTTTAACTTCCTGATGTGGATCGCATTCATTGTCACCATCGTGAGTCCCCTGATCTGCGCGCACAGTGGCACGAGATAAATCATTTGTCTTAGCTGTCGTATAAACCTCTGGGTGAGCCCGACCCCGCTGCATTCAATCTCGGTGTCGCCGTTCTGTTGGTAAGCCAGAGCATCCAGTTGTTCGCCTCTTGTGAATGCTCACATATCGTACTAGCTTCTCGTCATCATCATTTCCGCCACTTTCTATGCGCTCGTTGACTGGCACGCATCACGCATCATGAGCTCAATTAAGACACTCATCGCTGAAGAAGCAACGGTCATCCGCGATGGAAAGCACCAGACAATACCAGCACGGGACGTCGTTGTAGGCGATCTAGTGGCGCTCTCAATGGGTGACCGTGTACCTGCGGATATCCGTCTAGTCCAGGCGTCGTCCGACCTCCGCTTCGACCGCTCCCTGCTTACTGGCGAAAGGTAAGATGCACGCCCTTCTCATTTACTTCACAACACCATTGACCCGTCCTTCTAGTGACATGATCCCCGGCACGCTCGACCAAACCTCACCCAATGCCCTCGAGACGCGTAACCTCGCACTCGCTTCCACCTTCGTCGTCCAGGGGACCTGCACCGGGGTTGTCTTTGGGATCGGCGACCGCTCTGTCATGGGCCGCATCGTCGCTATGTCGGGCGAGACTAAGTTCAAGCTAACCACTGTTCAACAAGAGGTGTGGTTCTTCACCAAGATTGTCTCTAGCCTCGCGCTGTCGCTGTTCATCATCTCGATTATTGTCTGGGCTGCATGGCTGCGGAAGAGCTATCTCGGCTATGAGGCTGCGAGTGGAGCTATCATCAACTCAATCGGTTGCTTGACCGCCTTTGTTCCCCAAGTATGTCTTACAATTTTCGCGCCTCGTGAGAACCATAACAAACTGTGTTTCAGGGCCTCCCCATCTGTGTGGCTCTGTCACTGACCATAGTAGCCAAGCGCATGGCGAAACATAGCGTCCTCGTGAAGAACCTGGCCACCATCGAGACACTCGGCTGCATGTCCGTGCTCTGTTCGGACAAAACAGGAACTCTCACCATGGGGAAGATGGCAAGCGCATAACTGATTGCTTAGATAACCCTCGCACTGATTTGACGTCTGCTTTCCAGTCTGTACAGAACGTTGCATTTCTCGACGGTCAGTGCAGCGTCGCCGGACTAACCGAAAACGAGGCCTCCGCTCCGCCTGCTTTGAAGGCCCTCCATATGGTCGCACGGCTGTGTAACGGTGCCAAGTTCGACGCAGCAACAGAACACCTGCCGCTCGAAGAACGGACTATCAAGGGTGACGCAACTGATAGCGCGGTCCTCTCCTTCGCGGAAGCACTCCGCATCCCGTCCCTCAATATAGATGCACAGTCCCTACTGGCTAGACACGAGAAGCTCTTCGAGATCCCGTTCAACTCGCGTAACAAGTGGATGCTCTCCCTCTGGCGCTCGCTCCCGCAAGCCTCACCCGACTCAGTTATCGATCTCTCACCGAAGTCGACCATCGGAAACACCTGGCTGCTTGTGAAGGGCGCTCCAGACATACTTTTCCCCGCGTGCACAAGCGTTATGCAGTCAGATGGTACCGTCAAGTACCTCGACACCGCCTCACGACGCCAACTCTTCGCCCTGCAGGAAGACTGGAGTAGCCAGGGCCAGCGAGTCCTCGCCTTATGCCGCCGTCCGCTTGACGACGTCAAGATCAGCAAGGTCACGCCTGCGAACGACATGGAGGAGCTGATGTACGCGGAGCTACAGAAGCTGACGCTGGTGGGATTTGTGGGCATTCGTGATCCGCCGAGGCCAGACGTACCTGCAGCGGTGGCTACGATTCGCCGTGCAGGCGTGCGAGTGTTCATGGTTACCGGTGACTTCAAGCTGACTGCTCTGGCAATTGCAAAACAGGTATGCCACGTCGTATTAGTACCCTGGTCGGAATGGTTTGAGCTCACAGGCCCTTCAGATTGGTATCATCACCCAGGATAAAGTGGACTCGATCCACGAGCTACGCTCTCCCGAAATCTTGAAGCAGTACGCCGACCTGACCCCGCCTGAGGTTAAACCCTCTGACGACCAAGACGAATACCGCGCCATTGTCCTGACCGGCGACGACGTTTCCACTCTGCAGCACGAGGACTGGAACGTAGTGGTCGGGAGGTACACCGAGATCGTCTTTGCGCGGACGACACCCGAGCAGAAGCTGCAGATCGTGGAAGCCATCAAAGCGCGTGGAGACAATACCGTCGCAGTCACCGGCGACGGTGTGAACGATGCCCCGGCTTTGAAGGCAGGGGATATTGGCGTGGCCATGGGGTCGGGAAGTGATGTCGCAAAGGAAGCAGGTAAGCCCCCAGGCTCATACACTGTCATTCATTCCAACCGCACCATTTACCGCATGGGCAGCCGCTATGGTACTACTCAACAACGATTTCGCTTCCATCGTTGTCGCCATTGAGATGGGACGGCTGGTCTTTGACAACCTCAAGAAGGTCATGATCTACCTCATGCCGGTACGTCTATCTTCTACGGTACATCAGACGACTACCGCTCACCGGGCATTGAATGACAAGGCTGGTACCTACACCGAGTTCATGACGGTGTTCGCCAACGTCTTCCTCGGGATGCAGCTCGCTCTGAGTTCCTATCTGCAAGTCTGCTTTTCCATTACGAACGACGTCGTCATGTCGATCTCGCTCATGTATGAGAAGCCCGAAGCCGGTATGCATTACCGGAGGTTGCTGTGCTCGCATGGGTGATCTTACTCGTCGCTCGTGCACATTTCACAGATCTCATGCTCCGCAAGCCGCGAAATGCGCGTACTGATCGCCTCACGGACTGGCGTTTCTTCTTCCAGATATATCTGGTCCGTAGTCTCAAGCCTGTTTCAGACAAGCACCGGTCTGACTCTTTCCTGCGCCAGTTCATTGGCTTAATGATGTGGCCCTGTGCGATGAGCATGTGGTTCTTATATATGGACCAGCAAGGACTCAGTTTCTACGACGTAATACTGGTGTACAACAAATGGACGGATGGATACCATGGCTACACCATCGACCAGCTGACACACTTCGTCTCCGTAGGCCAATGCATCTAGTGAGCTCAGTCTCCATCTGGACCCACTCAGTTGCTAATGCTCTCGTAGCTACGTCACCATGGTTTTCATGCAGTATGGAGGCCTATTAGCGGTGCGCAATCGCCGAGTCTCTATCCTACAGTCAAATCCGCTCTGGGGGCCTCGCCGCAACTACGTCGTGCTGATGGGTATGGTTGGCACGGCGCTCATCGCTGTCGTTAACTTGTACGGGCGAGGACTTGAGGACGTCTTCAGCACGACGCCCATCCCAGGGATGTTCTGGGGCATACCGTTTGCCTTTGCGCTCGGAATATTGACCATGGACGAGATCAGAAAGTTGCTAGTCCGCACATACCCGAAGGTAAGTGCCTCAGGCGTGCTTGTCCACGTAACGGTTTCAACTAACCCGGTTGTTCGTGGTAGTCATTCATCGCAAAGATGGCGTGGTAGTGAATCGGCTTGCTGACTCGGAGTTCGGAGATCAATAGATAGTAGTGACGCGGAGGATGTCCTAGCAAACGAGATGAAGAGCTTGTTTGTCCCTAGGATGATTAATACACGGAGATAAGTCGTATGCCGGAGCAAGCCCAAGTGAAAGTGTATCGACTGAGGGCCTTGCACAAGCCTGCAAACGTTGTCACATCTTGTCTCGTACCTACCTGTACCAATGCGCGTCCTAGAATAGTCGCACCCCTGCAGCGGAAGTGTCCTTGCAGTCCGTACCACTCGCAGCCGGCCACCGCACACATGATCGTACACGGGCGTCATCTATGCCACGACTTCAGTCTTGCTCCTTCTCTGCAGTGATCGCCCATATAAGAACAGACTGTCGCCCAATTTGAAGGATTAGGCGACATGAAAACACGGATTCTCATGTTCATCCGATACGGTGTTACAAGTGATAGATTGTATGCTCCTGCCCATCGCCCAGGTTCTCGAGGACGGCGGACCCTATCATCCAGGTCAGAGAAGCACTGTGATGGGGATGGTACCCTTACCGAGCTGGTGGTTCACATCTCACGGCGTCCGGCCTATCTCATACTTAACTGGAGTACATCGCCCCTCCGAATGTGGGGTTTCCATATGACTGCGATGTGACACCTCCTATGGGCTGCCGCCACTTCCGTTCTCCTTGGTCCTGCCCCAATACAGGCGGCGGTCGATACTGCGTCCTTCCGCGGTTCGTCTGCGCGTGCGGATCAGATTGGGGCAACTGACGAGTCGTTTGGTCTGGCGGGGGAGAAGTCCATATGAAACGGGCGCCTGCGGATGCTGGACTGGCTCTTAGCTTGTCGCGCAGCCGCATCAGAGCTTTGCCTAGCTCGTTTCGCCCTAGGCCATCCTGGCCACATCCCCAGAACGAGTCGACCTGCGGTATCTTTAGTGTCTTGCTGATGCGAGCGGGACTGATATACGTACCGGACTGTCCTCGATGAGCTCACTATCACCCGTCTGGAGGAGCATGTCTCGAAGCGAGAAATGTTGTGCAAACTTCGCCTCGAGGACGTCCTCCATCACACGCACGTTGACGTCAAACCAGTCTGCGCGCTGCAGCGGGCGAAGGTTCCCTGCTTCCTGAAGAGCGTCGCGGGATCCGGGGAGCAGGCGGATGCGCTCCGCCAGGTCTGGTTGGCTTGGCATGAACTTGTGTGCTTGGAACACTGCGGACGTGGGGCGGGACCGCACGCCTCAGATTGTGCATAAGCAGAAGAACGCAAGGGAACGTACGATGTTCTGCGGTGGGATACATGCGGCCATCCCAATGAATAGGATACGGCGCGAAGTTTGTGAACCTGTTGACGCAATTCGTCATAGAACACTTTACACCGTGCGCATAAAGCACAATCGCACAGAATACGAACTCGTAGTATGGCTGTTGACGGTGATAGAAGCGAATCGCAGGGGCTGGTCCCGCGCGTCGAGTGAATGCTGGCGGCTGGGAGTACGATCGAGAGCGTGCGTTGAAGCTAGTTTCCGGCCTCTGAGGAACGACTGAGCACGCGTCGTACTTCAGCATAGATCTGCGCACTCTGAGTGATCGACATACCTTGCTCGATTGGATCTTGTGCATCTGCTGCCCTCGACAATAACCCGTTTCGGGATCTGCGTGGATCAGAGATTGACACCGATCTGCCGCTGCGATGACCTTGATGCGACTCCGGTGCCGGCCACCAAACATCCTGGACTGAAATCGGATATTGTATCGGCAGGGTGTAGTAGGCAGGAGGGGCATATGCTACTGGCGGCGGGTAACCGTGATAGACGGGCCGATTCATGACTACGGCTACTGCGAGCTTGCAATCCTGGCTCGGCAATTGGAGAACGTCGGCGTTTAAACGTTGAGCAGGAGTTCACTATTCAAGACAGCGGGGGCGATGACTGTAAGTGGAAAGATCGAGAGCGGCACACGCAAACAGGACGTACGCGGCCATAGCGAACCACTCTTCCCGATACGTGTATATGGTTTGACCACGCTGTGTCGCGGAGTCTGACGGTGGCTTGAAGTGCTCGAGTCGATACAGCGATGTCTCGTGCCCTGGGTAGTCTACCTCAGGGTACCAAGACAGCAGAACATCGCGACGTTCAGTAATATGTAGTCGAGGGCGCAGCGTTGATGGAACGTGCCAGTATAGGCCAGTGGGCCATCGTAGGTGGTTGATTACGTAAGCTACGGCTCGGCTCACGTTCAAATTGGTGTCCATACATACGAGCGCTAACCATAAGTATGCGACCGCCCTCCCCCACTCAACAAGGTCGTGTTGACTAGGGCCTGCCTAGTACAGAAGGCTAGAGCGCTAAGTACGTCGTCTCCTTTGTTGGCAAGCACTGCGCAGTTATATTCTCGAGCTGGGTGCAGAAGACGGCCAAGCAGCCATTTTCCTTCTGCTTTCCGATGACCGTAGAGTCGAAGCCCAGATCAGGCAAAATCCTGAGCGCACAACTCCATGCGGCAGGGACGCGGCCGGCGCAACCACAGCGTCAATGAAACCACAAGGGATACCGGTATTGCCAGTGTATTGATCGACTGGAACCCTGGGCCCATAGTGGGCCAGCAACGCTCAGCACTTATGACCGACCATAATTCCACAGGCTCAAGGCATAGCGTTCGTTTTTAGCGTCGAGACGAGAAGTAGGGGCCAATTTGGACGCCACATTGAAAGCTGCAAACCTGCCACCACATTGAGAGCGCCTCTGCGGACATACGAGGCCGTACTGGCAGACGCCCTCTGCGAATTGAGAGGCATTACACGGTGCACTTTCTTGACAATAATTTTGACCTTAGTAGTATCGCATCTGCGAAGGTGGTCTACTGCCTAGAATCGGTGTTTCTTCATAAGAAACTCAGCACCTGTACGTCTGGATCACTGCCCTCGTACTGTATCATGCGACTGAGCTTGCAACTCTGTCCACATGTACAAATTTTATTTCATGGGTACACCCTCCGCGAGAGGCGTTCATCAGAGATGTTACACAAGCGCAGAATCACAGGAAATCTGTCTCCGTGAAATCGTCCCTCTGCGCATGAAGTGTGAAGGTAGGTCCTTTTCCATGCGAAGGTTGGACGTATTGAAGGCAGCTGCGATCGCCGAAACGCAGCAAAGACACGGAACTCCTCAGGGCGCCACCGTCTAGACTCTAGTGCGAGCAAGAACCAGAGCGCTGGGGTTCAAGTCCAGACAGCCATGTCTGCGAACGCGTTGTCACTAGCGCGTCGATGGCCGAGAGCCTCTCGGAAATTTGGAAAGATTGCGAGTCATGGTGCGTAGTTCCATCGGAGCGCGGAATCTTATTCATCCATTTTGCACCTCGCGCGGCTACCCAGTGAACAGTTCACTCACTAGCAGATAGCTCCCTGGAGATCAGAGCCCTAGTGGTTGTTTGGGCGGTGCGGCCTTTCGTCGCGGGTCTTCGTGGCCTTGCACGAACGAAGTCCCGGTCGTGTGCTACGGTAGTGCTATAACACGCACGGCAGGATAGCGGTCTGTCAGGCCAGCTAGGAATATATTTTGATGGATCGTACCTCACACTGGTCAGCGAGCCGTGGCGCTGTACGGGCAGCCAACGTTCGTCTTGATGGCCGCGAATTAGACCGGCCCCTGGGTTGCCTTGACGCTGTGAGTCAGGAGCTGACAGTACCCTTTGATGCACTGAACACGATGGACATCGTCGAGAACCAATTCTCTTCCATCCGACGTCGGCGTAAAGCCTGAGGCACAGTCGCCTGCGGTACGTATCTGATATCCCCAGCCTTATGATGTATAAAAAGGCTTATAAAGGCTTATTCCTCAGAGCGGTGATTCACTCGCCTACCTCCCCCCGCCATAGTAAGCAGTTCAGATATATTGCAATGCAATTCAAATCTACCGTCCTCGCCTTCCTCATTGCCGCTAGCTCCGTAGCCGGGGTCTACAACCCTGTCGGCCAATCCTGCGATACCCCAGGTGAGTGCAGCTTATCGTCACACCGCCGTCAACTTCAAACTAGTGTCTCACTGTTAAATTAAGGTGGGGAAGGCTGCGCCAACGACGTACCGAGCCTCAACGGTGGTGACGCCTTCATCTACGAGTGCGGCCCTACCGGCACGTTTGTGTATCTTGCCGGCTGCGGGTGCTTGACCTGCTGCGAGGCTGACGCTAATGGAGCGGCGTATTGCACTTGAAGTATGTGTTGAATGCTTCCAGGTCTTCGTGGACTCGTATCTAATCCTCGAACATCTTGCAGAAATGAAAGTATGCCAATGATGGCAGGTGGCCATCATTGCCAATGTTCCACGGAAAACCCGCAGTAAATTGCGTAACAGAATTGATACATTCGCCGTCCACGCACTGGCAGCCCGTGGCTGACGATGCAAGCTGGACACTTTGGGTCCGAGACTGCGTCAGAACGTCACTCGAAGTAAACAGGCGCTCACCTCAGCGACTTGTATGGTCTGCAACGGAGATTAGCTGTCGCAGTGAGTTAATACCGGATAGGACTTACTGATGCGCTGAATCCCGTGAGCGGGACCGATCCCTAATGCTGTCTCGTCCGACGTCGGGGTGATGTCACGAGCGGTATGCATATGTCTGTAATGCATGTAAGGCTCGCGATGGCTACTTCTGGTGAGACAGAGCAACGATTAGCCTCCCCATCCCAGCCTTGCCGAGCAGTCCAACCATCTCGTAATGCAATTCTACCCATCTACCGCTGTTGCCTTGCTCGTCGCTGCCAGCTCCGCTGCCGGCGATGTCTATAATCCCATCGGTCAGCGCTGCTCTCCTCAGGGTAAGTGCAGCTCGTCGTCTCGCAGCTCGTCAAACTAGGGTTCCAAATGTTTTCATAAGGCGTGGAAGGGTGTGCGAACAACGTACCGAGCCTCAACGGTGGTAACGCATTCGTCTACGAGTGTGGCCCAGCCGATAAGTTTGTGTACGTTGCCGGATGCTCGACGTGCTGCACGGCTACTTACCACCAATGGGGCGTACTGCACTTGAGTTATGTGTCGAATGTCTCTTGATCTTCGTGAATCTAATCTTGGAGCATCTGGTAGAAGTGAAAGAAAACTAATCGTCGAGGGCCCCGGCCCGTTATGATCACCAATGCCAATGATCCACGGATAAGTCGTATTTGACTGCGTAATGGGATCAATCCATCTGTCGTTCAGAGAGCCAGTAGTCGATTGATTTATTTGCGTCGGGAAGCCCTGAATACATGAAGGTTTTCTGCTGTACAGATATGGCTATATTAGTGGTCTCTCAGTCATCACCGAAGCCACGATCGTCGACGTGGTATGACATGCATGAGAACATAACGACGACGCGGTGATTGAGCGCACAAGGTCGCCGGTGGGAACTGATAAATCTTCTAGAGATCAGTGCGCTGCGCCCGTAACGTAGAACACGCACCAGGTGGAATATCGACCTCATCGTCGTTCAGATACCACGCCCCTACGCAGCGAATAGAGTCATGTTGAGTTGATGCACACGCGACACAAAGTACTGGGCTTACGATCGCCCGTCATGGTCTTCTCGTTATACGTCTGTCCATCCCCGAGCCAGTGCATACGGTTCTTCACGCCTTCCGGAAGCTCGTACCGGAAATCTTCCCATCTCGGTTGTTCGAAGGCTCGGACGGCGTGAAGGGACGAACCTAGGAAAAATGAGCCTGCGAGCTTGCTGCGAGCAATACAGCAGCAGGACCGGACATACCCGGCCATAGGGCGACAACCCTGCCCTGTTCCTTCCCCAACTTGTACCATGACCTGCACTTCTCGCTGTATACTGTATTCGGGAAGTAACTCTGGGGGACGAATCAGATCTCTCTGTTATCGGCACACGACACCATCATCATAGCCCACCTCTAAGTACTCGTCAAAATCCGCGACAGCCTCCTTCGCCGCCTCAATACTCTTCAGCCTCTCTCGCTGCATCTTCTTCGCCGCCGCGACCGCGTAGTCCACCTGTCTCTCAATCAGCACCAAAAGCGCGCCACTGCCCGGCGCACTATTCGGTCCGAGACTCATGAACCAGTTCGGGAAGCCGTCCGTGCAGACGGCGAGGTACGTCGACGGATGCGGGGACCACTTCTCCTGGATCGTGACGCCGTTCCGGCCAACCACGGGGAAATCGAGCTGGAAGGAATAATCATAGCCCGTGGCGCAGATGATGATGTCGAGGTCCTCGTGCGTGCCGTCGACGAGCTCGATGCCTTTGTTGGTGACGCCCTTTATGTGGGTGGGTTGGAAGTCGACCTAAGGATGTGCATGCTCAATGAGACGGACAGTCGCCTCAGGACGGAGGGAAGGTGGGAAGGTGTATACTCACGTTGTCCGCGCACAAGGCTTCCAAGTAGCCAGGCCCCGGTGTCAATCGCCTGCATGCAACACCGAACTCTGGGATCACTGTGGTCGGTCCAGGACAAGGCTTAGTAGTGCATCTATGGATCGTCAGTGATGTGGGTCTCACGGAAGTCGGCGATCCATGGCTTCTTGGCGAGTCTCTTCTTCATATGAGCGTGGAAGGCTGCGCGTACGGCGCGTTGTGCATCGCTATCTTTGAGTGTCGATGGATGCACGCTCTGTGGATGGGCAGCCATCATCACAGAGAAGCCATGTAGTATGTGAAATCGAGTTGGCTCACGTTGACATCAGATTCCAGTTCGTGCCTGAATTGCTTGTAGTACTCTGGGTCCTCAAGACGCTCTTTGTCTTCCTCCGAGAACACGTCTGTGTATCCGCTGGGCTGATCAGTTATGGTAGAACCGGTGAAGAGTAGGGCACCTACAGTTCTCGGCCTCAGGTTCCAGCTGCATGAGCTCCACCATCTTTGCGCCCGCGTAGGGCGTCGAGATCCACGTCTTCCCGCGCACGAAGTTCACGATCTTCTTCACCCTTGACTGGAGCGCCGGGACGATCTGAATCGCACTCGAGCCCTACGAGACCGGGAGTACCGTCAATGAGACTTCAAGCGCATTTGCGGGCCAGACGAAGGCACGCACCACACCGATGACGCCGACGCGCTTGTCCTTCCAGTCATGTATAGCCTCCTGCCACGCCTTATCCCCGTCCCCGACCTCGAAGTCCGCCGTATGGAACAGCTTGCCCTCGAAGTCCTCCAGCCCGTCGATCTCCGGCCACTTCCACCTGCTCAGGCTCCCCACGCCCGTGAACAGCAGGTCCGCCGTGTCATCGAACTCCTCGTACGCCTCGCCCTCGTCGGGCAGAGACTCCAAGGTGACGTTGGGCGGAGGCTGGGAGGTGGGCGCGGCGCCGGGGTGGACAGGCCGCCGGATGCGGAGGTGCCACTTCCCGGTGGGCTCGTCGTACCGGGCGTGCACGACGCGGTGCTGGAGCTTGATGTAGCGCATGAGCTTGTACTTGTCGACGACGGACTGCAGGTACGAGCATATCTCGGGCCCGGGCGCGTAGAAGGCCGACCAGTCGGTCTGTCGCCACATGAGCTCGGGGTGAGCAGAAGCGCTTGGTGCGAGTTATATGAGGCGCACCTTCGGCTCGAAAGTGAGTTGGTACTGGGGTCATGGCAGATTAGTGGTAGCACGCGCGTTGTGGGTGGTGGACGTACGCAGTGGGCAGGAATATCACATGCTAAGCCACTGCATACATCGCTCAGCGAATCACCGTATGTTGAGCAGACACAGAACGCACGGATATTTGTTGGTGACCCACGTCCCTCCTATGCCCGAGTTCTTATCGTAGATCGTCAGCTCGACATTAGGTATCCGTTGAGGGAACCTGAAGATTAGACCGTCAGCGCAATGTCATTGGCACCCTTTCAAAGTGCATGCTTACCGTATCCCTGCGATGATCCCACTGAAACCAGCGCCGATGCAGACGACCTTTAGAGGCTTGTATTCATCAATCGGGAAGTTGCCGAGCTTAAACCCGTCGTCCACAACATGCCCGTTCGCGGGTTGCGGCGCAGGGATCTCCCGGCCTGGCATGGCCATGGTATGAGAGGTATGTCGTTGGGCGGAAGGCGGCTCAGCCATACCTTATATGCCGACGAAACGCTGCCACACCAACCACGAGGCGAGCACGCAAGGGCAGAAAAGGGAACCTTCTTCTCCTCATGAGTTTGTCGCTTGTCATGAGCTGTTCTCATGCTCATTTGTTTGCGTGATTCCATTGCCTGTTCTGGAAATTTTGAATTAGCTGGGGGACTAGTACGCCTGATCATAGATAGTCATAGATGCACCTGACTATGGCTTCGTATCAGAATTGTCCAAAGGCGAGATCGCCGTAGTACTTACCATAACTTTTTGGGCAGCGCACTACTCACAGCGGACTCTTGGGAAAGGAAATGTTGTTGCGTGCAGCGGGGAAATTCCTGGGCAACATGGAGCTCGCAGGGATCTGCGATAGCAAACCAGCCACAGAAAACCTGCTCCACGAATCATTTGGTAGAGGTAGGAAGAAGCCAACAGTCTCGACTTGGATGAACACGCGTACGATCGACAAAGTCTGCTGGTCAGCGCTTCAGCGCTTCAGCTCCCGTAGTCTGGTACAATACGGGTGATTGATTACGTAAGCTACGGTTCGGCTCAGCCGCGGTTCAAGTTGATGTTGATGCGGACGCTGACCACATACGGCCGCCCTCCATTGGCCGTGTTGACTATGGTCTGCCTACGAGAGACTAGAACGCTAAATATGTAATGGCTCCTTTGTTGGAAAACACTGCGCGACCATCTTCTCGAGCTGGCGGTGCAGAGCAGCCAAAACGCCATGCAGCTATTCTTCTCCTGCTTTCCGATGGCCGTACAGTCGAAGCCCGGATCAGGCAAAGTCCTGAACGCACAAGTCCATGCGGCCGGGTAACGTTACTCGCGCAGTCGAGTATATACGGACTCAAATCCTAGGCTGAACATATGGTAAGTAGATAACTTCAGGTAGCTATGAGTTTCTACTGCTCTGATGCTTGTGGTCGAGATCCTGGACCCACTCCACTCACAAGCGGATATATGACCCGCTGAGCGGTCCCGGTCGACTTGAAGCTTGAAGCTTGAAGTTTCAAGTTTCAAGCGCTGACGCTGCCCGGGTCCGCAACCTACCAAGTGGGTGACATGTACATCACGGTACATGATGTCCTGCCAGATGGACTGACTCTTATGACAGTCCACAGTACTGATGCTGTCCGTCCGGCAGTGGCGTGATGGCGCTGCGCAGAGTCAGCCCAAAGTCAGCCGTATGCATCTCATGCCAGCCCCAGCCCTATAAAAAGGCTCGTCATGGCTACCAAATGGCTCACGGGCAGACCAACGACCTGCACTCCGCCATCCTGAGCAGTCCAAGCATCCTACAATGCAAGTCTACCCATTGACCGTCCTCGCCATCCTCGCCGCCGCCAGTTCCGTGGCCGGTCAGGTCTATAACCCCATCGGCCAGCCTTGTTCTCCTCAAGGTAAGTTCGGCTTATTATCCCGCTGCTCGTCGGGCTTGAGCGTTGAAATGCTGTATTCAGGCGCAGAAGGGTGTGCGAACAACGTACCGACTCTCAACGACTATAACGCCTTCATCTACGAGTGCGGCCCTACCAATACGTTTGTGTATGTTGCCGGTTGCGCGTGCAATACGTGCTGCGAGGCTACCGCTGATGGAGCTTATTGCACTTGAGGTATGTATAGAATGTTCCCTGGCCTTCGCGAAGCCTGAGTGGATCTAATGCTCGAGCATCTTGCAGAAACGAACGGGCCAATAAATGAAGGCGGTTACTGTTACCAATAATCCACGGAAATATTGGCCCAGTGTATTGAATAGTGTAACGGATTTAATTCATACGCCGTCCGCATAGCCCGTGGTTGTTGATGCAAGCTGGGGCACGTTGAGTCAGAGTCAGAAGCCGCGATAGCGATCGTGAATGTCGGACACTTGCATGGCTCTTAATGAATCCGGACAACGTGGTGACATCTAGAAGTCGTTACTGTATCCATAGATGCCTGTCTAAAATTCTGATCTGTATGATTGTTATGCGCCGTTCAGGGACTGCCGTGCGATGGACCCATTGCCCTTCGATAGTGCTTCCGTCCGATCACTACAAGGTCATGAGGCCCGACGCTTGTCGGCTTTTATGGTCTGTAACGGAGACTAAGAGGCCCTTGGAATATCTGAGGGCGCGAGTCGCGGTGGGTAGTTCATCGGAGCGCGAAAGGCCGGCATAGAAGATGCCCCCGCTTTGCCATCCGCGCTACAACCTACCTCAGCGGTCCACTGGCATTTGGGCAGCACAAATCATTGTTAGTGCATCTCCCTAGTCTCCCGCCCCCGCAGCCATGCAACCGTGTAGAACGCGCACGACAGGAAACTGCTCCCGGAGCCAGTCACGAATGCGTTTGGTGGTAAGCCCTGCATGCTTACGTGTCAGCAGTGCCACTGGCAGTGGGCCGCTGAACAGCGCGAGCAATCAGGGTCCTCTCGACGGCCGCGCCACCGGATGTTGGCCGCTGTCCCCGTCAATAGCATATAAAAGAGGCTTGTGTCAATGGCGCTGTTATATACTGCGGCATGAGACGGCCTATCAGGCCGCAGTGATGGGCCGACACGGTTATTTAGGCATCGGGGCCTGCTTGACATTGCGATGCGCTCGAGTCAACGCAGAAATGCATTGCCCTGATTCGGGGAGGTCTACCGATACAGCAGAATGCCGCGATGTCCAGTCGAGGGCGCAGCGTTGGCCGTACCAGTCTGATGAACCAGCGGTCGGGATGCACGTATGCTAAGTACTTGTAGAGCCTGAATAGCGACTGCGTGGGTAACCGACTTCGATCTGCTCAGGCATCGAGTCCCGAAGCCAGTGGCGGATGTTCAACCTGGCAAGTGTTGATGCCATGAGCGTCGGCACAGCGAGTGCACTGATGGAAGAGGGGAGGGGGAGGACGCAGGAACTCACATTGCGAGCAAAGAGTTGACGTAGACTGCCAGTCACCACGCGGGTCAGTGGAATGCACGCAGATTGGATGATCGAAGCAGACACGCACTCTTGCTCCCCATGAAATAGACCACGGCCCAGACAACCTGGTTAGGTTTTGACCTGAGGGCGATGTACTGCCATCGGAGAGTGATCGTAATTCATGTAAGTCGGGGCGTCGGACAGAGATCTCCATCTCGGGACGTACAATGATGAAGATCACGAGCTGGAGCAGCCTGGAGTGGGTCATCGACCGAGTCAGCGTCTGGCTGCGCGTCGCGGTGACGTTACGGAGCACGTACGCCGTTATGATCCCCCGGTTCAACACATATACGACGAGCTTCGCGATGAGTGAGGTCGTTCTTTGTCAGGCGAGTTCATGTCGAGTAAGAAACGTGTCGTTCGAGGAATGATCGCCAAGTCAGATAAATCCGCATGCGGTATCCAGCGAGCATACACACTCAGCTATGCCCGTCCGCTTGCCGCGAAGGACGACTGACAACGTTACGGTAATGAACACGTCCGTGACGACCGCAGAGACAGTCTGGAGCGACGCCGAGACTTCTGCATGGGAGACACCGCAGGTGACGGCGGGCGTGATCGAGCTGTCGTTAGTACGGAAACGCCAAGGTCGTCAGAAACGTCGAGGCCAGTGAGACCAGTCGACGTTCTTACAGTTCGTAGACGGATACTAAAGGCAATGGTTCAGATGGAGTGGAGAGCCATGTATGATCAGCACCTACCTACCCCGCCGCCTAATAAATCAGTGTGCGTAGTCACGAATCCCAGGGTGAACCCGTGGTGAGAAGTCAATCCATAAGTATCTCTGAGAGCACTTACAGAAGGATAGCAGGGCGAGGATGCCCTTGTCAAAGAAATTGAAGTTGAGCGTTGTGTTTATGCCCGCCGTCTACATCAACTCACCATCAATGTACATAGATAGATGCGGCGTCGCTCTGCATCCATCACTGCGCTACCGGCTCAACGATCATGTCGCTGTGGAGGACTACAGCACACGTACGTGTACAAACAGTACGAATGTAGTATCTTGCTCGGGGATCGCAATTAGTTCCGGATAGATTCATTTCGGAGATCTGCCTGTACTCACAGCTGAACAATCAGGACAACCAAAGCCTGTAACGCAGCGGACGCCGATCAGATACGCGAAGGGGAAATTTGGCAGCAGATGTACTCACTGCGAGGAAGGCCTCGGCCTTGTACCGTGCGCGTGAGCGTTGATTAAAGCCAGAATTAGAGCCACTGCTCACGACGAATGAACTACACAAGTCGTTTAGCAGACATTCTGATACGGGAATGTTGCATGCCTTACTTCGTGAATTGAGATAAGCCGCTTCTGTTTGCGTGGCTCTTGATGAGGCAGACCCAAATGAACTAGGAGGAGTTAGTTGAGCCCTGAGTGCCCGCAACAGTGGAGTGAAACTTCTGATACTTACTTGCAGATCACAGCATGATCTCGCCGTGTCGAATAACCTGGGCAGTGTCAGATGAACCGATAACCGAAGCACAGAGATTTACCAAAGGAATGCCACCTGCAACGATATCTTCGGTAAGTATCCTTTTAGCGGTAGATCATTTTCAGCATTACCAGAAGCTGTACGCGCTTGTCGTCGTGAGGATACTCGTAGAAATAATACAGTGTCTGTGCGATGGCAAAACCCCACAGGCTGCTTACAGGCCGACACCACTGCAGCGTCAATAAGCCTACCGGGAATATTAAGCATTGACGCACATCGACTGAAACAAGATCCCCAAGAATATACACCCCACAGTGTTGTTCAGCTCGTCGCTGGAAAGAGGTTGAACCATGATGCATGAGGGCTGTAACGCTGGACAAGCAGGAGAGGGGTGCGCGTCACAGGCCGCGGTGAGAACCTGTGGGGCTCAAATATGACTAGCTCAGCGAAGCTCACGGACCATCACACTCCGGAAAGGCATCTTACTTACTCGTGTTCGTGTCGAGCGTCGATGGGAAGAGTCGGTGCCGCCTCCGACACCACAAAGCTTGATTTTGGCCATCGCGTTTGCGGGCATTCCACCGGATGCTCGCTGCGGAGTCAATGATAGTACATTTCACGCCCGCGTCCTTCGCAAGGTGCGTGAGTTCGCCATCAGACGCTGCCCAGGCGCAGGCACAGGAAACATATCACCAAGCAGTCGCCGCTCAGCGCATGAGAACGCCCGAATGAGGCTGTCGTCTAGCCCCACTGGGGGTGAGAACGAGATGTAGTGGAGAGCCTCTGTAGCGACCGTGGCCATCATGATGATGAACAAGTACTTCGCCGATGGCCGGGAAGGGTCCCTCCATTGGGCATTTAGAAAGATCGTGCGCCGTAAGTAGCAGTGTGGTCCATCGGAGGACAGAAGCACAGAGCGGTCCGCGGCTGACGGGCAGATAGCTCGTTGAGCGTTGTCAGTGGATGTCACTCATGCGCTGCGCCACAATGGCGTTGTTGACTAAAAACAAACGTCCGTCGTCCATCGGGCCGTGGTCTCGGCACGGTTGCAGACCTACGGGCTACTACCTATAGTAATACTGTATCGCAATCATGATACTATTAGTGTCAATGATACTTCAGTACTATAGTGCTGATGCGCACACTATTGCGCACAGACCCTGCTGCTCGACATGTCCCGGTCCCAGCTTCACGACCAACAGAACAGAGCAGATGCACAGCGTTCGAGATTATACTACTACACAATATACAGACTACGACCGGCGGTTCTATATACTACGCTACATCTCATCTTTCGCTTCCGTCGCCTACAAGCGCTTCCAGCCGTCGCCCGCAGGCCACTTCAGCTCGTCCCTCTCAACGCCAAAGCTCCTTCGCGACGGGCTCTCTCGCCCGCCATCGTTCTCCCCCTCTCCCATCTTCAGCCTCCTCAACCGCCGACTCCACTCCGGCTCCTCGCTCCCCGGGCTCCTCACCGAGTCCCCCGTGATGTCCTGCCCAACAGAGCTCTCCCCATCACCCACCGCCTCCTCCTCGCTGTCAATCAGCCGCTCCTCGCCCTCCCGCACGCCCCACCGCCCGCCGAGCCCGCCGAGCCCCGGGCGCGCGTGCGAGTGCTGCACGAACCCGCGCGGGGTGAACGCCGCCTCCGCCTTGTACCGCGCGCTGTCCAGGCGCGGCGCCGCCTTCTGGCCCAGGCTCGTCAGCGTCTTCTGCAGGTTCGCGATCGGCTCCGGGAGCGCCTCTCCGGCGGCGCGCGGGCGGGGTACGCCCGAGAGCGAGTGGTGCCGGCTCAGGCTGTGCGCGCCCGTGCCCGCGAAGCTCGGCCGTGACGGGCTCATGAACACCGCGTCCACGGGCGAGATTGGCGCGAGCTGCACGCTCTCGGGGCGCCGATGCCGCAGCGGCGGGACGGGCGGCGGCGGCGACGGGTGGTTCATGCTCTTGCTACGGTAGACGCGGGGAAACTCGCCCGTCGCAGAGGGTGAGTTGGGCACGCTCCGCTCGCCGTCGACCCCAGGGAGCGACGGCTTGCGGTCAGGGTGCGTCGGGGGCGGCTCTGAGGGCAGGTCGCACAGCGGCCGGGGCGGCGTGCGTGTGGGCGAGGTGGTCGCAGACGCAGAGGGTGAGATCACGTGCCGCGAGCGCGACAGGGAGCTGGGGATATTCGCGCGCGCGACGGACTCGAACGAGCGCGTCGTCGCGCCCGAGATCGTCGACGCAGGCGGGCTGAGCTTGCGTCGCGGTGGCAGAGTCGGCGCCGCCCGCTCCCTCGGGCGTTCCCTAGCGCCCGAGCTCGACGAGCCGGAGCTCGACGGCGCCGCGGCGTCCTTCGTCGGACTGATGCTCCTCGTCCGCCTCAGGCCATTTACGCTCGACACAGAAGGATTGCTGCTCTTGAGCACCTCCCACACGCGCTCCTGCTCCAGCCTCTGCTCCGCCTTCTTCAAGCTCTGCGCGACGCGCGTCGCCTGGAGGCTCTGCTGGATCAACACGTGTGGGTTCGTCTGGCTCACGGAGATCGTCTCGGGCATCTTCGCGAGGGATGAGTGGCGCGGCGGTAGGGAGGGTACGACAGGTATAGTGGGCTTGCGCGGGGGCAGAGGCGGGGTGCGGCCCTCGCTCCGTGCGCGCGCGTTCGGGTTCGGCGCGCGCTCGCGCTCGCCGATGGCGGATGGGCGATGGCCCTCTTCGGAGCCGCGTCGCGCGAGGAAGGGGTTCGTGGACGGCTTGGGCGGAACGGCTGGGGGAAGCGGCGCGGATTTGGACGGGACCATGGGACTTGGCTTGGAAATGTCGGAAGTGCCAAAGGGGTTCTTGTCTGGGGAGGGCGGGTCATAGGATGGCGGAGGCAGCCGGTCGATGGATTGTGGCGCTGGTGGAGACGGTTGGGAATCTGGGTGCGCTGTGGTATGAATGTCAGCACATAGGTGACGATTCAAAGGAAATTGAAGCGTGCAGCCAGAGAACATGGAAAGGAGAAGGTGGGACCTGAAGACCTGACTGCACCAGGAAGACTTGCTAGGTAGATGTTTCCGCATACAACGAAACTGATGCACCACGACGTTTATGGGCGACCACCATAGGCTACGTGTGCTTGCTGCACACGCAAAGCATCACACTCGCTTGATAGCTAGTCCCGTCTCATGCTGGGAAGACCATGAAGCGTGCCAATAAGTAGCGAGTTCGATGCAGGACGCGTCAAGTGCGAAGGGTCATTAATCATTGCTTTCACAACGGCAAAAGCGTCTGAACAACCAATGGCGCGCAGCGGTAATTCAAAACCACACGCTGAGGCGCCGTGTCCGAACTGACCGTAGCGCGTTCGTCGACTCCCTGCTGGTCTGATAGCGGTTCGCGATGATGCTGGTAGAGTACCGCGTGTACAAACAGAGATGCGTGCCAACGGAGTTGAGACGGCAGTTGCGCAGTGGATAGCGGCCGCCGCGGCACGAGGGAAACATCAGAGGGCAGAGCAACGGGCGCAGATACAGCATGGCACGCCCAGTGCTTGGCCCGCACCCATGCTCCGCGAACCCAGTCCGAGGGCCTGCGCAGGAGGTGGTAGAGCCATATTGCGCAAGTTACTATGATGCAGGACTATACCTGAGGCGGTGTACCATGACCGGACAGACGCGCAGTGCTTCGCCGCATTATATGCGGCGCACAGGGGAGCATGTCGAGGGATGGTGGAGGCAGCCTGTAGGCTTCTCAAAGTGCAACGACAAACGTGACAGACCATACGCGAGGGCACGGAGCGAGACCACCACACGTCTCGGCGGGTCACGGCGGAGGTAGAGACGGCGCACGACTCACCCTGTACGAACACGAGGCCCTTGTCGACGTCCCTCCCGTTGAGTGCATGGTGGACGAGCCTCAGCACAGCGAAGAGCTGGCCGCCGGTGAGGACGTCCGCGGGCGCAAGGTTCGGACAGAACAGGCGGAGGATCTGCAACAGTCGTGAGAGTCGCGGCGAGCACGTTCATGGACGGACGCACCGAGTCGATCATCCCAGGCGCAAGGGTGGAATAGCGGCCGCGGAGCCACGCCCTGGCCTCGCGGACGCCGACCTTCATGTCCTCGTAGAACGTGTCGCTGGCTTGCATGTCGGGCTCGTCATCCTCGGCGAGGTCGCGCATGCACGCGATGTACACGGTATATTCGCCATCGTTCAGCGCGGAGGAGTGGAGCGTAAGAGGTCGCATGCACGGTCGTGTGGCAGGAGGCGGGAGGGAGGAGGTCGTGGACGGAGATGCGGCGAGGAGGAAGAGGGGCGACCACTGCGGCGCGGCCGCGAGGCAAGACGCGCCCGACGCGTGCGGTTGCCGAGCCTCTGCCCAGTCACATCGACCCGTCCGTATCACTGCGGCCGTCCCACCTGGCTGTACTCGCCATCTCTCCCCCGTCCATCTTCACTGCCTTTCGTCCAGCGAAATCGCTGAACAACTGGGCGGCAACAAGCCAACAACACCGAGGCCGGACACATCAGTCCGCGCGAGCCTCATGCGGTGCCGGACCCGTTGTTGTAACGTTCATGAATTCATTCCATGCTAGTATAGCCTGGATGTGGCCTATCGGCCAGTCTCATATGTTCGCGGAGCACGTCTGCTGATTGTCTCGCACTGGAAGCCCAGTTGGTGACTTGGAACACGAGAGCCTCTGTCTGGGCGCGCGGTCCTTGCATGCCGGTACACTCATATCTGCAAGTCAAACTCATGGTGCATCTCGTTGCCATCCCGATGATCGTCTGCAAGCATATATGCATCGACTTCGCCCGCATGACGTCGGAGCCTTCCGAGAGTAAGCCGAATGGGTAGCAGCATGTTTCTCGTTGAGATCTTGAACCCAACTTGGGCACATCTGGTTGCGTCGTTCTCCATCCGTATGCCAGTGTAGTGACCTATGGATCATGCATACATCGAAGGCTGACTAGCAGATACTGACAATCGTGTCCATCCGAATCGAGACTGTTCTTCCTGGGCCTACGTCTTATACCAAATGCTTCGCAAAGGAGCTATCGCCAATCCTTCGTCCGGCGCGATGTCCTTGGATCGGGAGCTTCTTAACGATCTATCAGCATGCAACAACACCCATATGCGACCAAGAGTCCGTTGTGAGGTGAGTAGTGCGGCGCCCGTTATGGTAAGTACTACGGCGATCTCGCCCTTGGACAATTCTGATACGAAGCTAATCAAGTACCTCCATGATCAGGCGTAGTCCACCAGCTGATTCAAATTTCCCAGAACAGGCACTGGGATCACACAAACAAATGAGCATGAGAACAGCTCATGACAAGCCATGGGTTTGCCAGGACATACTCATGAGAAGACGGCCCTCTTTTCTGCCCTTGCGTGCTCGTCTCGTGATCGGTGTGGCAGCGTTTCGCCGGCATATAAGTTATGGCTGAGCCGCCTTCCGCCCAACGACATACCTCTCATACCATGCCAGGGGAGATCCCTGCGCCGCAACCCGCGAACGGGCATGTTGTGGACGACGGATTTAAGCTCGGCGACTTCTCGATTGATGAATACAAGCCTCTAAAGGTCGTCTGCATCGGCGCTGGTTTCAGTGGGATCATCGCAGGGATACGGTAAGCTTGCACTTTGAAAGGGTGCCAATGACATTGCGCTAACGGTCTAATCTTCAGGTTCCCTCAACGGATACCTAATGTCGAGCTGACGATCTACGATAAGAACTCGGGCATAGGAGGGACGTGGGTCACCAACAAATATCCGTGCGTTCTGTGTCTGCTCAACATACGGTGATTCGCTGAGCGATGTATGCAGTGGCTTAGCATGTGATATTCCTGCCCACTGCGTACGTCCACCACCCACAACGCGCGTGCTACCACTAATCTGCCATGACCCCAGTACCAACTCACTTTCGAGCCGAAGGTGCGCCTCATATAACTCGCACCAAGCGCTTCTGCTCACCCCGAGCTCATGTGGCGACAGACCGACTGGTCGGCCTTCTACGCGCCCGGGCCCGAGATCTGCTCGTACCTGCAGTCCGTCGTCGACAAGTACAAGCTCATGCGCTACATCAAGCTCCAGCACCGCGTCGTGCACGCCCGGTACGACGAGCCCACCGGGAAGTGGCACCTCCGCATCCGGCGGCCTGTCCACCCCGGCGCCGCGCCGACCTCCCAGCCTCCGCCCAACGTCACCTTGGAGTCTCCGCCCAACGAGGGCGAGGCGTACGAGGAGTTTGAGGACACAGCGGACCTGCTGTTCACGGGCGTGGGGAGCTTGAGCCGGTGGAAGTGGCCGGAGATCGACGGGCTGAAGGACTTCGAGGGCAAGCTGTTCCACACGGCGGACTTCGAGGTCGGGGACGGGGATAAGGCGTGGCAGGAGGCTATACATGACTGGAAGGACAAGCGCGTCGGCGTCATCGGTGTGGTGCGTGCCTTCGTCTGGCCCGCAAATGCGCTTGAAGTCTCATTGACGGTACTCCCGGTCTCGTAGGGCTCGAGTGCGATTCAGATCGTCCCGGCGCTCCAGTCAAGGGTAAAGAAGATCGTGAACTTCGTGCGCGGGAAGACGTGGATCTCGACGCCCTTCTCGGGCGCGAAGATGGCGGAGCTCATGCAGCGGGATCCTGAGGCCGAGAACTGCACGTGCCATGCTCTTCACCGGTGCTACCATAACTGATCAACCCAGCGGATACACAGACGTGTTCTCGGAGGAAGACAAAGAACGCCTCAAAGACACAGAGTACTACAAACAGTTCAGGCACGAATTGGAATCTGATCTCAACGTGAGCCGACTCGGTATTGTGTTTTTGGCTTCTTTCTGATGGTGGTTTCCCGTTCACAGAGCGTGCATCCGTCGACGCTCAAAGACAGCGACGCACAACGCGCCGGACGCGCAGCCTTCCACGCTCATATGAAGAAAAAGCTCGCCAAGAAGCCGTGGATCGCCGACTTCCGTGAGATCAGCATCACTGGTGCTCTATAGACGCACTACTAAGCCTTGTCCTGGACCGACCACAGTGATCCCAGAGTTCGGTGTTGCATGCAGGCGATTGACAGCGGGGCCTGGTTACTTGGAAGCCTTGTGCGCGGACAACGTAAGTATACGCCCTCTCTCCACTCCGAGGCGATTGGTCGTCTGATGGACCATGCATGTACACCCATAGGTCGACTTCCAACCCACCCACATAAAGGGAATCACCAACAAAGGCATCGAACTCGTCGACGGCACGCACGAGGACCTCGACATCATCATCTGCGCCACGGGCTACGATTATTCCTTCCAGCTCGACTTCCCCATGGTTGGCCGAAACGGCGTCACGATCCAGGAGAAGTGGTCCCCGCATCCGTCAACGTACCTCGCCGTCTGCACGGACGGCTTCCCGAACTGGTTCATGAGCCTCGGCCCGAACAGCTCGCTGGGCAGTGGCTCGCTGCTGGTGCTGATTGAGCGACAGGTGGAGTACGCGGTCGCGGTGGCAAAGAAGATACAGCGGGAGAGGCTGAAGAGCATTGAGGTGACGAAGGAGGCTGTCGCGGATTTTGACGAGTACTTAGAGGTGGGCTGTCGTGATGGTGTCGTGCGCCGAAAACGGAGATGTCTGACTCATTCCACAGAGTTACTTCCCGAAGACAGTATACAGCGAGAAGTGTAGGTCATGGTACAAGATGGGGAAGGAACAGGGCAGGGTTGTCGCCCTATGGCCGGGTATGTCCCGCCCTGCTGCCGTATTGCCCGCAGGCTCATCCTTCCTAGGCTCGTGCCTCCACGCCGTTCGGGCCATCGAGCAACCGAGATGGGAAGATTTCCGGTACGAGCTTCCGGAAGGCGTGAAGAATCGTATGCACTGGCTCGGGGATGGACAGACATATAACGAGAAGACCATGACGGGCGATCGTAAGTCCAGTATTTGTGTCGCGTGTGCATCAACTGAACCTATTCACTGCGTAGGGGCGTGGTATCTGAATGACGATGAGGTCGATATTCCAACTGGTGCGTATACTACGCTACGGCTTAGTGTGCTGATTTCCTGAGGATTTATCAGTTCCCACCGGCGACCTTGTGCGCTGATTCGACCACGTCGCCGTTATGTTCTCATGCATGTCTTACCACGTCGACGATCGTGGCTTCGGTGATGACTGAGAGACCACTGATATAGCCATATCTGTACAGCAGAAATACCCAATGTATTCAGGGCTTCCCGACGCAAATAAATTGATCGACTACTGGCTACGTGGACGGCAGATGGCTCAATCCCGTTACACAATCAAAGACAACCTCTCCGTGGATTACTGGTGATTATAACGGGCCCTCGACCACTGGCTTCCTGTCGTTTTTCCAGATGCTCCAGACTTGAACTCGCGAATACCAAGAGACACTCGGCACATACCTCAAGTGCAATACGCCCCATTGGTGGTAGCCGTGCAGCACGTCGAGCACGCGCATCCGGCAACGTACACAAACTTGTCGGCAGGGCCACACTCGTAGACGAATGCGTTACCACCGTTGAGGCTCGGTACGTCGTTCGCACACCCTTCCGCGCCTGACGGAAACAGTTAGAACCCTAGTTTGACGAGCGGCGAGATGACGAGCTGCACTTACCCTGAGGAGAGCAGGGCTGACCGATGGGATTATAGACATCGCCGACAGCGGAGGTAGCAGCGACGAGCAAGGCAAGAGCGGTAGACGGGTAGAATTGCATCGCGATCGGTAAGGCTGGGTTGGGAAGGCGAGTTGTTGCTCTGGCTCACCAGAAGTAGCCATCGCGGGCCTTTATGCATTACAGACATACCGCTGGTGACATCACCCCGACGTTGGACGGGACAGCATTGGGGATCGGTCCCGCTCATGGGACAGCGCATCAGTAGGTCCTATCCGGCATTAACTCAAAGCGACAGCGCCCAACATCATGCCGGGAGCATCGCCGTTCATATGACGTTGGCGACGTTTAATGTACTGCGACCTACTGACAGCAGCTGGCGCAACAGTGGATGTCTTGAAACATGTTGTACAAGCGTGGTTGGCCACACGCACCATTAACCTGTCGCGCACCGCCATAGCATCACCATCGCGCACCAATGCTGTCCGGGACTGCGTTCAAGACCGCGAAGACTCGTCACAAGCGACGACTTGCGTCGCCGAAATGGACATCGTCTAGCGGCGCAGCAGGCTATTTGCCCTTGAACGGACCACTAAGGTAATAGTGTGAGTGGTGACCCCGGTCTTCCTCGCTCCACTGAACCGCCCACACGAGCGGCAACCTTTCAGAGGCTTTAAGAATCTCCGAGTCTCTGGCCGCTATGGCATGCCGCCAAGGTTATCGAAAGTCAATGTGTTCGGCCCATGCCGGCTGCTGCTGGATGGCTCGTGACGATTATGCAGATCAAGAGTCGTGTAAGTATGTGCATAGCAATTGAAAACGTTCTATCATGTAGATGTCGCCATGTCGTCTAGGCTTACCAAGGGTCGTCGCTGAGGTAAGCGCCTGTTCACTTCGAGTAATATTCTAACGCAGTCCCGGACCCAAAGTGTCCAGCTTGCATCGTCAACCGCGGGCTGCCAGTGTGTGGACGGCGTATGTATCGTTTCTGTTACTAACGCAATTTACTACAATCTTTCTGTGAAACATCGGCGATAGTGGCCACCTGCAATCGTTGGCTTTCTTTCATTTCTGCGAGATGCTCGAGGATTAGATCCGTGTCCACGAAGACCGGCAAGCATTCTGAACATACCTCAAGTGCAATAAGCTCCACTAGCGGTATACTCGCAGCAGTTCAAGCATGCGCAACCGGCAACATATACAAATGTGTCGGAAGGGCCGCACTCGTAGATGAACGCGTTACCACCGTTGAGGCTCGGTACGCCGTTGAAACAACCATAATCGCCCGTATGAAACAGGTTAAAACTAGCCTCAGGTTGACGAACGGTGTGATGATCAGCTGCACTTACCCTGGCCGGCGCAGGATTCGCCAATGGGATTGCCCTGGCCGGCTACGGAACTCGCTGCGATGAGGAAGGCGAGGACGGCAGATGTGTAGAGTTGCATGGTAAGATACTTGGACTGCTCGGTATGGCAGAGTGGAGAAGACCGCTGTTCATAGCCAGGAAGTAGCCATGACGAGCCTTTTTATACATCATAGGGCTGCGGTATACGATACGTACCGCTACCGAGCCAATAATCACGCTGACTTCGGAAGGGACGGCATTAAGACGCTGTGAAGTAAGCGCATCAGAGTTCCTGTCAGGTCCTGTCCGTCAAGTACTGACAGCAACATGCACGTTGACAGTAGCCAATATCTCGTGGGCAGGACCCCGAGACAATATCGGTCGCCCCTGCTGTGCCATGACCCACTGACCAGCACCTGGCGCAATGAGCCAACTTCTGTTCAATATATACACAACCGTTCACACGAACCGTCTTCCTGCCGTGCACCTTTCAGCACTGATACCATCGCGTACGGCCGCGACGCGGCTCTGGACCACGTAGCTCCAAGACCACAAAGACGCGCGACAAACGGCTTCGTAGTGACAGGTTTCCTGTGCCAGTTCCGCGCGTGCGCACCTGATGACAAGAAAAAACGCATCTTACGGAGGACGCGAGCGTGAAACGAACTCGTACACGTGTGAACAACATCCTTAACAGAGTCGGTACATGATGCAGGAGTACAGGTGGTGCGTTGCTGACGATGATGAACGACCAATAGGCTTCATCCCACCCGCAAATGTGCTACTTATATCAAAGTTATGTCAATTAGCAGGTAGGAAGCCAATGCTGCTATCACTCACTTCGCAGAGAACGCCTGCCAGGATGCGTCCTTGCGATGGCCGGTTTGCCAGTGCAGGTCTTGTAGCGTCCACGTCGTTCCCTCGACGTGAAACACGAACACGAGTGGGATACCTCTCTGTCAGTGTCAGAGTGATGGTCCGACACGATGGGTTTTGCTGAGATAGTCACATTGTGAGTCCGACATGCGCCCATCTCCTGCTCGTCCCGCGCTGCAGCCTCCATGCATATAATCACTTTCCAACGGCGGCTGGCTGAACTACGATGCTGTTTCAGTTGGTGTGCTTCAGTAGTGCTCGCTACCCCATGGGGGTCATTGACGACAAACGTGGTGGTGCTGGTGAGTACGCAGCCTATGACGTTTGCCTTCGCACAGACGCTGTAGTAGTCCAACCGCCATCTATGAGTCATGAGTGTTTGCACCCTTGAGGTGCTGTGTCGATACACATGGCAACGCCAGGCAGGACGGCATTGACGGTGCCTGAACAAGCCAACTGTCAGAGCGGCACAGTAGTAGTGTAATCGAACCGTACGTACCGGGCAGAGCGAATTGACAGAATGGGCCCCTTAGTCTGGTTGCGTCTATCGCTGTCGACCTGTAAGATATGCTGGAAGTGCACTGCTGGCGAGTCGTCGGTCGTCACAAGTGCGCCAGATCCCGTTCCATAGCGGTAAACGACGCAACGTGAGTAGAAGAATGAGTAGAGCAATTATTTTAGGTTTGACACAAACTGTATGTTCACTGTGAGGGCCTTGCGGCAAGACTATTGGCGATCGTTGCATAACTGAAAGGTCCAATACTCGATTGCAAACTTGAAGTGATAGAAACAGCACGCTCGGATATCTGGACATAAGTCGCGGAAAAAACCTATCCTCGCACTGCATTAGGGAACCCGGACTTTCTTCGTGACGTCTGCGTGCATTAGCACAAGCCGTCAAGTACCACAGCTCCGTCTGAAGTACGAGGAACTCGTTTACGCCAGCGAACAAAAGCGGCACCAACAGATATGTTGCCCCAAGCTATCAGTGACGGTAAATCACCAGAAAGAGAGGCCGAATGGCTTCGTTCTGTTCACATCATCTCACGTTAGAATACGTCATCTATCAGTGGCCTACAATATCTCACCTTGTACACTATGGGAGAGGAATATTGTATCAGCACGAGCAGAATCAGCGATCGCAACGAACTTACCAATGGCCTCGTCATAGTTCAGGTCTCCACCAGGCTCGCCGACGACAGAGTCGTAGCCTGCCGGGGGCTAGATACCGCGTTATGGCACGTTCAGATGACTAATGCGACACGATACTCACCGCAACGAGACTGTCGTCTCCGGAAGTCATCTTAATTGTCTTGCCCATGACGACGTCGCTGAGGAGCATTGCCTTGAGCGCTGACCCCCCACGCTCTTCAACGTAATCGTTCGCCTTCGACGATGTCGCGGAGGTGTATATCCCCTCGCCAAACCGGCCGAAATTCGTGCGCTGGCCCGCCTTGGCGATGTGGAACGACGTCTGGAGCAATAGGCTCGCTATCAGCACACATTGTACACGCGACAGAGACTACGAACGCGAATGATGCCACAGAGCGAGCAATGCGCACTGCGGCAGAGCTCCGGTTGGTCCTCGCTGTCACCGATGGTGCAGGCACGGATCGTCCCGTGCCACCGTCGCTTGCTGTTCCCGCCAGCATAATTGGTCTTGCGCTCGATTGCAAGCTTGTACCGCGAGAACTCGTCGGTGTGGTCCTTGTCGCAGTAGATCTTCCATATCTGGTATGACATGAGAGGTGGTCGCTCCGAATACAATTACTTGCCTACCTTGACCACGGTCGGAACGGGTGTAGGGTGCTTCCACTGGTCCCTAAACTGCTTCGACACTGAAAATCGTAGGTTAGGTGATGATGTGAGATATCATCTCACGAGACGAACTTGCCCTCGCGGAAGGATGCCATGTTGTTGGTGATGATCAAAATTATAGGAGCTGTTGGCCATCGGTTCGATTGATCAGTCTCGGAGACAACAGGAGTGCTCCTTACCTGAGCCAAATGTGTCTTCGCTGCATCGCTTTGAGCAAAAGTCGCTTAGCTTCCCGTTGGTAGTCGCCTTGGGCCACTTCAGGCAACTGATGATGCACAGTGAGTCCTAATTCTACGATCTAGCAGAGGTGATAAATACAATAGGCATGCCTCCGCCTTTCCGAAACGAACGGCGTCACTGTATGACACATGGACTGTCAGTGCCGGTACTGCAGCATGTCTATGTTGAGGCCTTACCGCCGATGTGCGTTGGAGCAATAGTCGCTCAGCATACCGTCCTGTCCGACGAAGGTAGGCTGCTGACATGTCGGGAACTTGCAGACACGAGCAACGGGAGCGGGCAAAGCACGCGGACTGGCTGGGTTTTGCGCGCCGGTCTGGAATGCTTCACGACAGCGTTGGCCGCAGAAGTCATGTACTACATAGGGAAGGTAGGGATCAATAGGAGTTGGGCACGTACTTATGAGACTGCGGACGTACCACGGTTGCCCTCGACATATGCTGGTCGAGACTCGCAGTTCTTTCCTATTGCGTCGAACATCATATCCAATGGGATCAGAAAATATACGCACCTTGCAGAGTCTGGCACCGTTGAGCTGCTTCATAGCATCTCTATGGGTCGTACCACAAAACGAGGAGTATGACCCATCGGGATCCTGCCGAGTTATACGCCCTCCGATGGAAAGATCGATGGCTGCCGATGTCCGGTGAGGGCCGCCAGCCACCTCCCGCAGTGGCTGGCGGTCGTTGCCGCCGTCCGTCGGGTGCCGGTGGCTGTCGGTGGCTGTCGGTGGCAAATGACTGACCGTGCTGGCGTGTGGTGGCTGATACCGTCTGCCGGTGGCATGGACTGGACAACTGGTGGATGCCACAGGTCGCCAGTGGTCTTATGTGGTCGTCGTTGGTTCCCACTGTACATTACCGAAACACAATGTTATATTGTGTTCTCTGCTGGAAGAGACTGGACTTCGGTGGCAAATGCTGTCCGCTGGCAGGAGACGGCGGACAATGGTGGCTATGCATACCGGCCGGTCAATGCCGGTGGCGGACACAAGGGTCCGGGAGTCAGAGACGAGAATTTCTTGATCTCATCTCATCCATTTCCGATGACTACTCTCAAAGGGCCTGTCGACATGAGCCGTCGAAAGGCCGAGCTCATGGACATTGCTTCGGGACTGGGACTCAGCACAGTCGGCAACAAAAAGACTCTCATCCAGCAAATTACAGAATATCTCGGTAATCACGACGACCTGTGTCTCGACCCGAAATTTCAGGGTCTCTTCGCCTACAGGCCGGACACGAAGATCGCGTCAGGCGGTCGTTCGCAAACAAAGCAGGGAAGCAAGACTAGTGCCGACAAGGTCACCGAAGATGATACAGCAGCCCAAGCTAGTCAGGAGAAAACGGCCACTGGGTCAGTGCCATACAAATACGTCACAGACGAGTCTGCTCACCGTCTCGTCAGGGCTGGGAAGACCCTGCAATCCCTGCAGATCTCCACAGATCCGCCGCCCCGGTTCACTCGTCTCCAGTCGGGTACATCTAAAATAGGAGGGAATTCGGGCGGCCCCGGGCCTGCAGTAATTCGGCGTATGAGTGTCATTCACTTCTCAAGGTCGTTGTGCTCACATATGTACTAGCAAACGAGGCCGCCATATCCACGCGGGACGACTCGTCCCTGTCGCCCATGTCAAGCCCTGCTGTACTGCCACAAGACATAGGGAGCGAGGGCGGTGACATCAGCGCTGTTGAAGTAGAAGAGCTCGCGCCCACGGACATACAGCCTGCCGACCTGCCGCATACACCTCCTAAGTGGCCGGTTGGCTTACCGTCGACAGTGGACAATATAGGTCCTAAACAGGATAGTGAGTACAGGTCCAATGCGTGAATGAATCCTTACAATTTCTGATTCACTGATTGATGTGTGTCAGTTGTTGTTGCATTTCACCGGACTTCTGGAGATGCTGTACAGTCGACTCTCGAAGTGTGTGTGAAAGAGGGCCGAGGAATATCACTTGTGCGATCACAGGCCGCTGACGGCACGACGTTGTACACTGCCCGATTATCGGAGCTCCTTCCCGCAGCTATCAATCAGGCGAGTCCTGTCAAAGGTAAGTAGCCATCTACTCAGTCAAGACAGCAACTTACTGATAGCTCGTAGCTGCTGGTGGGCGCCTGTATCGGGCAGGTTTCAGCACCGAGAGCAGCAAGGTCTCGCTTGGATCTGTCAAGAGTGTCGTAGAGGGCAACGGCCATCAGTTCGAATACAACCGAGTCGATCTATACAAATTGCAACGCACCACAGACGGCGACTCACTCCTCTGCAATGTATACCTGGATGGTACTACTGTCGTAGGGCAAGATAGCAAGGTATGAATTCTCACGCCGCCATCCAACCATTTGCACGACTGGACACAGCATCTACTAGGATCATGCTTCGAGCGCCATGCAAGCGGACAAGATAGCTGCACTTGACATCCCGGCATCGCTACAGAAGGATGCTCATCCTGCTCCAGACATGGTCAGCCGCACACAAAACACAAGTGGTACGGACAAGGACTTCCTGGGCTACCTTCGTGAGCTTTTGGATGCTCCATCCAAGCCATGGCCTCGCGCAAACTCGATTGGCGTGATATTGAAGCGCCGGCTTGCTGTGATTCATGCGATGGAAACTCTGGACAGTCGTGGATGGTCGCAATCGACAGGAGGCTATGTAGTTGCAGATGGTAAGTACTATCAGGCATCTACGAGTTCATGATCAGAATACTCACAGTATCGTAGACGAAGATACTCCCTTTGCTGGGCGCAAGTTCACCAAACAGACAGTGTACGAGGCATTGCACATAAAGCATTCAAACGCCTCCGACGACGCACGGCTCTTTGCAGCCCAGGATTTGAAGAAGTTGTCTCGTGTCCGAGCATGGATGGCAGATCCTGAAGGAAAGTACAGCAACGACTTTAGTGACATGACTGTTGCCGAGTTTAAGAGGTATAAGGAGAAGGCACTCACCCAGAAGATGTCGGTCGAGAAGGAAGAGTATCGAAAGGACCAGAAGGGAAAGAAGCGAGCAGATCGCTCTGATTCGGAGGGAGAGAGTAGTGGATACTTACGTCACGAGCCAAAGCGCACTAGAAAGTCTATAGGGATGGACTCCAGCGACCTAGATGTCTAGTAGCTTAGATACTCTTGCATTGCTACGCACGTCTGCGTCCGATGTTGCCAAATAAAGTTAATGGTCTGGCTGACACGTGATCAGAAAAACGTACTGAGAGCTCGACGTGCAGACAGCTTACAAGGCTCGTCTGCCATGGCTCCAACTGTCCGTGACCTCATATTCGTCCTTGAGATGTTCTTTCCACGCTGGATGGCCATGGGGCAGGCTCTATGTGTTCTTGATACTGTCCGGCTGCTCTTCCCCATCCTGCAACTCCACCGCCGTCAGCGCCAGGATCGACGGCAACCACGACTTACTGGATGGCTGAAAAGCATATTGGCCTCGATCAAAACTGCATATCAAGGCCCTCAGGCGCATATCGGCTATGGTGGACGGGAGGCGGAAGCCGAGGCGGAGGAGTATGCCGAGGCTATGCATGGCGATCTGGAAGTCCTGTTTGAGCTCATGGGCTGGGATGATGAACATCCCGTGAATGCTGGTTTATATACTAACTCATACCTGGTGTTGTGCACAGAACGGCGGAGCTGCGCAGTATGTGCAATCACAGGTCACGAAGCTTCACTCCGGCGCCGCATAGAAGGGCGCAGAGTCAAGGTTTTGACGGCAGGTCTTCGATGGGTTCAGGCTGAGCTGTTCGTAGGGCACTGCATCAACTGCAGGGCAGACCACTATCCCGACAGAGTCACCTACCCAAATGGCCATGGGGAACGTATCGAGCGTCTCGAGTATGACACCAAGTATCTTCGCATCTCGAAGCACGGAATCTGGACGGAGCGAGATGTTGCGGTCATGCAGGAACACATGCTGTTACGGTTTCGTGCAGGGTGGTCGAATGTCGCAGACTATATCAACGATCTCCTACCACAAGGCACTCTACAGGTCACGTACCGACAATCACGCCGTCTGTTCCTCGAACACTTCTCACGACGGTTACTCGTGGCACATCAAAAGGCTCATGACTTCACATGCCCAGCGCACCCGAGTTCACAGATGTTTGCGGAGCATGTCAGACGGAAGATCGGTGAAGACGGAGGAGTCAACATCCAAGCACTACATCATGGTTGCACAGGCTGTACTCACCGCAAACGCTACCGTGCCGATCTTGTGCAGGAGGGTGCCATGTTTCACGAGATTGATGCTGTTGCTGGCATTCAGCGTGTACGTCGAATGGTCTCTATTATCAACCTAAAAAGAGGCTTACTTGCAATGGTGTACCAAGGCAGATCTGGAACTCGCCGCAGTGGACAATGCCAATGCCGAGATTAGGCCAATCCCCGTAGGCATTCCCATTCGTCCACCCGCCCAAGACGCACCCGCTCCAGGTGAGCCACGTGGATATGTTCGAATGGCCGTTATGGACGGGAAGAATGTTGGACATCGTGTAAGCGTATTCGTAGATGCACATCAGTTATCGATCACTTACACTCCCCGCCGAAGATATGTGCCCTTGAAGACTGTCGCAAACCCCTGATTAACTTCAGGGATGGTCGCTTCTGTCAGGACCACACACCTATGCAAGATATATGTGGCATCATACCGTGCGGGCGCCCTGTCCGTAATCATAGCGCCATGACATGCGATGATCCCGTCCATCGCAACTGGCATCAACAATGGCTGAATCGCTTCAGCCGTCTTTCGTTTCCTGGAGTGCAGCGAGTCATCCGTCAGCAACGGTTGGACCCAAACGCAGGCCACGCACCCCGGGCAGGACCCACTCTACGAGTGAACTTGCCAGCGCTGAATGAAATCCCCGGAGATCGCGTCGTCCATACATTCCGCGCGCGTTCTGTCTACTGTCTGGAGACACTCCAGTGGGCTTGCGGCATGCCAATCGCATGGGGGAAGTGCTACAAATCCGAGAGTCAACCCCAGGTTTACGCATTCATTGATCGTGTATGGCAAACTCACCGTGACCTCCGCCCCGGATTCATCGCCTATGACGATGCCTGTGATCTCCTCCGACACATCGTCACACAGAACCCCGGGGATTCCTGGCTTACGACTACGAAGTTCATCGTAGATGCCTGGCATTATATCGGGCACAAGGCGACGGATGCGCTGTGCCGGATGTGGTGTAATCCTGCACCGAAGGATGGCTCTCAGCCTGATCTCGTTCTCATACAGGAGGATGAGGATGGAGCGAGACATCAAATACGCGCCTTCAACACGGAGACCGCGGAGCAATTGAACTCCTGGCTGGATGGTTTCGAGGCCCAACTGCGCAATATGACCAACATCAACTACGATATCTTCGTCCATACACTCTTCATGCTGTATGCCGAGCGTGTCCAAAGACGCATAGACTCGAGTGGTGACGCGTTGGATGACGGTTTCTGGGAGGAGGTGGATGCGAGGGCAGAGCAAGGCGAGGCGGCCATAGACGACCGAATGCGCGTAGATCAAGACGAGGCAGCCATAGACGACCGAATGCGTGTAGATTAATCCAGCAGTTGTTGTCGTCAACACTTTGCACACGGAGCCGTCATGACGATTTGCTTCCGTGTGGGGAGCTGGGGTCAACCGTCGGGGGGCGGGACAGTGCGACACGGAGGCAAATTTTCGCATGCCGTGTTTGTACATATATATGCTCATACCAGTGGCAAACAGCAGGCACCACAAACCACTGGTAGCAGGCACCGGGAACCGGCGGCATCCAGCGACTGGTGTATTGGCATCCACTGTACGTCTGCGTCGAACACCGACCACCGCTGGCGAACGGCGCTGGACGATGCATGCCAGCGGATCCTGGCAACGGCCACTGGAACGCAGCGGCTGCGACGGTGAGCGCCACTGGCTACCTCCGAATCGGGGCGAATCTCGGTGGCTGCCATCTTATCTCGGCGGATGCCGGCCATCTTATCAACTCCGGGCATATCACTGATCCTGCCACACATTTTGGCGGCAGTTCGGATACTCGCACACTGTGCGCTGCGTGCGCGACGTGTCGGAACACATGCTTCAGCTCTCTACGTCGCGGTATGGTCGTGGTCAGAGAACAACTCGTGAGTGCGAAGCAAGGGGTGGTACAGGGTCGTACAGTACTTATACGCGACGGACAATGAAACGATAAGTACGGCTTACATGTACGGAAGAAGCGACCCAAATATGGCAAGTGCCTTAGCCGCCGCTGGGAATCCACTGGAACGACTCGGACCATGGCCTGCGCGCAATACGCCGTTACTTACTTTACGCCTTCATTTCTGCAACGTCACCGCGCTCTGCTTCATCGGTAGGCTATTCAGAATGCAATACGTTGCTACTTTGAGACGAGCACAGTACCGGGCTGGATAAATGATACCTGAACAAGCCACCATCAGGTGGTCAAACCGTATTGGGCACCGTGGTTTTGACATGGTGCGTCCTATTTGCGTCTTTCGACCTTTCCCACTTTCATTGAATAATCCCTTCTCAAGCGTCAACGTTCACCATCGACGTCCTCCAGACGAAGTTTGTCGCTGTCGCCATACTACGTAGACATGAGTCGGCCGCCCACCCACCACTACATTACTCGGACGTCAGCCGCGCGTCCTACTCCTGCCTATCGCAGTTTTGCGTCGGTACCATATCCGACTGCTACTCAGGACAATCGGCCACCAGCGTCCGAGTCGCATCATGGTCGTCGCAATGGCCGATCAATGTCGATCTCTGATCCGCAGAGGCATCGAAACGAATCGTCAGCGATACGTATGGACACGCAAGAGCCTGTTGAGCGAGGTGTGTCTATTACTCAGAGTGTGTAGGTTGATAGTCAAGTATGACGGTCACCCAGTCGTTCCTCCGAGGCCAAGTGAACGCACCCCTCGCTCTCGTTCGTACTCTCAGCCACCGCCTGCCCCACGCACGGAGCCCGCACCTGCAATACGCTTCTATCACCGCGATGAGCCTTACTATGAGTGTGCATTCCAAATGCTTCGGCTATCTTAGCGTAGTAAACGTTGTCAGGTTCACCAACTTCGCGCCGTATGCCATACACTGGGATGGTCGCATGTACCCAACCACAGAGCACCGTGCGTCCACGTCTGTTTCGCCGTTGATCCACATTTTCACTCATAACACTCAGTGTTCCAGGCACACAAGTTCATGCCGCACCGACCAGACCTGGCGGAGCGTATCCGCTGCCTCCCCAGCTCCCGCGCAGCACTCCAGGAGGCAGGGAACCTGCGCCCATTGCAGCGTACAGACTGGTTCGAGGTCAACGTCCGCGTAATGGACGACGTCTTGGAGGCCAAGGTCTCCCAGCATTTCTCGCTTCGCGACATGCTTCTCCAAACGGGCACCAGCGAGCTCGTTGAGGACAGCCCGGTACGGATGGGCCCCGCCCGCAAATCATTGCTACTGTGCAGGCGCTGATCGCCTCGACAGGTCGATTCGTTTTGGGGATGTGGCCAGGATGGCCTAGGAAGGAACGAGCTGGGCAAGGCGCTGATGCGGCTGCGCGACAAGCTCAGAGCTCGTCCAGGGTCAGCAGGTGATCGATTCGTGTGGACGTCTCCCCCGCCGGAGAAAACGACCCGCTCGGAAGGCCAACTGCCCCCCTCTGGACCGACGGGCTCACAGCAGAGCCGCGGAAGGGCGTCTGTGCGACCGTCACCTGTATCCGCGAAGGAACAGGAAGGAAGAAGGCTGCGACGGCGCACGGGAGACGTTGAAATCCAGTCTACTGGGGCGCCCGTCAATGAAGAGGCGGTACGCCCGACTGAGGTAAGTATGAGATAGGTCGGATGCCGCGATGTCTCAACTCAGCAATGACGGTCTGAGTTCTTCTCTGACAACTACATGTTAGGACCGGCCGTCCTGGAGAACCCCGGAGATGCCGATGGGAGGGGGGTGGAGTAGTTCCCATCGTTTGTGACGCCGTGGGCGTTCAAACATTCATCGTCGACATTTGTGATTCAGACTGCCTAGAGTTTCCGAGACAGGAGAGAAATGTGACGAAGGGTTGGATTCGTTGTATGAGTATATTCTCCACGTATGATAACTGAGCTTCGAATAGTCTGGATGTACAACACGTCTATGTACGTCGGAGCCTGTGTCGTGTACGTCCATATATGCGTGTAGTTTCATTCGAGATCTTACTCGGACGCAGAGTCCCAGCTAGTGACGACTCAATCATTGCGATTGTAGGACCCTGATCAGAGGATATGCGGTCATGATGAGAACACAGCGCACGTCAAGGCGCACGTACCAAGTACTATTAATGATAGATTAGCCGTACAGACCTCAATGGTCGTGCCGTAGTTTGTCGCGCAGTCGCATGAGTGCATTGCCGAGTTCATTCCTTCCTTGCCTATCACGGCCCCACCCCCAGAACGAATCGACCTGCAGGAAGGCTGAACACCTGCACAACGCATAACGAACAAGGGCCATACCGGACTGTCCTCGACGAGTTCGCTGTTGCCGGTCCCGAGAAGCATGTCCCTCAATGTCGGATGCTGCGTGAACTTCGCCTCGAGAATTGCATCCATGACGCTGATATTGACGTTGAACCAGTCTGTGCGCTGCAGCCTGCGAAGACGCCCCGCCTCCTCGAGTGCAGCACGGGGGCTGGGGAGGAGGCGGATTCGCTCGGCCAGCTCTGGTCTGGTCGTCATGAATTTGTGTGCTTGAAACACTGGGTTTGATCATGTATAAGACCTCAAGGACGGTTACAGGCAGCCGCAAGATACGTACAGTGTTCTGCGGTTGGGTATGTATGGCCATCCCAGTCAACGGCATACGATGCGAAGTTCGTGAACCTGCCAGTAATGACGTGGAGAAGACATGTCGATTTATTAACATCAGTAGGCCAAGGTAGCAAGAACACTTGAGTACGCACTCAAAGTATGGGCGGTCGCGGTGGTAGAAGAGAATTGGATCTTGTGGTTGATCTGGATCTGCTGCAGTGGCGGGGAGGAGGAGCGCCCGCGCGACCACTTCGACATCACCTTCCACGTACACCTTGATCCAGTGCTACATGCTTACCTGGCTGCTTTGCTTCGTCGACATCCGCAGGGCTGTACGACCTCAGCTCCGTCTGGTGCACCTGTGGTCCTGAAGCCGACGTTTCGTGACTGCCTCGGCGATGCGATTGTTGACTCTGTCGACCTAGGCCTCGACATGTTACTCGCTGAAACAAAGAGCAAAACCAGTCGAGCAAAGACATGGCTGCGAACAGTCTTGCTACAATGTCGAATGACCGGTATTCATGTCTGCGCCAAGTCGACGCCTCACTGCGCACGCATGCAGAACATGAGTCGAGCCTGCCGGTATTCGTGCTGCTACCGGAACATGTGGCACTGGCAGGAACTGAGTGAGTCGTGTTCCCCATGCATTGGTGCGTCATCACCTAGGGTTCTTATGGTCAACAGCGGTTGACTCTGTGATTAGCAAGTCATCGGTTCAGTATCTGGCAGCGAAGAACTACCGCGATACGTGGGCAATTGTACAATTCTGGAGTAATCCCGTATCAGCACACAATGGAAGTTCGACCTACGATACTCGTAACCCAGCGGTTGCAACCGCTCTGATCCTTGGCCAGCTTCTGAATAAACTTCGGCTCAAAACAGGTGAGTGAGGTAGCCACTTTACTGTACTCGACCCACATTTCCGCAATCTATCGAACCTAAACTCTATGGTTGCCTTCTCCCATGCGTTGCTCAATGGTTCTGCAAGCATCCATGCGTCTTGACCACCAACCGTTTCCGTCGCAGCACGGAGCTTTTGCAGATCAAAGTGAGGTTTACGGCGTTTGCGGCGTGTTGTGGACACATTAATGGGAACGCGTTATGATCGATGGATCGCCCACGCCTATTGTAGTACCATTCTTACGGGGCGATGAGACACTCAATGGTGCGCGGAGGGACTTGGCGAACATCGTGAGGTGTAAGTTCATTTGCCCTTGTTTCCTTGTGTCCAGTGCATGCATCTGACGATGTAAACCAGTGCGGGGACCATACCGGTATACATCGAGATGGGAGACTGAGTTTACTGCTGAGCGAGTCAATCGTGTCTTCTAGGGCCATAGTCTCTGCGGAAAGCGCGGTCGCAATGCGTTCCAAGCACACCAGAGAACTCGCGGACTCGGGGAAGTCATGGCTATGATGTCAGTATTCCAATTTGCATCGCCACCTTGTAGGCTGATGCTACCTCCGTCTCACATCGCGAAAGCCGCGTTCACCGTTGACGCCTGCTTCCAATACCGCGACGTGCCCGCGACGCAGACTTTAGCTGAGCGATCCCAGATTGAACATGAATTCAACAACAGCCGAGTTTCTGACTGGAAGGAGAACCGGCGCTGCTCTCGGATGCTGCAGGTGCGAGGATAGTCTTGATCCGTCTCCACTTCGACACTCATGCGGAACAACGCGGATCCATTTATCATCGAGTCCCCAATGAGGGATGAGTGCTATCCTGTGCAGTATACTGATTCATGCCCGTCATGGTACAGAACAAGTCGTGTCGAAAGCCCTGCATCGAGCACGTACTCAAAAGCTCGCCCAGCCGAGTCTATCTGCTACATCGCTGCTCCCCGCGTTCTCGTGGGCAGGGTGTTTCGTCTCCGATCCCCCGCCGCGGCGAAGGACACCAGGCTGTCTACCCCCTTGATCCTTCGCAGAAACACGCGACGATAGGACATGCGTACTTCCACGGCTGTTCTGTGGGTCCGGCAGCGCGAAGGGCGATTGTCCTTCAGAGCGAGCCTGTGCATCTGGTGTGGGAGATGTCCACACGAACTGACCACCTGCGAATGCAGGACGGTCTCTGAGCTTGTCGCGCAGCCGCATCAACGCTTTGCCTAGCTCGTTCCGTCCTTGGCCATCCTGGCCACATCCCCAGAACGAGTCAACCTAGTGGAGTAATCAGCATCCGGACGACTCAGTGACACGCGAGCGACGCTCTTGCGTACGTACCGTGCTGTCTTCGATGAGCTCGGTGTTGCCGGTCTTGAGGAGCATGTCACGCAGCGACAAGTGCTGCGCGAACTTCGCCTCGAGGATGTCGTCCATCACCCGGATGTTGACGTCAAACCAGTCTGCGCGCTGCAGCTCGCGCAGGTTCCCTGCTTCCCGAAGAGCGTCGCGGGACGTGGGGAGCAAGCGGATGCGCTCCGCCAGTTCTGGTTTATCCGGCATGAATTTGTGTGCCTGGAACACTGGGTAGGGTATACGCCGCTGTGAGAACACCTGCTTGTAGAGAGCCGCAGTGGACGTACGATGTTCTGCGGTGTGGTACATGCGGCCGTCCCAGTGAATGGCATATGCCGCGAAGTTCGTGAATCTGGTAACAGGAACGGTGAATCAGCATTTCTGGGTAGACCGCATAGCACAAGGCATGGCCACGTACTCGTAATATGGCCGATGGTGGTCATAAAATCGAATTGCAGGTGCTCGATCCGTGTGCGGGGATGATGGAGGCTGAGAGTGCGCACGAGAGCGTGCACAAAGAGGCGGCATAGGTTCGTTGCGCGTCGGCATGGGTGGAACATCTTTGTGCATGACTCAGATGAGTAGCGTTCAGCGCTCTATGTGTATCATTAAGACTTACTGGGTTTGATAGATTCCTGTGCGCCCATGGGCCTGGCCGACAACAACTTACCAGGCCTGTGTGTATCCGGGATGGGCCGTATCTCGCGGGTGCGACTCGGGTGCAACGGTCCCTTGTCTTGTACAGCAGTCCGATATGCTACCGTCGTACGTGTTGCCGATGCATGTGGGCGGTTGATGGACCTATCCATGTCGATGGCCGCTTCTGCAGCAACGAGGTTGAGGGACAAGAGGATGCCCAGGAAGAAGGCGCCGACTACGGAGCGAGGGGCGAGAAGACGACTAGACGACCGCAGGTGGGAAACAAGAGGCAACATATACAAGCGAAATGAATTGCTTTAAAAGATGACATGTGTGGCTCGACGACTGACATGAGGTCGGTACGTTCTGAATGACTGGTGTGTTCGTCAACTCATCTATCAAACCTTCCTGGGTTCAAGAAGCATGACGTCGCATTATCGATGACTGCGTGGAAGCTCTACACATATTTCGAGTTCTAGGTGCTATAACAATATATTGCTGCCTTCGATGTCTTCGCTTCCACCTCACTTACACAGGCGACTCCGATTGTTCTCGCGCCGAACATGGGAGTACCCATCAGCATCGACAACATTCAAGAGGAAGCCATTCTTCAAACTGAGGCCCATCGTCTTGGTGGTCCAGGTATGTAGCCTACCATTCACATGTTTTCGGCTGCATTGAGTTGTCTCTTCAGCTCCTGTTCTGGTGGAACTCCAAGAAAAAACACTTGAGTACATGGCTGGTACGTTTAGACGCCAGCTGTCTGACAAGCCTTCATACCGTTTCCGTCGTACAGTTGTGTCTCGCTTTGCGAGCCAGTGGCGTCACCCTACAGCTAAGCCCAAAGTGGTCAAGGTGCACTCCCAAATACGCTGAGATTATTCCTAACTGACCAATGAAATTGTAGATCTGGAAGATTCACTGTTTCCCGTATATCAACAATAGGTTCACCGAGTATCAGAGAGCAATAGCTTCCAAAAACAGCGCCGTTCGGGGAAACACCCGTTTGCTATGGCATGGAACAATCCGAACATGCAGAATTGGCGACAGCGGCAACAATGTATGTACTAGGAGTGACTGCTCATTATGTGGAATACTCAAAGTTTGCGACTTTCAAATATCGTCTCATCGCACAAGCTGACAATGCCTCGATGTGTTCTTCGCACAGGCGTCTTTCTCCGTCGCCAAAGTCGGTCAGCATCACAAGTTCTCCCGTTTCGGAGCAGGGATATATACGACCGCAACGTCATCCAAAGCGAATGACTACGTACAAGAGCGGGGTGGGTCTCCATACAAGGCGATGCTCCTCAATGCAGTCGTGGCCGGCGCAGAGGCAAAGATGACCAGAAATGACACGACACTTTCCAAGGTTAGCAAACTTCGAACGGAGACGCTATTGGAACGGACTGACACTTGTTCTCATCTAGCCACCTGGTGGTTGTGACTCCGTTCTTGGTGTGCCGGGCGCAAAGTCGGTTTTGAACTACGACGAGGTGGTCGGTCAGTAGCTCTCGAGCAATGCGCTCGAACGAACCTGAGATGCTGATTTCGGATCTAGTTTACAGGGTGAATCAAGGACAACTCACCGATAGACTATGACACTTACGACTTGCATGCTCGCAGGACGACGCTATACGCCCGTCTTTCCTGGTCATTTATCGCTAGGTATGCGGATGCGATAACTCACTTTCTAAGTTGTCCCTTAGTCTGAGTGCGGACACATAATTTCCCGTTGTGGTGTCAAATATTTACTATGGACAAGTATTGGTACTGAAATGTGGCTGTTCACGCCACAAGCCGCCGTCAAGTTGCTCTCCCCGTTATGTATGATATATATTCGGGTTCTTGCTTCAGTATGAGAGCGGTCCCGCATACCGAGACATATGATCTGCACTACCGTGCAGTGTTGCGGGAAGTGCACTGCACTGTTCAGCGTTATGGATCAGCGACTCCAAATCCGGGGCCCACCGAACTGGCGTAACGCATTCCTGATCTGGGTTAAGACTTGTAGCGCTCTCTGACTTCGAACTGAGGCTATGGGCAAGGGGCAAGGGGCAAGGGGCAAGGGACATGCTGTTTCTGTCGGCGTTGTACCTAGTTGTACGCCACGCACTGATCAGAATAATACCAACTGTGTGGTCTCACGGTTTTTGTACTTCAAGGTTGGTCTCTACTCTCGCGTCAAGCCGCCGCCTGGTGCCACCGATGAATCACACTACTTACATCTCGTCTGCGTTGCAGTGGTAGCGCAGATCGGTGTCCTCGGAGCGGCCTATTGCCAGTCCAGAGGTACGACGTTCAATTCGGAGCAGACGTTGCGGTCTAATTTTGTCGCATTCAGCTCGGTTCAGGGTGCACGCTCCAACTTGAAGAATGTCATGTCGCGTCTACTGTCACATAGGACATGTAAGTTCCTGTGCCCGGATCTCATTTGACCGATCTCAGGAGCTTGGAACCCCAGACACCAATGGTGTGCGGACCTAACTTGTGTGGTCAAAGGGGATCCTCTTCTTCCTGATGGCCGTCCTCATGCACAACACGATCTGCGGCCCGACTTTCTGACACTTCTCCATCGGTACGATCATCAGGCAATCGCATTGCAAAGAAGCCGAGTATACCAGTCGAGATACACGTTGAACACATGAGCGTCGCGACCGCAACATAGAGCTCCGGAGCTTTGTGGTCGGACGGCTTGAGGCGATACTACTGACAGGTTCGGAGATGACGTCCTACATGGAGTCGAGAACATTGTATGCACATTCACCTCTCTGGCGTGCTTTGAAGTCGAGAACATTGACGGTATGCACATTCACCTCTCTATCCATTCTACACATAAGTACTGCCAGGCTGGTCTCGCATTTTATTCGACTTGGACGTGGAAAATCTTCCCCTAACCTACATCTGGCTGACTATGCTTGCCCACAGCCTATTGCACGCGCTGAACAACATGTCAACATGTAACTATCCTGGTTGCAACAAAGGCGCGTGGAAGAACCCCGATGGCTCGTATTCCTCTTTCTGTTCGAAGGGACATAGGGATGCTATGCAACAACCCAACGGGGCCTGTGCAGGCGGCGCGACCAAACTTTGCAAGGTGCGTGAAGGAAGTCCGACCTAGCCCTGTCTCAACCCAAAGTGTCATTACATCTGAACACGATAACATAGAATTGCCAATCGCGACCCGTCTACATTGACGGTAGCCGCAGTACGTTGACATTTGTATGATTATACTCAAATCTCACGTCGGTCCGTGTTTGTAATAAAGCACACGACTTTTGTGGGATCAAATGTCGTGACGCCTTCCAATCAGGCGGAGGAACGGGTCAAGCAAGTCCGCGTACTGGCATCTGCAAGCTCTCGGGATGCCAGAAACCGGTGTATGTAGGGCCAAATGGCGTGCCAAGTGGTTATTGTTCCAGATCGCATTGCACGTAAGGACTTACGTCTAGCATCCTTGCAATGTCGTGCACTGAAGGATCGCGGCTTGCGTAGCCAAGGAAACACATATTCGACCGAACTATGCCTCCGGTATGTCACAGTGCTCCCTATTGAACAATAGCAACGACACTGATAAACCACGTTTTTAGTTGTAGACAGCATCCGAAGGTCATCATTGGCGGGAAGCTGAGCGACTTTTGCTCTAATAAGTGCAAAGAAGACACATTTGGCTCGGGTAAATGGTGTTCTTTCCTTCGTTACCTCAGTGCCGTCATGCTGACGACCGGTGGCAGCTCCTGTCATCTTGAACATCAAAGAGGATACGGCGGACTTCAAAGATGGTAAAGGTGTTTCGTCATGCCATGATTACACGATGTAACGTCTGTCTCCGTCTGTAGTGTCGAAGCAATTCAAAGACCATTGGAAGCACCCCACTACTGTGCCCACGGTGGTCAAGGTCGTTTTCTATCATCCGCTTAGCAGAGATGATCACTCACGAATGCTTCCCATCTAGATGTGGAAGATCTACTCCAACAAACAGCACACTGACGGCTTCTACTCGTACAAGCTCGCTGTCGAACGCAGGACTGGTATCGCAGGAGGGAACAGCAGGCGGCGGTGGCACGGCACAATCCGGACCTGCACTATCGGCGACAGCGAGAACCTGGCTACTCTGTGCCAGGACGCCAACTGCTCGCTCTGCAGAATCATCCAAGTTCGTAGTACCTCACCATTGACGTTCCTATTATCTCTCCAATGCTCACACGACCGTACTACCTCAGTCCTCCTTCCGTGTCGATAAAGCCTGCGCCCGATTCGGAGGTCGGTTCGGCAAGGGAATATACACCTCCGCAACGTCGTCGAAGTCGAACGACTACGTCAAAGTACTGGGAGGATCGCCACACAAGGCGATGCTACTCAATGACGTCGTGTTGGGCAAGACAAAGAAGTTGACGACTAATAACTCAGGTCTGACTGAGGTGAGTATGTCGTAATGTAATGCTGTAGTGTGATTATTTGGTGTACTAAGATGCCGAACTATCTGATAGCCACCGCAAGGCTACGATTCTGTCGTCGGCGAGCCTGGTGGCGTCTTGAATTACGACGAGGCTGTTGGTAAGCCTGAGATTTTTGCCGCTATCTACTGTCTGCTTGCGCTCATACAATAACGTACTATGTCTTTCTTACAGTCTACAAGGTGAGATTATTTGGCCACCGAGTGGCAATACGCTCTAACTCTGGATACAACGTGCAGAACGAAGCCATTCGGCCCCTGTTTCTGATCATCTACAAAGGCTAATCATCAATATCCAACTCGTTGGTCCTCGCATGCAGGACAGCGTGCACTGGCGTCGTGATCCCTTATTTATCTACTTTGTGTATGCAATTCGCGTCCTCATGTCACTGCAGTCAGACAGTCTGTGTTCGTGGTCTACTTCGCGATTAGTAAGGCGTGGTAAGTCAGCCTTCTCAACCTGGCTTTATCCTTGTAGCTCAGCGCTCAGACCCGGGTTCTTCAGGCTCGAACAGACCCTCCTGGATGCATGCGAACACGACGCGAGACAGCAAATCAGCCGTGCGAGACTGTCGCCCGTCAGCTGTCTCAAACCATCTCGGTGAGTCACACTACAGTATGACGACGATCACTGTCGATCCAATTGCTGAAACAGTACTTGCAAGGCGTGGTTCTGCGTTCGCAACTGCATTCGCGCATACGCATGATCTTCCGGTTGATGAGAGGTGGGACATGACAGAGCGGCTGTTCAGCAGTCAACTTGACTATATTGCGAAGCAACAGAAACGGTAGACATTTTACAATGAGTCATGCATCCGGACTTTGTTCACGATATGGATTCGTACACTTTGTTTGTACTCATTACGGTCACTGACAGCGTACAAGTGCACCGGAGATCAGTGACGGTAGAGCACAAGGAAGAGCGGCCGAATGGCTTCGTTCTGCCAGATCATCGAGAGTTAGAAGCCGTCATTTACCAAGGTCCTGTATCGTCTTACCTTATAAACTACGGGGTAGGATTGTCGCATCAGCAGGAACAGAGTAAGCAGTAGTCATGACGTCCTCACCGATAACCTCGTCATAGTTCAGATCTCCGCCAGGCTCACCGACGACCGAGTCGTATCCCGCAGGGGGCTGGATACCACATTCTCTTCAGCACGCTCCGATAGATCACAAGACAGCACGGCACCGTCACTCACCGCAGTGAGGTCCTCGTCTCCCGTCGTCATCTTGATCGCCTTGCCCATCACGACGTCGCTGAGAAGCATCGCTTTGTACGGCGACCCGCCGCGCTCGTCCACGTAGTCGTTCGCCTTCGACGATGTCGCAGAGGTGTAAATCCCCGCGCCAAACCGCCCGAAGTTCATGCGTTGGCCAGCCTTCGCGATGTGGAACGACGTCTGGAGGTGGTCCGGACGGCGTCAGCGAAATGCACGGAGCCCATGCGTGGAGAGGTGACGAACGCGGATGATGCTGCAGAGCGAGCAGTTGGCGTCCTGGCAGAGATTGGGCTGCCCCTCGCTGTCGCCGATGGTGCAGGTGCGGATCGTCCCATGCCACCGCCGCCTGCTGTTCCCGCCTGGATGGTTGATTTTGCGCTCGATTGCGAGTTTGTACCGCGAGAACTCGTCGGTATGGCCCTTGTCGCAGTAGATCTTCCATACCTAATAGGGTGTGAGCGGTCGCTTCCGGGCTGGAAATACGCACTTGCCTTGACTACGGTTGGAACGGGCGTAGGGTGCTTCCACTGGTCTCTAAACTGCTTCGACACTATGAATCGGAGGTTAGCTGACGATGCGACAGAAGATCTCGCAAGACGGACTAACCCTCGCGGAAGGGTGCCATATTATTGGTGATGATCAGAATTATAGGAGCTAGTGGTCATCGGTTTGATTGGTCGATCTCGGAAGACCTAACGAGTGCTCCTTACCTGAGCCAAATGTGTCTTCGCTGCATCGCTTTGAGCAAAAGTCGCTCAGCTTCCCGTTAACAGTCGCCTTGGGCCACTTCAGGCAACTGTCGATACTCAGTGAGTTCCATTCCTCCGATCTACTAGCGGGGGAGACAGGTACAAGAGGCATGCCTCCGCCTTTCCAAAACGGACGGCGTCACTGTACGACACGATTATCAGTATTGTACTAGCATCGAGGTCGAACCCTTACAGTCGGTGTGATTTGGAGCAGTAGTCGCTCGGCATGCCATCCTGTCCGATGAACGCCGGTTTCTGGCATTTCGGCAGCTTGCAAAAGCGAGAAACGGGAGCGGGGGAAGCACGCGGACTGGCTGGATTTTGCTTGCCAGTCTGGAAGGCGTCACGACAGCGCTTGCCGCAGAAATCATGTACTATGTTATGAAGGTAAGACCGATAAGAGTTCGGCACCGACTACGAGACTGCCTACGTACCGCGGTTGCCCTCGACATATGCTGGTCGAGACTCGCAGTTCTTTCTCGTTGCGTCGAGAATCAGGTCGAGTGGGATGAGAGAACATACGCACCTTGCAAAGTCGGGCACCGTTGAGCTGCTTCATAGCATCCCTATGGGTCGTACCACAAAACGAGGAGTATGACCCATCGGGATCCTGCCACACAGTTCGGTGGCAGTTCGGATACTGGCACACTGTGTGCTGCGTGCGCGACGTGTCGCGACGTGACATGCTTCAGCTTTCCACGTCGCGGTAGGTCGTGGTCGGAGAACAACCTGTTGGTGTGAACTTCGAAGCGATAGAACTTATATATGCGACGGACAATGAAACGATAAGGTTTATGTACAGAAGAAGCGGCCCAAATATGGTAAATGCCTCCCTAATGCACCTCGGCTAAACATCCCACACATCCTCACCGTCCACGCAGCCAGGTAACTGGTGAGCAAGTCTTTCTAGTACTTAGTATATGACTGATTACGATTCAAGCCATAGTCTGTCCACTCATGTGTAGGCTTGGCGTTGTCCAGATATTGATCTCTCCGAGCAATCATTTGGTGGCATACCCCGAAGAGACACATCACCGACGCGGTCGCACTGAGGACAATGTCAGCTTCGGATCCGTATGAGCATCGAGCTGATCGCTCTGCCAGCCCCATGGACATTGATGGGTCAGATCAGCCAGGTATGTGCCAACAACTTGAGAAACGGAAGCTCGTACTCAACTGCAGAGCGTCGTAAGTGCTGGCACCAGTCATTCCCCCGCCACCATCGGACGCCGCCCACCCAGCGTCACCACACTCTGGCCCGACGTCTGAACTACAACCCGAATCAGCGAGCCGAATTCTCTTCTATCGTCGCCATGAGCCATACTTCGAGTAAGCATTCGGGCTATTTCTCCGTGTCACTCAACCATTACGTGCTTTATCAGGTTCACAAACTTTGCCCCGTACACCATTGACTGGGACGGCCACAGGTATCCTACCGCGGAGCACTGTACATCTACCGGTCATCCTTATATATTCTTTCTTGTAATCTAATGCGTGATTTTCAGTGTTTCAAGCCCAGAAGTTCATGTCAATCCGACCAGATCTGGCCGACCGAATCCGCAATCTTCCCAACCCCCGCGCTGCGCTTGAGGAAGCCGGGCGCATGCGCAGGCTACAGCGCACAGATTGGTTCGACGTCAATCTCAGGATCATGGACGAAATCCTCGAAGCCAAGTTCACGCAGCATCCAGAACTGAAGCACACGCTTCTCAGTACGGATGATAGTGAATTGATCGAAGACAGCCCAGTACGATTCTTGCTCGTGATGTGACATCCTGGCGCTGACGTTGAGGATAGGTAGACTCATTCTGGGGGTGTGGCGAGAATGGTGAAGGACAGAACGAGCTTGGGAAGGCGCTCATGCGACTTCGTGACAAGCTGAAGCGTAGTGACTGAGTTCTGTAACATATACAGTCGGTATGAGGATTTGTAATCTATCTGTCGACTCGGTCGGGTCTCATATATGATATAGTGACGACATTGTTAGTAACGCGAACACTGGCTCTCTTGAAAGCAACGTGCAGCATCACCACTCGCCCTCTCGAGGTTGCCATCGCGTCACCGCCACGCTAAGTGGTGTTGCCACGGCCATGGCACATGTTCACATTCCTCCGTCGAGATATCGCATCAGATACGGGTCCTGCAGCGGTCGTTGCACTGGTGGCCTTGCGCGTTTTGAACTTCGACAACGGTCGAAAGCGGGGATCTCGAACACCGCCGTTGTGTTCCTGTTGCGGTGGATATCACGCTTGGCAGTCATTCAGTCATCGGCGCGCGAGTTGCTTTGGACGCATCTCTGGTCTCCTAACTGACGCGCCATCATTGGGATGAATTGAATAGGATGGCAACACAAACGGGCGATGTACACTTGTGCGAAGATACGCGGGCGCGAACTCGAGGAAGAAGGAAGAAGGATCATGGCATCAATCCATGCCAGAGGGTAGTAGGGTGCGTTGAGCGGCCGTCCAGCAAGTATCATATTCGTACTACACCCAAACTGACATACTAGAGCTGCGAGGCCGCGGCGGAATACAGTTCTTGTAGTGCTATACCGCAGCAAAGCGGACGGAGTCAAAAATCAACCGTCGTAGATGACTAAGAACAGAGGTCGAATCGCGTCGTCCTGCCATAGCATTAAGTCGAGAGTCAGGACGCTCGCCATACGTAGAACCTTACCCTGTAGACTACAAGACAGAGACATCGTACGTCTCCGCGTCAGCGCAAGCATATCATGGGTAGCAACTAAGTACTCACCAATCGCTTCATCGTAGTTCAAATCACCGCCAGGCTCGCCGACGACCGAATCGTAGCCATGCGGTGGCTAGTGAATACCGCATTGTCTCAGTACAGTGACCTAGAGGCGGCATCAGCATCATAGTGTCGCATGCTCACCTCAGTCAAGGATGGGTCTCCTGTTGTCAGCTTGATCGTCTTGCCCATCACGACGTCGGTAAGTAGCATCGCCTTGTACTTCGAGCCGCCGCCTAGCTGTTGAGCGTAGTCATGCGATTTCGACGATGTCGCAGAGGTATATATCCCTGCCCCAAAGCGGCCAAAGTTCGTGCGTTGGCCAGCTCTGACGATGCGGAAGGACGTCTTCAAAAGTGGTGTCGTAGACATCAGCGAGGGCACGATAAGCATCGACGGTGAGAGACAACGTACAGTGATAATGCTGCAAAGCGAGCAATTGGGGTCCTTGCATAGACTGAAGTCTTTACCGCTATCGCCGATGGTACAAGTCCGGATTGTGCCGTGCCAACGTCGCCTGCTATTTCCCCCGGCGATGCCGGTGCTGCGTTCGACATCGTGCTTGTACGACATGAACTGGTCGGCGTGATCTTTGTCACAGTAGATCTTCCATATCTATGAAGCCAAGGATACGTTGATGTGAGTAATCGCCTGTTGGTAAGTGGAGTTCGCTCGCCTTGACTACAGGAGGAATACGGAAGGAGGGGTGCTTCCACTGATCTGTGAACTGCTTCGCCACTGTATGATAAGAGCATAGTGAAAACGTATCATGATATCGTATTAGAACGGAGTCACCTTCCTGGAAGGTCTTCGTCTTCTCGGTAACATTCAAGATGATGGGAGCTGCGGTAAGCATTCAATTTAGCATGGCTGTACGATTTACATAAAGCAACGGCAGTGCGACTTGCCCGAGTCAAATGTGTCCTCTTTACATTTATTTGAGCAGAAATCGCTCAATTTCCCGTTGATGGTGGCCTTGGGCCGTTGCTCGCACCTAAAGATAATGAGCATATGGCGATAGGTCAGATTAGCATGAGATGAATACAGGAGGCATAATTCGTCGTTGTCTTGTACACATTGACTGTACAATAGTAGAGGATTCAGTGTGAGGTCACAGGAATGACAACGATGTGCTTCTGTACCTGCGATGCGCTCTAGAGCAGTAATCGCTCGACACGCCATCGGGTCCTACGTAGACCGGTTTCTGGCATCCTGGGAGCTTACAGATCCCAGCGCGCTGAAGCCTTTGAGCTCCCCCGACGCCTGCTTGAAAGGAGTCCCGGCAACGCTTGCCGCAAAATTCGTGCGCTGTAATGACAGACACGGGTTGAGTAACATCAGTGTCATCGTATGAGAACCCACTGACTGCCACTTTTATCGACATACACAGGTCGCGAGTGACAGTTCTAGAAGATGAAGTCAGTCAGTGCGCAAAATGATAATCACATTGTTGCCACGTACCTTGCAGAGCTTTTTCTGTGTTCCTCCCCCTGCCTGGTATTGTGCGCTGCAACGCTGGCCACAAAAGTCGTGCGCTGAGCGCGATAGGGACGGACAGATGTGAGAATGCTACGAAGTCATACAAATACCCACGTACTGCGATTGACGTCGACATACACCGGGCGTGAGTGGCAATTCTGTAAATTGTACAAGTTCAGAGACGTATTGAACACCGTGAAATACATCGCGGCTCCACGCACCTTACAAAGCTTCGCGCCGCCTACACTAGGACCGTGTCCATTAGACTGTTGCATAACGTCCCTATGCTTCTTTGAGCAGAAAGGGGAGTACGAGCCATCAGGATTCTGCCATGTGCCTTTGTGACAGCCAGGGTAGCGACAGGTTGCGCTTTGCGCGTGCAATCTTTGGGCACACATAGCCAGCCTGGTTTGTCGGTGACCGAGGGGAGACCTTCTCGCGCCGAGCTTGAAGGCGTGGGGCTAGCACTTATATGATGTAGGGCGCACAAAGAATACGCCCGTACAACATATGTTAGAAGGGACTTACGAAACTGCTGATAAGTAACTTATAACTTATGAGTTCGAAACAAAACACCCGACCTCTTCAAGGTTCGACTTCACGTTGACGGTCTTTTGGACCAGTCAGTGTGCTTCACGCCTGAGTCCGGGGCGTCTCATCAATCCAACACGCCTTCGGAGCTCTATCCTGTGATCGCCGCGTTCATGTGTTCAGATTGAACGTGCATCTGGACCACAATTCCCTTCATCGCCCACCGCCGATCCCATTTTTGACTTCTTTGGGTCATATCGATGCGGATGGGCCGCGACATACGATGGAGTGCAATTGCGATGTACATGAGGACGGCGATCACGAGAGGATTTGGGGTCCCTTCGGTCACATAAGTAACGTATTAATGTCTGGTGAAACCGCCGGGCATGCTTCAGCGAACTGAGGACACAACTCAATATAAGATTTGCCCCACGTTCCTTACTCGCCCATAGCCTCAGCTCGAGTGTGGACACCGTTAAACTGATAGCGACATCAGAGGCGCACTAGCCCTCATTACGTGTCGTCCGGCCTTCCGCCTCAAGCTTTCACCGATGTCAGTGGCTGCGTTCGAAACACCTCGAGGAAGCATACAGCCAATATTCAAAAGTCAGTAAGTTCTGTACCGCGCTGGGAAGCAGAGAATTGACATTGATCAGCCGGGGTGATACGCTTCAGGGGACCCTAGATTTCGCATTGAATACAGCGGACAAGATACCAGAAGACAAAGTGTATCGTTGATATAGCGCATCTGCCGGTAGATGGCGAGCAAGTGCCCGAGTGGTGGTGGCGCGAATCGGCGGCAACTCCGGGGGCTGCTCTACGCTAGAGGGCAAGTTTCCGCACCCACATACACCAGTTTGATGATATAATCCTACAGCAAAGAAAGCCCAAATTCATAACATCGTTTTGAGTAGTGGTGGTGGTCAATGTGGCGATCTAAAAGGAAGGCGGCCGTGTAAATTATCACACCAGCTCCATGCATTCTCTGCTTGCATCAACCATAAATAACCAGGAAAGACGGGCGAATGGCAGCATCCTACGAGCGGCATCACAGTAGTCAGCGGAATCTTCGTTTAGCCTGAGAAGCAGTGCGCCATCACCTGATATACTGGATTCAAAGACGGATTTGCAGTTCAGTCATTGACAATCTTCGCACGCAAGGGACACTGTACGAGAGACACACTCACCGATTACTTCGCCATAATTCAGCACTGACTTTTCACCAGGGACGCCAACGACAGAGTCCCGTCCATTAGGTGGCTAGGTGACACGAAGGCCCATTTAGCCGAACACCATCCTCATCTAACGACCTCGCTGACCTTGGTAAGTTTCTTGCAATTTACGGTCATCGGAGCCCCGTTGCCAACCACAACTTCGCTCAGAAGCATCGCCCGATACGACGAGCCACCCCATTCCTTGACATAGTCGTTTGCCTTGGACGACGTCCCGGTCGTGTATATTCCTGCCCCAAACCGGGAAAATCTGTGATTAGGCCGCTGGCCGACTTTGGCGACAGAAAAGGACTTCTGAGACGCAGAAGATGAGTCTGCGTGAAGATAATGCTTGAGACCAGACCTTTATGATACCGCATAAATTGCAGTTGTCTCGACTACATGTGCCACTCAAATCACCATCGTCGCCGAGTTTGCACGCTCGGATTGTCCCATGCCATAGTAAGCGGGTATCTCCTCCTGGAATATCGCGCACATACTCTATGACGCGCTGGTGCACGATGAAGCGATTATTGACTTCCGGAACACAGTGTATTTTCCAGACCTGCGCCAGTGGATAGCCGGTTAGTAATGATCGCAACAGTACATGAGGGCCTGCCTTGATGACTGCTGGCATACGCGTGGGGTGGCGCCACTGTCTCCGAAATTGTTTCGCCACTTTAAACGAAGAATAGGCAAATGCCTGTCAGACAGTAACCATACAATTGTACTGGAACAACGATACCGTCCAAAAAGTCTTGCGAATTTTGTCCGATCTCCCGCAGAATTGGAACTGCGAACACTTTGAATGCACTGGCTCCTGTAGAGAAAACGGGAACGATGACATACCCGGCAGAGGACGGCGGCTGCGCGTACTCGGAGACATCGTGTCGACGGTTTCTTCGTATGTCTGCGGTTCACCTTGGCCAGAAGGTGGTATCTGGGAGCAATTCCGCGGGCCTAAAGCAAACGAAGTTGGGCTACCTGAATACATGCAAGACTTTATGTGTCGAATAGGGTGAATATTGGCGCATGATACGTCGCTGACAACGCCATGCCCATGCCACGTTGAGGTTGAAGAGGGGGAATACCTTTTGCAGAACACGCAGCGAGGCTACCTGGCATTGTAATTGTCAGTGAAAAGCGCATAGAAGGCAAGCAGTCCACCGAAAGCCAATGCTCAACCATAACCGTTCCCCTGGGACGTCTGCGCGGACGGTGGCGATGGATCATGAAGCCGACGCGTGTTCCTCCGGATCTCAAAGGTAATGAGGAGAGAAGTTGGAACGCGTGTTTAGAGCCTTCGCACGTATGTCCGCACCGAACTCAAAGACAAATACCTCTATTGAACCTTGTTGCCTCACGGAAGCGAGACTGCCCAACTTCAGAGGTATCAGCCATGGCGCGTCGCATTGGTCAGAGACACGCACACATTGTGCGAGGTCAACGTAAGTGGTCGCAGGCACATGTCTTCATAGAGTCGAAATTGAGTGGTCCATATAAGCATGCGCCATGCGTACTCTCCAAACGGGCTTGTGCTGGTGGTTGTCAAGGAAGGACTGTCGTTGGTACTAACGTTCTGAACAGGTGCCACTAGGCCCATCTCGTACAGCCGCAAGCCAATATCCTTATAGTGGCATACTGATGCCTCTCGTGCGATGCCGCAAGGGCTGTCTACCCTCTTGAGCATGAGCGAATGGAGGCGACTGTCGATCGAACGTTCTTCCTCGGCTGATCTGTTCGCTCGTCGACCCAGAAGAGGGCGGTTGCCCTTCTGAGCGAGCTGTTCGGTTCGGCGGGGGAGATGTCCATATGGATTGGTCGCCTGCAGACGCTGGACGGGCTCTTAGCCTAGCGCGCAGCCGCATCAGCGCCTGCCCTAGCTCGTTTCTTCCTAGGCCATCCTGACCACATCCCCAGATCAACCTGGTGGAGTAATCAGCGTCCGGACGACGCAGTGATACGTGAGCGAGGCTCTTGCGTACGTACCGGGCTGTCCTCGACGAGCTCGCTGCCGGTTTTGAGGAGCATGTCTCGCAGCGACAGGTGCTGCGCGAACTTCGCCCCGAGAACGTCGTCCATCACCCGGATGTTGACATCGAACCAGTCTGCGCGCTGCAGCCCGCGCAGGCTTCCTGCTTCCTGAACAGCGTCGCGGGACCTGGGGAGCAGGCGGATGCGCTCTGCCAGGTCCGGCAGGTTTGGCATAAACTTGTGTGCCTGGAACACTGGGTAGGACATACGCCGCGGTAAGCTCACTTGCTCGTAGACAGCCGCAGTGGACGTACGATGTTCTGCGGTAGGGTACATGCGGCCATCCCAGTGGATGGCATACGGCGCGAAGCTGGTGAATCTGACGAAGTGGTAAGCATAAATATGACTTTGTTGTTGCCGGGGTGGCACCAGCATCATATGCTCGCGCGTAATGTGGCTTATTAGTGTCGTTCAGTCCGTGTCGACTTTGGAGGTACAGCTTCGTACACGTCAGTTGAGTGTCCATCTGCCCACTGGACTGTCTGCGACTAGCCTGGTTTCGCAGACTCTGGTATGTCTATGGCTTTGACCGACGATTCATGTCGATGCGTCTGCGGATCTGAGACTGACAATGACCTTCGAGCGCGGGGCCGGCGAAGCCACGACGGCCTCTCACCAAGTTGACCAGTAGTCGGATGTGCTATCTGCGGGATGTTCAAGTTGTACACCACAGGAGTTGTACGCGTTCCCGAGAAAAGACTGTAAAAAACTGGCTGAACCATGTTTCTGGTTGTCGCGATGCGGAGGTCCGGGGACAAGTGCTGACAACGATGCGAGGAGACAATGTTAGGTGAGTAAGGAGTGCCGGCGAATGGGAGCGAAGCGGATCACTCTGTCAACTTGAAGGCGGACGTACGTGGTTCGACCACAGCCATGAGGTCTGTGCCACTCTGATTAATTGATGGGTTTACAGTCCAATGTCAATGCGCGCTCGTCCATTGTATCTCAAATATTGCCTTCGATGGTATGCAACGCAACCTGTGGACTTACTTAAGAGAGCGCAAAGAATACCGCCAAGACGCGCGACCGCTCACGCACCGCTAAGCTGTGGTTCGTTGTCAGTGTCATATCTGTCGAGACCCCATAAACCGAGGAGCCGCACGGTGCAGAGTGACAATCACATATTCCCAGAAGCCCTGTGGGTCATCACGCAGTGACTGTATGGGAGGTATGATCCACGAGGATTCAATCACACAGGGTTCTGCGCGTGGTCTGTTGGGACATCTTCGAAATGATAAGGTCAATGGGAGGCACATAGACCGACAGCGGCAAATACCTCGCAGCCTCCGCACGTCGTCTACGCCAGGTCTACCGTGACGCCCCCATGTAACCAGCCATTCCTCTTGATATTCATCATGTCACTGGAAGCTGCTGCAGCGATAGTTCTTGCGATCATATTTGTGACCTACTGCCTTGTTCCAAGCACGGAACAGTCGGATTATCGGGGTCGGGCATCGTATCCACTGCCCTAGGATGGTGTCGGCTTGGGATCCTCGCATAGACAAACGCCACCAGGAGGAGCAATTGTGCGACCACTTGGACGTTAGCACAGTAGATACGCCAAGTATGTATGAATACTTCGAGGGGTAGAAATCGATACTGAGAGTGTTGTCGGCGAGGAGGTCACGGTTCCCTTGACGACAGGGACGCGTGGGCGCTCTTCCCGGCGTCACCGCCACCAGTGGCAGCGAATCCAGACTCAGCACCGTCTCCCATTCTCTTCTAACTTACCACCGCCAAGAGCCGTAAGTACTATGAGTATGGACCATCATATCTATGGCACTACAGCCCGCTGAGGCTCATTCTTTCTATGCCGTTAGGTTTACCAATTTCGCCTCATACAATATTCTTTGGCGCGACGGTAACACGCACCCGACCGCAGAGCACCGTACGTCTCCTGCGACTGCCTATACCCACTCCTCCATTGATACGTATGCCCAGTGTTTCAAGTACACAAGCTCATGACCCGAACAGACCTCCGCAACCTCCCGAACCCACGCGCCGCACTCGAGGAAGCGGGTCGCCTGCGCAGGCTACAACGCACAGACTGGTTCGATGTCAATATCAGCGGCATGGACGCGATTCTCGAGGCGAAGCTCGCGCAGCATCCAGAACTGAGAGACATGCAGCTCGACACGGGAGAGAGCAACCTTATCGAGGACAGTCCGGTACGTGCGATACGATGCCTTGATGCTCATACAGTGAACAGGTCTCCTCCTCCTGGGGTTCGGGCTGTGATCAGGGAAGAAATGAGCTTGGTAAGGCACTCTTGCAACATCTGTGCTTTTGGTCTGTGTTCGATTATCTGTAGTTCACCGACTTCGTTCATAATCGTAGCCCCTGACTCGACGCGATAGCAGCTCCCCGGCGGGCTGCAACCCATCGAACGCACCACCCATATAGCCTTACACGAGGTGGGCTTGCACGCAGGTACTTTGCACTCGTCCATGCAGCTTCAGGCCCTCGTACGTGATTGGCCTGTCGTAAGCTCGGCGACTATGTAGCCATCGCATGCGTGCGCATTGGACATGACCAACCTCTGTGAGGTCGTGATCACTTAGTTACATTTGTAACGAACTAGCTAACAGCGAACAGACTAGTGAAAATCAACCATTGTAGATGATCAAGAACAGTGGCCTAATGGCGTCGTTCTGCCATAGCAAGAAGAATCAGAGCGGGTTGCCACCGACATATAGAAGCTCACCCTGTAGACTACAAGGACATCGTACATCTCCGCATCAGCGCGCGTGGACTGTGAATAGTGGCGAAGTGCTCACCAATAGCTTCATCGTAGTCCAACACACCGCCAGGCTCGCCGATGACAGAATCGTAGCCGTGCGGTGGCTAGGGAATATTAGTACAACGCAAAGCCTGAGGTTGTTAATTGCATACTCACCTTGGCCAAGGATGGGTCTCCCGTCGTCATCTTGATCGTCTTGCCCAACACAACGTCGTTGAGCAACATCGCCTTGTACGGCGAGCCCAACTCTTTGACAAAGGCGATCGATTTCGCAACGTCGTTTCGCGACATCGCGGGGTACGAGCCGCTCAACCCTTTGACAAAGGCGATCGATTTCGCAACGTCGTTTCGCGACATCGCGGGGTACGAGCCGCTCAACTCTTTGACAAAGGCGTCCGATTTCGACGACGTTGCGGAAGTGTATATCCCTGGGCCGAATAGACCCATGTTGCCTTTGTGGAAGGAAGACTGTCGCAATGCCGTCAGCACAAGCAAGACGTCGAGGCGTAGGAAAAGACACGACGGACCTCAATTATCCTGCAAATGGAACACTTGACATCCTTGCAAAGATCACCCTTGTTCTCAGAGTCGCCGATGGTGCAGGTTCGAGTCGTGCCGTGCCACCTCCGCCTGCTATTTCCCCCGACAATGCGAGTGTTACGTTCGACATCAAGCTTATATGATAGAAACGCATCAGTGTGAGACTTATGGCAGTAGACCTTCCATATCTGTTGAATACACGGGGTGAGCAATCGTCTCTGGACGGCCTGAGGATGTAGACGACCCGCCTTGACTATGGCAGGTACTGTCGTGGAGTGCTTCCATTGATCGGTGAACTGCTTCGTGACTGCAGAGCAAGGTCAGGTGACAATATGCCATGCCAGGATTACGAAACGAGTGTACCATCTTGGAAGGATGCCATGTCCGAGCTTATGTTCAAGATGATAGGAGCTGTGGAAGACCGTCAGTGTGATCGGAAAGTCAATGACAACGAAAGGCCTCACTCGAGCCGAATGTATCGTCCTTGCAGCGGCTGGAGCAGAAGTCGCTCATCTTCCCGTTGATGAAAACCTTGGGCCGCTGCCCGCACCTAAAGATGCCGTGGGCAATATGAACCACGGCTACGGTGAAGATGGGCATGAGACACATACAGGAGACACAACTCCCCGTCGTCTTGTACACCCTGGTTCAGGCTGTATAACCAAATGTTCGATTAACCATACTATCATGGGGGTGTTTATGAGTTCTTACGTGCGATGCGCTCTAGAGCAGTAATCGCTCGACACGCCATCGGGTCCTACGTAGGCCGGTTTTTGGCATCCCGAGAGCTTACAAATCCCAGCGCGCCGATTCCCTTGAGCTCCCGCGACGCCTGCTTGGAAGGAGTCCCGGCAACGCTTGCCGCAAAATTCGTGCGCTGTAATCACAGATGCGGGTTGAGTAACAGCGGTGTGTCATCGTATGAGAGCCCACTGACTGCCGCTTCCGTCGACATACACAGGTCGCGAGTGACAATTCTAGAAAACGAATTCAGTCAGTGTGCAAGGGGATAATCACAGTGTTCTCACGTACCTTGCAGAGCCTTTTCTGCGTTCCTCCCCCTGCCTGGTATTGTGCGCTGCAACGCTGGCCACAAAAGTCGTGCGCTGCGTGCAACGGGCACGGACAGATGTTAAAATGCCACAATACTGTACAAATGCCCACGTACTGCGACCAGCGTCAACATACACCGGGCGTGAATGACAATTCTATTATATAGTGAGGTTCAGAGACGTATTGAACACCGTGAAACGAATGCATCTGGGCTCCACGCACCTTGCAGAGTTTCGCGCCGCCTACGCTGGGACTGGGCCCGTTGGATTGTTGCATAGCGTCCCTATGCTTCTTTGAGCAGAAAGAGGAGTACGAGCCGTCAGGATTCTGCCACGCGCCTTCGCGACAGCCAGGATAGCAACAGGTTGCGTTCGGCGTATATGAGCTATGGGCAGACATAGTGAGCTTCGTGTGTCAGTGCCGAGAGGAGACTTCCTCGCACCGAGCAATACGCAAGGCTTTCGCTTATATATAAGACGTGAAATGAAGAGACTCGTACAAGATTCATACAGGCTTACTGCTGACATGATGCATATGTTCAAACGTGGTTCTACCTATTGTTGGTGGTCATTGCCCGATCAGTCATAGCGAGCATCTCATTAAGCCCTCGACCACATACCTTCGGATTTCGGTCTTGCGGTCGACACGCTCATGCCACCAGCGTGCATCGCGACCGCAACTCTCTTCATTGCCCAATGCCAGTGCTATACTTGACTGTTCCAATACAGTTGTTGATCGTATCGATGTAAAAGCTGTGGAAGAAGAGTACAGTGAGGTCGCGACGTACACGAGGACGGCGATCAATAGAAATAGGGGTTGCCTCGTCCACACAGGTTACACACGCGCGCTAGCAATGTCTGTCTGTGAGATAGCCTCAATTGAACGGCCCCTGCATGTCATATATCCTGGTGTGTACCGGAAAGTGCTTCTTCGACCTGGATACAGGAAGAAGTGGACACCTCCTCCACGTGGTTACGCTGTGCTGATCCTGCAGGCACCCGCACCTTCGAAGTCATACCACTCTGGGACACACGATGTGCTTTCGCGGCTACTAGCGAGTCATCGAGAACACGGCGGGAACTAAAAGGAAGCACGATTAGCACTTCCCACCTCTATAGCATAGAGTTAGACTCGTCCTTGGAAATGACCGATCTGAGGATACAAGACTTAGGCCATGTTCCTTCCCGTCTCAGCTCGAGTAGAGAGCATCGTGAGTCGTAACACTAGCAGCAAAGTGACCACCGCGTGTCGTCCGTTCGTCCAGTTCGTACCGATCCATGTGTGAATTGCGTCTGAATCACCACTACCTGGCGAAATGCAATTCAAACCAAACCAGCAAGGACAGAGAATCGTGTGCAAGGGAAGGGTACCAACACCAATTCTTCGTGGTGATACGCTCCATGGGACCCTAGATTCTTCGAATAATGTGAGGGACAATGTGTCAAACAACATATGAGAAGACAGTACCATTGAGAATTTAGCTGCCGGCAGGTTTGTTGCGGACGATGGGTTCGAGACCACAGACGTGAAAGTCTAACCTTACCAGCAATCACCATACCGTAGCTACGAGTACGACCAACAGCGAATAGGTCTCGCCCCGTATCCAGAAGGCACACATCTACTTAAATGGTATAATGATAGTATGCGGAGAACGAAGGGGCAGAAACAAGTGCCCGAGTGGCGGTGGCGCGAGGCGGCGACAACCTCCGTCCTCGGGCGCTGGCATACGCTAGAGGGTTGGGAGGCGGGTATGGCGGCCTGGAAGGAAGGCCCTCGTGTCGATTATCACACCAGCGCGATGCACTGACACTACCTCTGTTCCGGGTTGCATCAATCATGAATGACCAGGAAAGATGGGCGAATAGCAGCATCCTGCGAGAGGTGTCAGATTGTTCAGCGCAATCTTCGTTTGTCCTAAAAGCCAGCGTATAATCACCTCGTATACTGAATTCGAAGACGAACACTCAGTTCAATCTTCGTATAGAAGGTCCAGGTTGATAGAAACCCACTCACCAACTACCTCATCATAGTTTAACACTGAGTTTGCTCCAGGTACGCCAATTACAGAGTCGTATCCATAAGGTGGCTAGATGACACGATGTCCCGGTTAATTCTGACACCGTCTCCATCCAAAAGATGTACTGACCTCAGTGGGCGTCTCGTGATTAGTAGTCGTCAGGGCCTCGTTTCCTATCACAACCTCGCTGAGGAGCATCACCCGATACGACGAGCCACCTCATTCCTCGACATAGTCGTTCGCCTTGGACGACGTCGCGGTCGTATATACCCCCTCCCCGAATCGGGAGAACCTATGATTAGGCCGTTGGCCAACTTTCGCGACATAGAATTTGACGTCTGTGACGGCGGACATGCAGAAAGTGAGTTTGCGTGAAGATACTAAGTACTCGAGGCCACAAACTTTATGATACCGCATAGATTGCAGTTGCTCATGCTACAAACGTTGCTCAAATTGCTGTTGTCGCCGATTCTGCATGCTCGGATTGTCCCGTGGCATAGTAAGTGAGTGTTTCCTCCGGATAGATTGCGTAGGAATTCTGTGGTACTCTGGTACCCAATGAAGCGACTGTTGACGGGCGAAACGCAGTATACATTCCATATCTGTGAGCCAGGTCGATTAGCAATCGTCTGAGCAACACATGGGCGGCCTGCCTTGATTACTGTTGGGATAGGCGTAGGGTGATGCCATTGGTCCCGAAATTGATACACAACTGCAAACGATGAAGATATGATGCACCGTCAGACTATGTCCGTCGAACTAGATGTCAATGATCATACCATCCCAAAAGTCTTGCGAACTTTGTTCGATCTCCTGCAGGATCGAAGCTGCGAACACACTGAATGTGCTTGTCTCTGCGGAGAAAATTAGGATTGCACCATGCCTCGATCACTCGGAGGACAGTAATAGGGTGCATTGCTAGGCAAGATTTCGACGGTTTCTTCTGTTCTGCGGTTGGCCTTGGCTAGAAGGTCTAAAGCTGTCCAGCGAATGTGAACCTTACGCCCATCGGAAGCGGTCTCAGGCAAAGCATACTTTCTATAAGAAGGTACTGTAGTACATTAGATCTGTGTTTGATTCAAGCCGAGCTTACTTTTCGGGAGAAACAACAGGAAGCGTACTACGACTGGGCCCATAGTATTCTCAATGACCACGCCGTAGCTTGACACGCAGTCGCATGAGAGCCTTCCCGAGCTCATTTCTTCCCTGACCGTCACGGCCCCAGCCCCAGAAGGAGTCGACCTGTTCACTGCATGAGCACCTGAGCGCCTGAGCACTGCGAGCAAGACACACCGGACTGTCCTCGATAAGGCTGCTCTCCCCTGTGCCGAGCAGCATTTCTCTCAGTTCCGGATGCTGCGTGAACTTCGCCTCGAGAATCGCGTCCATAACACTGATATTGACGTCGAACCAGTCCGTGCGTTGTAGCCTGCGCAGGCGACCTGCTTCCTCGAGTGCAGCGCGTGGGCTCGGAAGGCCGCGGATTCGGTCGGCCAAGTCTGGTCGGGTGATCATGAACTTGTGCGCTTGGAACACTGGGTGTCACGCATCAGTGGCCGAGTTGGGTACAGGCGGTCGCAGAGGACGTACGATGCTCTGCGGTCGGGTATGTGTTACCATCGCGCCAGCGAATGTCCCATGGGGCGAAGTTCGTAAACCTGACAGAAAGAGTGTGCATGAGTCTTGGTGGGCAGCTTAGCCATAGCTTGAACGATACGCACTCGTAGTACGGATCATGACGGTGGTAGAAAAGAATGGGAGACGGTGCCAAGTCCGGAGCTGGTGGCTGGGCGCGAGAGCGCCGGCGCGTCCGGTGGCGCGGCGGTGCTGGTGTCGAGGGAACCACTTCGCCGACAAGACGACCTGCATAAACATCAACGTCTAGCCCTCAAAACCACACTCACCTGGCGGCTCTAACGTGCCCACATTCCTGAGATTGTATGATCGCTCTTCTCGGTGGTGCCTGCGGGGTTCCGAGGCCGATGTCGTTCTGCGCCGGCGATGCCGTTGTCGATCCTGGTGGTCTGGCTGCGCTACGCACGGGACAATCCAAAACACGAGAAACATCATAGCAAGGACTATCGCTGCTGCAGCTTCCAGTGGCATGATCATGATGGAGGTCAGGAGAAGCGGCTTACCTGGGGGCGTGGATGGCGTGCGGAGGATAGGTGACGCTGCCACTCTTCTTGTCTGCTATTTAACCTTATCAATTTTAGTGTCTGTGGTCGCTAAGCCTCGTGCATGAATACACGGAAGCCGTTGTATATTGGCTCCCTATCCTGGCCCGCAAGAAAGTGACCCGGCACATCACGCGCGGACGTCCTCAGCGTTACTTATGTGGCTGAATCCTCGTGGGTCGTACTCCTCATGGAATGACTGCTGAACGTGAACAGTGAACCATATGTACGTCTCCCAGGCATATATGCATGAGTATGTACTTATTCGACAGATATCTGTCCGTGACAACGAACCACAGCGGTACGTGGGCAGCCGCATATATCATTCCGCTATTCTTCGAAACATTGCGTGGTTCAGGTTATGAATAGGCGAGTCAAGATCCCACTGGATTCTACCAACCTCTGTCGAACCTACTTGCCGCAGGAAAGATTTCGCGGGTCAGCCCGATTTTACGAGCTTGTGTTTGTGACTGCATCAAGTTAGGAGTTGTATGGGGGCTGAAGATGCCCAATGCGCTGCTAGGCCCACCTCTTACAACAGATACCCCCGCTTTCCTCCCTGTAGCGGAGATCTGACGCCTCTGGCGCGCCCCAGCAAGGGCGTAGCAGGCTGTCTACTCGCATGATCCTGTGCGGATGCAGGCGATGGTCGATCGTACTCGAACGTTATGTATGACCAATTGCGTGCGCAGGCCTCGAGACAATGCACAGCGCGCATTTTCCCGTCTCTAGCATTGATCTTAGGTTGGTCTAGCAACCTGCGCACAGTGCGGATTATGTTGCGATTCGAGGGTGCCGCGCGACGGATTCCTCGAAGCAGTTTCGAAGGTTGTATACGCCACGAAACTACGAGCGGCGGCACTAACACTGTATAGATATTGCGAGTGCGACTTGTTCACGATGATTCATGTGCAATAGGTTCATCGTCATCAAATTACGAAAGCGGTGGTTTGATGGTGCGTCAAGAGTCAGTGACGATAGATCACCAGGAAGAGCGGCCGAATTGCTTCATTCTGCAGCTATCGTCAACAATCGCAGCAATCTTCACGTAAATTTTACCTCACCTTGTAGACTGAGCGAGAGAGCATATCGTCGTCAACGCCAGCCGATCATACGGAACAACATTATGTACTTACCAATAGCTTCGTCATAGTTGAGGCTTTTCCCCGGCTGGCCGACGACGGAGTCATATCCTACAGGAGGCTAGATCATACACGGTCTCAGCATGGCTGGCATTGTACAATGGTGTATGTTCACCTGTGTGAGCGACGGACTGTCAACGGTCAACTTTATGGCCTTGCCCATCACGACATCGCTGAGGAGCATCGCCTTGTACGGTGATCCGCCCCGCTCTTGGACGTAGTCGTTCGCCTTCGAGGACGTCGCTGAAGTGTAGATTCCCGCGCCGAATCGGCCAAAGTTCGTTCGGTGGCTGAATTTCGCAAGGCGGAACGACGTCTACGAATGATGCGATGGAAGAGACGTCATGGTCCGGAATAGAGAAGTCGCATATATGGCACGAACTTTGATTATCCCGCAGAGCGAGCAGACGCTGTTGTTGCATACGGCGGGCTGACTCTCGCTGTCGCCGATCTTACACGCACGGATCGTTCCGTGCCAACGGCGTTTGCTATTGCCCCCTGGTATCTCACGCGTGCGCTCAACGCTCAGCCGGTATCGCGAGAACTCGTCGTTGTGTTGCTTGTCGCAGAATATCTTCCATACCTGCGTCTCATCGAGTGACGGTCGTCTCAGCGACAGTAGACGGCAAACCTACCTTGATGACCGTAGGAACAGGTGTCGGATGCTTCCACTGGCCCCGGAATTGCTTTGACACTGCATATGATTAGTATACAGATCCATCGAACATACGCCGCGGGTCCGCCATACCGTCTTCGAAAGATTCCATGCTGACATTGATATGAAGGATAAGTGGAGCTACCGAATACTGGTGAGACTGGGTTATCAGAGAAGAGGACAGATGCTCCTCACCCGAGTTGAAAGTGATCTTACTGCAACGCTTGGAGCAGAAGTCACTTAACTTCCCGTTCAAGGTGACCTTCGGCCACTTCGAGCAACTGCAGGAGCTAATAGTAAATGCATGTACCAATAGAGATGAACCGCGTGAAGTACGAGAGGCAGTTTTCGGCCTTTCCGTTCCGGAGCGCTTCGCTATAGGGATGTAGATGGATGAGAAAGAGAGACGATATGTTCAAGCTGAGTTACTTGCAGGCGATGCGCATTCGTGCAGTATTCACCAGGCACGCCGTTCTGGCCCACAAATGCAAGTTTTCCGCATTGCGGAAGCTTGCAGACAACGGTCGAGGGAGCCGGTGATGCGCGTGGACTTCCGGGGTTCGCTAATCCCTTTCGAGAGGCAGTAACACAACGCATGCCGCAGAAGTCATGTTCTTTGGGCGAGACATCAACATGGGGCAGGGGATCGTCACATCGTAGCTCACATACCTTTGTTGTTTGCAATATACACTGGCCTTGCTTGACAGTGCTGTACATCGATTTGAGATGACTGGTAAGATGAACACCGATACAGAAGCGAGCCCGTACCTTGCAGAGTTTCACAGGATCTTGCACGCCATTCACCTGCCTCATAGCATCTCGATGGCTCGTACCACAGTAGGAGGAATACGATCCATCGGGATCCTGCCAAACACTTTGGCGACAACCAGGATACTGACAAGAGGTATTGTGGGTCCGCGTCGTGTCCGAGCACATCCTTAGACCTCGTGTTCGTGGATGGTGGTGGGTGGGTGGAAGGCGTACGGACAAATCCTAGCCATAAATACGAAGAAAAACGAGGCGATTAGGTTTAGTGGATGGCAGCGAAGCCGAGCAGGTTAGGTAGCCGCCCTTACTGGTTTGTTCGGATGTTGGCCACTGTGGCTGTGATCGTTTTCGCGATGGTCGCATCCGCATCAATCTGGTGCTGGCCCTCTCGAGGCCTTCAGGCAGCAACGAGTCAACGAGATCGACCGGATCAACGTCGCAGTCAGGGAACTACGTCGGCTTCAGCTGAGTCACGCAGGCACCGCTCAGAGCGATCGCCCAGTCCCGCGGACATCAATGAGACACCAAGACGAGGTGTGTGGTAGGGGCCAAAGTGGCGAAAACTAGTTCTGATCTGGTCTCGCAGACGGACGCGGAGTCGATGAAGGCGAGCGCCTTGTCACAGTGCGTCCGCGGGCGGTTTCTCCCGAGCCACATTTGCCCTTGCCTGAGGCAAAAGTTACCGTCCCAATCCTCTTCTATCACCGTCACGACCCATCTTATGAGTATGTCTTCATGTTCTATGTGAACATACAAAGGCGAACTTGACCGACCTTTTCAGATTTACCAACTTCGCCGGGACGCCTATCCAATGGGATAACAACCGGTACCCGACCGCGGAGCACCGTGCGTCCATTCAGATCTAGTGAACAGCTATCAGCCCTCTCATTAAGCCACGGATCGCATACAGTTTTCCAAGCTCACAAGTTCATAGACACTCAGCCAGAACTAGCTGAACGAGTCCGCCACCTCCCCAGCGCCCGCGCTGCCCTCGAGGAAGCGGGGCGCTGTCGTAAATTCCAGCGCACGGACTGGTATGATGTCAACGTGGGCGTCATGGACGCGGTCTTGAGGCCAAGTTCACCCAGCATTCGGAGTTGAGAGACATGCTCCTTGGAACGGGTGATGCCGAACTCATTGAGGACAGTCCGGTATGAACCTTGCTCGCGATGACTAGGCCCGACGCTCATCATCCAAACAGGTCGACTCCTTCTGGGGATGTGGACACGATGGTCAAGGAAGGAACGAGCTCGGAAAGGCGCTCATGCGGCTGCGCGACAAGATGCGGCGTGATCATTCAAGTTTGGGAGCACCTGTGCAGTTAGTCTGTGTTAAAGCATCTGCAGTACAGACAAAGATTTCTCGTTCATATTCGTGTCTCTTTGAGTCCGGAGCTATAGTAGCTGCCCGACGGGCTGCAACCCTTTGAACGCACCACCCGCACGGTCGTACACGAGCTGGCCTCGTACATAGGTCTTCTGCACTCGTCCCTGCAGCTTCAGGCCCTCGTACGGGGTGAGCTTATTCTTGAAGTTCAACGACTCCCTTGTCACCTGCGCACACCATTCAGCTTCCCGACGAAGTCCCACTGGAAAAGACGGCCTACCGTGAACTCCTCCTTCGGATCCCACACGACCAGATCCGCGTCATACCCCACCTCTAGCGCGCCCTTCCTCCCTGCCAAACCCGCATGCTTCGCCGTCTTCACCGCGCACCAATCCACGATCCTCTCGATCCCCACGCCGTGCTTCTTCCCCTCCGTCCACAACAAACTCAGCCCCAGCCCGAGCGTACTGATACCGCCCCACGCCTTCATGATGTCCCCGTCCTCCAACCTTTTCAGACTCGCAACGCACGGGCTGTGGTCGCTCACGACACAGTCGATTGTACCCTCTAGCAGCGCATCCCACAGCGCGGCGCGGTTGCCCTCCTCGCGCACGGGTGGGCAGCACTTGAACTCGGGGCGGCCGGCGGGGATCTGCTCTGCGTTTAGGCAGAGGTAGTGAAAACACGTCTCGACCGTCAGTGGGAGGCCCGACGCTTTGGCAGCGCGGATCAGCGGGAGCGCGGAGGCGGCGGAGAGGTGGACGATGTGTAGCCGGAGGGAGGGGTATTGCTTCTGGAGGGTCGTGATGAGCGCGATGGCGTCGACCTCAAGCTGCTGCGGGCGCGAAGTGAGGAACGTGTTGTACTCCGTTGGATCTGCGGTGGGGGCTGGATGGCTGTGTTTGTCGAGCTCGGCGTGAAAGCAGAGGACGGTGGGTGCGTCCTGTATGCGGTATGTCATTATAAAAGTGCGGGTCATGGCTCGCGGAATGGACACACCCTCAGTTGGTCCATGGCGAGTCGGAGATCCGTCTCATTCACACACGGGAATTCCTGCCAAGGCATGAGAGGGCGGAGTGCGGTGGACTAGTAACAGAACATACGTCCACACCGCTCTCGATCAGGAAGCACTTGAAGCCTTTCACGCCAGCATCGATCAGTGGTCGTAAATGAGCCTGCCGTGCTGCTCCCGTGAGTAGACATGCTCGGTAGTGTGGAAGGGCGGACGCCTTACCTGGTTTCCGGGAATCACACCGCCCCAGAAGGCGACATCCGTCCAGCACTGACCCTTCGCAGCCGCACGTTTCTCCTCGAGGTTCGCCACCTTCGTGGTCGGAGGAATGGAATTCAAGGGCATATCCACGACTGTCGTGACACCGCCAGACGCCGCAGCACGCGTGCCCGTCCAGAATCCTTCCCAGTCCGTCCGGCCTGGCTCATTGAGGTGGACGTGGGCGCTGGTACCGGCTTCATGAGCTGTGTGCAGATTTCCGGGTGGAAAAGACCCACTCTACGAGACCTGGGAGAATGTACTTGTCTCCAGCATCGATCCAGTTGGCGTCCTCCACGTCTGGAAAGCTCCCCCGGTCGCGTACATCGTCATAGACTTCAGTGATCTTGCCTGTCGCGGCGTCTACGACGACGGTGGCCGACTTCAAGCTACCGTGGACAAAAACGTTCTTCCCGGCACATACGCGTTGAGAGGCCATCGTAGCGAATGGGTCGACGAAAAGACGAGACAGCAAAGCCTGGCGGAGTGACTGGCGGGCGACTGGTAGAGGCCCGATGTGGCTGAGGTGGCGGATGTGGCTGAAAACTTGTGACGGGCGAGATCGGATCGCGCTCATGTGGATATATGCGGTAATAGCCATCAACTCATGCAGAACTTGCAAAGGGCGCTTAGCACTACTCACATCTTTGCGTTCGACGTGTCACTGGCAATATTCCTTCGAATCTGCTGCTGCTGCTATTCTAAGGCGCCTGAACTTCACATTCTATCTTTGCGCACTTAGGGAGACGGAGGGCCATCTTTGATCTCTCGCGCAGTTCCCTGGTATCCTTCGTTTCCATTTGTCTCTGGTAACTTACGTCCGCATTGACCTTCAGGAGAGGCTGTTATCTGTCGCATTTCCGCATCCGTAACTCCCCTTGTCTCTATCGCACTCATGGTTCTTACCTTCGAGAATCGACTCAGACGTGCCATCGGCTATGTAAAGTCTGATAGAAGTATATCGTTCTCATCGTTCACGCGCGCATGCGCTACGCTAACCAGACTGATATCCGTAAGTATTCTAGTACCCGGTCCATACGATACGATAAACGTACTCATGAGCCCGATGGTTTATAGACGAAAGAAGCCGCCTATAGCCATCGAAGCGACGCGAGGTCAGACAGGACCCCCGAAAATTGGCTGAAAGGCCTGAGCCTAATCCAGACAGATTTTGGATAATTTTAGGCCTTGGCCGGATCGGAATCCAGACAAAAAGCTCCATTTGATGGTCATGCCCGATCTCTTAGTCCAGACATTTCCCTAATAGTAGATCTGGTCGGATACCTGTCCAGACAAGTACATAGAGATACACGGTGGCGCCGCTGGTGTCTTATGTGTAAATATTCGGTGCCTAAAATGATTCATCCTTACGTGTAATATGTTGGTAATGTGTTTCGATTTACGAGCAAACTCCGTATGGCAATGCCTGACTGGCGACTTGCTGTCTGTTAAGTTCAGCAAACGTACGGACTCAATGCAAGGTGACATCATCCAAGAGAAGCACCATGTAATGCCAGCCACGCAGTTGGTTAGAATTGATTGTATGGTCCCGGAGAATTCGATACAGTCTATGCCTTTCACTCAGTGACACAGAAATACACACAAATATTAACCTAGGAAGAGGATTAGTAGACTATGTAGTTTGACTGTCACCGTCGAGAATGCTCTCCAGAGCCCTAGAAGAGCAATACAGACAAAAAAAATCGGTTTTATAGAGGCCTGATCCGTCAATCCAGACAAAAAATACGAATTTGAAGGCCGGATCCAGCAATCCAGACAAAATCGTAAAATCTGAGGCATGATTCCGTAATCCAGACAATTAAGGTATCATGACCGACATGCCGGATGGCAATCCAGACATTTTGGCGTTCGGACGTCCAGACGTTTTTGCCAAAATCTGGGACTCCCGGATCTGGCCTTTCAGCCAATTTTCGGGGGTCCTGGTCAGACTGCCAGCTGTACATGTGAGCAATTTGCGGGCCTATGCACTGTACCTCCGCCCCCTCCACATTATTCATTACAGATCCGAGAGGCGTTGGACCGACAGTCGAGCCCTCAATTTCTGGATAATGATCGGCGCTCGTCAGAACTCGCGAGTAGCTCAGAGGTTCTGCCAAGGCCACCCTTCATTACACGTTACCGTCTCTGGATGAGCCAATTCCTTGGCTAGGACAGCACGGTCGACGGGCGCAAAGTGGATGTTATGAAATTTGCGCCGCCACGATGCACGAGCGGTCCCAGCATCACGCAACGTTACGCGGCTCGCCCATTATGCTCTTGACGAACTGAGGTGTGTTGTAGTGCGGTGCGTAGGCTTCAGATCGGCGAAGCGACTCTCGACTCGCGCTGAACTGCGATATTTCAAGGTTTCGGTCTGCTGGAAAGAGGATCTTGCCGTGTCCGACCTGACTTGTGAGTGCATCTGTTTCACAGCGAAGGTCAAGCGACAGACAAGCTGTAGTACTGCGCGATATTTCCATGTTCCTTCGACCCTGCACTCTTCACACCAAGTGAGTGTCAGTTTCGGCATTCTTACCGACTGAATTTGGATGTGTGATCCATAAAAGTACATCATAGTTGCGTCTCCGTTGCCAAGACGGGACCGGTCATCGTATGAGGAAGCTCCACTCGTTCCCGCTATCATTATGGACATGCCTCTGGTCGTTGGCCTTGCCCTCTGGTGGTTATCGGTGAGTACAAGTAGATTCCAATTCCGGTGCTTCACGCCGTCAGTGCGTTTGTGTTGCTGAATGTTGCTATGAAGGGTCAAGACAATGGGGATGAATGGTATGGTATCGAAATGCTACCGAGATTCACTGACAGTGTTATCATCGACTGGCCTACAATTTGAGCATCTCGACGGCTCCTGCAGACTTAAGATGTCTGATGGTGTCAATGTTCTTGAGACGCGCGCCCACCACTATTGAGGCTGCGCTGCCATACTCATCTATCAGGTGCTGAGTCATTAGCTGGGAGATGGTAGACCACATGCTGATTGCGGTATGTATCGCCGGCTCGGCAGGGTACTATTGAGGTCATATCGAGGTAGTAGCTGGTTGCTACACGTCAAGGCCTCGACCACGCGTCGAAATGATTCAACTTTGTACCCCAGCATTGACGCACCTTCTGACGAATTGCCCGACATTGACGCTAATCAGATCGCTATCTCAGCGCGTCGTTCAGATCGCCCGATGCCCTTCGATACACTTGATCTAACTGTAGGAGGAAGCTGCACGTTGCGCGTGGCCCAGGCCCCGAGTGAGACTTATTCCATTGAACAGGCATTGAACTCGAACCTCGTAAGGCGCCAGAAGCAGGTTGACGGGAGGGCACCAGCGGCCAAAGAACATCCAGAACTGTCGCTACAATGATGCTGCCTCTTCGCGCAGGCACATATAAGTAGCCATGATATATACCGACGATAGGCGGTTCCTTACACGCCAGTAGCGCCACGTACCATACCGTAGATATCTATAACCCTGAAAGAAACATCGATAGTATGTATTCATTCTGTCAGTCGAGTCGCTAGGCAACTATTGCCCCTCTGCTGGCTGACATCGCTACTCGCTGCACAGCTCTGCAGACGCGGGGTTTATTTCTGTCGATAGAGCGTAGAAGTCAAATCCATGCAGATGACTGGCCAAATTCGAAGCTGAGCGCTGAGCGTCAAAATGGGACCACGAGCAGTCCTCAGCGCTTACGGTGCCACCCGGGCGTCTGACTCTCCGTCGATTCGCATCAAAAATTAGCTATTACGCAGTGAGCGGTGCGCGAGCACCCCTTGACAGGAATACTGGGAAGAACCCTCGGACCAGCGACGGGTGGGTACATCAGATTCAGAACGCTGTGTGGGTAGACCACCCACCGGGCCGCCACACGTCCACGGCCGCTAAAGGGCCGCACATCATGCATGCACAGTGCATATGCCACCTAACCGCGCAGGCCTCGGCCACGTAGAGTTCCTGGCTGCGTCGACATACTTCTGGGGTCAGTACCGAAGACGCGCGTTCATCCCACTACGCCTGGTACTAGTAGCCGCTACCAAAGCCGCATCGCCGCAAACTACACCATATTTGGAACGCTCACCACAAGGCGGGGGATCGGGCTGGTGTGCACCCTCATTTGGCAAGTATTCAAGAACGAGCCACGGCGGAGGTAGATCGAGTTCACCTGCCCCTATGCCGTCCCACTTGTTTCCTGTAATTGTAATTCGGTATCTGCTTCCGCTGCGCAATTTGTGGAGTGGAAGTCGTCACATGGACGCCTGCTATATGAAAGTAATGATAGTAGTAGACACGAGGCTGCATAAATTGAAGACACGTTGCAACGGTGCGATATGGTTGCTACGGCATGTTCCACCCCAGACCTCTTGCCGGCAGGGCTGCTCGTCGTTAGCTCCTATACTTAATTGGCCTTGAAGAACGATAGTGCAGAGGGCATTGATCCGCGGCCGGCGAGGTCTTCGTTCCGAGACCGGAGCACCCAAGTTCCAACATTCGCGGGATCGTCTGTAGTCTCGGATTGAACAGTCTGAAGCTGCCGTAGCCTATGTATTCACTTCAATGAGAGCGAGCACCATAAATGAGAGCAGGTTGGTGACGTACATCATAGCTGCGAATATATGATTTTCCAACAACAGGGCTACCAGTGGCCAGAGTATGCAGCTGTATGTAGTTGAGACGTAGATCACAGCTAGAAGTAGAGTGTTTGCACTTGCCTGAATCGAGGATGGCTTAGTACAAGCGGAACGGATGTCGGGATCCAATCCTACGCCAGTCTACCGAGCCGAACTATCAATAACTGCCACAGCTACAGACCTCGATGGGTTATCCATCAGCGGCCCGGGGAGTGGCGCGCACGAGAGGCGTAGTACATACGAGCTCACAATCATTCAGTGCGACGAATGAACGCGATTCGCGACGTGTTCGACCACAGCGACGGCCACGCCTAAGGCCTGCCATTGCACGGTGCCAGCGTACCGTGCGATGCACTATATTCCAGTCGCGCGCGCGACAACACGTCCAAGCGAGCCCCGTCATCTTCCTATTCGATACACGTCCCATTTCTAGGCTTGTCAAGCGGATCGCAGTGAGAATACGAGCCGCCACAAACACGCTCCATGATCTGTGCCGCACGGAGGAGCCATGTCCTCTGTCTATATTTGCAGAGGAGCTACAATTTCCCGTATGCGGGCGAGAGGCGTTGCACGACTCGTCAACAACACTGGTGCGGGAAATTCGCGATTGGTTCGACCGACAGAATCGTTCAACGGCCATGCTCAAGGCGTGCCTTGATCCACACGGCGCATTGCGACTGTCGCGCGCGGGCGCATGCCCGGTCGACGCCGGATATCTCCCGATCCTCTTGCTCCACTTCAAGGGGACCACTAGAATGACCGCAAACACCAAGCAAACACGCACCAGAGTCTTCCGTCTGAACAGGACGCCACGCCCTCGGAGATAGTATTTTATCAGAGGCTTGGAGTTCCCGCGTGCAGGCGCAAGTGAAGCGTGGCGCTTCTGGTCGCGTTCTTGCGCCGCGTGTGGCCAGGTGTAGCTCCTGCAGGCTTCCTACTCGACGGCAGTTACCGTACGCCATGAGCAGCTGCATCGTGGCGCAAGGAGACGTAGCGCTGTCGAGAAGAAGTAAACCGCATCACTCGCCGAGAAAACGAGGGAGACCAACTGCAGCACACCGCATGCCAGTAGCGGCTAAGTAGTACCCGCTGACTGAGAGGAGGTGGCGCAAAAAAGGCTCATAGATGGGGTGATACGTTGGACCGCTGGATCCTTCGTCTCGGCAGTTCTGGGAGCTGAGGACGTCCCGACAAGATTGCGTCGTGAAGCCCGGATATTCTTCTCAGCTTCTAAATGTCTTGCGCGCTCTGTTTTTCGATTTGCCCGTCACTATAGAGGATATGTCAGAAAATGGCCTCGCTCGTGGACATGAGCGAGGAGGACAGGGTGATGGGCTCTTGGAGAACCTTGTGTAGCCACCTGGCGCGCAAGGTAAATCATGATCTGCTGAGCCATAGCGGGACCACCATAGCCCTGAAGAAAAGGCTACCGTCGCCCAATTCCCTTGCGTTGATTGTCACCCATACGCGGCCGGCGTCAGCCTTGACACCGAGGGGAGCGCGCGAACAACGGTAAGTGGGCTCTGCCGGCGCCCCCGGCGAATATGGCTGATCAACAGGCAGAACGCCGTGGCTTCTCCCGCGGAGTAACGGCACCACATCTCCCTGACGCTGCACTGGCGCGGCCGCGGGTGGAAAGTGCGTCCCAGCGTACGGCGTGATCTGGGGATCTGTCGAACGCAAATCCCGATTGTCGAGATTGATGTGCGCACCCGCGCGCGCCGTACCTCTCTCGCTAAGCCGGCTGGCTTCGCGGGCTAGCAGTTTTTCGATGTGGGTGTGGGTGGCGCGCCTTCGCGGACGTAGCCGCGGCGTGTTGCCATAGGAAAATTTGTGACGAAGGGCGAAACATGTGAACGTGAGCGTATCGCGGACGGCTAACACAGTGGCGTTGAATTGAAGAAGACATACTGGGGTTAGAAGGCAGGATGACCCTGGCACGGCAGGCGAAATCACGGATCCAGCACACAAATGTGCGTAGACCGCAGATAAGTAGATGCTGAGCCACTCTGACGGCCGACGGCCGGTTTCGCACGAGGGACTGCTGCGACTGCTCGTGGCCTGCTTTCACTGGATCGCCTTTCTGTAAGTACAAGTAAGCGAACACTTGATAATGTAGTGGCTGACGCCCGACATGTCAATTTCCACTGTACGTACCTTTGGCCTTGATATGCGAAATTGACAAAGCACGCTCTATCGGCATTTTGCACGTTCCATGATGTAGGCCGCATACCTCCTTGGACAGTTGGTCAATTCGCTCTCTGACACATACTCGACATGTGGAGTTTCGTCTTGCACCGTTGACCGAATCTGCACGAAGCAGAGACCGGTGTTGGGCACAAGCGCCTGTACGCATTCGCGGTACTTGTCTGTGTCACGCACGGGCCCTTGAGTCAGGCAGATAGAAAAGAGAGGACAATCTCTCGTGCACGCTGCGCTACAGAACGATTAATCCGAGCCACCACACCATCTTGGATAGTTCGAACTTCGAGCGCATAAAGTATGGAGGCCTAGCAACCGGACCCGGTCTCAAGATGGTGGCGCAGGTGTGGCGTAGCAATCCGCGGCGAACTGCCCAAAAAGGGTCGCTATTAGAGATTATGTAATCACCGTGCCGCGAACGTGTTTGGCGTGAGAACACGCTCCCGACGGGGCCTCCCCGTCCTCCTCGACGACGGCCAACGCGACTGCACGCTACTACGCGGCCTGGCTGATCTTTGTGCAAAAAAGCAACATTCCCGCCAACATCGCATCGGGATCCACATCGAGATGGTAAGTCGCGCTTGCGCAGATCCAGGCTGCTTTGTGGTCACCACGTTCATCCAAGATAGTCTTTGAAAGGGTTGACGTCGCCGACGTCCGCACAGACGGGCTTTGCGCAGGGCAGCGCGATGGATGGGGCACCAGTGGCATCGTCGTCCTCAGCAGCGGTGCCGATGCCGCCTGAACTCGAACAGACATTAACCGTGCTCTCCTCACACCGATCGGTCCTGGGCTACATGCTCCTCACGCGTAGCCATCCCATCACGATCATCCGACATTCGGGTGTCGTCTTCGAAGGCGAGCAAGGGCGGAAATACGCGAGCGCAGTTGGGCGGATCGTCGATAGCGTGCATCGGGGGCTGGAGGAGGTCAGCAGCGACCAGTCAGAGCCGGTACGTCCTCCCTGCCCGCGGCCGAGGCCCGTCCGATAGTCCGAGCGATACTGACAAGTTATCCCTTGCACGACTTCGACCGTCGCTGCCGCCAGGATGATATGCGGTTTATGCGAATCCGCACGAAACGGCACGAAATCATGATCTCGCCCGGTACGTCACGCGCACCTACTGGACCTGACTCCCGCGAACGCCGCGTCTCATGGTTTGCGTTGCAGACGAGCGGTACCTTCTCGCAGTGCTCCACGACCCTGCATCATGAAGGCTACTACTTACTGGTACGGTGCGATAACGTTCAGTTTGTGTGGTCGACTTCTAGTGTATTGTGTACGTTTTGGCTTGATACCCTGCCCTCCTTCGTTCGGTGCGCCGTCGCGTGACCAGGGGTTGTAGTCGCCGTCGTTCAAGCGTGGTCCAGAAGGGTGTGATACATGCATCCGCCTCCTATATGCCACTGGGCAGGGCTGATGTGGCGCAAGGCCTTGCTCGGTGTGACTGTCGTTGCGATAGGCGAGGAGAAATATTGCGATCATGCGCCACATGGAATGGGACCGGGGACTGGTGTGTCCCTGTTTCCCTCGCCGAAGCCGCCGCCCTGCTCAAATCGTGATCTAAAGTGCGTCTTCTGAACCCGCTGACATAAGCTGCTCCCGCCTCTAACGCTTATCTGTGCACTTGCCGTACGCGTTTGTTCTACGCCCAGGGGCGGCGCGCCCTGACTCTGTCTGACTGGGGCGTGTCGGGCGCACCGAACGTGGGCAGTCTCAAATAGAGGCATGTTGACTGAGCCTGACTCTGCGCGATCTCGTTCAAGATGGCGGGCCGCCGTGTATAGCAGGACACGGCCAAGCCGACGGAGAGACGCACGCGGCACTTATTTCACCATGGCGAAGTCTCGACCCTGAGAGCTTCGCGCTGCTAGCACAGTAGCATCACCAAAAATGGCTATCTCGCCAGGCTACTCCCGAACAACTCGGAAAACGTGCAATTTCGCTTTGTCCCCGTCGCGTATGACGTGCGCCTTGGCTGCCGCGGCCGTGCATTGTGTGCGCAAGACTGCCAGACCGTGGCGAGCTCAGGTTGAGTGTGCGCCGACGTGCCCGCCCATGACCATGCTCAGGGGTCGCGGGCGAGGCTGGCCAGATAGGCATGACCGGTTGCGCCCGCATGCTCGGTTCGTGATGTTTCCTGTCCATCACGCCTCTGACGGCGTGCGGAGTTACAGCCTCCGTTAGCCAGATCGCCACTTCATTCCAGATCGCCCCGCCCGCACAATCGAGATGCGACATCTCGCACGCTGGGCACAGTCACACCAACAATGAATTCTCGCCGTATTTTTGTGCCCTATTTTCCCGGTCCTTTATTCGTCGCGTCCAATCCAGGCCTGCCGCCCGCATTGCATATTACATCCTCGCCCTCCAGCGTCCCTCCCCTCTATTCCCACCGAGATAGCACGTCGTCTTGTACGGCGCGTGCGAGTCGCCGTCACCATGTCCTCTAGGTCCTCTGCGTCCGCCACCCCTTCGCCTCATACCGGACCCTGGCACCTCCCACCCGCCGCGCGTCGTAGCAGGGCTGCCGCCGCGGGCCTCCACCTCATCTTCGACTCTGCCTCGGACCGCAACTCAGACTCGTGCGCGGACTCGCCGAGCAGCTACTCGGACGCGTCCTTCTCCTCCGTCTCCTCGTCCAGCGGGCCCGCCACCCCCCTCAGCCGCCCGTCCTCGCCCGCGATCGTCTCCGCCGCGGAGCACCTGGACAGCGAGGACTGCTGGAACCTCATCCCGTACCACGTCCCCTGGGGCAACGAGTACTGCGACTACACCCCCGGGACGCTCCCCGGCCCGGACGGCCAGTGCTTCTTCCTCCGCTCGCCCACCCCGCTCAAGTACAAGCGCACCGTGCGCGCATGCACAAAGTGCCGCGACAGGAAGGCGAAGGTACGTCCGCGCCCCGTCCTCCTCTCTCTTCTCTCCCTGCCCCGTCCGCACCCGCCTCACGCCGCCCGCGACAGTGCTCGGGCGACCGCCCCGCGTGCGTGCGCTGCGTGAGCCGCGGCTACATCTGCCAGTACGACCCCGAGGAGCCAAAACGCGCCAAGGGCCCCGAGCTCGCGCGGCAGCGCCGGCGCGACAAGCCCGACCGCACCGTCTCGCAGTCCACCACGCCCGGCGCGGGCGCGTCGTCGTCGCTGAGCGTGCCGCCGCTCGCGTCGGACCCCATGCACTTCTCGCCGAAACACGAAGAGGTCGACCTGCTCACGGAGCTCGGTGGGTTCGCGTACCCCTTCACGGACGGCCACGCACATGCGGATCCCTGGGCTGCATCGCAGACGCACCAGGCTGTGCCGCCCGAGGCATCCCACCCAGCTCCGGGCGCGGCAGCGGGCTATCCCATAGCCCCGCCGCAGGACTCGCCCCGCTCCCACTCCCTGCTCCTCCAGCAAGACGAGACCCACGTCGCGCCCCCGAGCCTGCACATGGACCCCGCGTACTCGTGGCCGTACCCTGACCCCGGCGCCGCGGCGCACCCCGACATCCCCGCGTCCGTCCACGCCCCGCGCCCCATGCGCCGCGCGCAGGTGCCCTTCCTCGCCGCGCCTCAGCGCCCGCAGCCACCCCCCGCGGCCGCGCCGCCCATCGCGATCCCGCAACCGCCCATCCTCCAGGCCGCCCTGATGCCCGTCGCGGAGCCCGCCCCGGAGCCGCAGCCGGAGCCCGCATGGCAGAACTACGCGCAGGCGGGGCTCGACGCGTTCGCCGCGCAGTCCGCGCAGGAGCTCGTCCACGGCTACATGCCGTACGAGTGCGTGCTTCCCGCCCCTCCCGTGCTGACACCCCGCGCTGACACACGCTCTCATTCTCGACCCGCACAGCTACGCACCCGCATACGCGTACACGCACGCGGCGGCGCAGGAGCACGCGGCGCAGGCGTACTACGACATGGCGATGTACGGCCAGGACGTCGGCGTCGCGCCCGCGGCGACGTACGGCGCGCCCGCGCCCCCGCCGTACGTCTCGTACGCCGCATAGGCTTATCTCGCGCTGCTCCCGTCCGCTCGTCGTCCTGCTCTGCTGTTCTCGCCTCGCCTCGCATCCCCCGTACATACGCCGCCCGTGTATATAGCCTGTACGTGTACCCCCGCCCCCGCCCCGCACTCACCCTCATTGCCACTGCGCCTCGCCCCCGGGATACCGTACCGCGCATCCCCGGCCGACTGCCTGCTCGCCCATCTATTTATCCTCCTTGTCACATTACCGCCTGCCCGCTTCCACATCCCTCTCTCCCTCCCTCTCCCTCTCTCTGACTCGTTCTCTGTTTCTGTCTCTCGCTTTGCGTTTGCGTCCGGATCGTTGTTTGGGACACTTGCGGCTCGGTTCGGTTACTTATTTAGTCGCGTCATCATCGTTTCAAGTTGGTCCGGTTGCATCCATCCCCTCCCCCTCCCCACGTCTCTTCCTCGCTCGCTCGTCGCATCCCGCCCAGTACCATACCCGCATCACACACACATATATACACACTCGTGTCCTTCTCCCATCGCGCCGCGCCGCTCGTAAGTAAGTAAGTCGCAGTGAAACTCGAAACTCGTCCGCGCGTCGTGCGAACGTGGGCGCGGCCCGCCGCCCGCGCGGTGCTTCTAGCGGGCGCGCCCTGCGTGACGGGGGCGCGGCCCGCCCCTGCACGCGCTGACACATCCCGTCGCGGTCATGGCGCGTCTGCCCGAGCATCCCGCCGACGTCTGGCAGTGGCGTCGTCGCGAAGGTAACGCTGCTAGCTGGTGGCGCACGGACCCCCTGTGGCGCACACGGCAGGGGCGGGGCCGTACTGCGTTCATGATAGGGACGCACGGTATGTCCAGACACACACTGGGATTGCGGATAGAGTGGATACGCGCTGGGGCGGCGTGGGGCGACGATGCGCCGCGGTGCCTGTCCGCTGCGCTCGGACTCGGGAGCGAGAGCCTGAGCGAGGCTGAGGGCCGAGGCAGGCACCGAGCAGGTCGAACGGAGGCTCACGCGGGGGGCGGAGGGCTGAGGAGGTGAACTGCACGCGCGGCGCGAGATCGACGACGCGCCGGGTGCCGATCGACGACGTGTGGCGCAGGTTCATTAAACTGATGCGTGGACAGGATGCTGGGAGCCCCGCGCTTCCGCTTCCCTGCGCTCTCTACGCGGGCTTGACGACCATTGCGTTTGTCAGCTGCGGTGCGGTGCGTCATGGTCGTGTGCGGGTGTCACGGTGCGCCGTTGGGTGTCTTGGGCCATGTCGTGAAGCCATTGAGTCGCGGGTTGCTGTCTTTTCTGTTCTTACCCTGGGATGGGCATGCACAGGGCGGAGACACGCTGCGGCGGTCCCTCGGGAGTGCAACACGCCTGGTGCGATGTTCAGTGTTTGGTTCGGTCGAGATTATATGCTGCTTGCATATTGGAGGCGCAGGGACGGTCAAGTCCTGCGGTTCATTGATGCTGCACCTCCGAGCCCATTCTGAAGCGATCATCGCGTTCACGCAGGGCAATGACCTGCACAAATGACGATCAATATATGCGTGCCCAGATATTAATCTGCGAGGTAGGCTCGTGTCCCGCCGTTGATGGAGACTGACCTGTGCGAGCTGGTGTGCCGTTGACGGCTAGCTATATGCCATGGAGAGGCTAACGCTGGACCTGATTGACCTGACCCGGCAATAGGCTACAGATGAATTGCCCTCGCGCGAATATTCAACCTTGTCCTCACAGCAGCCCTCTGGAACGCAGCACCGAGTGGAGGACCACTGGCGCAAGACCGCATCCGCGTCGGTCCGGCAGGTGGACCGCAGAGCTCGAGGGGGAGCGGGCGACGTCGCCCCGCGAAGCAGGCTACTACTGGCGGTACACGCGGCAGGGATCGTACGTACGGTACGCCTCTCGCAGCTGACTAGGACTGATGCGGGGTGTGTCGAGCAGGAGGAGCAGGAGTTGCCACCCGACGTGCCCGATATCGGGGGCCTCCCAAATTGCAATTGCACGGCGCACGAGCAGCCACGCGTGAGACAGATTCGGACCGTGCAGCGCGATCGTTGCCGCACGCCCTACGTGCGCGCGCGGGCCCTCCCTCCTCACGCAGCCGCTTGCGACGCTGAGAGCGGGATGGGCCGTGCGCGGGCACGTACGAGCGCAGACAAGGACAAGGCGGCTCCCGTGCGAAGCGTGATACGCGCATTCGTGGGACGCGCACGCCGGACGTGGACGAGTCTGCGTACGCATGCAGTGCTGTTGGTTGCCAGACGGCGCGGCCCCGCGCCAGATCCATCCTGGCCTCGAGGCTCCTCGAGGGGCTGCGAACCGCGCGAGCGTCGGAAGCGAACAGCAGCCACCCCCGCGCGACATGCGTGGCCCGCCACGGTTGGGCCCGCCGTCGCGTCCGCCGCCGCTCGGTGCACAGACGGTCGGCCGAGGCCCCGCGCAGCCGTGGGCGGTGTGCGCCACTGGGCGGGACAGATGCATACGGCGATCGCCAGGTACGCGTGCGCGATCGCATCACCCGCCTATCCCCGCGCGCTCCTCCCGCCTTCTCCTTCTCCATCTGTACCGATCCCCACCGTGCCCGCCTGCACCCTCCGTCCGCAACGAGCTCTTCTCTGCCCGCGCGTCCTGGTTAGCGCACCGCTACACGGCGACAATGGCTGCCATCCGCGTCGAGGCCCACGTCCAGAAAAACTTCCACCGCGTCGATCGCAACGACCCGGTGCTCGCCCCACCCCCAGGCCCGTACGTCCCTCCAGCCGCCATCCATGCGCTCGACCGTCATCCGTACGCTGCCCCGCTCGGCCCCAGTCCTAAAGGCGTCACACACCGGCCCATACCTGCGAGCTGCGCGCGCTCCCCTGCGGAGGGGACTGGCCGCGAACTTGAAGCCTGGTTAGGAGAAGGCTCCCGTGATTTCTTGTCGCCCTGGGTAGACCGCGGTGCGTCCGTGTCCACGTACGTGCTTCTCCGCTCCGTCTGCGCCCCCGCCCGAGCAGACGGACGTCAAGCAGCTCGCAAACCCGACGGACGACTCACAGGAACAGAAGAGCGAGGGCGCCGCGCGCCGGGCCATGCGCACGAGGCCGGGGACCGTGGCGTTCCGTACGCACTGTATGTCGTGCAGGTGCCAGACGAGCGCGCCGAGTTGCACGGCCTCCGTGGGGGTGCACGGGCGGGTGCGCGTCGAGTGCGCATGGCTGGCTGGTTCATAGCTGGACCGGACTGGGGAGTGCACGCCAGACTTGTGTGCGCCACGCTTGTGTGGTCCGGCGCCGAACCACTCTCTGCCAAGCACTGCGCCCGTCCACCGTGGCATCTCAGTGTCCATCGCAGAGACCCACACCCGCGACGCACAGTGCACGACCTCCCATCCGGACTGCAGGCCCCTCCGCGAACGAACGACCGCCGCCGCGTCGCGCGCCCACTGCCGCTGCATCGTACGCACGTACTACTACGTCCCCGCTAAGCTAAGCGACGCGCACACAGCCCGATCCGCGAGAAGCGGCCCAGTGGCCCCGCTAGGCCGATCCACCAAAGCCCGCTGGGGTTCTCTGGAGAGCCTTCTAGTCGCACAGACGATCGTAATCGCAAACGCGCCCCCTCCCCCTGGCACGTCGTGGTACGTACGCGGCTGTGTGGTTATTCTGCGGGTGTGCTGATGCACGGGCATGATCTGATTCGCACCGCGTTTCCTTCAAGTGCTTCCTGCCCTCAGGCTCTCGATGGGCGTGCTGGGCTAGCCGACGGCAGGGTTGGCATGGGTCGGGGTCGTGCACCCACCTGCGCTCGAACGTCTACTTACGTAGGGAGGGGAGGGGTGCGCCCGGCGGCACGTACGATCACGCACCCTACCGCGGGCCCGAGCTGCGTACTCCCCATATCAACAGTTAGATCTCACACGGCGCCGGCCTGCGCGAAGTCCAAGCACGCCGCTCGTCGACGGGAGTGACTTGGGCGCCCTCCCCGCTCAGGCAAGCGCAGCCCGCCGCGGCGGGTCCGATCTCCCATCCGCATCAGCGATCGCAGTGCAGGTCCCAGTCCCGAGTCTCCGCACAGATTCGCCCAGTTCGAAGTGTCATGGCATGCAGGCTTCGAGCTCGCCGTCAGCCTTAGGCATCTGTATCAGGCCCAGGGACGACCGCGCGACTGTGCGATTGGATGGAAGGCACAGGGCGTCCCGGACTCGGACTCGAAGGCGACTCGTCTGTAGTAGCACTGGCACTCCATGTGTATTGATAACAGACGAGACCATTGACAAGACTACTACATATCTGCGCAGAAGGGGAATGGGGACTCGGGTGTCGAAACTGAGTACGGACTCGGGAGGGGCCCGACGGCGAGGGCTACCGGCGGAACCGACGACGGACGCCAATCTGAGTCGTTTGACTCTTTGAGAACGGGAGAAGGCCAGGCGGGGCGCGATGTTGCTGCGCGGCCTGGGTATAGGGGGAGGGGGAAGGCGCTGCTGAGGAGGTGGGCTGGGCGATGAGTGGGGGCGCGGTCCGTGACTCGGATCAGAGAATGGTGGCGGCGGGTCCCAGTACATACATAGCAGCGCACGGACAATGACACCGTGCCGAACACGCACACTAAGCAGGGCCAATTATCATAGCATCCCAAACCGCGACTACTACATACTGCAAATCCAAGTCAACACCCATCGCCGCAGCCCGGACGCACGCACGCACCAACGAAAATACAAATATAAGCCCACCCGGCGCGGCGGTGCAGGGCTCACCAGACGCTCTGCTGCTGGGGCGGCGCGGGGCTGCTCGGGATGCTCTGCGGGAGGACGGTGCTCCGGGCCGCCTCCTTGAACGCGTCCGTGTCCTTGCGGTACTCGATCTTCTCGACGCGCAAGCGCTGTCTAGTGGAACGCGGTGTCTGGCTGGGATTCTGCGGAGGCGGGGAATGCACAGAGGCGTACTGTTTCGCGGCCCAGGGATGCAGCGAATTCGCGTGCATCAGGGCGGCGCGGGTATCGCGAGACGGGCAGAGTAGGCAGCCAAGCTCCACCGCGCGAGGGCTGGACGAGTCTATCCGCACACAGACGGCAGGTCACAGAACCGAAAAATCACCCATTGACGGAGCCTATCCACCCCCCGTCGCGGACCCAGGGTTCACGAAAAAGCGGTTGTCATACTCGACCGCCTGGAATCTGCGGGATGGACATGCATGAGAGCGGAGCGCCGCCCCGGAAGAGGGCGCACGCACGTATGTGTATGCCCCGAGATCGGCACGTCGACGTCCAGCTGCCGCGCGATGGCGTTGAGCGAGTCGAGGTCGCCCGTCGGTATGCACTGGTGCCCGTGCACGACGTCAATCCGGATCGGCGCGTGCGTCACCGTCGCCGACAGCGGGAAGTTGCTCTGCCCTCGCCCGCATCCTCATCAGCGCACACCATACACCCACAGGGGAAACGCGAACACACCTCGTCGTAGTCGCCGCGGACGACGTGCACGTCGGGCGCGACGCTGCGGAGGTACTCGAAGGTCTCGCGGTCGCAGACGTTGCCCGTGCAGAGGATCTGCTGGATCTTGCCGGGCACGAGGAGCTTCTTGAACTTGGCGGGGAGGGCGTGCACCCTGTGCGGGATGTGGAGGTCGCCGATGACGAGCACGAGCACGATCGCTACGGTGGGCGCATTGTCGGGGTGGTCGTGGGTGGACGGTTCGCGGCGGGTCGAGCAGAGCGGCGCGGTGGCTGCGCCGTGCCCCGGGTGGGGATGCGCAATGGGCCCGCAAAATAGCCTTAGCGCGCGGCCTAACGCCTTACTGTATCGGGCCGGGATCTCGGCCAGACAGGGTACTCGGTCAGTCGACCACCATGGGCTCATTCCTAAAGTTAATTACAAGAAAAACATATCAGGAGGTAGAGGAGGATTGTGAGAGACGACTGGTATGCGTAATCTGTCGTAAGACTGGGAACTGAGCCTACGGCACTCGACTGACCGAGTACCATGTCCGGCCGAGATCCCGGCCCGATACAGTAGTCTCTTATCTGATCTAAATCGTACAGACTGGATTATGCTTTCCCTCCGTCGACAAAGTCGCTGCGATGGCCTCTCAACGCGTATCTTTTGAGGAAAATGTTTTGTCTACGGTAGCCTGAAGCCGGCCACCGTCGTCGTAGACGCCGCGGCAGGCAAGATCACTGAAGTCCATGACGATGTACGCGACCAGGCGAGCTTTCCAGACGTGGAGCACGCCAACTGGATCGATGCTGGAGACAAGTGCATTCTCCCCGGTCTCGTAGAGTGGGTCATTTCCAGCCGGGAAATCTGCACGCAGCTCATGAAGCCGGAACCAGCGTCCATGTCCACCTCAACGAGCCAGGCCGGACGGACTGGGAAGGATTCTGGACGGGCACGCGTGCTGCGGCGTCTGGCGGTGTCACGACAGTCGTGGATATGCCCTTGAATTCCATTCCTCCGACCACGACGGTGGCGAACCTCGAGGAGAAACGTGCGGCTGCGAAGGGTCAGTGCTGGACGGATGTCGCCTTCTGGGGCGGTGTGATTCCCGGAAACCAGGTAAGGCGTCCGCCCTTCCACACTACCGAGCATGTCTACTCACGGGAGCAGCATGGCAGGCTCATTTACGACCACTGATCGATGCTGGCGTGAAAGGCTTCAAGTGCTTCCTGATCGAGAGCGGTGTGGACGTATGTTCTGTTACTAGTCCACCGCACTCCGCCCTCTCATGCCTTGGCAGGAATTCCCGTGTGTGAATGAGACGGATCTCCGACTCGCCATGGACCAACTGAGGGTGTGTCCATTCCGCGAGCCATGACCCGCACTTTTATAATGACATACCGCATACAGGACGCACCTACCGTCCTCTGCTTTCACGCCGAGCTCGACAAACACAGCCATCCAGCCCCCACCACAGATCCAACGGAGTACAACACGTTCCTCACGTCGCGCCCTCAGCAGCTCGAAGTCGACGCCATCGCGCTCATCACGACCCTCCAGAAGCAATACCCCTCCCTCCGGCTACACATCGTCCACCTCTCCGCCGCCTCCGCGCTCCCGCTGATCCGCGCTGCCAAAGCGTCGGGCCTCCCACTGACGGTCGAGACGTGTTTTCACTACCTCTGCCTAAACGCAGAGCAGATCCCCGCCGGCCGCCCCGAGTTCAAGTACTGCCCACCCGTGCGCGAGGAGGGCAACCGCGCCGCGCTGTGGGATGCGCTGCTAGAGGGTACAATCGACTGTGTCGTGAGCGACCACAGCCCGTGCGTTGCGAGTCTGAAAAGGTTGGAGGACGGGGACATCATGAAGGCGTGGGGCGGTATCAGTACGCTCGGGCTGGGGTTGAGTTTGTTGTGGACGGAGGGGAAGAAGCACGGCGTGGGGATCGAGAGGATCATAGAGTGGTGCGCGGTGAGAACGGCGAAGCATGCGGGTTTGGCCGGGAGGAAGGGCGCGCTGGAGGTGGGGTACGACGCGGATCTGATCGTCTGGGATCCGAAGGAGGAGTTCACGGTAGGCCGTCCTCCCTGTCAGACTCTGTCGGGAAGCTGAATGCTGTGCGCAGGTGACAAGGGAGTCGTTGAACTTCAAGAATAAGCTCACCCCGTACGAGGGCCTGAAAGTGCAGGGACGAGTGCAGGAGACCTACGTACGAGGCCAGCTCGTGTACGACCGTGCGGGTGGTACGTTCGAAGGGTTGCAACCCGTCGGGCAGCTACTATAGCTTCGGACCCAAAGGGACACGAATATGAACGATAAATCTCTGTATGTACTGCAGATGCTTAAACACAGACTAACTGCACAGGTGCTCCCAAACTTCAATGATCACGCCGCATCTTGTCGCGCAGCCGCATGAGCGCCTTTCCGAGCTCGTTCCTTCCTTGACCATCGTGTCCACATCCCCAGAAGGAGTCGACCTGTTTGGATGATGAGCGTCGGGCCTAGTCATCGCGAGCAAGGTCCATACCGGACTGTCCTCAATGAGTTCGGCATCACCCGTTCCAAGGAGCATGTCTCTCAACTCCGAATGCTGGGTGAACTTGGCCTCAAGACCGCGTCCATGACGCCCACGTTGACATCAAACCAGTCCGTGCGCTGGAATTTACGATATCGCCCCGCTTCCTCGAGGGCAGCGCGGGCGCTAGGGAGGTGGCGGATTCGTTCAGCTAGTTCTGGCTGAGTGTCTATGAACTTGTGAGCTTGGAAAACTGTATGCGATCCGTGGCTTAATGAGAGGGCTGATAGCTGTTCACTAGATCTGAATGGACGTACGGTGCTCCGCGGTCGGGTACCGGTTGTTATCCCAGTGCATAGGAGTCCCGGCGAAGTTAGTAAATCTGAAAAGGTCGGTCAAGTTCGCCTTTGTATGTTCACATAGAACATGAAGACATACTCATAAGATGGGTCGTGACGGTGATAGAAGAGGATTGGGACGGTAACTTTTGCCTCAGGCAAGGGCAAATGTGGCTCGGGAGAAACCGCCCGCGGATGCACTGGGGCAAGGCGCTCGCCTTCATTGACTCCGCGTCCGTCTGCGAGACCAGATCAGAACTGGTTTTCGCCACTTTGGCCCCCACCACACACCTCGTCTTTGTGTCTCATATTGATGTCCGCGGGACTGGGCGATCGCTCAGAGCGGTGTCTGCGTGACTCGGCTGAGGCCGACGTGGTTCCCTGACTGCGACGTTGACTCGGATGCGCTCGAGTCGATCTCGTTGACTCGTTGCTGCCTGAAGGCCTCTAGCTAACCCCGCCCCCGCCCCCGCACTCATCCTCGCCTTCATTGCCACTGCCCCCGCCCCGGGAATACTGTACCGCGCATCCCGGCCGACTGCTCGGTCATCTCTATTTATCCTTGTCATATTACCGCCTGCCCGCTTCCACATCCCTGTCTCCCTCTCGCTCGGTTTCTCTTTATCTCTGTCTCTTTGCGTCCGCGTTCGGATCGTTGGTTGGGACACTTGCGGCTCGGTTCGGTTACTTATTAAGTTTGGGCGTGTCATTATCGGTTCAGTTGCATCCCTCCCCACCCCACCCCCACGTCTCTCTCTCTCTCTCTCCCTCGCTCGCTCGTCGCATCCCGCCCAGTACCATACCTGCATCGTACACACATATATACACTCGTGTCCTTCTCCCGCCGGCCCGCCCGTGAGTAAGTAGTAAGTCGCAGTGAAACTCGAAACTCTGAAACGGCCGTCGCGTCGTGCCCTCCGCGCGCGGTGCGAATGCAGCCACGGCAGGCGCGCGGTGCTTCTAAGTAGCGTGCGCGCGCCCCGCCAGTGCGAGTGCGCGGCGCGCGCTGCCACATCCCGTCGGCGTCATGACATAGCCCGAGCCCGACCTGACACTGGCAGCGAAGGGACGGCCGTCGACGTCTGGCAGTGGCGTCGTCGCGACGGTAACGCTGCTCACTCCTCGCTGGTCGCGCACGGACCGCGGCCCCCTGTGGCGCACACGGCAGGGCGGTCCAGGGACGCACGCACGGTATGTCCAGACACACCCCGGCTCTTGGTCCTGACCGGGATTGCGGATAGAGGGGATGCTATGGGTCGGGGTGGCGCGGCCTGCAGTGTCCGCTGCACTCGGAGCGGGAGCCAGGCACGGAGCAGGTCGAGCGGGCGCGGTGGCTGAGGCGGGAGGGCGCGGTGGCTGAGGCGGGAGGGCGCGCGCGCGGACTGCTCCCGGGCGCGGCGTCGGGGCTGCGGACCTGATGGCGCGGCGCGGACGCGAGATCGACGGCGGTGCCGATCGGGGCGACGTGTGGCGCAGGTTCCTCAGACTGATGCGTGGACAGGACGCTGGGAGCCCCGCGCTGCCGCCTCCCCGCCAGCTGTCGCGCTCGCTACGCGGGCCTCGGTCTGTCCGGTGCTGTGACGACGGTGGCGAGTGTCGCTGCGGTGCGGGTCGGTCGCGGTCGCGGTCGCGTGCCAGTGTGCGCCGTTGGGTGTACGGCCGTGCCAGTGTTCATGAATCCATCGGAGTCGCGCGACTGGCGGGGTGGCTTTTTCTTTTCTTACCCCGGGTTTGGCGTGCACAGGGCGGAGACATGCTGCGGCGGTCCCTTGGGAGTGGAACACGCCTGCGCGAATGTTCACTGTATCGGGGTCGGACGAGCGTCGTAATTATGCTGCTTGCATATTGGAGGCGCAGGGACGGTCCAGTCCTGCGGTTCATTGATGCTCGGCCTCGGAGCCCATTCTGAAGCGATCATCGCGTTCACGGAGGGCAATGACCTGCATCAACAAAGGACAGACGACCAATATGTGCGTGCCCAGATATTAATCTGCGAGGTAGGCTCGTGTCCCGCCGTTGATGGAGACTGACCTTTGCGAGCTGGGGTGCCGTTGGCGGCTAGCTGTGGCCACGGAGAGGCTGACGACTTGACCCTGGTTGACTTGCCCCGGCAGTAGGCTGTAGATAAACTGCCCTCGCGCGAATATTGATAACATCGCCCTCGCAGCAGCCCTCTGGACCGTCCAGACGAACGCAGCACCGAGTGGAGGAACACCGACGCAAGGCCGCGTGCGGCGGATGGACCGCAGAGCGGGGGGCGGGCGATGTCGGCCCCGCGAAGCATGCTACTGGGGTACACGCGGTACGTACGGTACGCGTCGCGCAGGCGACTACTACTACGGACTAGGACTGATGGGGTGTCGAGCAGGAGGAGGAGCACTGGGAGTTGCCGCCCGACGTGCCCGATATCGCGGTGCCTCCCAAATTGCAATTGCACGGCCGGGCCCTGCGCAACAGATTCGGACCGTGCAACGCGATCGTTGCGCCACGTCACGCTCTACATGCGCGCGCGGGCCCTGCCTCCTCACGCAGCCGCTTGCGACGCTGAGAGCGAATGGGCCGTGCGCGGGCACGCACGAGCGCAGGCAAGGACTCGACAAGGCGGCCCCCGTCGCGAAACCTGATACGCGCAAGCCTGCGTACATATGCAGTGCTGTTGGTTGCCAGACGGCGCGGCCCGCGCCAGATCCATCCTGGCCTCGAGGCTCCTCGAGGGGCTGCGAACCGCGCGAGCCTCGGAAGCCATTAGTGACAGGCATCATCCACGTTCGTCTAATGGAGCGCTGACTAGCTGATCGAAGGACCCCGAATACTAGATCGATTTCAAGTCGAATTGAATACGGGCGAAATGAACCGAAGCGACTGTCGATCGCTAATCAACCGAAGCGACTGCGCAATGAACCGAAGCGACTGTCAATCGCTAATCGCATCAGTTATTTATGAAACCATCACCTGATTCGCCACAAGCTAAGTAAAGTACAAGCGCAATCGACCATGACTCGAGACGAATGAATTACCTTGTGCATGGTTAAAGGCATCTATCAAGTGAGTGAGCAGGTGAGCAAACCGGAAGTGCTACTACCCGGGTACAAGACAGGGCTGGCGTCAGTCGAGCACAGCGTAGGCGGAGTCAAGTCCTCCGAAAGCGGGTGGGGTGGGGTGGTGCTTGTGGTTGGCCGGCTTAGGTGCGGACCATCACCAGAAACGAACACGCACACCCGTGCTGAAGAACGGTGTGAAACGCCGTGCGCATGAAGCGTGATGGATGCCAGGGTGTGAGGTTAGTGGCGGGGGTGCGATGTGGAGGCCAAGTTCATGGATTACGCTTAGCAGAGCACCAGAGTCGGCGGCGGTGATGCCAGGCTACGTGACGACACCAGTGGGCTCGACGATGGTTTACAACGCATCGAGTCGCCCAGAGTGTCGCAGGGATCAGTACTGGAAGTCGGGTGAGAAGTGACAAGATCAGCTCCCCGATGACCGGGAGAGCCGATGGCAGCGTGCGGACGCTCCGGCGGGTCCACAACTCTCCGGAGACGTGTACGCGTCTCCGGGGACGACGTCTAGCGTAAAGAGCTGCGTCCGTGAGTGCAGGGCGCAGAGATGGGTGGCGGAGGGGAGGATATTACTATAACAGTGTTGGAAGGCAGCGTTGTGGTCGAGCTACCAAGCGATATGAGTGGACTTGACGGCGTGTTTCCACAAGGACGCGGGATCGCGAGGGTGATGAGCAAGGATAGCTTAAGTCAGTAAACAGGTGAGTAGGCGAGGCTAGACGTACGAGCAGACAGGCCAACGGCAATGGATAAGCAGAAAAAGGATAACCGTTGCTATCCTCGACAGTTCTGGATTCCCGTGCCTCCCCGGGCCCCGCACGCTCTCCGAGTATTGCACTCTCAGTGGCGCCTCGTTCCCATCCTCCCACAGTGATACAAGGACCGCCTTCAAGGCCGGCGCCCTCCGCAATCCTTTCGAATATGCGGGTTCGTGCCGGGCAGGAATGGATCAGTCGAGTCGGCACGCAAAGCAGTTATTATGAGCAACTATATGTAGCTAAACTCGGGCAACCGCTCACTATGCTAACAAGCTAGTAGTATGCGAATCAAGTGCGTGTGGGCGAGTGCAAGGTGGCGCAGACAGTAGCGAGATCGGTAAATACTTTTTGAGGTCCGCGCCTGTGACTCTAGGTCGCAACGTGGCTGGTTAGGTTGCGTGCGTGGGACCGTCAACTGAGTCTGGCTCTCAGTGGAGGGCGAGCCAAATGCTACACGAAACCCCCCAGACCGCTAGCGGGATACCTGGAGACGACCTTGTCGACTGCCAGGCACAGCGTTGACCACGTGGGAAACGCAACACTCCACCAAAAAAAAACAAATGCTACACGAAGGCTCGACTGTCGAAGGTAAGTCCTTGAGTCTTGGCAGTCACTGGTGTTCACCTCAATCTTCACAGCTAGTGCATACTCGAGGAAACATGACGAAGGATCTTATCCGCTCATCTCATTGCATTCGACTGTCTGTCTAGTATCTACCCAGTTTGCTCGCACTTGGACGGCCAAGTGCAAGCACAGGTGTGGTGGGAACGGCGAGAAAGTCAGTCGTCATACCCGTCATCTGTATACATAAGCATATGCAAATCGCTCGCCCCATTCACAGAACAGCACGAGCCGCATCGCACGAGAGAGGACACGGCTCACTGCTCAGGGAGCAGACAGGAGGACAAGTGGACGGGGTAGGTGCCGCAGGCATGGCGGCGCAAACAGGTGGGGCTAAGAGGGCGACACGAGGACCGGAAATTGGGTCCTCGGCCTGCGTGTGCGCATTGACGATCATTCACAGGGACCGACTGTGTGACGCGTTCGCTCTGCGTACCGGGGAGGGATCTATGGGCCGGAAACATTGAATTAACTGTCTGCGTGAAGTTAGATGGCCGGCCCATCTGGCATAACTTACTTCCAGCCTTGTTGGGGTAGAGCAAACAGCCAGACAGTGGTGTGCTGAGAGGTTGGTCGGACGCGGCACGCGGAGCTGCCGGGTGGGCGGGCTGCGAGTATGCGCGGCGTGATTCGCGCACACACTGCTGATTGTCTGCCACGGATGCACGCAGGATGTATAGCATTGATGCACACTCGGTAGAATAGGACATGCATTTTAGTAATGATATTGAACAACCTGAACTGGCCACAACAGTACATGGAACGAACGGACTGCGGGCGGGTGGACGGGTGAAACGGAGAGGCGAGCGTCGAGCGTGCCAACGACGACGGTGACCGACACGAGACGGTGGAGGTAGCAAGGAAAATCGACGGCGGGCGGGCCGTTCGCCGCTCGCTCGGCCGAAACTAACACTATGCTGCGATAGTCGGTCAGCCCGTGCCGCGCAAAGAGCAAGCGAAGAGCAATCGAATTTCAGGGAAAGATTAAATAAAAAATGAATTGAAAGCGAAGCACGCTGGGCAGAGACGAAGCGAAGAGCAATCGAATTTCAGCGAATTGTCAAATTGAGAGCGAAGCGCGCTGGGCAGAGACGAAACGAAGAGCAATCGAATTTTAGGGAAAGGTCAATAGACAATGAATTGAAAGCGAAGCGCGCTGGGCAGAGACGAAGCGAAGAGCAATCGAATTTTAGCAAAATGTCAATATAAATCAAATTGAGAGCGAAGCGCGCTGGGCACAGACGGAACGAAGAGCAATCGAATTTTAGGGAAAGGTCGATAGAAAATGAATTGAAAGCGAAGCGCGCTGGGCAGAGACGAAGCGAAGAGCAATCGAACTTTAGGGAAAAGTCAATAGAAATCGAATCAAAGCGTAACAAACCGAGTAGGAGTCAATTACTATATCAATACTATATTAATCAAACGAGCGCAATATCTTCACAGCACGACTCAATATATATATAGCTTTTGGCGACTGGCTCAGGATTGGGGCCGGTACCTGTTCGCGGTTGAGCGCTACCCAATGTCAGCGCCCTCCGCAACGTGCAGACTGTGCCCGGTGTCGTGTCCGGCGGCGGGCCAAAGGACATAGCCCTACGTCGTGTCCAGCGAGAACTCGCAGATCAACGCGTCGCGCGCTCAGAAGTGAGCCGCGATGTGTAATATAATAACTTGATGTCGGTTGACACGCTCAACGCGGCCGACGACGCACTCGACATTGATGGTGTCGTGCGGGACGAGCCCGCGTAGATGGTGAGTGGTCCGAGCGCTAGCGCCCAGCGCGTTGCTCTCGGCCACACCCACTCAACTGCGACTGCGACTCGGGCAGCCCCCATGACCGCCGGAGCGCACCGCAAGCCGCTTGCACACAGGCGAGCTCGAACTGGCTCCCGGCTAGCTGAACCACTACTGCCAGTTCACTGTTAAGCTAGGAAGGGGAATGGCACGGGGCGAGCAGGGTAAGCGAGCGGGAGGGCTCGAAATCGAAGGTACGTCCTCACCGGATGTATCCACCCGGTCGCCGCCGCCTCTCTCTGCAGTGCTCGTGCGAGTACGCGTCCCGACGAACATGGAGTTCGTCCGACGTGCATATGGCTGGCTATGAAGGCAGCATTGAACCGCGCCGCTTCCGCTAGGCAGTGTGAGTTGTCGGTACGTATGCGACGCGTCGGGGTGGGGAAGACGGGGAAGTTGCAATAGCTGGGGTCGTCAAGATCGCCCTGGTGGTCGACGTACGCGCGTGTCTGGGCGTGAACGTGGGTGTTGAGCGTCGAGGGGGAGCGTGGCACGGTACGTAGGGTCACCCAGCCCAAGGCGCGGGTTCGCGTGGAGGAGTCGGAGACGAGGAACCACTCACGTAGGCGGGGTCGAGGAGGCACGAAATGTCCACGGCACGCGAATTCTGGGATTACATTGAGTGGCGGTGGAGATAGTGCGGGAGATGGGGGTGCGGCGAGTGCGGGAGGAAGGTCGCGATGTACTGTAGAGATGGTGCGCGCGGTCGTGGTGGTGACGGACACAAGACTCACCTCCGCGACGGTCGTTGCCATACTCCTCCCGCGCAAACACCCGCTCCCAGGCTAGCATCTTCACTGAGCATAGCACCATGATGATTAGCATGGTCAACGTTGAGGCGAAAATACTTACCGTCTTAGCTGAAACTCGTGCTCGTACCATGGCGAACTACTGCGTCCGAGTCAGTTGAGCTGATAACACAATCGGAGAATGGGAACATCACCTCCAGATGCACTTCGTCCAGGCTATGCGGCCTTCGTGCCCGAGACCGCGCCCGGCTTGGGGTGCTTGAAGAGGTGGTTTGCGTCGACCATGATGACGCTGCGCTTGTGCACGTAACTGTTGCCGAGGTGGTTGTAGGATGCAATGGGGAGTGGCCTGAAGACACTCGGCGAAGACGGGCTTGAACTTCGTCGGGCCTGACTGGAGGTCGCCGCCGCCGATGAATGCTTTGCGGCGCTCTGCGAGTTCGATGACGCCCGGGACGAACGTGTTCTGGGGCGCGCCGTTCGCAAAGGGCTCGCCCGTGATTATGAACGCGACGGCAAACAGCGTCGAGGGCGAGACCTCAGAGTTCAACGCATTGAGGGCCACGAGGAGCGCGTCGGCGGAGTCGTTCACACCGGGGACGATGTCGCTGTAGCGCTCCATGTTTGCGGCCCAGAAGAGGACGACGCGGCGCCCGTGCTCTGCCTGTCACTAATGCAGAAAGTCCGATCCACGGGGACGGGCGTTTCCGAAACGCGCAACGCGCAACGCGAAACGTCACGAAGTGTTACCAACTGTGACCCGTTACGCACCTTTTGTGGCCCGAGTACCAAGAATAGCAAGCTGAGTAAGCCGCTTCATTCCATTCACTCGGCTTATATGCTGCTTCAAAGCCTCAGTAAGTATTTTGGCTTGCTACTAGCAGTAGTTGAGTCTGTATTAGTCGGTGGTTGATTTCTCACAGTGTTTCCGAGCGCACGGGCGCCCTGCAACGGTGCAACCCGATTTGGAAAGCTCTTCCAAATCAGGCAATAAGCGCCTCACTTCGCGCGCCCCTCGCTACATCCGAATGAGTTGATACTTAAATCCAAATCTTCCTCAACTACTTGCTTGCTGCTTGGGAAAATCACTGTAATAAAAGATTTAAAAGGATTACTTTCAATATACTTGTATTTTCTAGGAGCAACCCTTGGCTGACCGAGCGACACAAGTGGCCCGATGCCCCTGTAGGTGCTTTGTCAGTTACCGTATTCAGTAAGTAACACTGTGACGGACGTTTCGCAGAGGCGTTTCGCAGGGGCGTTTCGCAAACACGTTGCGCAACGCCTCTCCCAGTCGATCGGACGTTCTCCACTAATGGCATCTCCACGCAGAGCTGCTCGAGATGGGCCTGCGTGTCCGTGCCGGAAACGATGTTGTCTAATGTCCGTACAGGTCTCCTGGTTCGCGGCGATGAAGTCGGGGTAGTAGAGCCGGTATGCGAGCGCAGACGCGGCGGTGGCAAGCAAGTCGCAGGGTTGTTGAGGTGAGGGTAAGTAGCGAGGGGTACTGACGCCGGCCGGGATCTCGGGCACCTATTGCCGTTTTAAAAAGTCATGTCGCACGGTGCCACACGTGTGATTTGCGCGCGGCGACCTCCTCACGCAGAACGACGATTGCTCCTCAACCGCTGCGAGTTTCGCCTCGATTCTTATCTCATTGGATTCTACTCGTCGAGCCCGAGGGCACTGTACCCAGCAATCCACGCCAATCGAAAATCTCGAAATCACCATTTTCAGGTGTGCTGGCAGCTCAGCCCTCTCCGGCATATACATACATCACTTATCGCTGAGTAGCGTCCGCGCACGATACATGATTCGCGCTCTGTGACCGCGGTTCCATCATGTATGAATGCTCCGGTGTCCGTCATGTATTATACAATGCATTAGTACATTACAATATCCTGGCGGTACCCTGCCCGGATTCGGGATCCCGCCACCCTCCCGCTGACGCTGCGTGTGCACGTTGCTACTCGACGTACACGCACACCTAGCTCCCGGAGGCCTTGCCCTTATCGGGAACCCCCCTACACCCAATCCGGCGATGCCCCGCTCTCACCCGCCGGCCCCTGCACGAGGCGGCGCCGCGTGTTATGCGAAGCGTGACACCCTGAGCACTAGCTCACAACCTAACCCTTAAACTCGGGTCTTAGGCTGTTCGATCGTTCTTGCGGCGGTAGAGGATGGTTCGAGGACACTGCTAAGCACATCTAGCAGGTCGAGCGGGGTGTCGTTCACACTCTGGAGTATCGCAAAGCAGAACTTCTATAGATCAAACCAGGTCGAACTGAGGGTTCGACCGCTAATGTACACAGGCTTATATACAGAGAAGTTAGGGCAGGGCCCGGACGAGTCAGGTATAGAAGCCAATCAGATGCGAGAGGGGGAGGGATGAGTCACTGCGAGTCAGGGGGTGAGTCATACCGAGTCAAGGGAGTCAGAACGAGTCATGAGTGCATGTGATAGTCCGGGTACGCCGGACCGGGTACAGAGTGAGCCGGATGCCGAAGGTGGTGCTCGTGTGGGTTGCGCCACTCAGTATAGTACAAGTCGACGAGAGAAATAAAATAAGACGGACTTGTCGTAACATAAGCCCCTTCCTAGAGTCGACGTCCTCGTCGACTACACTACTCGTCCGCATTCTGGATGGTGTAGTGCCATCGGAATGCCGCGGAGGGTACCGACGACCTCTCCCGTGATAGCGTTGACGATGACTTGGGTGGTAGAGCAAGTGGGGGAGGGTGACGGCGATGGTTGGAACGTCGACGTCGGCGAGGTCGTCAACTGTCGCAGGGGAATGCGGGACATCCCTTCGACGGGTTTGTAGTTGGGTAGGATGGGTGGCAGTACGACCAGCACATCAGAACTTTGGGAAAATCACTGAAGGTCACTGAAGCCACTGAAATGGCGACTTCAGTGAAGTTCAGTGTATCTCAGTGAAGTTCAGTAGGGAACATATTTCGATCGAAAGTTCGTCGAAATTTCGTCAGTAAGCTTAGGGTGCAAGACGTCGGGAGGCATCAGCAGACGTCAGCGTAGATCCGCAGAGTCGGTGAATATCAGTTCGGGTATCTCGCATTGTCATTCACATATTTGATTGCAACAGTGTAGCCGGAACAGACAAACCGTGCAACAACAGATATATGACGGCACGAACTCTAGTTGTACTCGTCCCCATCTTCGTCAACATCAGTCGACGACTGGCGTCCAGAATCTCCCAGTGCATCGCCTCCCTCCCCTTCAGATTCACTGGGTGTGTAAAGACGCACGACCCGTTGCTTGGGCTCCCGTGGCTGTCGGTACTTCTCGCTCTTCTGGGTGTCTTTCGCTGCCTTGATGATCGCATCGAACTGATCCGGATGACGCGAGAGCCACGCGATGTTAGTCCTGAAGGCACCAAGAACCAGGTCTCTCGCGGCATCCCCATCCCATGCCGGGGTCCCTTTGTCACTGCCAGACTCCCACTGCTCAAACGAAGCCTGCACCTACAAATGAAGTGAGTTGATGTCGTGCGAGGTAGCTAGATGGCTTACTGCTGCATAACACAAGGCGAGGGCACCATAAGGACGCGGCCGGTGTATGTGTGAGTTTTCGAGGATTTTGAGATGCTTCGCGAACGTCTTCAGTATGTATACAGATTTCATGCGGCCAGCCTGCCAGGATCGCATCCTGTGAGCCTCATGTCGGAGCCGTCAAACTCCGCAGACGAACCTTTTCGTCAGCAACATTATTGAACGCCGCTCCATGAGGCTTGAGAGCATTCTCGACGTGCTTGGCACGGCCAGCTTTTCCACCTTCGACAAGCTTGAGGTCGGCATCGACAAGCCGTTTCGCCTTCAAGAGAAGGCCCTTGCGCCAGTCACGGACCTTCGTAGCACACTTGACCAACATTCATTAGCACGTAACAAGAGGACTACACAGATAGGTGACTTACATGTTCAATGAACTTGTTGCATTGCGTGTCGGTGAGGTCGACGAATCGGAATCTCGGACACACTTTAGACAAAATTGCCGTGATGGTCTCTTGGACGTCATCGAGGCTGATATCCCAGGGATTGTCGAGGGAACCGTAGTGTTCGATCAGTGTCGGATGAATTTTCGTGGACCACACCGCAAAGATCGCGGCGGGGACGACAGCGGCAGCGCCTCTAGACTTCTCTTGAGGTACATCGGCGGGCACGGCGCGTCCGTTTTGCTTTGGCAGGTGTAGCTTCCGCCTCGACATCAATGATGTCCACAAACTGAGATGACAAACGGACGCCTCAGAGCATTAGATGTCAGGCGGCACTCGGCGGGGCTATTCACGCACCTGTGCTTGTGATTTCCGAAGCACCACTGCGTCTTCCTTCCTCGAAACGACATCACCGTCCTCGAGACCTTTCTCCTGCACTGCGTTCTCCTCCTTTGGTCCGCCCTTCAAGCTGCCCTTCGTGCGACACTTCTTGGGAGCTGTGGTCGTTAAGTCCGCAGTGGGATCCTGCGTAAGGCCCGCACCGTCGATGATGGCACGCCAGTTCTCATTGAGACCGGATGTCTTCGAGGTCACTGACACTTGGTTCTTCTTGGCAGATGAGCTGGCCTTGCTAGCGCTGACAGTGCAATCCGCCAATCGTTAGCGCTTCAATGGCATGCGAGGTGACAAGTCACAAAAGACGCAGACTCACCTTGCTTTCGTCTTCGAGGAGTGACTATCCCGAGATGGGGCGGCAGACTCCTCAAAGGTGTGTTCACTCTGACGACGACTGGTGGCAGCGCGGACAGAAGCCACTCGCTCGTGCTTCTTGTCTTTGCGTGTTGACGCGGACACCTGACTCGGAGACTGATAACATCAGGATCAGATTGTATGACCATGTGGGAGTACACTCACCGGTGCGTACTCGGGCCCACTGCCAGACTCACTTTGGGCCTCAGTATCGTCATGCACCGTCCTGCTGCCCCATCCCCGACCCATATACCATCCTCACCTTCGTCCTGTTCGCCCATGTCAACATCCTCCTCGGAGCGCTCGCCAAGTGGTTCCCAGCCTCGTCAAGCAGGATGTCCTCTCGAACACGCCCGTCCTTCATCGTCGCGATTGCGGCCGCACCTGAGCTCTCTTTTTCTGCTAGCAAGCGGCTGTTCTCCTCGCGTGCGTCCGCTTCGACTTGCTTATCTGCTCGTTTCTTGTCTGCGCCTCTAGAGATCTCGTTCTTGGACCGCTTGTGAAGACCTTGGGTACGTGCGGGGTGTGGATCAATATGACGTGTTGTACGACGGACAGTGACAGCAGCAGAAGGTGTCTCCGCGGTACCACTAGGAGGTCCGTCATGTTGGATGTCGGCGCCTTCAGGTTCAGCATTGACCTCGGAGGTACGTGGTCTCTTGTGCTGCGTCTGACGAGCAGAAT